AGCATATTGAATTGTGTAGAGAAAAGCGATTCTTCTAGATGAGCAGGCAAGAGAAATTATGAGAGGTGCTTGTCTGGTTTTTTTCGATTACATTAAAGCACAAATCTCTAGATGTGCTACACGATTAATTTGTAGGCAGGGGAGAGGGNGGCAATTTTTTTTGGAGGTATGAATAATCTGCCCTAAGTATGAAAAGTTCCGGCCCCTATTACGAAAATCGAGTTGCCCGTATTACGAAAAATTCCGAGCCGAGGGTTCGAATGTTCTCTAAAAACACTGTAAATTCCTTACGTCATGCACCGTTCACCCGAACTCGGACCGTGCAGAAAAGTTATCAGATTGATCTGACAACCTTTACCGACGCGGACTATACACGGCACTGATTCACGTGATGCTTCGTAACATGGTGGACTACGCCTAATCTAAGGTATATGATCTCTCCTACCTCCTATTTTTTATCATACCATACCATGTCAGGATTTGAAGACTACTTTTCTGTTCAGGTGTTTCTCATAGTGTTGAGGGAAACCTTAGAGCTGGCCATCATCATCTCTGTGCTCTTAGCCTTCGTCCAACAGAGCTTCAAGCCAAAAGAGGCCGTGAAATATGATAGCATACGCGAGCCAGACTCACTGGACGAATCTGCCGTTGAAGCTGTCGTTGGAGAAGTCAGTGGTAATGGGTTGGCCTCGGCGTACGATTCGGAGTCCACCTATAAATATCTTCGTCTTCAAATATGGGCTGGTGGACTTTTAGGCCTTGTCTTATGCCTCTTCATCGGGTCGATAATCTTAAGTGTATTCTACATTCTAGGTAATGACTTGTGGGCGGTGGCAGAACATTATTGGGAAGGAACCTTCTCTATTCTCGCCAGTATAATCATTTCCGTAATGGGCATCAAGATTTTGAGAGTCAGCAAAATGCAAGAAAACTGGAAGAGGAAGTTGTCAGCTATTCTAGTCAATTCTGATTCTTTGAACAAGGCAGTGGAAGGACATAAATCCAATTCGTGGAGCGTCTGGTCAGAAAAATACTCCATGTTCATTCTTCCTTTTGTAACGACACTTCGAGAAGGAATGGAGGCGATAGTTTTTATCGGAGGAATCGGCATCAACGAGAACACTCTGATTCAAGCAATTATTAACTCCCTAATTGTTGCAGTGGTAATAGGCAGTTCTATTGGTGTACTCCTATACCGTTCGGGCAATACGCTTTCGTTGCAATGGTTCCTTATCACTTCAACATGTTTCCTATACTTGGTGGCTGCTGGATTATTCTCCAAAGGCGTCTGGAATTTCGAGCTTCAACAGTTCATCAACAAATGTGATGGGTTCGATGTTAGCGAGACGGGCCATGGTCCCGGGTCCTATGACATCAGTAATAGTGTCTGGCACGTGAATTGTTGTAATGGAGAACTTCAAGATGACGATGCTTTTTGGATGATGTTTACTGCTATCTTTGGGTGGACCAATTCCGCAACCTATGGAAGTATTTTTGGATACCTATTCTATTGGATTGTTGTAATTGCAGCTTTTAGTGCATTGCTCCACGAAGAAAAGAACGGCCATTTGCCAGTAATACCCTTAAAATGGCAAGCTAAAAGAATGAGGAAGAGGATAGGCTTAAATAACTTGCCTACCCCTACGAGGGAAAGTATTGATTCGATCAACTCTGAAACTCCATTAGTGGGTTGATTTGAAAAAAGAAAATGACAGACATAATCATTTTAATAATCCCGGCCTAGTGCTCGAGATTCTACTAGTGTAGTTAAGATTGAAATCTAGGAGTTGCGAAAGCCTGCTTACCTTTCTGTAAACGATCGGGTCTAATTGGCAGTTTCAATTTGCTCTTCTGGAGAAATTGCTCAACCAATTTCTACTGCATGGCATTCTACTTTGGGGACGTAGGCACATCTATTTCGCGCCTCTCCAAGGGAAACGGGCCCAACGACATCGATTCCAGGTTCAGCGAAGTCGACACTACTTCGGCATCACGGGGTTGGCGCTTATCGACCCGCCAGTGCCTGAACGGCTCGAATATCTTGCTAACGCCACATCGGAAACTGCCATCTGAGCCAGTATCAAAGCCTACAACTGCCACAACAGATCTTGAATACAAGTATAAGGGCTAGTATAGAATTATCGTACTTTGGGCAGACATTATTTATCACAAAATCGATAGGAAGCACCCCTTTACCTTGCTTCGCAATCGTTTTCCTTCTACAATGTTTCATAAAAGAAAAATCAAACTGTAGGCAGCCCGAAAACTTTAAGATCTCATGAATCTGTGCATCCGGTATTTCTGAAGAGGCAGATGCGTTTTAGTTTATGTTTAGGGGATAGGCTACCAACTGTTTAATCGGGCCAATCTTTCTGCAAGTTAGTATGTTCCATATTGCTATGTCACTAAATGATGTCAATTGCCATGAAATGAACAGAGCTAGGGGTTTTTAATTTTCGTGGAATAAGCTTTAACGTTCCACCTTTTGAGCATTAGTTTCATTCATGGATTTTCAAACCGATAATATAAAGATGGCTTATTCCTTCAGCCAATTAACTAAAAAACAATTAGCTTCCAATCCTTAATGTAACAAGAAGTAACTGTTACAAGGAAGGAATAATAGTATTAGCTCCTACAATCATCTACTCGATAGATCCGAATATTAACGTAGCAGTGTCAATAAAATCACTATTCAACCTTTTCTTTGCAAATGGTCATAATGAATGGCATCCTTGCTCACCATGTGATCTAGTTGTAAGGGAGTATATCTTTATTAATTGCCTATTGCCGAAATGAAATAGCCCACTCTGGGATAGTAAAAGCCGAGGGTTCGAGGCGAGCAATTTGGGACAATAAGTAGAGTTGCTAGATGCAGTCGAGGAAGTCGGCAACATGGGCAGACATCCTAAAACAGCTGTAGTATTCCTTTCCTCCTAGCCAATGGCAAGCACTTCAAAGGACAGAAGGCTTGGCAGAATCACAGCCCATCTTGCATCAAAATGTACGTTTATTGCAGTGTAGACATAGTATCTTATCTGATTAAATCAGTTGCATGAATATGCTGGGTGGTTGCCATGCAGATTTTGTGTGGCTTTTTTTCTCGGGTGCAAGGTGGCCTGAGCACTTGACTCAATCCTTGGCTAGAGTCTAGATCGCTATATACTAGTAGGAATTAAAGCAAGGGGCTGCGCAAATGTCATGTCAAGCCCACAGTTTGACATCTGACTATTTTTCTTGGTGGTCCAAGCAAGAATGGCCGAGATTGGATTGGGTTGATCCGATTCCCTAACATGTTCCAAACGTTGAACCCATTGCTAACCAATGAAAGCTCGTATACAACACAGCCCGGAATATATTCAGGTGTACATCGGCATCGGAAAACTTCGTTACAGCCCGCCCTGGTCCTCTAGTGAGAACAATACCTAAGGCACCTCTACTACTAGGATTAATCAATTCGATCTGGTTTTGAAATATTTTTTAGCCATATAGACAGCAATACATACAGGATGCTGGATAATGAGGTTTTTGGAGCACCGTACACAGGTTCATAATACAGCAGTATTGGGTGCTGGCAGAGCTCAAGATGAATTGAAAGACAATAGAATGTCTATCTGGAGTGAATTAGATCTAGTTTAAGCGGTTTCGAATAAACTTTCTAGCCAATTATCTAAAACAATTTATAGGAGAATTTGCCGTTCGGACATACGACGTTCTAAATTTATTTGCAACCCGAGCCTGGCCGTTTTACCACTCGAATTCACCTGCCCGTTGTTCTATCCGGGATATCCTGTAAAACAATAGGCTGTGTTTCGATGAAGCAACTTCTGAGACCCAGGTCTATTTAAATGTGGAATATCTTTGTAGTTCAACTTTGAATTCGTACAGAATAATGAAAGTTTTCAATAACTGGAGCCTTTGGCTATTCATTTCTTGGTTTTCAATCGTCCAAGCTGAGACCGGTGAACCATATACACACACAAGGGATCCTAAGATAGCCCTCAATGCTTGTAACGCATTGATATCCAGTTCGGCAACGTTCTGTAAAGCTGCTGCTCGAAGAAGACGTGATTACAGCTGTGTCTGCAAAAATACAAATGCATTGGCAACGTTCTCAGGATGCTATCATATGCTTGGCAAAGACACTCCAAAGTATGTCAATTACTTTTTGAAGCAATGCGAGTTATACAATGTCACTTTAAGTCCAATTGATTTTGAGGATGCATACAAGAACTATACAAGTCTCTCAAAGTTTCCTCATGAAATCGAAGGATTTAATAAGACAAAGCCTATCGATGTACCAATTGCTTTAACTCAGAATGCTACTGATATTTATTGGAAGTCCTACAAGCAGTTTAATGGCAATTATGAAGACTCCCTTTACTATGGGGCTGGTGTCTTGGGCTATTGGCTTCTTGTTTTTGTATTGGCTGCTATCAGTAACTGGGGAAAATTCTTGTTTCCATCTGTTTTCAAGTTTTTCACGGGTCCAGTTTCTAATATCTGGAGAAAGCACGTTACATTACCAGCTACATCGAGAAAGAAGAAAAGCAATGAACAACGGTTCTTATTCATATTCGATTTACTTATCCCTTCCAGATTGGAAACTCTAATTTTAGTGGGATTCCTTTTTGTTCTCATTGCATGTTTGGGTGCAAATATGACTTATCATGAGGGGGACCCTATATTCACCAATCGGAGGGAGGCAATGCTCAGATACTTAGCTGATAGGACTGGAATTGTTACTACTGTTTTAATGCCCTTGTTGATTCTCTTTGCTGGTAGGAATAATTTCCTTCAATGGTTTACTTTGTGGAACTACGCAACCTTTATAGCCTTCCACAGATGGGTTGCTAGGGCCGTATTTAGCATGGTTGTCGTTCATGCAGTTTGCTTCACGATATATGAAGGATCCCGTTACAGTCATGCTGTTCAACAAACATACTTTAAATGGGGTATTATCGCCACTGTTGCTGGAGGGATCATTATGTTCCAGGGAATGCTTTTCTTAAGACGCAGATGGTACGAGATGTTCTTACTAATTCATATTATTATGGCCGCTTTGTTTATTGGAGGTGCTTGGATCCATACGGATGAGCTTGGATATGTTTGGTTTTACTACGCTACATCTGCTGTTTGGGTTTTCGACCGAGCTGTGAGACTAGGAAGAATTTTCAGTTTCGGTTTCCCAGATGCAAGGGTATTCTTGCTTGCTGACGAGACTTTGAAAGTTAAAGTACCAAAGCCTAAATACTGGAAGTCAATTCCTGGTGGGCATGCCTTTATTCATTTTTTGAGACCGTCTTGCTTCTGGCAATCGCATCCATTCACTTTCATTGATTCGATAGAAGATGAAAATACCATCACTTTGTACTGCAAGGTGAAAGGTGGGGTAACTCACGGTTTGTACCAATACCTAGCCACGCATCCCGGAAGATCAACCCATATCAAGGTAGCTTTGGAAGGTCCCTATGGTGCTCCAAGTCCCGTGAGCAGATACGACACTAGTGTTTTCATTGCAGGAGGAAATGGTATTCCTGGAATTTACTCTGAAATTCATAATTTGGCTACTAGATCCAAGGACAATATCAAACAGTCTTTGAAGTTGTACTGGATCGTTAGGGACTACAAGTCATTGTACTGGTTCTATGAGGAGTTGTTAGCTCTTAAAAACTCCAAGATTCAAACAACCATTTACATTACAAAGCCAGATACGGGCGATTGTCTTGAAGAATTTAATCTCAGATTTCCATTAGGGCATCGTGAAGAATTGGATCTGGAGGAAGAGAAAGAATTGAAATTGAACAACAAGCACAGTTCTGAATTTGAGAACAGAGACGCAGAGAAAAAGAATGAGGAGAAGAAAACTTCAAGTTCTGATGGTGAAAAAGCAGTCTCATTACGATCTGTCACCTCCTCCTATGATAACTACTCGGCAAACAGGAGAATTGTCTCTATTATCCAAGAAGAATTATCACACGTTTCTTTCAAGGAAGGCCGGCCCTGCATTGAGAAGATTGTTACGGAAGACACTCGGGAATCACAAGGATCCACAGCCTTCACAGTTTGTGGACACCCCATCATGGTCGATGATCTCCGAAAAGCAATAGTGAGAAACTTGGGACATACTGATGGGAAGAGGGTTGACTTTTTTGAAGAATTGCAAGTATGGGCTTAGCTTTTTTAGTCTTGCTAGCTGAGATTGCGCTTCTTCTGTCTATTTCCGGATTCCACAGGTGCGCGAAAAGTGGAAAAATTTCAGCCTGCCTGAAGAAAGTCCACATGAAACTAGGCTTAGAGACTACAAACCGTAAAAGTAAGGGGAGTACCAGGCTGAAGGAGTAGGATATGCGTCAAACCCTAAGTATGATAGCATAACCTAATCTAACATATGTAGTTGGATAATACTGCCGAGTGTAGTAGCGATCATCAGGGTCCGAGTCTAGAAATGGGAAACAAATTAAACATTGTTTTAAAGTTGTAGTGATGCCGAGGTGGCTATTGTATCATTGCACGACGGTACTAACCCTTATTTAAGCCAATATCTTAAGTGCCATAGACATCACGGCCTATACATTTCAGAATATGTTGAACACATTGATGAATGGCAACCATGCCTGAGTGTTGGTTTTGACTTCTGCACTATTTCTTTTATTTCAGTGGTACCATATTCCTAATCATATTATCTGATCGGATCAGTGAGTTCGTATTACAAAAGGGTCCGTTTGACGGCGATAATAATCACAAAAACGAATGCAGCCAATGAAGATGTTCTCTTAAATAAATTGACATGCCCGGAAGCAGATGCATGGCCGTTTGATTGGCTGGTGCCTAAATTTATCTCATTGAATCCTTGGCAGGCCGTATGGTGGGGGGACATGTGAAGATATAATTTTTCTTTGCTAAACCTGACAGATCCAAGACAATTCAAGCAACATCACAGCCGTACTTTTCGATAGAGGCAGCTTGGCAGGGACACTTGAACAGATCGCTTGGCCGATGAGGAGGAATACTTGAGACCTTCGATAAATCAGCATGAAATGAATTTGTACGAGCATGAACATATTCAGGTACAATTTTGATGAGATGCGGCGCCAATTGTATCACAAAGCCTCAAATCATTTACGAGCTCCCTCAACAACCTTCACTCTGATAGGCTCCATTGTGGCCGTGGGTGCAACCATAAATTACAAAGGCGGACTACAAGCCGGATTACCGGAACAGGTATATGAGAAAAGTTAATTAGTAGTGTTAATATTGGTTCCACGACAAGTCCTTGCATTAATTTTGAATTGGAAGCCGTTAGGTATCCCCATATAAATACTGGGGCTTTGTCTTCATGAGCACATAAAAAGATCTGATTTTGAAGTACACTTTCCTAATTTGTTTCAATGCAGCTTATCAATGTACTTAGCCTACTTCTCTTTCTTGGGTCAATTCAAGCTCATGATGCGAAGTACGCTAGATATGGAACTGACCTAACCAATTTCTATGCTTGCAACTATCAAGTTATCAGAAGTGCCACCTACTGTCGTGCACGTGGTTTTGGATGCTACTGCAACAACACTGCAGCTTTGTCAACTTTGACGGGCTGTCTCCACTATAAGGATAGACTTACTGATTCGTTGACCAAATACTTTGTTCACATGTGTGAAACAGACTTTAAGGTGACTGTCACTCAGCAGAACATTACCGACGCTTATGAACTATTCAAAACTTCGGCCAAGAATGTTCTGGAGGTTCCAGGATACAACAGAACGAAGCCTATCAACTACCCTATTTTATTCGAGAAGAGTGTAATGGACTTGTATCACGATTCATATGTTCAGTTTCTTGGAAACTATGATAATTCATTGTACTACGGTGCTGGTGTTCTTGGGTATTGGCTTTTCGTTATGGTTATAGCAATGGGTGCAAATTTTGCTACATATTTCTTCCCTGGGTTAGTGAAAAAATGCACTGGTCCTATTTCCAACACATGGAGGAAACATGTGACATTGCCAGCAACTGCAAACAGAAACAAATCTGAACATCACTTTTTCTTCGGTATCCATTGGCTTGTTCCATCTCGATTTGAAACAATTGTGATTGTGGGATTCATTGCTGTCACTACCTTCTGTAATGCACACAAAATCACATACGTGGAAGGTGATCCCCTTTTTGACCTGAAAAGATTAACTTTGATCAGGTACGTTGCTGATAGGTCTGGTATTGTTGCTACAATACTCGTTCCATTATTAATTTTGTTTGCGGGAAGAAACAACTTCCTTCAATGGACCACCGGATGGAATTTCGCAACTTTTGTGACATATCATAGGTGGATTGGTAGAGTGACCTTTGTCTTGGTAGTCGTTCATTCTGTAACATTCTCGGTAGCTTTCGGCAATGAGAGGTACAAAGAGGATATGAAAGAAACGTATCTTATTTGGGGTACGATCGGAACTGTTGCTAGTGGCTTTTTGATGGTTCAAGGAATGCTCTACTTGCGTAGAAAGTGGTATGAAATCTTCTTGCTTATTCATATAATATTGGCTGTTCTTTTCATTGCCGGTTCTTGGATCCATGTTGCTGAATTAGGTTACGTCTGGTTCTTTTATGCTGCTGTCGCAGTTTGGGTTTTCGATAGGGCCATTCGAATTGCTCGTCTTTCGTTCTTTGGCTTTCCCAAAGCTCGGGTTGTCTTGTTGGCAGACGAAACACTCAAGGTTATTATTCCTAAACCAAGCTACTGGAAGTCTGTCCCAGGTGGACATGCTTTCATTCATTTTTTGAGGCCTAGTTGTTTCTGGCAATCACATCCTTTCACTTTCACCGAACATGCTGAACTGAGAGACAAGATAATTCTCTATTGCAAAGTAAAGGGTGGTGTTACACACGGATTATACCAGTATTTGATGACTCACCCTGGAATGTCTACAGACATCCGTGTTGCTGTTGAAGGACCATATGGACAATCATCGCCTGCTAAGAAGTATGATTCTGCCATTTATGTGGCTGGAGGTAATGGTATTCCTGGTATCTATTCTGAAGTTTATGACTTAGCAAGAAGAGATATCAAGCAATCGTTGAAACTCTTTTGGGTCGTTCGCGACTATAAGTCCTTATTATGGTTCTACGAAGAATTATTGGCATTGAAAGGATCAAAAATTTCAACTACTATTTACATTACCAGACCAGATAGTAGTGAAATTATTGCTGACTTTGAACAAAGACACCCAGAAGGCACAACCACTGTGGAGCTGGAAAATGAACTTGAAGATAAGTTAGACAAAGGTGATTCCATTAAGGAAAAATCCGACAGTGTTGAGGATGGCTCCATCAGTAAGACCAGTTTCGCAGAGAGCAGAGAGAAAGTCATCTCGACCATCAGGAAGGAGTTATCGCATGTTACTTTCATTGAAGGAAGGCCAGTCATGGATGAATTGGTTTCGAGAGAATCAGAAGAGTCTATGGGCTCAAGTGCATTTGTTGTTTGTGGCCACCCTATTATGGTTGATGATTTGAGACAGGCAGTATGCAACAACTTGGATAAGTCGAAGAAGAGAATAGACTTCTACGAGCAGTTGCAAGTTTGGGCGTAATAAATTAGATTGAGATGCTGAGTTTTTACTGGGTTTGGCCTTGTTGAACAAGTTTCCATTAGCCAGATACAATTCTATAGATGATGAATATAGTACAAATATGAGTAATTTATTTTTTACCTTTAATTTCGTTGATCTCATACGTAACATAAATCGTTTAGTTAACATGATCACTAGCGGGCTATGCGGTCCAAACTAGTTTTGCTGTTCGTCAATATCTTTGAACATTTCGTCGACAGAACCACCAAGATACAACTTGAGGGTCTTTCTGGTGGCAGGCAAGAGCTTGACCTTGACCAATGTTTCCTTGTCGCCTTCTTTATTGATTCTGTCGTAAGCTTGAAATCTGTGGCATCCGCCAAATGCAAAGTAGTAGTCTTTTCCGAACTCACGAACTCTGAACACATCTATTGGAGGCAATTCACCTGGGGTGATATCTTCCAATGCACATGTAGCTGAAGCCATTGGCACGTTGTTGAGAGTGGATGCCATGGCGTCGATCTTCGAATAGTCTAGAACGGGTGGGATGGGCCTTCTGATTTGGTTGAGGGGTATGTAATCGACTTTTAATTGTGAAGATTGTAAAGACATTTTGTGTATGAGGATAGTGTTGATGATTCTTTGGCGAGGATTGAGCCGAATTTATATGGGTGCAAAATTATCTTACATGCGTGAGCTGTTTGTCATCGAAGGTCTCGACCTTTGCTATGACGGATAATGTCGCGGGTGATGGGCATTGAGATGATTAATCGTCGAAAACGGCGCGACATGTGACAGCAAGGTGTCGCATCTCATTAATAATAACGTGACTGCACGACATAGTTATTTGTCATACGTTAATCCGTCGCCGGGAACGGAGCAAACGGTTTTGCCACTCCTTGCTCTTCCTACTGAGGGTCAGGATGGCACTTCCGAAATACGTGAATGGCTCACTGCTGGGAATTCCCTACTTATATCCGCAAACTTAATTATATTACTCCGATTTCGGTAAAGGATCCCGAATCCCAAATTACAAAACTAACAGTATGCAGGTGGCTTAGTGTGGTTGCGACAGGGTCCTGGCGTAGTAGAGAGTAACCATTAGTAATATTGGGTAAGTGGCGGTATTAGCGTCACCACAGGGGCCATCTGTTAGCATGGCACTGTCATTTAATGTAGAATGTCACATGGCTAATACCCACTGTGGACGGAGCTCCTGATGCTGGCCACAGTTCTTTCCTGTATGCGCCTGATCCGAGCTTATCTTTTTGATCAAATATAAAAGTTGATTTCCCATTTACACCCCTCAGGTGGTTTCTGATCCCTTCTCACACAGCTCCATGTACCACCCCGCTGTGATATTGAGTGCGGTGTTGCTACCGCTATTTCTAGTGGCCATGGTTCCCACCAAAACTGGTCCTGTGCTTCGAAATGTTCGGATAGCACTCGGCATCGTATTGGCAGTGGCCCTCTATACAGCTGTGACCCCCGAGGTTGTCACCCTGGAGAGTGCTCCATTTCACAATTTCACCCTGGCCAAGATTGCCCTCTTGACTTGCAATCTGCTTGTGTCAGCGAACACCAACAGTTGCTGGTCCCAAGGTCTTCTCGGCCTTGATTTTTGCACTGATATAATGGCCATGGCCACAATTTCCCATTGCTACGAAGTGGGGCATCCCAATGAAATCCAGAGCTTTCTCCAGATGTGTGGCGAATACAACGTCACCCTCTCGCCACAAGAATTCGAAGAAGCCCATCAACTATACCTCGACCAGGCACAAGACTTCCAGGGGTGCGGTTCCAGCAGTCCAGTCAAGTTGAACGATTCAGAGATCGTATTGTACCGCGCAGGATATGACCAATTTTTAGGCAACTACGACAGATCTATTGAGTATGGACTCTGGCTCAACTGGTATTGGATTGTTGTGTGTGGCATAGCTTCTTTCGCTACTTTGACCACCAAAATCAGATCCAAATTCAATGCTTCCAAAGCTCCCAATCTCGGGTCCTCGTTGTCGGTTGTACAGAAAGGAGAGGATATTGTCCCAAATTTATCTGGCATACGAAACGTCTGGATCACACTAAAGAGACTTGTGATTCTTCCAGCATTATTCAATTCAAACAAGACACACTCATTTGAGCATTTTCTCGTGCCCACCCGGTTGGAAACAGTCATTCTTACTGTGTTCTTTGCATTCACTCTGGTGCTCGTCTTCTATGACATCCGCTACGTTCCTGGTGACCCAGTCTTCAGCTCTGCATACGTGGCATACCTAAGGTACTTCGCTGTTCGTACATCCATTCTCAGCAGCTCGATTACGCCATTATTGATCCTCTTTGGTGGCCGTAATAACTTTCTCCAATGGCTCACTCGCTGGGACTACTCCACGTACATCACTTTCCACAGATGGATTTCAAGAATAGTGATGATATTGATCGGAGTGCATGGTGCATGTTATTCATTCTATATCGTGCACTACAAGCTCAATTTCAGTGAGCCCTACGTGGTCTGGGGAATTTTCTCTGGTATTGGTGGAGGGGTAATCTTGATCCAAGGTTTGTTGGTTTTAAGAAGGAATAACTATGAAGTCTTCCTCGTGCTTCATATTGCATTGGCTGCCTTGTTTCTTTTTGGGGCTTGGTTCCATGTATACTCGCTCCGCTGCTTAGGATACTATTATGTGTCTGTGGGAATCTGGTTAATAGACAGATTGGTGAGAATTGCACGGTTGTGGGACTTTGGATTTCCCGTAGCCAATGTTCTGGTCATAGATGATACCGTCGTTGTTGCCATACCCAAACCAGATTATTGGCACACAATTCCCGGAGGGCATGTATTTGTCCACTTTCTTCGTCCCTCGTGTTTCTGGCAGTCCCATCCATTCACATATGTAGTCAGACCAAAGGAAATTGTGCTTTTCATTAAAGCAAAAGCTGGTGTGACTTCGACCTTGCATAAATCACAGAAGGTTCGGGTTTCTATAGAAGGGAGTTATGGAGAACAAACTCCAGCAGACCAGTATGCCAGTGCTGTTTTCATTGCTGGGGGCAATGGTATACCAGGCATTTATGCCGAAGCAGTGAAACTTAAAGGTGGAAAAACTGAAGTGACATTGATTTGGGTAATAAGAGATTATGTCTCCATTGAATGGTTTAAAGAGGAGCTAACAGGATTAAAGGACAGTGGAATCAGGGTAATAATTTACATCACATCATGGACGCCCCTGTCATTGGCCCAAATTGATCCCACAAGCTCTTCGTCCCATGCATCTACCCCGCCAGTTCATACACCAAACTTAACTTCAAAGTCATATACCAGCCAAGAAGGCGAATTCGAATCAGGAATTCTCAACCCGGAGGTTGCGATGGACGATATCGTTACCCTGAAGAATGGTTCTGATGGTACAGACCTCGAACATCTACTAACATCTAAACTTCTGCAGTATGGCTCGATGCAACCATCTCATGATCTTTCACATATCTTTTTTAAAAGCGGAAGACCAAGTATGAACGAAATTGTTGAAGAAAGCATAGCTGAGTCTTCAGGCTCTACTTGTTTTGTGACTTGTGGACATCCAGTAATGGTTGATGCATTAAGAACTGCAGTTGTGGACAATTTAAATAACAAAGAAGGTAAGAGCATCGACTATTTCGAGCAGCTACAAGTGTGGGCATAGGAAAGGAAATCTGCTGGCCCAGTTTGGGGGCCGGTTAAAGTAGACACCGAAATGGCGGAACACATAGACTATGATACGTTACTTAATTTAATGAGTATTCTGGAAATAATTCTTGTTTGGTGATTGTAAAACTTAGACCAATAACAGACTCGCTAGACTGTATGGTTTACTTGACTCGTTAAAAATGATTTGTAAATTATTCGTACGTATATATTAGTCTATAAAAAATTCCATAACAATCGTGATATAAATTCATCAAAACAAATCTGTGAATCTTTCATGGGAGGTTTAAACTTGCTCATCATTAGCCTTAGCCTCAGAAGCAAAACCAGTAGAGTGTGCCATTTCTTCAGGGCTTGGTGGAACCCAAGAGCTAGACTTCCATGGCAAGATCTTTTGAGCATACAACTCATCGACTTCCTCCAAACTTAAACCCTTAGTTTCGTTAACGAAGAAGTAAACGTAGAAGAAGGAGAAAAGCAAACAGCCGGTAAACACAAAACCGTAGTAGAAATGAATAGCGGAGGTGATAAATGGAGTGAAGAAAGAAATCAAGAAACCCCAGATCCAGTTGGCAGCAGTGGCAGTGGCCATGGCCTTGGAACGGATTCTCAATGGGTAGGATTCGGAAACAATGGCGAAAACACCACCGGCCCAGGTAGATGCAAAGAAGAAAATGTAAAGACAGGTGACGAAAATCATAGCATTACCAGATGGCTTGTAAGTGTTGTCATTGTTGTATTCGCCATCCTTGTACAAGTGAACGGAACCAATGATGGAGTAAATGATGAAACACACAAACATGGCAGCGGAACCGGTCAAAAGACATTGTCTTCTACCAAATCTTTCAATGGCCCAGATACCCACAAAGGTAGAAGCGAAGTTAACAATACCCAAAATGATGGAGGTTTGGAAAGAATCCTTCAAGCCAACAGCTTGGAAAATGGTGGTACCATAGTAGAAGAAGTAGTTGTCACCAGTCAATTGTTGTAAGGATTGCAACATAATACCCATGATGACTCTTCTGAAAATGGCTGGTCTACCAGTGATCAATTCACCCCAGGAAGCGGAGCCAGCAAGAGCTTCACGGTCAATACCAGCTTGGATCAATTGCACTTCGGTGTAGACAGATGGGTCTTCGACTGGAACCTTGTTGGATCTAGCAATGGACTTCTTAGCATCTTCAATTCTGTGCTTTTCAACCAAGTAACGTGGGGACTCAGGCATACAGAGCATACCAACAACCAAGAAGATAGCCCAAAGGAAACACAATCCCAATGGAATTCTCCATTGTCTGGAACCACTCAACTTCTTGGTTCCGTAGGTGACACAGTAACCGATGAAAATACCAAAGGTGATACACAATTGGAAACAGTAGACCAAAGTACCTCTCAACGACTTTGGAGAGGATTCACTGATGAACATAGGAGCCAAAACAGTGACAGTACCGACACTCAATCCGGTGATAGCACGGCCAACACAGTACTGGTACCACTTGTCAGTGGAAGAAATTTGTACCACAATACCGACAACGTAGACCAACATGGAGAACATCAAACCCCATCTTCTTCCGTAGATGTCAGCAATCTTGGACAAGAAAATACCACCAACAGCACAACCAATGTTGAAAATGGAAACCAACAAACCAACTCTAACGTTAGACAAGTAGAAGGTTCCATCAGCGTGAGTTTGTCCGAATCTTTCCAAGAAATCAGACATGTTAACGAAACCAGAAATAGTACCGGTATCGAAACCAAAAACGAAACCACCAAAGGCAACTAACAAACAGAAGAAACAGGTGGAAAGGTAGTTTCTAACCGATTTTTCCGACAAGGATGGGGCAAGATCAGTAGGAGTGTTGGATTGATCCAACTTTTCTTCCTTCTCCATGATGGAGGAGGCGACAGGTGTCTGAACACCAGATGCAGCTTCAGAGTGTGACATTATTCGATGATGAACAGGAACTGGAGGAGAAAGTGGGTGGGTATTTATACTGCAAAACCCGGAAAAATTCGACGAGGGCACACAGAAAATAAGCAGAATTTGTTATGTTTGTGTTATGCGCCCTGCAATTTTCTCACCAGTAGCCCCCGCATGATCGTTAGTTACGCCCACAAAGTCTCCAGTTTCTCCGAGCATGCCCCACGGGAACAGCTAACGCTCCATGGGGGGGCATGTTGCATTGGCCGTCGGGTGACAATGGTTTCCCCAGAAATAGCCCGCTGTGATGTTCCATCTTTGTCCTGGTCTTTGTCCGTCTGAATTGCACAGTTGTGGTACCACCTGGGTGTTACGCTTGGAGGGTGCTTTGGTGTAACTTGTTCCGCAACGTAGCATAAGCATCAAGTATGACCCGTTGGGGTGATCAGTTCTTGCGGGGCCAAGATTTGCCATGCTTGTCCGGAAAAATCTTCATGGACGAGGTTGGGCCATGCGTCGATCATGCGGTCACAAAACCAGATTTTCCGGGTCAAATTAGTCAACCTAATACAAAGTAGCCAGTATCTCGGAATTATGGTTGTAGACAGGGAGACCAACCGTTCAAGGATAGATCTCATTGCCGCAAGCCCAGATGCCTTCCGCCTCAGTCCAAAGGTCCGAGATGAGCCCATTTCTACATCGAAGCTCAAAACATCCCCCACGCAGGTATTCACACACCTGCCGGATGTTCCTATTCCCTGAAAAAACCGGGTCAATCCACAAAAAGTAATTCCGACGAGGTTTAATCCCGCATGGGGCCATGCAGAGTTTTTCCTGACTGTTAACGTCGGATGATCCTGTCACACGGTGCCCCAAACGTGCCCCTCCTTCAGGCCCCGATTCCCCTGCTTTGACTTACAAGGGTATGGCACCATCCTCTATAGGTGGTACTTCTCGAAGACCTACTCTGCCAGGTGACATTGTTATGAGCCAATAAATCAGCTCAAGGGTTTCTGGTTGTGTGCGATGAGTCACTCTAGAGGTATTGCATATTAAGCAGGATATTTGGATTTTCCCAGAGAATTTGCCCAATGCTGGTCCAAATTACTGGCTGGGAAGTGTATAAAGCCATACAGCACACTGCAGGCATAAAGGTAATGCTACTAGTCATTTTTCTCTGGTGGATTTAATGTATACCAACCTCATTTCGGATTAATACCCATGCGGGTGTGGGACCCCGAAAAATGTAGCCCAATCCCTGTAACGGCTCAGGGATCATGTGAGGCAGCTGTGTTAATTCCTGGTGAGATGCTGGACACGTTACACGAGTAAAAATGTAGCAGAATCACAAAGGCAATTAATACAACTGCCCCACTCCTGTTCAAAATGCACCCCGGCATTAATATTAATAATCGTGGAGAGGATGGAACAGGATCCTTTTCAGTAAGGTCCGAGTATGGCCGAAGATCAGAAGTTTTTCAACTCCGTTCCGAAATTTCCGCTCATCGAACAATTTTAGCTAAAATTGAACCATTCTGAACAGGTATTCTCTCCACTATTATTCGACTTTTCGGGCTATTACTATTGTAGCAGATAGTTCATTATTATGAATGGTACACTGAGTACGTATTACATTTTCATTTTTCATTTATTTTATGAATACAAGTGGAACGTGTGGTGATTAGGCCCTGCTATTTCAGTGTCTGGCTGAAATAGTGCCATCTCAGACTTTGGCTACGTCATTGCATTATTGTTATTACGCGATAATAAAATATTAAACCACATGTATTTCCTAGCTACTCAGGAACTAAGAGCTGCAATACCCCACAAAATCGAACTATATGATCATAAGACTATTCCATGGATTATCTCCATTCAGAGTTGCCCATGGAGATCATACGATCTAATCGAAAATCTGAAACAGGAAATACACGGCACATGTATTTCTCTTCTAAGTTCATTGATGGGCATTTATCAGGCTCTTTCTATAAATAGAGTGGTAACTATTGAAGAATACTCTAAACTAGTGAAACTTTTTAATGATTTCCATCTGGAACACCAAATGGATTCAAAACCCTGTTCTCAATCACATGAAACACCAGGAAGTAGTTATCCAGTATCCTACTTTGCTTCCTGCTTCGCAGGTTCTTAAAGGCAAATTAGTTCAAGGTGATACAAAAGTTGTTTCTTGAGGAACCTGGATATAGTTCCTTCTTGCCAAACTTTCCATTTTTCTGGACGACTCCATTCCAGTCATAAAGCCAGTATGCCACCTTCTTGGCTTCGTAGTAGGCCGACCTTTCAAAGCCCAAATGCTTCATTATCTTATCAAGACTTTCCTCGTCAAAATACCGCGAGTTCTTGATACAGGGTAAGGGCAAAACAAAGAACAAGCTGCTAATACTCCCTTGCTTTGGTTTTTTGAGGAATTTGGTAATTCTATGCAACATCTCCCCTCTCTCCTTTGGCGAAGGAACGAAATTTACCACTAAAGAACATGAGACGAGATTGAACTTCTCGCTGTCGCCTTTTGGCAATGGTCTTTCCATAAAGTCCTGCTTTAAAATCAGGGGACTCTGTGAATTTAAGTCGATTCTAGTAACATTCTCAAAGATCCCACATGTGGATATGACATTCGAAGCACTCAAAGACCCAATTTCCAAGGCATTAAGTGGACCGTCGAGTTTGTCCAGATATGCTGGCTCTTTCAACCACTCTATTAACCTCTTCGACGAGTCACCTCCTCGTTTGCTATCCTGGCCCTGGGTGGAGGCAGATTGGTATGCATTAATACCTCCTCTTTTATCTATCTCTGCGTCAATCTTGGCCAATTCTATCACGAGGTCTCGTTGGGTAAGTTCTTCCAACCGGATTGGCTTGTCAGATTTGGCCAATTTGAATGAACTATAGGCTTGTTCGTATATACCTCTGGTTCGACTGTTCAAAACTTTACTTTTGTAATCTTCCAAGGAGGCCTCTGTATTTTCTAGTTTCGCCAACTTTGATATTATGGAAAATTTATTCTTTTGGAGCACATGGAACCTTCGTATGAGCTGTCGAGCTTTCTGTGGCTTCAATGACTTTGGCGTTGGAGCCTGTCCTGTTATGGTCTGGGGACGACGGAGAAGTCCTCGTTTCATTTTGTGGTATGCAATTGTGGGTGATGTCCTGAAAGGTGTGTATTTTCCTTCTGTCGGTGTGATACTTTGCCGATAGCCTAGTTTCTGTCAGTTGTGGTTGCTTCAAGTTCTTTTGCAGTTTGGTGTTCCAGTTGTAGTCTGAGTGCTTCCAGGCTGTTGGTAGTTTAGTCGCTTCTTCTGGACAAACTCCCCGGTTGTATTTTTCTTCTGGTAAAAAAGCAAAATTTGAAGCTCGACACTGTCTACAATTGAATAAATGTGCCAGTACGTTCTTTCGTTGAGCCTTTCTTACCTCTAATTCGAGATAAGACTCCAATTGCAAGATTTCGCTGGTTTGAATTCTCAAAACTTTTCGCTGCTTGATTCCTCCTGAAACTTTTCCCACGGCTCTAAAATAGTCCTATTGTGGATAGTTCGTAATTGCACACTGATGCTTCAAAAGCCTTCCCTTAGGCCCGAATCCAGAAATTAGATGGCAGAGTATTTGGCACCTTGGAGATTTATTTGAGATGGAGATGGGCTGTATGCAGGACCCGATGGGTATCAAAAAAAAGCGATGCCTAGCTGCAACAAGAACAGTAACCTACGGTAAAATGGCTCCAAAACCTGCAAATAAGAATGCCAGTGGCACCAAGAATAAATCGAAGGGCTCTAAATCCAAAAAGGGTGGAAAGAATGTCCAAAAGGAACGTAAAGCCCCTACTTTAAAGCAAAAATTGGCCAAGCAGTCCAAGATCGTGAAAGTTGGTGATTTGACATGGAAGCCTGTCGAAATCCCCGACAACCTCGGAGACTACCTGGGATTCATGGGTTTAGAAGAGTTGGAAGGTGTCGATGTGCAGGTTGTGGACGGAAAGCCTCAGTTTGTTCAGATAGAAGACACTAAGAAAGCATCTGCTAAGGGACAGGACAAGAAGGCAAAGAAAGCTGAAGTACCTGCAGAAACTAAGTCCGAGGAGGAGGAGAAGGACGATTCAGAGATGGAGGAAGAGTTTACTGGCTTTGACGACGAATCTGCTGTGGAAGAAGACTCTATCGAAGAGGACGAGAAAGATGAGAAGGACGAATTGGAAAATAGTTCGTTTCCATTGGACTTGCCTTTGCCTGACGATAACGAAATAAACTTGCCCTTCTGGCAAGATGAGAAGGCCCAACTTTCATTGAATGCATACACTTTGGCAGGTTTGAACGCCATGAAGTTCACCAAGCCTACTCCAATTCAGAAGAGAACCATTCCCTTGGCCATTGAAGGAAAGGATATTATAGGTAAGGCCACCACTGGTTCTGGTAAGACCTTGGCATACGGTATCCCCATTTTGGAAAAGTACATGAGCAAACTTGCTCTTATCAAGGAAAACCGTCAAGCTAAAATCGTCACTCCCCCCACTGGTATTATTTTTGCGCCTACCAGAGAATTGGCTCACCAAGTCGTTGACCATCTCAAAGAGATCTCCAAGTTCTCCCCCTTACACTACAACGGTATTGTCAGTATTACTGGTGGTTTATCCATTCAGAAGCAAGAAAGATTACTCAGTCATGGTCCTGGAATTTTGGTGGCTACTCCTGGTCGTTTCTTGGAGTTGATCGAGAAAAGCGAAGAGTTGGCTATCAGGTTAGCTAACACCGATATGATTGTTTTGGATGAAGCAGACAGATTGTTGCAAGATGGCCACTTTGAAGAGTTCGAAAAGATCTTGGAATTATTCTCCAAGAGCAGAAAGAAGTCCTCCACTATTGAGTGGAAATGGCAAACATTGGTTTTCAGTGCAACCTTTTCTAGAGACTTGTTTGGCAAATTAGACAAGTTCCAAAAGAAGGGAAAGGCGACTGAAGGTACTTTGATCGACAATGACGAAATTCTTCAATTATTGAATGCCAAATTAAAGTTCAAGGATCCCAAGCCAGCCTTGATCGATGCAAACCCCAAAGAAATTGTTTCTGGACAAATCACTGAGGCGTTGGTGGAGTGTGGTCCAACTGAAAGAGACTTATACTTGTACTACTTCTTATTGATGTACAAGGGCACTACGTTAGTGTTTGCCAACTCCATCGATTCTGTTAAAAGATTGGTACCATTTTTGACCCTGCTTAATATTCCAGCCTTTGCATTGCATTCTGCCATGATTCAAAAACAAAGATTGAGATCTTTGGAAAGATTCAAAGAGGCCAGTGAGAGAGATGAAGTCGCTGTGCTTATTGCATCCGATGTTGCAGCCAGAGGTTTGGATATTCCCAACATCGACCATGTTGTTCATTACCATCTTCCAAAAGCTGCTGATGTGTATATCCATAGATCTGGTAGAACTGCAAGAGCTGGAAACGAGGGTGTTTCTGTGATGTTCTGTTCTCCACAAGAAGCCTCTGGTCCTTTAAAGAAATTGAGAAGACTCGTGGCTACCAGTTCCAAAAATACTAGACTCAATATCCACAGTGACGTGAAGCTCTTGCCCCTTGAGATGGATTTGGTGACTCAGGTCAAGCCAAGAGTCGCTCTCTCTGCTCAGTTGGCAGATGCCACCATTTCTTCCATTGCTACCAGAAAGGAAAAAACTTGGGTCGAGCAGGCAGCTGAGGAATTGGGAGTGGATCATGGCTCTGATCTCGAAGACTTCGAGGACGACATTCTTAAAAAGCAAAGGAAGAGGAAGGAGAGTAAGGCTTTGACCAAAGACGCCCAGAAAAGATTGAGAGCTGAACTTAGAAACTTGATGAGCGTTCCTTTGAGAAAGAACTTGAGAAGATCATACTTGACAAGTGGCTTGCAAAACTTGGCCCATCAAATGGTCACTGGAAACACTCACAAGGATGTCTTGGGACACGAAATCACCAATGCTTTGGACGATTTGAAGACTAGTGGCTCCAAGAGAGCGAAGAAGGGTGGCAAGAAGTAAATACTCTAAATTATCGAGGAAGCTGAAGAACCTTCACTTCAAAAGCAGCTTAAAATTATGCTGAGTGCACTAAGGATACCTGAGGTGGTCATTTAAATGCCCCAAGTCGTTCTACTCGATTGCTAGTCGAGCAAGCCTTTGTACCCTTCATAGAATCATAGACGAATCAATAAAACTAGTTACGATATTTGTTAAGCGAAAACATCGGTAAGTCATCCTTTCCAACGGTAATTTGACTACCAGTATAGTTCAGTAATTAAATCTACTGTATAGAAACATCATACATACATGAACTAGCAAGCTTAACTCAATACTCTAGAAACATTCCTAACTCAAAACATGAACTAGCAAAATAACATAAGATATTGCAGTCAAGCAGGTATAGAATGAATTTTTAAGTACAGGAACGTTGGTTTACAATCCCTCAATAATTATGATTGCTGAATTCGGATACTAATGGTTGAAGTCGCTTTTCATAGCATTTTGATTGCTATATCCGTCTTCCAATTTGAGAGAGAACCAATTTGAGAGAGAAATCAAAACTAAATTGCCTACTATTAAATTGGTTAAAAGACAATTCTGGAATACAATTAATACAAAGAATAATTGAAGTTAATAAATTTCTTGTTCCTCCACCTTTGCCGTTCCACAATTTACATCCCTAGCTTCATGCTCAATTAAATTGCAAATTTATTGATGCAGAATTCAAACACTGCGAACTAACATACAGCCTACTAATATAGAACCAAGAAAAATTTTGAAAGGAACAGTCTAGGAGTCCGAGAATCATGGCTAATTACGCCATAACCTCATCTATAAGCTCCGATCCTCTAGACGCACCGGTAACTCGTCTAAATGAAATCTTCATCATCATCATAATACTCGTCATCATCAGATTCATCAGCCAATTGTTCGAAATTGACCTTGTATCTCAACATGGCACCAACACCACCGAAACCTTGGACGAATTGAGCACCTTCAGATGATCTGTCAGTAACGAATTCCAAGTTAGCACCGAAGCTCTTGTAGTTTTCGGCTAACCATTCCAAGAATGGCTCTTCCTTGACAATTTCCATTTCAGTACCGGTCTTTTTGTCCAATTGCCATGACTTGTCTTCTCCGTCTGGGTTGGCGTGGGCCACGACTTCGGCCCCTTCGATGTCCTTCATGGTGTATCTGACGATAGCCAAGTTTTCGTACACAATCAAGATTTCACAGGCACCAAGGTCCAATGCCTTCAAGGTGTCTTCGATACCGTAACAGAACTTACCAGTGTCTTGAGAGATTTCGTCGAAGTATTGGTTCAACAACTTCTTTTCCTGGACAAACTTGACGTTGGCCAAAGTCTCGGCAGACAACTCGATGGCCTGGTTGAAACCGTTCTCACCACCGTAGGAGATATCGACGATCTTGATGACTTTTTGTTGTAATCTCAAGTCGAAAAGGTCGGACTTGGACAATTCAGTCTTGAAATCGGCAGAACCAGCCAAAATCAAACCCTTACAGTTACACTTGTCGTTGGTGATGAAGTTTTGGACCGCCACTTCTGCGACCTTTCTGACGTAGTTGTGTCTCTTTTCTTCTCTCAATCTGGAGAAACGCATGGCGGACTGACCACCTCTTCCGTGCTTCTTGGGCAAGTCCACCGTGAACTTATGCAAGATTTCTCTGGTGTTTCCCGACACAGCACCGAACAAGGCACCATTACCGTCCATGATGATGAATCCGAATCTGTCGTCGTTTTCCAACAATTCGCTCAATGCTTCCACGTGGAACTTGTTGTCACACAAGTACAAAGAGGTGTTGATGGGCTTGAATGGCTCGAAATCGATGTTCAACTTCTTTTCCTTACCTTCGTCAGTCAACACTTCACCACAGTAGATCACCAAACCATTCTTGGGCACCGAGTTGTACAACTTCAATTTCTGTTGGGTCGAGGTGATGGCTGACAACACAGACAATCTGTTGACACGCGATTTAATGTTGGAAGCAGTACCGTATTCATCAGTCAACATCTTTTGCTGGATGGAAATCTGGCCCTTTGGTGGGATAATCAAGGAGATCATGGAGGTTCCGTTACCACGGGCGGCCTCCAAGGACTTGATCAATTTCTTGACCTTCCAGATCTCGATATTCTTCTCTGCATCGGTTTCTTGAGCTGACATTGTTGGATAGTCAAGGAGGACAGAAGTGAAAATTTTGATTCAGGCAATGAGAGGGTCACGTGTTTGGATATCACGTGACATGATTGTTGAGGCACGGCGAAAGCACGACTCGGATGATAATCGGCTGGGGGCGGTAAGGATGTTGCCAGCTCTGGCGTCACTCAGAATCACAACAGGCTTGGAAGAGTGATATAATTGTTGGTATAAATTGTAATAAAACACCTATAGTCACATGCCAAAATTGTTGATCAAAATGTAATCAAATACCTAGAGTTCAAATACCATAGGGCAAAATGAAACGGCACTCAATCCAGCATTACAGAGCAGCAGCTTAGCAGGGAATAAATAATGCTAATGCGCATACTAATGGCAGGAGTACTCAACACATATTAATGGAGTATATCATTACTAGTCTCATTAGAGTTATTACATTTCCGCAGGGAATAATCACAAAATGGTAATTCCGCGAAATGCACGAACTACTAGACTAATGTAGCTACCATTCCCATTTATTAATGAAAGAATACGACTTAACACGTTTGATTCGTCGTTAATTAATTTATCTCATTCGAGTCATTACATTCAGCAGGGGATAAACAGAAGTGGAAATTAACGCACGAACATGGGCGGTTGTTTCCACCATACTCTGGATCCCTTGCTGCTCTGCCCCCCTTATCAACTAGAAATATGTGTCACGTGCCTCTAGCCACGTGCCCAACGATCGGATTTCACGGATGGAAAACATTCCTCCCTAACCCATCTGCTTCATCATGGCTGATACATCCCAAGCAAGGTCCACGGGCCTCGACAACGTCGCCAGGGAGCCAGAAGTGTCTGAGCAATCCAACAACGTTTTCGAAGACGAGAATCAGGCCTACGATTCCGACTCCTCCTACGATGAGCCTGAGGAGAGACCCAAAGAAAAGTCAAGAAAGCCCGGAAACAGCGCCTTCAGACAGCAGCGGATGAAGGCATATAACCCTGTGTTCACTGCCAAAACTGTGATCCCACTTTTGATAGGAATTGCTATTGTTTTTATCCCGTTGGGAGCAGCCATGTGGTACGCCTCCCACCAAGTCCAGGACATCGCTATTGACTACTCACAGTGCGAGCTCCAGGCGTCTCGAGACCACTGGTCAGAGATCCCAGAACAATACACCTCCTACAACTACCGTGGGCAGCCTGTGCTTGCGAACAAGGCGCAATGGAGACTTGACACCGATGAATCCCAGCCTTTTGAAGACGAAAGAAACGTGTGTAGAATCCAGTTCGAAGTGCCACACGATATCAAGGCTCCGCTCTACTTCTTCTACCGTTTGGAGGAGTTCTACGCCAACCATCGTCGTTTTGTCAAGTCGTTCAACGAGGACCAGCTCAACGGAAAAGCAGCATCGACTGACACCATCAAGAACACGGTAGGTGGCAACTGCCAGCCTTTGTCGATTAACGACGAGGGCAAGAAGTACTATCCATGTGGGTTGATTGCAAACAGTTTGTTCAACGACACTTATTCCACCACGTTGCAGGCGGTCAACGGCACCTCCGACGACTACGAGATGACCGACAAGGGTATTGCCTGGTCCTCGGACAAGAACAGGTTTAAAAAGACCTCCTACGACTACACAGAAATTACGCCTCCCCCCAACTGGTACAAGAGGTTTCCCGATGGCTACAACGCTACCAACGTGCCAGACATCTCGAGCTGGGAACAGTTCCAGAACTGGATGCACACCTCAGGCTTGCCTACCTTCAACAAGATGGCACTCAGAAACGACAACGATGTATTGCGTGCGGGAATCTACGAGATCACCATTGGGCTCCATTTTCCTGTTCTTCCATTCAAGGGACACAAGTACGTGTATATCTCGCAGAGATCGGTTCTTGGAGGAAAGAACGACTTCTTGGGCATCAGCTGGATGGCTGGAGGCGGTGCGTGCTTCCTTCTTGGGCTCTCGTTGTTGGTGATCAACTTCATCAAGCCCAGAAAAACAGGAGACGTCAACTTGTTGAGTTGGAACAGGGAAAAGGCTGCCAGAGACGAGCAACAAGCGGCCATTGCAGGCACTGGAGGAATTGATCTCCCTGAAAAGAACTAGGCGTGGTTAGCATAGATTGCGTCGATTATCCATATGGCGATGGTCGGCATGTTTCGTATATTTAATTCCATGGTTGAAAAATGGCATCTGTAGGACGTGGAACGGATCAGGGTGTGTTGGGTCCGAGACCCGACACCGAGCCGAAACCCGACACCGAGCGTCGGCTCGGAGCTTCGGGTTGGGCCGAGCCGTGCTTAGTGACCAGGCTTAGACCAAATAAACAGTAACGGTTATAATATGCATAATACGCACATCATATGCACCTCAGGCGCATAGCCGCGATGACATCTCGTCACCCTGATGGCAGTGGAAGTCAGCGTATGGGCCTCCCGCTGGTTCTCCAACCACTCGGGAGTGTGCGTATGTCGTCTGCTACACAGGAATTGAGCAGACAGTGTCAATCCCCCGCGATTCCAGCGCTGGTGGCTCCAAAACACCGCTGGTTCCTCCGACGAAACTGTCCTCCGGAGGCTGCAACGGCGCCACAGCCTCCACCAGGCGTCAGACTAAAGCTGCAGGTCCCCGACGGATGCGATGGCATCCCGGAGCCTACCGTGTCTCCATGGGCTTATTAATCTAAACCTGCCAGGTGCGAAAGTTCTGTGGAATTCGATGGCATTTTGAGCTTATTAATTTAACTCCGCATCCTGCAGCAACCGGGCACGAGTATTGCCCAACATTGTGGGGGCAAGCTATATAAAACCAGCAATTGTCGCCTGTAAATCAATTAAAACATCAATTTTCACAAACATGTCTGTTCCAACCACCATCAACGCTGTCCTCCTTAAGAACGCTCCAACTGGAGAAGTTCAATTCGACTATTCTGCCAAGGATGCCACCTTTGAGTTGTCTTCCAAGCCTTTCTCCGAGTCTGACTTGAAGGACGGCTTCGTGCTTGTCAAGAACCTCTACTTCTCCAACGACCCTGCCCAAAGAGGCTGGATTGCTGCTGGCCAAGATGCTTCCAGAGGTTACGCCGATCCTGTTAAAGAGGGTGATGCTATCAGATCTTCCGGTTTCGGAGAGATTGTTGCTTCCAAGTCCTCCAAGTACTCTGTTGGAGACAAGGTTCTTGCTCTCTTGACCTGGAGTGACTACCAGCCATTGCACGAGGCTGCCGTCTTCCAAAAGGTCGACGAGTCCGAGGGTGTCACTGCCCCAGTGTACCTTTCTGCTTTGGGTTACACTGCCTTCACTGCCTACTTCGGTTTGAAGGACATCCTTCAATTGAAGGAAGGCCAAACCATTGTCGTCTCCGCTGCTGCTGGTGCCACCGGCTCCATGGTTGTCCAACTCGCCAAGCACGTGTTCAAGGCCGGTAAGGTCATTGGTCTTGCTGGTTCCGACGAAAAGAGCAGATGGATCGAGAGTCTCGGTGCCGATGTTGGTATCAACTACAACGATGCCGACTACAAGGAACAGCTTGACAAGGCCATTGGCCCAGACTGCACTGACGCCTACTTTGACAACGTCGGAGGTGACATGTTGAGTTTCTTGTTGACCAAGGTCAAGAAGTTCGGCCGTGTTGCTGCCTGTGGTGCCATTGCTGGTTACAACGACAAGTCCAAGCTTAATGTTACTACCTGGACTCAGATCATCACCAACTCCTTGACTGTGCAAGGTTTCGTTATCTTCAACTACGTCCAACGTTTCCCAGAAGCCATTGAGGTGATACTCGGAGGTATCTCCAAGGGTACTATCAAGGTCGAAAACACCTACCACATTGAAGACCTCTCCAAGGAGGAAAAGCCTTTGGCCAAGGTTCCAGAGGTCTGGAGTCTCTTGTTCGGTTCCAACAAGCCAAACGGTAAGTTGATCACCAAGATCGCTTAAGTTACGATTACGAAGAAAAATGAAGATTTATATTAATTGATACTTTACAGATAATGCGTAGGCTGCATGCAGCATAGACTATGATCAGGTGTAGATTAACTGGTTATTTGCATATTAACAGGACTTGAAACACATTGGACTATTCGGACTTGAGACACGATGAATTAGCCCGGTCATTGCTAATTTGCTTCAGGAGACATGAATAGATATTGAATACTTACAATGTACAATGATAGTGGAGTATTCAGGAAGCACGACGTTATAGATTCTGAGCATCCATATTGGCAATTTGTGGGCCAATGCAAAGGCCATGTACTTGAAATAGTGGATCATCAACCATGACCCTATCTCTTTCCTGTTAATCGAAAGCAGCTCTGTATTCGAGTAGATATATAAAATGAACGCTGCATGAATCAAGCCCTCAGCGAAACCCAAAGATGAGAATTAACTGAATAATGCCCTTTTTCAGGACGTTCCCCCAAACTACTTAGCTAACACCATACTACTGAAAGGTGAGTACTTGCCGCAGTTTTGGAGCACCTTGACAATTCTTCTTGCCTAGACCCGTCTGCATAGATGAAATGCGAAAACTTCTACTGATCGGTAATTTTCATTAGAAATGAGTGTGAAGATCTGAACTCCTTCTTTCACAAAAATCGGAGATCCCAACAAATTTCTTGAAATGCTCGTGACACAGAATAGCCATTTCGCCCCGTTCTCGTAGGCTCGGTATTCGGTTCGTCCAGAATGCCCAGGATGCCCAGAATGTACCCAGTAGTCCACAGTCGGCACCAGCATGACAAGTACCTGCGACTACCCCGGTTTTTCACTCCTCGGCATGCGCCTCGATTTGTGCGTTTTCAACTCTGAGGATTTGGTCTTCCATCCAAAATAACACAACAACCAGGCACCTTCACAAAACGAAACATCACATGTATGATAACACTGGCTAGATAAGCATATCAACCGATTCCTGAATCTCTAGCGCCCCTGGTGCGCCCCCACGAGCCCGATATAGCCGTACCCCTCGTTCGGAACTCGGCCCATCGTGCATTTCGCAACCATCTTCCCCACGCTTCCCGCGGACATATATAGGCACGCGGGTGTCACCAGTGCCCCTCAAAAACCAGTTTTTTTCACCATGCCATCGGAATCCACCTGCTTCATCTTAAACGAACCTCCCCACAGAGACGTCAACTTCGACTTGAAGGACGACAAGTCCACCTTCAAGCTCGTCAAGCGCAGCTTGAGACCACTCAAGGAGGGCGAGATTCTCATCAAGACCTTGTACCTTTCCAACGACCCCACCCAGAGAGCGTGGATCCAAAAGGGCCTCAATGCCGACAGAATGTACACTGCACCTGTGCTCAAGGGCGACATCATGCGTTCCACTGGTTTGGGCGAGGTGGTAGAGTCTAGACACTCCAAATACAGGCCAGGTGAAGTCGTCAGCTGTGACCTCAAGTGGGCCGACTACAGCATCATCAAGCAGGCCAACATCTTCAACAAGGTCGAGAATACTAAGGTGCCCCTCACCTGGTACCTCGACGTGTTGGGAATGACTGGGTTGACTGCGTACTTTGGGCTCTTGGACGTGGCCAAGCTCAAGGCCACCGACACCATCGTGATTTCTGCTGCTTCTGGGGCCACTGGCTCCATGTGTGTGCAGATTGCCAAGAAGGTCATTGGGTGCAAGAGAGTCATCGGAATTTCTGGAGGTGCTGACAAGTGTAGGTACGTGGAGTCCATCGGAGCCGATGTTTGTGTGGACTACAAGGACCCAAAGTTCTACTCCAACCTCAAAAAGGCACTTGGAGAAGAGAAGTACGCTGACGTGTTCTTTGACGGTGTTGGAGGCCAGATCTTGGACGCCATGTTGACTTTGGTCAAGCCATTTGGAAAGATCATTGCCTGTGGTGCTATTGCTGGCTACAACAACATCAAGGGCTCTTCTATCGTGGGATGGCCCCAGATCGTGGTGATGAGATTGCAGGTGTTGGGTTTCATCATCCTCGACTACCAGAACCAGTACGAGCTGGCCATCAAGGACATTGTCAGATGGATTGGTGAGGGCAAGATCAAGGTGGACAAGGACTCCTTCTCTTTGGTGGATTTGAGCAACAACTTCGAGAAGATCCCTGAGACTTGGGGCATGTTGTTCTCTTCCCAGAAGGGTCCAGGAAAGTTGTTGACCAAGTTGTAGAGAGTTTGGAAAATCGGTTCTTTATTCAAATAATATAAAAATTTAAAGCGTTAATTATCGTTACTAAGTAGGTAATCCTGGATTTATTATGGATCGTATTCCTTTTCGAATTATTCGGTGTCCATCCTGGCATGTTGCATCGGCGGTCTTGGCTCGAATTGTCTGGAAGAACAATGGCGATGAGAGGTTTTGAAATCTGATAACAAGCCAAGGACGGTAGGGTCAATTTACAGTATTCAATATGGATCTCATTTACCATTTGACTACCCAACCCAACCCAGTTATTACTCCACTAAAAAATATATCCATGTAATCAATGTAATATACAATATCGCTATATATTTATGAGGCCCTACAGTGCTTAGCATAGTATACAGACCCTCTGGTGTGGTCTGTATCCCACGGCAGACTAATCCCACCATTTCATTACAACGACTATGTACTACACATTAGGCCTGTTTTCCATAATTTCTACAATTTTAGAATAAAACAAAGCCAACGCCAAATTACTCTGAAGCACGCCAATACTCTCCCATCACTACATATCCCTTCATTTCTCTTCCCTTCCTCTCCCTCCTCATACTTCCCCTCGCTTCATTTCTCGCTCGCGGGACCGTTACACGGCTGGCTACACCTTCTACCACGATTCTTAACGACACTTCCCCTCCGTAACTGACCTCCCTAAAACCCTCTATCTCACTCTTTCAGCGTAGCCCCTTCTCTCCCCTCTCCCCCCCTCCATTCTTCTATCTCTCTCCAATCTCTTATTCCTCCCCATTCACATTCTCATTCTCGTTCTCACCATCTCACCCATGGCGTTTACCGCGTCGCACTGTTTACCATCCTCTTCTCCATACTGCTACCACCACCACTGCCTCCAGCACCTTCGCCCTCCGTCCTTCCTTTACTGTCGTCTCGTGGCACACCCCATCCCGTCCACTGCCCCACTAACTGTCCCACTAACTCGTCTACCGTCTTCACATAGCTTGCCATGGACAATCAACAATGAGTACAAACAGAGACCTATCACTCCTGTCCAACCATGCTGGTGCCAGAGAACAGGGAGCCCTGTTGCCGGCACAGGCAGCATCCCTTCCCCGTTCAAGTCTCCTGGAAAAGGCTAGGCTTCGAGACATCGCACTTCGTAAGTACCAAGAGGCTGCTGATGGCGACGGTTCCAGCTACACCCAAGATTTCGCCGTGGGCAACTCCCAGGAGTTGGACTTGTCTTTCCTGCGATTCTCCCAGGCCTCAGGGTCACTCATCGTACGAAGCAGCGGCTCCAGAGGCTCAGAGTCGCCGTTTTTGCGCAAAGTGCAAGACTCCTACGTGGAGTACTCCCCCAGCTCCAGGTCCGTGGAGGCGTCTATCAGGCAGGCACAAGGCTCGAAGTCCCCCAGCAAACCTCTGACCAGCTCCCAGCACCAGCTGAAAGCCAGTGCTGAAGGCTCCATGCCCAAAAAATCACCCTTCTCAAATATCTACTCCATCTCAGAAAACTCCATTAACGACGAAAACGAATCCCCATTTATAGAAAAGTCCCGCCCGGACAACCAGATCAAAGTGCACAAACTACGGAGCACCAACGAGCTAACAAAACCTACTAAGTCCTCCACCAGCAACCGAACTGGATTCTCAGCTCCTCGCCCAATTACCCACAGCAACGCAACCCCAGACAGGAACAGGCACAACAGAAACCCCTCAGTCAAAGTCTCCCTCACGCCCGCTCAGAGGTTCGAAAAGAGACCTGGGACCAGGCTGTCCAATGCCTTGGAAAACTTCCAATTCTCGACCTTGATTGGCAGGGGCGCATACGCTTGTGTCTACAAGGGAATCAACTTAAAAACAAGTCAGATTGTTGCTATCAAGCAAATTATTTTGGAGAAAGATCAAGATGTTATGGAGTTGATGGGAGAAATAGATTTGTTAAAAATCTTAAAGCATCCCAACATCGTCAAGTACCACGGATTTGTCAAAACATCCACTTCATTGAATGTTTTCTTAGAATTCTGCTCGGGTGGGTCTCTCAGACAAATATATAAAAAGCAGGGTAAGGGGTTTCCAGAGCATGAAGTGATAGATATAGTGAGACTGATCTTGCTAGGCTTAAATTATTTACATCAACAGGGTGTGGTCCACAGAGACGTCAAGGCCGCCAATGTATTGTTAACCGAAGAAGGTGATATTAAATTGGCAGATTTCGGGGTTGCTACCAAAGTAAACTCACAGCATCATACCGTGGTCGGAACACCAAACTGGATGGCTCCCGAAACCATACTTGGAGGTGAAGGTATCTGTACTGCCTCCGATATTTGGTCGCTAGGCGCCACAATTATCGAATTGTTTACAACAAACCCTCCGTACCATGATTTGAACCCAATGGCTACATTACATGCAATTGGGACTGACGAGCACCCTCCTTTGCCAAAAAATATGACATCCGTTGCAAAGGACTTCTTGTTAGAATGCTTTCAAAAACAGCCTAACTTGAGAATTTCAGCCAAATTATTATTGAAGCATAAATGGTTAAACCTGTCAACAACGAAAGCCAAACCTTCCATAATGAATTTGCAGCAGGCGAGAGATCTTAAATCAATAAACTCGTACTCCGAATCTAATGAAGAAAACTGGGACAATGATTTTAATGGTAATGAGGAAATCAAAATACTGAAGAAGCCAGAGGCGCCAAGTGTCATTCAATTGGAGGATTTGGAAGATTTGGAAGATTCTTTCAAGAAAACAACCACTGAAGCACCCCCAGTCAAGTATTCCAAGTCTGAACTTCTAACAAAGTTCAGTGACCAAAACGAAATGGAGTTCGACACAAACGACATCATTACTTTAAAGATGAAATCCAACGGCCACAACACAGACCAGGACCATGAGGATGAGTACGATCCTTTCTTCGATCTTGATATTGAAAACTTCGATACTAACGAGCTCGAGATTCAAATCAAGATGGAATATCTTATCAATAAATTTTCATCAAGACTCAACTTATGCTACAAAGGTGGAGATGAATTAGCAAAGTCGCTTATCAAGATTACGGGAAGAATGTTGCATTTGGTTAAGAAGTATCAGATTCTGCATTTAACCCTTATCAAGGACCATGGTATTCTTTCTTTATTGGAAGTCTTGGAGTATACCAAAGAATTCTCGAAGCATCAGAAATTGTGGTTTCATATCTTGTCAATTTTGAACCACTTATTCGAGCTCAATCAATCAATTTTTGAGAACTTTTGCTTATTAGGTGGCATTCCTTTGATTACACAGTTCAGAAGTCGTTCGTACGATTTGGCGATTAGACTTCAAGTGATTAAATTCATTACACATTTCAAGGTGTCAGAAAAGGCTTTGACAATGCTCATATCATGTGGTGGCCTTAGGGTCTTGACCAAGTTCGTGGAAGAGGATTTTGATTCGGTGCCAATATTTCCGTTGGTATCAATCGAGTGTATTCACATCATTCTATCGAAAGATTTGATCAGATCCAAGTCAGATTTGTGTCGAATCTTATCTAAGTACGGGGTTGTTAATTGGTTTGCGGTGCTACTTAATAAGTTGGTAAAGATAGGAAGAGAAGGAATCAACGAGATCAATCCTTCCACGGTGCAAGAAACGATCAATATGCTCATTGAGATCATTAGGTATTTTGGTCAATCAGAACCAAGGGTGAGGGCAAATATTTCCTCCAGCGACCTTTTCAAGTCCTTAATCCAAGTGTACGAGTATTTGTCATTTAGCCACCAACTAGTGATTATTAAGTTTCTAAAATCAATGTCTTGTTTATCAAATGTGCTCAAGTCATTATACTCTGCTGATATCTTGTCGTTTTTGGCATCTCAGATCAAAAACTGTGCCCCTTCCACTGCTCATTACAAGGAATTTATGAATATTGTGTGCCCGGTACTCTACAATTGTTGCTACTTAAATCATTCTAAGGAAATCGAGATTGTCAATTTAGGATTGGTCCCTCACCTCAAAAAGCTCTCTATGATTAACTTGCCTTTCAAGCAATTTGTATTACCGATTCTTTGTGAATTGGTGTACTGTGACGATGAAGTGGTGAGGCAATCCTTAAAAGCTAACGAAGTGTTGAATATTTACTTTGAATTGCTAGTTGACCCCTACTGGCAATCCAATTCTTTGGATTCGATAATGCATTGGTACCAGCAGGATGGAATGTATATGAAAGCGAATATTTCGAAGCAAATCGACTGGTTGATCAAAGGCTTTTTGATATCAAAGGTCTCCAATTTGGAATCCACGCTAGAGAATTATTTGAAACTTTTGACGCTCCACAAAGAGGTGGTGAAATATATGTTGAGACCACAAATTTACCATGATATCCTCAACAAGCTTGAGATTTATAACAAGAATCCGGTGATCCAATTGACATTATTGAGAATATTGAAGGTATTAATAGTCAATGACCCTGACATGAAGATTCTCAGCGCCATGAGCATCGAAGACATCAAGGAGTTAATGAAGCTCAGAAGCGGGTCAGTCTTAATCGATGAACTAGTGCATGAGATTATGAACGAGTTGGATGAACGAAGCATATAAATTTACGAACCAGAAGCAATTTCCATGGAGACAATTCATCCAATATTAATTACAATGTGGGCGAACTTGTACCTAAAAAATCTATCGGAGGCATCTAAGGGAGTTTAAGGTACCTCTGAGTATTGTCAGCCAGGTCGTACTTCAAAGCACCCGATCCAAGCACTGGCTACACTGTATAGTTGTAATAGATGTGTATGTCACGTGAATAATCACGTGAAGCATTGTATACCTCGGCAGATTTGTGGGGAAAATCACCACTTCTACACCACCATGAACCCCATCTCCTACCCGGCCCCAAGGGTGTCTCAGGTAGACGCCCATATCCTTGACTCGGAGCTTCTCTCTCTTCTCAAGGAGCAACTTTCCTCCGTTTTTCATCTCCATTCCAACAGCCGTTGGTCCTACAATCAGCATCCAGAATTCTGGTCCTTACTTCTCAATCTTGTCATATTCAGAGAGACTGTGTGGAAAAAAGGGTCCTCCTACGGGTTGTCGTTACAGAACCTCAAGCTTACAGACTTGAAATCGGGAAAAATCATCGGTAAGTCCAAGAAATCGTTGTTGTTCTTACTCTTGCTTGGAACCTATGGTTTTAACAAGCTCCAGTCATACTTGTACTCGATTGAAGACGAACCAGGATACAATGAACACGGGATAGTTCAGCGGGTGAGGCAGGCATTGCTAAAGCACAAAGCGTTGATTCTTTCCAAGGTAGACCATACCTTGAAGATCGTCAATTTGATCAACTTTTCCTTGTTTCTTTTGAACGGAAAGTACCCCTCCATCACCCACAGGATTCTCGGCATCTCCTTGACGCCCATCGTAACGGACCTCCTCAAGTTCAACGGAAACAATGTCAATTTCGAGTTCCAGAACAGGCAATTGGTGTGGAACGTGATGACTGAATTCTTGGTCTTTACTCTTCCTCTACTCCAGCTAGGCAAATTGAAGAAAATGGCCATGAAAATCCTCGACAGAGGCTCCAAGAAGAGGACTCCCGAAAACGAATCGGTAACGCAATACACCAACCTTCCCGTTTCACAATGTGCCATATGCCACGATATCAACTTCCGAGCAGCTCTGGCTGGACAGAAGACGTTTCCGTCCGCTGGCACTGTCACCAACCCCTACATCACCAACTGTGGCCACATCTACTGTTACGTGTGCATAGCCACCCGTTTCAACTCCATTAAGACCACAGGCGAGGAGTTGGGATGCCTTCGGTGCAACCAGAAGTTGGAATGGTTCAAAGAGCACAACGAGGACATCGACGAGGATGCCATTCTTTTCGAGGCACAACACATAGAGGTGGACAGCGAAGAGGCTAGCCCTTTCGTCGAGGAGCAAGACTCAGCCAGTGACAGCGAAGAAGAGAGCGAAGACGAAAGTGAGGAATACGAGGACGGAGAGGATGAAGCATTTGATATGTGATATGTATTGAAAGCGAATGGGGACGAAGCGAACTAAGTGAAAATAGCCTGCTATGGCACTTCCGTCCCCAGAGATCTGAGTTAATGACAAAATAAATGGATGATTTCTGGTTCAATTTTGTTGTGACTAGACAAATATTGAAAATACAGCACCCATACTTAGTACAACTTCCCATTGCTAACTTCTCAGTTGTGACGATCTGGTTTGACATTTCCCTTGACCACAATAATGGCGAGTTGGAGTGAAAGAGAGAGAAATTACTCCTACTGGGTGGACACTCAATGGTGTAAATGGAGCTCAATACAACGGATGTAGGGCTACCGTACCAGAAGTAGTATTTATATAAGAACAGAAGAAAATATTGAGAACCTAGATATTTTCAGCAAGTATGATGTTTATGTTGGCTAAAACAACTCATACTCGGAAACCTCCAGATGAGTAGTTGCTAACAATTTGAAGCTCAGCAGACTAGGTATGAATTTATTTCAATACACTTTGCAAGATTTATTGATCTAATATTAAGCAAGTAGCTTAAATATGGAGACATCAGATTGACAGTATGGTTGTAACTATCATCTTCATGATTGTGAATGCAAATTTACTGCAATGAATGGGTTTACGTTCAAAGCGGAGGCTCATTCAAACCTGAAGATAAAGAGTAAGCATCCTTTCTTTACATTTTTTCAGGATCGAGATTGATGACCGAGTACTGATTAAATTGGATCTTATGTGATATTAATATACAGAGAGCTAACAGTAGGACCCGCCACATGACGGCTCCAACAGAAAATTCATCGCAAAGGCATTTGTTAGTCCTATTGGGACCTTAAAGAGCCGTGCTTGCAATGTAGTCACAACGACAACGAACTAATTGATGAGCTCTAACAACAATTGGGCACCCTTGTTGTCTTTGTCAGCCTTCAAGGTCTTCTTCTCCTTACCCAAGGCCTTGGTCAATTCCTTGATCTTCTTGTGGTTTCCCAACTTCAACACTTCATAGATGGAGACAACGACAAATGCACTTTGTCCGCTAACCCACGAGGTGAGCTGATCGTTGCTCATGATTTCGTCCAACACTCTAACCGCAAAGTCAGTACCGACCCCTGGGATTTCTTCACCCTTGACAACCACCAACTTCTTGGTTTCGTTGTTCCACTTGAACTCGTTGCCTTGGATCAAAGACTTCAACGACCTGGAAATAAAAGGAACCTTATTTATAAGATGGTAGTCCTCCAAGACATCCCCCTTGACGGTCTTTTCGAATATAACGTCCAAAAGCTTTGGTCTCAAGGTGTCGTTGACTTCAGCAATATCGGTAGAGGTCAAAATTAATTCAGTCAAGAATTGGGTAGCAATGTTCACGTTCAAGATACCATCGAAAGAACGTTCAGGGTCTTCGGATTCGGTAGTAGCGAGAAGACTTTGGTAGATCAAAGGAATGGCTTTCACGGCCAATTCGGATCTTCTTTGTTCTTGTTCCTTCTTGGAGGTTTTCTTGTATGCTAATTCTTCGTACTTTGCCAAGGATGCCTTGACCAAAGGATTGAAGAATCTTCCGTCCAACCCCTTTAACAAGTAGATCATGGGTCTTCTGGCCCACTTGTCCTTGGCCAATGATGCAATGGTTTCTTTGGTGAAAATTTCGTTACTGAACGACTTGGTAAGCAAGACGGTATCATCGACGGTCATAAATAACGTGATTAAAACGAGATTTCCGTACTCGTTCTTTACCAACTCTTGGGTGTGGTTTTTCATTGCTCTGATGATCAACTTTCTTTCCTTGGCGTTGGCAACACTGAGCAAAGTACATGCAACATCAGAACCTTCTTGTGTATGTACCAATTCAGCGAATTGCTCCTGTAAAACTTCAATAAATTCCCTGATTTGCTTGTCGTGGACTTCAAGGTCGCTGGCCAAAATACCAGTGTATTCCTTCATGGCTGCGTGTAAAATCTGGAACCCGGTGGAACCCTTCTCGACGGAAGCCTTGATGGTACCGAAAAGATTGGACATGATAAGCTGCTTCTTTTCAGATGATTCGGCAATAATTTCCAACACGGTCTTTCCCTTACCAGAGTCCTTGAAGACGGCGTATTCGGAGCCCCAGAATTCTCTGATCATCTGTAACTTTTGTTCTTGAGTGGAGTACAACACGAACAAATCTTCAATGACATAGGCACCTTCCTTGTGTCTCATCAACTTACGCAAGTTGCCGTGGAGTTCGTCGATGATCAATTGTCTTGATTCCTTGGATCCATAGTGCAAGAGCTTGATGAGCAAGTACTTACCGTAGGAAGAGGTGGCCAAGAGGTAAAAGTTACCCTTGAGAGCCTTGGTGATGGCCTCTCTTCTGGTCTTGGACGAGTACTTGATCAAGGTCTGGACCACTCTGGAAGCATCGTGCTTCATCACAAGGTCCAAAACAACGTCCTTGGATAACTCCCAGATCTCGTCACACAACTTATCACGAACAGCCTTTGGGGGAGCAGGCTTGGCGACTCTGAGTTTTTCCCAGAGGTTCTTGATCTGCTGGACCTGGATTCCTGACTTTCTCTGTAACTTTCTTTCGGCCAAAACCTTACGTTGTTCAGCATGCTGTTCAGCAGAGGTTTTCTTGTTAGGGTCAACAGGCTTGGAAGCTGCGTCTTCAGCTTCGTCATCTTCAGCATCTTCGTCGTCATTCTCGCTGTCCTTGCCCTCGGCCATGGCATCGTCTTCATCTTCAGAAAGATCGTCTAACTCATCTTCAGAGGAAGCCTCGATTTCTTCCGATTGATCCAATTCATCCTCGGACTCAGAGTCTTCGGATTCGGAAGGAGGCGATGGGAGCTTCTTCTCCACGACCTTGGTCTTCTTGGTATCCTTCTTGGATTGGGGAGCAGCACGCTTGGTCCCTTTGGTAGTGACAGCCATTGTTGAAGGTAATAGTAGAAATGAAAAATTGTTAAGAGGCATCGCGATGGGGTGGTCACGTGACCAAATTGGTCTGGGGCAGTTAGATCTCGATGGTCTGGGGCTGCTACACTGGGTTTGTGAATGACTTGGAGTCAGTAATGTCACTAGAGTGATGGGAAGGTGTGTGAATTGTTCATAGAGCAATTCAGTGACTGTTTTAGAGCTGGTGGGAGTAGAAGTTTCCGATTAATCGTTTCGGGATGACCAAGCGTATTGTGGATATGGCCCAACCAGATGGCATCCACGGTCAGTTCTGAACTCCCCTCGTTCCCCTGAGTATGGTGCTATAGAACAATACTCCTGGCCAGTTACATCCACAACTTCCATGTTCCCCAATGCGCGCACGTGATGCTCTATGACTGCAACAAAATTGCACACTAATTGCTCGCCACCACCACCATGTTGAGGACTTTAGGATTACGTAGCTTGCGTGCACCCGTGGCATTCCGCCCAATCAGAAGAGGCTTGGCCACCTCCGAGAGCAACATCAAAGAAATCGCCGACCTTCCCCAATTCAGAGAGTTCATTTCCAACACTGAGCGTGTTTCTGTCATTGACTTCTACGCCACTTGGTGTGGTCCATGCAAGGCGTTAGAGCCAATCTTTGACATGTTGGCCCAACGTGTTCCCGAGGTGCAATTTGGCAGAGTGGATGTGGATGCTGCTCAGGACGTTGCTGGAGAGTACGGCATCACTGCCATGCCCACCTGTCTCTTCTTCAAGGACGGCCAGAAGGTCGACACCATCATTGGGGCCAATCCTCCCAAGTTGGTGGAGTTGATCCAGAAGCATGGTGACGTCAAGATTGGTAAGTAGTGAATACAAACTGAGGAGGCGTAGTCAGATGTAGGCACTGTTGGTGGTGTTGAATACATAGTACTTCCAAAGTAAATGTCACACTTTCGGTAACTGGATGTATCACTTTCAAATTTTTGTTAAGCTCCAGGGTATGGCAGAACGGATGGCAACAAAGTAACCCTCCCTTTACTCCAAAATTTACCAGGTTGAAATTGTTTAACAATGCGCCTCAGTGTGTTTAACAACTTTCAAATTATATACCTATATTATCACCTATTTTGACGTAAAATTTGATTGAAGTAAATGCAGATTGATATGGATTCTATCAACAAAAAATTTCACCCATGTCGATAAACAAATAAGGCATTGCTTAATGCTAATGAAGTGTTCTAAAGATTCAAGTAAATGCGTAGTGCGTATAGATGAAAATCGTCAAGTGTGCAAACTTGTCAAGTCATAATTTACTTATAACCTAACGCTTATCCTTTTCAGAAAACAAGTCAATGCGTCAATACTAGGAGAGGGTTATTACAGGAAGAATTCCCACTTCACTCACTCTGTACTGGAATACAGAGGAATAATCGTTTCACACATTCCTTGGTGTTCAAAGCAAATAAAATTATTAGGAAGCAGCAACTTGAGGATTACGAATTACCTTTGACACTAAAAATATGCCTGTAAGTAGGGTTCAAGGAATATAGAATTTATGGCAATAGTGACACTTTGACGAGGTTTTCCGAACACGATCCGATGATTACTGCGAAACTTTAGTCGGAGAAGGATAGCGGCCAGAAAGCAATCAATAACGTGAGCGAATTACCCCACGGGCACATTAGCTACTATGGGAGTGGAAGTGGAGTATAATGGTGTGGGCGCTGTTTAGTCCAGCAGATACTTCAAATTTATAAATTATTTACAAAAGAACATAAAATTTCCACTCCAACAATAATTTAGAACTAGACTGAGTTATTGAACTTTCTGTGCATTTCTCATGCTTGATGTAGTTCTATAAATAATTCTCTACATACCCGGTAGGCAATTGAGATTATCGGTATACTCAAGTCCTCCGAATAGGCTCAAGAAAATAACTGGCAAATCTGGTCATATCTCTAATAAAAAGACCTAATATTGCTAGCTATACAATGTCGAATTCTCTCAGTATTCACCTGTACAAAAGGCCAACCAAGCCATGGCCGTAGTTTACTAAAGGCACCATGGCATTTTAGTCACGTGGAGGACTATCCTAAGTAAGTATTAATAGAAATAGTCACCTCCATTCACCCATTCCAGTCGCTGGAACCACATGCCAGTGGTCATGTAACCCACCATTGCTCACATGACGCAGTAGTGACGTGGCACGGACTTCAACTCCGTGGTCTAGCTGTGCATGTCACTATGCTGGCTCCACATTGTCCGTCACCATGCAGTGACACCATGCGTGGCACCTGCAGGGGTTGTCTGGCACATGACCATTCTTGCGGTCGCGATCCATACTTGAGCTGGCGCACGCACATCAACATCTCATCATCAATCCCCACAATGTTCAAGGGCCTAGTAAGAACGACAGTGCCATTGGTGGCGTTTGGCGTCGGCTTGGCCGCGTTCCCTGCGCTGTGGCGCAAGAGCAGCTGGAACCAGCGCAAGCTTCTCCACACCAACGACGACGTGGTGCGCCAGATCGAGCTGCTGGACGAGTTCCAGCACCTTGCCAAGGACGCCAACGTGGAATTGACGTATTCCAGCCATACATTTCCCGAGCAGCACCACCTGAGCCACGTCGGAGTTGCGCTTCTCCAAGGCAAGGACCTCCACGAAATCGACCCAATCATCTTCGTGGACCACGTCCAGCACCAGCTGACAGGATTCTACCACTTGGGCAATAAGTTGGTCAGCCAGGACGGAGGCATCCACAACGGCATTGTGGCCACCATCTTCGACGAGGGCATGGTTTACTGCGGATTTCCGCTTCTTCCCTCAGGCAGAGGCGTCACCGCCAAGTTGTCGGTGGATTTTGCTAGTCAGGCACCTCCTAACACCACGGTTGTGTTGAAGACGCGGGTGGTGGAGCACAAGGGCCGCAAGGTAGTGGTGGAAGGCGTATTGGAGACGTTAGCGCACGACACTGCCCCCGTTAAGATTGCCTCTGCACGCGCGGTTTTCGTGGAACCCCGGTGGTTCAAGTACTTCAGGTGGTTGCAGGTGTAGAAGGCCAGGCAGGTGTAGCAGGTACTGGTCAATTGACCTTATTGGGGCCTCATATAGCTAGCTAGCTCAATATACTGTTTTGCCGTGGATTGAAGGCCTTCCCTCGGGGTCCCAATCTAGGTGTGGCGAATTGAAACCGTTCGTAAAATCCCCACACAAGCCAGTCGTGGCGACTATGCTACTGCATGTGCATTTTCGCCCCAGGCTCCTGACCTCGATTGCTAGCGTGCGAAGGAGCCCAAATAGCAACCATGGCAGCAACCAAGCGAATAACACCACAGCCGCCAGCCACCAGGGGCAGAAATCGGGCTATAAAAGGGGCAGCTCCTGCCCTCCAATTCAGCTCTTCATTCAAACAAACAATTCATTAACAAACATGTCCGACTTAGGTAGAAAAGATATTTCCGACAAGGTTCAATCCGCTGTCACCCCAGACTCCCAAAAGTCCACCTTGGGCTCCGCCAAGGACAAGGTTACCGACTCTGTCGACAACGCTATTGGTGACAACACCTCCAGCAAGGACAAGTCCTTCGTCCAACAAGCCTCTGACGCTATCTTCGGTGAGAAGAAGTAAGCTAGCTAGCTAGAATAAACGCTTTGTGAAAATTAATGCTATTGTAGAAGAATTGCCGCTATAGGTTCGCTGGATTAGTTACTTTGAGTGCCAGATAGTATGCCTGGCAATTATGTATGAGGCTGTCAGTGCTGCAGGCTGCAAGGCACGGCTGATGTGGCGAAGCATTTGTTGCAGGGTCGTCACGTGGATCTCCCTCACTTAAGGTTTTAGTGTGCAGGTGAGCATTAGCATACAGACTTCAAATGGATTGTTACAACAATAATTAGTGCGCTGTTGAGGTTGAGCTCATCGCTAAATCATAGCGATTTACAGTGTAATATCTAGTCCAGTGATTACTGATTTCTGTTTTCCAACTCTGAAACTTACTTGTCAATGCCTGATAAACTCTTATCTCTTCCTGCTCGAGCGGAAATATCGAATTCATGTCTCCAGTGGGAGATCCTGAGCTTTTCTCGTATTTTCAGCTCAAAAACATCTACGCAACAACCAATTTACATATCAAGGGGTACTTTCGAACGTATTACATTAAATCAAGCAATTAAATATGCTAATAGCAAATGTCGCAATAGAATGATAGTCAAAATTGAAATGTGTACAATTTAAAGCCCAAAAATACAAAAAACCTAAAGAAGCAAGTTCAATCTTATCAATCATCACAACCCACAGGTTCGACCTCTTATCTGGCTTCCTTGTCTGACATCCCAGTTTCGTGTCGTGTCCGGCTCAATATCGCATTTTGATATACTCCATCAGATCGCGTCCTACGCGTCTTTACACCACCACCATGACCCAGTCCAAGAACTCCGCCGAACAGGCGTACCTCGATCTCTGCCAGTACATCATAGACAACGGTGAAAACCGTCCTGATAGAACCGGTACCGGCACGCGCTCCGTTTTCGCTCCTCCACAGCTCCGGTTTGACTTGTCCAACGACACCTTCCCACTCTTGACCACCAAAAAAGTGTTCTCCAAGGCAATTATTCATGAGCTTCTTTGGTTCGTGGCCGGCTCCACCGATGCCAAGCTCTTGAGCGACAAGGGAGTCAAAATATGGGAAGGAAACGGGTCCAGACAGTACTTGGACTCATTGGGGTTGACCCACCGCAGAGAGGGTGATTTGGGGCCAGTGTACGGGTTCCAGTGGAGACACTTTGGAGCTGAATACAAGGACTGCGATGCAGACTACGCTGGCCAGGGCTTTGACCAATTGCTGGACGTCATCAAGAAGTTGAAGACGAATCCTTACGATAGAAGAATCATCATGTCGGCGTGGAACCCACCTGATTTCGCCAAGATGGCGTTGCCTCCCTGCCATGTTTTCTGTCAGTTTTACGTCAACTTCCCTGAGAACGCCAGGCCCAAGTTGTCGTGTCTTCTCTACCAAAGATCGTGTGATATGGGCTTGGGTGTCCCATTCAACATCGCTTCCTACGCGTTATTGACCAAAATGATCGCTCACATCGTGGACATGGACTGTGGAGAATTCATACACACCATGGGTGATGCCCACGTATACTTGGACCACATCGATGCTTTGAAAGAGCAATTGACAAGAATACCTAGGGACTTCCCTAAGCTCCACATCAAGGCTGAAAGAGCTGACCACATCAAGACCATAGACGACTTTAAATACGAAGACTTCGAAATCTCCGAGTACGATCCTTACGGTCCTATCAAGATGAAAATGAGTGTTTAATATATGCGATCCTAACGAATTAAATAACTGATTGTAAACCTAATTAAATCAACTGTTCCTTACATCATTGTCTGTCTTCTGTTCCTTCTGGCGGTTTTTTTGCCCACATACACGGAACGTCTTCTGGGACCTCCCTCTTCAAAGTCGAACACCGACATGTCCATTTGGTTCTCTTTGTCCTGCTCCAGAATTGGCGCATTTGGACTGATTACTGTCTTGCTTTCCGGATTTGAGTTTCGTATCACATTGTCCTTCAACACCGACAAAGGTTTTCTTTTCGTGCTACTATCGTTTTGTTCCTCGTCGTTTCTTCTCTTTCTTTCGACCTCCTCATCTGTTGGTCTTTTGCTTACTGCGTAGTTGATCAACACATTCTCACCCACAGCATCCAACAACTTGACCGACTCTCTTCTCATCTTAGCTCGCAATGGGACAGGCTTGTAATCAACCTTTTTTCTAGCTCTGCGGGGCCTTCCTACCGGTTCTTCCTTGATATCCTCTATTTCGCTTGATACCTCCCTTGAGCTCCTCAAATCTATTATTGGGGATTTGGACTCAAGGTTTTGTTGTTGTTCAATTTCGCCTTTGAACTCAGTGTTCACCACAAGGGCTTTGCCTTTATGTTTGACCTTTTTTGGTGGTATTTCATGCTGGGTATTCGTTACGGTTTGCTCATGATGTTTTTGCTTTTCGTTTTCATTCCATTCAGAAGATTTGGCTTTTCTTGACTTGCTCAACTCGTTTTCTTTTATTAACTCATTTGCTTTTGCTAGCCAGTCCGACGTGCTAATTTGAGGCGATGGACTCTTAGGAATTTCTGCCTGCACTGGATCCGGATCTGCAATTTTGGAAGTTTCAGATGGCTCCTTATCCTCGAGAATAGTTGAAAACTTATCTATCTTAGCATATTCGGTGACTTCTTCATCCAAAAATGTCTGATTCACCTGTGAGTCAGTTACGTCTTTGCTGAAGTCTGGGACTTCCTCTGGATGCAAGGACTTAGGTATGCCCTCATTTTGTCCAAACATACTTCCTGAAGGACCAATAAGACCGAATGGGCTGCCCATTGTGGGCTCACTTTCAATGGGAGTGGACGTAATGGGTCGGTTTATTTCGTTCAAGACATCTAGTTGTGGATTTGCAGTCAAGCCTTCCTCCCATCGGAGGTGCTTCATGAGCTGTAGAATGTCAGCAAACTTCTCAAACAACTTGCCTTCGATCATTTCAACTTTATGCTCTAATTGTCTCTTGTTTTCAACACTCCTGTTGGTATGGCTCTTCTTGAGTTTGTTGTTCTCATTTGATAACTCGACCAATCTGGTCTCCATATCGTTCATTTTGCGCTGCATCATAGCGTTAGTTCTTGCGAGGAGCGTGTTCTGTTGGGTGTACTTGTGCTTGAGTGACTTTTCGTTGGCTAAGTCATCTTGTGGTGGGGAGGATTGTTTGGGGTCTTCAAAGGGTCGAAATCGAGCGGAAACCGCCGGATTTTTAGGCTCGGACCTGTCAGGTACACTTCCCTGAAACTTCAACAACGACTGGGAGAAGTCTATTGATTTCCTGGCCATTTTGGAGCGGTGGCGTCAAGAAGGGTTTGTTGTGTTTGGATAAACAAAGCTGATCCATCGCGTGACGTACGTCACGAGCGGATTATATACAGGAATACACTTTCGGGGGCTGCCACCGCTTTCACCATATAATCTTGTGTAGCTGGTCCCTGGCGCTGTCGTGTGCCTCCAGGACATCTCTCCATCCTCCTATGTGACTTTGGCCAGTTTTCAAGCCGAGAAATGCCGTCTGGCGTACGGTTAATTGACTGACCTTCGTCTACTGCATATAACCACAGGCCATCCCAACCACAATCCACCACCGCGTTCCAAACAACATCCACTAAATACGCATAGGCTTACGTTGAGTTAGATCGGGCCCGATTCTACTTCAGCAAATACAAACATCCCGACCACAACGATCAGAATCATACCAAAATCCGAAAAATGCTGAAAAATAACGTCTACCACCAGACAATCGTAGACAAGAGGGCAGACCTCGAGATGTTGCAAGAGTTCCGCCAGCTCACGGCCGAATTGGCTACCAACTTGGAACTGGTAGGCGACAAGCTCGAGCACATGAAAGGAGGAACTGAGAGTGTGGCACTCATCTTGGCCAATTGGCAAAATGTGGTGAAATCGATCTCATTGGCATCATTGGGATTGATGAAGTATAGTGAGAGTGACTACGAGTCACGAGCACCTTTACCGGAAGCTTTGGTACGGATTAAGTTGGACAAGGAAGAACAAGAAGAAGATACCAATGAATGAGCAAAAGGCGACAAAAGAAGTAACCTGCCATTACCAAACGAGGAAACGACATATGCTTTGAGTTACTTAATTGCAGCTAAGTTTTATTTGCAAGTTTATTTTACCACACATCACTAGATGGAATGGCTTTACGGATGGCGCAAGGTTTTGCATTTCTATTAACATATGGAATAGTGGCTTCTAACTATACCAATAATCGCTTGACCTATCTCGCTCCAGTCAAATATTGGCAGATTGAGGACTCTTCAAAAGATCTCTACTTGATTTCGTGGATGCCTTTCATTGGCAGCGTGATTTACCTCTCGAGAACATTGGCCTCAATGTGGCACAAGCTCCGGAAGCTCTGTGGCTACTAGGTCCAAAGTTCCAGCATAAGTACTGTCCATAATTTGACAGCATTAAAAGAAAGGTAACATTCCATTCGTGGATTGCAGCACAGAAGCTAGATTCTCATCGGTTCTACAGCCAGGATGTTGCACAAATCATTGATTTGCTTCCCAAGTAGATGTAATTACATTTTGACATGAAGGGGTAGCCTTACCTCTTCAAATACAATATTATAATTGTATCAGGGTCCGGCCTGACCCGGAATTGACTGACACATATCGTACGAATCCTCGCTGCTTAAATATATTAATGTACATTATCATCTAAAACCTAGACCCATCTACTCATTTTCTCCTCTAGCCTCTTCTTTGATGGAAATAACCCATTGTACGAAATCGTACTTCTGGAAGTATCCCGTCAACTTTTCAACCATAGTATTGTTAACTTCTTGTGCCACAGAATCATTTTCGGCGTTTTCAAATACCCCTTTGGAATTCAACAATAACTCTAATTGGTTAATCAACTTATTATCCAAATTGATCTCCTTGAAAGTCTTGAACAACACAGTACCTCTGACTTTCTCCTTGATATGCTCGTCAGTGGAGATCTTCAAATTTGCCTTATCCAAGAGCGACCAGTCGTCGCCAATTGTGAGCAATCTGAGCCAGATCAATCTGGTGTAGTATTCAAAGAGCTGCTTGTCATCAACCAAAGCAGCCACCTTCAATGCCAATCCAAACCCCCTGTCTTCGATGATCGATGGTTTCAACAAAGTGAGCCAGTTGATTAAATCAATGGTCTTCAATTGCTTGTTGTTGACAAGTTGATCGAAAGACCTACTCAATAATGATTGCGCAATTCCGTTGCCAATGTGGGAATTCTTGAAGCCCTTGAGGATGTTATCGAATTTCAAAAGTTGTACTTCTCCGCCATAATTCTTGATCAAAGATGAGAACAAATTTTTCTGACTCTTTATCTTGGTCAAGCTATTCTCAGTTTCCAAAAGATAGCTAGAACCATCACCATCCATGTTAACATCCAGGTCAGAATGACCAGTACCTCTTGCTGCAATAACAGCTAACTTGGCCAAAGAGTACTTTACTTCCTTATTGTCCAAGTTGTCACCAGCTTCAAACTTTGATGCAGACTCAACAAGCACCTTACTGGCCTTGTTGAAATTTTCGTCCAACAAGTAACGGATCCATGAAAATTTGGAAGTCTTTTTGGCGTTCTTTTCAAGATATTCTTCCAAGTAGAACTTGTAATTAGTAAAACTCAATAAGAGTGCTTGAATCTGGTCATTCTTGACGTAGTAGTCATATAACAGCGATGCAAATTCATACTTGAATCTTTCAAAGTAATAGACGTATCTTTGAAGCAAACTATCCACCTCAAAGCTGTCTTCGCCATAGATATCTTCCAAGCGTTTCTTTTGAAACTCGAGAATCTGCGCCAAAGAGGAGAAATCGTGGTACTTCTCGGTGATTTCGATGCCTTGTTGGATCAAATCTTGCTTCAATAAGGCACTTATCCAGTGAGTGTTTCTGCCCTTATACCATTGTACATATTCCTTCAATTGGTCATTGTTTGCATCAAACAATTGCATATACTGAATGGCACTAGTGACAAAATAGTACAACACTTCGCACAATTTTATCAAGTCTTCTTTGCTCTTTTGAGTTTTCACTTCATCCCCACCCTCACAATACTCACTAGTGAATACTTGTTCTATCCTAATCAATAATGGAGTCTCAAAGACCCAAATCTTTCTGAGTGGAATGAGCTCGTTGTCTGCAAGATAACGGATCTCATTTTTGAGGATTCCATAATACGTGGCTTGTACAATGAGGGAGGTAAGTATTGGCAATGAAAAATCGTCTGCTAACAATTTTTCAACAAATTTTGTGAACACTTCATTGACAGAGTTAATTCCTTGGCTGAAAAATTTTCTCAAAGTGTCTTCGTTTGCAGCCACCACCTGGGTCTCGATAATAACCTGTTCCAATGTAGACTTGAGAGTGTTGGAATATGCTTTCTCTGCTTCAATCTGGATCCATAATTGAAGAGCAAAATCGTTCTTCTCCAAAGCATCCACGATAGTAGAAACTGCAATTGGAAATACCGATGGAAAGTTTCTTTGTGTATAAGTAATGAATCTTTCGAACAATTCAACTTTGAGAGCCAAAAAGTCTGTAATGGATGGCAAAAAAGATGGCAAGTAAGGAGAAGAAGAGCTTGTGATCTCTTCAATAATCTGGGAGACTGCCTGTAAGACTGTTTCATCGGAAAACTGTTGCACAACATCAAACTCGATCTCTTCAGACTTGAAGTAAAAGATGGCCTGCTCGATATGGGATTTCACTATAAGCAATGGGTCCGTGGAATCACCACCATCGATGCTAGTAGGAAATCTTTCAATTCTTAAAACTCCATTATTTCTCGTCAACAAAATTGCAGAAGGGTTGTTATTAAATGTTTGGTCTTCATATCCATAGCCGAGAATATCGATATTGGATCTCAATCTAACGACATCTTCCCATCTAGGAGTATAGTAGGAAACAGACGCAGCTGACTCCTCGACGTACGAGATATTGATATCAGTGATGATCATGGAGTTATCAATGCTGACAAAGGCTGTTTTTCCAGGCTTAGGCAAGAAAAGTCTAGGCTTATTGATACTTGCTTCTTCGGGGTTGTATCTAGAAAGTTTGTGAGACCCATAAGGCAAAACTCCAGTTGGGTCAATTCTCATAGTCAAAAGTAACAAGTTTTGAGAATTAGGGCTTTTGTAGGATTCTTTGACATAGCAGAGACCCACGTAGATGTTCTCGTGTTCTGCTGATGGCCACAAATCTAAAAAGCTGAGATCCAAGTTTGTTCCTGGAAGGTATCCGTCGATGCTATTTTTGAAATAGGTTGTCAAGTTATGACTATATGACTTCTTTTTGTCAACATATGGTGAGCCGCTTGCAGACAATAACTGATAGGTAACGATATGAAACCCACCAGATGAATCCAATATGAAAATTTCCTGGGTCATTCCATGGTTTATGATTCTTCCCGATCTTATGCTGACAATCTCATCGAAGATCTCGTTGGTTGTTTCCGATCCAAAAATGAAAGACAAGTACTTCGACTTGGTGTTAGACAATAATTCAACCGAAGACAATTGAGGCTTGCTTTTGAAGTCGCGGAGGGACACGAGAATGCATCTTTTCCAGGAGGTAGCCACGACAATACCAGCAGGCTCGACATTCTCGGCTAAAGTGATGTATTCACCCTTTTGGCTGTTGATATCAAGCTTCAACTCCAAAGACTTGTTATTGATCAACCCCAAGGCTGGTGCGTGCTGCACACTTTCGTAGAACTTAACAAGACCCGACGAGGAGTCGATGATGACCAATCCGGGGTCCTGCGAGACTCCACTAGATGGCTTTGTCAAAATTGCTAAAGGTATAACGCTCGACCTTTCGATTGGGAACTGTATGGATAATGGGGTGTGATCTGCTGACTTGTAACTCCACACATGGATTGCGTCTTCGTCAATCACTAACGAGTAGTTGGATTCGTGATCGGAATATGCATTAATAAGCTGAGAACCTTGCGATCTTTCAAACACGGCTGGCAATGCTGGAAGCTTGGATATGCAGTAGTTCTCGTTCTTGGTCAATTCCAACGCAGTGTCCTTGAAGTGACTTGTGGTCTTTGGCTCATTCTGATGACTGAAGGAAATTGACGAAGCAGCAGGTGTAGGTGACCTCGATGAGAGTGCCGACTTCCTGGGCTTGAATATAGATCCTGAGCTGGACATGGTTGGGCCTGTTCGATATGTTAGAGCAGAGTTGTTTTGAAAAAAGTTAGAGGCGATTTGTAATGTATTACGTAATATTCGGAGTGAAGCTAGGAGAAGAGTAAGCAGCCTGCTACCCTAGTCTCGACTAGCCATGTTGAGCTTCTTCTGACCTCCTACTTAGGGTCTACTTGTGGTATGTTTTTTTCTTCTATTACATAATTTAGGTTACTATACATTATTGCAATACGGCCAGCCACACTTAATCGTGCTTGGCTCTCTTGACAGCAGGTTCTTCGTTGTCAATGGCGTCGACGAAATCATCCTCATCATCGAAATCACTGTCTTGGTCATACTTAGCCTTCAAACCCTTCATCTTTCTAGTTTGCAACTTGCCCAAGTCTTGCTTACCCAAGTGAATTTGAGCAACCTTGTCACCCATAAAGTCGGTAGAAACGTTCTTCTTGACCTTGGCTTGTAATTGCTTAGGCTTCTTGTAGGCTTCCTTCTCGAGTTCAGGAGCAGGAGAAACTCTTCTGCCGATCTTGAAGTCAAATCTTGGTCCTATTTCGTCAACCTCAACTCTTGGAAGTTTTTGGCCTGATTGGTAAGACTTCAATTTGTATACTCTGAAATGTAAAAGTGGAAGGTTCTTGGAATCGTTTGGATCTTCGATTTCCCCGGTGGATAAAGCAATAATATATTGTAAACCAGCAACATCTTGTAAATCAGTTTCTTCACCACGGAAAAAGTCCATAAATAATGATTTGGCGTGTTGGAAGACAGGGTGGGAGTCAAATGCTGGTCCGTTGAAAGTGAACATTGGTTTCAATCCAACTGTGAAAGTCAACTTCTTGAAGTCTTGCAATAACTTGTGGTTGTCTTGTATGGATAATTCAAGCATGTCGTATACTTTGTGGTTGAAGAAACGGGTAAAGATCAAGGTGTTAGGTCTCTTCTTGTTGTGTGTGGAGAGGACCATTAAGGATGTGTCGTTCTTTTCAGCAAAGAATTCTAAGGTGCTGGCATCATCAAAAGGTCTGATATCGTTCTTCTTGCTGAACTTCTTAACAAATGGTTTCTTCAACGCCATAAGATCACACATGGCATCGTGCAAGAACTTGTTACCGGTGGATCCTGGAACGAATAAAGCGGTCTTGGTGTTCTCGACCAACTTGGCTTCTTGCTTAGCAAGAGCTCTCTTAGAACGGGCGTTTTTTGGTTTACTATATGTTAGTATATGATTCAAGTATTTGCCGCAGTGGAAACTGGCTACTATCAAGTAACCTGAAATTTCCAAGGCAAGCAACTGGACCAACCATGCGACTCTAGATCAAAAGGTACATACACAGTTCTAATCATTGTTGGAATATGCTATAGTGCTCATCTCATCTTATCAAATTTGGCTCATCTAGTGAAAAAAATTGTATCACGTGATTAAAAATGTGAGGGAGAAAAAATAGGTCGTACCCGGATTCGAACCGGGGTTGTTCGGATCAAAACCGAAAGTGATAACCACTACACTATACAACCTAATAGTTACTTTGAGTATTGCTGGCGAATAACTCACTAGGTTTAAGAGATGATTACGTAATCAAATATCAGAAAAGCTGTCATAGAAGAATTTATCACGTATGAGACATATCGGGGGAGTCACATGCATCTCCCAAGGTATAGAATATTACAGAGTGAATTATGGTCACGATCTTACAATTGCTGCGCAATATAGAGAGGTAAAGCATACGTTCTTTTGTCAACAATAAAAAAAGTGAAGCTATCAGAACACAACTTCGCAACATACGAAGCTTAGTCGCCCCACTGGCGCAGATTACAAATGATACAACTATCATCAAATTGGACAAGTTGATTAAGACTCTTTGGAGGTTATGGATACAACGACGAGCACAAGGGGAGGCCCATGCTCGTCCTCCAACCACCAACCAATTGTCTTTCCTCTTGTCCAGCCAAAGTTCCTAATGAAAATATTATCTAACATGAGCTGCTTCTACGAGGTGCCTTCTCTTGCGCACCAAGTTGCAAAAAATCATGAAAAAACAAAATTAAATTCAAAAATTAATTGAATTATAACGGTTTGACCAGAATGGTGTGTTATCCATTGCAATAGGTATATAGTCAGTAGATTATAATATACTTCCCATTAGCAAAAAAAAAAAAAGTTTCCACTTTACTCAAGAGAGCTATCATGTTAATGAGTTGTTCTTGCATAATAGTCGTCTCATGTCTGATATAGCACTTGTAGGTTACTGAAGGTAGCAAGTGCCAAATCGAAAAAGCATTACAATTCCTATTCTACTTCCTCTAATCTCAATAGTCATTTCTTATTACAAGTCCTTAAAATAAATGGCACAAAAAACAAATCATTGTATCAGTGAGTGAACTCATCGAAAATACCAAGGAAATGCTCTTGAACTTCTTACATTTCATTCAACTTCATTGCCACTCAAATAAAATAACATAAATTTTAGCCTTGTATTTGAAGCATAATACAATTAAGGCTGCGAAATGAATTTTGAAGCTTCCACAATTCTGTAGTCGAATTTTATTAAGTACAAATTTAGACTTTTGAGAGTTTCGAGATCCTCCCTATTTTAGTGTGGTAGTAAGGACGATGTAAAGCCCGTTCAGTCAGTTTCATAAGTCATAAGTGTTATCACAATGTACGCTACCAAGGATGTAGGAAATCTCACACTAGTTGCCTAAATCAAATGTTAAAATGCACCTTCGTTGTCTTAAGGCAAGTTGTGGTTATCGAAAAATAGGTAACACGAGCTATTGAGAGTTAGTGTGAAGGCAAATAGCAATTGATACTGGGTATCCTTGAAACTTGAAATTACTAGCTGATACTAGTCAAACAACTTGTGAACTTAAGAACTCTAAACTTTCTTATTTTTGAAGTAATATAAATTTGTGAACTAATTATATTGGGCAAAATACCCTGTTATTGGCTAAGTTCTGTTCTCTACCTTTATTCTAAGTGGAACGGTGTCAGGTCAGGAATTACTTGGTTTGTGAGCATTCTACAATTATTCTATGTCAATCGATATATTGCTACGAAACGATGATTCCAGCAACCAGTAACACGGGAGGTCACTGAACATCTCAACTAGCAGCGTCTCACTCAATCAATGAGCACTGATCCAGTTCCGCAACCTGTAGGCTATTATCAGATAAAGGTGGTTTGTTTCCCGGTGGCTTGACTCTTCTTTCGCAGCCGAATACTGCACAATGGGGGCAGACATAATAAATACGTGTGGCTACTGACAGAGTCAAGCTGTTAGTGCTGCCACAAGGACCAACCCACAGATGACATGAAATGCGTTTCATGGAAAAAGAGCATTGGAGAGATATAGGCCGGGAAAGGCATAATGAGATATGAAGAAGAGGATGAAAGACCACAGAAAATTCACGAAAGAAATATAATGAAAAACATGAAAAAGATACGAAGACAAAAGGATGAAGGACTGGCGAAAAGATGAAAATTCACATACTAATAAATTGTATCCAGATGAGCACGAGGCGACTAGAGACGTCTATTAATTTTATTAGCCATATTCCTATAGTATGATTGTGAACAACCCTTCTCTCACCCAGAGTCGTATTGTAAATACATTAAAGGACCACTCTGAGCCGAGCCCAGAGCATATATTCCCAATATTATTATGAACATATCATAGTGTATGCGAGACAGTATTTTCCAGAGGACCACTCTGAGCCGAGCCACCACCCCACGGATTCCTCACGTGCTGTTAGCGGATGGTCGCTTCAAACACCGACCCCTCCACCACCCGCCACGCCTGCCATATCGGGGTTAGCCCCATTGGCGCATCCTAGCGGCTGGACTCAGGCCGAGCTCCTCCGACTATCGGCTGATGGGTCACCGCGGAAAAACACGGACTAGCATTTCACGTGCATCCTTTCATCCGTGCCTCTATACTCACCTGTCCCGTTCACGCCAACGCCAGTCGCCAGCTGCCCCTCCACATACGGACAATTCTCGCCCCACTCGTCCCAGCCGACCCCCCTGGCGCCATCTTCCGTGCCCTCCCGCAACGCCATTCGCTGTGGCCTGAACGTTTCGGTGCCGGTCCGCGACACTCCCCACCATGACTCAAATCGGCAGCAAAATTTTCAGGTGGGGTTAAGGTGAGGCGTATATAAAGCTGCAAAGTCCGCTTTGCCAAACCCTCACGATAACAGACACCATGTACAGACCTGTCCAAATCAGATTGGCTGCCAGACCCAGAGCCGGCGTTGCCTTCTCCACCAGCGCTCAATTGCAAAAATGGAGCGACATTCCATTGGCTCCTCCTGACAAGATCTTGGGGATTTCCGAGGCCTACGTCAAGGACACCAACACCAAGAAGATCAACTTGGGGGTGGGTGCGTACCGTGACAACGACGGAAAGCCTATCATCTTCCCATCAGTCAAGAAGGCCGAGGAGATCTTGTTGGCCAAGGAGGTCGAGAAGGAATACACCGGCATCACCGGAAACAAGAACTTCCAAAACATTGTCAAGAACTTCATCTTCAACAACTCCAACAAGGACGCCAATGGTGCCAAGTTGATCGAAGCCAACAGAATCGTCACTTCCCAGACCATTTCCGGTACCGGTTCCCTCCGTGTGATTGCCGACTTCCTCAACCGTTTCTACACAAACAAGAAGATCTTGGTTCCAAAGCCAACCTGGGCCAACCACGTGGCTGTCTTCAAGGACGCCGGCTTAGCCCCTGAATTCTACGCCTACTACGAAACTTCCAAGAACGACTTGGACTTCGACAACTTGAAGCAATCGTTACAATCCCAAGATGAGGGCTCCATCATCTTGTTGCATGCATGCTGTCACAACCCAACTGGTATGGACTTGACCGCACAGCAATGGGACGAAGTTTTGGAAATCATCAAGTCCAAGAAGTTCTTTCCCTTGGTCGACATGGCCTACCAAGGTTTCGCTTCTGGTGACCCATTCAAGGACATTGGCTTGATCAGAAGATTGAACGAGTTGGTGGCTAACGACGAGCTCAAGTCCTACGCCTTGTGTCAATCCTTCGCTAAGAACATGGGTTTGTACGGTGAAAGAACTGGTTCTATTTCCATCGTTACCGAGTCTTCCGACGCTTCCAAGGCCATTGAGTCTCAATTGAAGAAGTTGATCAGACCAATCTACTCTTCTCCACCAATCCACGGTTCCAAGATTGTCGAAACCATTTTCAACGACGAAAACAGTCTTTTGCCTGAATGGTTGTCGGAATTGGACGCCGTTGTTTCCAGATTGAACACCGTCAGATCCAAGTTGTACGAAAACTTGGACAAGACCAACTACAACTGGGACCACTTGTTGAAGCAAAGAGGTATGTTTGTGTACACTGGTTTGTCTGCTGAGCAAGTGATCAGATTGAGAAACGAGTTCTCCGTGTACGCCACCGAGGACGGTAGATTCTCGATCTCGGGAATCAACGACAAGAACGTTGAATACTTGGCCGACGCCATCAACCAGGTGGTCAAGGCTTAAGCCACGAAATAGTGAATGTACAAAGTATAGCCCAAGTGTAGCCGGTATCCAGAAATTTAATCGTGGGTTTCCTGGATCCCAGATGCTGTACGTTCAACAACATGCGGATAAGTTTGAAAAACAGTGCTCCTAGAAACATGAGGTCCTACAAAGGCGATGATTTATGCATGACGACCGTGGACGTGGTATGATTCCATCAGATGATATGGTCAAGTAAGGTGGAATGGGAGTTTAAGCTCAATTCTAAGGATCAGGCCCTATCCAATTCGGCTCATACGGTATTAAAGTCAGTTTAATGAATTGCTAATACTCGAGCAAGAGCTATATTATCTAAGAGATTTATAGGGTCTTAACCTTACTCCAATTGTATCAACACAACAATCTCCTCCTCCTCTAAGTATGAAGTATCGATTTCATCTAAGATTTACACCATCGACCTGAATAACCCTCAGTAAAAGGATTCATAGGAACAGAAACTACTAATAAAAGGCAGACGATCATATATTATGGATCAGAAGTTTGGCATCAACTATTTCAGACGACTGTGATACTTCTATCTCTCACAAATTTCAATAATTGCACAACTGCTCACTTTAGGGCAGTCTAATGGCTATGGCAATCTACAATTGAGCGCAGTTGTCCATATTCGCACTGTTCAACTTATTCATGAGGTCAGTATGCTGGTGCGGTTCACCTCCTCTGCTGGGAGTAATCATGGAGAAAAAATATTCATAGATCTCAGAAGAATTATAACTAGGATGAATAATCGTTTCTGATTAAATTAAATATGGACAAACCTAGAAACGATATCAACTAAATTCCTGCTGCTCTATTACGAATACCATTTCCTCGTTTGATACACTATTGATAATAAAATTAGCCAGACTAGAACCATCATCCACGGTCCTTCCCTTGGTCCACGTGACACTGCCCCTATCCAAGCACCAGCCCAGCCCCGATTCCCGATTGTAGGTGTAAGCGACACTGACGTCGCGGCTTGGTAGAGGACTGTCGCTCTGCGTGCCACCGCCCGCAGAAGATCTGCCAGATACGACGTAGACGCAGACACTGGACGCCTGTCCCAACAGTTCTCTCCTGCAGCAAAGCGTTCGCCCTCAGTATCAGGCGCGGTGTCGCCCACCACGAGTCGCCGGACCACGGTACCACCATACACAGTACCACCATACACGGTACCACCGAAACACACTAACTTTGTTTCCTGTTCTCCCCACACTGCCCCCTGCTCTCCCTACACCGCCTCCTGCTCCTATCAGCCCTTCCAGCCTCCTCTTCCCATCGTACCCATTCAGTGCCCTGTCCCGCGGTTTCAGCCTGCGCGATGTATCGCCAGCACAGCACGGCAGTACTTCCGTCCCCTACCTGAAGTCCCCGACATTGTGGTGTGAAACGCGACTTTGCTACCCGCTGGTGAAGCCCGGATTTTCGCTACCAGTGACTCCATCCTCACCCACCACAACCTGCTGGTAGTTGTACGTCCTCCCTACTTCTCACATTCCCCCTCCCGCTACACAAACCCCCGCCAACCTCGCGGCCTGGCATCCCAGTGACGTCCAGAAAAAACTGCCAGTTATCATCCCGTACCATCGAGCCGCCATGGATGATTCAGACTCCAAGTTGGAATCCACCAACAGGCTTCTCTCCGACCTCGAGCGCAAGCTCTCATTCATCTCCACCACGTCGTCGGCCCAAACCCAGCAGTCGGCTGGGTCGTCAGTGATCATCAACAAGGCCATGAACGGCATAGCAAAACAGAACATCCAGTCGAGCGTGCTCGACTACATCAAGAACGACGACGACTCGATGTTCAGCCCTAACGAGCTCTTCCAGGACCGTCAGGCCAAGTTCATGACCACGTTTGGCAAGCACTACAACGACGACGTCTCGCGCCAGTACCTCAAGGGCAGCGTTTCGCCCAACCTCAACCCCAACCGCTCAATCCACATCCACGAGAGCGACGACATCGACGATGGCGAGCTCGCCATCGAGTCCTCCACCCCCAACCCCCACAGCATCCATGTTCCCATCGACACCATCGATGTGGACGACCCCGAGGGTCTCGATTCGGACGACCCCAGTAATGACTATGACGAGACTGTAAACGACTACGAACAATACCAACACGACGAAGACGACGACGACGACGAAAACGACATTGGCGACACCGATGAACTACTCGTTCCTCCGTCGCCTCCACGATCGCCGCCTCGCGAGTTGGATCCCGACAAGTTGTATGGACTATACGATTTCTCGGGCCCCGATCCCTCGCATTGTGCATTGTCGAGAGACGAACCCGTGTTTCTAATCAACGACGAGGATAACTACTGGTGGTTGATACGAAAAATGACCAAGGACGAAAGGATAGACCACAAGAAGAACACCATGAAGGTTATACCTGACAAAGACGAAGACGAACTGGACGACGAGAACTACAGTGACGAGGATGATGGCAAGATCGGATTTGTACCTGCCGAGTGTCTTGAAACGTACGGCGAGAGACTTGCCAGACTCAACTGCTTCAAGAACGAGGAATTGGAAAGGACTTCCAAGGACACTTTCGAGGTGTACGGGGAAAGTGAAAATTTTGCCATCGATCTCACGAGTCCTATTCACTATCAAAATGACTCAGAAGATTCCATAGTATCAAAAGGTGAGAAACCAGATAGCTCAACTGAAATTGTTCATTCGATAAGCTTGTCGAAAAGCAACAGTTTATTGAAGCATAGTGCATTATCAAAGAGCAGTAGTTTACTTCGCCGAAATGGGCTCAAGAAAGACAACACGAAATCAGTCACCTTTGAGGATTTGGGGCAGTTGGAATTGGAAGAAGAGGAAGAAGAACAATCCCCTGACGATGTGGAAATAATACGAGAACAGCAGAAGAGAGATTTTGATAATGGAACCTTCGATATTCCACACGATGAAATCAAGAAATCCAATAATTTGGCACCTCCAGTCGAAGAGGAAAAGATTTCGGAGGTGCTAAGTGATATTTATCCCGAAGCACCATTAATAATCAACAAGAACAACAAGAAAAAGAAAGCACTTCTACCATCAAAGCTTACCAATATAGAGTCAACTGGGCAGGGACCTCAAGATTCATCACCATTTACTGATTTTGTCAAGCCTACATCGTATATTAATAGAGATGATGTATCCATTGGTTCATTTTCACCAGATACACCCCCATCCAGACTGTCGAAATCTAAGAGACAACAGTACCACACACCAGAAGGTGCAGAAGAGGATGAAGAGGATGACGAATTTAAAGAAATCACAAACAACCTTACCCACTTAAGAAGATCCGTGATCTTAGACAGATTAACTAAGGTCACTTCCGATATCGAACAACAATTGCAATTAGATCATTATGGTTCATCCTCAAACGAGCTAGATGAGGTAGAAGAAGTGGATGAACTGGATGACGACCATATTAGTTCTCGAAACAACGAAACAATTACTGTCCTCGACTCTACTGAAGTGGATCCGTTGGAAACTCCTAAGATTGCTCAGTATGAGACTCCAAGATTGGAGCAGTTTGAAACGCCAAAGTTGGAACAGTACGAAACTCCCAAATTTGACCAATTCGAGACCCCAAAAGAACACCTTCAAACTCCCAAGACAGAGATTTCTCATGCAATTTACAACGAAAACAATCAAAATATACCGGAATCGCCTTTGAATCAACTACAGACAGAAATGGTGCTCGTTCCGGATGCATCAGAAGTCATCAACATTGACGACGACTACGAGTACGAGTACGACTTTGATGACGAGGAAGACGAGGATGAAGATGAAGAAGACGGAGTGGAGGAAGTTAATCACAGTGGCGAATTCACTCCGTTGACCAGCATGAATTCATTGAGCAACGGTGTCAGTGCGAGTATTCCAAAGAGCACTCCATACGACGAGAAACGCAAATCCAAACCAGTGCACGAAATGTTCATGCCTATTCTTGGAAAGTTCGACAAGTTGGCCGAGAAGTTGGCCGAGTTGGACAGTATGTTCGCCGAAAACAAGCGGACTAATCAGTAATGAATGAAGTTCGTTAGTGTGCCATATAGCAATGCACGATAGATAGAAGACGGGTGCATGTAGCCAAATCCTAGAAATGTCAAAATATAGACGGCCAGAATCTGGTTGATATTCTGAGATCGAACGCTACGTTAACAGCACAAAGGCCATTGGCATAATAAGCTATCTTACGCGATAGACCAATAGATCAGAAAGCCTGTACTAATAAAACACTCAGATAGTACTATTAATAAGACCAATAAGACCAATAGAGTAAGCCTGTACTAATACAACCAAAAATGATTCATCCACTTTCAGGTCACTGGCGCACCGTAGATGTTCATCGCAGCACCAGTGGCCCTCTAATTGTCCTAAGAACCCAGCCTGAAAATCCCCAGAGTATGTGGTACAATAATCATTCAGCCGATGGTGCACTGGCCCACCCCAAACTCTCGCTATTTCCTATTGTTTGCGCATCGTTCCTAGCGGCATCATCTCGCGACGCACCGCCGTGCTCATGTATTGGCGTGCCTTGTGTTCGTAATCGTCATGGGAGCCTTGCCGTGGGACCACGCGCGCCACGAGAGGTACCACTGGTGTAGCACCATACAGCACTAAATTGTGGTAAAAACTCATATCCATCAACTTTCTACCGAGAAAATACCAACTTCCATTTGCACTCGAGCAATCTCCAGTCCCCCAGAAGCCCATGCCCGCCTCTTTACCCCCCCTAGCAGTCTTATTCTTACCACCAGCAAAAATTTTCGATCTAGTGCACACCAAAAAAATGTTTCAATCTTAGCTCTTCTCAAGCGATCCAGCACGAATTTCATTCGTTACCACCACCAAGCGAGTCCAAGCTCCCGTATCGTGACTACCAGCGGTCGACTTCGTATTACATGGAAACAGCGAGCCTCCCGTATTTGAATCAGGTACCCGCGGAATCGAAACACCTTCCCTCCAAGTGCTGAGTATCACATCCACACCAGCAACTCATCTCGCTAGCCCCGCCATGTCGTTCACTGCCGATCCAGCAGCCCTTGAGCAGCTCAAGCAAATATTCAGTTCTACCCTCTCCTCCAATAACCAAGAGAGAAAAAGCGCCAACGAGGCCTTGAGCCAGGCCAAGACCCAACCCGAATTCGAGAACTACCTCTTCCACCTCTTGGTGCTCGATAACTCTGCCAAATCAGAAGTCAGAGCCGGCTCGGGTATCAACCTCAAGAATAGCATCCTCAAATCCGCCCACGCCAAAGGAAATGCCCCCAATGCAAACCGCCAGTACTTATTGGACAACATCTTGAAGGGATTGTTGGTCCAGGACAACTTGGTGAGAAACATCACCGGTAACGTCGTCACCTCGTTATTTTCCATTTACGGAATCGAGTACTGGCCAAACGTCTTGCCCCAATTGATCGAATTGGCCAACCACGAGGCGGGTCCCTATGATTCACAAGAAGCAGCAATGAACACCTTGGGCAAAATTTGCGAAGATTCGTCTATGGTCATTTGCTCCGAATACAAGGGAGAATCCCCATTGAACTTCATGCTCTCCAACCTCCTCAAGCTCATGGTTCACCCCCATTCTGGAATAATAAGAGCATTATCTATTCACTGTGTCAACCAATTCATTCCTTTGAACCCTCAGGAGTTTTCCAACTATCAAAACCAATTTCTCCAGAACTTGTTCGAATTGTCCAAGGATTCCTCCACTAAGGTGAAGAAGAACATCTGTTCTTCGTTCTCCATGATCTTGGAAACTTCTCCAAACACTTTGTTGCCTCACTTGGATGGGGTAGTTAACTACTGTCTTCATTTGATGCAAGACAACGACGAAGAAGTAGCCTTGGAGGCATGTGAGTTTTTGTTGTCATTGTCTAGTATCTCTGAAGACGAAGTCAACAAGCAAATCTTCATTCCAAAATTGAAGTTGATCTTACCAATTTTATTGGGCACTATGGTATACTCAGAAGAAGAAGTGTTTTTAATGGAGTTAGAGAGTTCTAAGGACATCACATCTGTCCAAGATAAGGAAGAAGATATCAAGCCCAAGAATGTCAAAGTCAAAGAGCATTCTGCTAAGAGTAATTACAGAAAAGAGGATGATGATTCAGATGACGACTCTGACGAGGACTCAGACTCTGATTCAGATTCCTTAGTTGACCAATGGTCGCTCAGAAAATGCTCAGCAGCAACCCTTGACATTCTTTCCTTGAACTTGCCAGGTGAAGTCCTTGAGATTTCCTTGCCTATTTTGCAAGAAAGAATTTTATCTACTGACTGGAAGGTAAGGGAAGCCTCTATTTTGGCCTTCGGTGCAATTTCTAAGAGTTGTATCGAATTATCAGATGATAAGTTGCCAACTTTGGTTACTTATCTCATTGAACGGTTGAAAGACCCCCAACCTAGATTGAGACAAATCACTTGTTGGACAATTTCCAGATTTGCATCATGGATTATTACTCAGTCGCCTCAATTAGTGGACCTCACTATCCAATCTATTTTGGCCAGTTCATTGGACCAGCAAAAAATTGTCCAGCAATCTGCATGTTCATCATTGACATATTTAATAGAGGAAGCCTACAGTGAGTCTTTGCTCCCATATCTTGATCAATTGTTGCACCATTTCACCAGATGCTTCCAGATTTACCAGAAGAAGAACTTGGCAATTTTGTATGATTGTATCCAGACTTTCGTTGAGAAGCTCGGATACGAAAATTTGTCTAAATCCGAGAATATCAAGGAGTTGATCCCACCCTTGTTAAGCAAGTGGGAGGAGTTGGATGACAATGACAATGCTTTATGGTCATTGTTGGAATGTATAGCCAGCATTGCTTCGACATTGGGAGAATTGTTTGCACCATACGCTGTTCCTATTTACCAAAGAGCTGTGAAGATTTTGACAAACTGCATAGAATTGGACCAACAAGCGCAAACCGACCCACTGATCGAAACCCCCGAGAAGGATTTCATAGTGACATCGTTGGACTTAATAGACGGGTTGATTCAAGGATTCGGTTTTCATTCGGCCGAGTTGATTGACCAAAGATTGATGGAGTTGCTTCTCATCTGCTTGGAAGACCATTCCAACGACGTGAGACAATCGGCATATGCATTGTTGGGAGATTTGGCTATTTCAGTTTGTGACGTGATAGTCAAGCCATGGTTGAGATCGATTGTATTGAGCATTGGCAATGAAATCAACAACCGTAACTACGAGTCATATCCTGTTGTCAACAATGCCATCTGGTCATTGGGGGAGATGTTGATGAGATTACCACCTCATGAGATCAAGCCATATTTTGAAAATTTGGTTGACTTGATCATACCCGTGTTGATCAGCACTGATACTCAGCAGACGGTCTTGGAAAACTGTGCCATCTGCTTGGGTAGAATGGGTATCAGCGGTGACCCCGAATTGTGTGGGTTATTGGGTCAAAAATTGCCTGGGTTCATCTTGCAATGGTGCTCGCAGATGTTGTACTTGATTGACAACGAAGAAAAGGAGACAGGATTCACCGGAATGTTGAACATCATCAATACCAACCCAGTGAACGGGTTTGGTGGGTTTGACAATAGCCAGGGAAAGAAGAACTTAGGAATATTCTTCGTGTGTATTGGGAGCTACGCCCAACCCAGTGACGAGTTGAGAGGATTGTTCGGACAGATGTTGAACAGCTTCAAGGGGTTGTTGGGTAGTGAATGGGAAGGAGTGATGGCCCATGTTGATCACGAGTCCAGAGGGGTTTTGGCTTCTGTGTATGGTGTCCATTAGAACAGTGTTTGGTATCAGTGCTATGAAAATCAGCACTCGAATGGCCTAATTACCGTATGGTACCCTGGTAATTTAAGCACCATAAAGCTACGCCTCGGAGCCGTCTCATCCTGGTGTTTCATGGAGTTACTCTCTTGGTTGAAACACCCATACAATACTTATAGCTCACCTACAGCTTGGCAGGCACAACGTCTTTATTCTCTCGGTTACAACAGCCATACAATATTTATAGCTCGTACAGCTTGCATCTACATAGATATTTTATTTTCATTATATTCTTCGTTGACCAAGCAATATTATAGCTCGCTCATCTATATAGATTCTTATTTTCATTATTTACTTCGTGACCAAGCAATACTTACAGCTTGCATCTATGTAGACTCCTTGTCACTATACAATACTTCGTTGACCAAGGTAATGGGAAGATCCCACACCCCACTGGGTGCCTTATGCACGTACTCTACTGCTCTGGCCACCTGCTGGTGGTGGCTCAAGCCAGACGTGCCCACAGCACCCGCAAAGGCCGAGTGTTCGTCTATGAAGTTGCGGATGTCGTCTAGCGGAAACGTCTTGACCTCCGTGTTGTAAAGTGCCAACGCAATGTACACGAAGAGCATCGCCATTAACGAGTAGGCCGGGATGGCCAACGACCAGTAGTTGTCAGGGTAGTAGTGGATGGAAAGGTAATCCTGGATGAACCACTCAGGCAAGAGGGCCCAGCATGTCCAGAGCACAAGTACAAGCGCACTCAACACATACATGAAAAAGCCCTTGTATTCCGCGTAGGGTGTGATGTTGGTGGATACGGTGACATCCGACTGGCGTGCCAACGAGTCCTCCACTGGCTGGATGTCGGGAGACGCAGTACGGGACCGTAGGCTCATGGTGGTGGTGATCTGTGGACGGAGGAACCGGCTGATTTAGATGATGGTTGGAGTTTTGCTGGATTGTGGAGTTCATGAGATGATCTGGACGCGCGACACTACGTGGAATGAATGGGGTGGGGGACTATGGTCTGGGGTATTGGATTGCGCTAATGGATTGGGCTTCGAACTGTACATGGTACTGTAATCTTTCAGACAGAGGTTTCTGGGAATTGGTTTGGACTGTTGGTCCAACTTGGCATTAAACGGGTTTGGTAATAATTTCAGTGAGGCCCCAGACCAGCAGCAGTGGCTGCGTGTCTGGAGTACTTTCCTACATCAATGGGTATAGCTGCCTTATAAACGATTCCAAGTTAATTTTTCAATTCTATTTCTTCTAATCAATGGTAGGCATTCATGAGAAGTTATTTTTCATGGCCAACACCTATTGATCAGCCAGAATCCCACCCCTTCCTCGTTTCTACACTGCTGTATCGATACAGAAAACTCATCTTCATCCTATTAGTCTCCAGACTATATACTATACGATTAGACCAATTGCTTTCTAGAACCCTTGAAGAAGAGTTGAACAATAGTGATTTGTAAGAATGCCATTCCGACCATCAATATCACCTCAAAGATGGAGAAATAGTAGATTCTGGATTCGGTGGACTTGACAGTGTCGTGGTTACGGTTGTTTCTGGTCTTGTAATATTGTAAGGTTCTGGACAATCCATCCAACTGTTTGTCGATGTTGTCGATGGTGTTTTGCATGCTTTCAACGTGAGCAATTGGCTTAGCGTTGGGTTGGCCCGGTAAGTTGGCTCTGAAATCGTCGTCGTTCTCGTCGGCGAACTTGATTTCGAAATCAACAACCTTGTCGTGGTAGGTAGACATGCCATTGGAGAAGCAGAACTCGTACTCTCCAACGACGTCGGCATTGAACACCCAGTCACCCTGTCTAGACTTGACCTCGCTTTGGAGCACGTCACCTCTGGGGCTTCTGACCTCGTAATCGACATCAAAGTCTCCTCCAGACTGGACAGCAAAGTAGCACGCAACGTTGGTGTTAGGCTTGGTGGTGAAGATGTAGTAACATGCCTTCTCTTGGGCCTTCAAGTTGAAAGTGAAGGCGGAAGCCGAGATCAACGTGGCGAAACCCAACACGGTGAGCAAGTATTTGAGCATCATGGTTCGTGGTGGTTAAACATGAATCGAGTGTTGGCATTTTTAGACGTGTCGAAGGGGTCGTGCGAGCTCAGACACGTAGCACAAACGGCCTATGTGCAGGCGGTGAAAAGTATTAAAATCCTATGTATAATTACAACTAAGTGAGTATTGCACAAGGGCGGAGGTTCTTCGACTGAAGGGCAATCCAGAGGCTACTGAGGATATCTTGTGAGACGCTCCTCGTGCCATTTAAGACGTGAAAGACTGCTGTTGCGCAGAGTAGTGCACTTTGGATGATACTGATGGTATTACTTTTGTCATTCTCATTAGCTATTTACAATTATATATACACCATTCTACCTTCGGCGTCAAATCCAACGGATCTGTCCTTTCTCTTGTCTCTTCTGGAAGCACCGTAACGGAATCCGACGTCGCCACTGGTACGAGAAGTGAATTTGAATGCAGTTCTTTCGCCCTGTCTTTGAGCACCAACAATGACCTTGTTGAGAGCTTCCTTGGACGAGTCTTCGGTGTTGACCTGCGACAACTCCTCCAAGGTATCTCTAGCAACAGGAAGGTCCAAGATCTTGGCAGCATCGACAGGCCCAAAAGGCTCGGACTCAGCAATGGTCAAGAAACGCTGCTGCAAAGTCTTATGAGGAGTAGGAATTTCCGTCAAGTTATCAGCACCGTGTGGTGGCTGGTAGAGAGGGAACATCTTGTACATGACGGAGGCAAAGTTTTCGAGATCGGGGAAGATCTTGTTCTAGATGTTAGTATTGTCCAATGATTTCGAGTGCATTTCAGTGATAATTTTCTAACCATGTAGTTGTCTTCAAGACTAATCGAATTTTTAAATAATCTCATCATTATGCGTTCGCTCCACTAATACATACCTCTTGTTGCCATTGCTTTTCAATGGAATTCAATCTCAACACAGCTTCGATTCTAGCCAACTTGATCCCGTACTTGTGAGCCACCTCTTGGGCATGCATGCCGTTTTCGTTGATGTCGTCGCAAATCTTCTGCTTGAGTTCATCAGGAATAATCGATGCGGTACGACATGCAGCGTTCTGAGGGAAAGGGTGCAATTCAGGATTGCGTCCAGGCAGGGTCAATTGTCTGGGAGGAAAAGCCTCTCTGTAAGTCAGATCAACCACGGTTTGTCCGTTGGGAACAATGTAGTTGGGCTTGTGGTTTTGTGGTGGGTAGTAGTACTTGTTGCGGTAGTACTCTCCCCGTATGTTCTTGGGGCCCAAGAATCCCTTTAATGCTCTTTGGAAGAAACTGGCATGGTCCTTCTTGCCGGTGGGTTTCGGTACGTTTTGGGGGTTGTATCTGGGGTACGCAAGTCTCCGCTTGTAACGAACCTGCTGCAACCCTACTCCGGCCCGCGCTATGCTGGTGTTGCCTGGACGAAACATGTGGTGAAGAAAGAGAAGAATTTAACGTAAAAGTTTTTCATCGACAAACGACATCACCGCGACATGACATGCTCACGTGCACGACTTAGGGCTCGAGCGTGCGACACGACAAGGGAGGCAGCCACCAACATTACCGGGATAGATCTGGCCCTCTGGCGCCGTTGGTGGCACGAAACCTGGTACTCCACTGCTGGGACTACTATGAGATACTCACGTGCTTTCCGAGTCCGCTGGACGGCCCAAAGCCACACAAGTAGAACCACGGTGATCAACATCACGTGATGTCAACAGATCAGACGCGCCTATATGGAAGTAAACGAAACACGATCTTTCCTAGAAAGGCACCGGTCCTGTATGAGCTACTCCACGATAAGTCGTATTCTGGAAGAGATGGAGTCTCTCTCCGGACCGCTCGAGTCAAGATTTGCGCCCTCAACCATCCCTCAAAAACGAAGAACACCGCCAGTAAGCGAGGACAATCCTTTTAATGACAAGAGCACACGAAAGGAAAGCGATGACAACAAGAACAGCGCAAGTGCCAAAGCATCCGCAGTTAATGCTGCATTACAGTCACCATTCATACGAACCCAAAACCTTTCCAAAATAATAAATCAAACGTTCATGCCCCCACCAAATCCAGCATCCAGTGATGTGAACTCTGGAACTGCAACGGCAAACAAAACCATCCAACCGGTGGAAGAGGCCGAGTGCGAAGAAAACGACCTCAAGGAGGAGTTCGAGGAGGATGAAGTCTCCTTGGAAGTGCTTGAAGACATGAGTCGGTTGGAGAAGTGCTTCCCGGAATTGGGTATTCACTATCGTCTCATAGATAAAATTGGCGAAGGAACATTCTCGACCGTGTACAAAGCTGAGTGTGTCACAGGAACTATCAGGCTAGACACAGAGGTATGGAAATCCCCCCCTTTGAAGAAAAATAGAGGCAATAAGGTGCCAAAACAAAAGAATGCATTAGTGGCTTTAAAACAAATATATGTGACATCCTCACCTAACAGAATTCATAACGAGCTCAACCTCCTTTACATGTTATCAGGAAATTCTCATGTTGCTCCTTTGTTGGATGTTTTGAGGTATCAAGACCAAGTTTTAGCTATTCTTCCGTACTACCAGCATGCTGATTTTCGTGATTTTTATCGGGATTTACCGATCAAGGGAATCAAAAAGTATTTGTGGGAAATGTTCCATGCCTTGGACTTCATTCATGAAAAGGGCGTCATGCATCGGGATTTGAAACCAACTAATTTCTTGTATGATCCATTCAAAGGACGTGGTGTTTTGGTGGATTTCGGGCTAGCTGAGAAAGAAGTTAAAACAACATCGAAAATTTCGAATGCTTGCCCTTGCATATCCACTGAGAAGGTATTGGTAAACAGAAACATATCGAAACGACAAAATATTAAAGGTGCATATCCAAAGCAAGATCAAAGGCCACCTAGACGTGCAAATAGAGCGGGTACTAGAGGATTTAGGGCACCGGAAGTCCTCTTTAAATGCACAAACCAAACTACAAAGATTGATATATGGTCTGCCGGTACCATAGCGTTCTCCTTGCTATCTAGGAAGTTTCCCTTGTTTAACTCACCAGACGATACTGATGCCCTCTTGGAAATGGCATTAATATTCGGTAGTGACATGATGAAAAAATGTGCAGAATTACATGGATGTGGCTTGGAAATTAACCTTTCAAACTCTTCGATTTCAACCAGCTGTAATTTGGTGCAGACATTAAATGATTTCCTCAAATTTGAAAATGAGAATGGTTGTTTTCCTCCTGATAGTGTGGTTTTAGATACGATAAAATTGTTCAGCGAGAAAGGTGATAAGTTCGTCAAACCAATATTTGAAGAGGGTGCCGATTACGAAGCATTCAAACAGGAACTAGAGAATTACAATGATCATAAATTCATCATGGAAGTATTGCTGGCTGCATTACAGATTAATCCTTCAAAACGGTTATCAGCTAAAGAAATCTTAACATTGCCATTCTTTCAGGAAGTTAATAATGAACATGACGACGTGGTTCTATTATGAATTTGCATGTTTATTTTATTGTACAGGGTTTTATAGGGTTACAAGAATATACACAGAATTAATAACACGCCACGAACTGAATAATTAGAATATGGGACCAAGAAAACTAAACCAAAATAATATATTGTCATAAGCACTCTGTTTGGTAAGCCTAAAAGTCATCTCTTTCGTCAAAAGTATCGTCCTCGTCTTCGGCCCAATCTCTGGATCGCTTTCGAGATATGTCTTCCTTTTTGGAATCAGGAAGCTTGGATTTTTGTTCCGCGTCATTTTCGTCTTTCTTTTTTTCCAGGACTTCAGAATACATGGATTTGTTCCATTTCTGATTCAATTTGGTGATTGCCTTATTTTGATCCGATATGCTTTCTGTTTTTTTAGGGAGGTGTGAGTTGAGGTGCGGCACCGCGAATTTATTATGCAAATCAGGAATAAACGAGTCCGAATAAGAGATGGTCGGACTGACGGGAGGAGAAATGTTGGAGTTGTGAAGTAATTCGAATTGAAGCTCTTTCGAGTAAAATTTTTTCAAGTACATTTTCTGCATGGAAGTTGAAGGTTTCACTTTTTTGGTCAACTTGGAGGACTCGGATTTTTCACGCGACGATTGCAAGTCGAGACTCAATTCCTTGTCCTGGTTATTAAGCGACAACGGCGACGGGGTGGGGTCTTGGAGATGCTTGAACGGGTGGTTTGGTGCATTTGTGGTGGGGACCGACGGGGGAGATGTGATATCGGAGTTGATGTGATCTTTGTACTTGAAGCGGAAGTCGGACTTGATCTGTTCCAAGTGGTCGAGGGCGTCGGTGGTGGGAGGGGCATATTTTTTCAATTTGTACACGGGCTTGGCGATGTTACGCGTGGGGGTCACCAACTCGAGCTCCGAGTCGTCGTCGGAAAATAATGCACTGTTGTAGAGTTTGAGCCGGTTGGAATAGTCGGTGGGGGGCGATGCCACCCTCAGCACGACATTTTCTCGGGGATGATGCGCGACATCGCTGCTGACACCACAGGGCATCCCTCCAGCCAGACAGCCAGTGGCGGGCAACGCCGGGCCAAAAGCAGCCAAGCCCACACCAGGGTCATTGCGGAGCGGCCGGGAAGTGTCGTCCATGGAAATGATCAGATTTCGCGGACTTTCGATGCTGACTATAGACATGCTGCGAGCGTTATTGGGAGTAGGCACGTTGCTGGGAACATGCGGAAGATGGGCGTTGAGCACCGAGTGGTTGGAGGTGATGGAGTTCATGGACGACGAGCGTTGTCGGTGGGCAAACGTCGTGGTAGCTGGAGGCTTGATCATGTAAGGGCTGCTGGCAGCAGAATGCTCGTTGGACAGGATGGGGCTGTGATGGTCATTGTAAAACTCCGAGGACGCCATAATGGCTTGTTCGTCTGACCGGCAACTCCGGTAGCGTGGATGGACGAGGGTGTGCTGCAGGTGGGGGGTCCCGCTATGAGATGAGGTAGTGGTGGTGCTTATCACCTCGATTTGTTCGTCAAATGAGATGAGAATCACGCCTCCTGTATACAAGCCGGGACGAAGAACCCTGAACCACTGCCTACGCACGGAGGAGGTGCTCTGGGAAGGCGGGGTCTGGTTGGGGAGCTGGGTCGGGCGCAGGAATGGGGTCATCCAGGGTCCGGGAAACCATCGCCAATTGCGCTCGGTTGGGCCCCAGGCCCAGGATCGAGGCGCTCCCCGACCTGATAGTTAGGCAGAAACCGCCCTGGAACCGCCCCAGTGCTGCCAAGCATCGCCACGGCAGTGTTTTTCGCCGGAATTGTCTTAACACCCCGCCTGTGTCCGAGCCTGTAGTGGTTTGACGTGCATATGTGTCTAATATGCATCCGCATGAGCGACAGGTCACTTGACACAGGTCACCTGCAGCTGCATCCAGAACTAGCTGCAAACAAGTAACATTAGAGCATCAGCAGTCAACCGCTGTGACACTTGGCTAGCTGCACCCACGAGTCACCTGGAAGCACAAACCCTTCGCCGTAAACACACACTAGAACTCAACCGTCACTTCACCGCCCCTCGCACCTGATCCTACACTCATACAATGCAATAATATAGTATACAACCTACTGACTAATAGGACAGCTTCTCAAGTAGTCAGCCTTGTTCTTCAACACCCGGACCGACTTGAAGAAAATCTCCTCGGGAGACATGGCTCCCGTGGACTCCACGTTGAAAATGAAGTGGTCTCTCTTTCTGCCCAACTTGACTTTGCCGTTGAATTCCTCGTGTCTCAACACCTCTCTGGAAACGGTATCCTTTCTGGCGTCCTTGACCACGGCCTTGCCCTGCGAGTCGATGTCGATGACTCCCGATGGGAAGCACTTCTGGAACTTCTTGGCCTCGTTGCCAGTGATAGGCTCGATAATGTCAATCACAGGCATCAATCTGTAGGAGGCAGTGGCCACAGGCGAGAACTTGGCGTGATCGCTACCAACACCCAACACACAGTAGGCTCTCAACGAGATTTCTTGTCCAGGTCTCAACTTGGCCAAGAGGATGTCAGGGTCACATGGAACCACGGGACTGTTCTTGTATCTCTCTAATTGGGTGCCGTGTGGTTCGAACTTCAAGTCCTTGGCGTAGACATGGGCGTTTCTGTACAATTCCTTGGGGTCGGTGGAGTTCTTGGGCGCATGGGGGTTCTTGGTACATGTCACGTCCAACGACAACACTATGGTGTTGTCTTCAGTGAATCTATCGGCGGGGTCGACGGTCTTGTCCACCCAACTGAGCGAATCTGGATCCACCTTCAATGGAATCAAACCAATTCTTTGTGCCAACACCTCATCTTGTATCACCGAGGTGTTCATGGACATGTATATAGTTTCAGGGGCCACTGATGGAACCTCTGCGATCATGACACGGCGGAACGCATTGGCGATCGATGTATCTATGTTTTTCAAGTCGAAGTTGGCATTTCTTTCGGTGATGTAGGAAATGTCGATTTCAAAGGTGTCCTTAAATTTTTCGATATCCCACGAGAAATCGCCATTGGCGCTGTGGCCCGGGAAGTCGGTAGAAGTGGTGTTTGTCACCCTGTTATATTCTATTCCTACTATGTTGGACATGGTGGTGACTGTTCAGCTTTAGTCAGAAACTTTTGAGATGGCATCGAGAAAAATTAGGATGTCGTGGATTCCTCAAGATAAAAGTGCACGTGACACAGGTGGATCGTGGTAGTTCCTTGCAAGACTGGGGTTGGCGCTCTGTATGGTGACCCGTTGACATCGTTAGGGTTTCAGTTCAGTTGCTGGCTCATCTGAACGGTTTATGCTTTAATCATCAATCTATCTCGTCGTTGCTAATTAGGACAGTGTAGATGACCTTGACCAATACTTACCCCCAATACTAGCCATCAACAGTCCTTCCGTCCTGTGGGCTTCCAGAATTAGACATATTGCTTATGTACTTCAATATTGGGCTGAGTTGATTCATATTTTACTTTCTAGTAGAAGAATAAATATTCCAGACCGCAGCACTATACCGAATGTTTTGCACCCTTCAGTGCGAGAACTCTCCCACTAACAAAAGACTTGAATTGGAGCTGGAAAGCTCACAAAAAGCTAAAATTATAATGCAAACTACTTAAGAAAGTCATCTTGAAGCAGAACAGTCCCCATTTTCAGCTTTAGACTCAGTAAAAATGGATATACTATCCCGAGGCTACCTACAACTGAAGTCCCGTCGATATTTATTGCGTTCGGCAAAAACCAAGTTACTTGTACTTATCTATATAACTTAACCCATTAGGAGGCCACCTCCATTTTAATAGTTACGGAATCCAGTGTGTTCCATCTTGTCATATCATGTCCATTATTTAATTCAAACAAATGCTCCTGGTGGTATATGGGGTATTCTATCTGCCCTGCTAGCAACTTCTCCATTAGTGCTAAGGTTGGTTCTTGCCATGGCATTAGGATATGGCAACTGGTAACTTAGGACCTGATAAATATTGGGAATCAAGTCAAGTGTGGTAAGAAATACTCCGCCGTTGTAACCATCGCTTTCCAAAAACGGCTCGTCTATGTTGTCGTTGTCTTCCACTCTCTTTTGGTCAAGGATGATAGCATCATTCGTCACGCACATCAATGCATGGAACACTATTTGAACCACAAATAATAGGACATCAAGTAGGAGTAGCTCGATTACCGAATAAGGTAACCGTTCCCCGATAAACTGAACCGTATAGTACCCATGAAGGTTCTTATCTTGCCAGGGGCTGTCGGTGTAAACACCAAAGTAAGCATGTACCAAGAAGCAACACACATTTCCCACCAATACCCCTGTCAAAAGGAATTTTGTTAGGCCCTTCTTATTTTCATCTGACATCTGTGTTCTGCTGTCTAATTCGGTAAAAGGGTTAGAGATAGAGACATGCACCAAACCACGTATGATTAGCATCAACAAGGCCTGGTCCCGAAGATATATTATTGCAAGTAGGATGAATCCCACGGCCTTAAACGAGTGGCGGAGATCTTGGAGAAAGAACCTCTTTCTTTTGGAGAGCACCGACGCATTGTTGACGATGGTCTGCTCCACTGTAGGATATGTTTGCGTCAGGAAATCACTCAAGTGTGTTTCCAAATCGATAGCCATATTTCTAGATGGCTGAAGGTGACAAAATTGACGTGTGGATGCTTCTCAGTCTTGGAGCCAGCTCTGGAGAATGTAGCACCCTTTCGATATGGGGGAGGTGTTGGGTATCGCCACGTATTGTCAGATGCGGGTGTGATGGCTCTGCTGAAGATGTGTTTGAACGGCCAAGGTGCTATGAAAAACGAGATTGAATATGCTGTGTATAGCCAACTGTACAGGTGTGGGGTCCAATTGAGCCAAACAATGTTGATGAGACTCTGATAAAGTGTTTCGTATCTTGAACTAGCACACCTAAATGTGCACTGAATTGATTTTTTGGGTCACCTGGCCCATAGTGCGTGGTGGATCAAATAGAGATATTAGGGACGTAAAAGATCCACTTCGAATTTGGTGCCTAATTGGTCACGAATGTCCTTAATTGGAGTATTTCTCTCTGTAAGATTTTATCCATATAGTTATATATTTATTGTGTGAGTCTTGTATTTCCAGCTCACTCAGCGCAAAACCTTGATTTGGAATCGGATTAAATTTGATACCAATACTGAACTGGTAAATTGTAGCTAAGAATGATTAGCTACAAATGATTGGCTAGAACTGAACTAGAGAATGGCTTTTGTATTCCAAAAAATGTATTTATTTTTTACTTACAAAGAGTCTTACTACAATCTATGTGGTTTCGAGTCCCTATACATACAAGATATCTACACCCCTGCAATACACTTGGAGTCTATTATCGATTCTTTAAAAATAGGTAAGAGTACCTCGTTATACTAAATATTGAAAGGATCCATCCTTTCGGCTGCGGCATCCATAGAAATCAATCTTGTGGGTTAATGGCTCACTTATTTCATGACCAATGCTGACCATCTTCTCGACTTTTTCAAATCCCTTCTTGTCTACTTTACTGCCCAGCGCCAATATATTAATCGTACTTATGGGGGTCAGCATATAAAGCCTTGTCACTTTCCCTTCATCAAATCAACATAAAATCTACCCGAACTGATACTTGTCACCTAAATAATTCAAGTTGGCTTTGCGATATTAACTACCTTGATAAAGTCCATCTCGTTCAAGCAAAAGTATCAGCTGTTAATCAACGTTTCAAAAACTTTTGTGATCTGAAAAACATACTACACTTTGTTTGATGCGAAAAAAAAATGCCATAGCTAATATAGAAAGAATAGATTCTTAGGAAAAGTCAACCTGAGCTGTGGAACGGAAGCCTATGATGCTATTGAAATATATATATGATCACGTGATTGAGATTTTGGATAAGGTCTGTTTTTCAGATCAATTATTTTTTCAAGAAACAGGTCCCTTGGCCCAGTTGGTTAAGGCGCGGTGCTAATAACGCCGAGATCAGCAGTTCGATCCTGCTAGGGACCATTTCTTCAAAGGGCGTGTGGCGTAGTTGGTAGCGCGTTCGCTTAGCATGCGAAAGGTCTCCGGTTCGACTCCGGACTCGTCCATTGTTTTTTGATTGTTAGAACTAATGAATTCTAAGCTTAAAAGAGAACCCTTTATTTCTCCTATTTTACAATCAGTTCAAAATTTAAGCCTGCGGCAAGTTTGTCTATTAATACATATATACACATTCTACTTGCGGATCTTAATGGACTCAATAAGATCATCACCAAGTAGGGTAATTTGGTTGAAAATAGCATCCTTGTTGATGACGACTTCATCTCCACGGTCTTCCAATGGCTTGACATTGATCCCGATGTTGGCTCTAAACTTCTTCTTGTTAAGACAGTCAGGTATGAATATTCCACTGATCACATTTGAACCATCTTGATTTAATCCAGTAAACTTCTTGGTAGAAAAGATGATCATATGTCCAAACTTATCAGACAAGTCCTTGACAAAAGCCTGTATCAAATCATATTGAGATGTAATGTCGTCAGGGAATGAAGTTTGGGCATTGATCAAATTCTTGAATTTATTAGGTGGTAAGATACCGGATGAGATAGTCAAGCTAGATGACTTGACCTTGATGACAAAATCAAAGTCGTTCAAAGCTGGAGTGAAAATTAAGTCCATGTTTGTTTCGTTTAATCCTTGTGTTTTGATAAGCTGGGTAGCTATACGGGACAATGCTGTTAATCTGCTGGCAATTGGTAAGCTCAAGTTGCTGGTCCATAAAATACCAGAGGGATCGTCCTTGGAGCCAATAAAGAACTGAGTTTTGATCCCGGAAGGATCGTTCTTCCTGATCTTTTCAAAGTTCAGTTCGATAACTCTAAAGGACTGAATATTAAGTCTGTCACTCAATTTAGTAGGGTTGGTAACATCCTCATCAGCAGTGGACTTGACAAGATCCAATATCAATGGGACTTCCTTCCAGTTCCAGTTTGCCAAAAAGTTCAATATTTGTAAGAAACCATTTTCGACTGAGTTTGGAATTGAATATGGAGCAGGATCAACAAACGGCTTTATAGCAAGAAGCTCAATAAGTTCGTCCGAAAAGTGATGCAAAAGAAGTTGTGAGTCCAACCATTGCTTGAATAATCTGACAGTTGGTGAATAAAACTTGTAGTAAGTCGCAAGCTGACTAATGGTTCTTGTGTGCTTTACAACGCCCATGTATCTTTGGTTAAACTTCAAGTAGACATCTTGCAATAAAGCCTTTTGTTTGTCGCTATTGGTAATAGCTCTGAGGTAAAGGATCTCATCTCTTTCCGTTAATACTCTGATTCTGAACCCAAACCCTTCAGGAGTGAGAATGTTCAACAAGCAAATATTTTGGTTGTATGGGATGGATGAATCAGTTGTCAAAAATGATCTGTAAGTAGAATCTCCAAGAAGTTCATGGATCTTGAGCAAGAAAACAGTCTTCATCTTTTCCAAGGAAATCAATTCATCAGGCCATCTAGTAGAGGATTCGAACTCCAAAACAAGATCATTCCAGAAATCAGGATTGGATGCAGCGAATGGAACAGGCTGTAAAAGAGATGAATATCTCAAGGCAGCAGAGGCAGAAGAAATTGATCTAACTTGCAATGGAAGAGTAAAGTTCGTGATAATCTTAACCAAATCATCAAATGAACTAATAAGGCTGGTGTAATTGGTCAATGACGTGACACCTGATTGTAAAGACCCTTGCGAAGTTGAACTTCCTGAAATCAATGGAGGTGCAAGTCTATCGTTAAAGCTGACTATGTCTGTTGTCAAAGTACTTGACATCTGCTGATGTAAGTGTTGGTCAAGAGCAAACTTGACAATGGTTAAGACAATAGGCTCATTATTGGTGTAGGTCCAAACCACACAGTGTTGGATATTACCATCCTTAAATCTTCTCAATGATGCCTTAGATCCCCAAAAGGATCTGAACTTCATTCCAAGTTCTTGGTCATCGTTGCTAGGTCCCTTAGTAACCAACTTTTCTGATTCCTCGGTGTTCAATTGAAGACCAACGACATATGACATGGATGATGAGGCAGATGGTTTTCTCTTAGTCAATGGGTAACTATTGGAAGGAGTTTCATTTCGTATATGAATCAAGTTGACTCTGTTATTCAAAGCAGTCTTTAAAATGACATAAAGCTTATGCTTGATATAATTGTCAAAGCTAATGAAGGTGATTCTTTCCAAAGGACCGAATGATTCCATCAATTCTTCAGGAATATTGAAGTTCAATACGATATCAAACTTCATTTGATCAAATGTAGACTTTTGCAATAAGATTGGATCAAATCTATCGAAAACCACATCATTCAATAATCTGAGAGTCTCTTTAGCTTGCGCTTGCAAATTTTCATAAGAGGACTTTGTCATTTTCCACAAAACGTTCAATTTGGTGTTTTTGTCAAAGATAGTTGGAACCCCAAACCCACCTGAGTTATACTTGGAAGGAACATTCTCCCCGATCAATGACGAGAAGGATACGTAACCATCATTACTTAAATCCATGGAGCTCAAATATTTGATTGTTCCTTTGAATAATTGGTACGAAGAGAACCCGTGAAGTAAGATTTTATTTCCATTCAAACCTCCTCCGTTGAATAAGACTGACATCAAAATGGCGAATTCAAAGTGGCCAAATCCACCCTTATTAAATGATGACCCAAATCCACGCTGCTGAAGCCACAATCTACCCAAGATACATGCATCCTTGAAGGCCTCAGTAGTCTTCTTGGTAGTGTAGAGGAACTTCAAGTAGTAGTCGTATGAAGTTGAGGACAAAATCGATGCATTGTATAATGGAGTAGGTGGTAATTCAGCTGCTTCTGATTGTACTCTGATACAGTTCTTATCAGGCAACAACTTCTTGGAGTCGAAGAAACCGAATGGGAACGCCACTAAAAGATTGATAGTGAATTTGGTTTTATGGAATGTCAAATCTTTTTGGTTATCCGTTTGAATGGATTCAAGCTTCAATACCGGGCATAATGGATCATCATTAAGGAAATGGTATGATATTTTGATTGGTAAGTTGTTCTTCTTCGATAATGGAATTAAGTGTTCAGCCAAGTAGGCCAAGTAAAATGCTCTCTTGTAAAGAGCTCTATAATTAAGGTAATCCTTTGGCTGGAACAACTCTTCTGGCATTGTCAATGCGATGTCTATGGACAGACCTTCGGCGCTGGCTATTCCTGTCTTTAACCCAAACGACCCCACCAAGGATATATCCTTTGGAGGAACATAGGAGAATGTGTAGTTGACTTTAGTTGGCTTTGGATCTGGGAAAGGAATAACGATCTTTTTGGAATTGAAAAGGGCCTCGGCCTGGTTCAACAGTAAATTTTCAGTAGAGGGAACTTGAGAAATGAGCTCATGGAGTCTATGCAAAACTTTCTCGATCTTGGCAACGTGAGAATCTTTCAATTTAAGTTCTTTCATAAGCTCGTCGATCTGGAGTTTGAATATGTTGGATTTAAAGAGTTCTGCGGTTTCTCTGGCCACCTGAATATCTTGAGCTGAGAGCTGTTTCCGTTGTTTCTTGGTGGGAGGTCCCGAGTGCCCGTTGGCTTTAGGAGTTTCTTCTTCCTCGTCGTCCTCTTCATCGTCATCGTCATCCTCGTCCTCTTCTTGCTCGGAATCCTCGGTCTTGGTGACTTGTTCCTCAACTTCACTCTTTTCTATTTCATCTGAGCTTGGGTCATGTTCAAGGATGGCTTCCTCTTCAACCTTTCTTTTGGCCATAGTTCCAGGAGTATCTACCAATCTATCGATCCGTAGACTATAATTCTGATTAGTTGCCACTATAAGTTTAGTGGATGGTCCTAACTATACCACAGTCAAAGGGTGTACAACGACAATTTTTTCGATAGGCTCTTCGCAGTAGAAGAACGTTGTTCTGCGCACGACCTTCCTACCGCGATGGGATCGTCTCTACGCTGGAATCCCAAAAGTACGACATTGGTGGAGACACAGCAGCATGTCTCCACATCATAGGTAGGCATAGGAATGTCTCTGTGGACATTGATTCCTGAATATAGTCCAAAAAGTAGGCTGAATTCAAAAACACTATGAGTTTGACGAAAGTTCTGAAATGAAAAAAATGAACTAGCGAGATAATCTAGTAAAATTCACTAGTGATATTCCGATGTCTGGTGTTCCATCAGCAAGTATAGGTCCACTATTCACTCGTAGTAATGCTAAAATTATAACTCTCGTAATACGTGACCAAATCTCACGTGATAGTTACTTTAACATTCTGAGATCGGCAGGTACGACCCGCACGTGATGCATCCTCGTATACCATCACTACATCACATACTTATCAGAAGGTACTTTTCGAATAACCCTTTCCAGACATGCTTTATTCGGAGGAAATTGGGCTCGAGCGGACTGATCCCAAACGATGGAGACTCCACATCACTCCATTGGGTAGAACCACTTGGGAGTACTTATCTAAAGAAGACAGTGAAAAATCCCCCCAATCCGAATATGTGAAGTATCTCTTGGAAACAGGAGACTTCAACGGCCCCAAGCCCGACCCCACCATCAACACTCCATTGGGGAAAATCAAGAAAGGTGCGGAATTCTTTCAACTACTCCAAGATCCAGACAGTGGTATTTTCCCCAATCAATACAAAGGTCCAACCTTTTTGACCATTGGCTATCTCATAGCACATTACTACGCCAAAATTGAACTCCCTGATGGATACAAGACAGAATTAATCCGTTTTATTGTCAACAACTCGCATCCTGTCGACGGTGGATGGGGCCTTCATACAGAGGATAAATCCACCTGTTTCGGCACCACCCTTGGGTATATTGCCCTCAGAATGCTTGGGATGCCAGCAGATCATCCTGTTTGCGTGAAAGCCAGAAAAACCTTGCATTCCCTTGGTGGTGCTAGAAAAAACCCCCATTGGGGTAAGATCTGGTTGGCAGTGTTGAACGTATACAAATGGGAAGGTGTGAATCCTGCCCCTCCGGAATTATGGGCCATGCCTTACGCCTTGCCACTTCATCCTGGAAGATGGTGGGTTCATACTAGAGCTATCTACTTACCCGTTGGTATAGTGCAAGCGAACAGAATTCAATGCGAAGAGGATGACTTGATCAGACAATTGCGTACTGAAATCTACTTACCTAACGAATCATATGACACTATCGACTATGAGAATAATAGAAACAATGTGTGTGGTGTTGACTTGTACTACCCCCACACCAAAATCCTTGACGTTGCCAATTATTTCATGAGTATTTATGAGAAGCATAGACCCAAGTGGATGCTCAACAGAATGAACAAGTACAGTTACGATATACTTGTTAAAGAGTTTGAAAACACAGAATACTTGACAATTGCTCCTGTTAGTCATGCGTTTGCTGTTATAGCTGCTTGCTTCATGGAAGGCACTGAAGGAAAAAATTTCAAAAAGGCGTTTGCTCGTGCCAACGACTCTGTTTTCCATGGTAATCAAGGAATGGTTGTGATGGGTACGAATGGTTCACAAACATGGGATGCTGCATTCACAATCCAGATTTTCATTTCCAGTGGTTTGGCAGAATTGCCCCAGTTCCAAAAAACGGTCGAGAGGGCGTATCTCTATTTGGTCAGAAACCAATTCGATACTGAATGTCGTGAGGGAAGCTTTAGAGAAAAGAGAATAGGTACTTGGGGTTTTAGTACCAAAGAGCAAGGTTATACGGTCAGTGATTGTACCTCTGAAGCATTAAAATCCATTATTATGGTCAGAGAGCATCCTGCATTCTCACACTTGAGAGATGCTATAAAGGATGAATCTCTTTATGATGCTGTTGAAATTATTTTGGGTTTACAGAATGTGGGTAGCTTCGAGTATGGTTCATTTGCTAGTTACGAAAAGATCAAAGCCACAACTCTTCTCGAACATTTGAACCCAGCTGAGGTCTTCAACAATATCATGGTGGAGTACCCATACGTTGAATGCACTGATTCTAGTGTATTGGGCCTTACTTATTTCCATCATGCTTATCCCCACTACAAGCCTGCTAAAATTGAAAAAACCCTTCAAGATGCCATTGACTATATACTAGGAGCCCAAGATGAAGATGGGTCTTGGTATGGTAGTTGGGGTGTATGTTATACCTATGCCATGATGTTTGCATTGGAAGCCTTGAATTCGGTTGATTTAGACTACCTGAATTCTAGCGCTGTGCGCAAGGCTTGTGACTTCATTCTTTCCAAACAATTACCAGATGGTGGCTGGTCCGAGTCTATGAAGGGTTGCGAGACTCATTCCTATGTAAATGCAGAAGCTTCGCAAGCGGTACAGACCTCTTGGTCGCTTATTGCCCTTTTAATGGTGGGCTGTCCTGACCATAAGGCAATCAAGAGAGGTATAAAATTGTTGATGGATAAACAGGCGCCTAATGGTCAATGGAGCTATGAGGGTGTTGAAGGTCAATTTAACCATAGTTGTGGTATTGAGTATCCAAACTATCGGTACTTGTTCCCTTTGAAGGCGTTGGGTCTTTATATCAAGCACTATGGTGATGAGCCAATTGAAAATTGATGAAATGCGAATAATACATTGAGGATAGCTTTATGTAGTTGTCTCCTATACTACTTTACTTTCGAATAAAAAGATACAATCAAGGTTTAGCTGGGTTATTGTAAGTTGTTTCTTTTTTGCTAATGGGAAGTATACTATAGTCTACGAGCTAGATAATCCACTTGGCGCCAATTGACTAGCTAAAGCTATTCGGGTAGGACTATAGACCTATTGCGATGGAAAATACATTATTAAGGACAAACTATTATAAAATGATAGGAATACAAAAATTGCTTTTCGATGATTATCGCATCTTTTTGCGCGAAAATTGATATCATTATGGGGCAAATTATAAATTTTATAGGAATTGGAATAAATTCTCTATTTTTCGTAATTTTGAATTGCGACTGCGAATAACTCAGTTTTAGAGTTGTATTATTACAATTACCGTGTAGTATAGTTAGCCTGAATATGACTCTGAAGTATGATCACAATTTTCCTTTCCCTAACTAACTGATTCATTAGATATCAAATGTAACAAAAAACTAGTCCGCATTAGTAGTACAATGTGAGCAAACACGAAGATAAACATAACCCTTCATTTGTTGGTTTGGAATATATAATCTTGTGGCATTCTAGACGGTGCAACTACATACCTGAACGAGATGTACACTGCACTCATAATTTTTTCAAATGTTTATTTTTGTAAATGTTAATAAAAGATATTATAATCCTTTAAAAAATATTTCATACCTAAGTATGAGTTATTAGAGTCTTCTCTGTTATGCTTTGATATTAAATAATCGAGTTTCTGCTGATTTTTCTTCCACTTTAAACTAATCATATTATTTTATAATTCATTTCTTATAAGTTGGTTGCGTGGTCTAGTTGGTTATGGCATCTGCTTAACACGCAGAACGTCCCCAGTTCGATCCTGGGCGGAATCATCTTTTTTCAATTCTATCCCAATTGGAACCGTTCCATAAAGGAATGGAACATTGTCCTCAACAGGGTTTACATACATCGAGAATAAGTTCATATTGTTTATTTTTTGTAATATCTAACAATAAATATAATTTGGAACGTTGTATTTGACAAGTAACAGTGGGGAAACAACAAAGGTATTTGTTAAACTGTTTCTATTCTTGAGAACTCCTTTCTCAAGTTTTTAAAAGTCTTTTTACTCTTGCCTAGCTTGTGCTTGTGAAACAATCTCTTGTACAACAGGGCTATGTGAGCAAAGTATTTTTCCTCTCCCAAAACCATAACCACAAGATTGAGTAATGCAAGAATCACTATATATGTATAGTACTTCTTGCTTAAATTAGTCAATTGCATCAAATCAGCCCACCAGGAGTTTTCGTCGATTTGGAACAATGCCAACGATAACAACACCAGAAATATCAAGTTAATAATGAACGGAGTGTTTTTGGTCATGCTTTCTCTATATGGAGGTCCACTGCTCAAAACAACAGAAATCAAGATATATTGGAGATTGCTGAAGAAAAATAACACAGTGTTGTCTGTCGATTTGACCTCATCATCACCACCTGGAACTGGTTTGATGTACCAAGGTTCGTTTTGAACCCATCTCCATATCAAAACTTGGAAAGTTAATAAAACCAAAATATGACAGATCAATGGAATTAAAACCTTTGGACTCACCAAGTTAGCTGTTGGTCTCTTGATCACTAATCTATCAAATGGTTTGGACCACGACATAAATATGGCCAATGGTAAGATCAAAAACATGTCAATATACAAGAATTGGAAATCACCCAAGTTTGTACCCCTTTTATACAAAATGGTAACTGTGACAAATTGGATGGCTGAATATAAGGACATGAACTTGAAACATGAGAAACTTGTAACCAAACTAGATCTACCCTCTTTGATCACATCCAAGACACACGAGATTTCGAACTTTCTAGATGTAAAAGGTGCAGCAACCGAGGCTTCGGCTTCAGAGAGGGAAATACCAACATCTGAAGCTTTCAAAGCACCACAATCATTGGCACCATCACCACAGAAACCAACGGTATAGTCGATCCTTTGAAGCTGTTCCACCAATTCGTGCTTTTCATCGGGGGACATTCTTGCGAAAATATCACATTTCATTAGGACACTTTCAATGAGTCTGGTGTTTTTTAATTCTGTCAAAAGATATCTGAAAACGTCACCCGTAATTGCTAGAACATACTTTTCATCGTGCCTAATATCGCTTGTTTTCAAGGTATCTGGATCTAGTTTTCTGAGAGGATTGTTCAATTCCTGCCATTCCAATTTCGTCTCTCCACTGGTCTCGTCTTCAACAAAATTTGGAAGGTAGATTCCCTCAACAGAAGGGTCAATTAACTCACACTCTTTACCAACACTAATAGCGGTCAAAATATTGTCTCCTGTACACATAATAGTTCTGATTTGAGCCTTGTTGAGCTCTTGCAAAGTGCCTGTAGTAGATGGTTTCAACTTATTTTCGAAAATAATGAACCCTGTAAAGGTCAATCCAGATTCGTATGATTCACGACTTCCATTAAGCCCTTCTCTTTTACTGTCTAATTTTTTGTAGGCACAAGCAATAACTCTGAAACCATTATGAGTGTAATGGTGAAGAAGCTCCTCATAGTTGGTAGGAAGTGTTTCTGGATCACAGATATCCAACATAACCTCAGGAGCTCCCTTTGAAAACACGTAATTGTTGGTAGAGTCCGATACCAAAATGGTCATTCTTCTTAATGCAGAGATGAATTCAAATTCCTTGATGAATGTGTAAGTCACTGAACCATTGGAGACTGTAGACTTGTTGGTGATTAAGTCTTCGTTATAAGTGAATTTGGTAAATTCGAACATCTTGAAGTCTAATGGGTCTCCCAACAATTCATTTTCAATCAAACTCAATGAATGACAAGAAGACATACCACCTAACAAGTACTTTCCATTATTCAATTCATGTTGCGACTTGACTTCAGCTTGCGAGATATCTTGTGCACTAGTGATTAAATCGTCAAATATGATTTCCTTTCTACCCTCGGCATTTTTTGCTAAATGAACACCCAAAATGTCCAAGCCATCTTCAGTCAAAGTTCCTGTTTTATCGAAACACATAACGTCTAATTTACCACCGATATTGACTCTAGTTGGTGCAATACAGTAAATTTGTAGTTTTTTCAACCTGCTGATTGCAAAAGTAGTTCCAATTGTTAAAGTGGCAGGTAAAGCAGGGGGAACGACAATAGTAATGATGTCCAAAGCTCTCAAAACTATAAGTCTTGTAGGCAATCCCAATTGAAGAAAGTTATAGGTTGAGTATGTAAATCCAATTGCTGCAATCATGGTCATAAATGCAATATACTTGAACGAGTCTTCATAGAATTTAAATCCCGTGGGCTTAGGAAATAACATTGATCTAACCAAAGAACCCTTGGTTGTGTTGAACCCAGTTTTCACGGTCATTGCAGTGACTGGCTCATCATTGGAAGACTTCAATTTCAAAATCTTGGTACCATTGTATAAGAATGACTTTGACAATAAAGGAGCAGTGAAGTTCTCAGGCAATAATTGAACTGTTTCTTGCGTGGCACTTGACTTAGTCACAGGAACACTTTCACCGGTCAACATGGATTCATTGATCACACATTCACCATTGATCAATATGGCATCACAAGGAACAACAGACAAGGAAGGATCAACTTCAAAAACATCACCAGGAACCAATTCGTTGGAGTCGATTTGTTTCCAGAATCCATTTCTCCAGACTCTAACTTCGCAAACGAAACGTGAAACTTGTTGCAATCTACTAATGGTAGACTTTGTTTCAATCAAGGAATTCACAATCGAAATCATTGAGATCACGAAAATACACGAAGCATAGTAAAAATAATCGTCAGCCAACCACAAGAAGACGGAAAATACCTGAAAAACGTAAAATGGATGCAAGATCTCATCGCTCAACAACTGCAAAATGCTCTTTTCTTCAATCTCGATATTATTCTCACCAAAAATACCAATTCTTTGCTCTTGCAATGACTGAGATACACCTTCTTTAGTGTTCTTAATGTTCAACCATTGTGGACTGTACCAGTTAGAATTAGTTCTGAAAATATCTTCTACTGGATTATAGAAGAAACTGATGTATCTGTAGGTAAACGAATGAATAAAGGGAACAACTGGGTCAAATTCCTTTGAGAAAGGTTTGGCATCATCTTCTGCAAATTGCTCAGAAGGATTCAAAAATGTGGATAATCTATCATTCAACCTTTGCTTCGAAATTTGAACTATTGCTAATTCACCAAATGCGTTTTCAATGACACACCAGTCAGACTTACCCAATGGACATTTATTACCCATCAAGTTGACCCTATATCTAGGGAACCACCTCAAAATCAAGTATCCCAAGCCACAGGTGAAAATACACAACAAGTAGTAAAGTAATTTTTTCCACCAACAGTTGGAGTACCCTGCAATACCTATAACCAAGTCCTCTTCTGCCAAGTAATATCTTTGGTACACGAGCTTGGTGGGGTAGTTTTCATCAAACTCCTGGACTGCTTGGTCCGACTGCACACTTTCATTCTCAAGTAAACTAGAAGCATCCGATTCGTTGGAGGTTCTTCTGTTGCGATAATCAAAGTTGACTGAAGTCGTTTCATCTTCGTCCTGATTGAGAGAGCCATAATAATCTTGCTGGTTGGAAAAGGATGTTTGACGGAAAGTAATAGGGTCCTCAGTGCCCTCTTCTCCGTACTTGTCAACCGAATAGTCCCAGTTGGTATTGTAATCGACAGGGTCCTCGACATTCTCCAATGTAGAACCACCTTGGGCCATTTCAATTTCATCAGGAGAAAAGAACTTGAAGTTAACTTGGGTATCGTGTGAGTTAGCCGAAGCGTTGGATCTCAAGGATCCAAGGTCGGAGTCTCTAGTTTGGGTGGGGCCCAAAAATGGCGAGGTTTCTCTGGAAGCAGCAAAGTCAGTTCTGCTTCTGAAACTGCCAAAATGATGTGGATAATGCAATGAGGTGATTGAGGACGGAATGACTTCTGACGCTGCCCCCGAAAACATCTCATGGTTGTTCTCTTCATTCAAAAAGCTTGCGTGGGAGTCCAATGATGTCACCGATCCATTTCTCGAACGGCTGAATCTTCTTTCCACCGATGAAGCCCTACGGCTGGTAGAGCTTTTCCCCATGGTGAATGTAGTCTTTGATAGAATAGTGCTGGCACTGGTAGCTATCCTGTCTTAGGGCCTCGGGTGTTCTTTCGTGAGCTTCTATCAATGCTCTTAATTTTGGTTATCAATTGCTGGTTATCAAATTTTTTGGGAGGTGAAACTCGCGGTTTGCTATAAACAGCAAGAATCCATCACGAGTAGCGTCTCGACACCAATACAGGACTCTCTACAATCCGGTCACGATGGCGCTCAAGTTGAAGCTTAAGGTCCCAAGCAATGGATCTGGGTCTGGGCTGAACTCCGAGGAGAAGACGCCTGCATTGCCCAAGTTAAAGATCAAGCCACCATCGGTGAAAACAGAAGTTTCAGAGGAGAAACCTAGAAAGAAACACAAGAAGATCAAGATCAATCTAGGAGGCCAGAAGCCAGATCTCGACAGTATTATTCAGCAGACGTCGAAGACCCCACGGTTCAGAATAAAGCCCACGCGTATTCCTGGAGAAGGATACGACTCAGAAGCACCAGACATTGAGGATGACCCTTTGATAGAGCAGGGAATAATGGTGCGGTTCATCAACGACGCAAACTTGGACTTCGTACATCAAGCAGTGGACTCGGGAGACTTGACGGGTATTAATATCAAATGGGTGACGCGAGAGAAGGCAGTGGTCAACGTGAACAGGACCTTGTATTCTGCCAGATTGATCGACTTGCCCACGGTCACAGAAATGTACAAGACGGTGGACAAGAAGAATATTTTCAAGACGCTTGATTTGTGTCAAATATTACTTGTATTGCATCCTATAAACCCCACAGAGCTTAACATGGAAACCGATTTTGAAGTACCCAAAGAGTATCTCTACAACCATCCATTATACAAGTTGGCACCCAACTCAGAAGTCAAGCAAAAGAAATTTGTGTTGCGGGACGGTTTGACAACTCCATTTGAAGGAGTATATAGAAGATTCAGACCTCGTAAAGCCAGTCACAGAGTGATGGAAGACATAGAGCAAAAGGTTGATGAGCTCATCAAGTTAGACGATGAAGCGGAGGAGAGTCACTTCGAGTTGGTCGATTTGAACAAGTCTCAAAGCAGATTTGGTAATATCAGTGGTACTCCATCGGCTGTCCCAACTCCTACACCATCCAGTATGAATGATATCGAAGATGATCAAGATGAGCAGGAGATCGACTTCAATGCGGAAGATATCGAGTCACACTTGGAAGAAGAATTGAACAAGGTTTTGGGACCTGGCGATGACTACATCAGTAACGAAACTTTGGAGAATGCCGAATTATTATTCACCAACACTGCTAATGGAGACGAAACCATGTTGGAGGGAGAGATCGCAGAAGTTGGCGAAGGTGGGGATGAGGAGGATGACGATGACGACGACGATGATGACGACGACGATGACGATGACGATGACGACGACGATGACGACGATTCCAAGGAAGGGAGACAGCATGTCAAGCTTCTTGAAGAGGAAATCGCCGAACTCGAGAACGTCGTGGAGTACCATAGAAAGAACTTGGCTACGGCCACAAGTAAGATGATGAGAATGAAGTTCCAAAACACCTATACTTCGTTGAAGAGCTCGTTAGACCAAAAGAAGAGAAACTTGGCCAAGCACCTCGACGAACAGGAGCAGTTGCAAAAGAAACTCGATCCTACCAAGCATGGGCTTCTGCAACCACAACGGCCTGATAGTGACGACGACGACGAAGAGGACGACGACGACGAGAAGGCGAATGTCAATACCAATAACGAGGAGGACGAAGAGAACGAGAACGAAGAGAACATGGACTACATTGATGATCTCTTCTAACCCAGTAACGAGCCTATGAATGTGAATACTTTTGTAATATAGCACTATCTGCAGAACCGATGACTCCTGCACGTGCATGGGAGGTGTATATGTATCAACCTATAGCTTTGCCTTTTGCGATACAGGTTGTTGGGTGTAGGCACATGTATTAGGTAAGCTTCGATGCCTCCATAGGGACCTCCATGAACCTGCGACGGTGCCTGGCACTGCGTTGGTCCAGTGGTGACTCCGACTCATCAGGAGACTAGCCCCAACCCCAACCTGCAAACCATCGCACCCACCCGGACCCAACCTGCAAACCAAATTTTGATCAATATCAAAGGCTGGGGCATATGGCCTGAGAGAATCTTTCGTATGTGATACCAAAAAGTCTATCGTTGTTCCCACAAGCCTTAGGTCTATATTGAGTCGTCCATAGTACCACCATAGTCCCGTTGCATCTACAGAACATAGCGGAAATCTACCATGTCAACCAATTCCATCAAGCTTTTAGCTAGTGATGTCCACCGAGGATTAGCTGAGTTGGTCGCTACCAGATTGGGGTTGAAGATAACCCCGTCTGAAATCAAGAGGGACTCCACTGGTGAGGTCCAGTTCTCCATCGGGGAGTCCGTTCGTGACGAGGACATCTTCATAATCTGTCAGATTGGCTCAGAGGTTGTGAACGACCGAGTTTTGGAACTCTTGATCATGATCAATGCTTGCAAAACCGCCAGTGCCAGAAGAATCAGTGTGATCTTGCCCAATTTCCCTTACGCTCGTCAGGACAGAAAGGACAAATCCAGAGCCCCCATCACCGCCAAGTTGATGGCCGATATGTTGACCACTGCTGGGTGCAACCATGTCATTACTATGGACTTGCATGCGTCGCAGATCCAAGGGTTCTTTGATGTTCCGGTGGACAACTTGTATGCCGAGCCCAGTGTGGTCAGATACATCAAGGAAACCATCAACTACAAGGATGCAATCATCATCTCTCCCGATGCTGGTGGTGCCAAGAGAGCTGCTGGGTTGGCCGACAGATTGGACTTGAACTTTGCATTGATCCACAAAGAAAGAGCCCGTGCCAACGAAGTCTCCAAGATGGTGTTGGTTGGTGATGTCAGCGACAAGATCTGTGTGATCGTCGATGACATGGCCGACACATGTGGTACTTTGGCCAAGGCTGCTGAGGTTTTGTTGGATAACGGAGCCAAGCAAGTCATTGCAATTGTCACCCATGGTATCTTGTCAGGAAACGCCATCAAGAACATCAACAACTCCAAGCTCACCAGGGTTGTGTGTACCAACACCGTTCCGTTCGAGGAAAAGTTGAAGCTCTGTCCCAAGTTGGATACCATTGATGTGTCTGCTGTTTTGGCCGAGGCTGTCAGGAGATTGCACAATGGTGAAAGTATTTCATATTTGTTTAAGAATGCCCCATTGTGAGGGTGTTACTCGTCTATAGATTGTGATAATGGAACTGTCCAGAACGAATGTAGATTTATGCAAGGCAGCCAGAGACTTGAGGTAGGCATTTGTTGACTAGAACTCTCCTACAGCCGTTCATGTTATTTGGATTCTTCCCAATGTCATCAAAAGAAGACATGGTAAAATCACTTCAATGAGCTAAAAGTAGGTCTTTTAATGCATTTATAGAAGATTGATAGAACTGGTTTGGTTTAGTGTGAGACCCATGCTTTACTGACGATCCAAAGCTTCGCTTCTATGTAGGTATTATTTTGTATACCTCATAGAGTCATAAAGGTGCATCGAGGTGCATTGACGTATTTCGCGCAGTATCAAACTTGGTGTCAAATTTCCAGCACTACTACTGTCACAGCCATAGTTCTACAAGATGCCAACGTACGTTCCCTCGACACAACATTAGTTTCCTCGCTAACATTAGTCAAATCAAGGCATGTCTTTTTGGTAAGTCTCATTGCGAAAGACCCAGATCATTCTAGCCGTGCCTGGCCTCGAGTCAATTTTGATTGAGTCTGAAATGGTGAATGGGATGGATAAGAGAGTCTCATGGGTTGAATAGTCTACTCAGCTACACTCTGAGGTCTTTGTACTTTACTCACTACTAACAATAGACATGGACGGTACCATCATCAATACCGAAGACCTCTACACCTATTGTAACACCGAGCTCTTGTCCAGATATGGCAAGGGCCCTTTGACCTGGGATGTCAAGATGAAGGTCCAAGGAAGACCTGCCAGAGATGCCCATCAGATCATGATCGACACTTACCAAGTGCCACTTACCCTCGAACAATACGCTGCTATATCCACCGACATCCAGGAGAGCTTGTGGAACAAAGCAAAGTTTTTGCCTGGAGCATTGGAATTGATCCAGCACTTGCACCAAATCAATTTCCCAATTGCACTTGGAACCAGTTCCTACAAGGGTAGTTACGACCGCAAAACTAAGCACTTGAGCCATGGATTCGATCTTTTTGGAAAACACATTGTGACGGGCGATGACCCAAGGATCCCCAAGGGAAGGGGAAAACCATGCCCAGACATCTGGCTTGCATGCTTAGACAGCTTGAACAAAGACAGAAGGGAGCAGGGATTAGAGGAAATAAAAATCGAAGAGTGCTTGGTTTTCGAGGATGGTGTCATTGGTGTCGAATCCGGCATTGCTGCCAATGCCCCTGTGGTCTGGATCCCTCACCCTGAAATGGTTCCGTTCTTGGAGGGTAAGGAGCAGGAAATCGTTGGTGTCAATGGGGAAGTTTTGAAGAGCTTAGCCGATTTTGACAAGGAAAAATGGCTTGGCATCAAGTGAGAGTGCTTACGATACTCTTTTTCTAGACGTAGCATACATATTACACATATAATTAGTATCCTGGAGTGTAGCTAGTCTTCTTCTTAAAGCTGTGCACATGACCTGAATCACGTGACCGAATATTTAATTGGGTGGATCCCCATCATTTGGAGCTTCACTATCTAATCATGATAGGTACAGATTCCTATCATATAACCATAGATATAACCACCTCAGAAGACGGACATAAGTTTGCTGATTATAGATACTCTGACATTGAAGTCACCACCATATCCGCTCAACCCAGCATGTCCCAAGATCCCAAGGAGCCCATTGAACCCATCAAAGCCCAGCTGCTTGGCAATGGGGTGATCCGTCTTTTCAGAGAGTTCGAAGAAGAAGACATTTCACTCACGCCAGTCCAGAATGACAACGTTGGTGACGGTACAATGGTAGCCATACTAGCTGTCCCTACCTATTTTACAGCAACTGATTTATTGGGATTCATAGGGGAGAATCATATGAAATACGTATCGCATCTCAGACTACTCAAAAGTGAAAAACCAAACAGATTCTTGGTATTGATCAAATTCCGTGATATTATCAACGCAGCAGAGTTTCAGTTTCAATTCGATGGAAAGCCATTTAATTCGATGGAACCACAGAAGTGCCATGTTGTGTATGTGAAATCAGTAAAAATGGAGTATGAAACTGGAAAAATTGATGATTCCAATTCCTTGATACCCTTCCTTTTGGCAGACCCATTTACGGCAGAAACTGAAATGAGTTCCCCCTCGAACACTTTGATAGAATTACCCACTTGTCCAGTTTGTTTGGAAAGAATGGACTCGGAAGTCACAGGCTTGTTGACTATCCCATGCCAGCACACATTCCATTGTCAATGCCTTTCCAAGTGGAAGGATGACTCATGTCCAATTTGCAGATATTCCAATAACTTTTCAAATCAACAGGTCAGGCGATCGGCTCGTCGTTTGTCACTGTTTAGTATGCAAAGGCGACCACAATTGTCCTCATTGAACTCCTCCATCCCAGAAGTCCCCGATGCCACGGAAAAATGTATGGGATGCACCACCACATCAGGGTTGTGGATTTGTCTAGTTTGCGGTAACATCGGTTGTGGAAGATACTCTCCAGAACAGCATTCATTGAACCATTTTATTAATACTGGTCATTGTTTTGCTATGGAACTAGACACTTCGAGGGTGTGGGACTATGCGGGAGATAATTATGTACATAGATTGGTCACTAACGAGTCTGACGGGAAGTTAGTCGAACTACCAGAAAAACAGAACAAGCCTGGATACCTGTCAAGTTCGGACAAAGCAGATGAGGTGGATTTCGAATATTCTCAATTGTTGATCAGCCAATTGGCTAGTCAAAGAGAATATTACGAGTCATTATTAAACGAAAGAGAGGCTCCCAAATCTAGGAAAGGTTCGAGGTTATCAAGTGTGGATAACCGTATGATGGAATTGGAGAATAGGTTAAAAGACTTGACTTTGGAGTTTACTCAACTTTCAGATGGTCTCATCCCTTCTCTTCAATCCAAAATTCAAGCTAAAGATAGCAAACTAGAGAAGATCTCTACCGAACTAAATCAGTCCAATTCCTTGAATGAGGCATTGTCAAAAAAGGTTGACTATCTTCAAGAAATCAACGACCAACTAAAGGGTGATATAAAGACTCTTAATGAAGAGAAACAGGGGTTGTCAGAACAAGTGAATGATTTGATGTTTTTCTTGGATAGTCAAGAAAAATTCAAAAACGAGCCTGAGGATGTCAGGGACGGCACTGTTGTAGTGCAACAAAAACCAACAAGGAAAGCCCTAAGAAAGAAAAAAAAGTAAGTGAGGATCCCAGGGGAAGCTATCACGTCAAGACTTTTCCATATGATTCACGTTTCTTCAATTTATTTGCTAAAAAGTTTCCTGCAGTTTTTGCCCAACAGGTTAGAGCCTAAATTGTCTGGCAGATTCTGTAAATAGAGATAATGTGGATAAGAACTAAAGCTTCCGTTCTATGCTGGCCTTTATCATGCACGTTCTTGTTAGAAAATGTGTGATTTCTGACTTTCTATCCTATCTGCGAGTGGCCCTTTTGGGAAGGTTTAGTACCCGAGATTTCTATTAGGAGCTCAAGTGAAGAATCGAAACTACTTGTGACTTTAGCTTACGATATGACTAAGATCAACGAATGTACTGCTCATGCTGTGAGTAAGGAACGGTTGCCCTCGATCGCTGAATTAATTCAGGTATTTCGTACTGATGATTTAGCGAAGGTTTCAAAGGATCCTAGACACCAAACTACGCCAAATTACGAGCGAAACAAAAGATTCAACGAAGTCAAGGATGGTCCTTCTCAAGATTATCTGGAACTGTGTCCAAAGAAAAAGCCATCGTTGCTCGAACTGAAAGATATTAAACCAGTCCAGAATTTTATGGACTCCTTTGAATCCTTAGCAAGGTTACTAAATACATATGTGCAGCATACACAGAATGGCAATGAGGTTTCAGGGATAAAGACAACGAATGGCGAGAAGGTGCAAAGCTTCCCGGTAGAACTCATGAACTTGGAATTAATTCAGATGCTCCTTGAATTACAGAAAATAAAACATTATCAGAGGGTACAGAGGCGAAGCTCTCGGCTTGAACACAGGGGCAGAGTGGACAATAGCAACAAGGAACAAAGGTCATATCTAGGAGAGGTTCTCCTGCTCCAAGTGAATGCGCAAACTTCGAAGGACAAGGTTAATGCAGAGCAAGGAGGACTTAATTTAGGATTAAGCTTGAAACATGCGATCAATTGCCACCACTGTGGGTCTAACAGCACCCCCGAATGGAGAAGAGGTCCTACAGGGATGCGAACATTGTGCAATGCATGCGGCTTGTTCTACTCAAAATTGTGCAAAAGGTACAATTCTGCAACAGCAAATCGGATTATGAGAGAAAGGAAATGCTCTGGTGATATCCAGAATAGAAAAATGTCGCTTTAATTTAAATGTATGAGCCATGCTGCTTGTTCTTTAGTATAAGCCGAAACAACCCAATCAACAATAGCTTCGAAAGATTACTTTGTAAATGCCCAGATTTGTAAGCAAAACTAGATGCTGTAAGATGTAAGGTTCCTTGCAATTGCCAAAGAAGCAACTTTTCTACTGCCGAAGCATAGCTACTGCCAGAATGGTAGTTGTGCTCATCTCCATCGCATCTGGAGATTTTCACGTGATTCTGTCTGCGGCTCATGAAAAATTAACCACGATGAGTGCTTGAAAAAAATTGGCAGCTCCATCGCTAGAAACCTCATCATCGCCATGGTTGACTCTAAATCTGTCATAAGTAGTAGTGAAGTCTCCTTTCCAAGAGGTGGATCTACTGCTTTAACCCCTTTAGAAGTTAAAGAAGTTTCGAATGAAGTGACCAGAGATGTTTTATTTGAAACCGCATCGGCTTCTAAAAGATCCAGTAATTTCAAGGCTGATCAACCAACCAAAAAGTCCAGGAAATCGAAGAAGAAGGCCACAACCGAGGAACCAAAGGAGGATGTCGTGACCATCGACAACTTTTCTCCAAAGAACCTTCATGCTGACACTACTGTGTTGGGTCAAATCACATCCATAAATAAGATGGACATAACCTTATGTCTCGGAGACAATTTATTCGGTGTCGTATCTATAACGTCCATCAGTGAGGAAATTAATAAATTGATTGAGGAAATCGATCAATCTGAAGAAGAGTCTGATGAAGAGTCCGATGACGAAGAAACCACCAAGGCCACCTTGAAAAGTAAGCCAGAATTTCCACAGTTGCAAGAATTATTCAAAATAGGTCAATGGTTAAGAGCTAAAGTTTTACCACATGAAGACTCAAAGAAGAAGATCCACCTCACCATCGAACCAAAAGAAGTTAACGACAACTTGGAGAAAGAAGACTTGATCACAGGAAATGTGCTTCAATGCTCAGTGAAGTCTATTGAAGATCATGGTATAATTTTCAACACTGGCAAGGATGAATTCACTGGTTTCATTTCCAACAAGGAACTTTCCAGCACTCCTGAAATTGACATGAAGTTGTTAAAAACCGGAAGTGTTTTATTGACCAACATTGTTAACAAACCAAGCTCCAGAACTATTACCCTCAGACCTATTTCTAGTCCATCCAACTCCAAAAAGACTACGATATCCACTATTTCTTCCATTGACGCCATTCAACCTGGTATTATGGTTGATGCCATCGTGTCGTCGATCACTAAGAATGGTTTGACAGTCAGAGTTTGTGGTTTAGTTGATGGTTCTATAAACTTGTCACATTTGCATGAATTTGAATTAGAAAAGTTAGAGCATAAATTCACCATTGGTAACTCTATTAAGGCCAGAGTGATTGGTGTTTTACACAGAGCGGGTGTTAAGAAGTTGGTTTTATCTGTTCTTCCCCATATCTTAACTCTCAAGCCAAAGGAGGAAAACGCCTCAGAAGCTTTCCCAATTGGCCATGTTTTTGATGAAGTTGAGGTTGCTGGCTCAGACGCAAACTACACTTTCTTCAAATTCGGTTCCAACACCTTATTTGGTCAAATCCACAACTCCAAGATCAACACCGAGGAATACAACTACAACGTTGGCTCCAAGCATGAAGCCAAGGTTTTAGGATACAATGAAATTGATAACTTATTAGTTTTAACTTGTGATCCTAAGCTCGTCAAAGCCAAGTATTTGAAGGGAAGTGACATACCAATCGGTACTCTCATTAACGGTATTGAAATTATCAAGGTGTTGCCAGAATCGGGTGGAATAATTGTCAAATTAATGGATGATATCGAGGGTTTCGTTCCATCCAACCACATCTCTGATATCAAGTTGGTATACCCTGAAAGAAAATTTAAGGACGGAAGCAAGACCAAGGGTAGAGTCTTGAACACTAATGGTAAGAGAGTCTTAATTTCTTTGAAGAAGTCTTTGGTTAACATTGAAGATGAACAAATCTTGGACACTTACGGTAAAGCGGAAATTGGCTTGAGAACCAGTGGTACCGTTGAAAAGTTCTTGCCTAATGGTGCTGTCATATCATTTTTCGGTCAAGTTAAGGCATACTTGTCAAAGGAAGAAATATCGGAAACTTACGTCGAAAAGATCACTGATTACTTAAAGATGGGTCAAACCGTCAATGTCAAGGTCTTGGACGTTGATGAGGAGCAACAGAGAATGAGAGTGACCTTAAGGCAATCTTCAACTGTGACTCCAGACCAACAGCAATTTATCGAGCAAATTCAATACGGTAAGACTGTTGGTACTGCCATCGTGGTCGAAAAGAGACACGAAGTGGTGTACTTTGAATTGGAATCAAACCAACTCAAGGGTATGATCTTGGATGGTCATTTATCTGATGGTAACTACGAGCAAAACAGATCTTTGTTCAAGAAGTTGGCTGTCGGTAGCAAGCTTGAGGTTCTTATGCTTGAAAAGGACCAGAGAGCTAGAACCATCGTTGCCACTGCTAAGAAGTCGTTGATCGAGGCATCAAAGAAGGGAAACTTGCCTTCTACTTTTGAGGATATCCAAGTCAATGGCGACAAGCCACTCTACGGTTTCATTAAGTCTGTTACTAACATGGGTTTGTTTGTCTCTTTCGCTAACAGATTGACCGGTTTGGTATTGGCTAAGTACTTGAAGGTGGACGACTTGTCTAAGAAGTACCAGAAGAATCAATCCGTTGCTTGTCATGTCATTAGAACCGATGAAGTCCAAAGAAGATTTTTGTTAACTTTGCAGGACGATGAACAATCCGAATTCTTGAACCAAGACAAGGTTATCAACCCAATTGACTCGTCCAAGAAGACTTTCGGTGATTTCGTTCCAGGTTCCATCACCAAGTGTGTGGTTAAGTCTGTTAAGGGTACCCAGTTGAATGTGCAATTAGGTGACAACTTACAAGGTAGAATTGATGCCACCCAATGTTTCAATGACTTCGATGAAATCAAGAACGTCAAGCAACCATTGACCCAATTTCCAAAGGGAACTGTCTTGGATGTTAAGGTCATTGGCTACCACGATGCTAAGGACCACAAGTTCTTACCAATCACTCACAGAAAGAGTAACCGTAACTTGATCTTGGAATTATCTCGCCTTGAGAAGGAGTTGTCCACCAAAGACGTTCCTTACGCAGGTCTTGACATCTCCGACATTAAGGAAGGACAAGAAATCATGACTTTCATTCACAATATCACAAAGGGACAAATTTTCACCTCTATTACTCCAAACATCACTGGTAAGATTGCTGCTGTTGACATTACCGATGACATTGAGGTTTTCAAGTCCATCGAGAAGGCGTTCCCTATTGGTACTGCCGTCAAGGCTACCGTCAAGGAGGTTGATGAAGACAGCAACAATCTTGTGTTGAGAGTCAGAAAGACCCAAATTAAGTCTACCGAAGAATTAACTATCGGAACCAGCTATCCTGCCAGAATCTTCAAGTTGTTGGATAACATTGCTTTGGTTGAATTAGACGACAGGGTCATTGCTTCTGCCTTCATTACTGATGCTTTGGAAGACTACTCCAAGAGATTGAGCCAAGTGTTCCACGTTAACGACTTGGTTGTTGCTACTGTTATTGACATCGATTCCAACGGCAAGGTTGCCGTCTCCTTGAGATCCCAAGACTCGGACTCTGGTGATAAGGTGATCAACTCCTACCAAGATCTTAACCGTGGTGACGTTGTCAAGGGTTACGTCAAGTCCCTCAACAACAACGGTGTCTACGTTTCTTTGGGTAGATCTACCTTTGCTTTGGTTAGAGTGGCAAACATTTACGACAACTTCAACAAAGACTGGAAGAAATCTTTCAAGCTTTACCAACCTGTTGTTGGAAAGATTGCTGCCTGTCATGGTGAAGGTAAGATCTTAATGACTCTTAAGGAAAGTGAAGTCAACGGTGAATTGAAGTACTCCAAGGTCATTAGTGATATCAAGGTTGACGAAATTTACGAAGGTACAGTTAGAAAGGTCGCTGAATTTGGTGTATTCGTTGGTTTGGATGGCACATTGAACGTTAGTGGTTTATGCCACCGTTCCCAAATCTCTGATAATGATGTATCCAATATCTCATCGTTGTTTAGCGAAGGTGACCGTGTTAAAGTCAAGATTTTAGCTGTTGACCTTGAAAAGAAGCAGTTGTCCTTAGGAATGAAGGCTTCATACTTCACTGACGACATGGAAATTGACCAGAACCAAGATTCTGAAGAAGAATCCGAACAAGAAGATTCCGAAGCTGAAGACGAAGACGAGATTATGGAAGACGCTGCAGAATCAGACTCTGAGTCTGGATCCGAGTCCGAATCTGACTCGGACTCCACCTCCAAGCAGGCTGACGGGTTGTCTGGATTATCCACCAACGGTTTCGATTGGACGGCTTCTATCTTGGACCAAGCTGAAGACGATGAATCCTCCTCTGACGAAGAAGACTTCACCCAAGAGAGAAAGAAGAAAAAGAAGAAGTCTGCTGCCCAGGTTGAAGACAAGACTGCCGACTTGAGCACCAGAGCTCCACAATCCACCTCTGACTTTGAGCGTCTTTTGGTTGGTAACCCTAACTCTTCTGTCATGTGGATGAACTACATGTCTTTCCAATTGCAATTGAGTGAAGTCGAAAAGGCCCGTGAAATCGGAGAAAGAGCCTTGAAAACTATCAACTACCGTGAAGAGCAAGAGAAGATGAACATCTGGATCGCCATGTTGAACTTGGAAAATACCTTCGGTTCCGAAGAAACCCTCGACGAGATTTTCAAGCGTTCTTGTCAATACATGGACCCACTTGTCATGCACCAAAAGTTGGTTGGAATCTACAACATGTCTGAAAACTTTGAAAAGGCTGAGGCTTTGTACAAGGTGATGACCAAGAAATTCGGCAAGCAGGTTTCTGTGTGGGTACAATACGGATCTTCCTTGATGGACCGTGGCTTGAACCAAGAAGCCCACGAAGTTTTGGCTAGAGCCTTGCAGATCTTGCCAAAGAGAGAGCATATTGAAGTTGTCAAGAAGTACGCCCAACTCGAATTTTCGAAGGGTGATGCCGAGCAAGCCAGATCTTTGTTTGAAGGATTGGTGTCTGATGCACCCAAGAGAATCGACTTGTGGAACATCTATCTTGACCAAGAAATCAAGCAGGACTCCAAGAAGAGAGTGGAGGACTTGTTCGAGAGAGTTTTGACCAAGAAGTTGTCCAAGAAGCAAGCCAAGTTCTTTTTCAGCAAGTGGCTTGTCTTTGAGGAAGAGAAGGGTGACGAGCAAATGGTAGCCAAGGTCAAGGCCAAGGCCACCGAGTACGTCCAGGCCAACTAACTGTGAGCACAGTCTCATTTGACCCAATTCCATTTTCTCCCGTTCCTATAATTGAAGACGCAGTCTCGCGGGAACTGTCCCGATAAATAGACCAGCTGTGTCAAACCATTTTTGTCATTGTTTATAGTATATTAGTTCTTTTGTATTTTATAAATTTGCACCCAGATAACAATTTTCTGTAAAATCGCGAACATTAATCTGTTTCGATAAGAATATTTCGCTAGTACACAGAGCCACACAGTATGCTACACTCCTAGTAAGGAACACACTGTTCAATCTCCATGAACTACGTGGAAATGACAAGGTCGGAAATTTGCTGAATTTCTTGTATGTCAGCCAGCCCCAGCCAAAGCATGACTTCACTGCTGATGTGCATTGTCATATAGCTTAGCAGTGATGGTAGACTCTCTGTAGAAGCCAAACTATCCCCGAATTCCAGCTGACCAGAACATCCATACTACTCTGGGTCGGTCAGGCCGCTACCAACAGGAAGCACCAGTTGCCAACCGAGAAGTGATGGTGGTGGTAGGGGAATCGGTGAGTGGCTGCGGTCCAATTTTTGTTGGGATTGGACCACAAGCGGAGACAAAAAAGAAAAGGTTAGGAAGTCGAGGAGTAACAGAGCAAAGAAGAGAAATGGCAGAGGAGAATGACAGAGCAAGGCAGAGCAAGACAGTGCTAGGCATAGCAAACGGATGTTAAGTGCCAGAGCCTTCACATGGTACAAATGTTGTGCTGGATCACCTCTCCACAATCTCTGGCGTGACAATTCAATTACGCTATTGTCACCCGGGTGCATGGCAGACGGAAATAGCCCATTTGGAGCCATGCACCAGGGAACGATCTATGCACCGAAAAGGAGCGCCAAATGGATGGTACCTGACCCAACAGTTCCCGTGGCTGCCACCAGCGCCAAACGCCAGTGTCCTGGCGTAGTTGTGACGGAGCAACCCTACCAGCAGCACCAGCACCAGCAACACCAGCAGCACCAGCAGCACTACGCCCCACCACAGGTCACTCCCAGCTTCCTGACCGCCACCCGCACCCAACGCAGTGCTAGCTCCGCTCTGCCCAACTGTCGATCGTAGCATTTATTGCATGTGCGTAATCTGGCCCAGGGCTCCTCCCCGCTAACTTCACATGCACCCACAACTCCAGAAGCTCCCTCCTATTTATGGAGAATGAACGGCTGGTCCTGCAACCTCCCTGTTTATACCCCACACACGTCTGCGATCTGCCACTCCCCTTCCACTCCCCTGCCATAACTAGTGCCGTTGCCCCTCCCAAATTTGCATTCTCGCTGACGTAACACAAAACCCGCAATCTCCCGTGGTAAAACTTTCTTGGAGAAACGGTTATACCTCAAGTGCATCTCAGTTATTCTTTTCCCCGAGCACCCATGATAGACCCATCCTCGAAGCAGTCGTCGAGCTCGCTATCCCCCACGCCGCCCCCTGCGTACGGCGCCACCAAGCCGGGCACCGACGCCGACTTGGTGTCTGCAGCAGAGGCCTTGACCCAGCTCACCAACGCCAGCTCTCCCGGGTCCGCGACGGCTGGTTCCTCGCCTGTTCCCACATACACCGACGCTAGCACCGGTCCTCCCACCCCCAGCCAACATCCGTTGATCACCCAGGTCAACCAGGTCACCAAGCATCCCATCGTCACCAACGCCCTCAAGTACTACGAGACCTCCAAGCGTAACTATGCCCCCTTCAACTATGCCGCCGAGATCGTGGAAAAGGCTGCCATTCCTGTGGTCAACAAGATCGAGGTCAACTTGAACAATAGGCATCAGGCGCGCAAGTTGCGCCGCGAGCAGGCAGCAGCAGCTGCCGCAGCAGAGAAGACAGATGACCCCGAGTCCCGCTCCAAGAAGAGACGCTTGGCTCCGGACGACGCACAGGACGAGACGGTGTCCATCGAAACCAAGAAGCGGTTGCAGTTCTGCTTACACATCCTCCGGTTGGCCAACGACCACATCAACAACAGTGTCAGCTTCTTGCAGCAGAAGGTGGCAGACAAGGAAAAGTCCATCAAAGAAGAGCGCGAGAACTTGATCCAGAAACAACAGGAGAAGCAACAGGAGGAAAAGCAGCAGCTCGACTTTAGTCTGGACAATAAGATCCAGGCAGACATCCCCAGCGACGCTGCGCTACAAACCAAGACAGAAATCGCCACTACCGTCAAGAAGATCATCCATCTCATATCCAATTTCAAGCCATCCTCGCTCAGCACCGAGGGGTTGTCTCCAGTGTCCAGCAATGCCACGGTAGTGTCTCAAGACAACGGTGACTTGAAGGCCACCATCCGCGATATAATATTGAAGTTACCTTCCACCATCCAGCAGTCAGCATTATCCAACACCACGTCCTCGCAGACCAACGACAAAATATTCGTGTTTGCCAAGGAGTCGTTGGACATGATCTCCAAGCTTACCAATGTGTTCAACGAGCAGTTGGTGAGAGCAGAGACCTGGGTGGGCGGAGAGGAGGCACCGGGTGCCGACGATAAGGTGGAAGGCGCAGACTCACCAAGAAGTTCCTCGGAAGTAGTGCTGGAAAAGTCACCAGCTCCTGTTGAGAACAAGAGGATAAAGATCGAGGCTCCAGCTCCTCATGTATAGTAGATAGTTATGTAACAAATATATTAATTAGTAACAGTAATTTCTTTGTAGGAAATTTGCTGTACACCACATATCTTAAACTAGTGGAACCGTTTAAGTCTCTGATGTATGGATTTATACCTGCTGGGATTTTATAATCCACCAGGTATTATATAACATAAACATACCAAAAGTGTAGTGGTAGATTGTGTCCTAATTATTTAGATAGCAGTAACCGTTTTCCAGAGTAAAAGATAGCCTGTGTACCAAATAATTAGTGAACAGTATAGCTGTTTTCTACAGACCATAGCATATTAGTAGACAGCATGCATATCAAATAATTAGTGAACAGTATAGCTGTTTTCTACAGACCATAGCATATTAGTAGACAGCATGCATATCAAATAATTAGTGAACAGTATAGCTGTTTTCTACAGACCATAGCATATTAGTAGACAGCATGCATATCAAATAATTAGTGAACAGTATAGCCGTTTTGTACACACCAAAGCCTCGTAGTAGAAAACCTGCACCATATATCAATTAAATGAAAACCGTTTCTTACACACTAAAGCATAGAATTTGGACCCAATGAATCGGGCTCAGCTTTTGAACTGCATATGAAACTTCTGGAAGGCCCTCGCATGGCTAGCGTCTATCGTCATAGCCCGACGTTCGAGGCTCTCTGCAACATGTGACAGGTCCATGCTCCAGTGAGTCAGACAGGAACATCCATCGTCTAATTTGCGCAGGTGCCTGTGCTTCGTGCAGACGTCCCAGCAGCAGCGAAGTTACACACGCCATTACATTCCCCCATTGGGCTCTGGGGCACGCCAGCCCGTATATTGAAGGATTATTTAGGCGCCTGTGAGCCCGTGGGGCTGTTGGGACAGCAGTGAGGGACGATTTGGGGGGACCAATTAGACCCGATTGGGGCGAAGGGGGGTTCAGATTAGGCATATTCCCAAAGTACTCCAGAACCAATAATTGCCCAACATGAAATTCGTAAACCTAGAGACCCCAATTTCTGCTTAGGGTAATTCAGGCACTGCTAAAAGTTCCTCTGATTGTGCAGCCGCAAAAACGGGTCGTGCCCAGTGCAGGCGCACCTCTATCGCAGCCTCTGCAAATTGACTTCCCCATCGGGAGATACGCATAATTTCCTATTTAGGCACTCTAATTAGTATGACATTAATGGTGGAGACGCCCCCAACTACCAATGACTTGATCGAGTCAACCCTGCCCAATTAGGAAATTCACCTGGACAGTGATTTCTACACTTGGGAATTTTGCACCCCAGCGACCGGTTGGCCTGCTTATATATAAAGAAACCAACACCATGTATTCGTTTCGTCTAGAAATAAAAACAAAACCAAATTGTAAGTCAAGCTTTGAAAGATGACGGACCAGTTAAGTTTAAGAGACGATGAGCTCTTGCAAATCAAATCATCATGGTCCACTGTCACCAGTGTCTACCAGAAGAAGAAGTTTATTCCCACATTATACTCCAACTTGTTGGCTTCCAACCCTAGCTTGAAGCCCACCTTCGACAACATTAATGTGCTCGAACAGCATCAAGTTATCTTTGAAGATATCTTGAACTTTGTTGTTTCGCACCTTGGCCAGGGCCAGCAGATTTTGGACGAGTTCCTCTTCCAGTTTGTCTGCGAAAACCAACAGTTCACCAACGAGTCGGTTTCTTACTTGGAGCCCATGGGCTCTGCTTTCATCCAAACCTTCAAGGAATGTATGAACAGACAATACGACTCCCAGTTGGAAAGCGCCTGGATCAGAGTGTATATCTTTGTTGCTAACAGCTTGCTCCTGAATGCTGAAGACACCGAGTCTGACGTGGGCTCCACTTTCAGTGACGCCAAATCCGAATCGGTGTCGGAGGACGAGGTTCACATTGCTCCTTTGAACATCAAGAAGCAAGAAGAGGACGACGTGCCTCCTCGTGCTATTCCAGTCACCATTCCACAACCACAGCAACCAGCCCAAGAACAAACTCCAGAACCAGCACAGCCAAAGCAAACCGAATTGGACAAGGCCAACACCATCCAATTCAGTTTGAACAGCAACGAGAAGTACAGAGGCTTCAGAAGAAATAACGAGAACCTTGCCCCACAAAAGGAGCCTATCTCGGTGAAGATTCCCAGCTCAAACACCTTCCAGAAGGTGCACACCCCAGCCTCTTCCAACATGTCGGCATCTTTGTCTTCGTTGTTGGCTAAGAGCTCGCCATCTTCTTCGTCTGCGTCTTCCTTGGCTTCTCCAAGTGCTCCTTTCGACCCAAGAAAGAGCAAGAGATTCGGTCGTTCCCCAGTTTCTTCAAGTGCTTCCTCTATTAATGAAGATTGCGAGGTTCCTTTGAAGTCTCCATTGAGAGAACTGATCACTGCTGATTCCATTCAAGACGCTCTTCAACAAGACCCTGTTGACCAGGAGACTGAAGAAGAAGTCGAGATGGAAGAGCCAGTTGTTCCAGTTAAGGCTGCTGATGAGCCACCTTCATTACTCAGAAAGTTGCAAATGAGACAGCAACCAAGAGTGGTTGAATACTCCTCTGACGAAGAAGAAGAACAGGAACAGCAGGAACAACCAAAGTTCGACCCAAGAAGAAGACACAGAAGAAACAAGTCTATCATTTCTTCTCCTGAATCTTCTGAAATCGACGAGCAAGAGGAAACTACCATCATGAAGAAGGCTCAAAACAGCGTCTTCACTGAAGGATTCGAGGAAAAGGAACTCCCAAGCGTTCCAGTCCCAAGACAATACACCTACGAGCCAGCCAGTTTTGGTATTCGTGGATTAGCTCCAATTGTTGAAGCTAACGACTTCGATGAAAAGTCCTCCAAGTACGAATCGGATATTGAAGACAATGCTTCATCCAACTATGGAGGTGATGAAAGTGTTGATAGGTCCTCCACCGATGAAGCAAGCTCTGGAGCTTCTACTTTGTCTTTGCATAATAGTGATTACCGGTCATCTATCAGTTCTGGTACCGAAGGATCGCCATCCCCAGTCATGAACAAGTTCCAAATGGAAGGCACCACTAGAACCATCTCTCAATCCAGTGAGGTGAGTTACATGAAACCTTTATCAGAACAAATTTCCCAAACCAAGCTTAGAGCTTCGTTCACTAATACCCATAGCTCCTCAGCTAGTTCACTTTTGTTGAGTCCTAAGAACAGTCAATCTGCTTCCAGAGTGTCTTTAGGATTCATGAGAAGTTCATTTGTGTTGAAGAAAGAAATGGAAACCCTTGGCTTCAATGAACCAGAGAACGTTCTTGTCAAGCCACCTACCATTCCAGCTGCCATGTCGTCTGTGCAATCCTTGCCAAGCCAACGCCAGTCTTACAGCACCACCACTTTGACTACTCAAAGTAGTGATGAGGACTGTTTTGACATGTTGAACGCTTTTGGCGAAGGAAGCAAGACTCCACCTCAGTTGCAACACAGAGCATCCAGCAAGAAGTTGAACAGACACGGTTCTGTTTCCAAGGAACCAAACTGTTCCAACGCCGAGATTGCTGCCTTGAAGTACAAATCTATGGTGATTGACCCACCAAGAGAAAGAAGATCGTTCAGAAAGAGACTCTCTTCCATGTTCGGCTCCAAGGGCTCCAGCGGTAACGCCTCCTCTTCCAGATCATCTACATACGGACAAAGATCCACCATGAACAACTCGGTGAGTGACTTGGCCTCCATCAACACTGTGGAGACCAAGGGATCCAGTTTCTCGGGATTCTCCTTCTTGTCGAGCTCGAGAAGAAGACAATCCATGGATACCAGAACCACCATGTCCAGCACCAGAAAGGGCAACAAGTACGTTGTCAAGTCCAGTGCCTACGATGTTTTTGCATAATGATGATTATAGAGATGCCCTGGCGGTACTAACGATGATGACTTCCCATTCGCACACAGATACAATTTCGGTTACGACTCTTTACAGTTCAGACTTGGAGTCTCGGTTTTCGGTTGATGCTTGCAAGGATTCCATGCACAGGTAGAAACAACCTAGCAAAGAGTTTGTGGTTCTTTAAACGTTAATGGTGTCTCGATAAAAAGTCGAACGTTTCAAATAAAGATTGTTGAATTCAACATCGATTCCTTCTCTGTCCTCTCTATTTTATGCTAATATTTGAAACCTACTTTGAGACATTGTTAAAAGAGAGAAGAGCAGAGAAGAAGCCCTTTTGCATGGAAACACTTCGTATCCTTTTGTAACATAGTTTAATTATATACCTACATATCTGTGAACGTGAAGACCCTATATCCTACTATTCCGAGGTTAGATTGATCGTGTTAGTGGCCACTAATGACGCCGAGCCGGTTGTCCTTGGCGAGCGAGCGAGTCGCTTATTCCTGTGAGCAGCTAGGCTGGCGCGGGGGAAACCGAAAAATAAATCATCTGGCGCATGCCTCACATATCCTACGCATGCATGGGTTATTGATCTTGTGCTAGCAGGCACCATCTTACCTGATTGGGGAATTAATAATTGGGGTTGGGATTAGACTTGGTGCTTATATCTGGTCATTCCTTGTCACCAGCAGCCCATGATTAGAGTTTCGTCCTCGCTAGTTAGGGTGTAATTGTCTCCCCGCTGACGCGTTCTCCCAGATTCTCCCTGCAAGTGCCCTCCGCACCTTGTCTGCACCACCTGGCTACCAATCTCGATCGTGCAGGGGGAGTGCTTGCGGTCACAAGCGCAACCTCCCAACGCTGGAACGCGACTTTCCGTCGCTTATTACAAACGTATCTCCTACTCTAGCCCTCACGCATTATTTGTAGGTACTTCTATTGTTAAAATGTACATGAACTTTATTTCTTTTGCGGCCACCTCCCTACTATAGCATTTTTACTTGATTTAGACATCACCTGCAAGTGTTCTCTGCTGACTGGTCTAAGTGGCTGCTTTATTTTCAGAGTTCCACAAATTTTTTAGCTATTGTTGATGGATATTAGCTGAGATTTGAGACTCAAGACTTGGCCAAACCGACACCTTTCCTTTAAATACTTGCAGTGCTCCAGCATATACGCGTCACATCTCACCATGGTGGAACTAGTGCCACCCCCACGGTTTGTCTTGCCGTCCTTCAGATACCCCCAGACTGACGTGTCCACCTTCAAAAGAATATGGCGTGCGCTCGACATCATCTCGCCTGGCGCACCAGCCTCCAGTGGTGCCAATCCACCACCCAATCCTTCCCCCAAGACCATCACCAGGAGATCCTCCCAGTCCCACAACATCACTGCCGCCAGTTCCGGCTCCAAGACCCCTAAGAAAGCCTCGCCTCTCGCAATGCTATTTGCGTCGCTACCATCCCTCGAATACAACCTCTCCAACTTACAGCATTTCCAGGCCAAGTTGTGCGCCCAGATCTACCAGCTCGAGTTGGAGGCCAGTGGCTGCCGTGCTAGCACCCGCAAGATCGACGTGTTCGACTTGGTGCGGTTGGCACCCGCCCAGTTACGGGCAATCGAAACGAACTACCAGGTGGTGCAGATGCTCCAGTTGATAGCGATCTTGATAGACTGTCTCGAATTCAACAGGCTGGTTCCTGAGAAGTATCTTGACTACACGAGCCATGTCAACGGACGGGTGTTTGCCTTGGGACGCGACGCCTACAAGTTGTTTGGCGAGGCGCTCATCTTGACGGTGATTGAGTCCTTGGCCGAGAAGAGCCAGTCCAACAGCCTGGTGTTGACGTTGGAGGAGCACGTCTCCTTCAACCTCTTCATATCCGACATCTTGAACTACATGATCCTCCAGAACAACGACGCCCACATCAAGACCCCTGTGGTGGTGCCGGCTCCGTTCACCAAAAAGATCCCCACCAACGTGCGGGAGTCCAAGGTGTACGCGTACGAAAACCCCCCCAGAGGATCGTGTGGCGAGATTTCCATCAAGTCGTCGCGGTTGTCGTTGTACTCGCCAAGCGAGTTGGACTACGACCTGTCATTTGCCGACGAGGTCACCATCGCCAAGAGCGCACCTCGGTCGCTCTACTCGGAGGAAACCGTCACCGACGACTATGCTGTGGATGCTGGAGAAGACGAGGTCGAAGACGACGCTTACACCTACTTGAACTCGTTCGACGAGCAGCCGGTGGTGCGAAAGAAGGGAAGACTCTCGTTTTTCAGGAGAAAGAGCATAGTGGATGGAAGTGGTGCCAAATTGGCGCCAAGCCTGAGCATTAGGTCTCGTCGCTGAGCAACCAGTTACTAGGCTGTGGTCCCCACATAATTCAGGGCACCTGGGTACGCGGCGGAGATATGCCTGTGCGCTTAGTTTAGTCTATTCTGGCAATAGAGTAACTCACGTACCGAAAATATTCTGTAGCAACCACGCTGGTGGCCTGAGAAATCCCGACTGACAAAATATTATATAACTGAATGATAAATGGCCAGGAGATCCAAGCTAGCCCCTCCGCCTTGGTGTCACTGCTCGTATTTCAAGACTAGTTACTTGCTGAAACGACTAGCTGTTTCAGAGTATTGCGGAAGAAATCTGCTACCATCCAATTGCCATATCCGTGGTGGATTTTGTTTCACATGGATTAGCCGAAAAGAATACGAGCTTTGGCATGGCTGATGGTCCTAAGCGACGCGGCAGAAGTACACAGGCGGGGGGCTTCTGGGCGACTTCCAGGGAGAGTGGTCATGCCTGTGCAGCTGTTAATAGCCCTAGGCTTCCAGGCTTCCATCGCAAGCCAGGCGTTTGTGGCGGTCGTCGTAATCCATTGGTTGGCAACATCCCCAGACCTGTACACAGAACCTCCCAGACGAGGCCAGAAGTGGCATATTATTACTAGCCGAGCATGGGGTGGGGCAGATGGTAGCCATTTGGTTCTCAAACAGGGGTTGAGCGTTAACGACGTCAACTCTAGTAGGCTCATGTAAGGTCCGGCCGTTGGCCAATACCCCCAGCAGTGAAGCATGGATGTGATGCAGACACAGTTCGTAACTCACCGACTGCAGGCACGGCTACGCTAGCGACGCACACCCCATGCGCCGGGGTCTGACACCTAGCTGTCATTTGCGTGGGGGAGCCACCCCCAGTGGGTCCTTGCTGGCCACCGCAGCAAGAATCCGCCATGAGTGTCCGCAGCCCCTTCCTACTTCCCGAGTCCCTTGTCAGCGAGCCAACTGCGCTCAGCCCTATGTGTTGCGGTAATGATCTGCGTTTTTTGCATCTATTGTCATGTGCGTACTCCAGTTATGCAATCCTGATAGAAGTGCCGATAAATTTTCACCAGGAGTACATGAACGGAAAGCCTAGTGGTTTAGAAGCCTGTCTCTGCAGCACATTGTGCCAGCTACATATTTAGAACATTCGCCAGGCATTTGACTGGGGCCAATCTTCCCGAGCTAAAAAATTACCCACTCATTCCCATCGTAAACGCATTGCCGTCCGCCAGGCTTCGTTGCTTATCAATATAAACCAAGGCAACTGCTGATATCACCGTTATTGGAGAATCACGGGGCCATGTCCACCTTGACGTTTCCGTTTTCCAGCACCCAGATCGATTGTGTCAGATGCATCTGGTACAATCTTCGGATCATTGCCGTTAGACGGTCGGAAGCCACGCCTGAAAATGCCCCCAAAAAGCACACTCCCATGCTCCGTTCCTCCAAGTCACTTCCTTCCATCAGAGCCCCTCAAAAGTCCCCCATTTTGACGGTCAAGACGGCTTTCATCGTCAAGCATCTCCCCAACTTGCCAACTTTCCAGTACCAGATCTGCTCCAAATTGCGTCAGATCGACCACAACAAGTCTGCCGATGCCCGAGACCGATCTAGCTTGCCGACATTGGACCCCAGCCTCCTAGAGTCGCTCATCTTCAAATATCGTTTGGACAAGGTGTTGGACTTCATAGCAATTGCAGTCACTTACTTGGAGCTCCGACTGCCCATTCCCGAAACATACGTCGAGTGGTTGACCAACGACGAGGGAATCCGTCAGTGGAGCCCTCACCAGTTCGAGGTGTTTTCACAGGCGTTGCTCGAGACATTACACTTCGAGTCCAACGAGGAGGAGTCGGTGTTTCAGAAATTCGTATCGTCCATCTTTGACTTTGTCATGGGTAGGACGTTGGGGTCCATGTTGGAGCGGTTACCTTCACCTACTATTGAGCCCCAGCTCGAGCCCCAGGTCAGTATTACTCGCCTGTCATATTCGCTCGGAACCATCACGAGCCATAAATCTTTGGATAATTCGTTATTCTCGGACTCTGGGAACGGAAGCGAGTCTTTCACCACTAACGAGACGTTTCAGCGCCGCATGCCCATGTGCTCAGAAAGACAGAAGAAGGGCCTCTTCAAAAGAATTGCCAGCTCGTTTCGGTTCAAGAAATTGAGGTCTGTGCTGACCAGCAACAGTCCAGAGCCTCCAGCCAGAACTTCCCCTGCCAGCAGTGGTAGCCAGGCTCCAGTCAGTATGTTGCTGGCCACGGATACGCTTTCGAGGTCAACCACAATTTTGCAATCAGGAACGTCATCGATACAACGAACTAGCGATGACCAAAATACACCCAAGAAGAAGACTACCATGAAGTCGTCCCCTTCTGTTAGTCACATAGTCATGCTTGATGGCAGTCTAATGCCGGTGTCCAGGATTCATGGTGGATCTCCTGCAGTTCCTCCCAAATCTACAGTGCCTCCATACCAGCCAGACAGTGACGAGGAATTTTAGAGAAACATCAACGGGCAGAATCTGCAGTAAATAGGTCTTAAGGAATGGAATGGTTATTAAACGGAGATGCTCTCGGCGCATGGTATTAAATTAAAGCAATCATAATTGTAGAAGTCTGTACGGGGGTAATTAGAAACAGTGGTGCCAGACTGTTTCTAAGGCACTGAAGTACGAATTGGGAATTGAAGACGAACGGCGACACCACTTTGTTTCAAGGGCGGGGATTCACTCAATTACTCAATTGGATTAAACTCACGAACTTGACCTAATACTAGGCACAACGATGGTGACTTAAGGCACATTTCACACGATGGATACTTATTATTTCACTGCAATACGATGGTGACTTAGTATTCACTTGCATGTCGGATTAAATAACTCACCAATCCTTACTCACTTACACTGGTCGGTGTCACAGTTCGAATAGTCGTCCACCACACAGTTCAACTTGCTGGATTGTCCATAGGCACTAGCCTTTCTGTTGAGCACGCGATCAGCCGCAGTACTGAACTCGGGCTGGATGGTGGCAGAATGAATGCCAAACCTGTGCAACACTTCTCTGACCTCGCCAACCACCTTCAAGAAACTGGACTGGTCGAACAGGGTGGAAGCGTTGGGCTCAGAGCTCTCGCTCAATTCCAAGTGCAACGACGCGATCAAGATATCCTCGTTCAAGTTCCACACGTGGAAATCGTGCACCGACTTGACCGAGGCAAGCTTAAGGATGCTTTCAAGGATATGCTGGGGATTGATATTTGGCGGGGTAGCTTGCAACAAGATCTTGGATGATTTACGGCACAACGGCAATGCGGACGAGAATATGATCACTGTGATGACCAAGGACACAATAGGATCGGTTAAGAATCTCCAAGAATAATCGGTTTTCCAGATGAACAACGCAGTGATAATGACACCAACATTGCCTAAAGCGTCACCGAATACGTGCAAAAACACACCCTCCATGTTCATGGACTTCTTCTTCTTGGGCTTGGATTCTGGGTGGGGCTCTGAGTGGGAGTGGTCGTGCTTGTGGAGCAAGGGGCTATCCTCGTTGTATCTTTCGACCACGGAGTCAGGGAGGTAGTCAGCCACGTCCGTGGATGAATTGTTGTGGGAGGACTGGTACAATGAGGACTGGCCCACTGAGGCTTCTGGATCAGGGTCCGAGTGAGAGTGGCCATGGCCATGGCCGCTGCCACCACCATGGGAATGACCATGTTCGTGGAACAACACCAACCCTACGAAGTTGCTGGCCAAGCCAGCACATCCCACCACAAGCACAAGCTTGGGGGACGAGATCTCGGCAGGCTCGAAGAACCGTTGGATGGCTTCGATGATAATGGTGAAGCAGAGCGCCAAAAGAAACACGGCGTTGATCAATGCACCCAAGATCTCAGCGCGCTGCCACCCGTAGGTGTACTTGCCGTCAGCAGGCTTGGTGTTCTTGACACGAACCGCCCAGAGGGCGATGATGAGGGAGATGATGTCGTTCAACATGTGGAACGAATCGGCCACCAACGCCAACGAGTGGACCGAATAGCCTACGATGGCCTCGAGGAGGAAGAACACAGTGTCCAACACGAGCAACGACCCGATTCTGAGTTCTTTGCCGTTCATGGGGGGTTGGAATGATAAACAAATGGTACGAAATATGGATTATTTATGCTCGCTAACTTTGCGACAAATACGACCGCGAGTGACAGCGAGGAGCTGCCATGGCGGGCCACGACCACGGGAGTTATATCCGGAGTGGCGCTGGCAGGCTGGGCAGAAGATAGTACAACATGGGACAATACTACAACAGAGGACAATATGTAGAACAGAACACAAATACCTACAAAATACTGAAGTGATCTAAAGACATGTAGCGAGGGCTCGCGCTGCAGTCTCGCTAGACATCTCGTTCTCGCAGGTGCAGTTTCGCAGCTACCACGGTAGAGCTGGTGCTGCACTGCTAGCGAGGGTGACACCACGAGGCGGCGTCGAACCGACCAACCAAGGTTGGGCCGGGACGTTTGTTTGGGAGTGGCGGACATGGCGCTGCTCTTTTGGGCCCAGTGCCCGGGATGGAATGCCATTGTTGGAGTCCTAAGCCCTTTCTGGAGCCGCAGTATCCCATCTGGGAAACCATCTGAAATCGGATGCACACGATAGCACGTGCCTATGTTGCACTGAGAAGATATTATATCTCATTAGTCAATGTCACATCTTTGCTGGTGGATGTATCACTATCAGTAGTTTGTATAACTTTAGATGGAACAAAGTAACTCTCTTTTGCACCCAAGTTTACCAGGTCGAGATTGTTAAAAAGTGTGCCCCAATATGTTAAGTAACTGAAGACTTACAGTTATTTAGTCATTTCCACGTTTGATCTAAACGTAGTTGGATTCAAGATAAATGGATCTACATAAGCGCCTGTGCTTATCGTTTAACAAAGGAGGTATTACTTTCTTGTAGAAACTAGAGTACCTCTTGCAAATTTCCAAAGGTTGCAACAGAAGGGTTGTTGAACGCTGATTGAATTGGTACTTTTGGGAGCAACAATACGTCCCCCAATTCCTATCCTTTAATATTCACCATCCGCTTGTGTTCGTTTCTAGTTCTGAGACTTTCCCGTTGCTATTGTGTTTATTTTATTTCTACCTACTTATCTTCGTATCCTTTCCATTAAACTTTAATTGCTGGCATAGGAATTAGAACACACGTCTACACCAAAGACAAGTATAATGAGCTATCGATAAGTATTCCGCCATTTGAATTAATATTTTGTGGTAATAAGAAACTAGCTTGAGGGTCTAACCGTAATACAGAACAAAACAGCCCAATCCTATGCGTTCAAAGCAGATAAAATTAGTGTCGAAAACGAATCTTTGAGTTAGGTTCATACTAATCACACCTATTAATTGGGTGTTGTCAATATCCAGGAATCAGAAATGCGAAGTTCACTTGCGAATTACTGTACTACACTTGATCTAAGCCAAGAGACTACAGGTTGTTGGGAAAGGTCGTGGATGGAGGTGAAGGGTTGGTCAGACGAGGAAAGGTGGTATACAGGGAGAGGTGAGAGAGGGTTTAGAAGCATGGGTGGCCACAGTCAACCACCAAGTATTGATACAACAGACTGGAGCAGCAGGGCAATGTCGCGAATTGACATCGTGATTTCTGTTCGATATTTCGGCGCTAGTCAAAGCGGATTTAAACCGGGATCCGAAGGATCGATGTATAGGCAGACGCCAAAGGCATGGGGAATCAGGACTAGGGGAGGAATTGAAGTCGAACATGAAATCGTAAGGGCATAAAGGGCTGGCAGGGCCAATTGTTTGATCAAACCAGTCGAATCAACATTAGGAAATTTGGTGACAAAGACGTTTGGTACCTGGTTAACCAGGACCATGCACTCATAAACTGAAGGAAAGCAAACAATCACAAACAAAGCAAAAAGCAAAAAAGCAAAAAACCAAAGAAACTCAAACAAAACGAACAGAACATAAATAACTAACCTTTGCTAGAACCCAATAAATCATTAAATGAAATCTTGTGACCCCCGTTGCTGGAGGCATGCATGTGTGCATTTGCGGGCGCTTGGCCGACTGGTGGGAGCGGTTGTTGGAAGTGGGTGGTTATTGGGTTGGAGATCGGATGTGGGGGTTGCATTTGTGGGAAATGTCCACTTCCAGGAGGGTATTGGTATTGGATGTATCCTTGAGGAGTGTAATTATAAACGAACCCTGGCTGGATGAATTGGTTTGGTGGCATGTGGTGCTGTGGTGGAGGATACATGGGCATCCCATTGGGGGGAACTATGCTGCCTGGAGGATAGGCGGTGACTGGATACTGAGGAGGTGGATGTACTACTTGCGAAGAGGGCGACGAAGCAGTGCTGGCAGAAGAAGCACCCGAGTCAGCAACCTCGTCAGAGGGACCCGAGCTGCTCTTTGTAGACGATTTGAATGAGGGCTTGGGCAAGGCCAACGCCGCGGGCGACGAGTGGAAAGACGATCCAGCATAAGTTGCCTCTGCAGGCAGTTTCTTGTCCTTTGGCTGGGCAGATTTAGTCTTCTTGGAGGTGACCGCCTTGGTAGCACCACCGAAGTTAGGCTTGTCGCCGTTCGGCAAGGAAGGCTCGCTCTTCTTACCAGCGTCGACACTAGGCTTACTCTTAGAACCCTTCTTCTTGCCCTGCGCAGGCTCCTTGGGCTTGCTGGCGCCATCATGGTGGAAGTTGGGCTTGGATCCATTCGGGAGGGCGGGCGAGGTGCTTCGCGAGGTCTTCTTCTTGGAGCCATCATCCTTCTTGGTGGCGTTCTTAGAGCCCTTTGGCTTGGACGACCCGTGGCCAAAGTTCACCTTTTCTCCGTTGGGCAATCTTCTGTCGCCATCGTTCTTGGGGTTCTTGTCGGCTTTGTCGGGAGGCGTCCTATACTGCGCCTGGTGTATGGGTAAAGGTATCTCGTGGGCCATCATATTGTGTGTGTGGTAGAAAGGGACTTCAACGTGGAGTAGTTATAACGGGTCAAAATGGTTGTTGTGGCAAAATATCTGCATATATACGATTCTGGGACAAAGCAGGCTATAGGCTATGTGGTTTGTCGAAGTACAACGAATCTGATGTTAGTGTTGGTTGTAGGGTTCTGGGAGAGCAAATAGTTGATTAGTGGGCGGTCGTGCGCTGGCCCCACCAACGTTTCTTTTGGTAGCTACACAGGAGTCATGCTGGCGTTTACAGGGGCGCGGGACGCAATGTACCCTGTGGGTGCAAAATGAGATGTATACCTTTAATAATGGGTAAATCTCGAAGGTATAGAGCATACGTTGGTTACTTGAGATCTTGTATTAAATTTTGTGCCATCTACAGCAGTTCTGATTTCATATTATGAATATTGTCACCAATGAGATGACGAAGAACCTGGCTACTTTATCTTATTTAGAGTAGTTTCTGCCAACCCATTGCCAGAATAACTCGCTTTTCTAATTCATTTAGCTCCAGGAGGAATCAAAGTAACACTTCTAAGTGGGCCTGGCCTTGTTGAATAGAGTTCTTTAAAATTTCCTATGGCTTCAGTAGCAAGAGGCAAAGCCAGTTCCCCATAATCTCTATTGCAACCACAGATAAAGTATTGGACAAATAACGATGTTAGCGCGGGATGATTCGTATGTTACAGTTATGCTAATCACGCTTCATTCTTTTTTACGTATGAACTCATTTAATAATTGAGTAAGAATGACGGATTAATTCTCACACCACATAAAGGGTGCAATAAAGATACCCAGTTCATGGAGATGCGACATTTACTTGGGAAACACTGTATAGTTACCATTTCAAGTAGATTTAAATTGTTAATTCGATCTATGAAGCAGAGAGGATGTTGGAAATACCGATGACGGCCATACCCGTGACACTCCAGAGGAGCACGAAGTTCAGCGAACCCCCGAATGAAACAGCCGAGCCGTACATCGAGAGCCCAATCACACAGAGAAAGCCACTGGTAACGGCCATCGTGATGCCAAAAATGAAGTTGAGCTTGTCTAAGTCGATGTTGTCGGCATCGTTGGGCACGGAGCCGAGGAAGAAAAACCCGATCAACGCCCCCAACGGTTGGGCCAACCCGCCCAATGTGGCGCTAATGGCCCACGCCTTGAGCTTTGCGTACTTCTTGCTGGACCCCGAGGCAAACGAGTAGTACAACGGCAAGCACATTGAGAACCCCTCGGTGAAGTTGTGGAACAACAAGCTGATAAAGATCGTCACTCCTAGTTCAGGGTTGGTCTCGGATGTAATGTAGGTGATGAAGCCCTCGGGGAACTTGTGGAGGGTGATAGCCAAGATTGTTTGGACACCGATCAAGAGCAATCGCGAGTACGGCGAGTTGACGTGGTGGTGGTGGTCGTGGTGTGTGGAGTGGTCCTCGTTGGTGCGGTGGTGGTGGTGCAGATGGCTGTGACCCGACGATGTGGCTTCGCTGGAGTCCTGGTTGATGGTGGCAATGGCTGCCACTGGAGAGCCTTCGATGGACGCTTCCAAGTCTGGATGGTTGGTGAGCTCAGGGATCTCGCAGTAATGGAGACTGTTGGGCCCATTACTGTGAGAATTGGTTTTGTACAAGCACAACTCTGCCGATGAGTAGCCCTTGCACTCGCCAATTGCCTCGTCCTCCGCAGGAATGATGTAGTGGATAAGTGACTTCTTTCTCACGACCTTGGGCACCAATGGGGCGGTTTCGTCGCTGGTGTCCCTCGAATGCGAGTGGGAGTGAGACTGGGCCAGTGACAGGCTGTGGGAGTGCGAGTGGTCGCTGGAATGAGATTCGTCGTCGTCGTCAGAGGTCGTTTCGCGGGTGGTGTGCTTGTGGACGTCTTTGGTGTGGACCAGCGCAGAGTCGCTGCCGTGATTGCAGTGCACCACCGACTCGCTGGTCAATAAGTGCAAGATGTAGTTGAACGACAAGCACAAGGCCACGCCGAACACGAACGACGCCATCAAGTCGAAGTTGCGCCACTTGGCGCTGGCCAGGTCATCCAGCAGATCATCGTCCAGGCGTTCGCCCAAGTAGTTCATGGCGGCAGGGAGGAGCCGGTACAACGACGTGAACAACAAGCACCCCGAGCTGAACGCCAACGAGCCGTTCAAAAAGGTGTAGTTCTCCTTGATGTGGAACCCGTAGCGGGAGGTGATGAAGCGCGGAAACAAAAGGTAGTAGAGGTCGTCGTAGTAGATCACTCCACACCCCAACACACATAGCACGGACGAGGCGGTGGTAAGGATCCATCCTTGGCCCCAGTCGCTGAGGGCTTCGGGAACCATCTTGTGGTTAGCAGCTAGTAGATGGTGAGGACGGGTATAATGGAACCACGCGGTGCAAATGGAACGATCGACTTGTGGTGGAAGCGCTGGCGGATATGGGCAGCGATATATAGGAGGGTGGCTAAAGTGCACGAATTACGGTTGTGGAACACCCCGGTAGTTATCATCGCGGTTTCCGATCACTACATGGCGAATCCTGCATGGGCCCGCCCGGAGGCTGAATCGATCTGGGATTGGGGATCTATATAACACGGCGAGACAGAGGCGATGAAGAGTATACGGCAGTATCACTATTAGGCTCTTATTGTGATCTGATTGGGATCTGATTGGAGTAGCCTCTTGAATTAATCGTTCTTGGTCAACTCGATGTCGTTGTTGAACTGGGGCAACTCGGCGTAGTCCTTGTTCTTTTTCTTAAACAAAAGCCTCTTTTTGCTCCGGTTCTTTGCAAACTTAACTTTCCGCAAGTGACTCAAATCGGTGTAGCCCTTGTTGATGTATACGAAAAAGTACATCAACACGGCAGCAATAAGCACAGCCGTGGGCATGCCGATGATGACGTAGTACTTCTCATCAATGCCCTCGTCAACCTCCACCGAGATGTGCTGATTGTCCACCTTGTCGTACATCAATTTCAAGTCCTTGTAGCCCTCCTTGCTGACCTTGGCCCCTTTGGCGATCTCGACAACTACCGGATTCTTCAAGAAATCAAAGTCCTCATCGGCAACGTTGTCGGGTTGGATAGAGATCAACACCTTTTTGTAGGCTTCGTTGACTCCCTCGCCAAACCAGCTCTCGTCAATAGTGATGGGAAACCATCCCTTGGTTCTGGGCAACCACTCACTGCTGAAAAATGATGCCTGGCCCAAGGTTCCTCCCTTGTCCAACACCACAGATCTCTTTTCGTGGATCTCCTCCACCTCAATGTCTCTCTTGGTACCACGGTGGTACGCACTCTCCTTGACGAAAGACAAGTGAACCTTGACGTTTTGGGCGTCCTTGAAGAAGTTGGAGTACCAGGTGACGAAGTAGGTCTTACCCATGTTCAACATCTGATTGTCTTGAGGGAAACAGAATGGCTCACTGGTCTTGTCCTTGGCAACTCCTCTCTTGGAGTAGAAATCTGGAGTGCATCTGAGCAAGGGGTTGAGGGAGTGCTCGTAGGGATCCTCTTCAATGTGCTGTTCTTCTTCAAAGATCTCGTCATCAGCCATGTTGTGCGCCTTCAATTCTTCCTTGTTATAAGTCACGGTGGTGGCAGTGGCAAACCAGGTCCCGTAGGTGGGAGATCCGTTCTTGATTATCCCATTCTTGATCTTTGGCTGGATGGTCTTGGGAGATCCGTTCTTGTTCAACGAGATCCATGGCTCCAACCCATTGGTGGTCTTAGGAGGCTTGGCTCCAAATGTCACACTGGCAATCACGGTAGGGGTGACAATTTCCTTCTTGTCAGATGCCAACGTTCTGATCCATGGCTTTGGCTGGTTAGCACTGGTGGTTTTCGATGCAGTTTTGGCTTCCTGTTGCTCCTTGTATTTGGGATTCACTACCACATCCTTGTATCTCTTCTCGAGAGGTTGTGGGGCACCAGTTGGTTCTGGCACCACCTCGCTGATATGTGCAGCTTGTGTCACCACAAGGGACGATAATGCTAATAGAATCCCGAGCTTCATCGTGACGTTTGAAGTGGTGATTTGGATCTATAATTGATCTCAATCGCGTTGTTTTGAAAATTTTGCGGGTTCCGTATACTCCGGAGGTCTGTGATAAAGACAGGCACAAAAGGTAGGAGGTCACGTCTTTGTATGTAGCAGGCACAGACGGCAGAGATGCACGTAATTCGTTCCAATGATATCAAGAGTGAATTGTTAGCATCAAAAGCCCTTTCAATTAGGGTATGCTGGAGGTAGTGAACTGCATGTTGAGCAGACCTACGGGTAAAGTGTAGATTGAGGTGGCTCACCCAGGAAATGACAGATAACGGGCGTAGTGTTACAAGTCGAGAGAGCAGCTGTCGGAACTGATCCAACGGCCCATACGATGCATGACAGGCGCCCCATCTAGACACCAGAGAGATATCGTTCACTCTGGAGTCCAACCCGAGGACCGATTATGATTCTCTTAGAATCTGTTCAGCAAAACTCTACATGGCCACAGAAAGCCGCTAGAAGTGGTGGGCTCCAATAAGTATGTAAGTTCCCCTTCTAAGTGTAGACTCCGCGTTCATTGAGCGAATTTGGATACTTAGAAAGTATAAACTATGTTTGATCTTTGGCAAGTAATTCCATCATTTAATACATGGATCATGGTATCAATGAAACTATGCTGAGAATGCCAAGTCTACAGAGATTCGATGTTGTTCGTTTATTGACTATGTGGTATGGTGGTATTCAACTATATGGGCATCAGATGTCGAGAATCTTCGCTTTTGTAGCTGGAGCTAATCCGGGTAACCCCCGATGCCCTGGTATATACATGGAAGAATACTGATGACTGACGGAGTGAAGTCTGGGTTCCCAGAAACTAGACCTGAAGATAGCCCGAAAGGTACTTGATTTCATTCCATAAACTGGGAACTTCGTCAGCAACCGGTCCTCGGATCTTTTCCCCAGAATACAAGATCTTGTTGAAAGTGCCAATTTGAACCTTTATAAAGTCAAGCACTTCCGGGTGCTTGAGATGCAAGTAATTCTGCAAGAAGGTGTCAGGAAGTTCCTCGAAGGTCAAAGAGTAGATGTAAGCATAGAGCAATAATTCTGACGATGAGAACTTCGTGGTATCAAAAATTGGCCCGAAATCGGAGCCGTCTTCTGCATTTCTCTTAGCAAATATTCTGATATAATGCTGTAAGTACTCGTTGATCAAGACCAAACACCTCAAGGAGTTCTTGCTTTCTTTGAGTGCCATTTTCTCCTTAGATTTCGTGATTAATTGTCTCTCGTGCAAGGTACTGATCGCCACTTGGTCCGGCTCATCAGCATCATCATTGATATATTCGGTTTGGGCCAGTTCCGAGGTTTGTCCTGTGAAGTTGAAAAATCCACCACCCTTGGTGTTCAACCCCAACAATGCCACTTGGGCTTGTGCGTTATTGTAGAACTTCAATGGTTGGTTGTACATCATGGGGAAAGGGAAGTATTTCTGGAACTGTTTTCTGGTGTACTTTTCATAGTTTCTGGTGTTGATATACAAATTGTATTGGTGGATGTATTCTATCTTGTGTAGGTTGATGTTGAGCAACGCCAGATTGACGAGTTGCTCCTTTTTGGACAAGTCACTGGAGCCAACGACACGGCTGGAAGGATATTTTTCAATCAAGTATGCTGAAATCTCCTCATATCCCTGGTATTTGACGGTGTCTTCGATCAAGACCGGCAACTTGTTGATGGTCGATACATTGGTGTTGGAAGAAGTTACAATCTCATACGGTATGTCGAGGGACAGAAGAAGCCACAGACTCGCTAAGCACTCGGGAGATATCACCGAAATCCTACCCCCTTCACCCCAAACGTGTAATTGTAACATGGTGGGTGTTGTATGGCATCTATGGTGGCTATGTCGCATGTCGCACTAGTGCCACCAGAACGTTATGGTAGTGTACCGCCCATCTCCCATCCAGCTAACGTTCATCATCACGCACGAATACACACCACCATCCATCACTCTACCTCCGTTTGCAAACATCCACGTATACATCCATTACTGAATAGCAGGGGCAATTGGAATTGGAACAACCTCTCCATCAGGTACCAAATGCCAAGCAACATGTTCATACAACAAGACAAGAAGAAGAGGTTGACATTGGACGTCATCGGCCAGCTCGAAGATGATCTTGAATTAAACCCCTTAGACTATGTCAAGTGGAATAAGTTGATCAGACAGGTCTTAAACAAAGACAAGGAGGAACAGGTCAGATCCGTGTTCACCAAATACTTGAGCATATTCAAGTTTGATGTACGTCACTGGAACAATCTTGGTCAATCAATCTGTATATAGTGGAGGGAGATCAGCTAGACCATGCTACGTCTGCTCACTGGATGAGTGTACGACGGTTCATTACTGATCTCGCTTTTTCATTTCTTCTATATTTACTTTTACGTGGGAAGTACTGACGGCCAACGAGAATCTCGATCGAAACATTCGAGACGATAGATTCACAAAGTTGATGACCGTTAAATAAATACAATATTCATTACAGATAGAATGACCAAGACCTTAGATATTCGGAATTTACTAACATTAATAGAGCTCCCAATGGTGCAACTACATTAATTATGAATTAAGCCGAGGAGAATTCAAAAAAGTGGAATCTTTGTTCCAAGAGTCATTTCCGATTACTGATAGTGTGGAGCTATGCCGCTTATATGTATCCTACGTTCGTCGTGTTAATGATGTCATCACTGGTGGTGAACGTGCCAGAGGAATTGTGATCCAGGCTTTTGAATTTGCAGTAAATAAAGTAGGCTTAGATATTGCCAGTGGAGACTTATGGAACGACTACTTAGACTTCTTGAAGACTTGGACTCCAAGTGCAAGTTGGGAACTTCAACAAAAAGTTGATTTGATTAGGAAAGTGTATAAAAAGTTTCTCGTGGTTCCTACTGAAGGAATTGAGAAGTCTTGGCAAGAATATACCAAATGGGAAAACGAAGTTAATCCTTCAACTTCTAATAAATTTATTTCTGAAAAATCAGCAGAATTCATGGTTGCCAGATCTTGGAATACTGAATGGCACAACATCACCGAAAAGAAACTTAAACGTGAGATAAATCCAAACTCGTTCAATTCTAATGATAACAGTGGACCTCTCAGGAAACAACTCGACTTATACCTCAAGTGGATCGAGTTGGAAAAGAAAAATAACCTCGACATCAAAGACAATTCTCAGCTCGAAAAGAGAATTCTGTATGCTTATAGACAGTCAACATTTTCTTTACCTTTTGTTCCAGAACTTTGGTTCAAATTCAGCAAATTTTGGTTACAGAACAACGAAGAAGCTAATATCAATACCAGTATTGAAATACTTAGTCAGGGTACTACATTTAACCCTAGAAGTATGTTGATATCATTTCAATTAGCAGAGCTTTATGAGAAAGATGGTAATTTTGAAAAAGCTAAAGAAACTTACCTCAACTTGATATCACACTTGAGCATCCCATACAAGATGTACACTGATAGAATTGAAGCAATAGAAAGCCGAGTTTTTCCCAAAAAGCAGCAATCCGTTGTTGAAGACGAAAGTACTCCACCAACAGAGCTGCTTACCGAAGCTGAGCCTACGCCAGAACCTACCAAAAAGATTGAAAATGACGATGACGATGACGACGATGAGGACCAAAAGATTGTATACTTCACAAGGGATGAGCAAAATCAAATAGCAAGACTTCAAAAATTCCAAGAGGAGTATGCAAAGCAAATTACTTTGGGTTATATAAGGTTAATGATCTCATCCAAGAGATCAAAGGGTATGAAAGAATCACGTCTCATTTTCAAACAATCACGTTCAAGCTTCCCAGCAATTGGATATGAATTTTACGTTGAAAATGCATTGCTTGAACATTATTCAGATAATAAGAAGGTGGCCTTGAAAATTTTTGATTTAGCTTTCAAGATGAAAGCATTCAGTACAAACGGAAAGTTTTTATCAGCGTATTTGGAGTATCTTATCAACAGCAATGATGTGGATAATATAAGAAAACTTCTTCAATCATCAGACACTAACATTTCCAAAGAAATAGCCAGCTTAGAAGAATCTTTGTTACTTCCCGATGTGCCTGAGCATATCAAAGAATCCCGTAATAAACAAATTAGGGTTCTTAAGCTGTATTTGAAGAAACTTTTAAAGAGGTATATCGGATACTCCTCTAATTATTTATCTCTTGATGTTGCGAGCAGCTTTGCTAACAAGTACGAACAACTCTTTCCTGATGAAGATCCAATAGCATTGTTCAGTGATAGATATCGTCTTAGTGGCAAAAACCTCATCAGAAAATTCGAATTAGATGACGCAGATGATTCCAGTGATGATGAAGGAGAAGAGGAGGATGCAAGAAGGTCTAAGAGAAGAAGAGTCTCTAAAAAACAGGCACAAGTTGCCTTTAATGAACCTAGCGCTCAAGAAGCCGCCAATAAGAGCAACGGATCCTTATCCAATGGACAAGAGGATGCCAAAGAACCTCTTGTTGGGAAAACCCTTGTCACACTTATGACCGCGTTACCAAACGCCTCTTATTTCGGACATGCCTCCGAAAGTGTATTTAATAGTGAAAAATTGGTACAACTTTTAGCCAACTTACCGAACGTGCCTATTGACTAGATATATAATAAATATATGAAGGTAAGACATACTGTTGCACCTTGTAGGTTTGCCCTTTCAGTTGGTAGCTTTTCAATAGTTCTAAAGTCTTCGTAATAAGTAGGTGCTACATTTGTCGGAGCCTTTAACTTCTATTTTGTAGACCCACTTCTAAGTGATTAAGTAATGATCCGAGAATGCCTGCGGTCTCCTTGGCCTGGAGCTTGCATCCTGTTTCCTACTAGAGTGCAAAAAAGCTAGAAGAATTTTCCTGAAGTGTTATTCAGAAGGCTAATCATGCGTTTGAAAGTATTGGTCTTAAATTTAAAAAAATGATACAATAAGGAAGAAATATAGTACATGAATTTTTGAATTATATACAATAGAGATATCTCTCTGAGCTATTTTATAGATGAACAACGTGAAAGCTTAGAAAAAGCCACCTATAAATGTACCTCTTAGGAGCAAGATAAACTCTTCAAATGGCTTGTGTATGCAAATTTGTTTGTCTCGTTAACTAGAAGCCTCTCACATCATCTTGCACAATGTCCATAGTATCGACCAATGATGGTTTGAAGGGCCATGCTTCATAGACATTGAAAATCTCACTCCAGTCATCGATTGAGAGTTCACGAGCGCTTTTTTCAAGTATGCTCGAAGAAAGCTTCACGGATAAATCTTCCATTGCTCCAGGACCAATATTGGACAAAGAGTCCTTGATCTTTTGTGACGCATTGAAATATATTGACCGAATAACGTACTCGTACATGTCGTACTTTTCTGCCGAGATGTCCTTGGGAACAATTTCCAAGAGTGCAAGCTGTCCATTAGATGGAAGTATACTTCTGCTCGTCAATGGAATAGGCTGATCCTTCATAATTAAACGAGGGTCATATCCGCTACCGTCTGCTTCAGTAAAGTCTTCGGGCTCGGAGATAGCCACCAATTTGCTTTCTGTATAAAGTTCTCTCTTAATGGCTGATTTATTTCTCTTATGAAATGAGCTTCCAGACATAAATTTCATTGCTGTGACATCAGGAGTAAAGCACAACATACGGACCCTTCCGTACTTCTGGAGCCAATTTTTATAGATACAGCACATAATCCATTGTGCTAACAACGATTCACCGAATTTACTTGGGGTCACATTGCCTATGATTAGAAGTTCATCGTGCACTTTATCGCGAGGAACATAAGAGGGCTGAACAATTTTGTCCTTCTGAATAAGATCATCAAAAGTTTCCCATTTATATCCATCCTTGGCGTATAGATGGAAATTCTCTTTGTTATTGGTTGTCTCTTGAAGGTGGCTTATTCTTTCCTTCCAATGTCCAACATTGACTTTCGTGTTCTCAATAATGACGTGGTTGCGAGGTTTGAGCTCGTAGTTGACCATGGTGGAGAATAATCCAAAACCGGAAAAGATGTCTATGATATCAAGGTTGGCTGAGTTGGGGTACTTGGATTTTAAGTCCAATTTGTCAATTATTTCCTGGCATTGTTGTGGTTTTGCCAAATGCTTAAAGTTGTATTGAAACTTCGGGAGTGGTCCCAGGAAGATCTTCGAGAGTGCTGGGTTGAAAGACCGGAACGAACTCATCGATATGGCTGCTGACACACCTAGCATGCCAAATTTTTCAGCCAGATATCTAGGCACGTGACCAGATATCCCAAGTTATCGCAGGAATGGGTGGTTGAAACGCCACCACGAGATGTCAATCAATAATGTCATTTTGAAGCCCAATTATCAGGAGCTATTAGGGACGCTGCAGATCCCTTTCGAAGTCAGTACTGATGGACTAGAGACTCTCAAATTCCATTCACCCACATCTCGCCAATCCTTATCAATCAGCCTGCATGGGAAACTGGATCATACGATCAACATCAATGCCAAAGATGGCTTCGTCTACCTAACTACAAAGCGATTAGTGTACATAACTGGAGATCAAGGAGACGTCAGTACGTTTCTGATAGATTTGAATTTAGCACCAGTATTGCAACTTAGTCATAAATTGAAAGCCCCTTGGTTTGGGGCCAACTACTGGGAATTCATCTTCTTTAGTGCCAGCAACCCCAGCATTGCCAGCGACGGGTTTCCTAAGGACCAGTTCTTCTTGGGACAAATCATGTTTTATGATGGAGGTTTGTTCAACTTTATTGAACTATTCAATTCTGTCTTGAATGACAATGTGAATAATGGGCACATAGATGAGTCTTTGCCTCGGTATTCTGAATGAACATGAACTGACAACTACGCGAACTGGATTCGATTATGGTTCAATGGGATATTACAAAACTATCACTTGAATATTTATGGCGGTTTCATATAACAATAATACAATTGAATTTATTAATTATACATGAAAGGAAATGAAAATGTAAGCTATGGTATCACTCCAACGATAATGGCGTAGTATTTTCAGTATCAGCATTGGAAGTTAATCCCAATAACGATGAGTCAAGCTCTTCTCCATTGTCAAGCCTAGCCAAGTGATTCTCAACGGGGCGCTTTACAGCGGAGTTAACTGCCAATGGTTTCAACCCAAGTGCTTCATCAAAATCGGCAAAATCAATCAACTTATTCTTTTCTTCCTCCGTGAGATCAGAAGTCAATTCTTTGAACCTATCGAATGCCATCTGCTCTAATGCTGCAGCATCCTGGTAAACAATAGAACCTTCTTCGTTGTAGATTTTGGCATTGGTAAACATCAAATGCAAATCTTCCAAAGCTTCTCTAATCGAGGTGTAAGTATTTGAGTTCATTCTCTTCTTGACTGTGTCTAAAGCAATTGGATTTTTGATCAAGACATAGTAGTCTGGATAAAGCTTTCTAGATGGTTTAACCAAAAACAAGTCACTTAAAGTTCTACCATGCTCATTTTGGTAAGACATAATCAAATTGAAAATTCCTTCAATAACTTCTTGCAAGTTGGTTCGTTCTTCTGGCAGTAAAGGATCAATAGTTGGAGTCGATCTGTATAAAATAGATCTAGCCCCACGTCCCTTACGGTTTCTAGGTTTGGCTTTAGATGCTTGTGACTTAGGAGTGGCCGATTTTTGCCTCTTGCTTGAGGGTTCGACCAGATCTTCTCTATCTGCTGATCTCTTACCACTGGGGTTACTTTCGAAGTCCTCGTCCTGACTGAATTGTTCATCTTCAACTGCCTTCTTCTTTGGGCGAATTCTTTTTCTTTTTGGCTTCAGTTCACCCTCATCATCACTTGCATCAGAAACAACACCGTCGATTTTCTTCAACCATTGCTCTTCAGTCAAATTGTCGTCATAACTCATGGTTTTACGCTCTCTATTACCTCTTCCGTAATCCTCAAGAACAATATCCTTCTTCAAGAAGTCTTCTGGATTTTGTTTATAGACATAAGGTAATTCAGAATCAGCAAACAATCTGCTTGGATAAGCAGCTTCTCTGGTAGCAACGGCTCTTTCTTCGTCGAGTCTTCTAAATGTCTCTAATTCAGCTTCATTTCTAGCGATGACTCTATTCAATTCATCATCATCCAAGTCCTCATCATCGCTACCGCTACCCTTATGTTTACGCTCTTCTTCCTTGTCCAACAAGGCTCTCAACATTGCTTCTTGTTCTTCTGAAGTGGACTTGTTATCGAATTTACCAGCTTGGATAACCTTACCATCAATTTCCAACTTCGCATGAGCTCTTTCTAAGATCATTTCCTCAATAGAATCTTCCGTAATTAACCTAAGAATTCTTACCTCATTCTTTTGACCGATACGATGCGCTCTATCTTGAGCTTGTAAATCTTGATGAGGGTTCCAGTCAGTGTCAAAAATAATGACGGTATCTGCTGTTTGCAAGTTAAGACCCAAACCACCTGCTCTGGTTGATAATAGGAAACAGAAATACTCGGAGTCTGGGGCATTAAACAATTTCAACAAAGAAGTTCTATCATCCGCCTTAGTCCCACCATCCAATCTCATATACTTCATTCCACGTAATCTTAAGAAATCTTCCATGATGTCCATAATTTGTGTCATTTGAAAGAAAATCAATACTCTGTGTCCTGTCAACTTGAACTTTGGCAAAATCTTATCCAAAAGTTCAAATTTACCCGCAACCCTCCAAATAATGTCATTAGTTTCCACTGTAGGGTTGATTAAATTTTCAACTTCTTCATATACAAATGGATGGTTACAAATTTTTCTGAGTTGCATGATTTGGTTGTTAGCATTTTTGATCATGATTGGCTCAGTACTTGTTAAAGTCTCACTTGCAAACAAAATGTTATGTTTCAACATTTGCTGGTATAATTTGGATTGAAGGGCAGACATTTTACACTTGACAACCTTCTCAACCTTGTTAGGTAAATCCTTCTCGACATCTTTCTTCAATCTTCTCAAAAGGAACGGCCTTAAGACTTTATGCAATCTTCTAATGACCAATAAAGTTTCTTCTTCGCTCAATTCTATCTTATCTTGACCACCCGTGTTCGAAAATGGAGTATTAAACCATTCGTCAAAAGACTTAACAGAGTTGAAAATTTTTGGCAAGACGAAATTCAAAAGTGCCCACAATTCAGGTAAATTATTCTGCAAAGGAGTACCCGTCAAAATCAAACGGTAGTCACTATGGTAGCTGTGGGTCAAAGTCTCGGACAACTTAGAGTTGGCATTCTTCATACGATGACCTTCATCGATTATCATATGGACCCATTTCACTCTGGACAACAAGGCTTTATCCTTGATGATGTATTCGAATGTCGTCAATAAGATTTGGAAATTACCCATCCTTATATCTTGTTGCATGATTTTACGTTGATTTGGAGTACCCTTATAAGTGATCTTTTTGACTGCTGGTGCCCATTTCTCAAATTCTAAATTCCAATTTGTTAATGTGGACAATGGCACAATCACTAAAAAGGGACCCGATATCTGTTTAACTTCGACCAAATAGGTAATTAATGAGATTGTTTGAATAGTCTTACCTAAACCCATCTCATCTGCCAAAATACCATTTAAATGATTGTTAAACAAGGAAACCATCCATTGCAAACCCTTCAATTGATATTCCTTCAAGGTACCACCAACCAAGATAGATGGCTGCTTATGAACTTCTTCTTTTATTCTATGAGCAACATGGTAGTAATCCATCTTTTCTCTCTTCTCATCATCATTAACCTCTGGACTATCTTCCTTGACATTTCTGCCTGTCTTAGATTTTTCAGAAGATTCCTTCTGTTGAGATTGAACAGCTTGAGCTAAAGAGTCCAAAAATTGGTTGGTTTGCTTCAACAAATGTGTAATTCTTGTATCCTTAGTATGATCTAATAATTTCAAATAAGCTTCCTCATCGTTAGATTTCAATGCCTGCAAACGTTGTTTGGCCATCTTTTCAATCCTCTTCTGCTCTTCTCTTGCAGTCTGGTTATGGAAACTATTAATTTTAGTATTAAGACGATTTAATTTTTCTTTCTTCTTGGTGGTGATATTGAATCTCCTTTCCCTCGACAGTAAAATTTGGTTAATAGTCTTTTGATGTTTTTGATTCTCTGCCTGCACTAAAGTCTGTAACTGATGGGTGTATAAGTCGTGAGTTGCACTGACATTTTCAAGTGACAAAGTATTGAATTTTGCAAGGAAATTAGGATGGGAGTTTGGTAGTAAAGACTTGCTGAACCACACCTGAGACAAAATTTTACCTCTTAATTGTTTCTGGAAAGGAGCTAACTCTAATTTGATTATTTGAGCTTCTATTTTTTCCCTCTGTTCATCAGTTTCATCCATTGAATTTAATCTATTGCGAAGTTGAGTTAACTCTTCATCCATTTGAATCATCATCAACACTTCCTTATTGGTGACAATATCATCCATATTAATTCCTTCTGGTGACAAACTTGGCCACTGAAGACGGCTCTGAGGGGCATATAGTGCTTGGAAAGCGATTTGCTTGTCACTTTCGCGAAGGATGTTTGGTAACTCGAAAGTATCCACTTGGACATTAGCCTTCGAAATAGGTAGCACTGCTACTGTTTTATTGGCCGACTTGTCTGGAATCAACTTATCCAATGATCTGGGAGGTTCAGGCTTATACAATACAGCTCTGAATGTCTTGGCCAGTGATGTTGTGTCAACTGCAGCCTGCTGTGAAATTGAGGGAGATTGTCCTTGTTGGATTGATTCTATTGGCTTGACTGGTTGCTTCATGGATTCGTGGGATTGAAGTGGAGTAGACTTAGAACCCTTGTTCAAGTTCTTTCCGTTTGAGTCATAGGAAGGTGTAATGGGGCCCGTGCCTACTGGGGCAGTGTTCATCATCTTACCTTGTGCCTGTTGAGATAAGTTAATGTTTTGCTGGGAGCCCATACTTGGAGTTTGCTGAGCAGAGGGTGCTTGTGGCTGACCAGGTTGCGACTGTTCCAAGGATGGAAGATATGGTCCATTTGGAAAAGCAGATCTTTCTGTGGTCACAAACTCGATGAGGTTTTGAGGTATCTGAGGGGTTCCGGGACCAGGGTTCTTTAAAAGGTACTTCAATGCTTGGAACTGTGATTTCACCAATTGAAATTGCTGTGCGGTGAAAGCGGATTCCTGAGAGTTGGCACCTGCTTGGTTCCGAGGTACGGGAATGGTCCCGTTTCCATTGGCAGTACCGTTGTTTTGCTGGAACATCAATTGTTGTGCTGCCTGGTTGGGGACCGGGGGAGCATTCTGTCTATTGGGTATTTGGTTGTTTGGGGCTTGTGCACCCATGACCATGTTGTTGGGGCCAGAGCCCATCAAGTTGGCATTCTGCACGTTAGGAGTGCCTTGGTTGGATGACCCCATCATGGATCCAGCCATAGAGTTGTGGGGCTGGACAGGAAACTGCTGCACGTTGCCATTGGCCTGGGGAGGTCCATGCGGAGGCTGGGAAAGTGGTTGTTGAACCGGAGACTGACCATTTCCTTGAGCACCTTGTTGCTGCTGTTGCTGCAGCTGTCTTTGGAGTTGGTTCTGCTGGAGATATTTGATGATTTTGCTCAACTGGGCAAACTCGGGAACGCTGACTGCTTGTTCACCGTACTGGTTCCGAAGTTGGTGCCAACGCTGGAGGATTTTCTGGATCTCCTCTCTGGTTAATTGACGATTCATTCTGACTGAGTTGCCTCAAAAAGACTACACGAGAATCCCGATTGATTGACTGGAAAATATCGTGTGTGTATGGTTGTCCGGTTTTGTATTTTGAACGGAGCGTGAGCGAGGAGCGACACGAAAATTTACGGTCGTGTACGGCACGAATATATATTAGGAAACGGGTGGGCCTGGTACAGTGGTTCCTGGTAGGCCCCTACCAGAGCAGAGCTGGTACGGCGGGCGTACACAAACGTACGCGAACAGCGGGAGCATGCTAAATACTGAGGTGCAAGTGCGCTTGCTGGAGCGTAGATACTAAAGCCTTCGGATGCTGATCAGATAATTCTTGCACCGGCGTAACAATACTTTGGTGACCAATGTGAATGGACATTTAAGTGTAGCAGGCTCGTTGGGATCGTCTCTGTTCCTGTTGTATACTTTGAAATTAAAGTGACCAAAAGAACTAGTTATGGCTTCCACAATTCTCCAGTGCCCCGTGGAGCATAATTAATGGCATCAAAACGCTCCATCTTGACCTGATCGCCAGCAACTCCATAACCTTCTCTGACAACCCCATCTACTTGGCGGGTTTTCCTCTTGCGTGCCTTTGCACCAGCTACATTCTTGAACTTGGGTCTCTGGTCAATGCTCTCGTACCTGTACTGGGTGGTATCGATGGTGCTCCGAAGGATATTACTCTCGTGCTCACCTTCATCGTGCGCCGAGAAATCGAGGAGTGGGTTGTATAGCTCGATCAGGTTGACATCATGGTTCTGAAACATGAGCACCTCGGTTTCGTTGACATTGAAACAGTCGATCCCGAAACATCTGGCCCAGATCTTGGTGATCGGGTCTTCAGTCACCAATTTCCACTGTTCAGCTGGATTCTTGCTTACGGATTTTTCGATAAACCGCTTGTATATACACGAGCGGATTAAATACCTCAAACGTGCAGGCATAATGGCATCCTGGTCAGAGTTTGCTAGGGCATTCTGATAAGATGCCGAGTTTTCGTACTGGATATCGTTGGTCTTGTGGCTTTCTCTCAACGAAAAGGAGTTGCTAAAATTATTAGTCAAGTCATCAAGGTCATCGTGACCTTTTCTCTCCATTACAGGTTGGTGACCCAACAAATGGGAATCGAACTTGGTTTTGAAGTTGGGAAAGTCACGGATTTTCGGGGTATGAACTTGATATTTCTGGCATTTTTCCCAGTTGGGTCCTGCCTCGCGTGGAGACTCGAGGTAGATCCGGTGGACGAGCTGTCCCAGCAGACTAACAGTCCCTTGTTCTTCCTTTTCAATGAACTTGTCGATGAACCTGATTGCTTCCCTAGCATTGGTAGCAGTCATTGAGATACCCTTTTTGACGAAATCAAACTCGTGCAAGGTGTACGATGGAATGTACATGTTCAATAGAATTTTGGTGTCTAGGTCATGGGAATGGTTTGCCTTGACATACTCTTCATTGAACCATCTCTTTATGTTTCCAATCCCTCTGACAAATGCAGTATGATCAAGGATGATGTTGACCGATCTTGTTGGTACATCCTGAACGGAATCGCTTAAATCAGCGGTCTGATGAAATAACTCATCTACCGGCTCACTGTTGGTGCTTCCTGCGTAACTAGCCTGATCATCACTCTTACCTGAGCCAAACAGATGTAGTGACATTCTATGAGTGCCCAAATTGACTGTGCATCCAAGTGTGAGACAGTTTAATGACGATGTAGTGGCTGTTGAAGAAGAAATCTATCGCTAGCAGAAAGTTCAAGTTTGAGGACCGATCACGTGATGTTCGTCACGTGTTTACTCCTACCTCGAAATACCTGATCTAGTATGTTACTTTATACGCCCGTAGTATCATGAACGTCGAGTTGGTGCTACGCAATCTACAGAGAAGATGTGGGTGTTGGGGTAGTGGTATGTATTATAGTAAGTACTATAAGGTCTACTTGTTAGTAAAATGCTTCACACAAGTCTTCAGCAGTGGGGGTCAAATATCAGATATAGTCAAGGTTCTATTCATCGAGCTGAAAAGCCCTAACATTAGAGATGCCAGAAAAAACATACTTAGAATAAAAAATTCATCCTGTTGACGGCACTGCTGAAGTTCGTTGGTACTTACTGTTTTGGTGATGGAGGTATTGATGAGAAAAAAAAATGGCGAATGGCCTGCTTTTATAGTGTGCGAAGAGAATTAGTAGCACAAAACCAGTTAGGGCTCTGAAGTTGGGCTGAACAGCTTATAAAGAAAAGAGTTCGAAAATGGTCAATTCTGGCTAGGAAACGACACCTTGCAATTTGAATCATTCAGAGAGAGGATCCTTTGTCTGGAGACTAAGTTTTATAATTATCGGGATACAAAGTGAAGGTTTTTTTTATATATTTATATATTTTGTAGAATTTTGAAAAATTTAGCAAAAATGTTGTATCAATAGGTAGAATTTTTGTGATATAGATATTAGTAGTTAAAACTGTATTCCACCCATGCGAGTGCCCCAGCTTCCACCTGATTGGCGCAGATGACCCGAATAGACAGATTACTCGTTGATCTGTAGTGCTTCCACTTCTGCCTGTACTTTCAGTAGAAGGGTGCGTGTGGCCAGAAGTTCCTGATTCATCAGTTCCTGCTTGTCCAACAAGGCATTCTTCCAAGCTTTGAAGCGGAGTTCTTCTGCGGCAACATGCTGGTCAAAGCCCTGGCGGACTTTCTGCGCCAAAGACTCATAGTTCGGGTTTGTAATCGAGAGATTTCCTTCGTATTCCCTCAAAGTGGTGCGAGAGTATATTTGCAATTGCTGTAAACCATTGGCAGTATTTACAACCGGACGGTCGATTTTGGACGCCTGCACCCACCGCTGACTGAGACACTGGGATCTGATCGTTTCGTAGTGGGCTTCTGTGGCCTCGACCAAGTCCAACAAGTGGTCGGTGAGCAATATCGATTTTAGGGCTGCGAAATCGCAGTAGTTGCAGTTATCGACCTCAGCCATTCCCCATTTATATTTGCGGCCCCTGACCGGCCGTCCTGCCTGGTCAGTATGGACGGAGCTGGCGCCCATGACGGCGTACGGTGCCACCGCAGCGATTTTTTCCAGCACCACGGCGTCCAGCACCAACCCACACACTGGAATGGAGTGCACTCGCAATACCTGGCGCACCAGCTTCTTGAACCGGAGCATGTCGTCATGCGACAAGGTGTCGCATTTGGCCAACACTGGGATGAGGTTGACTCGGACAGAGAGCTCCTGAAGCGTGTGGATGTCGAGAGGCGTCAAGTTGCCGGAGGGCACAATAAAGTAGAGGCAACAATGGATGCGCATGTCTAACAATTCCGATCGATCTGGCTGGTGGGCCTGGAAAACGTGCGACCGGAGGCTGTTCTCCACCACGTCCACCAATGGCAGCCAGGCCTGGCGGTTATCGATGGCAGCACCAAAGCCTGGGGTATCGATGGCGGTGAGGCGGAGACGGAACCCATTTTCCTCGAGGTCAAACCGATGGAGTTTCACCTGGGACGTTGGCGGTGGTGGCTGCGAAATCGCCAACAATGGTGTGCCAAAAAGAGTGTTGATGAAGGTGGACTTGCCGCATCCCGGTTGTCCCGCCACCATGAGGGTGAGGTGGGCGCCCTGGCGCTGTCTTCTGGCGGAGTTCTGGTGGGGCAAACGGGCTAGTCCCACTTGGTTAAGATAGGCCAGCAGCGAGGCCAGCGAGGGCGATGGCGACGATTGGGTGGTGGCTCTGGCGATCTTGTCGTGGCCGCCAGGCAGGCCACCGCCCGGTGCGGCAGGAGACATTGCAGGAATGAAGGCTGGCGGGGGCATGGCTGGTGATGGTTGCTGGGACACAAGCGAGAACACAGAAGCGTGAGGGTCCTAGCGAGCATCGCGCGGCACGAAGTGAATGCAGCACCATCACGAGTGGTATCCACCACCAGAGCACACCATACCAAGACCAAGGGTTCCAGTTCCAGGCTCTACCCATTCCTGTCTACGGGTCTAGGTATACGGATCCAGTCCACTGGCTGTGCATCCACCTAACCCTTCGTTGCCCTGGCCATTGCCCGCCCTCAACTATTGTCATGCTCGTTTCATCACTGCCGCTTTGGGACCTGCAACCTTCCCGATCGGGACAAACGTCAACATCTTATTGGCACCCAAACCAATGCCTGGACTTCTTCAACAAAGCCCTTCGCTGCTCCTATAATAGAACTGCAACCACTTACGACTACCGGCACCCTGCCTTATTGATCCAGCCCCCTCCACAATCCTGCCCCCCTCCCCCCCAGGTTAATATGGGCTTCTCCATCCTTCACAACCGGTCGCTAGACGATTCCTCCTTGATCGATAGACGAACACGCTCAACCTCTCCCTCCAAGAACAGGCACTCGCTCCCTCCCACCTTCTTCGACATGAGACTCCCTCACATGCCCATCGCCAACGACGAGGACATCCGCTCTGCCACCTCGTCGTCGTCGTCCAACCTCTCCCAGGAGCACTTGAAGCAGTTGAGCAAGTCCCCAGTGTCGAAACGCCTCCATGTGGCCACCACAGGCGACACCAACAAGTACGTGATTCCCATTCCCTTCACCTTGAGCTTGCCGCCAAAGTTGAGTCAGAAAAACATCCAGCACGACTTGGAAAAACGCTCGAGGTCGGCGTCTCCCGTCCGCTCCCCTGCCTCCTCCAGACACTCGTCACCCCCCAAGAGCCCGTCGCCTTCACGGTCCATGTCCCCTTGTCGTCGCCAAACCAAGTTGGTGTACACCAGCACTGGCTACAAGAAGTTGGAGTCGCTGTCGGACGAGGACGAGCTCACCCAGGACTCCATCAACAAACGTATTGCATTCAATCGCCGTCCCCCTCCACTCCCGGCAAAGAAAGGCAAGGCCCTGAAGATCACCTTCCAACCCCACTCTGACGAATTGAGCATCATCGAAGAGGCCTCCAACAGCGGAGCCAGTTCAAGACAGTCCAGTGTCAAAAGTAAGCCTGACGACCAACGCTCCCTCCCACCACCACCTATAGAAAAAGAGCAACAGCCAATTATTGCGCCACTGGTGCCTGTTCCAGCTCAAAAGCCCAAACCATTCCTCACCAACGTTCGTATCATGACTACTCCCAATCCACGAGCTTCTCCGGTTACCTCGATTCCAAAGACCAAGACTGAACTCAACCTCAGGACCTTGCAAATGCAGGGTGGCCCTACAAAGGGTGCGGAGTTGAAAATCCACAAGCGGTCGTTCAGTGACGAGTCCTTCGTGTCTTCTATAAGCTCCTTCAGCTCGGTGGGCGACATAATGAGCTTCAGTAAGCATCCAATTCAGTACAGGAACCTGGAGACTTCTCCTGTGGTGAGGAGGTTGAACGAGCTGCGTGGCATACAAGCAAACGACAATGATAGAATCGTTTCCACGTCGTCCACTGTCAGCAAGACATCCGATGGAAGTGTGGCCTCTTGGGACTCTTTGCAGTCGTCCATTGATATCAAGAGCACAGATACAAAGAAGCAAAGGATGCCCGAAAAGCTAGAAAGGAAGATTTCACTCAAACCAAAGGCCAGACTGAAACAGTTACCTCCCACTCCACAGTCAGACGATGACTGGGAAGACGGCTCTAGTGAAGAGGAAGTAAGCGAAATCACGAAAGACAGTTTTGACAAGGATGGGATCACTTCAACAACAATTACTGAGACAGAAGATGAGGACACCAGTATGAGTAGAGGTAGTTCCGAGGATAACGAGGATGCAGAAACCTTCCAAATTAATTATTCTAAAGAATCCGAGGAAGTTGAACCACTCAGAATTAGCAGAGCATCTACATTAACTGGGTCTGACGGGCTTGCTGGTCCTCACAAATTGCAGAAACTGCCCGTTGACGAGCAGACCATCTACGATTTCTACCTCGACGATATTGCCAGTATTTCAACTGCAAAGTATTCCGAGATCACTACTTTTCCTGATGAGAAGCAAACTACGCCTGATTTTGACAACAGCGGCGCTGGAAGGAGATTCAGCTTTCCTAATAACAGGAAAAATGTTACAAACAGCAAGGCTATACAACAGCAGAAGTTATCAGGCAATTCTTTGAAGTCAAGCAGATCAAGGACAAGCTTTATGTCAAAATCTGGCCAAATTGAAATTCCAGATCTTGAAACTGATTCTTATTCTGCAAAGGTCTCTTACTTCTCTTACAATACCAAATCTGCTAACGATTCTGAATCAGACACTTCTGCATCTAATTCTACTGGTACAGAAGACGAGGAATCCCAATTGGAGCCTATTGGTTATCCCAGTAAAGCAGCACAGAATGCCGCAAAAGAGCATTTCAAGTCCATGTACAACGCGACTGGGGACGAGGACTCGGATACTGATATTGAATCCACCAAGTTTTCATTGTATGCTCTGCGTCAACAAGCCAAGTCCACTCCTAATTTGAAAGCCAACAGAAACAAGGAGCTTCCCCCAATTGAAGGTTTGGGTGCGCCTGCTGAAACTACCAACATTCCAATTGCTTCACCTCCAAGGAGACATCAGCGTCACAAATCGATGTACAATATCGATTTCGAATACAGAGAATCTGGATCCGATTTTGGTAAAGAAATAACTCATAAAAAATCCAAGAGTACTGATTTAAGCAATTTGAGTACTCCTACGTCTGGCACTCATGACCAAAAGGCTGGAAATGATGGAATATTGGCAGAGGAGTCCCCTGAGTCGCTAGATATCGTGATTGCTGATCCTCCTTCTCAAGTTCAATACGAGGTTGATTTCAAGGAGGCTGATTCCAACGATGGTCATGAATCCTACGATCAAAGTCCTAACTACACGAATGAGGTGTACAGAAGTGCTACCATTCATTCATTCCCGCATCGCCATGTTGACGACCTCAGCAACCAGATGCATAACTTGAAAATGGGTCACACTAACCCTAGATCTGCTCCGGGATCAAGAAGTGTGGAAGAAGCATCCTATTCTTCGAAGTCGAGCTTCCAGAGTAGCAACTCGGCTGGACAGTCAAGCTTGACTTCTATTTCAGACAATGAGAGCGTTGTCATTGACTTGACAAAGGACAATTATGATATCTGTATGGTTAATCGTCAGGATTCAATCCATTCTTATAAATCAGTCACAGAAAGAACAAAAGACGGAAAGGAGGTTGAAGTTGTGTTGGTCGACGAAGACGAAGATGACTTACTCAGTTTGTATTCAAAGTATCGTAACGATTCCTGGGTATTCAGAACTAGTTCAACTTCTTCGAGATCTTCTAATTTCAGTGCTGCATCTTTTGACAGCAACACTCCATCCGAATCTCAGCTTTCGTTGAAGCAAAGACCAGAAATGATAAAAAGGTTCCAATCAACGAACAGCATTAGAGTGCCGGGAGATATTGCTCAAGATTTGGGTAGAAAAAGATCGAACATCTCTGAGGCTTCGTCTCACTTGAGTGCTAATTACAACTCTAGAAGAATCCAGCCACCAATAAATGGATTGAATAAGATTTACTCAAGGAAAGGCGCAGAGCCTGTATTTGAGAAACCAAGTGTGAGGCCAAGCTACACTGACTCCAGCAAGCGTCACACCGTTCATACAATGGATTCCAATTACTTTGATTACACATCTGGTGACAAGTATGACTTTAACACTTTTATGAAGCAGCAATCGTCTAATCAGATCTAATTGATTATCAGCATTTATATTTACTTCTCTCCATATGTTTTGAAAAAATTATTATTAATCATGATGTGTAGTAGAGTAGGAGCTATACGATGCCAGCGCATAATAGCCAACTAGGTGAATACATTTTGAAACAGTGTCTGGGATTTTAATCCAGATTCTTACCTGAACAGAATGGTTGGTTTCTGGGAAGTAGTGCTGTGACTCAGCTTATAAGCCAAGGGGGTCTTTTTGCGATGTGCCATAAAGAAATAGGATGTTTCACCCTTGTCAGCCCCATGCGAAAAATCATCGTCTTCTTCCTCTACTTCCTCATTCACAGAAGTGAATGAATTAATCGATCTTGTTGAGGGAGCTCTACTCACACTCTTGACACGAGCAGTTTCATTTGTACTCCCACTACTGTTACTTCTGTAAAAAGTAACGGTCTTGTTGCTTGTTTCGATTTTGTTGCATTGGTAATTGTTATCAATCAACGCTTTAACAGGCTTATTATTGTAGGAATTAGACCTCAAAAAGGCTGGGACTTGAATAGATTCAGTATTCCTTTGTCGATTATCTTCTTCAAAATCGTAATCTTCAGGAAGTTGATTTATTTCATCAAGCAAGTCTGGATCCAACGTGCGATTATATGCTTCAGCATCCAGAGTCTCAGTTTCACTTTCAGAATAGTTTGTTTCCTTCGGATTTACTAACTTGACCTCAGTTGGAGGTTTAAGAGAACTAAAATTCACCGATTCGTCATTATTGAACCACGAATATCTTTTATCCCGTTTTCCATCCTCCTTGAGTTTCAGGATAATTCCCTTTCTGGGAGCTTTTTGTGCTCTCAAACTTGATTGCTCAGAATTGCTAGAGCTATTGGGGCCCGTCAAGTCTAAAGTTGCTAGAATTTGCATCATATTGTTGATCGAGTTCCTCTTATTTTTGGCTTCTTCTTCAGTGTTCGCCGAAGTCTCCAAACTAGATAAAGTTGACATCATGTCCAAAATAGATTTTCTATTCTGCTGTGCCTTCTCTATTGCTCTATTGTTCTCTTCTAATATGCTGGCTTGAGTTTTTTCAAGGTCTGAGAGAATACTCATCATGCCTATGATGGACAGCCTGTTCTTAGTATCATCTTGTGAAACTGAGTCTGACTTTTCTAAACTTGACAAGGCTGAATTCCGGACACTTTCCTCCGATTTCTCTTCATTATCATTCTCCTTTGGTTTTTCTAAACCACCTAATAAGCTCATTAATTCGATAACAGACAACCTGGGGTTCGGGGTATCATTTTTCTTTTTAGGCTCAGGCTCAGGTTCTACTTTGACCTCTTCAGAAATTCCTAATCCAATATGGGCCTTAATTGCACTACTTTTCCGTGACTCAGTGAACTTCGTAAATTCTTCAGTTTTTTCAAGAATTGTAGTATTGAGATCATCACTGATTGACCCATGAAAGCTTCGCAAGCTTCTCATTCCGAGCATATTTCCATGAAGGGGAGGCAGGTGTTTAGGGAGATCAAAGAATCCATTTTGTGGCTCATTCTCGATATCTAGTACTGATCTGTTGATGTACATATTGCTTATGTTGTAGCTTTCTTTCTCAAAATCATTGCTGTTTAATCGGGGGAGTCTGTGTCTCAAGTTATTTCCGATCGTTAACCCATTTATAATCGGGCTGCTGACCTCATAGAAATTATCGTTGGATGAAGGATCTGGCGTACTTTCAGAAGCACCTGAATAGGAACCAGTAATTTCTAATGAAGGCGATTTACTCACATCCAAATAGTTTTCTAGTATGTCATCCCCGTAAGCATCAGTATCAACGCCATCATAGTCGTCGAACAATTCAACACCTTGGATTGACAAATGATACGACTTATTGAAAATGGAATGCTTCTGTTCCAATTGTCCGAGTGAAATTAGTCCGAGTGGTTGCTTTTGAGTCAATGTGTTGTTTGCAAAAGAGTCTTCAATCGGCCTCGATGCTTCAGAGTCTTTGAAACCACCATCGATGGTTCTTTCCGCCGGATCATCCAATATGGCCGAATTGTAAGGAACATCATCATCAGTATCCTCATGTATTTGCAGCTCATCTTCGTCAATTTCCAAGCTATTATAATTTTGATCCGAGATCGAAGTCGAATTACGTTCTCCATGTAGGTTTCCGTGATGTTCGTTCTCCAGAAAGCTATGGTTTCTTTGCGGTAATACATCTATTGGTTCATCCTCATCGTCAAATAGTTTGTTATACTGAACGTCATTTTCATTTTCGTCACCGTAGTCGCCATCATAATCATCATCCATACCATTGTTTTCAAAATCGTAGTCAGAAAATTCATCAACATCAATACCCAAGTCGTTCTCGTTGAAGGTGTTCAGTTGCTGGAAGTCATTTTCGCTGGCTTTCGAACTTTTGACAACCTTATAGTATTTAACTGAAGTGTTTCTTCCACAATTGCTGTCCTTTACAAAGGAGAACTGCGACGAAGACGAGTCCGAGTCGTCACCTTCGTACTCCTCCTCCAATTCGTTGCCATAGTCACCGTCGAGATTATTATCACTGTCATGGATTGAGAACTTTTTGGTATGAGAAGGTGGGGGCGATTGGATGTACTGATCGAAGCTGACCAGCTTGGTGTCTAGTTTGGGCTGATCTTCGATCGGGTTGGAAGACTCATTACTTTCTTCAATGCTGTCCTGGATAACTTGGGACTTGGTATGTTCAAGGAGGTTGATGGGAGGATTCAATTTGGTTTGAGTCGTGCTGGGATGGGAGCCGGACGACTGGAATGACGATAATGACGTATGCGAATGGGAAACAGGGACCCCAGAATGCCTGTAGGAGTTGACCAAAGATGGTGAGGATGCAGAAGTATGGAATTTTGGTGATGGACCCAATTGTTTGGAGTATTTGGAGGTAGCAGCAGCGGCAGCAGCGGTTGCTAGAGACTTTGAATCCAAGGCCATGTTGGAATCGGGATGTATGAGATCGGAGATGTTGGAGACCGAGCCCTGGCTACGAGTGTGGCGGTGGGTTCTTATTTTGCGCTTGCTTCTGGGGTCCACCACGTTCTGGAGGCTATCGTTGGAGTTGGGGGTGGTGATAGTGGATTTGGAGTGGGTCAGCGAGAACATCTTCTTGATAGGCGTGAGCAATTTCTTGGGCGAGCTGAGCGAGGCCTGGCCAGCTCCACTGCTGCCCAGGACATTCACGGTGCTGGGAGGAGTGAAGGGTCCATTGGGAATGACGGGTGATGGAACTGGTGTGGTCTTGTGAGTGAGAACAGCTTTGGGTTCTGGTTCCAGCTCAAAAAAGTCGGAGTTTGCCGACTCCCCCCGCCTATGTGCCTTGATGAACGACCTCATGAATGGGATGGGACAGGAGCAGGGTGTGGTGGATGTGGTAGGTCAGCTTGTTACTAATTGACAATTGAGCAGGCAACCAGTTATTTTTGAATTATGGGACGAGAAAACCTCTACTGCAATAATCCGGTTAGAGCGCTACCACAAGGAAGTACAGCACTATCGGGAGCTCGAGGCAAAACAGTGGGGACGGCAAAGGCCAGGAAGAACAGGCTTTGGCCAGATAGGTAGCGTGATACCCTTGTCATGACGCTTACAGGGATAGGCACGTGAACGCGACTGGTGGCAGTGAGACCAGGGCCGGAAATGCCAGGCTACAGTTGGGGCTTATGGGTGGAACCACGCGGTTTGATGGGCTGGCGGAGGCGGAGGCTCTGGCGAGCCGGAGGCCGTGGATACTTGTCGGAAAGAGCAGCAGATATCACTTTCTATTGGTGTATCTATTAATTAGTAGAGACTGTCAAGTCGCGAGTCAGCTGTCAAGTCGCAAGTCACTGGCTCCTGTCCTGGACAGGATTGTGTTGGGGAAATGGCCCTTGCGACGTTGAAATACGTTGGGTCTGGTAAAAATTATGATATCCACTGAATGCTCTGGGATATGCCCTTGCTACATTTGTTTAGGCGTAGTTACATCTATTTCCCAGTATTCACTCAAACTGTCCATGTTATCGACTGTTATCCAAGCTGCTGTGCATATTATTGGATTAGAACCTTACCTACATCTTTGCATATCTTAAGTTCATTACACACTTTCTCTACACCGCCTGATCATCTACAACTAATATTAGAACAAATATTTGCACCTAAAACATACATTCCTGACTGATCCATCTGGGTACAGGACGGACTCTGGCCAAAATAAACCTTATTTACCAAGATCTCTTTGTGGGATATTATACACTAATAATGTTTGCTTTCTAGCGAAACAAATACCCACAAGTCTTTTAAAGTATTTAAATGATTTTAGAGTATTTTTCGGTGGCTAGTTTGAGTTTCGGGTTCCTGGAAATCTACCACAGTCTTCGTGTTTCCTGAACTATCGCTTTCCTTTAGAAGCCTCTATTTATAGCACAGGCTACTACTATGATTTTTCCAGCTAATCTGGACTAGGGATATCCCGAACCAGCCTATACCGAGGTGGTTGCTAGGATCAACTTAGCGACGCTCGCATATACCTACTCTTAGGAAATTTTCTGTGTGTTAGTTATATTGGGATATTGATATGCCTACAGTCTGGGATACAAATCAGTCAGCAGTACTTATATTAACACGCTCGCATGGTCTATGTACATTACAAGGCTCTTCTGGCTTTGACGGCGGAAGCCAACTCTTCCAAAACTTCCTCGGTGGACTCCCATCCTATACATGCATCGGTGATGGAACAACCGTACTTCAAAGCGTCCTTGCCTCCATCTTCTGGGGCTGGCACGTCTTGTCTGCCCTCGTTGATGTTTGATTCGATCATCAAACCGCAAATACCAGTTTCACCATTTCTGATTTGTCTGGCGATCTCGGCTGCAACCTTTGGTTGGTTTCTGTGGTCCTTGTTGGAGTTACCGTGAGAACAGTCAACCATGATTCTTGGGGTGCTGGCGGTCTCGTCAATAACACCAGCTTTTTGCAATTGTGCCTTGGTTTCTTTTATAGACTTCTCGTCGAAGTTGGTGCCCTGCTTTCCTCCTCTCAAAATCACGAAACAGTCCTTGTTACCATCAGTACCAACAATAGCAACAACACCAGGCTTGGTGACACTGAGGAAATGATGTGGGTGAGAAGCGGATCTCATGGCGTCCACAGCGACTCCCAAGGTACCGTCAGTACCGTTCTTGAAACCAACTGGGAAAGACAAACCGGAAGCCAATTCACGATGCAATTGGGACTCAGTAGTTCTGGCACCGATGGCACCGACAGAGAACAAGTCGGACAAGAACTGGGGAGAGATGGTGTCCAACATCTCACCAGCAATAGGCAACATGGAGGTCAACTCCACGAATAAGCTTCTGGCGATTCTCAAACCCTTGTTGATCTGGAAAGAACCGTCAATTTCAGGGTCGTTGATCAACCCCTTCCAGCCGACAGTGGTACGAGGCTTTTCCAAGTAGGCTCTCATCACGATGTGCAACTCGCCCTTATACTTTTCACTGGCCTTGTGCAATCTTTGGGCGTAGTCCAAGGCCGCCTTGGGGTCATGGATGGAACAAGGTCCGATCACAAGCACCAAACGGTCGTCCTTGCCATTCAAAATGTCGACAGTCTGGTTTCTTCCCTCTGTGATGATCTTCTTGGATTCTGCGGTCAACGGGTATTCATGTTGAAGCAAATCAGGTGGGGTCAATGGGTCGTAACCACGAACTATGGGTTAGTGATGCTTTGGATATTTGTGCTGCCATACTTACTTCTCCAGTCTTCCATGCGGCTTCTGTCGCCAACGTGTTCGTTTGTGATGAACATATCTGTTAGTATGTCGGTGGTGTAGCGGGTTGCTAGTGGGCGGGGACTTTTAGATGGAGCCACCTGCCTTCTTATGTACCTAGAAGTTAGTCATTTTTCACCTGGCTTTGTGTAACGCGACCCTCGACGATTCTGAGTCGAGTAATTTTGCGTTTGTGACTAATTTCACTACTGTCATTGGAGGCCGGAGAAAGTAAGTGTAGGCGAGTGACAGCATCTATACGGCCTGCAAGATGGTGCTGGACGCTTCTTTGTTTAATTAACCTCGGCATACCACTATGGTGTTTTCCTAAGCTCCAAACATGGCCCAAAGATGGCCGGAATGGGGCCCAAATACGGCATTTAATTCCCGACATGAAAACAACTTTCTTATCGGAACTTCGGGCCTGCCCCTTGGGGCCCACATGGGAAATGTGGTGAAAATAAGGGTGTGCTGGCACAGCTGTCTGATAACTATCTGCAGGATAACTGAATGTGTCTTCGGAGAGACAATAGCCCCGATTGATTGTCGGCAGGGCTACAAATAGATGGCAGATGGCATGTCGATGGGTCAGTGGACTATGACATATGTACGTTGGTGCGATGGGAGGTATGCGTGAGTCAGGGGCGTTGGGATTAGTAACTGGATCCAATGAAATGCCTACTCTGAGTTGAGGCGTCATAAGCACCCCGATCTAATTCTTCCTATTGAAAATGTAGATGTAGCCGTTATCACGCATGTCCAGGAGGTTGTTTTCGTCACATACAACCACCTTTTCGTCGTTGAACAAAACCCAACGATCCTGGCCATCGATGATCTTCTTGATGAACACAACGTAATGCCCGGTGTGGGGAGACGTTCCCTTGTGGCAGATGACCGATTGCAACTCGTACTTACCATTTGAGGTAGATTGGTTGAGAAGCTCTTCCGTCAATGCACGTTTTTCCAGGGCCACATCGAGCGCTGGCTTCGCTGCTTCGTCAATTACGCCGTCATCATCAGGATTAGCAAAGAGCCATTCCACAGCTGCATTTGCATCGTTATTATTCAGCAATAACGCTTTCTTGCTGAGTTGATGCGAAAAGCCCATGACACTCAAGGCCTCGATCTGCTCTTCAGATGGGCCTTGTGGTTCAGCAGCTGCTTGAGGTACCACGAATGGGTCATCAATGTCAATATCATCCATATGTGCAAAAATCCAGTTCATGGCGTCTTCAGCATTGTTATTGCCGGTATGATATAATCCCTTCAAGCAACGGGGTTCAGGGAAGCCCATACTCAAAAGCGAGGTCATAGCTTCTTCATTGGCTGTGAAAGATGGTGCTCCATCCTTTGCATCTTCTTCTTCTTGTGGCAACTGAGATTCTCCAGCCTCGAATTTTGGAGCTTGGAACTCGGAAACATCTAAAGTATATGGGATTGCAATTGGAACATCAATCTTCGCGGGGACCCAATTTTCCAATTTAATTCTTTGAGCATTAACCACCAAATTCTTGGGATACGATACAAAACCACTAGACTTCAAAGCAGCACCAGGTTCTGTTCCGCAACTGCTGCACTTATATCCTTCAATCAATTCCGAAGAAAAGAGGGAAGATAATCCTGATTGAAGCTCATATGTTTTGTATACCTTTTTGCCAGTTTCCTCATCAATCTTTATCACTTGGTCATCAATTTGAACCGAAATATTGTCAGCCAATTCGTTTTTAATACTTCCACTTGAGCACTGGCTACAAATAACCTTATCACCTAATAAGAATTTGAACGATTTATTAAGTTCAATTCCAAGCTCATTATCGGTCTTGTCAAGGAAATATGATAAGAATTCATGAGCATCTTGTTGTCTTTGGGTGCTGAACTCGGGGTGGTTCTCACCAATTAAAGTTTTAAATGCGGAGGGCTTGATACCGACTTGGTAATCATCTCCTTTCAAAGATCCTGGATGCGAATATTTACCACTCAAAAGTCCATCGTATATCTTTATCAACTGAGTAGTCAAGTCATGAGCTGGGTCTTTTATATCAGGAAATTCTTTGGATTTGAAGTACTCTTGATATTCTGGAACACTGTACAAAGCTTGAATAACTGAGTTCAAGTAACACGAGTTCCCTAAGTTCTTGAAACCTGTCAACCCTTTCCCGAACACAGGTTGTAACTTCTCACCGTTAGCACCATCAAGCTTGAAGTCCCAGTTCAAGTTCTGGTCGATATTTAATTCTACCAAACTCTTTTCGGTCTTGACGGTGGTTCTCAAGTCAATGCCAAACGTCAATAACTTTGCAGATAAGTTGGGTACCTTGATTTCGTCGTTACATTTGTAGCAGTAGGCATCACAGCTATCTTCTGATTCGGCAGAGAGGGAACCGAGCTTGATTGCGACTGGATGCTCTGCGGTTTCAAAATGCTTCAAGGCATGGGAATTGCCTTTCAAAGTAGATCCAAATTGTTCTCTTCCACAACCTAATGCACCACAGTGCAAACATATCCATAAGTTTTCCTTGAGTTCACATTGAGAGCAGTGAGTGAGGTCCAACTCAGAGGTAGGCTTGAATTGCTCCAAATCAAACGAGTGTTCGCAAGGAAGGATTTCTTGTTCCCACTGCTTGATTTCGTCGGCTCTATCTGAGGAGTTGTGCTTCAAGATGTCGTCCACGAGCTTTTGGAACGAGGGAGTCAATTCCGACAATGCGTACGATCTGTCTTCCTTTATGTTGTAGATGGAGATTTCCGTGGAGAACAAGTCGTCCTCGTTGACGTCTTTGACCTCGAGCTTGGCGAGCTTGGAATTGCGTTCGCCGTGCTCATTGTACAAGGCGTTGCGGTCACCCTCAGGCTTCAAGGTCTTGTTGATGTTCAAGTACAAGTAGTTGCCTGTTTTTTGGAAGTTCTGCAACGTGAAGTTGGTCGATGGCGTTCTCGCAAACGCCTGGTACGACCGGAGATCCACGTCCAACCCCAAGTCGTTGGACTCGGGGGTGTCGAAGCTGTACATGCAGTCATCCTTGTATATCTTGGCCCGGGCAGGGACTGTTTGCGGGATGTCTGGGGGGATATCTAATGGCATTGGTGGCGTTGGTGTAAGGGCAAATGATTGTTAGCGCCTGAGGGCACGACCAAATGGTTTGGTCGCGGTGGTGCGAGCGGCAGTAAATGCTGGGGACGGCGCCAGCAAATGAAGTAGCTACTGGCACTGGGCACTCTAGTCTCGTAGTAACCGTAGCAGGAGCAGGCAGGAGGGATGTAGCCGTGCTGGTGTGGCCTTCAGATGTGGGTGGCAGTAGCTGCCTGCCTCACACTGCCCTGGTCATCATCTAGCACCAACTGCTGGTGGCTGCTGCGCCTGATGGCTGCGATATTTGTAGCGCACCAATTCCTGGTGCCAGTACGAGACACCGCAATGACCCCCCATAAGACGTGTGTATACTTTGCCAATTGGTCAGTGTACCAGCGGAAACACTTTGCAGTCGATATAGCAGTCAAGCATGTGACCCACCTCTTCTATGCGTTTGTTACCATCGATGTCGCCACGGGATCAGTCAAGCTAAGCGACGAATGGTGTGACAAACAGCTTCCCTTGGAATCGCCCAGCCAGCCAGGCTCACAAGTCACAGGCAGCTTGCAGCAGATCTTCCAGCTCAAGCAATTGAACCGTAACCTCAAGCTGGTGATGTCCATTGGCGGGTGGGGAACCGAGCACTTGTTCCAGGCAGTGGTGGCAGATCCCAACAAGCTCGACAGATTCGTGGACACAGCAGTGCAGTTTGTGGTGGAGTACGGCTTCGACGGCATCGATATCGACTGGGAGTACCCCAAATCTCGCCAGGAAAGTCTTATGCTACAGCAGCTTCTTCACAGAGTCCGCTTGCGCTTGGACACCGTTGCTTCCGACTTGATTTTGACGATAGCAGCGCCAGCAGGCAACGAGAACATTGACGTGCTTGATCTTGCCGGAATCGACCGCTACTTAAGTTTCTGGAACGTGATGTGCTATGACTACGCCGGGTCAGGCTGGTCCAGCAAAACGGGCTTCCATTCGAACTTGTTCGGCAATAATGGCGACAACGATTTATGCACCAGTGGGGTTATCAATCGGTACATCCAGGGCGGAGTCCCAGCAAGTAAGCTCGTGATGGGTATGCCAATGTATGGTCGGTCATTTAATGGCGTGATCAAAGGGGAAATTGGCCAGGCATTCTCTAAGGATGGCGGAGGTAACGACACTCTCGACTACAAGACCCTCCCTGTGGGGAAGGAGTACTTTGATTACAAAAAGGTGGCCGCATACTGCTACGACGAAAGTGCCAAAAAATGGGTTTCCTACGATAATCACCAGTCGGCACGTATAAAAGCCAAATATGCTGAGCTGAATGGATTGGGAGGAGGCATGTGGTGGGATTCTTGTGGCGAAAACGTCGATCCCGACAGATCGTTGATCATCAACTATGTTGACCAGGTTGGTGGATTTGACAAGTTGGAACAAGCCTCGAATCATCTAGATATTTACGCATCTAGTTCTTATCTAAAGGAATTGCTAAAGTAGAATTCTACCTTTCCAAACTTCACATGGAATATGCGTCTGGTTGCTTTGCAAAACATAAGTTTATTCATCGACATACAGCTCTATATATATACATACATTGTACGTTGAGCGTAAGAGTTGTACCGGGAGTAATCAGATAAAATCTGTATGCCTTTCGGGTGGAAATGAAATGATCATAAAATGGAATCCATTCTTGCAAATACGCTCAACACAGCTGCAATCAATTCTAATTGCAACTCGCTGGTCGAGCATTTTTCGACTTCATTGGTAACTTCTTGGCCCAAGTTTAAGCCTAAGCCCAAGGGAGATTGATGAGATGATCTGAACGGATAGTCACCGTAATCGTTGAGGATCTCGTCGGCTCTGGCAAATGCTTGATCTCGCTTCTCGTAGTTCAAAGATAATAACACGTTTTCCAACACGTTGGCAGCGTAGGCTCCGCTAACCAAAGCAATTGTTCTCAAGTACTTGAACGAAGTGTCCACCGGGAACTGGTCGTTGGCCTGTGCTTCCAAATCCACATTCCTGGTGGCTAACAAGCTGAGGACTCTATTCTTAATGTATTCCTTGGAGAGCTTGTCGGCGACTGGATGGGTGGCCATGTCGAACAAGAAGAAGTTTTTTCTTTCTGTTCTTAAGATTCCCTTGTCGACCAACCCCTTGGCCAAACGTTCTCTAACTTGTTTGAGCTGGTAGTTGATCTTCATGAGATTCCAGGTCTCACCACTCAACAAGTCAATCCAATTGGTGACTGAAAGGTGAGACTCGTCATTTTTCATAATCTTCAACGCCTCGTCCAACAACACTTCTCCCGTGGGCTCGGAGTCAATGACCTCTACCAAGCGGTCGCTCAACTCGAATCTTCTTCTGGCAGGGTCGTTGACCAACGAGATCTTGTTACGGAATGCCAATTCCAAGAGAATACATCCACGCAATGCATAGGAGATGTTGTCGTTCCAAAATGACAAGTAGCCCTCCTTATCCTTCAATCCAATCAACAACACCTCTTCCATCAACGTCAAGAGTGGGAGCTTCAACACGCTGCGATCCACGATATCCTTGGAATCGTAGCCGATCTTGTGGTCCACCCTATTTTCCTCTTCATCGAATGACCCTGACGTCCGCCCACTGCTGACATCTTTGGGGCCTCCACGGCGTCTTTGCAAGGTAGAAGACATGTTGTTCCACGATGCAGGCTATAACTGGTTACTGGTTTGTTTGTGGGTATGGCACGGTAATCCACGATTGATTGATCAGTGTGGTGGGAACAATTGGAGGGGCACACTACTCTGGTCGTCGTTGTCCTTATTGATTTCTGGACTCGCGCAGTTGACGGAAACTGGCCGCAATTGTTCTGGGGCAAGAAGTGCACTGAAGGGTGGAAAGCATGGTGGGGAGGATGGGGCAGAACTTGTCATTGGCGAGACTGCTCAGGTGTCATTAGCTTTTGTAGAGAGGGGCGATTCTTTAGGTGGTGAAGGTTCTCTGGGATGGCAATTGTCGTTGGGGTATGGACTGGCCCTCGGTGTAGCCAGCCAGCTCTAGCGAGAACTCCCGCTATGCAGTGCCATTCCCAACCCCTCTGGCGGTAAATCCGGGCCTACCTTCCCTAAAATGGTGGTGGGCCCGCACCACCTCCCCCCTAGGCAACCCGCAGCCTGTCAGTCCGTGGCTGCTGCTGCAGGTTACACGAGAACGCTACCTGCAGTACACCAAACACACCAATAGGCCAACCACCACCAGCCATTCTTACCCTCCCAACGTCGTCAGACTCGCTAGACCACATCCGACATTACGCAGCTCAGTCCTCCATCATCCCACGATGTCGTCGCCGACAGCACGGCACGTTAGCCATGCCAACAACTCCGAGGACGAAGACGGAGGTGGCAACCTTCCCGACTTCGTGTCATTTCCCACCATTCCTGACCCAGAACAGGAGAACACAAAGACCCTAACCCGGATCTTCACCAAGACATTGCGCAAAGTCACCACCAATGCCTCCCATTTGGTGCTGAATTACACATACACCTCGCCTCGTTCTACCACCCCTGCGCTTGAGCTGAGGGAAGAAGATGATGAAAATGACAGAATTGACGAAACACCGGTTAACATTCCCAGCTTGTTGGTTAGTGGAACCACTCCAAAGGAACAGCCTGCTCCAATTGTGTCGCAAAATTTAACCAGAGTACCTTCACCCCTGGACAAGGAAGACATCAAGGGCACAGTAAACCTTGTGACCGCACCAGGCGCCAGTCTAGCATCGCCCCAAATGACCCCAATATCCAACATTACTGATCCGTTGGGTCTGCAAAAGCTCGAGGACAACTTCAAAAATCGCGTACCCAAGAGGTCAGTCACAGAAGACTTGAATACCCCCAGGGTCACTTCAGACAACAAATCGTTGCGTTTATCTACCATTCACTTCCCAAACCTCATTGCAAACTCCGGAAGTAGCAGTGTAACCAGTTCTATTATCAATGTGAATGCACTCGCAAATACGGTAGATATTCCCAGCGATTTGCCTGGCCAGAAGAAGCAAATGGTGAAAAATAAACCCGTCTCTGTATCTTCAGCAAAAGACAGAACATTACTGAGTAAAATTTCTTCCATCTTTAATAATCTTCCAAATGATATCGAGCTTTCGGACGATTCTGGATCGGACGCGGAAACGATTGGCAACACGCCTAACTCAAACTCTTCACCCAGCCACAGTCATGGGCTTATACAAGACCGGCCCCCAGAACTGAAACGCTCAGGATCGACGAATCATCATCCCAGCTGTTATGATATTTCATTGTACAGTCAATCCACAGCAAAATCATCCCCAGTGAAAGCAGAGTTGAAGCGGTCATACACAAACAATAATCTTGGAGACTCGCCAACCCTCTCTACTATCTACGCATTGAGGAGCAAGGACCAACATGGTACTATGAAGAAGAAAAACTCGTCAAACTTGTCTACAGTAATATTTGACAATGCTAAATCCATTTTAAACAACAACTTGACCACATCTGGAGCAATTGAGAGTACGAAAAAGACAAAGCGTCCAAAGAGATCATCCGAGAATCCTCTCAAGAGTGGAGGTATTCCTCGTAAATATTGGATGAATAATTCCTTCGTGGCCGATTGTCTTAATTGTTTTAAACCTTTCACAGCTTTCCGTAGAAAGCATCATTGCAGATTCTGCGGCCAAATTTTTTGTGCAGATTGTACTTTATTCATATCGTACAATCAGCATAAAGAAGAAAGGAAGAATAATGGTGACATACACAATACGAAAAGGCTGTATCATGACAAATTAAGAGTTTGTAAACCCTGTTACAGTGATGTTATCGTCTACCTCAGTGATGACTCTTCCAGCTCTGAATCAGATAATGAGCCCAATCTAGTTGACGAACATGCTTCAAACCCAGAAAATCTTATGGTCAATCATCCAATCACTAGGATACGATCTATGTCCATTAATTCACGCCGTGATAGTTTGCTCAATGAACAAGGATCGCTGGAAAGAACTTCTATCGAAGTCAGTAATGGATCTCCATCGCATCGGAATTCAATCTCCACGGGGAACACCACAACAAGTACTCCTGTCAGGTTTACTCAAGAAAATATCAAGATATACCCAAGAAAAGCACCACAGATGGCGATTCCAACAACTAGAACGGGGGAGGCGGTGGAGATCCCTGCAGCCAAGAGTTCATACATTAATCATACATCAACTTGGATGAATGCTTCGAAGCAAAATAGCGCATCGAACCTAAGCACCAGTCACCATGCCTCAGAAGCTCTTCCAAATAAGAGCTGGTTCAAGAGTTATGCTCAGCTCAGAACTGCATCTCCTGACTTACTGAGGACTAACAGTTACGACAATGTCAATAATTTGTACAATAACATAATAGGAAGAAAAGTTTCCAACAACAAGCTACGAATCAAGTCTGGAAGTAAATCCAAAGATGATAAGGAAGCTATTGATCCCAACAGTGACAATGATGATGCAGATACTGAAGAATCGAATGACGAAAACGAAAGTGAAATTGAGGATGAACAAGTGATGTCCTTATACACGTCCTTGAATCATAATGGATACAGTAATGGGCAATTATCACCAAAACCTTCTAATGTTAATACCAGTTTAGTTATGCCTACTTTGGGAGAGTTTCCCAACATGGTTAGTGATAAGATCTTTCCAGAATCATACAACTTCAATTCGTCGGTAGAATCACTGTCATTAACTGTTGCAAATTCGACAAATGGATATAGCGGATCAGGTTCTTTCACTAAAATATTTCAAGGATCCAAGAACTCAGTTCAACCACCTATTAATCATCCCATTCTCTTCGAAGAATTTCCGAAATCAGAGAGTTTAAGGTCAAGGGAAAGAGCAAATGCTTCCTTGGAGAGAATGAGGTCAAGAAGAAAAGTCAAATCCAATAGAAACCTCCTGATTTTGACTCAAAATCGTTTACCAAGTTTCGATAATTACAAGTTGAATCAAGTGAAACTTTCACCAAATTTAACACCAACCTCACCAAAAGTTAGTCTTGTGAACCTTGACACTTCAAAATCTAAAAGTTCAACACTCACAATGCCTACTGACACGGAATCGCATGTGGTACAGCCCGTTTATTCAATCGAATCGGCGTCTGGTAGTAATGATTCATCCTCGCCGATCTCAAAATCAAACCTCCATTCTCCTCGTTCTGAATTATCGCCTACCCCAAAGCTTGGGAATAGACTTGCATTATCGCCCAACAGTACAACCATCCATGATTATGAGGGTACTAACGATGATGACTCTCATCTTGAAGATCACTACTCTATCAACCCCTTCCAAGTTTCCGATCAATCTTCGCCTAGTGGAACGAGATACATCGATGTATTACCCTTCAACAAATCTGTTGATCAAGTTTACCAAGAGGTTTTGGATTTTATTCTAAAACAAAGTCTTGAAGATTGCGATATAAAAGAAACTCAGGATGAATGGATGGTACAATTAAAGAAGGTGTTGAACTATGTCAATATGATCAAATTAACAGATACTTTGGATGTGAAACAGTATGTTAAGATTAAAAAGATCCTCGGGGGTAAAATCGAAGAAACTAATGTAATGGGAGGTTTATTCATTACGAAGAATATCGATTCAAAGAAAATGTCTTTCTCAATTAAGAATCCCAGAATTGCCTTACTTATGTTCCCAATCGAATATTTGAAGCAGAAAGAGCAGTTCATCAGTTTGAGAATTATCCACTCCCAACAATCTGTGTATATTACCAACTTGGTATCCAAACTCATATCAATGAAGCCAGACATAATTATCATCGGGGATTCAATCTGTGGTTTAGCTATGAACTTGTTGGAAGAGGCTGGAATTACTATTATATCCAATGCTAAGCCTCAGATTATTGAAAGAATCTCAAGATATACCAATTCCAACATCTTCCAATCAGTCAACGATTTGTTTTTCAAGAAGGGTCAATTGGGTCAGTGCAAAAAATTTGAGGTGAAGAGATATATTTACAATAACCACATAAAGACTTACTGTTTCTTCATTGGCAACGAAATCGAAACCGGCTTTACTATCACCTTGAGGGGTGGAAATGAAGATACTCTTACAAGTGTAAAGTATTCAACGGAAACCTTATTGCCTGGAATTTTGAATAGCAAATTTGAAAAGAGTTTATTGAGGAATCATCTAGTTACTTTCGACAATGATAAGATAGATGAGCCTAATGAGCAAGTGAAAGAGTATAACGAAAAAATCAGAGAGATTGAGATTGACAGGGAAAAGAGTAATAATGAACTTAATAAAAAACAGAATATTGCTGAACTTTCTAATGAGGACATTCTCGCGCAACAACTGGAAGTCAACTCTGATCTTGAAGACAACAAGACAAACGAAGATCCTGAAATGGACTCTTGTGTGCCAAGTACTGAAATTGCAGCTGGCACCAAATTGTTTTTCCACTACATGACATTGTTCAATCAAAGGAAAATAAGCTTGTCGCCTGCTACAAAGTTTCCTCTTCCAACTCCTTTGGTTAATGTGATAGATTCATATTACAAGTATCATAAGTACTTTGGAAAAAATAAGTCAATCCAAAATTGCAATGATTATGAGAAGCTAGACCATACGTGGACAGAAGAGTTATGTGTTAACATTGACGTGAATAAACTTCCTAATGAAGGAGATGATATGATCAGAATCTTGAAATCTATTAGTTCATCACACCTCAATACCCTACTCAATGATTATCAAGCACGGTTAAGACTATGGATTAATTGTATTGGAATTTCATCTTATCAGCTATATCCTATTTTCCATAAGAACATACATGTTTTACAATCGTCAGTCTCCATCAAGTACTCAACTCCATGTTCTGGTCCTAACATTATGATTATCGATTATTACACTGACAATGACAAATGTTTAGGGTTATTTTTGGACCAGATATTCCAAGACTTCGATAAAGTTTGTAAGGAATGCGGGGAGATCATGTTGAACCATTACAAAACGTATGTTCATGAAAATGGGAAATTAGATTTAATTTTGGAGAAGATTGAGAAACGAGATGACCCTGAGGAAGAACGCTTCCGTGATGTTCAGAAGAATCAAAGAATTATGTGGAGCTATTGCAAAGAATGCGATCAATCGACTCCAATTACTAAAATGAACGACGAAACATATTATCTCTCCATTGGTAAGTTCTTGGAATTGTGCTTCTATGGTCAAGATATAATTCTTCAAGAAGGAAGCTGCAAACATGACTTTTTCAGGAACCACATAAGATATTTCGGCTACAATGACCTTATTGTTAGACTTGAATATACCAAGATTGATAATTACGAAGTTATTGTGCCTCGTAAACAATTGGAGTTCATCCCTGAAATTGATATGAATTTAAAAGTCGAGTCATTCACCGGTATTCAGAATAAGTCTGAGAAGTTTTTCAGTAGTATTTCCAAACGATTAAATCGTGTAAAGTTGGACACATTTGACAAAGTTGAAGATGGGCTTCAAAAGATTGAGGAGTTAAAAAGCAAGTTGAGTAATCAAATTGAAATGATCAAAAATAAAACATTAGAAATCTATAATTCAACTGCACCCACTGATTATTTAAGTCTAAATTTTGTGTTGAGAGAATTACAAGAATTGGGTGTCAGTTGGGATAATGAATTCAACGAGTTTGAGAAGAATTTCTTGCCATCTGAAAATGAAATCAACAAAATTACTCAATTTCATTTGAGAAACTTCTTGATGGATAAGAACGAAAAAGCAGAAAGGTCAATTGAGAATGAGAATGAGAATGAAAATGAGAGTTTTGATGAAATAAACGAATCCAAATCCAAACCTTCTACTTGTGAGGAGCAAGATAATTCTAAGTCAGACAAAAGAAGCGAAAAGATAATGAACGACAAGAATTCAGATGATCAATCTGTCAACAATCAAATAGAGACCAAGGCTGTGGATGAAGAAACCGCCAAGAAAGATGATGACCTGGCCAGCGAGTCAGCACCATCAACTCCCACCAAACTAAGAGTCATTAAACCTCCAATGTCGTCCTTGAACCACGAGAAGACAAAAGAAATTGGTAAGATGATTCCCTCTTCCCTTTATCTGCATTCAATTATTGAGCGTATCAGCAAGATTGAACAACTCTTGGAAAATGAACGTAATGGAAATCAAATGAGAAAGGAAGACATTAAAAGGTTACCTCCACCTGCTCCACTCAGACACCTAACTCGAAAAGATTCGCTGTCATCCTTAGACAGTATTGATGGAAATGGACAGCCTACCAATAAGGTGTATCAATTGGCAAATCTTTTTGATAAAATGAATATCGATAGAATCTCCTTGGAATTTAAGAGACAAAGAGAACAGGAATTGAAGAAAAAATCTCATAAATTCAAAGCTTTGCCAATTGTGGAAAGTAAACCAATAGTCGAGATTTATGATAAGATTGAAGATGTTGTCGATGTCAATGATGAAGAGAAACGAGGCATAAGAACTCAACCTCAGAAAACATCTGGCCCAACAGACCCCAAAGCTGGTAATGCTAGTATTGGTGGCCCAACCGGGGGCTCTAACCGTGCTTCAATTGCTAGTACTGGGCCCTTGTCAAGCAAGAATCTCGATATTCCTCAACCTGAGAAAATGACTCTATTAAAGTCACTAACAAATTTCTGGGCAGATCGTTCTGCAACATTGTGGGATCCCCTTGATTATCCGTTGGAATCCCATGAGCATACATTTGCTGATTCTGATGTGATTGTTAGGGATGATGAACCAAGTTCGTTAGTTGCATTCTGCTTATCATCGAATGATTACAAACAGAAACTCGATTCCATGGGTAAGGAAACTGACTTGTCTGGAGGATTTGACTTGGAGAACAATGAAATCAATAATAAAAAGATCAATAATTTCATTAAGATTGAAAAGAAGTTCAAGAAGAAAGACAACAACGAACCAACAACACTCGAAAAGATCATGATGAAAAACAAGTCTAATCACTTGAAGTATCAATTCGTTGATGGCAATACAAGTTTATCATGCAAGATCTTTTACAGTGAACAATTTGAAGCCTTTAGAAGAGCATGTGGTAATAACGACAACTTTATTCAAAGTCTTAGTAGATGCATTAAGTGGAACTCCAACGGTGGAAAGAGTGGTTCGAACTTTCTTAAAACATTGGATGATCGTTATATCGTCAAAGAACTATCCAAATCCGAACTTGAATCCTTCGTCTCCATAGCACCATTTTACTTCAAGTACATCTCACAGTCAATGTTCAACACGTTGAGTACTGCTATTGCAAAGATTTTTGGTTTCTATCAGATTCAAATTAAGAACACCATTACCGGTAAGACATACAAGATGGACTTCTTGATTATGGAGAACTTGTTCTACAATCACAAGACTACCAGAATCTTTGATTTGAAGGGATCCATGAGAAACAGACATGTCAAACAAACAGGGAAAGAAAACGAAGTCTTGTTGGATGAGAATATGATTGAGTATATCTACGAATCACCTGTTTTTGTTAAGGAACAGCTGAAAAAGCTTTTGCGTGGTTCGTTATTCAATGATACCAGTTTCTTACTGGCCATGGATGTTATGGACTACTCTCTTGTGATTGGGATCGATAACAACACCAAAAAATTGTATATCGGTATCATTGACTGGTTGCGTACGTTTACCTGGGACAAGAAAGTCGAAAACTGGGTCAAAGGAAATAATTTGATCGGAGGAAACAAAAAGGGTAAGGATCCTACCATTGTGACACCAAAGCAATACAGAGCCCGTTTCAGAGAAGCGATGGAAAGATATATCTTAGAAGTACCAGATATTTGGTACGAAGGATCAAAGTTGGCGTGATTACTTCCAAAAAAAACTGCAAGGTATAGGTAGATAATGTAAAATAGTTAAGATTATGACGCTAGTAACAGCTGTACTGGATTTCTTCTCGAATACTTCTTGCAAGCCATTTGTACGACCTGAGCATTGGCGGCCTCAATACTTCATGGACAGTCCCTTTAAGCTATCTTTAATTTTTGACTGTTTGTATTTGCAAAGTTGGATTACTAATTATACATACCAGTACTAGACAAATCTTTGGAGGGACGTATGTTAAGAGCGAACGTATCCCATCATAATTGCAGTCCTGGTCCAAACCCCGTTTGATATTATTGAGCAGAATACCGCCCGTGTGAATCTGATCTGCTTATTGAGTTCGGACTTTAGAATCTAGTCTAATTTAAAAATGTCACTGTGGTGTCATCAATTTGAACTGTTGATTCACACGTAAATCTTTGGTCACAGATCTCCCCTGAAGTTCCACTGTTCACGCAATAAGCGTTTGTGGTGGAACACTCCAATCGGCTTGGAATAGCTATAATCGATTATGTTCAAGGAAGCCTGAATCCCTAGCATTCGCGAAAAATAACTAGTCCATGACTATCTGCTCTCTTGGCTTAATTTTGAAAGGAACATCTCGCAGCAGCCGATACGAAATTGCACATCCTGGGCTTAACTGCGAAGTATCAATTCCGTCTCTATTATCATTTAAATGTCGCACCTTTGCTAAATGGATGTGTCTCTTTTGGTAGGTTGTTAACTCCAGCTTGGCACAAAGCAGCATTCCTTCCACCTACAAAGTTGATTCCGGTATTTAAACACTACATCTCAATCGTTTACATAGTTTTACAACTTGTAATTATTTATACCTATTTATCTACTTATTTTGATATATAATTTCTGTGAACTCTACTCAGTTCAACTAGGATATATTCTAACGACATAAAAGCATGCACTTGTAGATAAATAAACACAGTCCTACTTTAATACACAAAATAGCGTATTTGTGAGGTACTAAAAATTACCGAAGGTTGGAATACAAGGGTGATTGCAAAAAATTAGGAATATTAAAGAAAGTAATACTAGTATCGATTCTGACAATGTAAAGATACCGCCAATGTAAGTTTGATCCTCTGAGCATGATAAAGCAAGAATACGAGTCTCTTCTGAAAGCTACTAATGAGGCTTCTTCTCGAGACATATTTGACAATTTACAGAATGTTGGACACAATTTTTGATTTGCTCCACAGGAATTTTTGAGGCAACTCTGATACGTTCGGAGAAACCTTCCCCTGGCGAAAGCTTTTCTCTTTTAAGATGGCTTTTCACTAAGTGCCAAAATTCTTCAGTAGGGTTAAGTTCCGAAGAGTTTGGGGGTAAGTAGAGAAATCGGTATCCACATCCCTGGATCATCCGCATTACACTTTGGCTTTTAAAAATACTTGCATTGTCCATAACTAAGTAACAATTAAGACTTGGAATTGCTTCAAGCTCGTTCATAACATCCAAAATGAACAGGATTGAGTGTCTGGTGACGGTGTCTTTTGCAACTTGGCTTCTATCATTTCCAATTTTTAGTTTCTTGTCTTGATGTACGGATTTTGGTTTTGTTAAACTTAATTGAATAATACCAACTGTAGAGATTGCTCCAAGAATTTTACGGAACGTGTAGTCGGGGTTTTAACTACAGATTTATTTTCTTTAGGAGCCCATGCTCCAAAAAGCTTTATATTAATATGGAAGACTGCTTCGTCAAAAATTACGCAATTTTCCATAAAGTTAACTTCATTTTCCTGAATTTGTTTAACAAATTCGAATCTCTGTTCAGTTTTATCAGAAGTCCTCTCAGGACGAACAAACTTGAATGTGAGAGCACATTCCTCTTTTGCGAACCGATGAAGTGTAGATTTACTAACTTGCATTTTATCAAATTGCTTCTGCAAGCTTTCCATCATGTCATCCAAACGAATGTTGGGATCATTATCCACCAAGTCAAGAAGGAATTCTTTCTGTGCTTCTCCTAATGTAGCGTACTTAGTTCTACCTCTCTTCTGCGCAACTGGTATCTCCTCTGAAGCCATTTCTTTGTATTGTTTTACCCATCTCTGAGCTACTTTTGTAGAAATACCAACTTCTCGAGCTACCGCAGAAACACTTGCGCCGATTCTTTCAGTCCATACATCAAAAAAATGCTCCCTTTCCTTATCAGAGTAGATTCGATAAGGTTTAATAGAATCTTCAGAGGCTTTCTTCTGTACTAGTTTACTCAGAATAGGTTGGGTTTCAGGTCCAGAGAAGTAAAGTTTGAGAGTATCCATAGTGTACAAGGGTATTAAGTAATTTTGGCTTTACAAATCCTCTACTGGTTTGTTAATACCTGTATCCTTGTTATCATGCGTTGGCTGCCCATTTCCTTCTACATGCAGATTATCACTGGTTTTGCAAGCAGTACTACTCACTGTCAAGTAATAGAAGAGTAGTGAGTGTTCAGATTAATACTATTAATCCCTCAATCCCTTTTATACTCCAATCTCACGTGTTTTATCAGTTCTTGTGACAAAATGTAATTAGATATTTGACAACTTTCTGGCATCAGGAAACTTCAACACCGATATCATATGTAAGAAGTTATCGATGAGTATCCCAAAGGTTCAAACGATTATTATGTAGACCTTTGGAATTAAAAGAATCGACTTTGAGGAAACTCTTTCCAAATAATGGATCACAGAGAAACAGTTTCTCATGGAACCAGTGTTCAGAACGGATAAATTGGGGGAAATAGCCGAACGATAAGTCAATTACGAATTACTTTGTCTCCCAACCAAGCTAATAAATTGGGTGCAACCCAGATATCCACTTAATGGAGGTGCGACATTTGCTTAAATCCTACATTAGTGGTCGCTTGCCAAAATTAATTAACGGTGTAAAGCCGCGTTGTTCCTGGTAATTTCATAGGCTTGCATCAGTTTGAGCCACAATTATTCTACCATTATGACTGCAAAATGTATAAAAAGGCTAAAGCTTACCTTGGAAGAAGATTCCTCACCATAATAAAATGGCAGAGAGCAAAGAATCCAATTACAAGCTTTCCGCAGTCCAAACTGGTTCGCTGGTGGGCCAGAAAGCGGTGGATGTCAAATATGCTGATGTGGCTATCCAGTTCATGCAGGAGCATGATGCAGAGACACCATTGATAAGCCCAGAACAAGAAAGAAAGCTTAATCGCAAGCTCTTGTGGAGAGTGCTTGGCCTCACGTTTTTGATCAATTTGATCATGTACATGGACAAAGCCACCCTCTCCTACAGTTCGATTTCGGGGTTTTGGGAGGCTACTGGGTTGAACCAGAACAAATACAACAATGTGAACACCGTTTTCTACGTGGGGTTCATAGTGGGGCAAGTTCCTGGAACCTACTTGATCCAAAGATTACCTCTCAGTAAGTTGATTGCAGCAATCTGTTTCTTTTGGTCGCTTGTCATATTTTTGCATTGTGCTGCATTCAATTATGCTGGAGTTATTGTGTTGCGGTTCTTCTTGGGATTCTTTGAGGCAGCGTCCATTCCAATTCTCACTACCACCAATGGGATGTTCTTAAGTTTGCATGTTAGAGAATCTACCCAACCAATATTTTATGCTTCTTGCATGGCGTCGCCAATACCCATTGGTTTCATCAGCTATGGTGTTTTGTACTCAAAGGCATCCATCGGAGACTGGCGAGTATTGAATATCATTATCGGCGGTTTAACCTTCTTCTTATCAATTTTCGTCTATTTCTACTACCCCAATAATCCCATTGAGGCCAACTTTTTGAGCACCGAGGAAAAGGTGTGGACTATCAGAAAAGTGCATGGAACCACACATGCCTCGATTGAACAAAAACATTTCAAGAGAGAACATGCCATCGAAGCGTTCAAGGATCCCATTTCCTACTTAATTTGTGGTTTCTTCCTTTTGCAGCAATTGGCAAACAACTTGACTTACCAGCAGAATTTGTTATACGAGGAAATGGGTGGCCTTAATAATTTGAACTCTACTTTGGTTTCTGTTGCAGGAGCAGGTTTTGCGGTTGTTTGGTCCGTTACAGCTTGTATTTTCATGGTGTTCTTCCCGAACAAGACCTGTTTCACAATTATTTGGACTACGATCCCCGCATTGGTCGGGTCCATAGCAGCAGTTGCTCTCCCGTTGAGTAACTCCATTGGAGAGCTTGCGGCAATCACTTTGGCCTCGCTGTCTTTTGGCGTAGGTTGGATCTGTGCTTTTGGACTCGCCCAGACCACTGCTGGGTCATCTTACACAAAGAGACTCGTCAGGAACGCTATGGTGTTAGCTGCCTATTCCATCTCCAACATCATTTCACCACAGATCTGGCAGTCCAGAAACGCACCTAAGTATGTCCCTGCTTGGATAGTTCAAATTGTGTTGAGTTTCACAATTGCACCAGCCTTGATCGGGGTAGTGTGGTACATTTTGAGTGTAAGAAACAGAGTTAGGTCAGCTGAGCTCAACGAAAGAGAAAAGACTGGCTTAATTAAGGATGACGAAGGTAACGAGATTGAGGTAGACATTGCCACGCTTGATCTTACTGATCTTGAGGACAAGACGTTCATTTATCCATTATGATTTTATAGATACTAGGAAATAAAAGCTAATATGATATCTGGAACTGCGTTATTGTGTCATTTTGTAGTTTTTGCAAAAATCATGCCAAAAATCAAAGTAATGTTGAGCTAAGTATTGACAAAGTTGCAAGAACACGAGCACCCCATTTCAAAAAGGGCTTCTATGGAGAACAACTACGTTGATCTCCGAGCACAGGCAAGCCCCCCTTTCTAAATTGAGCTACGTTTATAAAGGAAACGATACTGATTCTACTTGATGCTGAGACTGCAATTGGTTTCTGCCTCTACTGTTGAGGGTAAACGCACAGTTGACATTGAATATTATGAATAAAAATGAGTGCTTGTAGAAACACAAAACTGGACTAGAATTGAAGCCTCACCAATCAGGGTTTACACCTCATTTTGGCTCCTATTTCTCGTAAATTTCAACAGTTTTCGCTAAGCCAGTCAACATCGAAAAATAAGACGTGATTAAATAATCTCTGATAAATTTCTTGGCCGTGTCAACAATCCGAGAATACCTTCATCGTCGCTATTCAGTACGGGCCAGTTTTGTAGGTGTGCCGTGACATGCTCCACCGGATGTATTGTTCGCAAATTCTCTAATGGCGTATCTTTCTTCGTGACACCCAGATTGCTAGACGAAAGAAACACGCCAGCTGCAGACGCCATGCAAGCTGCGGCTCGTATGGTCTGCTTGAGCTGTCAGACAGTATGCACCAAATCCATGCTCTCGAGACGCGCATTATCTTCAGCCCACAAGATGAGCTTATCACTCGCGCCTTACTCCTAAGTCTGGTCATGTGGCCAAACTGACCGCGACAAGCCCTCACAATAGGGTGTTGCCAGATTGTCTCACACAATAGGAGTAAATAATTTCCATATGTGAAGATCGCGTGAGGTGGACAGATGTCAAGGTAACGACGCCAGCGGGGAATCAGACAGACGTTGGAGTGGCGGGTCAAGTGCGAATCAGTGTCGGACAGATTATTCCCTAATTGGTGGACATGCATACATCCTGCGCCAGCGTGGTGGTGGGAGCGACCCAGCGAAACATTCATATTGGCACAATTACCACCGGTGCAATGCGCGTGTGTCACCCTCCAGCCCAGCTTGTATTCCTCGAATACTCGTGATACCAAAGCCCGCACGGTGGTAGTAGTGTTAGTTCTCTATCCCAGGCCCTGGTCCAGATCCGCGCCGCGTCAGATCACGCATGCCCCACACCAGCACGCCCTGCGCCGCATGAGAGGGCTCCGCAGCGCGGAATGCCTCCTAGACTGTCGCCCATGCATGCCAACAGACATGGCCCACAAGGCTCTAGAACCGCACTGCCCACCGGTCTCCAGTCACCACCAGCACTGGACCCGTTGGCCCGCATCTCCAACCAAACCGCGACCCTGCTACAAGCCAGCAAGGCTGAACCGATCGCGTCGTCTCTCGCGCCGCACAACCCCTTTTCGTATATGTTCGCCTATCAATCTATCCCCGATAAGGTGTGGTGTCAGATGCACATACGCCCTCCACCGGCCCCCGACACGCAGCAGGCAGTATCGCTAGCGGCCCCGCACGTGAAATGCCCCTATGTCGCACGGCCTGCCTGCTACACCGCCCAGTCTCCGCCCCAGTGCTGGCTGTTTTCACTCCCTAGTGTCGCACTGGTGGTGCAAATTTAATAATAGCCATTTCCGTTTGCTTTTGATCCAACACTTTTCTGATTCCACCCAGCCTAACCTGCTTAACCTGCTTAACCTGCTTGATCCCTGTTTGATCCCTGCTTGCCTGTTCCCCCTCGTTAGCGCCCTCTCCCATCCGTTTGCTACGCGTGCGATCTACTCTGCTTAGAGCACTACATGTACCGCCCTGGCTGCCTGTCCTAGTCCCATCCCCTACATCATGGTCCGTGCTGGCTTCAACACACTCTCGCTCGTGCTCATCTTGGTGGCGTTTGTGTTCCTCCTCCTTGCCACCATCTCCACTCCCGTGGTCCAGTCGTTCTCGTTGGCCTCCACCGACACCCATAAGTACGGCATCTTTGGCTACTGCTTCTCGTCGCGAAACTCATGCCTCAAGGCCAGCTACCCCTACTCGCTCGACGATGCCCATGACTCCACCTCCAACTGGTTGTTGCTGTCGTCCTCAAGGGAGACCCTTGCCAAGGTGTTCATTGTGGCGCCCATCGCGCTTGGGCTCAACTTCTTCACGCTTGCCGTGATTGTGGCCACCCACTTCAACTCCAAGGCCATTGCGTTGTTTGCCATTGTGTTGAACATCATCTCGTTTATCGCCACCACCATCGTGGCCATCATCGTGGTGTTGGTGTTCTACCCCAACCTTAACTGGACCGGCTGGATTCTCATTGGTGCCGCTGCTGCCAACCTCATCTCCTTGGTGTCGTTGTTCCTCTCGTTGACCTTCAACAGCGACTCCAACGACGACATCCACAGCAACGAGAGCATCGACAGATACGTCACAGGTGCCGACTCGGAAAAGCAAGGATTCTCCTCCAACTTCGCTGGCCCTGCTTCAATCAGCAACATCCCTCCCCCCAATCCTACCAACTACGACACCTCCAGCTCCTACAGCAAGGACTTTGAATCGAAGGCTTCCAACCCTTACAACAGATCCCAGACCACAAATTTCCAGGTGACTCCCCACCAGCAAAGAGCCGCCTATGGAACCAACCCTCCTCCACAGCCCCAGGGGTTCAAGCTGTACGACAAGGCTACCCACAGCAGCAATTCCTCGGTCTACAACGACGCCATCCAGACTGCAAATGACTTCACTCACCCAGGTAACCAGTATCCTCCATCGACCTCTTCGTACTACGATAAAAACTCCATCAGGTCGCCTATCGATCCAAATGTCAACATTGTGGATACTCTTCACAATCCAATTCTGGTCAAGAGAGACGTGGCTCCCAACTTGGTAGCCAGCTCCGCTGGTGTTCAACAGCCATCCAACTTATCTTACCCACGCAATCATGTTAGAGATAGTGGTGTCGAACCCGTGTATCCAATGAATCACTCCAGTGTTTTCGAACACCATCCAGAAGTTGAGGGTCATAAACCATTTACTGAAATGGATGACTTTGAATTGGAAGATTATGGTGATGATGAAAGAGTTCCTCTTAACAATTGCCACAATGGTCAACAAGTGGGCACTAGTGGTAACGAATCTGATGCGGACTCAGATTTCACCTCTGTTTCTCAAAGAGCGCCTAATCCAAGCTACGGGGCCCAGCAAGGTTACTACCCAGTTGCTCAAGCCCCACACTCTCAACAATTCCAACAGAATCAACAATTCCATCAACAGCCATCCCAACAATACTACAAACCAGTCCAACAAAATACTGCTTACGGTGGATTCCAGCCACAACCACAAATCAACCAACCTGCAAGACAATCTGTTTCAGACAATGCCTTGGCTAATAATCCAGATTTTAACGTCGGTGGCCCTCGCCCTGCGAAGCGTAGAGTTCAGCAAGGATTTGTTCCTGTGGCCAACAGGTATAACAAATCTGCTGCTTCTTCTTCCATGATGGGTAGAGGTGGTGCCAGAAGTGGACCTTATGGCGTGATCTAAATGACTGGTGACTTTATAGAATTTCAGGTGGTTCAATGTCTTGGTAACGTTTACTTCTTTTTGTTATTTTTCGATGTCCATTTTAAGGTAGTATTTCTGTCTGGTTACGATTCTACTAAGACTATATAGTTACATATTGTAAATTGAATCAGCAGGCCTGCCTGATCATGTAGTTATACAGCCACTATTAAGTGTACCATATGAAAAGTTCACCTCAACACTATAACAAGTCTATCTCGGATCCATGCTCTTGTATTTCCTCTTGTGGCTTTTCTAGAGAAGGTCGAGATTCAGCCGGTGCTGGTTTCTCTATTACCTTAGTAGTCCCATGAGGCTTCACCAATACTAAGATGAATAATGCAAATACCACTAAACACAACAAAAATATGATTTTACATTTTGTGGTTCTCTTTTGGTACCCTTGAGCTTTCACTAACTCTTTATCCGATTGCTTTAAATCTTGGACTGTGTTTTGTAAGTTGTAGTCAATTCTATCCAATAAGGTACCCTGGTCGATGATTAATGACTCCATTTCCTTGAAGATTGTCGAAATCTCTAAAATTCCCATAGCTAAGTTTGAGATTTCCTTTTCCCTCTGTCTTAGCAAATTGGAATCTGAAGAAACTTGGGTTTGTTGCAATACTTGTTTAGAATAATCTTCGATTTGTGAAGTCTTCCCTTCCTCTTCTTCGAGCAAAGTTGTGTCGATAGTGGATGAGTTCCCGAGTAAGGTATCCATTTCATCCTCATCATCCCTGAGAAACTTGATGTAATTATTTTGTAAATTCCTGAATATTAGAGAATTATCCTGAATTTTCGTTGCATAATTCTTCTTAAAACTGCTCAAGATCTCGAGATCATTCTCAGTATAATCCAACTTCAACTTTTGGTGATTCTTTCCTAGATATTCATACTTTTTGATGAGTACGTAGCATTGCTCGAATGTCTTCAATATATTGTAATTCAAGTCTTCGATTCTTCTTTCTAACTCCTTCTTATCTGATTTGCTTACTATAATAAGCTTCTTATACATGGAGTTCAATTCGTTCACTTGCTGTTTGATGGACGACAAGTGTGAGTCAAGTTCTCCAGCAATATCAAAGAGTGAAGGGATCACTGGTTTCATTTCAATTGAGCCATCTGGGCCTACTTGGTCTTTATATCTGGCGGGCCTCCTCCTTGACTCCATCAATGTTTCTTCTTCCTCGACCAAACTGTCGAATCTAGTTTCTGCCGTAAGCCTATCATTCCTGGGCACGGTCCTTCGATAAGATAGGAATAGGTTCGTTCTGTCTCTAAACATCTTACTGGGTATAGGAGTAACACGTAGGTGATTTCTGTGTCATTAAAGTCCATCATGTGACTTCCGATCACGCGACCTAATATTGCTTACAGGGTTGGATTGTGTTGGAACGTACGTCCTAAGCGACATTATGGCGCGACATCATAATTCTAACGACATTATGAGAAACGCGACATTGATGAAATACGACATAAAATTCCGCTNTAGCAAAGTTGAAAATAAGACGAGCTTACATCATGATGTTAACAGGACAACAACCATTGTCATTCATACGGCAAAAGCTTAAGATGAAACANGCCAAGACAGAATGAACGAATCCAGCTGGGCAATTACCAAAAAGAACGAAAGTAATCGCTCAACTGAAAACAGAGACGGAAAGAACGGGTGAAAATACTCCCGTACGGATCCGATCAAAGAGATTAAAATTAGTATAAATTAAGCAGTAAATCCCAGAGATTAATGGGTGTGCCGAATAGTATTAGATTGTGTGTTACAATATTATTAAATAAATATTTACATATAATAGTCTTCTTCTCAAAGAGCAAAAGTACACCTGCACACAGAATCTAAATTCTAACAGATTGCAACCACCACTACAATGTACTATCGTGAATCCAAACGTGTATAACTATTTTTTATCTTTTCTATTTAAGAAATGGAGGTTCAAACTGGAACCTGATTTAGAAGGCGCATGTCCCCCAAGTGCCGCATTTCTATCGGATGCACTGCTGGATGGTTTAGTAACACTTTGACGAGGTAAAATCGAATGGAGATGCGCAGGAACATCGTGTGTTTTTGTGTGTGGGGATGGTGATACTGGGGTTGATGAGGTTAATGGAGTCATCGAAAATGTGGCAGAACCTCCTGAATTTTGTATGTGGACTGGAAATGCCGAACTGTTTCCCGGAGGACTTCCCACTAAGTTTGTAGTACTGTTGCTGTTACTATTACTAGTACTGCTGCTTTTGCTTCCACTTACGCTTCTCTTGGAGGAGGTTCTAGAAAGATTGGCGAGGTTGGTTGAAGAAACATTTCTTGAGTGAGATGGAGATGATCCGTTTGATGAGTTTCTGGATGAGCCCAAATTACGCAAACTCAAGGAACTGGAGCCTCTTGAAAGCAACTTATTCTTGCTGCTAGTAGGCGCACTGCTACTTTGGTTGTGCATCTCTTCGAATCGTCTGTTTAACTCTGCCAAGTTAACATTGGATCCCGGTAACGGTGGTTCATATGCGGGTGAAAGAGTATCATCAGGTTCACTTCTGATAGCTTGAGAGTACGATGGAACTTGGCTCAATTTGCTGGAATTCAACTCAGAATTAACTCTGGAGAGATGATGAGGTGGAGTTTGCAGGCCAGGTGACATCAAACCGTTATTGAAACTAGTACCGTTTTGACTATGATGCTGAGTAAAGTAACTGGGAGCTTGACCAGAATACGAAGAAGACATCACTGGTCTACCTCTAGTAAGATAATCTCCTTGTGTAGCTTCAGGCGCAGTGCTTGCGGCCTCTCCATCAAGATTGAACACGGGCCTATCTCCTGAAATTCCTCTTGGTGTTGAAGGAATGGAAATTCCATTTGGAGTAAGTTGCTCGGCACTTTCTTGTGCCTGTCTTTGCAAACTCAATTGTCTCAAGTTTTCAGTCAATTGGTTAGTGTCAATTGGAGACATTGAGAAATGTTGCAGAACATCACTTCTATTATTACTGTAAATGTTGTTTCTTGGTGTGGCAGTTCCTGAACTGATTGGGGATTCGATCGGGGACACATCTGACCAAAGCCTGTCATATATGTGCTTCTCATACAATGGTGGAGCCATCAAACCACTGAAAGATGACACTGATCCATTATTAGATCTTCTCAACTCGCCACTATTGGCTTGCTGCTCGGCTAGTTGGCTCAAACTGGTGTTACTCGTACTGTGCATGTCTGTGGAGAAAAGCAACTCTTCGTCTTGATTGTTTTCAGTTTCGTGTTTAGTCTTATCCTCTAAGGAAGCTGCATCTGTGTCATCTTCATACTTTGCACTGATAGTGACAAAAGGAGAAATAAACAATTGAATGGGTAAGGAAGCACGAAGTTCCGAAACATGCCCATCTGGGTTAACCAATCCAATGGTAAACTTGATCTTATGTCTCACCTTGACATGCTGAGCAACATCGCAGTCTTGGGTACACTTTGACAAACTAGCTGGAAGTCTCAAGAAGGTGTCAACCTCCCATTTGTCCATCTGGAAGTTAGGGTCAGATTCATCGGGTTCAGCGATAGCCTTCTCGCATACCACTCTTTCACCATTGTGCGGAGGACCGATGTAGCCGATGTACGTGTAAAACTCTACCAATTGGATCTTAATCTTGCCTAGCTTGAGGCCCTTTAATAATGGCACCAACATGAAACTAATGGGAGTCCCTGAACCAATGGCAATTGCCTTGGATGGAACATTCAACGAGTATTCCACTTTGTTGGGCCAAGTGTTGTCAACAGCTACTGTTTCGGATAACTCGACCGAGTCTGTTGTCAAGGTTCTGATCACACGAAGGTGCTTTTTGGCAACCATGTTGTTGTGGAACTTACCTCTGTCAATGGTGGCTTCGAGACGGTACACAAGGGAAGCTCCAGGCAAGCCTTCGATGGATTCGGGCATGTTTCCTGGAAGTATGGCACTGAAGGGAACTTCGTAGTTGCCTGGTGCGAGAACTGTGTTCTGGGCACTTGTTTTGGAGGCAGACAAGCTTGTGGAGGAGTCGTTATGGGCGAGGTTGGAATGGGACGACGAGAGACTGAAAGATGAAAGATGGGAAAGGTTGCTGGATGACTTGGATCTGAGGGAATGGCCCAAGTTCTTGAGCGAAGCAGACGAGTGGTTCCTGCTCAACGAGGTGCTGGATGGACCACCCAGCTGCTCCTGCAAGGTGCTGAGGTACTGGCTGAGGGTCTTGGAATCCCAAAAGTACTCGTAGACGGTCTTGTCAAACCGATTTGGTTTTGGAAACGTCCCCTTGGGAGTCTGGAAGTGGTCAGTCCAGTTCAAACGCAACGTAGAGTACAACCGCAAAGACAACCGTTTGATGTTTAGAGGCTCGTTCAACGATAACACGATCTTGCCTGCTAGGAGTGCCGAAGCGGCATCGTGCTCGTTGCCCTTGAGGACCAACACATCGTGGTCGAGGTATTGGAACCGGATATCGAACAACGAAGCTGTCTTAGCAGAGGATTGCTTCTTGGGCATGCCGGACTAGGGAAGAAGGCTGGGGTCTGGGAAATAGGTGGTGTTGTGGAATGAGATGGGGCGGGTGGCCGAGTGCTGGAATACTCCGATTACAAACGGAGCCGAGACTTGTTTTTGATCGCTGGATCGAGGGCGTCACTAAGTACAGTTTAAGGCCAAGTGCGAGTGGTGGGGGCTCAGGCTTTTGACAGCACTGGGCGAAAGGATCGGAGTTCAACAATAGGAGTGGGCGCAACGATCTACTGGTGGTGGTAGGGATGGATAGAGCCAACTCGAGCCATCGGTGGCAGGGTGATAGCAGTCGTGACTAAGGGATGACTCGTCCCAAAAGGGGTATCCATGCGGAAGCCGCATGGACCAGAGGGAAAGTCCGGATAAACTCATCTCTCGGATTATTTATGGTGTTGGGTGCCACTGGCACTATATGCGGTGCTGGGGGCCAGTGGCTCCAACTGGGGTCACCCGTCGAGCCACACAACGACGTGTTACTCCCAGATACAGTGCTGAAAGCCTGTGGCCATACAGCGATTCTACGCAGTCAGCGGTGGTATTCACTCCGACGATGGCTCCGTGGTTCTGCCGTCAGGGTACATTTCCCAACTGGGCCCAAAAAATCCCGCCTTATTGTTCGTTCCAAGGTGGGTGCGCAAAAGTCTAGTTGGAGGAGGACGAGATGCCAATGCTGACAACACCAATGATATTATGTCACGTGCAAGAGTGGCTGGGAGTGCTCCAGCCATCGAAGTCGAATACCCGTATAGGGAATCAAAATAGGTGGCCAATAGCCTATTTTTACCTCCCAGCCTGGCCCATATGATTCACGCGAAAAACTGCTGAAATCATAAATTTTACAAAATTTCAAAATGAACAATAATTGACGGTGACTTTTGTGTAATGGAAGCTCTTATCACTGGAACATGCCTCACTTCTGTGGTACTGATAGTGATACACCTATGACCAGCACAAGACCCCCCGAGGCAGGTTTACACGATAGAAGGATGGTCTAGTCACTTATTATGTAGCAGAAGCACGCTGGTTGCACGAGTAAGCATCGCCTATTTGATGATACTGTTTGGAGCTCGAGGCAAAAGCAATGCTACCCCCAAAGTGTCAAATGGGACCGAGGGCATTTTCGGCAATCGTAGTAGTAGTATGGCCAATATCCACCTGATGTAGGGTGCTACCATAGAGAACAAGCCAGCAGCGAACAATCAGATCATCCATTCAGATCCAAACGGGAAACCGGGGTTTACGATTGGGGCCAAAAGTACATTTCACAAAAGCTAAAATTGTAGAAAGAAGGGTTTTGGGCACAACCGTACGTCAGGGGCAGTCCATTAGCACCACGAACGGGTCATCACCATGGTGGATACGAGTTGGTCTTCGGGCACCACGACGTGCAAGCGTCTGTGCATGGTATGTCGGGCGGACTGTGGGCAACTGGTCACTTCTCCAGGAAAGCTGGATGACGGGTTCGCACCCACCAGGGTGGTAGGAATTTAACTTCAATTACAACCGAAATAGTGTCGTCTGCGAAAGGAGGCTGACAGACTAAATTTCGTCTCACATGCCCCCACAGTATCCGTTGTCGGGTGCTAGCAACGCCAGGTTTGGCAAAGTAAGTGGCCTGAGGTTTCGGGCACCTCTGATCTGCTGGCTGTTGTCTAGACGAGAGCCTATTTTGAGACGAGAATGTGGATCTTCCTCGGTTGTTGTAGCCAGAGGAAACTAAGCTTTCACACCTCCAATGGTTATATTGGGCAAATGGGGAACAGTGCTGGATTAGTGTGATTTCGAAACATCAAGCGTCATCATTTTGGCCAGCACGAATCGTGGGAGAGCACCCACAGGGCAATGCCAGGCACGATGGAGGGGATGCAAGGCATGACGTCGTGTTAGAGATTCGAGGTTTTCCTGGTTGTTCGCAGTCGCTGGACTGATGTGTAACATTCCTCCGCGTGGCACGCACCGACACAATGTGAGATCTGGGGAGGCATGCCGCACAATTGTAGCGAATGGCACCCACAGCTGGCGTGACAATAGCCAGATCGTAGAGGTCTCGTAGTGGTCATCTCCACCCACAGAGGGCTCACGGGTACCTTGAGGGGGCTTTGGGGTGTGATCGCCAGCTGGGTGAAGCCGGCCCTTGGGTGCCTGGCGGTACCTCATCGACCCAATGATATTTTCGGGTACCTGAAGGCGATGGGCTAGACCATCGGCAAAAGTTGGCAGGGCAGACCTGGCTAGTGCCCAACCAGGCGTAGCCAGCGCCCGGGGGGGCCCAAACGGTGCTGGAGCAAGCACCAGCCAGACCGGGAATCGGTGCGCAGAAGCCGTAACACGTGACTCACCTGTCGCAAGCGGCATGAGCCAGCCTTCTCGGGTGCAAAAATAATTTTAGACCAGGTTTTGGATCCCCAGAAGGAATATCGCTGGCGTTGTGAGGCTCCCACATGCGCGTGTTATCTGGAGCTATTGTTTGGATTACTGGCTTCTGCACCTCGGCCTGCCCTATTCAGTGGCTGGTAATGCACAATGTAGCGTCTCTGGCTGTTATATGCTGCATGTACATTAGCGAGCACACCTGGGGGAAGGGTTCCAAAGCAGAAAATACTGGTGGCTTGGACCGATATATATATCATCGAAACCCCTGATTATCCTTCCCCATCCAAGAGTGACACTGGCTCTATTCTTGGCCTTATTTGCGAGCCGGTCACATTGTGGAACACTGAACCTACCATCCCACCCTAGCCCGTCCTTTGGCCCTTGCATGTTTCTTCACTTCTTCCCTAATTCATTCATTGCATCGTTTTTATTCGTATCTTTCTAGCATCTCCCCGTCATGAATTACAATAATACGCAACCGTTGCCCTATGCTTCCAACATCGACAACAAGATATACGAATACAACCCCTTCATGGAGGACGACTGCTTGGCCTCGTCCTCGCCCTTGGTCACATCCTCGCCCAAGCGTGCCAAGTCGGTGTCCTCCCTGCGCAAAGTGTCGTCACAGTCGTTGTCGGCGTCCTTAAGTGTCAAGAAGCCTTTGCAAAGATCCATCAGCTACAAATATCCCAAGAGAAATGTCAGGCTACCTCCATTGGCCTCCAACTTGGACAGAATATGCACATCTAACTTCTATGAGCTGGAGTTCTCGTTCAGTTCTGGGTACGTCAGCAACAGCTCCAATTCCACAACTGACAACTCCGACTTGGAATCGTTGCCAGACCTCACCGAAGACGATGGCACCCCCACCACCACCCCCCTCAAAAGACGTCCCTCCATCAAAAGCTGCTTCTTCCAGGACCCCATCCAGCCCAAAAAACTATTATTCACAAACCCCTCTGCATTATTACCATCTACCCCCCTTAGCTCTGCTTCGCCATCCATATTCGACATCCCCGAATTGGTGCATAAAATAGTCGAATATGCTTCCTTACAAAATACTGTCATTCCACAAGAGTCAACCCCCGTCAGACGAAAGCCATTGTCGTACAACCACGCCATGTTGATCCATGGCAACAAAGAGCAGGCAGAAAGCGCGTTGCTGCAAAAACAGTACCAGTCAGAGAAGCCAGGCTCCTGCAACGGAGTGCTCTTCAACTGCCTCCAGGTCAACAAGTTGTTCTACCAGGTGACCATGGAGGTCTTGAGCAAGAACTTTTTCTTCAGCGATGAGATCCAGTTCAGCAAGCTCGCAGCATCTATCTCCACACGCACCTGCCAGCTCAAGTTGAAGCCCACCTCGTTCGTGCTCCACAAGTTGTTCATGTTGAAGCAAAGCGCCATCGACATGATCAAGGACCACATTGACTTCAGCGACTTGGAGTGGTTGGAGCTCTACATGTGTCCCAAGCTCTACCCCACCATCGAGTTCTTCCAGCTGGGAGGACACAGGTTGAAGAAGTTGATCATCACCGGCTCCAAGGTTATCGACGACGAATTTCTCATCATGGTCAGCAAGCACTGTCCCAACCTCGAAGTTTTGGACATCCGAGCCTGTGAGTTGGTGTCGGACAGCGGAGTGTACCAGATTGCAAAAAACTGTCGCAAACTCACCAACATCAATTTTGGCCGCAAACAGCGAGGCCACCTCATCACCGACAGCAGCTTGTCGATTCTCATCAGCAACAACCGTGGCTTGGTGACGGTGGGGTTGGCAGGGTGCCACGTGAGCGATCGTGCCGTGTGGGACTTGGCGGTGCACTGCAGCGGCAGTCTCCAGCGGTTGTCATTGAACAACTGTCCCTACATCACCAACCAGTCAATTCCGTTGATCTTGACGCGCCCCAACATCAATTACCCCACGTCATACTTCCAGAACTTGTCGGTGTTGGAGTTGCGGTTCGATGTGCAGATCACCAACTGGCAGCCCATCATCGAGTTCAAGAGGAGGCAGGAGTATCGTGGCATCTCCATTCTCATTGAGGTGTGCGAGACGTTGATGGTGCGAATGAGACAGCACGAGTTGGAGATGGACAGAGCCATCTCGCAGCGCATCTTCCGGGACATCTTGGACTGGGTCAACGATGCCAACGATGGCGATCTTCTGTATCACCAGCTTCTCGAGTCGCGGAGAGCCGTATCTAATGTATAGAGTTAGTACAAGGAGCTGCAACAACCGTAGGCTGGAAAGAGCAGGAAAGGGCGTAGGTGCTGAGTAGAGTAATCTTGAGATGTGCTTCGAAATGTCCTCGGACTACTAGAGCCTAGCACATAAATAGATGGGGAGGGGCGGGAGAGAAATGTACTTACTATTGATTCGTATTGAAAACTCGATGAATCAACAGATGTGAATCTACTCTTGCTCGTTCTGTAGCTACAACAACCGTAGAGACCCAAGGTAGACTGGGGCGGAGGAGTCGCTCCAGTAAAATATGTTCTACTAAATGTCCCGTTCTGGAGCCACTATTGATCAGAGACTCCAGCACTTCAAGTGGCCAGTGAAACTAGCACTCAAATGGGAAAATTGCCAGGAATTCACACAGCAGTTTGGGGCATGCGGAATTTCCCAGCAATCTGGGGCCTCGTAATTCCCAGCAATTTGACATGCGGAGCCCCTCCCCCTAACCCACCATTTCAAGTAGGCCTGCTGGGTCCTACTGTAAGTCACCCATCAATTGTCCTGCCATTTGTGGTCTACGGTCTGTTGGGGCTACCCTGTTGGGCAGTCCACGTGAGCAGTAAATATACCCAACGCGGAAGTGCCAGCTGTCAGTAGCCAGCTGGCACGACGATCGTTGCACTCGTCACCAGGAACTGCCACCCGAGGCCCTTCCGATTCCGTATTGTCAGTGCCGTGCCGTACGGGGGCCTCCAGCCAATGCCCACTCGCCCTGCTGCCTCTGCCGTGCTACGCCTGCTTCCGCCTCGTACCCACTTGCTACCCCTGCCAGGTGCAGATCGGTTCCCGCTAAAAAAGAAAACCGCGGGGCCGTCTCGCACTGGAAAATGCCACCACCGAAAAAGACCAGCGAGAGATGTGGCAGTGGAGTCGCTCCCAGAGGGTCCTCCCGTAGGTCGTCTCACAGGTCGTCTCATAAGTCCTCCCGTAGCTCTTCTCTCATATCCCTACACCACGCTTACGCCTTCCTCCACGCGTCCCCACTGTCCTCTCCCACGCCTGGCTTGCACGCTCGGCTCCTGCACGCCAAATGTTTACTGCCGTAATTGTTGATCCAGTGACCTCCTGTACACAGCAAGGGCCCTCCTACCGTAACCTGCAACTTGGCCCCATCACTATGCCTGGATGTGGGATCTTTTATTTTGCTTATTTAGCCTGTTGGATTTCTGCCGCTTGGCTTAGTTGCGCCTGCCTTGCTTATATTTGCCCACCTCCCACCTTCTGGTGTTTGTCCCCATGACTTCTCCACTGGCGGTTTCCATGCCTCAGACTGTCACTGGCCCTGCTTCTGCGCATGGTGCCAAATGCAGCACTTGCGACCCCCATCCAGCCACACTAGCGGCTCCCAACAAGGCCTACTGTCCTGACCCGTCCGTAATAGCCACCACCAACCTCAACCTCAGTCGCTTGGGCCCTCCCGCCCGCGACTTGCGCTCGAGCCTACTCCACAAACAGGACTCATTCTCCAGCATCGCCAAATTTACCCGTGGCGACTCGTCACACAGCTCGTTGTCCCACCAGCCGTCCAAACTCGACCTCATTGACGACACCACTTTGACGTCGCTTCCGTTGCCACCACCATTGAAGCCCAAGTCCCGGGGCTCTGGGTCGGGCTCTGGGTCTGGATCTTCAAGCCTCCCTGGCGACAATGAACCGCCAACACCCGCGCTTGACCTGAAACCGCTCTTGTCCTCCATCACCATGTGCAACGGTGCGGAGGCCGAGGTCGACGAGACCTTTGAAAGCGAGCTCTTCGAGGACGATGAGGACGACGACCACCACGACCCCATAGTGTTGATTGAAGACTACATGGCCAAACAGAAGGCTCGCCCCAACCATAACGAAACCCCAGCATGTAACAATACCATCAGCCCCAGGATATCGACAGGCATTCAGGACCTGTCGATCTCTGGCATTAATTCCATTCCTGATTTTAACGACGACGACGAACTCACCTTGATCAATAAAAAGAGGTCCTTGGCTACCTTCAAACAACGCATTCTCAACAACTCCTTACATCTCTCGAAATCCGTCCAAGAACTAGGCCACGACCTCGACAGCCTATCCGACGTATCCACGTTCACTTCCACCTGCAATGGCGACACCCTCAACAACATACTGGCCAGCAATCATACCCACTTCAACTCCAGCACCTCTTTACTCCATTCCAAGCCGAAGAACAAGAGAACGTTCTCGAACGATTTTGTTTCCAGACCGTTACTCAATTACTCCAAGTCGGAGAACTTGGAGGAGATCTTTGGAAAGATCCCGGGCTCAGATCTCTTGAAGCATTGCGAGCTTTGTGAAAAGCCTTTGTATGAGATAAGCTCCATCATCAACAACAATAAGAAGTTGAAGAAGTCCAAAAACCGTACTTCTGCTGAAGATTCCAATAAGGTCAACCAGGTCTACAATGAATTTATTTGTGGCGAGTGTGTTGAAACTTACGAGGAATTTTTCAACGAGTTGTATCAGGACCAAATGACATCTCCACAAAGCTCAAGCAATGGATTATCAAAGGAATCCACTACTGTCGATCATCCTATGGAATCCTGCGCTTCTGAGTCTACAAAAGTCGACTCGATGAAGAACGAAAAATTGCTAACTATATTCCAATCTATCCAAAACAAATACGACAAGAAGCAGCAGATGGGCAACATCGCATCGAAGAGATCTTTCTATCACAAGACCCCAACGTACAAGCGCATCAGCAGGGCGCCATTTTCCGAGAACTTGATGAGCCGTCTCAACTACTTAAACAGCTTGCCTGAAGGCTACACATACAGCAACGAGTCGGAAAACAAGAGCCCAGGCGCTGGGTTTGGATTGGGTTTTGGGATCAAACCCAATAACCCGAAGAACGGTGCTCCCATTCAAACTGGCACCTCCAAAAAGACCATAGACTTAGACTGGATTCGCAGTTTACAATCAAAATTGAGGTGGACCTGGGGATTCAATGGTTTGGCACGTAGAAACTCATTGGAATCCGATAGATAGCACCCCACCTGTATAGTCATATTTGTACAATAATTATTTGCATTAAACACCCCAACTCCACTACTAAAATCTGTACTTCAGGCTGTTCTGAGAGTTTCCTGACACCAGCCTCAGACTGCATCCATACCCCATGCAACACCACCCTCCAAAAGTCTAAGTAACTACCCATCCTGACTACCATACTACCAACCACCCAAAATAGACACGTGACCAGACTTCTTGGTATGACCGCAGCAACACTGACCCAACACCGAGCTCGGCTGCGGATCCTGCACCGGGGCGCGGACCAATCATTTACCTCTGGAATAAGCTTATGTCAGACTCTCACTAATAGCTGGGGATGTGAGGGTCGTGCCCCTAAACCTAATCACTATTGTTACAAATATTTATGGCACAAGAAATCACCAGTTAGGTATCGAAAGTGAAGTGGCCATATAACTAAGCAACATTTATTATCTATTAAGAGGACCACATTCAGGCTATATTTCTAGAGAAGCAACTTAGACAACGTCACCCATACAACACTACACATCATCCATTCCTAATGATAGCAAGGAGACAATTGTTGGTTAACATAACCAATGCTAACAGAAGATACATATCGAATGAAGCCACCAAAGAAGGCTCCAAAAGGTTCATGCAAACCATACCGACCTCGTCGCTGGGCAAGAACACATTCTACTCGGGGTTGAACTACGCAATCAGCAACAACAGTAGCTCCAACTCACCAGAGGGCACCGGCAGCTCCAAGTGGTCCAAGCACTCGTTGAACTTCCCTCGTGAGCCAGAATCTAACACCCAAACTGCCGCAACTACCAGGAGATCTAGAACCTCCAGATTCTCTAACAGATCATTGAAGGGATTGTCTACCGAGTCTACCGAAAGCTCCGAATCACAAAAGGATTCAGTTAGTGTCACTGGACCCTCCACAGAATCTAGTGCCCCTATCCCAAACGTGCAGTCCACCCCAGAGCCAAAGGCTTCCGAAGTACAATCCACACAATCCGCAAAACCAAAAAAGAGAAGAACTTTGCGTCCCAGAAAAGCATTGATCACCTTGACCCCAAATGCTGTGGAGCACTTGCGTGGTTTATTGAATCAGCCCCAACCCAAATTGATCAGAATCGGTGTGCAAAATAGAGGATGTTCAGGCTTGACTTACAATCTTGAATACGTAGACGCACCAGGTAAATTCGACGAACTTATTGAACAAGACGATGTCAAGGTCTTGATTGACTCCAAGGCATTGTTCTCTATTGTTGGTTCTGAAATGGACTGGTTGGATGACAAGTTGTCCTCCAGATTCATCTTCAAGAATCCAAACTCAAAGGGTACTTGCGGTTGCGGTGAATCCTTTATGGTATGAATCGTTCTTATAATACCCTCGTCATATTTGCATGCATTTATATGCCTTTAATAATTCTAGTCGCATAATAAACTTAAATATCAATAATAGTAGTCGTGGATTGAATCTTATGTATATTATTTACAGTCAGATGGCACTGCCACCTAGACTACTCAATCTTTCTGCATTCAAAGTAGGTGGCGTCAATGTCATCAGGTAAAGAGCAGAAGTACTCCAATTTTTGCATAGTCTTGAATAACTCAATTGAATTAACTCCGAGTTTCAAGCACGTCTTTCCTCCATTGGTATCACTGGTACAGATGATACTCTGTTTGATATTCTTTTCTCCATCAATGATGTAGAGGTTTTTAGGCTTGTCTCTAACAAACCCAGAAACGGTCTCCTCCAAGGAGCTGCTGGTTAAGTCGACATTTTGAATATCCAAAGGTCTCTCATGGTCTTGGGTTATTTGCTCTAATGTAGTTGAGATATCAGATTGGGTTTTATCGAACCCTTGGTTTCCAGCACCCAAACCCACTGAATGATGCGACCTCTGCTCGATCTGATTGGGGCCCAACGAATCCGATGGGGCGTTTGTAGACTTTGAGAACGGTAACCAACCCATGATGTGAAGTGCTAGTGGAGTGGAGATATATTATATTCAGTTGCCCTCAAGTTTTCAGCCAATTCACCAGGAGCATATGCAGGAGGCAAGGAACTGGCAATGTTCAGGTTTATAGATACCAGCTATAAGCATAAGTTGTGGTACTCGTTGAATCTCATAAGAGTGGTCTCGTACTGCTTGAACCCTATGTAATTCATAGGTACCTTGCTCTTGAAACCTTTTCCAGTCTTTGAGCGTTCCATAAACTCATCGTAACGAAGCAATTCTTTGTTCAACTTGCCTATCCATTCATAGTTGAAATCGTACTTGATCTCGTCCGGCTTCTGATACTCCATTTCCAAGATGGTTGATAAGATTTTCGACTCGGTGGTGTCGGTGTTAGTCCTTTGAATGTCCTCATAAAAGAGGATTTCATCATTGTCAAACTCGTCCGTTTTCTTGACAGTAGCATTGAAAATAAACACCAAGGTATTGCTGAGCCTTTTGGACATGTCGTCCTCCGTCAATTCAGATGTTGTCTCTCCCTTCAATAAGATTTCCCTTCTGGTAAAGAATGAGACGTTTCGGAAGCTTCTCCGTAGAATGTTCTGGTATTTGTTTGTGCTGATGGCATTGCCTCGTCCTACCAAGTTCCGCAACTTGTAGAAGTGTTTGTAGAACATCAATAATTGCCTCCTAAAGGATGCATGGGCCATCTCTTGTTGGATCTGGGATTGCGGAATCAATACCGATTTGCTCAAAATTGCCTGCCCATTCCGTATCGAAACTTTCGGTATGTGCACCATAGTTTGCTAGAGGAATTCTAGACGGTATTCTGAGTCCGACCTGTGCTAAGACTTGCCCTTGATTGGTGATGATCTTATCTGGTTTCGATCTCAATTTTTCGTACTCCGATTTACAGCCATTGCGCGAGCACCATGGAGAGGTTGTGTGTTCAAAAGGGTGACGACTACGCCTGCTTAGAGTATCTGTGGCTTAGCAGCGGCAAGGTTGAAGAGATGAGTTTGGTGATCCCAAGCCATGGCTTCCAAGTATGTCTAGTGAATATCATTTGCACCAAGTTCTAACAATAGGTGAACCTCAGTATTCATTTGAACGGGCGCAAAATATCGGGCACATGTTACAATTCGTTGCTAGAGAAGGTAGGCTATTGCTTTGCTAGATCACCAGTGTGGACTTCCATGGGCTATGAGCTGTCCTTATCCGTCGATAATTGCATTTGTTTGAACTTAGGCTGCCGGATATTCACGCCACTACTCGATGAGTTGATTCCAGCCACAAATGATCCCGGAACCGCACAAGTCAGAACCTTACAACGGTTCTCGATCAGCCTCCATTACTATACGGACTCCCAAGAGTTACACTTGGACGGGTTGTTGCAAGCTTTTGAATATTTGCTCCGTTCTTGGGCTGTGAATATGGAGTACAAGTTCCCGTTGATATTTTCCTACTACGGAAGACAGTTTTTCAGGCTCAACTACAACTGCATCTGCAAGACCATTGACGAATTATTCGACCCTCAAGTTGACACCAAAAACCCGAAGGCGAACGCTGACAAATACACCACTCTCATCCACTGCCTATTGAAATTGCAGCGAAACGTCATGACCGAATTCAACATACTAAACGTCTTGAAAGAGCTCGATCAGTCAAGTTCTAGGCGATGCGCAGTTAAGAATGCAGTTGATTACTCATCAGTCATTAGCATTAAAACATTCGTTTACCAGTTGACGTTTTTGAAGCAAGTCGACTCGACCTTCTGCGATCAGGGTCTTTAGCCTTTATTTGAAATTCCTTAATGACGTCGCATTACCTGTTCAAAAATATGTGGCTGGGGGAGGCTCATCCTTTTTCGTGGGGGATCTTAAGGAAGGTCCTTCCGCGTGGGGTCACGTGTAACCTAATGGGTTGGAGAAATTGTCCCAAAATTAATCCGAAGGTATAAATATTGAGTGAATTGCCACAGTCAAATCATCAACTACAAAATGTCCTCCAGAAACCTTAACTTAGCAGTCGTCGGTACCGGTATTTTTGCCACCGATGAACATTTGCCAAACATCCAAAAAATCGACAACTTGACCCCAGTTGCTGCATACAACAGAACTAGAGCAAAGGCTGAAGCTTTCGCTGAAAAGGCCAACATCGATAAGGCTAATGTCTACGATTCCTTGGAAGAAGTCTTCTCCAACGACAAGATTGACTTCGTCGATGCTTTGTTACCAGTCCAACACAACTTAGATGTGGTTAAGTTGGCTGTGCAGCACAAGAAGCCATTGGCCTTCGAAAAGCCAATTGCTGCCAACTTGTCCCAAGCTAAGGAAATTGTTCAATTAGCCAGATCTTCCGATGTGCCCATCGCCGTTTTGGAGAACTGGTCTTTCCGTAAGGCTACCAAGATCTTGAAGGAAGAAATCATTCCAAAGATCGGTGATATCATCTCCTTCACTTACAATGGCACTGGTGCTTTTGATGAAGGTAACAAATACTCCAACACCAGCTGGAGAGTGAAGCCAGAACACATTGGTGGATACTTGAGTGATGGTGGTGTCCATCAATTGGCCTTGTTGACCGATGTCTTGGGACCAGTCGAATCTATTTCCGCCTTCACCAAGCAAGTCAGAGAACAAAGTGGTGATGTTGACATCTTATTCTCTACTGTTCAATTAAAGAGCAAGGCTATTGGTACTTTCACCTACGGTTCTGCTTTCGGAGCCACTGATAAGAACTCCTTTTTCACCATTTTTGGTACCAACGGTTCTATCGTTTACAACTTTTCTCCACACTTGGCCAAGCCAACCATCACCTACCAAACTGGTTCAAGCAAGCAATCTGCTTCTGAAAAGGTTGTGATCGAAGTTGATGAAGTCAACACTACCTTCGAAGAATTCACCAACTTTGCTGCTGCTGTTGAAGCTAATGACAAGTCTTTGGTTGTTGTCACCCCAGAAAAGGCTTTCCACCATTTGGCTATCGTTGATGCTGCCCTCCAAAGTTCTAAGAACAACGGTTCTAATGTCAAGGTTGAATTGCCTTGAGTCTACGTATTAATTTTATGTTCATCGCTCTTGTTTAGTTATACAGACATGATAAGTAAACTACTTCTATAATTCGTCCATCAATAACTGTGTAGTGGTTTGAATTGCCTGGGTAACGTCAAGGTCCATGACAAATTCCTTGTCGAAATCAACTGACGAAATCATCTCGATTGATGCAGTCAACACTGTACTTGCGATTTCACTAACAGTAGAAGAGGGAGATGCTTCTGCAACTTGTGTTGTGCCAAAAATCCAGTTGAATATGCGGAATACTTTGAAGAAGGACCATAATAAGATTCTGACAGGAGTCCTCAAGACTCTTCTCCATATCACCCAGGCACAGCAAAACATGAAAAATCCTAAACTAAGGTAAATTCTATTCCGATCTGACTTGTCTTGCTTCTCAATGAATTTGACAATTTGTTTCGATTTATTGAGTAAGTCTGCAAACCTGACATAGTCTTCATTTAATTTGTGAAGATCCTTGGTCTGTTGATCGAGCGAGTCCAAGTTTAGTTCACTCTGTAAAACTGTGCTGGACATTAATTCCCTTGTTGCTTGCAATGAGGAAGTAATCTTCTTGTTGTGTGATAATATTTGTTGGTCGGTCGATGCATTTGATTCCTCTTTCTTGGAAGAGCTTCTGTCACCAAAGAGTTCGTCTCTGGCATTTTCGAGTGATTGTTTGTCCTGTCTCTTATTCAAGCCGTACTTCTCTAAAGTCCGTTTGTGTTCTGCTTCGATGTTCAAGTCATTGGCCTGTATTTGGAGGGATCGTACCTTTATTTTTAAGGATGATAATTTGGATTCATATAGCTCAAACTCTGCCAATTGGTCTCTCCCGCCTCTTTTGAGCCTATTCTTTAGTATAGTAAGATACTCCTTGTATTGAACTAGAATGTCATTCACTCTTCTGGTGATCTTGCTTTGCTCGAGCTTTACTTCATCGATCGAGCTTCCTTGGTTGACGGTAAGAAGTTCTTCTAGAAGCTCGTACACTTGCCCCTGGAGAAGGTCTAGTTTGGCGTAAGACATTGATGTTCAATTGTATGGACAGTTGTTAAGTTGGTTGGTAAATAAAATTCGTGCGAAACACCAATACAGATTATTCACTATTGATTGCAAAAGGCTGATGAGTTTGAATGAAGAAAAGCCAACAGGAACTGTGGATGTTGCCACTGGTTCGAAAGACCATGAACCAGCAACATCCAAGTCGAAAAAGTCAAAAAAGTCCAAGAAGAAATCCATGGACCCATCGAAACTTACACCAGAGTATATCGAAGAACAGAGACGATTAAGAAACCTTAGAAAGGAGGCCAAAGCACAAGAGCTCAGAGACCAAGGTATAGAGCCTGAAGGTGAAGAGAAAGAAAAGCTCTTTATAGCAAGGCTGTTAGCCCCTATACATCACGAAACGAAAGAAGTGAATGGTTTCCCAATTAAAATCATGACATATAACGTCTTAGCCCAAGCATTGATCAGAAGGAAGTTGTTTCCTACGAATGGACCAGCGCTTAAATGGGGTTATAGATCGAGGGCGTTATTGGCTGAGCTCAAACATTATGGTGCAGACATTATGTGTTTGCAAGAGTTGGATTACATCCAATACAATTCTTTCTGGAAGAAGGAATTTGAAAAGTTAGGCTACAGCTCCAAGTATTATAGATCAAACGTCAAGAACCACGGCTTGGCTATTGTTTACAGAGAAAACTTCTTTATTTGCAAACATCAAAGCTTCATCAACTACGACTCTGAAAGAACACCGGAAAACGAGCAAGTCCAATTGCCTATTCCAAGAACAATAACCCAGAATGTGGGCTTCATGTGCTACCTTGAGTTTCATCCGTCACTTCTCCAAAAGCATCCTCATTTATCTGAAAAGAATGGTTTGATTATTGGAACCACCCATTTGTTCTGGCACCCCTTCGGCACCTTTGAAAGAGCAAGACAGACTTACTTAGTCTTATACAAGTTCAAGGCATTCAGGGAAACCTTGACCAAAATCTTGGGCAATTCCAAAGGCTTCTACAACTTCTTTGCTGGTGACATGAACAGTCAACCTTTTGATAGCCCTTACTTGGCAATTACTTCCAAGCCTGTGACATTCAAGGGCAGAGCAAGTACGGTCATCTCATGTTCTTTATCTTACCAATATTCCAAAAATAGAGGGACTGTAGAAGGTGCAGATGAAGACGACGATGATGAAGACGAAGAAGGCGGAAATGTTGAGAAGTTTGGCAAGGATCAACCAAGGGACCCTGTTCCTGATCATTTTGAGCCAACTGAGGACCAACTCAAACTTGCGAAGCAAATGGAAGACGTACACAATGCCCTCGATATGAGAGCAATCTCGTTGTATTCAGTGGGATACAACAAGGTACATCCCGAGAACTCCGGATTAGATAACGATAGAAATGAGCCAAGTTTTTCCAATTGGGCACATACTTGGAGAGGATTACTAGATTATATCTTTGTGGTTTCTTCTTGGGACTTGAAGCAAGATTTCTCCGAAAGGCCAGACACTTTAGAAGAACTTGAACAGCAAAATGTCAGATTGGTAGGCTTGCTTAAATTACCTTTGCCACAGGAAATGGGTCCCGAGCCATCTGGACAGCCGCGTATTGGCCAATATCCATCTGATCACCTTTGTTTGATGGCCGAAGTAGAGTTGATATAGATTACGATAGTCCAATTCGAAATATATCATTTTATCATTTATTAACCTAAAACTCGTCACTGCAGAACTAAACCTTTATTTTTCTAACATGGTATCCACCAAATCTTCCAAGGGGCCATAATCCTTTTGACTTATCAACAGGAATTCATTTGCAAACAAAACGTAGTGCTTGAGAGAGGTATTCAAATGACTTTGCAACCCCAACTCACTGATTTCATGGAAGTGATGACAATAGATGTGGGCATATATTCTGAAGAGTCTTTTGAAAATGGTCTTGACCAAGGTTGGGAATTGCTGGGGAAATGGAGCCCCTATCTTCGCTGGAAAGATGTTGTCATTATCAAAAAATCCCTGGACCCAGTTCATTAAATTTTCGATGTATTCACAGGCAGGTAATGACACTGGTCTTTTAGGCAGTGACACTGCTCCGTTGGCTCCGTTGCTGGAGGATTCTTGCCATAAATACTCGTATTCCTCAGTAGCTATCATCCTGGGACAAGTGGTTGGAGAGCAGAATTCAGTAATTGCTCCGTAAAGCATGTTAATTTGGTTGTAAAAATCAACAACGTGGATTGCTAACCATTCGTTGATATCCTCATCTTGTGGAAGTTTCACTGCTTGGATCAACGCATTATCGGATCCCAAGGTCTGTTCAGCATAGTTCCTTATGTCTTTGTGGGTAGACACGGCTTGCCCGCCGTTTCCGTTGTTAAGATGTATCGTCTGGTATGGCTGATTCAAGTCGTTTTGTTGATATGAGGTGGTAGGAAAGGCAGAGCTCGAGACTGGTTGTGGGCTAGATATTGGCGATGTTTGCTTGAGTTTGAATCCTCGGGTAGTCCTCAAAGAGTGAGTGTTGAAGTTCTGGAAGAGCGTCATGGTGTGATGCGTTCTTGTGACGTGGAAGAGGTGCTATGGACTTGTTTGAAGATTGAAGATAGACCCGATCTAATGTCTTTTGGATTTAATTGTGTCTGCGACTGTATACTTATTACCTGATTTGGAGTGTGCGAAATGACCCAAAGTGGAGGCGAGCAACCGCAGATAAGTTTTGACACCAGCAGGCATGCTAGGCAGAAATAGCCGCAATAAATAGCTTGTAGAGATGTTGGAACTGTGAGTTGGACTACTGTATCCTTTTGGATTGGCCCCCATAACTTTTCTTCGACAAAAATTGTTTTCATTGACATAATGCCAGCAAGCCTCCTGAACCAAACGGCTGCGAATTCCTGAAATCTACATTGAGGTGCAAATGCTTCTGTCGGACAGTGTACTATCTCCAAGCACTTTCTGAGTGATCTTTTGCCCCCTTCACCATCGTCAAGCCCACCTTCCACCACGTTGGGCATTCTGGTCTTCACTATACCTCTCATGCTAGAAGCCGTGGATGTGTCAACTAGCACACAATGCTGAACTCATCGAGGAATCACCGAGAAATCTAAGTATTGACTCCAATCCCGTGATTTCCATAGTATGGTCACATTGATATTCTTGAGAACATGTGAATTTGCTTTTACATCTATGTCCGATTCTCTCGATCTCGCCGACATATGACTACAACGGGTAAAAGCCTCAGAGATTCACACTTTCAAATTTACAAATATCCACTGAAGCACACAATGGCACCTTACAATTTCAATCTGCCAGAGATTCTTGATGAACATTGCTCAATTTATCATAAGATCTCGAAAAGCCACATTTTGGCATACCTTTGAAATGGCTCGAACTGCAAACTAATGGACCAAACAAAACACTCCACCAAGGACGAGGGGGTACAATGATTTTAGTGCACATTCCCACTCAGTTGCTAAACCTAGCAGCCTGGACGCCGTCAGTTGGTTCTACTACTTGCAAAGGAACCTCCAGTACGCATGTGGTAGCGCATGCACCAGTTACCCGCACTTAGTCATCTACAAGATGTCATTGCACCAAGTACTACAACCGCCATCCAAAGAATGGAAGCTAACCCAGAACCTATAAGTACTGGACATGATGCCGAGGCCGAGAATCTGGAAGTATCTGAACAGCCTGATAGTTTGACGGTGCTTGACCTGACTTTAAATGAGCAGATTCAACCTAATGAATCTAGTGTCACCAGTGGAACAAGTAAGGATGATGGTCCAACTGAGTCTTCAACCTCCTCCGAGCTCCATGAAGCTTCAAATGACAGCAAAAATACTGAAATTGTACCTTCAGGTACGCCAGACGTGGTCAAGATAGACCCCTCGTCAATCCCCGAGGTATCCATTGAGATGAAGAAAGATGAGTCTCTGTCAGATGGAGATGTTCCAGACACTTTCTCCAAAGCTTCTCCTTCCGAAGATGAAGAGGAGTATGATCCAGAAGTTGCATTGCAAGAGTCCGTACCACATCAACCAGAAAACCCCAATCCAGAATCACCAAACGACGATAACGACGTGAATTCATCGGCCTTAAGTGACCTTGAGAACCACGAAAAACCCGAAGAACAAAACGATGAGGATGATTATGATCCAGAAATAGGTGTTCAAGCAAAGGTGACAAAGCCTGTTACTTCAATACCACCAAAACCTCCAGCCAGTACTTTACCGGCCAAACCTGTAGGATTGCCACCAAAGCCACCGGTGAACGTTAATCACACACATGTTTCCAGTACCAATACCTTACCTATTAGCCCTCCAAATCCTCAGAATAACTTGAAGGAGGCGTACGATGCAATCATGCAAAGTGAGTTGGTTAAAGATCCTAATTTCATTAATTTATCGCAACAGGAACAAATGACCTTAATTATGGAGCAATTAAAAAAGAACAACGTCCATTTAAGTGGCACAGCATCCGCAGAAAATAGTAACGCCAATTATGATCAAGTCTACTCTTACAATAAGCCTTTCAAGTCGTTGAAGAGCCCAATACCCTTGGTTCCTGTGAACGAATTCTGTCGGAGACCAAATATTACCAAACCCATGAGTACCAAAGAACAGCACGATTACGATGAGTTTGTCAAGAGGGAAGCATATTACATGGGTTTGCAAAATTGGGACGAGTTTCCTGACAAGCTGAGATTATTTATTGGAAACCTTCCAGCAAATACCATCTCGAAGCAAGACTTGTTCCGGATATTTAGTCAATATGGTGAGGTTATTCAGATTGCGATTAAAGCTGGATATGGCTTTGCCCAGTTCAGAACTGCGGAATCGTGTCTAGATTGTATCAGAGGGGAAACCAATGTTCCGTTACATAATAAGATCATGAGATTGGATGCTTCTAGACCCCAAAAGTCCAAGAGAAATCCAAGAAGTGAGCCTATAAGCATCACAACGTCTCGTGGACGTGAACGTTCTCCAGACGAAGGGCCAAACAAAAGAAGAAATATTGTTCCAGACTGTCAAATTTATACCACAGGCAAGTCCTCGATATTCTTCCTTAGAAGAGTGAAAAAAGCTTTTTCCAATCTTCGAATCAACATCAATACTGAAGACATAACTCATAGAGAGCTCAGCGACGTCATAAGTGAAGCAGCTTATTCTGGGGTTTTGGGTGTGTGCATAGTAAAGGATATGAATGTTGACGTCCAAACCTTTGAGAGTACACCTGATGGTGGTGTAAAATTTGATGAATATGCAGATGTGGAACCTGAAGTCGCTGCTGATATTATTTATAAATCCAGAGTTAAAAAGTATGGTGAAGAGACTCCAGTTTCTCAAAGCTTTGAAGAGCCCGAATTCTCCAACAATGGGGGTAGCAGGCGTGGAGTGAGAGACAGAGGAGAAAGAGACAGAAGAGGTGGCAGAAACCATAGACATACTCAATACCCTCCTAGCGGTTGGGCTGCTGGTAATCCTGGTTCAAATCGACCATATGAGCAAGTTCCATATGGTAATCCCATCCAATCCAACTACGCAAAGCCTCCTAATCCTAACTTTTCAACTCCTCAACCACCATACAGTGCATATGCTCAATCAAATTACCAGCAACCGTATCAACAACCTTACCAATCATATCCTCCAGTTCTGAACAACCAATCGGAATTAATACAGGCGATCCAAGGGTTGGATCCTAATTCTGCTCAGAATGTTTTGCATGCTTTACAAAATCAACAAAACCAACAACACCAGCAGCATCAACTACAACATCAACCACAAAACATTGCTTATGGAAGAGCGCCACAACCTTCCAACTACAACAACTTTGGACCTGGTCAACAATTTAATCACCAAGCCCCTCCTAATGCAAGCTCCCCTAATAACCAAGTAAACTCGTTATTGAGTCAACTTCAATCAGGCTCATCCTCATACCCTCCCCAAAATCAAGCAGAGCCTGGAAGTACCCAGGCCTTAATGGAAACTTTGGCTAGGTTAAGTAGAAAATAGCCTTGCCGCATCTACATAGAAGTACGTATTATCTTCGCAATAGTATGTATTAATCCACCTCATTAATCCACCTCATTAATCCACCTCATCAACAGTATTGAAATGCTGTTCTTCTTGTGCCTTTGAATCCTGAATTTCCAAATTTTCGTTGTATTGTTGTTGCAATTCTTTGAACTCAGATTCATCTTCGAAATAGCCATTAATTCCAATGACTCCACATTGATTGAACACTTCCAAAATCTTTTCTGCTTCTTCAACCTTTAATGTGGCAAATATTTTGTTAACTTCATCGATAGACTCGGTCTTCACAGCTTCTTGGAGGTCCTTAGGTAATGAAGTGGAGAAAATTTCATATTCTGGCGTTCCTTCAGCTGGTAAGTTTACTATCAATTCAGTACCTTCGTCAAGTGCTTTCAACTGGATCATTTCCTCTTCATTTTGGGATCCAACTTGTTGCTCGTTTTTGAGGTATTCGCATCTAGTCTTGATATGATTGAACGTATTTTCCACATCTTGATTAAAGCCGGCACTAGCAGGAGAACCCGAATCGCTAATCTTTGAACAGAATAATTTGATCGCCTTGATTGTTTGATCCTTGGAAGGCTTTGGTCCAGCCAATTGGGCGACGTACTGTAATAATAAAGATTGATGGATAATTTGCTTAGCACGTGTACTATTTCCTTCCAATTGAGAATCAAATGCTGTCATTATAAGAGCATCTTTCTGTGCTTCGGAGCAGATGTTAGTGTGCTTGAACAAAAATTCGGCACTATCAGTAATACTCTTGCTGGAAATCTTGGAGAACTCTTCAGTAGCTGGAAGTAAGACCAAGTCATCATACTCTTGTACAGCAGATGTACTTTGGGTAACTGGCTGTGTAGGGTTGTTGATAGTTTCTACCACAGTTTGCTTTTCGGTACCCTTCGGCTTTTCTTCGGATTTTACCTCTTCCTCCTTGTCTTTATTCAAGAACGATCTATCAAATCCAGTATGAATGTCGTCACTACTGATCAACTGGGCTTTCTGGTTCAATAAATCATCCAATTTGATGGTTTGCTTGGATAAAATGTCATCAATCTTGTTTCTGTGGTCCTTTATGAGCTTTGCCAATAATTCTCCATCGGTTTGAGCACTTTCGTGATCTTCTTTGACTTGAACAAATAAGTCTTCCACCATCTCATTGTATGGGGGGGTATTCTGAATTTCTTCTTCGTCAAATTTTAAGTCCTTCAATCCTTTTCTTAAATCATCACCTTTTTCTGCAATCAAGCGGTTATAGTCGAACTTTTCTGATTTATCAAACTGACTGTTGAGTTTAGAAAAGACAACATCATTGTCTAAAAACTGGCTGGGACTAAGATTGGCCAAGAGATAGTCAACTCTGGTATTCAATTTGGCATACATCGTCAACTGAACCAAGATTGATTTGATCTCGATGTTTCTTTGCTGACGCTTTTCATGAATATCTCTTTGTTTCCATTTGATGAAAGAGTTCTTATCGACGTTTGGATGAACCTCAATATCGGAATCGTCCGAAAGTTCAATCTTGTCCCACTTAGAGTAATCAATTGGCATTTTGATTGATATTGATTTGAAGATTGAACACACTTATTTATGGATGAGTCTCGGTTCCAGAAGATTCCGTCACGTGACATGACTTTCTATCAGTATACTACAATAGTAATCAGGAAGTACTGATGTATTAGTTCTATATACTCCCGCTTGACTTAAGCAGTACCATTTGGTCTCAAACCAGTGAAGAAAGCGAGTCCATATCCAGTGGTCTCAAAAGTAATAGTAGTACCCTTTTTAAAGTAAAAAACATCCCCTGGGGAAACAGAAACCTTGTAACCAGTTTCATCAGTGAGAGTGTACTCACCTTCGACTTCGAGGATAATCTTCATTTCTTCGTATGTGTAGGTGTAGACCAAAGGCTCCCCTTTTTCTTGCTTGTAAAAACCGCAAGAGATTTGTTCTTCTTTGGGGCCTTCGGAGGTGAAGATATCACCCAAGAAAGAGTTGTTACCTGGAGAAGGAATTTGAGGTGGCTTGACCCCCTTTCCTTCTACTGCTGGCTTGTATAACATAGGCATTTTGGAGTTTTGTTTGGGTGCAAATTGGTTTGAATTGTATCTAACACTAGAAGATGTTGAGTGAAGAGTGATTGAGGACGTATTATGGGCATTTTATACTAAAGTCGGGTTGGTTGGTATGTATTCTTTGCCTCCTTTCGACTAGAAATCCATAGCCATCTTAAAAGTTAATGGTTTAGCTTTTCCCAATTGGGATAAAGTATCCTTCGAGATAACATTTTATCTGCACCCAAGTGGATAAATTTTGCGAGCACACATAACAATCAAGGACTGCAAGGATTAACCACTTTTTGCCTACCTGTATTCTCAGAGAATATGAGAATACGATCTCTTATTGTGGTCAAACATAAGAGGAGGCAGCTTACAAGATTCAATTGCACTTTCCTGCTGATAGTTTTCGTTAGTTCACTGTACATTTTTTATTCCTTTTATCCTTTTGCGTATTAACTAAAAACCTCGCGATATCAAACAACTGCATACTAAGTTCAAGGATTGATTGTTTCTGGGCCTTGTCATCTTCTAGGGCACATAAGATACAAAAATCAAAAAGAAAGTGCGCAAACCCGGAATCGAACCGGGGGCCCAACGATGGCAACGTTGGATTTTACCACTAAACCATTTGCGCGGATTTCTTGACTTTGAAAAATATTAATGTTTGTTGTTGTGTATAAATTTTGAATTAATAAGCTCTTACTAATCAATTATTTCTGGAATGTTGGCTACAGTGTCATCGATTTCTTCGGAAATGGCGGGTATATTAAAAGATTATGCCCCAATTCAATGCAATTACCTTTAAAGGCTTCAACTTCTCGGAAATAATGAGCATTTGGATATTTTTTGTAGCATTGATAAGAATCAATTCGACAGCCCATGGAGAGATTCCCCGAAATTTGTCATTTGCCTTCTTAGCGCAAAGTCACTTAATTGGCGCCAAGCGCGCTGACTAACCCGTAGAAGTTAAATGGACTTTCCAGTCTGTCCAGCCACAGCTCCTAATGAAAAAACTTATGTCAGCATGATCTGTAAACGTGCCGCCTGTTGCGCGCACCAAGTTGCAAAAAATCATAAAACTACGAATTTGAAAGTTGATTAAATTACAAAGGTTTGACCGTAATGGTGAGTCATCCATTGCAATAGGTATTTAGTCCGTAGATTACAATGTACTTCCCATTAGCAAAGAAAAAATAAAAAACATACATGAATGAGTCATAGTGAGGAGGAAGAAGAGAGAAATTGTTGATATTTTTTGGTTTTATGCAACTGAATGGATGAGTCAGAGTGGCGACAAAGAATCCAAAGAATATAAAAAGAAGTAAGAAAGACTTGAAGAAGAATTAGAGAGGTTGAGACTAAAGCATAGGTTGTTTGTTGGGGATAGGAGTGCCTTGCTGGTGATTTGAAGAAGTATGGGATTAGAAGAGCGGGAGGTCCAGTGGAGCAGTCTCTCTGGTTGAGGATCGGAAGTCAAGTTGACACCTTGACGAATCTGGAGGAGAAGTTGCTTGGGGTATGAAATCGTTGAAGTGTCGTTCATCCTACGAACAAGAACTTGGCTGATCTACTTAGAACAATAGCATGGCACTCATGCAAGTTTAAGCTACGGAAGTTACATAACGTGGGCACGTCGGCACCCGTTAAAAAAAAAAACTAGGGTCAATCCGTAAATCCGGGCTCTTTAACATCTAGAAACTTTGACAAATCGCGCACCGTTCATGATTGTGTCTTCTTAATAGCTTAATAGATTGTTTCTTTGTAATATTTTAATAGATATCTCAACCTTTTGATTTGTAATTGTGCTTTCGTCGCGATAAACGAAATCTTCGTATCCCGTTTCAATTCGGTTACATTACTTCCCTTCCTAAAACAGCTCTAATTTTTAGCATTGGTCTATTGCTCTCTCGAATCCAATACGGGCAAACACTCCCGCAACTGATCCAATTACCTCGAACCCTGAAAACTCGATCAACAATAAACAAATGTCCCTGTTCTCATAATAAGTGCTAATGATGAGCCATCGTCTGGAAGTATGTAATTACTAATAGAACTAGTAAGTGACATGACCAGCCCCAAACTTAATGTGCCTATCGCCATATAATGATATGAGTGGGCCATCTTTTGGGAATATGTAGTTCCGTACAGATCTAAGATGATTATCGTTACTACTCACACCTTTCTCTTGTGCAATAGATATAATTCTCCATAAGCACTTGCAGTTTCATCTAGCACGATGATCGCAATTGCAATGACTAAACCGCACTACTGTTCTGTGCCTCCAATTTATACTTGATTCTGATACCTTATCCTCGTTTATTACTGTATTAGAGACCTCACTAGGAGCATTTGTTGTATTTTGGTATGTTTTCGTACTGAACTTCTCAGCTTTATATATTTTCCATATTCAGTTGACTTGTCACTCTTTCTCGCTTGACTGACTTGGATTGGTATCACTGTCATGCTTAAGCTGGTGTCATTCTCTTATCTCGCTCTCACTCCGTTACATTATCAATAGATCAAGTCTGTGTTACATAAATCCTTGTTCGTAGTCATTTACGATTAAGTATCAACTGTCAAATACTCTCTAGCAGTAGCTTATTTTTATCATTGGCAACTACCAAGCTTTGATTAAATTTTTGTCTTTTATTAAACATATGAACTGTTTTCTTTGGAGGAAAAAACCCCTGACTAAACTAACCTGAAACTACTTACATGAACTCTGCTTACTAGAGAAATGCTTTTCTCGTTTCATTGCCAGATAGTTTAACTCCGTATTTAACTCATAATATGTTCGACTCCTATGCCCTTTCTTTTTGTTTTGCTAATAGGAAGTATATTTTCCAGATGACCCCCAAAGTTCTGGGTACCTGCTCAGAGCTAACTGGGCTGTATACCTATTGCAACTGAAAGCACGTCATTTATAATATAATTGCTATCTTATTGTCAAAATTCTGGGTTTTTTAATACTCCTATTCTTTGATAATTTTTCAACTTGGAGAGCGGTATTCGTCACTCCAGTTTAGAAACCATATTTGTAGAAACTATGGATCCATATCACTGGCTGTACAAAGATAATACTCTTTGTTTGCTTAACTTCCAGAGGGACTAGTCAATTTTATGATAGATGTATCGTTTATGGTGTTCTCTAGGGCAGCGCTAGCCGTCGTAAAATGGAAAGTTCTTTTTTATACTATGTATTTGATTTTACTCTATTCAATTAAGAGAGTGCATTAAACTATACTCTTGATACATTCTTATAGATTTAATAGCTAAATCTAATAAATTTGTTTGGATATGTATGGAAAAGGAAAATCCTGCTAGTAGCCAAAACTCGTTCCAACCAACTATCACGTGATAATCACGGTTTTGAAGGTACTTTTGCTGAGTAATAACAAAACGCTTTCTCAACAAAAAAATGGTTCTATGGTCTAGCGGTATGACGTCTCTCTCACCCAGAGAAGGTCTCGAGTTCGATCCTCGATGGAATCATTTGATTTCCTTTTTGCATAAAGGTTTATATATCCTGCGATACATGGTATTGAATACTTGATGTTAAACTAGCAGAAGAATACAGTCTACTCCTATTTGCTTAGCAAAATACACTTTGAATACCTCAGATCCAACTGCTCTAATTCTAAACAAAACTCGATATCAACAAATCAAATTGCAAAAACATGACCATTCTACCCTATTAGCCAGTTAGAATTATTCCCTCGTATTGTGAACAAAAATGGACAGATATTTTCCGATCTTCCATTTCCCTTAAATTCTGCAAAAACTATTAAAAATTTCAACAGTTTAGAGTGATCTTATCATCCGAGTTATTCAGACGGATGCGCTTAAGCAAAAAAGACCCAGCATACCCTAAATAGACTCAATAGGTAGCACTGTATTTGAAAATTCTTCAGCGACTGCTGGATTGATGTTTCTTGTGTGGTGGTAGTGGTCGCGAGGAATTGAAAGTTACGCAAACTGAACGTGATCTGAGCGCGATCAGATTCAAAATGTTTGCAGCCACTACATGCTGACAATAGAGACAGACCATTTTGACTACAATGAGCTCACCAAAGTATATCTTGGTGGGTTACATCTCTCCAGGTTAGATCAGTTTTTAAATACATCTCAAACGGGCTTCGCTCACTCGTCTTCAGGAACTGAAGTTACAACCTTGCTAAAAGGGTTATTTACAGCGGTGTCCATCTGTATGCTCCAATTACTATTCTTCTGCCTCTTACGTCCTACCATCAAGAACATATACCAGCCTCGATGTTACTATGTTCCTGTACGAGAAAGAATGGAGCCATTACCAGACGGGTTGTTTGCATGGGTAATGCCCACAATAAAGTACAACACAAGCTATTATCTAAGCATGGGACTGGATACCTACTTCTTTATCAGGTTTGTGAGTGTACTTTTACTTTTTTTCATGGTTGTGGGTAACCTAAACTTGCTAGTTCTTGTGCCAGTAAATTGGACAGGAAGCAGTCTGCAATACTCGGCCACAGGGATGGACAAGCTTAGTGTTTCCAACATCGCTGCCTCAAAAGTTCATAGACTTAATTTTCATTTTGTGATGTGCTTATTTACTGTTGCAATGTTCCAGTGGTTAATTGTCTATGAGCTAAACAGTTTCGTGAAAATACGACATTCATACTTGTCTAGCATAACCCACCAAGCATCAATTATTGCTAGAACACTACTCATTTCAAATATTCCAGATGATTTAAAAGATTCTGACAAGCTAATTGATTTATTCAGTGTGGTCCCTGGTGGGGTGAATACCATATGGTTATCGTACGACTCCACTCATATGAGTTTTTTGACTGCTCAAGCTATGAATGCTATGGATTACTTGGAAAAGGCTCAGGTGCTATACCTAAAAGAATATTATGCAAAAAAAGATTCAAAATATACTCCTTGGTTGCAAAAAATACTCTTGAAAAACAGAAAACATAGTGATCAAATGCCTAAAGACCATTGTAAGTATGAACCAAGCTTGATCCCTCAGTTTTACCCTCCAATATACCAAGGTCCCTTTCACATGCCAGTAATTGATAGAACCATTTGGTTTAGCCTTCCCGGAATCCTACGAATATTTAGTTTTCAGTCAAGGGTATCCATGATTGAATGGGCATTAACAACTTTAAACTACCTAGAGAAGGAAATAGAGCAAGAAAAAACTAGATTGGCTGAGTCTAAATTGCCAATTCACAACAAATTCTTTATTGAGTTCAATGACCAAATTGGAGCTTCCATTGCTAGTCAATGTCTACTTTCATATCAGGGAACGCTTGATCTGTGCTTAACTGAGGTTCATCCCAAGGACGTTTTGTGGGGTAATATTGCAAGTAGGAATTCGTACCTCTTGCTTATTGAGAACTATGTTGTCACTCTTTTTCTCATTATTATTACAGTTCTTTACATAATACCCGTTTCATTCATCGGATTACTATCTCAGATGCCGTTAATCACACAATTACTACCTTTCTTTAAGTGGCTAGAAAACATTCCAGATAAAGCAAGAGATACAATATCCCACCTTTTACCTTCAATTCTTCTTTCCTTACTAACAGAGATAATGATGAAAGTTTTCAGAACTCTTTCAGCTCTTAAGGGAATGCAAACGGGTGCAAGTACGGAAGCAAATCTTCAACATTGGTATTTTGCATTTCTATTCGTGCAACAATTTATAGTTATTACTATTCTGGCAAGCATCTCCGTGATAGTCAAGCAAGTCGTCGATAAGCCAACTTCGATACCCATTCTTTTAGCTTTGAATTTACCAAAAGCTGCAACCTTCTTTTTCCAATACCTTACAGTGAAAGCGTTAACATTTTGTGGTAATAATTTCTTGAGAATCCACCAATTAGTTTTTCATCTCACAATTTACAAGTTTCTTGACAGTACTCCTAGGAGAAAATTCGCAAGGCTAACTCATTTGACGAGGGTAAAATGGGGAACTACATATCCAGTTTATTCTGTGTATTCAAGTATTGGTTTAGTGTATACAATTATTTCCCCATTAATATCGGTGTTTATAATTTTTGTTCTTTGTTTGGTTTTGGTTTACTACAAGTATTCCCTAAAATTCATTTACAGCCATGTTAATGAATCTGAGACAAATGGAAAGTTGTACCCAGTTGCATTGTTACATCTTTATACAGGTATTTATTGCTTGGAATGTTGCATGATTGGAATTTTATTTTTACTGAAGAATGAGCGAGGAGAATGCCCTCTGATAGTTCAAGGGTATCTCATGTGCATTACGTTTTTGTCAACTGTGTTTTTTCATTACACACTTTATAAAAAGTATTCCAGGTATTTTTCCTATTTGCCAATAATTGCCGACAAGCCAGAAAACCTTTCAAAAAAACAAGGTCCGGACTTTAGCGAGAACTCAAATGGAGATAGTTACTACTCGGATAAAAAGTTATTATACCTCCATAACTCATTCACTTATGAGTACCCTCCTCTATGGCTACCTTTGGACCCACTGGGAATCAGTGAAATGCAGATTGATTATGCCGAGTCTAAGGTAAATACTCTAAGAGGTGGCCAAACAAAAGGGGCAATTATCAAATTAGATAATTATTTCCAAACGATTCAAATTAAGGTCTCCGAAGCCCCTCCAGGATACAAATAATCACTTAACCAACTTCACCATATTCTGAATCGAGTCTAGACTTAATTCTGAGTTTACTAAGTATATGAAACCATCCTGAAATGGCTTCCTCTTTCCTGAGATTGTCATCTCGGATCTTGCCATATAACCAAATCTTTTTCACAACATCCAATTGTGAATTTAGAACAATCACCCCCTGTTTAATTGGGATAATAGCTTTTGGCATTGAGCCAAAGTTAAAGCCAACAACCACAGGAACATATTCAACTGAGTCCATGAACGGGGTTTTGAGTTTACCCGATTTATAGTCCTGAAGAATATGCTCAATGCTCGATAGTTTCAACCATGAACACCCATCGGGAACCATTGCTTCGCGGTAAACTTCAAGATTTCCATATTTATTTCGAGGGAGTACTTCTGTAGTTCCCACCAACGTAATCCGAGGTTTAATATATGGGCAAGTTTGTGCAAATGTGAAAAGCTTGGTTTCATTAAGCTCTGGAGTTCCATTTGCAATGTTCAAGTTGTGTACACGCTGATTGTGCACAGATCTTCTAAAAGTTACCGTTGTACTTTTCATAGGGGTGGCAATTTCCTGGGGTTTAACAGATCTGCCAAGGAACTTCCACTGCGTTTCTGATTTTCCCACTTGAAGACAATTCTTGAAATGTACTCCAATCTTCTTACCATCAAGTACTATTTGCTTTATAGGAACTTCCCGGGGAGGTATCAATTCGTTGTATCTTAAATTTAACTCTGTAACAATATTTGGGTTTCGTTTCATTGCGGACAACGTATCTGGAATTGTATAGTTCGTTAAAGCAATTTCTCTTAAGCAATTCAATTCTTTATTAGCATCAGGTGAATAATCTAAATTTTTATTAAACCATCGCAATAGTGATTGAAGAAGAAGTGCACAGCGACCCAAATCCGTTCTCAAGTCAAGTTTATTGAACCATCTGTAAGATACATCCGACATATATCTGGAGCTCACGTCCAACATTAAATTATCACTACCCAAGGCTAGAACATATTGCATCCACATTTGGTTGAGCTCATTAGCAACCGGATAAAAAATGGGTGTGAAGTATTGCAACAAATTGGGTTTACCAAACCTTTTCAAACGAGTCAACCATTTCGATTCATCATGGAAGCAAATTCCTTCCAACACAATCAATTCCCCAGGGTCCAAGGGATTAACTACCTCACTCCAGTAGTATGGATATAGGAGATCAAAGTCCTTGTTAATTTCGAGCTTTTTATGATCTATTTTTGGCTGTGGTTTCAATTTTGTTGAAATAGGTAACACTGGTAAGGAAAAGATCATTCGACTCTCAAATCCAAGAGATCTCAACAAGGCAGTAAATAACTGAGCACCAGTATCTCTGTTATGTTTAAATCTCAGTATGACTTTTAAGATATCATGCCTATTCTGAATGGAAGTGGCGGCCTTAGGGTAGAATAATTCAGGCGTTTTTATTCCAATTGGAGGCAAGTAACCCAATACCCTGATTCCATTAGAATCAAATTTAAAATTAATTCTAAACCATTTTATGAGATATTTCAAGACATAGATGAAAAGTACATCTGCTTCCTGGGGATTCGGAAAGTTTGCAGCTTTCATATTCCTAAACTTCTTATAGGGTCCTTTTATGAATGATTCAGGTAAAAGTTTCTTCAATGACCGAAGCACCTTTTTATCAGAAAGCAATACATTTCTCTTTTTGAAATGGGTCATGTATGCCACTAGACCAAGGTGGTGAATACTGGTCTTTACTTGCTTTTCACGGATTCTCGCCTTTCTCTTTTCCTTATCAACATTAGTATGCTTTGCAATTGTAATATTGAATGATTCCTCGCTTGGGTCTCGAGTTGTTTCTTCAAGAGGATTAACTGGTGTTTGCAATGGGATCTCATCCCACTCATCTGAGTCTGAACCTGAATCTGAGGGCTGGAACTCATTTTCCACTTTGACCTTTCTTTTCTTGATACCCCTACCAAAGGCATCTATATCTGAGTCCAGATCCGAGTCATTGAATATGAACAAGTTTGGCTCTTCCCTGGCCATAGCATGCTGGTACCTTACATTGTTGAAATCGGGAGTGATGTCTAGTCACACGATCACACATCACGTGATATATACATTATTCATCAATACACATTAAGCTATTCATCATGAAGAACGTGGGATATGCCTACCCACTCATTGAGCAATGACCACTGGTTATCCAGCTCCGCCAAGCTGTCGTGGCCAAATATGTTAAGCTGATTGAATTGGGCCACGGACGTATAGGTCTTTATGGTCTTGACTTCTCCTTCTTCGTCGTGGGCCAAAGACTCGCTTGCATTGACAATATACCCGGTGTTTTCACCTAGATGGGATTCTTGTCCTACTAATCTTGAACCTCTGAAGTATGCCACATCCACTGTTTTGTCTCCAAGCTGTTCAGTGCAGCGGGATGCGGTGAAGTATTCATTTGCTTTGGCAGGCCCACTGTACTGAATGTGTAAGGGAAGCACATTGGCCACCACCTTAGGCACGTCCTCGAGTGCTTGTATTGAGTCAGACATCGTTGTTTCGAGTGATGGTTAAAACCGTTGGAGACGTGTATTTCAAACGCGCACTACTCATTGCGAATCTAATCTAGGCATACTGAAGGGCGGAATCCGGCAGAAGTCCCACCACTCAAATCTCCAAAGTTGGGCCTACGGATCCTACTTAATTACTATTGTTTGGTGTATAATAAAGTGCAGACGCATATTGTAATCCCTGTAATTAGTGATGGAAATAGGCCAATTGGAGGCAAACCGAGTCCCAATAGTAATACTAGATTGTAGATCCATAGATAGGTTTGTTTCAAGTCAAGAAAGCTAGTTGGTTAGCCAGTGAAATGGCATTGCCTCAAAGTTGCTTGTATGAGCCGGATATATCTAGGCAGTGTGAGCAAGAACGGTCCCTTGTTTCCGCGATTTCGTTATCTTGGTGTGTTCTGCTCAAGATTGTTGCGACCAGATTGTGGCTCTAACCCATTTATCGCGAATTTCCAGGGTCCGTTTGAAGACAACCATGAGTACGGAAACCAATTCCGTGGCAGCTGACGGAAAGCACCGCCTACACCCCAGTGTGATCGAGGATTCCAGCGCTGGAGAGGCTGGTGTGATTGCAAGCGAGCTCATGGCTGAAGAAGCGAGCTTACTAGAGGCCCAGGCGGCCTCCAATCCCACAAAGTCCTACGGTGCTACTGAGATAAATAACCAGCAAACCGACGACAATGGTGGGTACGCCTTACCAAAGGGCAAGTTGTATCTTTTGATTTCGTGTGTGTACATGGCGGTGTTCATGTCTGCTTTGGACGGCACCGTGGTGGCCTCCCTCTTGACGGTGATTGCTTCAGAATTGAACCAGGTGGGAAACATATCCTGGATAGCTACCTCCTACTTGGTCTCATCGGCTGCGTTCCAACCGCTTTTTGGCAAGTTGTCCGACATCTTCGGCAGGAGAACCATCTTGATAGTTTGTGGTGCCTTCTTCACAGTTGGATGTTTGATATGCGCTACGGAATCGTTCACCCTTTTGATTCTAGGAAGATTTATCGCCGGATGTGGTGGCTCTGGGTTTACCTCGCTCGGAACGATTGTCATGTCCGATCTCATCCCACTTCGTGACAGAGGTGTGTTCCAAGGAATGGGTAATATCTGCTTTGGGTTGGGTTATGCGTCGGGAGGGTTCATTGGGGGCCTAGTTGCTGATTGGCTTGGGTGGAGATGGGTCTTTATCTTACAAGTTCCCTTGATTTTGGTTGTCACTGCCGTGATTTACTTCTTCTTACACTTGCCTGAAGGCTCGCCTGGATTGGGAGTCCAAGGCGAAGATGTGCACCAGAAATTGAAGAGAGTAGACTTCTTGGGGGCATCTCTATTGGTTGCAGGGTTGATTTCATTTATGATAGCTGCCAGCTTGGGTGGAAGAATTATTCCTTTTACTTCGTTCACATTTATTGGATTATTGTTGCTTTCTGTTGCCTTTATTGCAGTCTACACTTATGTGGAGTTGTACGTTTCGGAAGAACCAATCCTTCCTCTCGAGGTCTTGGGTGTTAGAACGGTTTTGGCTTCTTCTTTTGCAAATTGGTTCTTTACCATGGGTGCCTTGGCCTATACATTCTACGTGCCCGTGTTTTTATCATCCGTGATTGGATTGTCTCCTACCCAAACTGGTCTTAGATTGGTTCCAAATTTTATCGGTGTTTCAGGAGGCTCGCTTGCAGCCGGAATTTACATGAAGAAAACTGGCCGTTACTGGCCGATTTCCGCCGTCTTAGGAGGTGTTGCCGTACTTGGATCCTTGAAATTGTTGACCTTTTCCCCCAATAGTTCTGTGTTCACCCAGTACACTATCACCGTTCTTCCAGGTATTGGTTATTCGTGTATGTTGACAACCAGCTTGTTAGCATTGATTGCTTCTGTTCCAATGAAGTACCAAGCCTGTACCACATCCATTCAGTATACTTTCAGATCTACCGGCTCCACTATTGGGGTTACTGTCGCGTCAGCAATATTCCAGCACATTCTCCAGATAAAATTAAACACAAAAATCCACAAGTTGGTATCAGACAAAAAGCTAGCTGCAAAGATAATTTCCAGGGCGTTGGCCAGCTCGCTGTATGCCCAAGAAGCTCCAGAATATGTCCGTGACGCGATTAGAGACTCTTATCAAGCAGGCTGTAGGGGAGCATTCGTGTTGAGTGTTGCTACAATTACTGCTGGCTATATTTGTCTGTTATTCATGAAAGAGTATAAGTTGCATACCAGTATTAACAGAGATTAAGATCCTCGTTACCGATATACATTATAATTTAAGAATTTTGCAGATGTTCGTCATCGTCTTCGTAGTTTTTGATCCGGTACAGATGACGTGCTCGGGACAACACCGCAAGTCTATGAAGTGGTTCGGTTCTTTCCAGGTGAATTCCCTCATCTATTGTGTATAGATTATTGGAGTGATTTGTGTTTACCAATGGGGCGACTTCACTTTCAGAATTAGCGTTGAGATTGAAGTTGGAGATTTCAGGGTGCTGAGGCTTCACCTTATTGAGAAGTTTAGGAGATAGTTTCGAGAGTATGTCTGAGCCACTGGCTCCAATTTGAAAGGACTGCTCGAACCTTGGAGAACCGGACTTTGCGAAAGGCGAGTTTCTGTAACTCCCAGAACCTGGTTCGAGTAATGGCGATAAGACTGGCGATAAGACTTCATCCCCCTTTATTGCCTCTTCTAATGCTTCCTCGATAACCTCACCGATCAATTCATTTTCCGAACTTATGTTCACGTTAATCAAGACCACCGCAAGTAAAATACCCATAATACCCAAGTAATAAACAAAATTCTTTGAAGAGTTTGGATTTTCCACATCTTCCAAAAGTAAAATCACAAAATCCACACAAATAGTGATCGGAATCGCAGACGTCAATGATAAAGAGGCAACCAATGGACTCGTTAAAAGCATAGCCATCACAATTGAGTAGTCTGAAACCACAGAGAATACACCATTTGCAAGTACCAGAATCAAAATGTTAGTGGATGGTGGAGGAAATTCGAATTTCTCGATACCCAACTGATCTGCAATGAATAACACAGGTACGCCAAGCAACATGGTAAGGAGACCGACCACCCCAAAGAGCTGGCGCTCGTTAGTGGTCTTTTTGCCCATTCCACAATTGACTTTCATGATAAGCATGTACGAAGAGTACATGAGCGCACCACACATCGCCAAAGAATTACCTAGCATCGGGTTCTTTGGCAAGTACTTCAGCCCCGAGTCGGGTTCGTTGGCCGATTCACTCATATTAACTAGAAACACTCCGATTGTACTGATAGTAACACAAACCACTTTCTTGAAGGACAATTTGTCAGTCTTTACGAGAACACCAATAATCAAGGTAAATATCGAAGTTGTACTGCTGAACACTGTTTGGTTCGCTGCAGATGTATACTGGAGACTCTCCATCACAAAAAAATTATAGAGAAAGTAACCAACTGATACCTGGAGAGCAAGTATGACAATTTCTGATCTGGTTAACTCCTCAGGCCCATCCTCAGTATCTTCGTAACTCTTGGCTATATCCTGTGCAGCGGTGTCTGAGACTCCAAAGAATTTCCGTTTTACAAGATCCAAACCGAATCTGTAGACATCGGGAATGAAGTATAGCGAGAAACAGGAACCAATATATACTGATATCAAGATCGGTTTATTGTATTCGTCGCCTTTCATCACCGAGTTGACCAATTCGAGGCCAACAACCCAGGTTGTGATTGCGATGAAGATGAAACATACTCCTAGCTTGTAGTTTTGGAGCTCGTTCCGATTGATGATCTCAAGGACTTCTATGGGATCTGAAGCCACTTGAACATGCTGATGTGACCCCAAGGGCTCGTACAAACCCAGAGTCTGTTGTTGTTCAGGACTCTTCATAAGAAAAGAAGGTAAGGAGTATGATTTTGATGGAAAGATAAGGCAATTTCGCAGACCTCATTGTGGAGAAGTATTGGCGATGTTCCTGTTTGCGCAAAAATTACCCAACGCATCTGGGCTCCGTTGACATATCCGGAAATTACTGCCGACAGCATCTTCTAGTCATTTATTATTCCATACATAATAGCAGCACCAGGCGACTCAGGTCGCTTAGTGACAGAATTCCACTCTGGCGCTGTCAAATTGGCGCGTTTACAGTCCTGTTTCCCAATCGGGATGCTAGCGGAATCAGCGCGGGTACCTGCTTTAGGTATCAATTGCGCAGGTTCATAGTGGGATGTTACCACCAATGCTATTTGTAAGTTGCAGCCAACCTCTTATCCAAGTGCTGCTTCGCAGTTATGGCAACTGTATCCTTGTTCGCTCCTCTACCCTTAATATCCTTGGTCAATGGGCTGGGGAATGGAGTCAACAAGGCGTCATCGTTAGGATGGCTAAAAAACACAATCGACAATCGATCTTGACCAGTTTCCTGGACTGCTTTGGGAAACTTGACACGGTGGATTGTAGATCTGAGCAACCCAGCTGACCAGTAGCTGAGCTGGTCACCAATATTCACCACAATGGGTGGCGCCTTTCCGGGGTATTTGGCTGTGTTGGGCGACACGTATGGTACGGCTTCCCAGCCCTTTGAGACAGGCGAGTATATTTCCAAGCCCTCTTGGTGTTCTTTTTGGAACAAGAGGGTCATCGAACCGTAGTCTGTGTGTGCACCAGCCCTTATGACGGCCTCTGGATTCAAGCTCTTTTGGCCTGGATAGTGGAGAAGACGGAACGTAGAGCCAGAAGCCTTGGAAGGGTCGTATTTGGATGCGAACCACTCCGAGCCTTTGGTTTCGTTGGTGTCTTCTATCTTCAAGCCGATAGCGAGGATTCTCAAGATTTTGATCGATAATTGATACATCTTCTTGATGGTCGAAACCACCAACTCGTGACGCTCAGGCACATCCTTGAACCATTGGGGAATGTCCTCCTCAGTCAAACCAGTGAGGAAATCAAGTCCCGAGAAGTTGAGGCCCTCCTTGGGATCGCCCAGCTTTTGAGTGGTGGGATCCAAGTTTTCGCCACCGTAGTCCACATATCCGTGATTGGAGTTGCTTCTTGAGTATTGCTGCTTGTATTCCGAGGGAAGTTCGAAGAATTGTCTCGATAACTCGAAGAGATGATCTACCTCGCTCTGCTCGAAGTCGTGGCCTTCCACGAACAAGAAACCCTGGCTAGTGGCAGCGTTCAAGAGCTCTTCTGCGGTGGCAGCATCCACCAGGCTGATATCAACGATTTGTAAGGGGTTACTCATCGGTATGCTGCTTCTATCTATGGTATCGGAGATGGCGAAATCTACAATTATATTGATAACGCGCATCTGTGCGCATCTCGACTCCAGACGTATTTTGCGACTCCGATCAATTTATCAATTATTCGTTGCAATAGTGAGTGCCTGAGTGCCAGTCCCACTATAGTGGTGTGGAACCTGCAATGATCCTGGAGTCCACAGCGATATGGGTGTAAGTATAGCCGTTTTATATCTCAGTTGGGGCAGGGTTGTTGCTTGAAGTAATTTATACTCATCCACTATGTCTTATCAGGCCATTTTGAAGGATGCGAAGATTTGTGTATAAATACATTAATCACGATGAAGGCAGGTTGCATCCATTTGGAGACACAAGAAACCCCAAAATAGCAAGCAGAGTTCATAAAGATGATTTTGAACCATAGGACTGAAATTGCCTGTAGGAACCAAAGTGAATACTACGAAAGCTCAAAGTCAACCTGGTGGGGTATATTAGTCTAATTACATTAATTTTCTACTGTTCTGAAAGCAACTTCCTCCGGTAACTGGAAGGAGACACAGAACATAGGCTTGGTAGGCGCAACCCTACGAACCAAATGGAATTGGGCATCTTTGATATTCAATTCGTACCCAATCAACTTATTAATCTTTTCAAGGACTCTGGCGTGGAGATCTTCCAATGAAGGCTCTGGTTGTTCTTGTGGGGAGTACTTCTCAAAACAATGAACATGGATGGTAGGCAACACGAAATCGGGGGATTCCTTGACAACCTTGGCCACTTCAGGATCACGGGAATAAAGACCCACGAACTCATCCAAAAAGGTCAATGCAGAATCAGGCAAGTTCATGGCATAGTTATTGAAGAATTTGGGTATGCTTACCTTTGTAGTTTTTTCATCCTTCACCACAATCTTTTCGTTCGTGGTAGGGTCTATCTTTCTTCTTTTGGTCACCTTGGTTTGTTCAATTACCTTTGCGCTATTCGACCAGTCAAGCAATAGTCTGGGGGACTGTCTAATGAAATCTCTGCCATCCAAGTTGAATGGTTTCACGAATTCGCTGACATGGTTTATTTTGATGTTCTCCTGTAAGTATTTGTAAGACTCTGGGTTGAGGTCGTTGGCTAACACCAAAACGTTCTTTTTGCCCGCAGGTACAGCAAAAGGACCGACACCAGCAAACACATCACCCACTACTTCTTGAGGCTTGAAATGGTTGATCAATCTTTCATGCTCGGTGCTCAATCTGGAGTTCCAGTATACCTTGCTGAAATCAAACCTGAACTTGCATCCACTTTCACTCTGCTCCACGAGAAAATCGTCCTTGCCGGCCAAAATGTTCATCTTGAAGGTTCTGAACTTGTTTCCGATCGAGTCGACCTTGTCAACCACTGTCTCAATCTTGGTGTTCTTGTCCAAAATAACCTGTCCTATCAAAGGACCGTATGGCTTGAACTCCTCTCTCAAGTTCAAGTGAGCCACATGACCAGCCTGGGCAAACCCTCCAGGGATCTCTTCCAAGAGATCCTCTGGCAAAACCGATCTCAAGATGTCGTCTGTTTTCCAGAACGAATAGTCGAGCTTCATGGTGTAGGGCTTGATTTCCACCTTGTACTCGTCGATCCTCTGCACAGCTTCAGGGGAAAGCTTATCCTTGTAGGTGGCCAAGTCGTCGATGTCTTCTCTCAACAATACGCCCCTGACGTTGTCGACGGTGACGATGTGTTTTATGGCCGGTTTGTACAAGATGTCGTCCTTGCACTGCTTGACAAATTGGCCAAGGTATTTGGGCTCGGGGAAACACGCCACCAAGAGCGGAACGTCCTTCTGGAAGAACGCCTTGTTGAGGACCTTCATGGACCTGTCGACTGGGGGACCAAACTTGTTCATCATCGAGTCTCGGCGAAGGGTTCTGCTGGTTCTATAGTACCTGAGCCAGCGATACATACCGTTGAGATGAGTCCTGCACCAAATTTTTGAGAAGACCGCAGAGCCAAAAAGCAGAACTCACTGCCAGTATAGAGACCACTACCCGTCAGAGCCACCATGAACGTATCGGACGTGATAAGCATAACCAGACCCACTCCCGCCACTATAGACTCGGACGTGGACATGTCGGACGACGAGTCCACCCAGGTCAAGCTGTCGATAGTGACGCCAGGTGAGATGGTGACAGATGATCCTGTTTGGATGAAGGGCCATGGTACCTACTTTCTTGAAGACAAGACGTACTCGTCGGTGGCAGGAAACATCTCCAGAGTCAACCGTTTGTTGAGTGTGATACCGCTCAAAGGAAGGTACCAGCCTGAGACTGGTGACCACATCATTGGCAGAATTACCGAGGTGGGCAACAAGAGATGGAAGGTCGACATCGGATGCAAGCAAGACGCCATTTTGATGTTGGGATCGGTCAACTTGCCAGGAGGTGTGTTGAGAAGAAAGTCGGAAAGCGACGAATTGCAGATGAGAAACTTTTTGAAGGAAGGCGACTTGTTGAACGCCGAAGTACAGACCATTTTCAACAACGGAATAGCCTCGTTGCACACCAGATCATTGAAGTACGGAAAGTTGAGGAACGGTATTTTCTTGAGAGTCCCTTCCAACTTGATTGTCAAATCCAAGAACCACTCCTATGACTTGCCGGGGAACGTAAGTGTGATCTTGGGTATAAACGGGTACATCTGGTTGTCCAAGACCACCAACAGCTCGCACAACAAGAACATGACCGTGAACTCCAACGCAAACAAGATAAATGCCTCTGGTGATCCGTCATACGTGCCTGGGGCTGGATCTGTGGCCATCACCAGATTGGAGGAAGAAAGTTCCTGGGAAATTTACTCCGATAAAAATGATCCAAATATCACCAATTCGGTCAGATCTAACATCACCCGTTACAACAATGTGATCAAGGCGTTGGCCTACGGAGACTTGGGTATAACTGAACAAAGAATCATAATGGGGTACGAAGCTTCGATGGCATTTTCTAATGTTGGCAGTATGATCGACAAGGACGCTATGGAAAGCATTTGTCAAGATGTCATCAATAACGAGAAAATGAGAGGGTAATCGCGCCCCTATAACTGCATTTTTGAAAACTTATAACATAACACCCATGTAGGTCATTCCTCATAGGTATCCAGGTAGAGCTCTACACTCAGGAATCGCACTGGACAGTGAAATGCCCCGTTAATATACAATAAATAGAATACATTCCTATACAAAGTCTTACGAATATATTAAAGGAAATGAAGATTTGAATTAGAGTATCAACTAGTAGGTAGGATCACTAGCATAAGTACTGACTGTTAAAGGTGTACTGATGGATCACTAGCGTGGCTAGCTCACATGCATAATTTGAATGAAATCAAACTGATTTTCATGCTTATAAAATCTTTCTCTTTTGCAAGTAGCACCTGAAATAAATTAATTGGAGAATACCTATGGCGGCTATGCAAACGAGAACTGTTATGGATACTCGTGTGTAACGGGAAAAGATTGCTTCGTTGGCATCTCTGTGGTGTGATTCTTGATCCACCAAGGCTTTCAAGGTGAGCTCGGAGTTTTCGAGGTTCTTGATGACATTATTCAATTCGGATTTTAAGAAGTCCATCTTGGAATCGAAATCTTCTTCGGTGAATTGGGGTTCTGCGCTTGGATCATCGCTTTTGTCTTCCGATGCCTTGAGTGAGGAGAAGTAGTGGGCAAAGGAGTTGTAGTTGGTGTCTTTCAATGTGTTTAAGGTTTTGATGGTGACGTCCAATTCCACATCGCGGGACTGTGGCTTGAAAGACCACGATTTGTCCATGTATATGTTGTCGAAACAGACGTAGATCAAGGACTTGCCGTTATTGGAGTTCAAAAGCTCGTTGGCCTTCTCCCTTTCGTGCTCCAGGACGGCTGGGGCTGCCTTGTGGCCGAGATGGAAGAGACCCGAGCGCTTGAACAGCTCCAACATGGACGGATCGTGGCCGCCAGGGCTGGGGTTGCGGCTGTTGAGGTTGGCAAAGATGAACGACACCTCGAAATCAAGGTCGTCCTGCCGTCTGAACGTGTTGTCCTCGTCGTCGAACACGAAGAGGTTCAACGATTGTGATGCAATACGGTTGCCAGCGTTGATTCTCAACATAATCACGTCTTCGCCGACCGTGGGATAGCTGATGCAGTTCTTGAGGTTGTTTTTGGAGGAGTAGTTCTTCTTGTCTCCGACCTTGACGGGCGGTACCGTGATGCCTAGCGACGCGACCCAGGGTAGTAGCAACGCTAGGGCTGTGAGTTTGGAGGGGGACACCATGGAGGATGGGAGGAGCGGATTTGGGGTGGAGTGGCGGGAGGTGCGGGAGGTGGGGCGGGAATAAGCGAGTGAGACGTACCGGCGTACGGGAGAAGGATCAATTAGGGTGTGTACCGATGTACTGTGGGTACTTGTAGTACTAGCAGTGTAACAACATGTAGACGCTAACAGTCCTGAGTTTTTTCCTGATTTTCTGTGCATTGGATGTCCTGGATATAACGCGTATGGGCGGCCTGGGTGGTGCAGCGAGTTGCGCCCAAAGCCACGACACAACGAGTCTGGCGTGGCTCAGGGCCAATGGCGTGGAACCTGGCGGCTTCCAGGGCGGCCATGCGCTGATTCCGAGACTGGAGTCCTGGACAGGATTAGAGGTGTTTTGGTTTTAGGACTGGTGGTGGTCCTAACGTGGGCCAGCGGTTTGGGGCAGGAATGCGCCACCAGCACCCCTTGCTGCAGTCTACGGGTGACGAGTCCATGTGACCGTCGAAGGACATCACTGGCAGGGCCTCCCTAAAATGTCCCTAAAATGTCTGTCTGGATTACGAGCGTGGTGCAGAACTGCACCAGTTTGAGAAGCGGGGCCTCAAGATGGCGCTAGTTGTATGAGTCTTGGCACGATCTGCGGTGGTGCGCGTCGCGCACGTGATATAAGCTATGTACATTAGTTTGGGTGCAAAAGCCAGGAGCTGGTGGAAGACGGCCGTGCTGGAAGCAAGAGCACCGTGGGAAATACTGGTGGGAATTACCATTGGCGGGAGGTGGAATACCACAAATGGAATGCCAGGGCGCTGGTGAAGTGATGAAACACTAGTGGAAAAACGAGCAACTGGTGGAAATTCCAATGGTGGAAGATGGTCCACTGTGCAAAATTCCCGTTGGAAATGATGAGCAACTTTAGCTGAAGAAGTATCCATATCTTGATTTCAGAACTGGAAAATGGAAGTGAAAGACCGCTGGGAAGTTAAGGAACTGGACCACTACGAAAGATGGTACACCGTCAGAGTGAAAAATTCACCGGTAGAAGTCGACCACTGTGTACTCACAGACTAATAAATAGCATTAAAACAAAATCGATAACCTCCCAAGCATTGAAAGCTCCCTTCATCTACCGTCTTTGTCTGCCTACGCCTTCCTCTCCTGCGCAATCAACTCCTCCAACCTCTGCTCAAACTCGTGCTCCTCCACCTTCTCCATGAGCTCCTCCAACTTGGACCCCGCCATGCATCCCGTCAAGTCGTGGAGCGAGAACCCACAACGATGGTCTGTCACCCGGTTTTGGGGATAGTTGTAGGTCCTGATTTTGTCGGAACGGTCGGTGGTGGTGACCTGGTCCGTTCGCATCCTGCGCTGCTCCACGATCTCCTTCTCACGCTCGAGAGCAGCTAACCTGGCTCGTAAGATCGAAAACGCTTTGGCTTTGTTTCGAGGCTGCGATCTTTCATCCTGCTGCATCACTGTGATCCCAGTGGGAATGTGCACCAATCTTACAGCAGAGTCGGTGGTGTTGACGTGTTGGCCTCCTTTTCCTCCAGCTCTCATGGTATCTATTCTCACCTCTCCTGGAGCAAACAGCCGTTCGTCTTCCTTCAACGAGCTCTCATTTCCCTCGGAAATCTTGGGAAGAACCACCACTGCAGCAGTAGAGGTATGTATCCGTCCCTTGCTCTCGGTCAGGGGGATCCGTTGCACTCTGTGAACGCCACTCTCGTGTCTCAACGCCTGGAACGCACCAGGATCATCGATGCTAATAATGACTTCGTTGACGAACCCGTTGTTGCCTTCGCTTCTGCTGACTATGTGGTGCTTCCAGCGCTTGGTGTTGGCGAAATTTATGTACATTTGCATCAAGTCTTCCGTGAAAAGGGCCGCCTCAGACCCTCCCACCCCTGGCCTCAACTCGAGAATACACGGTTTGTCCGAGTACTTTTGCTGGGGAAGCAACCTTGACTGGAGCACCTGCACTGAACGCTGTACCTGGGGGATGGTGGCCTCGATTTCAGCCACTGCCTCTTCCACCAACTCGTGGTCCTGTCCCTCCTCAGATATGAGTTCCTTGAGCTCGTCGAACGCAGCCATATCTGACTTGTACTGGTTGTAGTTGTCCAAGATGATACTGAGGTTGGAGAACCTGATGCTGAGCTCCTGCTCAAAGTTTCCCTCGGCCACCTTGGCCTCGATGGTCTTGAATTCGGCCTGCATCACCTCAGCTCGCTGGATCAATAACGGGTGGATCTTAGGCACGCTGGCCAACTTTTCTAGCGTACCAGAGACATCGACTGTTGAGTACGGCCTGGTCCATTTCGTTGCCCATACAATCCAACATGGACTTCTCCCTGCCAATCGTACCAAGGGAATCATTCTGGCGGTGGTCTTAGCTTAGATTTTTTTCACTCACTAAATCTCGACTCCACAAATCCTTTGAGGCATCACCATCCACTCAGGCAAGATGGACCAACCAATCGATTTGAACGAGTTTGTCAGGGCGTTGGAGGACCTCTCCCAAGAGAGTATCAACAATGCGAAGGACGAACTCTTTCTTTCCATCAGCAAACTTGTGGATACCAACACTGAGTTGGAGGCGGAAATTGCCAACTCCGACAACCACCAGGATAAAAAGTTGTACAGAGAGGTCATCGAAGAAAACCAGACCGTGATCTACAGCAAAACCTCCCGTTACGAGGCGTCTTTGAATGCATTGAGGCATAAGCTGATTGATGACCAGAAGTACCACCAAGAGCTCGGAAAGTTGTACGACTTGATCAAGAAGCCTGAGGCTCAAGATGAGAACCAACACGGTTCTCAAGTAGAGACAAAGGACAACAGTATCTACCTATAAATGGGTCATGAAAAATTGCTGGCTATTTTAGTGAACCAGCAGATAGTTTCAACCCACGATTGAAATAATTGATGCTTCAAAAACTACAATTGCCACCTTATACAGCTCAGCCAATAACATCAGTCACGCCTTCTACTCAAATTTTTAGCTAATTTATGACTATAATGACTATTTACAATAAACTAAAATATTGACATTTTAATATCCAGAATTGATCTCGGTTTGGTTCCGGTTCATTATTCTCTTTGAATCGGTTTAGGATCTCTTCCCCACAACTTATTCATAAAGGACTTTTCTTCTGATCTGAGTGGGTCTTCGGGTCTCTTACACACCAACATCCAAGTAGTACCCAAGTGAACTCTCTTTTCGTAAGTGATATCTAAGCCTGCCTCGTCTATCAATTCACCAATATCAAGATTCCATCTGCATGCCCAAGTTTTCATTCTTCTTTCACTTCTGAAATCCAAGTGATTGTTCACAAAGTCCCAGGTTCCTCTTCCATGTTCAAGTAATACAATTCTGCCACCTGGCTTCAACAAAGATGACATGTTCTTCAAAGCTTTGACAGGATCTTCGTGTGCACACAAACCAAATGCTTCAACCACTGTGTCATACTTGATTTCCTTGCCTTCGGATGCTAGTTGGGCCAATTCCTCGGCTTTACCAACTGTGAATCCAACCTTGCGGAAATCTGGGTACGCACTTCTGAACTTCTTCTGTGTGAGATCCACCATGTTTCTCGAGGAATCGAGGAAGGTGATCGAATTCACCAATTCGGGGTAAAAGTATGGGATGTTTCTTCCGGTACCACAAGCGACCTCCAAAACATCACCCTTCAACTGTTTCATCAACCACTTTCTACGCTTACCCAAGAACATACCTCTTTCCTCCCACTTGATTTCTTCATCATAGGCCGCAGCCTTTTCTTCGTAGAATTCAGTGGTGTCTTCAGCTGGTACAATGTTTGGATTTTCTGCATTGGTTAACTTATCATTAGTCAAAACCTCTTGCTCTTTCTCCTCTGCAGTTTTTTCACCAATTGGCTTGTCCAAGACTGGGGCCTTCTTCACTGTTCTTCTGGGCTGTTTGCTATACCATTCTTCTAACTCTTCTGGGGTTGGATTAAACATGACACTCTTGTCCATAAGATGCTTTCTTCTGAATTCCTTTCTCATCATCTGGTAAATTCTATACTTCTTTTCCTCCAAAGGTCTCAAAGTCTCCTGACTCAATTTTCTTAACATTAAGAACTCGTACTCACTCAAGCTTTTTGGGTCGTTCTTGTACTTCTTTCTAACATGTTGGATTTGTTTGTCTTCGTGGTAACGATCTCTCATATAATAAAAGAATGCCACACAAGTAGCACCAAAGCCACATATGTAATAAATGGTCATAGACTTCTTGAACTTTTCACTCTGAAAATAAAGTGCCCATTGTCGCCATTTTGGCAACTTTTCAATGTCTCTCTGCTTTTGGGCTTCCTTGTGATTGATGGGGAATGGGGAGTCTGCATACCCACGCAACGAAGAAATACGTGGAATTCTGAGGACTGTCCTCACCGCCGTTCTACCTGTCCTGGCAGGCAAACCAACTAATCCTAGCCTTATCATTGAAGGTTTGAACTTTGGAAATTTTCCTTCTATGATGGAGTGGATCTAAAGCGATTACCGGCCGCATCATGTGACGAAGGTATTTCCGGTCAAGTGTCAGTTGACACTACTCAACACCAAACAATATTGTTGCCTTACAACAATCAGCGCATGTGAGCTAAATGCTATCTACGAGTCGGTAGGCATCCATCAGAGAGTATAACTCCCGATCAAAAACATCCGATCGAATCAGAATGGTAATATCTCCAATAACAGAAAGTCACGTGAGGTCCTCGCTCGTCCAGTACTAGTTTTGATGGCAAACGGAAACCTCCACACCACCAACAGTCATGTCCCAACCTTCACCAGTATTAGAAGAAGCCAGAAACGCCGCAACAGCAAAGAAGTACGAGCTTGCGGAGTCCAAGTACAAGGAAATCATCTTATCCAATGAGTCCACCACCAAGTCGTTGCAAGAACAAGAAGCGGCCATTTTGGAGTTAGGTAAGATATACGAATCACAAGCACAACCAGAGAAGTTGAAGGAATTGATCTCTGAGTCTAGAAGTATTTTGGGTAAATTTGCCAAATCCAAGACCGCCAAAATCGTCAAGACTTTGATCGAAGATTTTGATACCATTCCTAATGCCTTGGACTTGCAAGTTAGTGCCACTAAAGAAAGCATCGAATGGGCTGTTGAAGTTAAGTTGTCCTTCTTGAGACAATCTTTGCAATTGAAATTGGCAGACTTGTTGTACCAGCAAGGGTTGCACAAGGAAGCGTTGAAGATCATAAATGACTTGTTAACAGAATATAAAAGGTTAGATGACAAGTCATCCTTGGTTGAAGTCCAATTGTTGGAATCAAAGATCTATCACGCTTTAAGAAATATCCCCAAATCCAGAGCAGCATTGACCAGTGCCAGAACCTCTGCCAACTCCATTTACTGCCCAACCATACTTCAGGCCGAATTAGATTGTCAAAGTGGTATATTAAATGCCGAGGAGAAAGACTACAAAACTGCATTCTCATACTTTTACGAATCCTTTGAAGGCTTCAGCTCTCAAGACGATAGCAAAGCTATCGTGATATTGAAATACATGTTGTTAACTAAGATCATGTTGAACTTGATTGATGATGTCAACAACATCTTGGGTCACAAGAATGTGATCAAGTACCAATCTAAAGATATTGATGCTATGAAGTCCATTGCAACTGCTTACTCCAACAGATCTTTGAAGGAGTTTGAAACTTCATTAGTAACCTATTCCACAGAGTTAAAGTCTGATGCTATTATCAAGAACCACTTTAACGCCTTATACGACAACTTGTTAGAACAAAACTTGTTGAAGATCATCGAATCGTACAGCTGTGTTGAGTTATCTCACATTTCTAAAACTATTGGTTTAAATTTGCAACAAGTGGAAGGAAAATTGTCACAAATGATTTTGGACAAAGTTTTCTATGGAGTGTTAGACCAGGGTAATGGTTGGTTGATCATTTATGACGAACCAAGAAAGGATGCTTCGTACGAGGCTTCGTTAGATTTGGTCAAGAATTTGTCTAACGTTGTTGATTTGTTGTATGAAAAGGCCTCATCTTTGAACTGATTTCAAGATATTTAATGAACCTGGTCTAAATTTTATGCTTATATTCGAATGTAAGGAAATAGCCTGAGATTAACTTGAATGGATAAGGCTTTATTCACTTCTTGACTAAGTTCCTGTACTCCTAGATTTTTCATAAAATACACGAAATACAAAAAGCAAGCTGAACTAATCACGTAGAAACTAATGCAGAGGAGACTGGCAGCCTGCTTTTCAAAAAGTAGGATTATTATATATTATTTTACCTTTTATTTATATTACATATTCTAATTACTAGAATGGATGAATTCCATAGACGGTGCAACGAAGTTGCTTTTATGCGAGGTCACTAATCCCAACTGCACCCTTTTCACTGGCTATCACAAAAATCTCTCCGGATATCACCAAGAATTCATTTAGTCTTCCACATGACAAGAAACACTTCAAGAAGTCATTGGACTCCTCTTTGGCGATTTCATTAATGATATTGTAGGCACCTTTAAGGAACTTCCAATCTCTGAATCTTGCAATCTTGTAAATTTGCAACAACTCAATGATCAAGTATGGAACGTAAATGGATCTTAACTCGTTGTATATTTGGACATCCTCATCATTAGTAGAAGATTTGATCAACCCATTGAACCAATTGAAAATCAATCCGTTTAATGTTCCAATAATGTTCTCTATTGTGGTTTGCACCTCCTTCGACTCCCAAAATGATGATTTTTTGTTCAAAGGTTGATTTGCAAGAGCTTTCTTCCAATCACTTATGAGACCCAACCCATTGACTAAGTCTTCATATTCCAATAATTCCTGTTTATTCTCATCCGAAATAGAGCCGTTGTACACTTCATTCGTTATTGATTTCGTGTGGACTTCGATATCATAATCTCTGATCAACTTCTTGAAATTCTTGGAAGAAGCAAACTTTTGAAGCGTGGCCAATTTTCCACTTAACAAAAATCTACGAATAATGATCAATGTGGCTGTAATAGAATCTTCATACATCTCATTCTCATAAAACCAGTCAACAGATCTGTACAATTCAAAGTCGATTTCATCGACATTCTCAACATCATCCTGGATTGCGATCTTAGATTGTGGTTTGTAATGGTCTTCTGTTTTCTTCATCACTCTTTCAACAGTTCTTCTCAATATATTGGTCATTTTGTTCTCTTGACTGTCATCCACCACGATTAGATCATTATCATCAACCACCAAAGGATTGGAGAGTTTCTTAGAAATTTCAAGCTGTCTGAGTCTTTCTTTGGAATCAGTAATGGATGACAAAAATAATGAATAAGTTTCTCTCGAATCCTTTTCGTCAGGAATGGTTGTAAGATAGATTGGAATCAATTCAGTCAATTGATATTCTGATAATTCTGAAATGTAAAGGGTAATGATCGTTGTTATATCCTTTGGATTTATGCTATTGGTACCGTCTTGTAAAATACCCGATTCGCCAATCAACAATTGAAAAATTGCCAAGTGAGTTACAACCCTGACAAGATATGGCTTGATTTGAAGGTTTCCCCCCGAAGTAATCAAGCTATGTAATAATGAAGTTACACCATCTATTATCACACCACCTTGTATGATTCTTAATGGGTGATTACTTTCCTTAGAGATACTGCCTTCAGACTTCAGCAAGATGTTCAACACTTCGTTAACATTTGAAGCTTGTGGCTTGGGTGTTTTATACGCTAATGTTTCTTCAAAAGTAGATGACAAAAACTCTTCAAACTCGTACTGGTAAAGCTGATTTAAATATAATAATAAGCTTTCTTCCCAGTTGTCTTTCGACTCCTTTAAATTCTCAGACACATCACCACCACTCAAGAAGTTGTAAATCATCTTTTCATATCTGTTAATGTTAGATCTTTGGGAAAGCTTGTAAACAGTCTTCTTCCATAATGACTTGTGCTTGATACCTGAAGCTTTCGATTGTTCTAACAATGACTCGTCGGCATCGGCAGCTTGTCTGTCGATTATTGGATCATAGTATTCCTGGGTATATCCAACAAGAATCAAACCAAGAGTGTAGTTTCCTGTGTTATTGGCAAATTCGATTGCCTCTTCATTTTTGTTTGCAAGTAATAATTTGTAAATAACATGGAAGGCTCTGGAATCGATATCCTCATCTTCGGGATATATTTTCTTATTGGATCTCAAAGGAGCGTCAGAGTCTAATTCTGCAATATAGTTATCAGATACATTCTGAGCCTTTGCCAATACATTCAAGTCCTTATTGTTAATGGATTGTCTTGTTTTGGTCCACTTTCCCAGAAGATCTTCCTCCATGTACGAGCTGTCCAAAGACTTGAAATTCACCTGAAGCCATTGTATGATTAGGGTCAATTCTCTCACTCTGGGGTGGTTGATTAACCAATTTTCTTGCTTGATAGCCAAGGATGAAAAGGCATATTCTTGTAAAAGTTCTGGTTTCGATGAGGCTCTGAAATTATAGAGAATTTCCACCAAATGCCACAACTTGGTTTCTAAGTCCCAGTTTTCGAACTCCTCCTTTAATTTGTGGTTTGTCTCATCTTCGGCTAACAACTCGCCAATTTGGATGGCCCTGGATGCAGAGATGGCCTTGAACTTCGAGACAATCTCAAGGGGATTCTGCTGCTGCTTATTGGCCAGGAAGTCCTGGAGCACAATAGCAAATTGCTCCTCGATATTGATAATAGAGGGGACGACTCCAATTGAAGACATTACAGTGGGGTGCTTTTGCTAGATGTTTTGAAGATGAAAAAACATTGAGCCGGTGATTCGTGTCACGTGATCCGAAGATCTACAAAATGCACCAGGCGAACGGTGCCTATTTGCAATCAAGCTAGTCTATCGCGGTGGTGTGTATGCTAACTACACATCCCAAGCTAGCTTCAGTGGTTCTTAGCTCGGATCCGCCAACGCCACCACAACTCTGCCTGGGCCCTACTCCAGAGTTGCGCACGCGACATCATGTCACGTGCATTCCCACATGACATAAACTCCGCTTATCAGCATCACCCCTGATATCAATCACGCCCCGACCATGTCAAGCCCACCAATTGAGCAAGCAAACCCTGATCCAACCTTCAATGACGAGGATAATAGTCCATTTGGAAATCAAGGGATCGCCAGTTTGATGAGCCAGCATAACCTCGGCCCTACAAAGTCCCCCGACCCCAACAGTGACCCTGATGATGACGATGACTCAGTTCTTCTCTACACCACTAACTCCAAAGCTGACCAAAAGTCAAGCAGCAAAGACAAGTATCCTACCAGCCAAATCAATTTCGAGAGCAGAGTTAGCAAGCTACTCAAGTCCAATGGAGTGGTTAAGATCCAAATTACAGAGGCTGGCAACTCGAATGAAGGCATGAACAATTCTCTGAAGAAGTATGTGGTGTATACCATCAAGCTTATCAATCAAAAGGACTCAAGCGAGGAGATTTTGACCAGGCGAAGATATAGTGACTTCGAAAGTTTACGAGAGGTACTCACGAAGATTTTCCCTCTTGTAGTAATACCACCCATTCCACCAAAGAATTACGTGAACTTTAAGGTATTGAACGGATTCGGACACTCGCCCTTACAAACTCATTTAACGCAAAGTAATGGAAACGCAGGCAGTGGTGGAGTGGGAGTGGTGGCAAATGTGGTTAACGGAAGTAGCACTACAGGAGGCTCTCTTGCAAATCATAACATTAACTCGTCCAATTACCCCTACATCAACTCAACACATCTTAACAAAAACCGATTAATTGAGCACCGCAAAAGATTATTGGCAAACTTCCTTAATAATTGCTTGGAGATTAACCAGATTCGTAATTTGGAATTCTTTGCAAAGTTCTTGGATCCCAATTCAAACTGGTCCGATGAAATAAGTTTAATCTCCAATCAATTACCCAAATCTATTTATCAACTGAATCCAGAAAATGGTTTGAGAACTGATCCAATATATGCAAATTTACCCAATCCTTCAACGGGTCACATGGGTTTCTTGAAAGATAATAGAAAAAAGTTGAAGGAGAAGACAAATAAAATTTTAAACAACGGAATCACCACAAGTTCGAACAATGAATCTTCTTCTGAGCCAAGTACCAGCGCACAAATTCCTGAAGGTTCCCCTGACTCAGATTACATATTGAATACTTCATCGTTGGACTCTATCAATAAAAAGATAATGGAGAATTTCATAGGGTTGTCTAATGACTATACAGAGTTAGGAACTATTTTCAATTCTTTTTCCTTGGTTCTAACTGATTCCGCTCGAGATGTCAAAGGTAAATTATCCGATGATGAACCAAAATTGAATATCATTTTTGATAAGATAGGACAAGTCTTTGACCGCTCTTATATCACCATAAATGTTCTAATCGGGGACTTGGAAACTAAATTCTCGGAGCCATTAGGTGAAGCTGTACAGTTCAGTGCTATTTTGGAGTTTATTCAAAAGTATCAAGTGAAGAAATTAAGACAACAGCTGCTACTCGATACTGATTTGAAAGTTAAAAGAAAAGATTTGGAAGAACTACTTCGTTTAGAGGATGAGGCTGCAAGAGTTGAGAGTGGACTGAATCCGGTAGTTAAGAATACTAAATACGATCTCGGTGCCAAGACCCCTGTCCAAACTCAACCACTAGCATCCACTAATTCTAAATCCAAGTTTAAACTTTTTCCCAGCATAAAGAAAATCACACAATATGTTTCAGATATTATTGATCAGAACCCTGAACAAACCCGGAAACAAAAGATAACCTCACTTCAAACAAAGATCAAGACTTTGGAAAAATGTCAGAACATCATGCTTGAGGACATTTCCTACATCGCCGATGAGTTAAACAAGAACTTCAAACTTTTCCACTCAAAACAGTTGAAGATGATCTATGAGATCTTGCTTTCCTATAACGGATTTTTAATTGGCTGGGCCAAGAAAAACATCGATATTTGGGAAGAAGTGAAAGAGGAAGTAATGAAATTATGACGAGACTATGGGATATCGCTTGGACAAATCGAACCCTGATTCGTAATAGCTTCACGCTCAAAAAAAGTCACATATGCATTTCTGTTCGTTCTACATCTACTTAATGTGAATCAGAAGCAGATCGTTAACGTCGACTAACTCCTCAAATATTTAATCAAAGGAGGGCCCCATTCGCCTGCCCTCTTGTAAGTGACAATATCGGGAGGGAACCCCTCGATGGCACCAACCAATCTCTCACAAACTTCTGGACCCTCACTTTTGATCCTACTCATTGGATGTAAATAGGTTCTGATGGTGAATACAACTGCTCCTGATTCGGGCAATTTGGTTAATACTTGTCTTTCGCTTCTGTAGTGCACCTGGTTGTCAAAATCCAAGCTATCATAATCCAATGCCACTTGTACATGATCCTTGGGAAGGTTGTGGCCCTTGTTGGAGTCATCAACATAATATTTATCGTGGGTTTGAACTGAGAAGTTGCTTCGGGTAACAAATTGTCCAGGTACTATTCTATTGAAGAAACGATTCATGGAAAGCTTCAACTTTTCTTCATACCCGGGGATTGGATGATGAACAAAAGAAAGAGGAGCGTTGAATCTATCCCTTGGATTAAAGCCTGCGGCAAAAGCAAACACTCCTGCCTTGAAGAAATATTCGGTACCATCTTTTTCGTCTTCTTTACTTGGGTCTTTAAGAAGAATAATGAAATCCTCCTCGATAATCTGGGTCAAATATTCCAAATACTTGGGGGCATCCTTGACGTCATTTGAACAAGTGCTTGGAACGTAAATATTGTTTATTTTGTTGTGAATCATGTCGCCTTCTCTCACAAAGTACATGGGGTACTTGTCACACATGTAGCTGGTAGCGACGGAGTAAAACTCTTTGATGGCAGGAAACGCCTCGTCCGTGTGTAAGAGTGTATTGGATCTGAGGTCCTTCTCTGCCGGGTAGGCAGGGTGGGAGTTGTTGATAATCTTAGACTTCACTGCAGTGACTTTCTTGTAGGAGTTTTCAACCAATAACCAGTCTTGTACGTCCAAAGACTTGATCCCCATTGTCAACTTATAGGCAGCATTTTTGAACGGATAGGACTTGAGAGGCTCCTGGGACTGCCAGTCAAAGTCGCTGGAGACTGCCTGGATTTTTGGTGGCGAGTACTCCTTCTTATCGTAGAAGCGTTTCTTGGCTGGCTTCTCGTGGCCTCTGGCGACCTTGAGCACGAGAAGGACCACGAGTAAGGGGATGGCCCATATCATGAGGTCCTTTGGGTTAAAGTCGAATACATCTGGAATGGCCATATCACTCAGAAAGAGCAGTGGTAGGAAATGAGTCAGAAGCGTTCATGATGAATCTCTTGGGTTAATAGAAGCGAGCGGAATAGGACTTTTCTGGAAATGCGCGGGAACAGGAACCCCAGACCCGCAATTAGTGGGGACTATGGGCAAAGTGCGGGACCGGTGGCACTGCTGGCACGCGGTAGTGGGGATTGTGGGTACGGAGGTCACCTTGTATCTCTGCTGTTGGACTCCCTCAGTGGTGGATTGTGGAATTGATCTGGCTGGAATGGCCTCCTTGTGTTTGTGTAACTGATCGCAGCCGTTATCGCTCCGGCTCGCCCAACCAGGCTGCAGAGAATAAGCCAGGGTCTCGCGACCCTAGTCGTGGGGTAACGCAAAGGTAGCCACGACTGGTTCTGTCTGGTCAAGTAGTCGGACTTAGATCCATCTTGTCTAGATGAGAGAGGTGGTGATATTAAACAACTGTAGGACTCTCACACAAGGCATTAGTTGCATTTGGAATTTTTCGATTTTAATGGCATATCTATGGATGGGGTCAGTGGGAGATCTTAAATCAATTCAATGGACACTCTGGTCCTGTGTTTGTTGTGGAGTTGAACAGACAAAGAGCTGAGTGATTCTTGCTCAACCTTTGCACTCTCACAATTCTTCAACTTTCGGAAAAAAATTGAAATATTAAGCTTTAAAGCATTTCAAAGTTGTGCTGGTTCCTTCTTTGCCCTCAATATACTATTTCACTACTGTCCTCTCTATTCATGCTTCCGAAAGCGCAAGTGGTGTTCCTGTCAAGCCCTGTCTCACCCAGGCTAGCTGCAAAAAGTGTCACGTGCCGTGCAATGGATTGAAAAAATTCGAGCCCATCTCTCCATCTCCAGCATGTCTATCTCCATCTCGTACCTTACCAAGTATCTTGGATCAGAGGTCCAGGTACAATTGGCCACTGATTTGTCCCAGAAATTATCCGAAGATATCGAACATGTTCAAGCTTTGTACGACTTGTTGGACGTGGTGGATTTGAACGATCATCACGAGATACACTCAGCGATTTTAGAATATTTCACAGACGCTATTTACAGCTCAGAATCCTCGAAGTATGAGTATGCTGCCAAATATATCCAGAAAGTTCCAAGGTTACGCCAAGATATCTTATCTAAAATTTCCAAGTCTTTACACCAATACATAAGTCAAAATATAAACTGGTTCATCCCCGAATTCTCTAGCATTTTGGAGATCCAGATAGACAGAGATGACTCCATCGAAATTTCCAACCAGGAGGTTATTTCCTTGTTTCAATTCTTGGAATATTTGTTGACCATTACCGAAAAGAATATGGAAATTTTGGATCCAGTTATTTTAATGTTTCTTGGTATCAATGATGAAACCATAAACTCTCTCATGACCCAATTATTGCGTTGGAGAATTGATGATATCACAAATAGTATTGGATCGTTCAAGATTTGGGAGATCATTTTTACCTTGGAAGCAACTGGAGTGAAATCGCATAAAAGCAATGGTTTCATATTATGGTTACGTTATTTGAACAGCCCCAACTTTGTTGCAGACAAAACTTTCGAAGAAGTTGCCCTGAAGAGCAATTATTGGGGAGTATTGCAGAACGGTCTTTCAAGCGTTTCCCACGAGCATCGTAAATTCTGCTTATCAATCTTGCAATTATCAGTTCAGAGTATCAAGTTTGACATTTCTAATGATTACATCACTTGGAATACTTCAGAATCGTCAATTCACCTTGAAGAGTGGTCAAGATATACTACTCTTTTTGAAGTTATGGGAGTTGATACCTCCTTGCATCAAGCAGTTGCTGGATCGAATGATATCATTGGATTAATTTCTTCCAACTCCTTGATCCATCCATCCTGGGGATTTTGTTTATTATCGACAGGATTCAAGGCCACCATGGATTCAGTAAAGAAATTTTCTTTGAATCTATTGTTATCTATACCTCCGGAGCACCTCTACTTGATGAAGTATGGACTTCCATTCTTGGAACAGATCTATTTGCCATATGCTATGTCCGCTCATCTCTTTATTGTCAGAAATGTTGATGGATTCAGTAAGTGTGAGTTTGGTGATAGATTGTCTAACTTCATTGCAAGCTTGGTTTCTAATTTGCGTACAAATGATGAATATGAATTAGTACTTGGTTCGATTATGAAAGTTTTGGAGAACTTGAAAGAATCTTTTGATCCTGCAAGAATATATGTCACACGTGGTATTGTGAAGGGTCTTGGTGATAAGCAAGTATTAAAATTTGGAGTTCACGACAAGATTCTCTTGAAGTTATTTGAAAATACATCCGAAGGTGATCTCTTTGAAACCGCATGTCAAACCCTTAACCTTCAAATTTTACTTCATTTCGAATTATCTGAAACTCAATTTATCGAAACTTTAGACAAGTTTGTAAAGTTAAATGGCTATAAATTGGTTAATGATAATTTAAAGGATATTAAAAATTACTTTTCTGGTTCCACTAATTTGTTCGAATCCTTAAAAAGACAGGAATCAGATGATTCCAAGGTGTTTTTATTACCATTTATTGATGATGATCAATTGATTCCTTATATCTTGACTGAATCTAAATACTTCCTCGTCAAAATTTTAGAATCGGGCTTGAATTTAACATTTTTACAAGATGATAGAATTCTTGAAGCTTGCTCTGAACTCATTAATAGTGATTTATTGATCCAAAATGAGGAAATCATATCATCATTGTCAAGAGTCCAGTTCAACTCAAATTCAGTCATTCAAGCTGATCCCTTGAAAAAATTGTGGAAGACAATTGAAGATGAACTTCAACTGGATAACTATCATACCTTAACGGTTGCGGTTAAGAAGTTTAGATTGTTCAATAAGTTGGTTCGGTTCCAACAATTCTTTGACTCGTACACAACTATTCTCGATTTGCATAAGTCAATGTTGTCAAATACTCTCGAGTTAACCAAAACGGTCAAGAATTTTTACAAAATAAAAGATGAAATTTATGGCGAGTTCTTTACTTTGCTTGAAACTTGCTCCAATTATGGACTCTTCGATCAAGTGTCAATAATTCAGGTTTTGGACTTGGTTAATGCCAACTCCTCTGATTACAGATCCAACATGGCGATGGTGAAGATTATGCAGAATTATATTATAAACTGTGAAGTTTCAAATGATGAATATGAGCAAATAGCAGAGTTTTTGGCAGCAATGTGGGATAACTTAGACTCCTCCAGATTGCAATTGAATCAGAAAGACTTGCATGTTCTTTTTATCAACACCTTGTATCATAGCAAACTTTTATCATCTACAACATCCAGTGAGAAGGTCTGTGATCGTTTAACCCATGTTGGCTTATCAATCATTGAGAACTCCCAAGGTAGGAGAAGTTTGCTTCCTAGCTTAGCAAAAGCCTTATCTTTCTTCCAAGTCAACCACAACCAGTACTTTGAATCGGCATCATGGTTACCTGAGATTCTAGTAAGATCATTAATATTGTTCCAATTAAGAAGTAATGTTTTTAAATTGGAAAAGATTATTGGTACATTTTTCGATGAAGAAATATCCTCATCTGAGTCTCATTTATACCAGTCTATTTACGGTCCGGATGAGGTAAGCTCTAAGGTTTGGATTTTGACAATTTTGAGTTCAATTAAATCTACCAAATTTGCCAATCAAATCATGCAATTTATAATTGACAACGAAAGAGAATTTTACTTCTTGCAAGTGAACAAATCAACAGATGGGTTGGAGGAGTGGACAAGAATTCAATTACTCTCTATTATTATCAGTATCATTGATGTCGTCGATTTTGATGATTATATGGAATCATTCATCAAGTTGTTGGAGACTGATCCAAGTCCTTTGGCAAGACTGTACGTCGAATGGATTGTCTCCTACAAATTGTTGAGCAACGAAAAGTACACCAAATACATCTTCGACTCATTATCCAATGAAATGATCACTTTAAAACCAACAGTGATAACATCCTACGAGAGAACATTAGTTTTGATGATCCAACACTTAAGCTCATCACAAGAATCGGACTTTATTTCGAAGTTCTTAACCATAATCATCCCAGGTGCAACCTCGAACAAAGCATCGACTAGACACTTTTCTTTGTCGTTGCTTTTGTCTATTTTCGAAGGAATCAAAGTTAGGGGCATCAAGTTAAATTCCCATATTTCAGAAATGTTGGAAAATATGCACAAATCGGCTTTGAAATCTGATTCATTTGGACAGTATAGAAGTGGGGATGCTCTCTTATGGGATATCAAAAAGGATATGACATTGGTTGGTATCAGTGGTGGTGTTCTTATGAGAATTAGTGACAGAGAAGAAATAGAATTTATTCCAAGAGAAGTTTATCTCGAGTACTTGACTCCAGAACAAATTGCGTTCTTGAACCATCCAGTTGGAGAAGATTTGAAGGATCTCTGGGTAAAAGAGCGCAAGGTTCAAAAGAGAGCCACAAAAGTTCCAGAAAGCTCGGCCCAATCTCCATTACAGACAAAGAGTGGTGCATGGAATACTATAATGGACGTTGATGTTACCGCTAGGGGAAGCGATATCGTTAGAAGTGACCTTATTGTGGTTTCTTCTTTAGTGAATAAACTTCCAAATTTGGGAGGTATCTGCAGATTATCGGACGTATTAGGAGCAGGTTTGTTGACTTTAAATGATCTCAATGCTAAAACACAACAACAATTCAAGAGTGTTGCTGTTACTGCTGATCAATGGATGCCAATGATCGAAGTTAAGGTCGAAGAGATCAAGAACTTCTTAAAAGAGAAAAAGAGGGAGGGCTACACATTAATTGGCTTGGAACAAACTGATAAGTCGGTTGAATTGAATAGCGAATTGAAATTCCCAAAGAAGTCTTTGATTTTGTTGGGAAGAGAGAAGGAAGGTGTTCCTGGTGATTTGTTATCTGAGCTTGACATGTGTGTTGAGATCAAACAGGTTGGTGTTATCAGATCAATGAATATCCAAACTGCCACTGCCATTATTGTTCATGCATACTCCAGTCAGCATTGTTAGGGGATCGTAAATAGAATAGTATTAACGAGTTTACACTATGTAAAAGACTTCGATCGAAACGAAATTTCTGTATGCTATCATGGAAATAACAGACGCAGCTACAAGTGCCAAATCTATCAGTATTTAGTATTTACTGGGACTCTCTTGAGTAAACATCACCCAAATAGTGCACCACTCAATACAGCTTACAATGAACACTTGACCAAGCGTCTAACCAGTTCTTGTCCTATTGTACATTTCTATCAAAATATAGCATCATTATCATCATCTTGCTCTATCAAAGCATCTAAAGCTCTAATTATAGCACCTCCAAACTTGTTTCCCATTTGAATACTTTTGATGATGGCAGTTTGGTTTAATCCCTTGAAGTTGGAGTTATTGGAATTGACAGCCAAGTTCATGTTGGCTATTGGTGTGATGACCTTGTTATTGTAAAATGTGACGATCAAGCCGTTTTCCAAAACTTGTTCTTCTTCAACTGAAGGATCAAAGATTAAATTGCTTCCAACGTAACCTAAAGTTATGAAAATTGGTGGTTGGAATTCCTTACCTTTCCCTTTGAAGTAGTCTGCAATAGGCTTGGCATTATCCCAGTCGTCTGAAAAAGTTGGTAACTCTGCAATTTCTTCGTCATTGGTTTCACTCACCAACAATGGTAACTTGGTAGTTTTGAGAGCCAAATAAGAAGTTAATGATATTAAGGTTAATGGGTATGATGAGTGACTTATGACAATGCAATCGATGAAAAGTTTGAATGAATATTTGGATGTTAATCTTAAGTAATCACTAGGAAAGTTTTGTTGCAAGAGATTGGTCAAGTTAAACTTCAAGTTGGAAACGAAATTCGAATTATCACGGAATCCTACCACATCAACGTCGCATTCAATAAGGTTTGCTTCCTTGGCTGCGACAACTACCTTGGCCTTTACGCTCACAATGCATTCACTTCCATCCATTAATCTAATTCTAGCAGATCCATTAGACCCAGGAAGAAAAGAAGTTTTTGCCTCCAAGGGCCTCATTTGATGCTCCGCCCGAGAATCGGGTCTGATGGTTGGTTTTTGGATGAGGGAGTCGTAGAGATAGGACCGTTCGGCGGGTGACAAAATCATGGCTAGCTGGTGGTACAGTATAACTAATGAAAATGATTTTTCGTACTGAAATACTGCAGATAAAAAAGAGATAATTGGTGATGGGATGGGGTCGAGATGGGATACCAAATGAAACTAAAACCCGAACTTCTCGACGCAGCTATTGACCCTCGAAGGGCTGGGCAGATAAAGCTTCTTGGATTTCCTAGAGATACAAGACCCTAGGAATCATTTGCAGTGACGGCTGGCTGGCACGTGTGATGTTTCACGTGACAGCCTATTGATGTTTTTTCTCAAATCTGTTCCTAGCTATAACAACAATCATGTCTACTTTGTTCACTCAATCAGCCATAACAGGCCCTGCTTCCAATGACCAAGCATTGGTTGCCAATAACCAGCCTGAATGGTTCCAAAATCAAAAGAAGCGTACTATCCCAAATCATTTAGTACCCAAAAAGAAAACTGGTTTCCACATCAACTCCTCTGTAACCAATAAGTCAAGTAAAAGTGCAGGTGCTGGGGGACGAAGAGTAGCCTCGGGGTCTTTCTCCTCCAAGGACTCCGGGCAAGTAACTATAGCATCAAAGGACCAATTCAATATTATGTCTTTCGGGAGTCAACAAAGAAAGGCCATCAGTCAAGGTTCTATTGTGGATCGCAACAGCAGAGTTGGTACTCTTTTTGATACCACTGGGCTAAACGATACCACCAGATTTGATGACACTATTAATGAGACCTACGAAGACTTTGGAACTGCAGGTGACGATTTGCCTCCATCAAGATCCATTTATGATCTAAACGATGAAATTCTCGTATCGTTAAACAAGCCAGCTCAACAAATAGATTCATTTATTAACAAAGACCCAAAGGATTTTGCCAACGTTTTCAATAGACAAGACGACTCGGAATCGTCCAACAATGCCACAGCGGCTCAAGAAAGACGCAAATCCATCAACCCATTGACGAACAACGAATCGGCTGTTTTGATTTTTGGATACCCCGAATCATTGGCCCCTCAAGTCATCCAACACTTCAAGGAGTTTGGAGATGTTTTAGAGGACTTTGATTCTCATCAAAAGAGATACACATTAGTGTCAACCAAGAATCCTCAAAGAAACACAATTGTACCCATTTTCAGCGGCAAGAACTGGATTAAGGTCACCTACGATAACCCCGGATCGGCCCTTGAAGCCTTACAAGATAACGGAAGTGTTTTCAACGGAATTTTACTTGGGGTAATTCCATACAGTAAACACTCCATCGAGAAATTACAAAAGAGAACTTTAGTGGATAGTGAGGATATTGGTGGTGGAAACATTACTTTGAATGATTTGAATACCACAAGAAATGAAATAAATAATGGGTCCATCTCCCCGGGCAGCGCTCAAACTCCTGCCAACACTGTTTCAAACAATACATCTTACACTAGTAGGTTGGACATAAAAGATGGATCGCAGTTCTTTTTGAAATCGGAAGGAGAGCAAGTCAAATCCAATGGTAGCTCAAATGAAAAGCCACTAGGCATATTTGGAACCATTTCTAAATACGTTTTTGGGTTCCATGAGTTGTAATTACATTAATATTCTAATGAATGTCTTATTAGTATACATTAAAACTAACGCCAGGTTCGTTTTGGAGAAGGTGGATGTTGTTTCACTGGTGAAGGTGACTTGAAAGGTGACTGAGACTGAGAGGCGAATTTGGATGGTGAAGGAGACCTTAACACATTTGTAGGTGCACCATTAAACAAATTAGACTGAAAGCCTAATCCATTTGGATTTGTAGGTCTGAATGACTCAATCCTGCTTCTCGAAACAGAAGGTGAATGAATGACACGGATAGGACTTGGGGATCTTCCGCCAAGACTGTTATGCGAAGGTGACCTTCCACTAAGGCTAACATAAGAATTGGATCTCTCCCGATAACCATTTATACTTGTGTGGGAGTTCGATCTTTCCCTGTAGTTCGAGTGAGTTGGTGATCTGTCTCTACTGAAACTTGTATGTGACAATGCAGGTGACCTTCCAATCAATTTTGAAGGACTTGGTGACCTACTGATTAACGATGGTCTTCGTTCATGTAATTCACCCCTGTATGAAGTAGGAGTTTCCTGTCTCCCACTGTTAGACTGGTAATAGACATTGTTGTCCTTAACTCTATTGCTCGACTTTCCTTTGTATGGAGTTGAAGAAGTGTACCATCTATTATCATTACTGTCATCTTGATCCTCATCTTCGTCATCATCATCCAACTTGAAGTTGTCTCTAGTATCAAACTCCTGGTAATATGCATCATTCTTAGTTAATCGGGCAAGCTGCCTGCACAATTCCTGGTTTTTCACACGTAATTCATCATAATCAACTTTCATTCTATTCAACAATTGATTCGAGTCATTCATCAAGTTGAAATCAACAAAATGACCAGCATTCTGGTCGCGATACTCGTCATAAGCATCGCCATAGTCAACGACTTGGTTGCCCTTTAAATCATGAGTAACCCACAATTTCAGCTTGTTGAATGCATATGGCCTGATATCAGTCAAAATAGATGAATCAAATGGTCCGAGTGTAGCATCAATTAACACATCTTTTTTCAAAATGGAAGTTTTGGGCTTCACAAACTTATTGTTGTACTCGTTGAACATCTCTTGATAGAGAATCTGTTTATCGTTGAGTAAGTCATAAAAGTTATCGATGAAGAAATAAATAGTCAAAGAAACCGACAAACTCAACATAATTGTGTATAGGAGTGAAGAGCTTGCAGGATTGAAATTGTGGATAATCAATGAGTTGATAGGGTTCAAACCAATGAAAACATACAAGGAAAACTTGGAAGGGTCCCAAACATTCAATTGCCATATTTCATCATCTTGTTTGTGGTCATCATCCATCTCCACAGTTATATCTGAAGCGTCATCCTTGCTGAACAAGTAGCTGAGAATATACTTGAATGCTTGGGTCACATACGATATGGATTCTATGGACGATTTGATGACCGATGCCGATTTGGGTTTTGTTTGGCAGTATAACAATCCATAGTTCTTCTTTTTCGTAATTATTGAGTATGTGTTCATAAGCATAATGACCTGGATCAAGGACCCCGCGATGTTGAGTAGCCACAAGATGGAGGTGGTGAGGGGCACCTCCTCATACTGGGTTGCTTGTTGAATTCTTTTGGAGAGAAACGATGATTTGATGCGCTGATACTCGAGATGGTCGGAATCGAACAAGATGTTTCTGGACTTGGAATCAATGGACTCGTAGTAGCTTAAGATGCTCTTGATGATCAAGGTGGTGATGCTAAGACCGGTTCCAATAGGGAACGCCAAGGATCCCGTATAATCGTCCCATTCTATGGACAACCGAATTTCGTTGAGGTAAAGAAGGAAATCCAACGGAAACGACTTGATCTTGGAAAGCAAGGGCTGCTTTCGGACAATCCTCCTTGAAGACATGGTGGTGGTAATGAGGTGATTTGTTTGTTGATACAGGCGCGTATTTTACGTAAGCTCATCTGAGAGAGAGTAGCCTGGAGAAGAGAAGAAGTGGACGTCAACACCACCAAAGAAGAAGTACTGCGAGCACGAATACAATCCACGAGCTTCACTTGTCCAAACACGCGTCGATACATACCACTCACAGCGAATACAGGCGGATATCCACACACATCATGGCCAGTGGAGATGATACAATCGCTCGGGTACGACACAAGAACTCAGTGCTCCGAGAGAGGCTAAGTCGGTTGATCAACGAGGACGAAGACCTCAAGGAACGGAAGAGCCCAGCACAGAGCCAGGATCACCACAGAAGCGACGACAAGGAGAACCGCCAGCGGTACTTCCAGAGCCTCAAGGAGAACGTGGAGCACCTTAAGAAGAAGCAGTACGAATTGCCAGGCACCAAGCAGGAGAGCCACGTACGAGCGTACGTGGCCAGCGATCGCTCTCTAGACGAGTCATTCGACACCGATCCGCTCGAGTCAGAACTGTCGCCTGAGCAGGAGGTGATTGCTCGATTGAGGGACCAGTTGCGTCTACAGGCGGCCGAGCGCAAGGAGTTGATCGAGGAGTTTCAGCGGAAGGAGGCGACCATGTTCAAGGAGTACCGGCACAAGGAGAGCCAGCTCAGGAAGGAGCTCGAGCAGGTGAAATTGGACCAGGGTCGAGACCACCACCAGCTCGAGGACAAGTACACGTCGCTAGTTGCCCGGCTCCAGCGCGAGAACAGCGACCACCGCGCCAACGAGGCCAGCTTGAACCACACCCTCAAAAAAATATCTGTCAAGGTGGTGATGTACAAACGCCAGCTCCAGGAAATGACCACAAAAAACGAGGCCTTGCAGTCTGTCAATAAGATCCTAACGAGGTCGCTGCAGGTTGTGCATGTGGACTGCACTGATGACGATACCGCCAAATTGATGACAGCTTCCGACACCACCACCGAGGTGCTCATCCGGGGATACAACGGGCCCCCAGCTAGGGAAGGCCGCCCCAGGCTCGCCAGGTACGCAGCCATGGTGCTCTTCGTGGTGCGGGTGCGGAGGATGGCTGAGGCCCGCAAAACCGTGGAAAGACGGCTCCAACTGCTCGTGGCAGACCTCCATGGGGCGGTCTAGGCTGCGGTGCGCTCGTAACCGTGCTATTATCAGGACGACCACGTCCAAAACCGGAGCAAGGCTCCTCGCAAGGCGGACCATCCTCGAAGGGACTTCGGTCCCGGGACGGTGGTGCGGGTGTGCGCCTCAGTGGCCCATCCCCAGGGTGTCTTCCCACCCCTGGTCCGGTTTCACATGTTGCTGCTTCCTCACTCCAGGGTTGCCGTTTTCGCATTTTGGCATGGTTCGCCTAAAAATTGCACCTGCGCCTGCCTACGTCATTGCGCTTTTTTGGGGCATGTTCTAGAAGCACCCTCCACACCCACTCTCAGTTTCACCTGACCGGTTTGGGACCGCTGCACACCAAGGTTATATAAAAGTACCGGACCAGCCTCCGCTGCCTCCTTCTCCTCCAAGTATACGTCTCGCCTACTATGTCGGATAAGTGCGTGCTGTTGGACTTGTCGGCAATCAGCCATGGCGCAGCCATGCCCCACATGCCCCAGTCCCCCAAGACCCACAACCACTTGCCTGCCAACATCACCAAGGTCACCCACATCCCCAACCTCTCAGCATTCGACCTCATCGTCGACATCCGCCCCTACAACTACTACTCTCAGGCCCACATCAAGCACTCCATCAACATCTGTATCCCCACCACGCTCTTGAAACGCTCGTCGTTGGACCTCTTTAGCATCTTGAAGTTGGTCAACATCCCACAACACTATAAGGACCTCCTTTTGGCCAAGATCACCAGCCCTGCAAGCGACCAGAAATTGAACGTGTTGTTCTACGACGGCAACTCGTGCACCGACAACATCTCCTTGAACCTCTCCCAGACCATCATCAAGTTCAACCAGTTCTCGGAAGTGTTCGATCTCCACTACTTGGAAGGCGGCTTTCAGGCACACCTGCTCCAGCCGCCATCGCCCAAGAAGACCAGCATCCACTCAGGCGACTCCGCCAGTACGCTATCGGACTCGGCCTCCTCCTCACCGGTCACCACAAACAGCACGTTTTCGACGTCCTTGGACTCCAACGACGACTTGATCGAGTACACGAACTCGCCCCAGGACTGTGTTGACGAGTGCAGCGACGATAAGTCGTTCCTTTCGGGCTTCAAGTTGCCCTCCTCCACCAACTACAGAACCAAATTCATCAACTCGATCAAGAAGAACTCGTTGTTTGATGAAAAGGCTAGGGCAGCAGACGTGGGGTCCTACCACTACAACTTCAAGTACCCCAAAGGATACTCTCACAAGAACATTGCTGAGTTCCCTTACTTGCCCAAATGGATGGACTTCTTGAAAAGTTCCAATGAGACAGTGCTCACAGACCTTATCACCAAGTTCAACAAAATCGAAGCGTCTGAGAAGTTGAGATTGAGCTCGCTTGTCACCAACTGCACTAGCACTGATGGAAAAGATACCAAGAAGCACTTGCACATCCATAGCCCCTTAGCAAGAAATGAGTCTACTGCACTTTCAAACGTTTGTACACCAAACGGTTTGTGCCCAGATTGTGACGAAATCAACTACAAAATGCCCAAAGGTATCGAGTACGGTTTCAAAAATCGCTATAATAATATCTGGCCCTATGAGCATTCTCGAGTAAGATTGAACACTCCTTCGGAAGATGATTACATTAATGCCAACTACATCCTTTCTGAGTCGGTAGTCCCAACACACTTCAGCTACATAGCTACACAAAATCCTTTGAAGGATACTGTCAAAGATTTCTGGAAAACAATTGATAGTGAACAGATAAAAATTATTATCAGTTTGGACAACTCACCATTATTATACCTCAAGGATGGCAAAAATGTGTTCAACATTGAAACAATTCATTCTAATGCCTCCACTATTGTACGAAAAATCAATAATGAAATTTATCACTTCGAATTCAAAAAGTGGCCAGATTTTGGGGTTCCTCAAAACTTTGATTCTATTTTATCATTGATTCAATTCAAGAATGAGTTGTACAGTTCAAAATTAAGGCCTGATCAAAACAAGATTTTAGTTCATTGTTCTGCCGGATGTGGTAGAACAGGAGTCTTCATTACCATTGATAGTCTCATTGACCATTTCAAGATGGATTCAACTAAACTATTGAACTCCAAAGAGGATCTCGTATACAAGTTGGTTCAACACCAGAGAAAGCAAAGATTATCGATGGTGCAAAACTTGGACCAATACATTGTTAGCTATGAGATTTTCCTTTTCTATTTGTCTAATTTAGACAAGTACAAGAATAAAGTGGGTCCCGACTATTGGTTGGCTTCGGTGAATTCAATTTCTCAAGAGCCAACTAGGGAGAAGATCAGAACAGCAGAAGTCACCACTGAATACAAAAATAGTGATGATTATTTTCTGGGATTCTCGAGACCAAATTACACCAATACCGTAAGGTCTAATTAGCATAAGTAGCTTAGCATATGATTTAATTCTACAAAATAGCATAACTTTCGTGAGTTTAGTAGATTCGTAAAACATAACTATTAAGGATACTAATATGATGCTACAACGTCTGCAGGAATGCGGCACCGAGTTAGGGAAGACACAACAGTCTGACACACTATTAAAGTTTGGCGTGCCATTTCTCTTTGAGGTTGCGGTCGTAGCAGCATGATGCAACCTAAAATCTTGTACATTCTGCTAAATGCGAAGTCTCTCCACCCCCTCTCTGACGTTTAAATTAATTCTTGCTTCATTAATCACCTCAATTGGCAAGCCAAACACGGGGTTGACCGGTTTGGTATGCACTTTTTCAATTGCTCCTCGTACCTTGAAATTGAACGCCAAGGGATCTTCTCCTTGTTGGTCCGTCAACCCGACCAAGTGCTCGCAAATGCTCAATCCACATAAAGTATAGTTGGTATGGTAGAAATCCACCAGTTTCCCTGGTTTATCCCTAAATCCCCCTTGATCGGCCTGGGCGCATCTCAAGATGTAGTTCCTGAGACCATCACGATTGAAGAGCTCAATGTCGTTGGAAATAGACTCCAAGAGAGGGAACAAGGCACCTATCCAAAAACTGTAACATGCATCAACCAACTTGTTTGTACGGCCACTGACACCTCCTTCCACTTGGTATTGTCTTTGCACGCTCCATCTGATAAGCGAGGCCAAGTTGAATGACTTGGAAGTGTGGAATTCTGCCTTATCAGCGAATAATAAGAAGTAGCTGGCTACGGCACAAAACGTGTATCCGCCGTGGGCCTCTGTGTCAGGTGTGCCTGCGAAACCCCCTTCGTAAGTTTGACATCGATTGAGCCATTCCAAGGTGCCTTGGGTGATTTCAGGTGTGAGCATGTTCAATAGCGAACAAACGACAAGCACACAGTACGTCGATCTAGTGTCACTCTCACCATCAACATGCATTGAGAATGATCCGTCTTCCCTCTTTAATGATAAGTACCACCTGTAGAGATTTGGTCTTAATATTGTCAATACCTCGTAGTTCTTGGTCGATACTAATGCTAAGATTCCTGCATAAGTTGCTGCCACATGTCCAAGTTGATTGGCACCTCCTGCTATTCCATTGAGCCCATTATCTATAATACAACTAGATATTTTTGCGTCGACCAATTCCGCAAACCGTGCCTCAATCTCATCATCGATGGTGATGACATTGAGTGCATTGTAAAGCCAGTACATCATCCAGGGATGATTTGGATCGAGCACAAAGTATCCTGCTGGCAACTTGGCATTCAAAGATTTCTCGATGTATTTCTTGTGGCCAGAGTAGTTGAAAGCCAAATCAGGATGTTCTTTGAATGACTCGAGGATGAGGTCCTCGGTCTCATCCTGGACTATGGTTGTTTGTGAGTCGTAGTCATCCGTCACTGATGAAAGAGAGGGGTCGAAACTGGTATGAGATTTTGCTATCGACTCAATAAGATTGGCTTTATGACTAATGGGAGTAGTTGCAATCATGTCTTCGTAATCGGAATCGCTGTCTAAAGGAGTGTCGTCCTCGGTTTCTTTGGCAGTCCGTTTTCTGCCCAAAAGGTTTAGCAAGTATGAAACTTTCCTTTCATTCTCTGCCATTTTATAGGTTGCAATTGTTTCACTTCCGTCAAGCTATGTTCTACTCGATTCGGCCATCACTATGGACCATAGGTGTGGATGTGTCGCTATGTCGCATCAATGTCGCATCCCACTTCAGATTCTCCAGAGGTACCGAAATGTTATTACGAATATGCCTGTAGGCTGCTAACAAAGGTTGCTCAGAAGAACCCAAAGCAGTGCCTTGGACTACTACAAGACTTTAAGATTGAATAACAAGAAGAGTCCATAAAGCGGTTAACGAAAGTAGTTTGCCAGATCCGGTACCATTTTTGCTCGCAAATCCGGGTTTAATCAAAATTAGGTATAAAAAAGAGCAAAAAATATGCGATTTCTGTGGATCGAACACAGGACCTTCAGATTAACTGTGACTGAATCTCTTCAGTCTGACGCTCTCCCAACTGAGCTAAAACCGCAAATCGAACCCACGCCGGGAGTCGAACCCGGAATCTTTTGATTAGAAGTCAAACGCGTTAACCATTACGCTACGCAGGCGATTTGTTGAGAGAAAAAACTGTTGTTCAAACACATCGAGTTACCTATATATGCTTTCACGTGATCTTGCTGTTTTGAGCTATGTACTACCAAGCTGTTGCAATCTTCCACAACAGTCTTCACCACTATACTTGTCAGTTTTTATCTTTTGAATCCTTCTCTAATGAGAACATGATTTGATCGCATTACTGCTCAGATAAATTCCAAGCAAGATCTTAGCTTGTCAGTCGTTCTACGTGTGTGTTTTCAAAAAAATCTCTACTACAAAGCTTAGTACATTGTTAGCTAGACAGTATATTCTGATATAATTCACATTAGCAACAAAGCATCCATTTTCGCTGTGGTTAAGCTAATAAAAGCATTTGAGATCAAATAATTATGGCACCTCAAGTCTAATCTTGAATCCTTGAAGAAGTGCTGCAACATTAATTACAAAAAACACGAGGAAATGAAGCAGCTCGTATATATTTGGGTAATCTTGATTCCTATTTCCAGCTGTTAAACTTTACACTTTGAGTAGAATTGAATTCCCGTGGCAGAGCCTGTTGCTTAATTCGCTCCTTTTGATCTATTATCTGATTTTTTTGACTTTTGTGAAATTTCATCAGAAATACGAGGAATCGCCAATTCTAGTACGAACCCCAACGAAGCCATAAATACTTACAGTTCCAACCAAATTTTGATCTTTGTTCTGTGCAACCATGTCTTTCACCTCAAATGGCTTGTGGGTATATAAAGTCGTGCACATACCAATATTTAATAGTAAAAGTATGATACATAGTAGCGATTCCTTATCGAACACGAACTATGTCTGATAGAATCAGCTCCTTTTTCAGAAGAGCGTTCACTGAGTCCAACCAGCAATATTCGCCGGTAGACAACCAAAGCTCTCTGAACTTACCGGGGGCGTTTCCAGGAGATGAAGCAGAACTGGTTGTGCCAAATCAAAGAGCACAATTCAACTCAGAAAGCCTTAATGAGACTGCTAGGAATATAAAAAAATGGATAAACATCATATTCATAAGGCCATTGATAATAGTCTTGGTGATTTGTTTCAGGTTATTGGCCAAACTATTATCTATCGTGTACTTCAAAGATCAAGTGGCGACTGCTTCAGATGACTACCTGGTTCACAATGACTCAATCAATAAAGTCAACAAATTTATAAGAGACTTGGAAGACAGTTTGACTCCCGAACAATTGTCCAGAGGAACATCCTCCATGCCACCATTTTATGAAGGTAGCTACACCCAAGCATTGTATATTGCCACCAACCGTGCCAAGTTCTTATTTGTGTACTTGACCAATCCCCATAACGAGAGCTCATCTTCTCTATTCAAAAAGATCATTACCAACCCTAAGTTTATTGATATTTTTAACAAGAACAAAGATGTACTAATTTGGGGAGGAGACTTGACTAATCCTGAAGCATATCAGCTTGCGAACAGTTTGAACGTGACGAAATTCCCATTTTTAGGGTTGTTATGTTTGACCAGATCTGTGACCATGTCTCAGCAGGGACCCATCAAAACAAGTCCAAAGATTTCGTTAGTACTGAAAATTCAAGGAGGTATCAAGGATGACGTGGATGAGAACGCCTTAATGCGTAGCAAATTCCAGAAGAAGATTGTGAAATATGAGGGGGAGCTAGGGCTTATCCGGAATGAATTAAGAGATAGATACATGGGTCAGTTGTTGCAAAAGCAACAAGAGCTAAACTACGAGAATTCGTTGGCAATCGATAGGGCGAAAAAGCTCAAGAAAGCCTATGAACAAACAAAGAAAAAATATTTGGAGTACAAGTCCACTTACATTAATGAATTAATGAAGAATCCACAGTCTGGAGATCAATCCAAGATCGCCATTAAAATGAAAAGTGGAGCACGGCCTACATTTAATTTCCCAGCAGGTAATCCTGTATCTGATATCTTTTTATACGTCGAACTATACAATCAGGGGTTATTGAACACGGAAACTTCCGGATCCATCACCGAGACAGAAGCCCAACAGTTATTTGCGAATTTTGAAATGAAGTATGAGTTCAAATTAGTGTCACCTTTACCTCCCAGAACCAATTTGAATGAAATGATGGAACGTTCCATTAGGGAAATTGATGTGATCTACCCAAATGGGCTATTAATAGTAGAGGATATGTGATAATACATGCTGGTCAGAAAATATCCGACCCTTGGTGGTAATTTCAACTGTAGTCCAATCACTTGGAGACCTTTCCCTTCTTGGCCTTTTTCTTTTCCTTTTTCTTCAAGCCCACGAACCCGTTCTTGATAACCTGGACGTAGTCGGTCCAGAACTTATCCAAGCGGTCGTTATCGACCACTGTCGACAACTTGGTCTTGTCCTTTTTGTCCTTTCTGTCCTTGCCGTTCATTGCTATTCTTATCAACACGGGGTACTGTTCAGTGTTTTGTGGGTGTGAGTCGTTGGCGATCACATTGGATGAAAGGTCGTTGATGCCGGTGGTGTCTTCCAACGGCAAGGATGCAGAGAGTCTTTTCTGGGTCAAGTACACCGACGACTTGCCGTCGTTGGTGCTCAAGATCTGGGCGACCTGCTTCAAGAACTCAGAATTGTCCAACCTGGTCATGATGATGTCTGGATAGTATTGGAGTTAGTGATCGCTTGAACTCCAAATTTTTTTCTGCGCACGCCCGAGAGGGCTCCATTCTGGGAGCGAATGTGAGGGAGGGTCCTTGGAGGGTCCGAAGGGTAGTGAAGTAAGGATGTTGGCACGGGACTGGTTGTAGAAGAGCCCGATCCAGCCTCTCACTGGTATTGGAAGAGACGGTCCATCCATACGGAAAGGCAGAGCAGGAACCCTCCTGGGGCTGTACTTTAGTACTACCTATTCTCTGGCCCAAGGCAGTATCTACACTGAAAGGTATCTCTGGGACAAAACACTAGCAGATAACTCGCCCATGGAGCACTTCTCGTGGTGCTCGGGGTAGCTGTGGCAGTTTCCCTATTGGACCTAAGCGACCGCAATCCACAGGGTTAAGCCTCGCTAGGCCTGTCAGGGCCCCGGCGACCGCCGCAACCGCGTTATCTCGTTATCAAAAGCACGAATTTCAACAGCCACATCTTGACCACCACCTTCTTTAGCAAGCTCTCATGTCGTTGAACACTACGTCGCACTTGCCGCAGAGGCTCACAGCCCTCGTGGTGTCGGTATTGGTGGCGTTGGCTGCTGGCACGCCGTATTTGTACGGAGTGTTTTCCCCCCAGCTTATCCAGAGGGTGGGTCTCACCATTTCAGATTCGGCCACCATCTCGCTGGCTACGAACTTGGGCTCTGGCCTCGGGGGGTTGCCTGCTGGATTGGTGATCGACCACTACGGACCCCACATCTCCATCATGATCGGCTCCACTGGCATCTTTCTTGGCTACTTGGCGTTGCACATCATCTATCAACGTGCAATTGCCAGTCTTCCGTTGATATGCATGTCAATGGCGTTGGTGGGCTTTGGCTCTATCACCTGTTTCTTCGCCACATTGAAGGCTGCTCAAGCCAATTTTCCCAAGCACAGAGGCACGGCTGGCGCCTTTCCTGTGAGTGCCTTTGGCCTCGCGGCCACAATCTTCTCGGTGATTGCAGCTACATTCTTTAGCGGCAACTCTGGAGGCTTGCTCTTGTTTTTATCGTTGTGCTGTGGAACTATTGCCTTCGTGGGTTCGTTCTTCATCCACGTCTATCTCGACCAACAGGACCCTGGCGACGAAGAGCAGCAGGTACAGGCTATCAGTGTACCTCAGGTTTCTTCAGGATTTTCTGACGAAGAGTCTCCTTTGGTGTCCAGGTCCAATTCGTCCTATTCTTTGGCTGCCTTAGACGAATCTGGCACTAAGCTACTCAATGGCAAGACTTTATTTTCGGATTCTTTCCGGGGTACTAAGCCTTTGTTGGGAGGCAAGGGAGCCTCGGTCAGTTCTAGCACCTTGGATTCGGATTCTACGCTTCGTAGTATCCCTGAGCTGCCCAAGAGTGAGACATTATTGAATACCAAGAATAATCTGCAAACTGGCCTGGCCCCCGGTGCTTCAAAGAGAGTTCCTATCATCCAGATATCGCAGCCACAGATTGAGTCCCGACCAACCAGGCCGTTGGATGTAATAAGAGATAGACTCACCGATAGAGTTTTTTTGACACATTTCTTGGCTGTTAGTTTGAGCAGCGGAATCTGTCAGATGTATATCTATTCAGTGGGATTCATTGCAACAGCCCAATATTACTATGATCCTGAACATGGTCAGACTCAACTATTTGCAAGAGCCGTTGCGGCAATTACTGGTGGAGCCCCTATTTCAGGCGGAGCAGCTGCATTGCAGGCTGTCCAAGTCTCAGTGATATCATTGGCTTCATTCTCAGGCAGATTGATAGCAGGATTCTTGAGTGACTACATTCACAAAAAGTTTCACATTTCGAGATTGTGGATCGTTGCGGCAACTTCTGTTGCTTTGGCAGTTGGACAATTCATAAATATCCACAATGTTAATAATCCTCATCTTGTTAGCATCGCCTCCGCGTTGATAGGAGGCTGTTATGGATTGGCATTCGGTACTTATCCTGCGGTGATTGCAGACCAGTTTGGAACCAAGACATTTTCTACAAGTTGGGGGTTGATCTGTGTGGGGCCATTGACCGTCTTGTTCAGTTTAAACAAGTTCTTTGGCTACTTGTATGACTCCAATTCTGATCCCGCAACAGGGATCTGCTACAAGGGAAACGAATGTTATAAAGGTGCATTTGAAATAAGTTTCAGTTTGTGCTTTCTCCTTCTTGTTGTGGTGTTGATTTTGATTTCCATTGATAAGAAGAAGAGATAGATGAAGGAATCGCGAGTTTTTATTTATTGATCTCATTATGTATTTACAGGTAGGTTATATGAGCAAGTTTAGTTAACGCATAAATGGTTTGTAGTAAAAGTACTCAATCGACTTGATTCATACTTTCCAAATCGATTTCTTCCACCAATCCCTTTTGATAAACAGCCTTTCCTAATAAGCCAGAGAAATAGCTGGAGCTGATTTCGGCATCTTTAATTGCCTTTTCAAGCTTCTCCTTTTCTAATGATCTCTTATCTATACTTGTTTGGAAATTGTTCATAACTTGTCTAGATGGATAGTTCAAGACTCTTTGACATTCTCTTGCTATTCTAGTAGCATTATTATGTGGGTAATCCAACTCATGAATCTGTTTCTTTATCTTCTTTGCCTGGTTTCTAGGGAAGGCATGCGGAATATCATTCAATAAATAATAGATGGTAACACCCGAAACACAAACCACGAGTGGCATGGCAATCTTCTTGATCACAGTTGGGGTCAACACATGCGATAATTCCCAGGCTTTTTTGGCAAGTGCACCAGTAGTGAGGATCTTGCCCGAGGAATAAAGGGTATGCAACGTTAATTGAGATGGAACCAGCTGCTTTAAAGCCATTGCATTACTAGGAATACTGGTTATTAATCCGACTGGATTGTAGTAATTGATTTGGTCTCTGGTAGTAGAGACGAATGTACTAGGAACTCCAATCCACAACAAGAAGCTCTCTAATGAAGGGTCGAAGAAATCAGAAAATTCAATACTATCGTCTAGCTTTTTCTTTATGGAATCACGTTTGCGGGTAAACATGAGTTCTGAGTTGAAGACTTTGTCATGCAAAAACTCTTCACCTAAGTTGCTTTGACCGTATTTGATAATCTCATCGACCTTTTCGGAGGTTATACTTCTTGCATCTTCTTCACAAGTGATAATCGTTTCCAAGATTCTGTTAAACATCAGTTGCTGCGTGTCTCTTGCAAACTCATACAAATTCTGAATCCCGTTGAATTGTACCCCAAGAGATGACTCTCCCAATTGATTGACAGTAGTCAATATTTCCTTCTTGGTATTGTTATATACCTCAGTATAGGTATGATCAATAAGATTGTTGATTGTGTCACCAATTTTAATACTTTTAGACATTATTTCGTTGTACTTGGGACTGATCTGGTTTTTGAGTTCATGCACCTTTTGCTCTTTGGCCTTGGTATACACTTTCTCATTGAGTCTGGACAATGACTCCAAATCATTCAAAATGTTGAGCAAATAACTCTTTGCTGGCAACAATTTAGAAATAGCCCTCTTTTCCAAAATAAACTTTCTCAAAGATGCTTCCAAGTGATCAAAGTCAGGATTTGATCTTTCGGGACCGTCGTTGTTATCTGGATCATCATCACCGTCAGGGCCATCGTCACCCAAGACATCAGTAGAACTAACAAAATGAATAAACTCCTTAGCATTCTTGTATGTATCGGGTGACAACGTCTTTACCTGATCTAAAATTCTTTGCATACACCTTTCCTTATTTTTGATGTTGTCAAATTTGTTGACGACAATGAAAACGTATCTCTTTTCAGCTGCTGTTGCTGCAATGAATTCTTTGGCTGAGAGTGTGAAATGGTTTTCCGAGTTCACCACGAAAACAACAAGATCAATCTCTTCTTGTCTAGAGAATACTTGTGTGGTTTGATAAGAATCCAAGTTCAATCCCGGAGCATCAATCAATTTGATGTCGATCACCCCATTGTGTAATAAGCTCTCTTGAAAGGTCCTGTTGTCTAAAACGTACACCTTTAAAAGCTGGTATGAGTCGAAATCATAGACCAAGTCTTCCAATTTATCAAGTGGAAATTTCTCGTAGGTGCTCTCATCCCTTTGATTATATTCCGAGCCAATTCTAACAGCATGGACTTCTTCTATACTATTATTTTCTTTTGAAGCATCAATAACCTCGCAGAATACTGAGGTACAGGGTTGTTGATCTTCAGGCAAAAGCTTTCTTCTCAATAAAGCGTTGCAGAAGGTAGACTTACCCGAGTTTAAGTCACCAGTGACAAACACCTTCGAGGTGGTGTCATCAACACGATCCTTTAAGTTAAGCAAATACTTGACTTGCTGAGACAACTTCTTGGTTAAAAGCGAGGAAATGGATTTCTTGTCCAAATTTTGCATCAAGTTGTCTTCATTGTGACCGCTCTTGAGGTCAAGCTTCAAGATCTTGAAGGTTGGAAGTTCTTCGTCCTCTTCTTCCATGGCAGTCTTCGCCTTTTCAAGAGCCTTGGAAGACTTTTCGTTCATGATCATGGCTATGTGAGCACTTTTGGAGTTTAAAAGAAGATCGTTATTAGTGCCAGTCTTGGTAGGGTAAAACACTGGTCTCTTTTGATTTTCTTCCGTCAATTCATACAAGAGCTCGATGGTTTGGTTGATTGCTCTATCCAAACTGATCTTGTATTCGTTGTATTGGAGCTGTTGGAGAGACGCAGCCATGTTTTGAGTTCTCTTAGACAAGCCAGTACTGGATAGAGCCTTGCTACTGGAACCAGTTCCGGTTTGTCCATCGACTAGGGTGCTATGATCACCAAATCTTCCTTCTTCCGGGATGTACATCACCGAAGAGGGCACTTCCTTCTCCAACTTTTCATCGTCTTGGATCAAGGTTGTGGCATCGTCACTCGAGTTGGACACTTGTCTCTTTAAATGGATGAAGCCTTCAGACATGGTGGGATATCAGTTTAACAGTACCACAGGTCTCGCGCAGATAGACGAGAGGTGGTGAGGATAGCAAACAAGGAATGGATGTCCCCTTCAGAGTCACAGTTATACTGAGTAAGTGAGTGAGAACCGTCGTGGTATAGTTTCGTGATCGTTATGGATTCCAGCAAGGTTTGGAATTGCCTTTCAATGTAGCGCCACCAATTTTGATCTCATGACTTTGTGGTCACTGGAGCGAAGACGATGGCGGGGGCCGCGGTACGGGCTAGGGAGAAAGTGGTGCGGTAGAGCGAGAGCGAGGAGCAATCAGTGGTGCGCACCCAGAAAAACTTAGTGGGGCCACAGTCACCATCGTAGCGAGAGAGTGAGGAGAGTAAGGCTATCTGTTATGTTGAAGGTTGAGCAACCTTGTACTCGTGACTAGGTGCTTAAAGGAAGATATTGGGCTATTGAATATTCCTTTTGCACTCAATACGGATTTAATGGCGGGAAAAACGGTATCCACGCCTCTTTCTACACTGATTCAATGGCTGAAACATGAGACTGGCTATATGTTCTCCATGATCTTGACACTAAGCTTGCCGATTTCCACTGTGTCGAACTTGTTAGTGTCCTTGACCACTGCAAGCGACAATTTGAGAGCATCATTGATGAACAGGCTGGCAATGGCTTTGTACTGCTCCCAGAACTTCTTGGGCTCTCCATCTTCGAGGAATAATTCCTCTTCCTCTGGAGTGAGCGAATCCTCGTCCTTAGCCAAGATATGGGCGACATCTATTCTATTCTTTCTGAAACTTTTGGTCAAATGGGCCAATTGAGCTTCGGCTTCGGGAATGGCGTCATACTTGTGCTCCTCATACGGGCTCAATATTTCATAGATTTGAGTAACGGTCGAGACGAACTGGGGAAAGGCGTAGAAGAGGTAGGGGTCTTCGTTTCGGATGAGGTTCTTGAGGTTGTTGACCAGGGGCCGGACGAAGGTGCGGCCTAGCAGGTGCCTGAACTGGTACTCCTTGTTAAAAAGTTCGTATTTAAAGTACGAGAATGATTGGGAGGAAAAGTCGTTCTTTTGCACCCAAAAGAGATACTGTCCCCCGAGCCTGGACCTGGCATAGGCTAATTGCTGGGAATCGGTGATCGACAATGCCTCGAAGACCTCCTCGAGCTGGGTAAACCAGCTCAAGAGCGGTGCAGGGTCCCTGTCGTAACCTTGGTGGCCAAGACCGCTATAGACTGGTACTGCAGTCAGGATGTATTTTAGAACCTGTAAATCGAGGGACATTTCGGATGGTGGATGTGGAACAACCGTAGGGCGACAAGACCTTTATATAGCCGTGAACGGAGGTAGGTCGCCCAGAAATGTATACGAACCGAAGGGCCCCACAGGGCCTGGTTTACGAACTCCCGTATACAGGACGCAAGGAACACGTCCTGCGCATAATATTCTTCAAACTCACGTGCCACCTCGCTGTTCTCCGAGCTTATCTTGGAAGATCCACCATTCGCCAGCATAGGCCACTCTCCTTTCATGCCTCTTCACACCTTCGATACGTCCAAGCTTCCTGGCCCCGTGTTTGCCGAGGCATTGAGCCCCGAGTCGTTTGCACCTTACGGTGGGGTCATGAGTGCAGATCAACAGATCCAAAGGGCCCAGAGCTCAGCTGCTAACTACGGAACTGCGGTCAAACTACACAAGGTGGCCCCCATAGTGAACAACTACGCTCACAGTCCAAACACACAGCCCGCCACTGCCAACTGGAACATTTTCCGCTGCTCTGCTCCCCGGAAATTGATCACCAACCAGGGCACCTTCAAGATATACAACTCCAAAGTGTTGGAAAGACACCCATACTCTACTCAAACGTTCATTCCCATGGGCCAACACGCAGACCAGGTGTCGTATATTGTTATCGTGGCCCTCACCGACGAATCCAGCCCCCAAAAGCTCCCAGATCCAACCACGGTGAAGGCATTTCTATGCAGGGGAAACCAGTCTGTCACGTATGGAGCAGGCACCTGGCACGCTCCGATGGTGGTCATTGACGAGAGCGTCAAGCACATCGACTTTGCCGTGCTCATCCACGAAAACGGGGTAGCAGATGACGATTGCCAGGAATGCTATTTCGAACCCGGCTACCAAATCAAGTATGCCACCCCTTCAGGAAGCAAAAATTCTAGCAGGGCTAGATTGTAGTGATTGCAGGGTATTTAGTCTTCATAAAAAATCCATGACTTCTTCGATAATCTTGTTAACGTACTCTTCTCTTTTCTCAGGAGCAACATTCTGAACGTTGTCCTTCGCAAGTCTCAACTTTCCAAATATCTCATCCAAGTCCATATCGTTGTGATTGTCTTCTCTGTCATCGAGTAGTCCCCTGGTCATTTCGTCTGCCTTATCTCTTTTGTTTTGTTCGTAGTCATGGACTAAAACTCTATTAGTCCACTCATGGCTTTGCAATATCTCAAGTACCCTGTCCTTTCCAATGGACTCGTGGAACTCGTTCTTACCCAGTTGGCTGAAATTGACAAACTCGAACCCAAATGAAATCACAAGATCTTCAAGTTCTTCCTCGTCCCTCTCTGAAGTTGCAAGTATACACACGAAACCATCCTCAATGCTGTCTCTGATTTGTTCCACCACCTTCAAACTCTCTTCGATGTGTGCATGCAGTGTCTTGGGGTCTATGCAGAAGATCAATCCTTCGAGTACTTCCCGGATTTCTTCATACTCGTCACTAATGAACTCAGAGTACCAGTTCCTCAAGGCACTCAAGGCATCAGCTTCTAGGACGGAAACGGATCTCTCATCTGGGAACTCATCTATAAGGAGATTCAACTTGGTGGTATAGTACTTCGTGTTCAAGTCCGTTTTGACGATGATCCCGCTATGAGTATCCAGCGGACGATCAATTTTTTCATCTGGACGATCACTCCTAGACACAATATACTCTGCCACACGCACTTTACCTGTGCGAGGAGCTCCTAGGACTAGAACATGATTGGGAATCATAAGGAGGAAGGTATAGAAACAGTTATGAAAATGATGCAGTTACGTAAATGATGAGTAAGCATTCTCACGTGATCCTCACTAGATCAACCCAGATACAGCCAGAGTAGCAGAATACACATCAATAACATTCCTATGCCCCCGGTTGCTACTGAAGATACGACTAAAGAGGCCTCTCCGGTGATCGATACCAACCAATTGGAGAACTTGCTCCTTAGGGATGAAGATATCTTTCAAACGTCGTTGAACTCACAAGACTATTTGGAAAGTCTTTCGCCTATTATTCAAGATGCTATCAAAGCAAACGGATTGTCAGAGCTTATCAATAAGTTGAACAACATCGTCAAAGACAAGGATGAGGAGCTCACCACATTGTCATTAAACTCTACCGAAGAGATCAACCAGTGCATAGATAACATCGACAAGATCCATGATGAATCGCTTGAGTTGAACAAGAGTCTACTTTCCATAAACCAGCTCCTTAACAAATCAGTACATGAACTCCTGGTAAGGAAGAAGAACTTGCTTCAGCGGAAGGAAGTGAATATCAAAATCAACGAGACGCAAATAGTATTGAACTTGTGTATTCAAGTATTGGAGATTACAAACAAAATCCACGAGTTGATTAAACAGAAGAAGTACTTCAATGCCCTCAAGTTGATCGACGAAGTAACAAATGTGCACTTACCCAAGGTAGAGAACTTTCAGTTTACCATTAAAATTTACGACTCAATTCCACATTTGATAGGAATGATCAAAGAAGAATCTTTTGAGAGTTTGATCAAGTGGCTCTCGCTAAACATGGAGAGGAAGTTTGACAAAATAGGAGACCTCATCTATGAAAACTTATTCGACTTGCTGGACAATTGGGAAGCATTAAAGAAGAAAAACTCAAACTTTTTACCTTACAAATTGAACTCCCCAATAGAACTTTCGTTGAGGGATCCTTTGATGAACTTAAACTTGTTTAATGAATCAAGTGAGCTCAATATTGACTTGTCGGTATTGTTTGATTCCATCTTGGTGTACCAAACCCTTGGTGAAATAGACCAATTATCCGTTCTTTACAACAAAGAATGGCTTAAAAAGCACAATAGAATAATTTACCCCATCACCGCTACTACTTCTTCAAAGACTACCTTAGAAAATTTGGCGAACTTTTCCACCTTGGGTGCATTACAGGATTATCTTAAGAAGATTGCGTCCTTGTTTACAATGGACAAGCACATTAACTTAATTACCAAGTTTCAATTGAGATCCAATGATTTATCAAATGATCTTTGGGAGTCTTTTATTACGAAGTTAAAGCCAGTCTTGATTAACTTCTTAAGAACTCATAAGTTTAAACTGGTTCAAGAGTTGACTGATGTAAAGGACGTGATTGGTAATTTCCTTCAAATAATGGAGATGAATAATTATAATATTTTGGAGATATATGAAGTCATGATCATATTATTCAGGGATTATTTTGCCCCATTGATTATCCTGGACTTCAGACTAGAGTTTATCGAATCCATTCAATCAGACCATTACATGCCATTGATAGTGGACAAAAAGGCCGACTTTGATAACATCATAAAGATTTGTTGGTATGACAAGAATGCTCAGAAATTGGATACGAGTCATCTTCCAATTACTTTCCCATTCAGTGAAGATTATGTACATTATTGTTTGGGAATAAGGTCATTACTTGAAGAAATTATTCAATTCATCAATCAGCACTATAGCTACGATCAGAATGAATTGAACAATATTATTGTTAACGATGTGTTTGAAAAGGTACTTAGCGAAGAGCGTGGTGTTGGTATATCAAACGATATTGAAGAGTTTATCGAGAAGAACAGCATGAATAAGGAAATCACCTCGCAGAGTTACACCAACTTGGAATACTATCTTTATAGTGTTTATGAGATAGGTAAGCTCATAAACAGAAGATTGAGAATCCATACTGGTATTGGGATTCATAATATTGACATTAATGATTTACCAGTTCTCAAAGCAGTAGAGAATTTCAAAAAGCTCCGGAAATATTCTGAAAGTGTTATTTTCTCAATGGTGGATGGAAAGATCAGAGAATTGTTGGAATTGGTCGAATACGACGACTGGTTGCCGACCGAAAGTAACGCGGAGGCAAATTATTCAATCAAGGATTTCGCTCAATTCTTAGAGAATTTGTTCAGTTCCATTTTCTCCACCCTTCCAAAGTCAATCAGAACATTGGGTTTGTTCAGAACATATGATTTCGTTGCGGAAAACTTCTTGAATGTGTTGAAGGATACGGTTGTTTACAACAGAATTGCTATTGGCAATTTTGATCTCGACGTGCAATACATTGAAGAGTCTATGAAGAGATTATACAAGATGAATGGAGAAGTCGATGGAGAGGGTGACGGAAACAACGGTAACGTAGCGTTGGAAACCACCTTCACAGAATTAAGACAATGCATTGATTTATTGAAGTTAGACAATTATGATGACTTTACCAAAAACCCCACGTTCAGAATGAGAAACTTCGACAGAATAAGGTACGAAGACGGGTTGAGGTTAATTGGGAAGATGCAAGGGTACGAGGACTTGGGCGACGATCCAAACCGGAGTTTGGAAGACAACCAGAGCTTTGACCAGCAGTCCAATTATGACACCCAGTCCTTGTTCTCCACATCCACTGCTTCCAAATTTGCCAAGTTCAGCAGTAGGTTCAAAAAGAACGTGGACTAGTTATTGACGATGTATGTATAATTAACGGGTTGTCCGAACGATGTAGTAGCGAACCAGGGGAATGGGGTGGTGTGAGGATGTCGGAGGCACAAATGTTGTCTGAGGTTAGTTTTATCTCTAGAACAAAGATCCGGGGTCGAATGTGCCACTTCCTGTTCCTCCTAGAACCATCTTTTGAACTGGATTCGAGCTATGCCATCACTTCCACAAGTAGTGGTACCATCTCTTGTTGCTTCTCTCGATTTCCACCCGTTTCTCGTCCAAGAGGTCCTGGATCGAGTCCTCCAACTGCTTGGTCTTCTCTGCCAACTTCTTCTCCTCGACTTCATACTCCAATCTCAACCACACTGCGTGGAGCACTAGACATGTGGAAGAGGCCACGAGAAAGGTGTGAAGCAACGGGTTCTTGAACTCGCTGAGCTTGGGTTTGGGCTGGGCCTGGGCCTCTGGAAACGTAATCTTGGCCAAGGTCCTGGCCAATCGTGGTGCTGGCCGTATATGTCTGGAGAACATGTTTGGTGGTGTAACCTGTATTTTGCCCTGCACAACTTGTGAATCCAGTTGATCAAAACTGGTGGCCGCGATCAGGTGATGGAGTCGGGGTTTTAGCGCGAGAGTAAGAATTTCAAAGCCCACAACATGCTTCGCTTTGGACAAGGAATAAGAGGTGGCCTTCCAGGGCTTGCCAGGGCCTATGCGGTCAAAAACCCTTCGTACTCGCTCATCAGACCATACCAATTTGCCAGAGTGTTGAGCCTGCCATCGCAGCCTTCGCCAGACCAACAAATGCAGCTCGAAAGAATGAAGATGGACAGAATCGAGATGGAAAGAGCCGCCAGAATAAAGTACAGGAACAGAACTGCCACCTACTACTCAGCCTCATTGGCTGTGTTGTTCTTGGCGTTGTCGTTCGGGGCAGTTCCGTTGTACAGAGCCATCTGCCAGAGAACAGGTTTTGGAGGTATCCCCATCACCGACTCCACCAAATTCACTCCAGACAAGCTTATTCCGGTGGACACAAACAAGAGAATTAGGGTTCAGTTCACATGCCAGTCCTCGGGGATCTTGCCTTGGAAATTCACTCCTTTGCAGAGAGAAGTGTACGTGGTTCCTGGTGAGACAGCCTTGTGTTTTTACAGAGCAAAGAACATGTCCAAGGAAGACATCATTGGAATGGCAGCCTACTCAGTCACCCCAGACCACGCTGCGCCATACTTCAACAAAATTCAATGCTTCTGCTTCGAGGAGCAGAGATTGAGTGCTGGCGAAGAGGTGGACATGCCTGTGTTCTTTTTCATTGACCCCGAGTTTGCCAAGGATCCTGCAATGAGAAACATTGACGACATCGTCTTGCACTACTCCTTCTTCAAAGCCAGTTACACCGACGGAGAATTGGCTGCGGTTCCGGTACCCAGCAAAGCCATTGCCTAAGAGTTCTTGATGTGTCCTGTAAATAGTCACTATACACAGTGGGGAATCAAAAGGTGAACGATGGAAGAAAGGGGTTCCTGGAAATAGTGTCGCCAGATTATCTGATGGGATCTTTGTCTGACGGATACTGTAGGCACCTGTGGGTCTCGACCCAATTTTGGAAACTTGCGTTTTCTGGAACCCCGTTTTACGTCGCCTCATTTAAGCAATTTGTACATAATTATTACTAAAGGACGCCGTAAAAAAAGAAAGCTAGGATTCAAGAAAATTCCGGCAAGATCTGCAATATAGGGCCCCGAAAACTTCAGTTTGTCCGGATATTTTCAGCCCAGTGTAGTCATCGCTACCACCAAACACGAGTGGGCAATTATGCGGCCAATTACAGCAGGTCCGTAGGCGAGCTACCAGGTCTTGGCTACCGATTTGTGTAACCCGATATTATGCGACGCTCCTTGCGGTTGTTACAGGTGCTACAAGGGCGGGGCAGATTATCTTGATGATCTAGATAATGGTCCGACATTTTTCAGTCAGACAGAATCAGGATTGGCGGGTAGACAGGTGCGGCCGAGGCTTAGCTGCACACATCTCTGTGGACCGGTGCCGCAGTGGGTTCAAAGAGCCACCATATCTCATCGAGGCGCCAACAGGGCTTTCATATCCTAGCCAACCAGTACCCCTGCCCTTCGACACCACGTCACAGTTATGATCCCTAGCCAAATATGCTTTTGGTTAAACGGTCGGTGATTCGTTGATGCTTATTTCCATGCAAAAACCAATATATCCGAGTATGGCGCAAGTGGCCAATTAAACTTTCCCAGTGTCTAAAAGTTAGAATTGCACCTGCAGCCGTACAGGGCCGATTCTAATTAATGGGATACACACAGTCCAGTATATCCGCCCCCTCAGTGTCTGACTTTAGGTCCTGGTACAGAATGCCTCAGTGCCGGGTGTTTTGTCTCTATTGTTCGTACATTTTCTGGGCAAGCCAATGATTGATCAGATAACTCGATCAGTGCGGATTTCTTTTTTTGTTCTATGCCAAGACAGGTGTGTCGTATTGATCAGAGAACAAATCCGTCCAGATGGAAAAGTGGAATTGTAGAACTTGACATTCATAGCAGCCCCGATGGGCTATAGACTGGCTGGAGCTCGGAAGCTGGTCCACTAAACCTGAGTATGCCAAAGCCTTTTCCCCCGAACATTGGTCTGCGAGCCCGGCAATTCATGCAAGCGCCTTGCAGGACGCTCAATTTGAGTGTACTCATGCATGTATCCCATCTGATAACCCGTGAAATTCTTCGCTATCCGACACAAATCGGAATTTTGCATGGGAATTCACATAAATGGACGGTGATTTCTCCCTAATTTTGGCTTGAACAAGACACACAATGGTTCGTTTATCCAACGCTTTGGCCGGAGCCTTGACCCTCTCTTCGGCTTTTGCCTTGAATGGGGTGATTATATACCACAAAAAGGACTTAGCTATTGAAGCATGTACTCTTCTTATAGCAAAATCTGCAACCTTGTTCAATAAAACCGATAAGGCTGGTTACTGTTCGGTGAAGAACCAGCAGGCCTTGGGTACGATGGCCCACTGCATGGAACAACTTCCCTACAAGAAGTCTAGACAATCGTTCCTTGACTACTGTGACAAAAAGAACCACTCTATTACCGAGGAACAGTATTTAGCCGCTTACGACAACGCTACTAGTCACTTGGTGAAAAACGTTACTGCAGATGATCCAACCTACAAGATCACCAAGTTGTACTACAAGCCAGTCGCTCTTTCGCAAGTGAAGGTTAAAGGTGCTTGGGAGTCGGAAGTTGGTCGTTATTACAACTACAACTGGGCCCATTGGTATGGTATCGCCCTTGCTTCGTACTGGTTCTTTGTCATGTTGATCGCTGGTATTTGCAACTTGACCTACTTCTTGTTCCCCAACTTTGTCAAGAAGCTCACGGGTTCCACCATCAATGCCTACAGAAAGCATGTCACTTTGCCTGCATTGTTCGGTAAGTCTCACGCTCATCACTTGCAATTCCTTAAGGTGTTCCAAGTTTTGCTTCCAACTAGATTGGAAAGTATTTTGGTTTTCATCTGGGTTGCAATGACCATCATTTTCATGTCGGTCAAGTACAAGCACGATAAACCTAATGTTATCTGGCCAAAGAGTATCGCTATTGAGATCGGAAGAAAGATTGGTGACCGTACTGGTATTGCTGTGTTGTATGTCATCCCTACTTTAATTTTGTTTGCCGGAAGAAATAACTTCATGCAGTGGGTCTCTGGATGGCCATACTCTAGATTTGTGTACATCCACAAGTGGTTGGCTAGGGCTGCTTTCTTGATGATTGTGGTTCATGCTGTCGGTATGACTTACAACGGTATTGGTCTCGGTAAGTTTGTGTTCAGAAACAACAAGGACTACATGAGATTTGGATATGTGGCTACTGTTGCTGCTGGTCTCATGATGTTCCAATCTTTGTTGGTGTTCAGAAGAACCAACTACGAGTTATTCTTGGCCTTCCACATCCTCTTGGCTGTTCTCTTCATTCTCGGTGGATGGAGACACACCACTGAAGATGGTTTTCAACAATTCTACTATGCCGCAACTGCCATCTGGGTGTTTGACCGTGTTGTCCGTTTAGCACGCTTAGCAGCGTTTGGAATCCGTAGTGCTGAGGTTCGTTTGGTCGCCAACGAAACCTTGAGAGTCACCATGACCAGACCAAGCTACTGGGTGCCTTACCCAAACTGCAATGCTTACATCCACTTCATCAGACCAACCTGTTTCTGGCAATCACATCCTTTCACTATTGTTGACTCGGTGACTGAGCACAACACCATCACCTTCTACTTGAAGGTCAAGGGTGGTATTACCCACGGTTTGTACCAATACTTGAGCAAGCAACCAGACAACACTGCCATGATCAAGGTCAGTATCGAGGGTCCTTATGGACAAAGAAGTGCCATGAGCCGTTTCGAAAACACCGTGTTCTTGGCCGGTGGTAACGGTATTCCAGGATTGTATGATGAAGCCACCCAGATCGCTAAGAAGAGAAGTGGAGGTGTTAAGCTTGTGTGGGTTATCCGTCATTTCAGATCCATTGAGTGGTTCTACCCCGAATTGTTGAAGCTTAAGAACTCGGGTGTCGAGACCACTATTTTCGTGACCCAGCCTCATCTTGGATTGACCAACCCAATTGTACCACATGCCCTTGATGGTAGTGACGACGAGTTGGAGCGTTCTGAAGAAGAGGAAGAGAAGAAGTCCGAGAACCTTGAAGAATCCAATGATTACATCCAAAACGTCAAGAACAAGTTGAATTTCATCGAGTTTAGAGAGGGAAGACCTGACATTTACGAATACGTTGCGCAAGAAATTGCCCAAACCAATGGTCCAATTGCCTTTGGCACTTGTGCCCATGCCAAGATGGTAGATGAAGCCAGAAAATCGGTGGCTGATCATCTTAATGACACTAAGTATAGAGTGGAGCTCTTTGAGCAATTACAAACCTGGTAGATATAGAATAGATAGTTAATTGTATTACGAGAGATTAAGATATAGGATAGCGAAGCTTGGAAGGACCGGGCACCTTGTAGATTGTATTGGTCACGTGACATATGCGGATGGGTTTTACAGGGTTGGCCCACTTCATGAAAAGGGATCCCCGGGGGCCAAGAGTTCCCCAGGAATATACGTAGATACATATCTTCCATTTACACACAATCAGAACCAATTTTGGCCTTCTTTTCCTCCTCTGGATAGGGTACCCATCTACCCAGGTGGTCGGAAGTCGCAAGTGCACGTGCTTATATATCCGAGGGCCAGTACGGGTTGGCGGAGCAGCACTGCATCCAGGACACTAGCGACTGCGTTGCACATCAGGAGATTGCAACGGCTGCTCGCTTGAGCCGAGGTTTCTTGGTACCACCGATCTCTTGGCCAGGCACCCGTCCTCTCGCCCAAACACCTTCGTGCCATTTGCCATTACAGGCTGGTCCGCTTCGTCCATCTCTGTCCCGCCGGTGTGCTCCCAAATCGCACCATGCATTGCATCTTGATCCACGACGAATCAGGCCAAACCTGCAGCTGTCTGCTGCACTTCCCGCTTCTATCGGAGCACCAGTTCGTATCGTAGGAAGTGTCTGACAGCTGCTGTGACAGCTGCTGTGACAGCTTGACAGTGTCCATTGCAACCTCTCCATCTACACCCCCATCACCAGTTCCACTCGTCCCCCACCACCACCCCCGACGCCTCCACACTGAGCCTCTCTCGCTGCCGACGCACCTCCCTCTCCTAAATTGTACCCACCTGGTCCCGATACGCGCGATGTCCCTCCCTATCCATCCCACGCGACGTAGCACAAAAAAACTTTCCAGAGGCGGGAGATTGTTTTGATCGAGATTGAGGTTGATTCGCATTGATTCAGACTACCCACCACGCTACCCCCACCCTAGCCTGGCCCATCCTGTTGCTCGCATCTGGATCCTTCACCCAGCCTGTTGGAACCTCGAACTTTCGCCTATCTCTGCCCAACCAGCGCAGGCTGCCATTCGTTTCTCCACCACCTCCAACCACCAAATGCATCACCATAGAGCCACCCACACCTACAACGTGGTGCGTGGCTATACGCCCACCATCGACGTCCATCCACGAGCAGATTCTTCCGACTCGAGCGAAACCGATCGGTGCAAGCACAGTAACTCGGGAGAGTGCCAAAAGCCGGTGTCGAACAACGCGGAAACCATTGCCCTTGCGGTGGTGTTGCCGTGTGTGGTAATCATCATCGTGCTTGGGTGCTTTCTCTTCCGCAACTACCGCAAGGAAAAGAAGGAGTCCATGGAGCACGATCCCGATTTCGACGAGAATGGCGAGGCCACTGCGTTGCCCGACTTGCCCAATCCCAAATATAACATGGAGGATCCTTTCCACAACAGAAACTCGGTTAGGTACCCGCAAGCGGTCGCCGAGGCTGGTGCCCCCGGCTTGAACTTCCACCACGTCAACAAGTCCTCCAGCTCGTTGGCCATGTCCAACATGACTGGAGACCCATACATCGACACCTTTTCATTGCCTTACCAGCACCAAACCGGCTCCAAGGCGTCATTGGACGATTACGCCAGGAATTTTGGAATTAACGGAATTGACGGACCCACCAGAGCTTCGGCCTACGTTAACAGAACCCGAAACTCCAGCATCAGCCAGCCTCCCATCAATGGCTTTGCTAACGTATCGCCCCAAAAATCTAACTTGAGAACGGAAATCACCAATGCCAACGTCCAAAAGAGCCCCGTCAAAAAATTCGGAAACAAAGAGTACACAAACATTCCAAACCATTCGACCACTTCCATAAGAGATGGTACTGAATTGACAAAATTCACCACTGCATCAGATATCGAGTCTGTAACCAACTCTGAAGATTCTTCTGCGGGTGAAAAGTATGAGGGTGGTGTCAAATACGAGAACGAATCTACCTTAGAAGTGAACAATAATAGTACTGCTCCAAGGCCATTCTTCGACAAGGTACTGGGTATTCCTCCCACCGCAGGACTTTCCTACGACAGGGAGGCTCACTCAGCCCATGCTCACCATCCTGAACCTACTGTCGAAGAATCGCCAGTCTACATCGATTCCCACACTGATGATAAATTGACTTCTTCTCCTTTTGATGACACTGTTAACGATACAACCGCTAACACCACTTCAAACACCTACCCTGAAAGAGAGCACAAGTTGGATTATGAGAATGAAGAGCCCATCGATGGAGACTTTAATTTCTCCACCGATAATAACACCACTCAAGACCAAAGTCATTTGACTCAGGATCTGGAGTCGACGCCATTTGCTAAAAGTAAGTCCCCCAGAATTTCTCAATTCAACTTATTGAAGAATGACAGTGATGAAGAGGATTTCAATAACGAAGATGAAGTGGAGGGTCAAGCCCTTACTGCTGAAAAAGAGGAAGAATTGAAGAGAATGAAGTCAGTTTACAGAGTATACTTTGATGGTGAAAGTACTCATAATCCTGGAGACGAAGAAGAGCGTGGTTTCAAGGTGGATCCATCTCAACCTCTTCCTCAAATTAACGTTGACGGTATTCCCCAAGCAAAGTCTGATGAAAGAATCAGAATCAACAACGAGTTAACTATGGATACCAACTATGACAAGAGAATGACCACTACTTCTTCCATCTACCCAGAAGGTGCTGATCAATCTTATAATCAATCATATGAGGAACAGCATTTCTATGAACAACAGCATGTTCAACCTCCTGTTGACTTACCACCATTACAACAGCTAAGAAATGCTTCGGATATTCGTAAGTCTACTCTTCAGACTTACACTGACTTCCGCCCGAAAACTAAAAATGTTGTTACTTCTCCTACCCAAAAGCATACATTTAGCCCAGTGGACAACTGGACCTCTCCAAAAAACTCTCCTGTGAACCAATCGCAATCATCCTTTGTGTCTGTGAATCAGCCTCAGTCCATCTTGCCTCCAAGCAATTCTAGTACAAGTTTGAACGGTTCAGTCGGAACTGTACCCTCTGCTACGCAGTTATCCAGATCATCGGTGGTGATGTTGAATCCTGTCACTGAAATCACAAAGCAAAGAAAATTCAAGCCAGCTGGATCTTTACCTGCAAATTCTGCTGCGTCTCCGCCTAACCCTTACAACCCTCAATTTAACCAAAGTTTCGCTAGTACCGATGGTAGTTTGATCCCTGGTAATAGAAAGAGTGACGTCAGAAGAATGATGAATACCAATTTTTAGGTAAGTGTTATCCAGGGTTGTATTTGATGGGGTCTGGAGTGCTCCACTGTTCATTTCTTTGAAGTATAGATTTCTTTTGGTTTCTCAGATCAGTTCATACTACGTGTCATTATATATACCAATACCTTCACAATATATTTCATTACTATTATATCTATAACCTCTAATGTACACTCATGACAATTCGTAGTCATCAATCTTATTTTTATACTTGAGAACGTTTCTCTTGATCTTGGAGGTGTCAACCCATGTCAAGTAATCTTCCATGTTTCTGGTGACCAAGTAAGCAGGATCGGTGATGACATTTGGCCCCACTCTGACGTGGCCCTGTTCTATGAATGTAACTGCATTGGCTATGGTTTCAGCCATCTTTAGACGACACATCACTGTCCCGATTCTTCTACGGCAAAAGGCACTCACTGTCACCTTGTTTTCCAAATCAGAAATTTTGGACTTGGTAGCCAAAATGCCCATGCTGTAGAGCTTCTCAAGGAGAAGTTGTTCATGCTTTATTCTGTAAGGGTCTGTCGCTTGCAACATTGAAAGCTTGTGTGCTAATTTTCTGATTTCACCACAGATCTTGTTATATTTATGATAATCCTCTCTGTTTTGGATGTGGTAGGTTCTCATGACCTGGGTGTCCCTGTGCCCCTGGTCCTGCTTCCAATCAAGGAAGTCGACCTTCTTAAGGAGCTTCTGTTCGTGATGCTTGAGGGCTCTGACCATTTCAATGTGTGTGCTAAGCTGATGGTTGGTTTCTACTAAAAGAAAATTTGAGATGATGTGCCGCGTGATTTTTGTCACGTGACACCTCACCAACGTCTCACCGACAAATTTTCATCTAGTCTGGTGTACGACGAACCAACAAGCATGTTCCGTCAACCTGCCTTGGGCCTTATAACGAGGAGAGCGTTCGCAACCTCTCCTATTGCTAGAACCAATATTGGAAAGTTGCCCATTAAACTCAACGATTCCGTTCAATGTTTTGTGGAAGAAATTCCGTACGAATTCAGCAAAACCTTCTCCAAGGGTAAGGAAACCTACAGATTAGATCGTCAAATCATCATCAAGGGACCTAAAGGTGTGTTGAAAACTGCGGTTCCAAAATTCGTCCAGATCAGCAATGTCGACAACACTATCACTGTCAGTGTGGACGAGCCAGAGAACAAGATACAGAGATCCATGTGGGGAACAACTAGAGCTTTGCTTCAAAACAACTTCATCGGTGCATCTGAAGGCCATTTGGCCATTGTGAAGTTCGTCGGTACTGGTTACAGAGCCACGATCGAAGAAGCTCCCAACGGTAAGAAGGTTGTTGCGCTCAAGATCGGGTACCCATACACCCCAAAATTACCCGTTCCAGAAGGTTTGACCATCAGCTCGCCAAGTCCAACCAGATTGTTGATTGAAGGTGCCGACAAGCAGCAGGTCAAGTTGTTTGCTGCGGTCATCAGAAAGTACAAGAAGCCAGAGCCATATAAGGGTAAGGGTATTTTTGTGGATGACGAGACCATCAAGTTGAAGGAGAAGAAGATTAAGTAAGCCTTCGGCACGCGCAGGAGCTAGCATAGCCAAGGGTTTAAAGACTTGAGAAAACCTGTTCTTCAATAACAACCCCTTTTCTTCAAACTTGGTCTGACCACCTAACTACTAAACTAAAGAGACCAGAATCAAACGCTGGTCGGATCATGATTCCCTACGTTCTGAATCGTGATCTAGATGTACTTGTATATACGTTCATAGCATAATATCACCCACTAGAACCATTTACTGTATGCAGTCCGCACTCACCACTGAAAAAATTTCATCACCATAAATCGATACACCATCATAGACACTACAATGATCGGTCGTATATGGAGTACTGTGCCTAAGACCGCCAGTGTCAGACCTCTAGTCTTCTCGCGCGGAGTAGCGCAAATCATATCCATTCATGCCGTTCCATCTGTGAAAACCAACGTCCCTACACTCAAGCATTCCTTGGAAGAATCCAACTTGAGAAAGAACTTGTTATCGAGACCAGGATTGTTGGGTATCAAGAGAGGTATGATCACCTGGTTTACCGAACAAGGCGAACAATACGCTGCAACCGTCATTGAAATAGACGCCTGTGAAGTTATCAACCACAAGACCATTGAAACTGATGGCTACAACTCAGTGGTGTTGGGACAAATCGACAAATTAAAGAACATCAGCGAGAAGAACTTGAAGCAATTCCAAATTGCTGGAGTTTCTCCAAAGCAAAACATCGGTGAGTTTAGAATCAGAGACCAAACTGGGTTGATTCCAATTGGAACTGAATTAAAAGCTGACTACTTCGCTGTTGGCCAGCTCGTGGATATCAAGGGAGTCACCAAGGGTAAGGGTTTCGCTGGTGTTATGAAAAGACATGGATTTGCTGGTTTGAACGCATCCCACGGTGTTTCCAAAGCTCATAGATCTGCCGGTGGTATGGGTGGTAATCAAGACCCAGGAAGAGTTCTTCCAGGAAAAAAGATGGCAGGTAGAATGGGTGGTAACAACTGCACTGTTTTGAACTCCCAAGTTTTGCATGCTGATCCTGAGGCCGGGATCTTGGTCATCAAGGGTCAAATTCCTGGCCCCAACAAGAGTTTCGTGAAGATCATGGATTCTAGAAAGTTGTACGGCAAGTCCCTCAATAAGATCAGACAAGAAGAAGGTGTTTAAGTTCATGTATATAGGCTAGAACTAGCAACAGGCGCAAAGTAAAATATTTTGGATCAAAATGTAGAAAAGCAGTAAGAAGTACGATTTGAACTCATGTTGCTAATGTCTGGAGTGACATATTTATTATGGTAAATAAGTAAATAACTGAGTCTGGTGTAACCAGTAATAAATGTCAATGTGTACCACATTACAGAATCATCCACACAGAAGTTAAGAAACTCCCAAAGATATCAAGTACCACTGTGAATAGCGCAATCCCTTGTGGATTGAACCAAGTTATTAGCTTTCTGCTACTTCTTTCACTCGAAGTGTCTGACCTCAGCTACTTCAAATGAAATAAGTTAATTAAAAGTTAATTTAACTCATGAAATGTTCCAAAAAATAGTGATACACCATTGACAAAGACAATTCCCGGATGGTTCTGGTAAAAGGCAAGAACCATGTTCGATTGAAATTGATCTTCTGGCGATGCCTTTTCAAATGGTGGAGCGAGAGCGCCTTTTATAGTTGTGTTTTCATAGTCCGGGTAACTGATTGCGCAAAAACATTGGTAAATGCACATACGTTCGAAAGTGGATTTGGTAGCAGTTTGAATGTAGATATCTCTTCCATTTCATTCAGACAATTATTGAAATGTTAGAAGTGAAGCTAAACTCGAGTCGAATATTCTAGAGCAATCTTCATTTCACATAAAAAAATATCACAATCCCGTATGAGTGCAAAAATGCTTTGCAATTGCTTATGAGAAATCAATTCTGGTTGCCCTCTGAACTACGTATCTTGATGGTATAAAACATTATATATATTTATATATGTAAAGACAAGCTATTATGTGATGGACGATAAAGTACTGCTTGGCCGATCTTCTTGTTAAAATGCTTGCTATCATCGATAGCATTGGAGAAACATTCTAACCAGAAGCGAATAGATGCTATGAATAAGAATTCGATTTCAAGTCTGGTTTCCTGAGATTGCTCGCGACGGATCACCATGTTCTGTTGAGGAGGCACCCTCTGATGGAGTTGATGGTTTATTCGTCGTCCATTTCAGATGGCTTAATCAAACCACCAACCCTCAAATCTTTCTCCCTTTGAATCTTTTCCTTTTGTCTGTTTTCCTCTTCCTTATCATCAGCAAACAAGTAGTCAACTGGATCACCACCGAATTCCTTCAATTGAACCAAGAAATCTCTCAAGGTGGCCTTAAACTTGTATAAGTCATTGTAGATGGAAGTCAACACGTTTAAGAAGTTGAGCAATTGCTCCTTCTGCAAATTCTCAAAAGCTGAGGATAATAATTGAGCCAAGTATTGGATCAAGTATGCTGAGTTAGTAGTACCTTCAGGTGCTTGCTCACTGGTATATAATGGAGTTTTGATGACATTGTCCTCCACCAAATGAATCAAATGAGCCAACAATTGTGCTTGGTATCTAAACCCGGATTTATGATCAGGTTGAGTGAAAACATAGAAGGTATCACTTAAGATTTGGAAGTAAAAGTTTTGATAGAAGGCTTTGGTAAAAGTGGTGTCACCCAATTTTTCGACATTTTCGATCAACTCAATAGTTAAGATTAATCCATTGTCTTCCACTTCTCTGTTGTTATGCTTGAAAGCCCATAATGCTGCGTTGATCAAAGATTGGAATGCGTCTCCAGATAATTGCAACAAGGCTTGGAACGACTTAGCGTTGATTTCCTTAAGCAACTTGTAAAATTCGACTCTGTGCTCAGGGTATTCAACAAAGTCATTTTTGATCATGTCCAAAGTACACTCGAAAACATTTTGCAAAATAAGAACCACGCCTTCAGGAATCAAATGACCAGTCTTGTTTACCAAGGCAGTCATACAGTTCAAGACTTCGGCATCCCTAGCATCTGGAACATTTGAGTTGTAATCTTCCAACACAGCACCAAACAATGGTTGAGACAAATCCCTCACGATTTCTTCATAGTTATTTGATTGATTGATGTAAGTCTCAATCATCTTCAAGATTTCCTTCTTGATTGTTCTCAAGCTTCTAACCTTAGGGGTCTTGGTTGAGATCAATCCTTCTTTTTCAATGGATTCAGAAATCATAGTAGACACTGCCTTGTACAAGGAAAGCATATCCACATACATTAATCCCAATTGAGAATAGAAACCTGGACCCAAAGCCTTACAAACAGCAACATTGGTCTTGATGATATTGGCAATGATCTTGACATTTTCTGAGTTGGTTAATAATTGTGGGTCCTGACCAGCATTTTGGATGATGGTACTCCAAGCCATGTTTGGTAAAGTCATGAGATCACTCAAAAGTTTATCTCTACTATCCTTCTGGGTCTGTGCACTGATTATGATACCACATGCCTCGTAGAATGTATGAACCTGTTGAGGTTGTAAGTCTTCAGTGATTGATTGAATGTTGTTAATAATTTCCATAATGAAAGGTTCTCTTTCTTGTTGTTGCACAACAGCGAAATGCTTCTTACACTTGGTTGTGATCTTGATGAAAGTATCACACGCCATATCCTGGACACCCTCGTGAGTCTCATGCATGAATTCAAACAACTTGTTGACCACTGTTTTGAGGAATCTCCAGTGGGCCTTCAAGAATCTTGGGTATTGGCCGACAATGTACATAATGTTAGAAGCAACAACGGCTTTGTTGTCTTTGCCTCTCTTCATTTCAGTCAAGGATAATAAGTCCTTGATCACATTAACCAAAAACTTCTTTTCCATATCTTCGTTCATAGTACCTGAGATGGAACCAATGGCCCAACATAAAGTGTTGATATTTTGCCAAGACCACTCACTTTCGTCAATTTGTCTTGCCAATTTTTCATTCATGATTTGCTCAGTATCATTGACATTCAAATGAGTCAAATACACAAGGACTTCTCTCATTGACTTATACAATTGGATTGTATCACTCTCTTTAACAAATTCTCTAACAATTTCACCTTCATCGTTTTCAACGATTAAGACTTCTTCAGGTCTGGCCATGTTTTCAATAATAACCAATCTCAATTTAGACAAGACCTTGTCGTATCTATGTTGTCTAAGAGGAAACTCGGCCAAAACTGCGGGGTTAGGAGCACCTCCACCTCCAACTCTCATAGTGTTTCCATGAGTTAATTGCATCAATGGGGACAATTGACTTTGAGGCAAATTTTGGATTTCCAAGAAGAGACCATGAACGAAGGTACTCCAGAAGTCTAAGCAAGTTTTGAACAATTCTCTTTCCTCAATTCTTGATAATTCCAATAAATAATACAACGAGTTCAAAAGAAGCTCTAACAAAGCTTCATTTTGTTCCAAGGGTATTAAATGGTTGGACAAAAATGAGCACAAGAACATTGCCAAATCCTGCAAAAAGGATTGATCATTAGTATTTGCAACCTCATAAGAAGTCTTTAAGTTGGTAGTAATTGGAATGATTAAATAGATTTGTTCCATGGATTGCCTAAACATCTGGATTAATTTTTGCTCGTAGTCGGTATTAGTGGTAGACAAACTGGAAACTTCAGTTAAACATTTCAAAGAAATGGCTCTTGTATCGGCAGAAATCAAAAGCTTTGTTGATAACATGTCTAACAAGTTCGTCTCGAAGATATAGGAGGCAGGAATCCAATGGATGTATTTCAATAAGGCATTCAAGGTAGATATGATCAATGATGGTTTAGTTGTTTTATCCAAAACCTCGTAACATAACTTAAAAATTTCCTCGAATTCGGCCTTCATGCTGAGTTTTAAGTTTTGAGCCTTTCTTTGGGTCAATTGATCTTGACTGTAGTCGAAAACTTCTTCACTTAATAACTTCAAGATAATCATATTGTTTTCACAAACATTGAAAGAGGATCTGGACGAGGTGACGATCTCAGGAATGAATTGAGGCCAGTTGTGGGGCCATTCTTGCTTTAAAACGGAAACCAAAGTCAAATCAATCTTGTTGATCAAAGCCTTCTGCTTCTCAAAGACCTCTTCATTGTCACACAAGGAAATAATCATGTTGACGATGAAGTTTCTAATCCCAATTCTTTCGTTGTCAGGTATAGTTTTCCAACGGTATTGGATGAGTTTGTTTAAACACGAGAGAGCAATGTACTTGGATTGAGCATTATTAGAGTTGGATAAAATGTGATCCGATCTCTTCCAGGATTCAGGGTGTTCCTGGAATTCGTTCAAGACCCGCTGTGCGCTTTGCTGGTCGGCACCGGAGCCTTTGTAGAAGCTGTCGACCACGCGGTCAAAGAGCTCAATATTGAGTTCCTTCGAGAAGTCGAGAATCTCTTCCATTTGAAGCAATCAGTCAATAAAGTTCCAGGTGGTGCTACAGAAAGTCACGAAATTCTCTCGGTAGTCTTGTGGCCAGTGGGTGTGTGATTGTAACTGGGCTGTCGTGCTTGGCCTTGGTGGCTTGTCTGGCGGACGCTTAACACTTGCAAATGGATAAAAGTCGTGTGTATACCCCTTTGCAAACTCTGCAGTTCAAAGTCGAGGTCTTACACAGTCGGTGTGGTGGTGGATACAATTCCTGAGAACTAGTGCTTGCGTAAGATTGTTTAGTTGTGTTGATGATATCTCGAATTTTCCACAGAGGGTTCTTTTTTCAGAATTGGCGTGCGCACGCAAAATGAGTATCCAAGGAGAAGGGGCTACTATCACTTGCACCGACGGAGATTGCCTGCGGTCAACGATCCAGGCTGGAAAGACGGGGTGGTATAATTTGTGTCGGGTTAATTGGGCGGGCTGGGGAGCGAAAGAGGGGAATGTCTTGTCGTTGCTGTGGTTACGAACGTGCTGTTGCGAGGGTTAATCGTGCTCTATATGGAGAGCGTTTGGTGCATGGGCCGGGGAGGGCGGAATTGGGCAGATCGATCTACTAGTGGCGAAGGCGGCGGGGTTGAAGCTGCACGTGTGTGTGTATCACGTGTCAGAGCCTGAGCCCATGTGGCAACGGTGATTCAGACTGGAATGGCTACTGATAGTAATTCTGAGTTTACAATCACTCGTGCAAACCAAAGAGAACCAGCTATAGGAGACTCCGGATGTAACAATCTCTACTCATTCTACTAATTTTGCTGTCACACGTACATTACTATTTAGGCAGCTGGCTTACTTTTGAGCGAAAGCAACACCCTTTTCGATGTTCTTGGACAATTGGTCAATGGCAACTTCCAATAACTTCTTTTCGTCGTCACTGACTTGGTTGAGAACGTCGTACTTGACTTCTTCAATACCAGCCTTGCCCAACTTAACAGGCAAGGAGAAGAAGTCCAATCCCTTGACCAACTTCTTGGCTTCAGCAGCACCCTTGATGGAAGAGTCCAAGTCCAAGAAGGTACATTCAACAACCTCTTCCGAGGAGGTGAGGGCCTTCAAGATAGACTCAGCCAATCTGTAACCAGCGTAGGCCATGGACAAAGTGGCGGAACCAGCACCGTTCTTGGCCTGAACAACCTCGTCACCACCGAATTGCACTCTGTGGATCAAAGCCTTTTGCTCTTCGGCAGACAACTTCTCGTAGTATGACTTGGAAGCACCAATGGAGTACAATGGCACGATGGTTTCACCAGAGTGGCCACCAATGACGTTGACGTTGAATTGGGAGGCCTTGGCCTTACCAGCTTGGGCAATGAAAGTGTTAGCTCTGACAATGTCCAAAGTGGTGACACCGAACAATCTCTTTGGGTCGTAGACACCCTTTTGCTTCAAGGTCTCGGCCACAATTGGAACGGTGGAGTTGACAGGGTTGGAAATCACAAGCACAAACGCCTTTGGTGCGTGCTCGGCAATTCCCTCGGCAAGGCCCTTGATAATACCAGCGTTGATGTTGAACAAGTCATCTCTGGTCATACCTGGCTTTCTTGGAACACCAGCAGGGATGATGACAAGATCGGTACCCTTGAGGGACTCAGCCAAGGCAGTCTTGTCTTCTCTGGAGGAAGGCAAGAAAGAGGCAGTGGCAGAGTCGGAATTGATGTGGGACAAGTCGGCACCAACACCTGGCACGTTGACAACGTCGAAAAGCGACAATTCATCAACGTTGGGGTTGATCTTCAACAACAACGACAATGGCTGACCGATACCACCGGCAGCACCACAGACTGTAACTTTAACCATTTTTTATTTGAAATATTTCTAGAGTTTAGAACACCCCTGAAATATGGCGGGATCCTCACTTTATATAGGCGGGAGGAAAGCACACTCGCAACGACCAGTATGGGGTAGCAGTATGGGGCGCGGCACGTGATGGGCCCAATGTCCGGGCGAGTGGAGAGGGGATCCGAGGCCACCGGGGCATTTCGGAACTTGCTGGCCCCGGCCAGGAGGGACCAGGATGGACGAAACAGGCTGTGAAAGCCTGGCGAAACACGGAAGACTGACGGCCTGGAGCAGGCCGGCTTGCTCTGGCGATCTGTACCGCACATCGCCTGCTGGTGGGGAGAATTTCGCGGAGGGGCCATCTAGCGACGCTAGCGCTAACGCCGGAACCAGTGGGGCAGGAGAATGGAGGTCACGTGATGTGGCGCACGTGATCGGTAAGTCTAAAGGTGATGTGGCGCCGACAACGGCTGCTCCAGCGGTGGGTGTCAAGGCCACAGTGGCACAAGATAGCGGATCAGCAATTACGAGTAGCAGCCTGACGCGTCCACCAGTCAGAAATACTACCAGTTCACGAGACTGCCAGTCACGTCATCTAGCAGCTCCACGACACCCACGCATATCTGACATCCGCAGGATGTCACGCCTACAGTGTCTGCCGATGGGACCGAGCTGCATGTGCAGGGTACGCGATATTGTCGCAGCCACGCGCGACATCTCTACATCCATCCTCCGACACCATCCTCCGACACCATCCTCCGCAACAGTTATAGTCACTTCTCGCACCGCTACACGGGGAGTGTCGGTGCATCGCCCGCCGCACCTCTTCCCCCGCCTGCCAGGGTCTTCCCGCCTCAAATCCCCGCCCAAAATGGACCCCATCGTCTCGCACCCTCCTCCGTACACTCACCGTCTGTACACTAACCGACTCCCGACACTTGTAGGACCCTCTCTCGGTTGTGTATGAGCCACCACGGTCTGGCTCATCGTAGATTAATCCCCCTAACCCCTCCGACACCCACACCAGTGCCCCGCCACCCCGTGCACTAGCCCCGTCCAATCGTCACCCACGATTGTCTTGGCCATCGCTGTTCTCTTTTCTTTTCACACCGTCTCCGCCAATTGCACCCACTGTCGGAAAAGTGTCACGTTCGTGCAATCTGGCGCGCAACACTTATCGCAATTGCGAAATATAAAGTCCGGACTGCCCGCCGTTTGTTATCATCAACGATGACTTCCCACAGAAGAAACCTGTCGATCTCGTCCACCGAAGACGACCCGTATGCCCATGCCGAGAGCTACTACGGAGACAAAAAGTCGCTCTCCAAGTCCTCTAAGTTGGGCAGGGTCCGCACGTTTTCTGTGTTTGAAACAAAGTCCAAGATCTTCGATGATTTCCGCAAAGATCTCTTGAAGGACCACAAGAACTCGTCTTGCGAGAACATCGGCGACGACAAGACCCCGTCCCCTGAAAAGTCGCCTTCTCCCCCTGCCCCTGTTACCAACGGAAACCGCAGACCCTCCATCGTGCCTATCTATGATGACATTGCCAACCAGAGCTCCTCAGAGCTCAAACCTGAGTTGCACGCTCGCCGTGCCTCGGTGGACGACTCCTTCTTGAGACCCAAGAAGTTCTACATCAACGATATAGACCTCACCTTGCGGGAGTTGCTCGAAAACGAAGACACTGATCATAACTACCAGATCACCATCGAAGACACCGGTCCCAAGGTTTTGAAGTTGGGAACCGCCAATTCCGGTGGTTACACTAAGGCACCCGTCAGAGGAACCTACATGCTCAGTAACCTCTTGCAAGAGCTCACCATAGCCAAAAGATTTGGCAGGGACCAGTTGATTTTGGACGAGCAAAGGCTTAACGAGAATCCAGTGGCTAGAATCAAAAGATTGATCACCACTCAGTTCTGGAAGTCCCTTACCAGAGAAATCACCAAGGACAACATCGTCGAAATGTCCAAGGATACCAAAATCAAGGAGAGCTACTATGATGCCGAAGGCAAACTCATCGAGAATTCTGAAAGTCACAGAATTTATATTCCACACAATAGACAAGACCAGTACGAATATTTCAATTCGATCAAGAAGGCCAACCCAAATATTGTCTTGGATGTGGTGTATTTACCTGAAAAAATCGATGGTCAATTCATCAAATCAATAAACAATAAACCTGGTTTGTTGGCACTCAGTGCAAAGCCTGATCCGAACGAAAAAGGAAATCTCCTTAACGAGCCATACGTCGTTCCAGGTGGAAGATTCAATGAACTTTACGGATGGGATTCTTATATGGAAACCCTTGGGCTTTTGACCGACGTCACCCCAAAGTCCAACCATGAGCACTTGAGGTTGGCAAGAGGTATGACCGAAAACTTCATTTACGAAATCCATCATTATGGTAAGATCTTAAATGCAAACAGATCCTACTACTTGGGCAGATCCCAGCCACCTTTCTTAACCGATATGGCCCTTCGAGTCTTTGAGAAAACCAAGGAAGTTTATCCCGAAAAGCTTCCAGAAACTATAGATTTCTTAAAGAGAGCCACTTTGGCCTCCATCAAGGAGTATCTCACCATCTGGTGCGCCAAGCCACGTTTGGATGAAAAGACGGGCTTATCGTGTTATCACCCTGAGGGTGTTGGTATTCCACCAGAAACTGAAGCCACTCATTTCGATGCAGTATTAAAGCCTTATGTTCAAAAGCACAAACTTACACAGGCAGAATTCATTGAGAAGTATAACTCCCAAGAAATCCATGAGCCTGAGCTAGACGAATATTTCCTCCATGATAGAGCTGTCAGAGAGTCTGGCCACGATACCAGCTACAGATTGGAAGGTAAATGTGCTGATTTAGCCACTGTGGACTTGAACTCGTTGCTTTACAAGTATGAAGTTGATATCTCTACCGTTTTGACGAACTACTTCGACGGAAAGTTGCAAGATGTCAATGGAACTGTACACCAAGCTTCTGAGTGGATTCAGCGTGCAGCCACTCGTAGAAAGAACCTCACCAAATACTTGTGGAATGAAAAGGACTCGATGTTCTACGACTACAACGTTAAGACGGAACAGCAAACTGGTTACGAGTCTGCCACCACTTTCTGGCCTTTGTGGTCGCAGGCAGCTACTCGGGAACAGGCTAAGAAGCTTGTGGAGAATTCTGTCAGCAAGTTCGAAGAACACGGTGGGCTTGTGGCAGGTACTCTTAGATCTCGTGGAGAGATCAACTTGCACCGTCCTTCCAGACAATGGGACTATCCATATGGATGGGCCCCACAGCAGATTCTTGCGTGGATCGGGTTGAACTCGTACGGCTACACGGACGTGGCTAGCAGGTTAGCCTACCGTTGGCTTTTCATGATGACTCGTGCGTTTGTTGACTACAACGGTGTTGTAGTCGAAAAATACAACGTGTGCAAGGGAGCTGTGCCCCATAGAGTGGATGCAGAATACGGTAACCAGGGATTGGACTTCAAGGGTGTTGCAACCGAAGGGTTTGGCTGGGTTAATGCCAGTTACTTGGTTGGGCTCCAATATTTAAATTTACATGCAAAGAGATGTTTGGGTACATTGACCCCTCCGGAAGTGTACTTGAGGAGTATCGAAACTCACAAAGACACTGTCGAGGACGTCCAGGGAATAGTTTAGAGTTTATGATCTGCCACGGCAGAAGTTATGTGGCCATGTCGTAGAGTTTATTTATCTAGAATAAGACAAGATACAAGATTTATAAGCGTGATACTACGCTAACAACCACAACGTCAATTGTAGTACCAACTCCATATTTTACACAACTGAGTGCATGATTCTATACTAATTTGCTGTGTACTTATTCTTTTAAAATACGAGCTCGATATTCATGGCATGCAAATAATTACTGCATTCTACACTAACTGGTTATAACTTGTAATTATTATATCTTCAGAATCAGACTTTTTTTTGTCTATTATTATGGGCCGGATAGGATCGTCTTTTCGACTGCGATTGTGGGCTGGAAACAAACACACCTGAACAAATATTCAATTAAGAAAGGGAAATTGTCCTTTTCTCGAAAGTGAGAAATCCCGTGCCAATTACTTGCAGCTACACTCTGACTACGCTGGCAGCAATTACCCTTTCCGGGACTCGTGGCCTGCCCCAGATCACAGATTGTCGCTGCCGATCGGATTTTTTCAGTGTAGGACTCCTTTTGTTCGTTGGGGTCGTGCGACTGGCCATAGCAATGAGTGACTATATGAAAAATTGTAGACACCACTCCACCATAAGCATGAAGAGCATATTAAGAGGGACCTTACCGAGGGCAGGCCCATTCTACATAAAGCGGGGCATCGCAAAGTCCCACCGTGGTCACAATGAAATAAGCAGCTTCAAAACCGCCGTCGAAACCGCAGAAAAGTTGGTCCAACCCAAGTCAGACAAGTTCAGTGACCCATTCTCCATTGTCAGCCATGAGATGTCCAACTTGGCCAAATCTATTGCCAGTCTCATCGGGTCAGGCCACCCCACATTAAACAGGGTATCTAGCTACTACTTCGAAGCCGAGGGAAAGAACGTCAGGCCGTTGATTGTATTATTATTATCCAAAGCATTACTGAAGATCCCTGAATCGGAACGTACGCGAATAGATATCGATGACCAAGACGTGACAGAGCAGCCCCACTACAAGGGTACCCCCACCAAGACCTCTGTTGCCGGAAACACCGTGGACGACCTGATATCGCCATTGGCGGTGTTGCACGGAATTAACCCCAGAGTTATTTTGGATCCCTTGTCGAAACCAATGGACCAGTTACCACAAATCGATGCTATCAACGGAATCTTGCCCAAGCAGAGAAGATTGGCCGAAATTGTGGAGATGATCCACACTGCCTCCCTTTTGCACGACGACGTGATTGATTTATCCGACGCTCGTAGAGGACGCCCAAGCGGCAACATTGCCTTCACCAACAAAATGGCAGTGTTGGCGGGGGATTTCTTGTTGGGCAGAGCCTCGGTGGCCATTGCCAGATTAAGAAACCCAGAAGTCATCGAGCTCTTATCCACCACCATTGCCAATCTCGTGGAAGGAGAGTTCATGCAATTAAAGAACACTGTCATGAGCACCGAACCCACCATCAACAACGATGGCGATGCAAAGACGGTTCCAGAAGCCACTGGTAAAGTTCCAACCGTGTTGCACGAATACTCGGTGGCCACTCCCAAGTCAGTTGACCACGCAACCAACGTGGATGCGGCCTTCGAATACTACTTGCATAAGACCTACCTCAAAACTGCTTCATTGATGTCCAAACTGTCCAGAGCAGCCGCGGTTTTGAGTGGAGCTCAGGACGATGTGGTTGAAAACTGTTACCAATTCGGACGTAACTTGGGATTGTGCTTCCAGATTGTCGATGACATGTTGGACTACACCTCCAGCGACGATGCCATTGGAAAACCTAGCCAGGCCGATTTGAAGTTGGGTTTGGCCACTGCGCCCATTTTATTTGCATGGAGAGAAAGACCGGAATTGGGCGAGTTGATTGCCCGTAAATTCAAGGAAGATGGCGACGTTGAGATTGCCCGCAGAGCTGTGCAACAGTTTGACGGTGTTGAAAAGACTCGCCAGATGGCCCGTGAATACTGCCACCGGGCGTTGGAGAACTTGAGTGTTTTGCCACCCTCCGACGCCAGAAGCGCCTTGGAGCTTTTGACCAACTCCGTTTTGACCCGTAGTAAGTAATGATCCTGTATATACATATAGATATTTATTAGTAGACATCCATATCACCGCTATGGTAGCTGGCCCTCGCCTGTCAGTGCGCTCCCTGCCCGATTAGGCAGTCTACGTTTGTGGACGGCGACACCCAAAAAAATTTATTCAGACTACCGTGTTAATCAATACAACCACCACAATGTCTGCTGAAGATACCAAGCCAAAGACCGAGGACGCCCCAAAGGTGCCTACCAGTAACGTGTTCGCCATGTTCGGAGCCAAGAAGGAGAAGAAGGAAGAGCCCAAGGAAGAAGAAGCCGAAGAACCAAAGACTGACGCCAAGAAGGACGAGGAGGCAGCTGATGAAGAAGAAGCCGATGTCCATTTCGAACCATTGGTCCAATTAGAAAAGGTTGACGTCAAGACCAACGAAGAAAACGAAGAAGTGTTGTACAAGGTCCGTGCCAAGTTGTTCAGATTCCACGCTGACACCAACGAATGGAAGGAGAGAGGTACCGGAGATGTCAAGTTTTTGAAGCACAAGCAAACCGGCAAGGTCAGAATTTTGATGAGAAGAGACAAGACCTTGAAGATCTGTGCCAACCACTTGATTTCTCCAAACTACGAGTTGAAGCCAAACATCGGATCCGACAAGTCCTGGGTCTACAACGTCACTGCCGACATTTCGGAGGGTGAGCCAGAAGCCGTGACCTTGGCCATCAGATTCGGCAACAAGGAAAACGCCGAGAAGTTCAAGGAACACTTCGATGCTGCTAAGGAAGCAAAATAATGTCTATAGCATAATAAAGGTATGAAATGCACGCGTGCGGGATGTAGGAGCGGTCAAGGAAGTGCAGCTGTGCCTTTAGAGAGATCAGATCTGACTTTTGGTGTGTCTCGAAGAGTTGCATTTGTAGGCTTTGGAGCTGTTGGCCAGGTAGTAGTAGCTGACGGTGGGAAAGACGCCATTATAGGCGTTGGAGGTACTGGTGCAGGTGGCGAGACATACAAACCATTCGAAGTTGATCGTGTGTTCCCTCCCTGATCCACCAAGGCTGAGGCCCGTCCCTCACATGGCCTCCGCCCAACGGCCTGTAGCCCGAATTGGGCGCATTGTTGCATTGTCTCACTAACGACTTCTGCTACTTCCTACTGCCCATGTGTTGCACCACGTACTGGGCCCAGGAAGTACAGGACTCGTCCCTACTGGCGAGTTCTGTCGCTAACCACGGCGGTCAATGCTACCAATCAGTCGTTCCACGACCTCCAAGACCCCACCACGCCCGTAGTGACTCCAACTAAGATCAACTTTTTTGCCGCCACTAAACATCCACGTGCCCTCGTAATTTCTTGCGATAGTGATATTGGAAGAGTCAAGAACCTAACCAGTCCAGAACTTACAAAACATCCTTCTTTCTCCCTGGAAATCGCCCCGAATCAAGAGTGCCTCCCGTCCCAGTCCTCCAGAGCCCACCACTAGCCTCTGTCCCTCCCAGCTCGATAATATCGTCTCCCACTTCATCTGGCTAATCTCTTCCATCGCTCCGCACTGACCCATCTCCATGAAGTTTGGTAAGTACCTCGCGTCGAGGCAGCTCCAGCTCCCAGAATACTCGGGACACTTCATTGACTACAAGGCATTGAAGAAGTTAATCAAACAGTTGGCCATTCCCACCCGAGATGAAGCCAATCCTGCCACCCAGCTGGAAATCCAGCAGAGACTCCAGGAGAACAAGGCCTCGTTCTTCTTCAGAGTGGAAAGAGAATTGGACAAGGTCAATTCGTTCTACTTGGAGAAACAGGCCAATCTCGCCATCAACTTGAACTTGTTGATCATGAAAAAAGACGAGTTGCTCAGATACGACCAGCACCAGGGTCCCAACGGCCAGGTTGCCCTTCGAAACTCCATTTCCTATCTTAACTTGTACCAGAATTTCAAAAAAATCCACCAGGACCTCATCAGATTACAGCAATTCATCGAATTGAATGAAACTGGTTTCTCCAAGGTGGTTAAAAAGTGGGATAAGAGATCGAAGTCTCACACCAAGGAATTGTTCATACAAACTGCGGTCAGCGTTCAGCCAGTGTTCCACAAGAATGAAATCAATGAGTTGAGTGACTTGGTTACCCTGAGCTTGTTCTATTTGGAATCTATTATGGATGGTGATTTTTCCTCCTTGGCTTACTCGGTCCAACCAGTCACTTCAGCCGTGCCAGCCACCGCAACAATTGGAAAAGATATAGACTTACCCATGCCTGAGGACTCTACTGTTCCACTCTCTAAGCCTGATCTAACTATTGTGACAACACCCACTACTACACATAGGCCTTCCATCATTAATCTTCAAAATAATGAGATTGACGAACTCTACTCCTCTTTCGTCAATATTGCAACAACCAAGGATCTTGATCTTTCCTTGTTGTCTAGATGGATTGACAAGGTGTTAAAAAACTCGGAATCATCCAATACTTCAAGTAATGTCACAGAGCCAGCCAAGTTCGATCCATCTGTTATTAGCAAACTTTCGAAGATCTTCTTGCTTTCAATTTCGAACCTCAAGATCTCAGATACCTTCTTGGAATCATTTCTAAAACTGATCGACTATCAGATTGACTTCACATATGTCAGCGACGATTTCAACAACAACAACAAAAATGTGATACAAGAGTGTTGTTCAATTCCTCCACCTCCATCGCAATCAACGTCGGAATCGCATGTTGTAATAAATAATGGTGTTAAAGTCATTAACTCCTCAGATTCAATAAACCATTCAAGAACTTTCATTGTTGAGTATATCATGAAAAACTTATCGGCTGACTCTACAAAGGACTTGCTTATTTGCAAAGATTTCAATGGCAGAAGTGGGTTACATTATGCCTCACAAAATAACAGACTTGACTTATTGGAAATAATCTTGCCTAACTTTCCAAAATTGCATCTAGATGATTTGGATAACGATTCCATGTCTCCATTATTATTGGCAATCAAACAAGGTAATTTCACCGTGATTCAAAAATTAGTTCAGTCTGGCAGTAATTGCTTCCCCAAATCAGAGGAAAGTAAATTGCAATACTTGCCTATAAATTTCACCTGTAAGTTTGGAGACTACAAAACTTTGGAATATTTATTGTCACATGCTACATCAAAAGAGTTGATAAACCAACAGGATGTCGAAGGATTATTGCCAATTCATGTCGTTTCGCGTTCGGGCCATTATAAACTAATCAAGTTGTTAATCCAATATGGAGCAGATCTAAATAAGACTGATGGGTTAAACAAATGGACCCCAATATTTTATTCTTCCCTTGAAGGACATGTCAAGACGACACAGGAATTGGTTAGATACGGTGCGAAAGTGGATTTGGTTGACCAAGATGGATATAATGTATTATACTATTGTGTGATTGAAGGCCATATTGAGGTTTTAAATGAATTATTGAAATACTCCAATACTATCTTAACCAAGAAGAACAGGGAAAATGAAGTGAAACTGCTAGCAAGTGCTAAATCTTCTCCTATTGCTCGTGATACAACTATTCCTTCAATCTTGGATAATGATTATGATTCAGAGGATAGTGGAAATACCAACAAAGATATCAACGTTGACAATATACCTGATTTCAAATTACCTCCTCCGATCTTACCCATGAGAAGATACGGTCATAATTTCTTGGAACAAAAGGTCCTTATCGAATTAATATTCCCTCCTGATTCGCAATTCGTCCATTTGTTTGATTCCACTATTAGTGACTTGAAACCAGGTCGATTAACTCTCACATCTAATATTACTGATATTGTTCCAAGAAATATCTTGCTACCATTATCGCAAGATACAAATTCTACTTACAATTGTGTTTTTCAAACTGAGGTGGACTCACTAAACGATTTCAGAATTGATTTTGAGATTTTTCCTAAGTTTGGTACGAGATTAATCGCCAAAACTACCGCATTATCATTTTCTCAAATCGATACTTCTTCTCCAGAGATAAATTCGATCCAGCTCCCATTGTTCGATTTAAGATTGAGAAATATTGGTGAGTTGAAGTTCAACTATCAAATAATTTTCCCATTTTCTGGTACCCTTCTTGAGACTTCTAAGTTTGATACTTATTGGAAGTCCTCGACTTGTTTTGTGAAGAACAGGCAGACTTTGAAGTTGAACGCAGCAGGAGGCTTGTCGCCAAACAATTTCTTATCGCCCTCATTGGTTAATGGTGCAACCAACGGAACCACAAGTAATAATGGGGCTAGTGCAATTCCTGCCTCTGAATCCAGTGCATCTTCTGTGGTCACAGCTACTTCTTTGTCAGGGGAGTATCTTCGTATCAAAATATGCTTGCTCAACGATGGAACTCCAATTGTCTGCCCTCATTGGTCTATTTCTATCACTGAGGATATTGATCTTTACTTGCCTAACTTATCGTTAGAGCAACTTAGCTCTATCACGAATAATCTATTCGATTACCAAAAGGTTATTCATGACCTTTCGAGGATGACATACAAGGATATTGGATTGATAAAGAAGTTGTTGCGAATTATCTTCCTTCCTCTAGACATTCTTCTAGAAGTTTTGAGCGTTGACATTAATTTGAACTTGGAATTAATGTTCCCATCATTATATGAACTAGAGAATTTACCGTTCATAGGGAATATTCAACTGAATTTGAATAACTTCATCGATTTTACATTAACTGATGTGTTCAATCATATCAGAAACTCAAAGAAAAATCCAGTTGGAACTAATGGTTCAATTGCACCAGGAAATGGCGGTCGTTCGATAATCTTTTTATCATCTAACTCACTCATATGTAAGATACTCAACTGGAAGCAACCAAATTTCCCGGTATTTTTGATTATGAATGGAATCACCTACAATTCTAGCAAGAGGTTGTTTGAGTCTAGGACTACAAATGGCTTGTTGCTTGACGATATAAAGAAGAAGTCCAATGTTGTTGAGGTGCTGAACAAGAACGCCGTGGATACAAACTATCAAGAAGTTACCATAAGGTCGATAAAAGAGGCGGTTGAGTTCACCATCAGTAACAATCTTATAGGACTCATTACCTCGATTCATTTATTAGATTTAGTTCCTAAACTAATTCCCTTGATAAGATCCAGAGGACTCGTCTTGGTGGCTTCAAGTGACTTGAATGATGACAATGATAATGATGAAATGATTTCAAAGGATTTGGATTCCTATACAAGAACTGAGATAAATGGATTGCGTTTCGATGACGTATTAAGTTTCAAGGAGGATATTACTATGTAATTGGTGACAATTTATGCATATAGTGCAACACTTGACAAAAGAAACAAATAAATGTAACATAGAAATTAGATATTAGTGTAAGCTGTAAGTAGCTCTATGCATGAGCCTCAAGAACACTAAACAAACTGCGTCCTGGGCGTTGGTGGTCAAAATTTCCTTCTTCTTGGAGGTGGTGGAGGAGGCGGAGTCTGACCCTTTGGGAAGTGACTTTTAGGACTAGGTGGTGGTGGAGGTGCTTTTTTCTTCAAGGCCTTGCGGACTAACAGAGAAGAAGAGTTCACTGATGACGAGGATGAATCATTATTCTTATAAAACTGGTTACTTTGCCTAGAAGGGACAGGTACTTTTGGCAAAGGCTTTGATTTGAGAAATTCAGACGAGAGATCGAGCATGTTTGTGTCAGTTATTTGAGTCCATGGGGATTCTTGCTGGTTATCATCATTAATGGTCAAAGCCTGAAGACTTTCTGACATGAAAACATTGTTATTATTGTCCATGAACTGATTTGTTGTTGGTTTTCTGCCATTAGTAGTGGTGGTATGATGGTAGAAATCACTTCTATTTGATGTTCTGACAGACGCAACTCTTGTCAATGAGATATCAAGACTTTCGATCGATGTTGTAGAATCAATATGTGTCAACTCGCCAAATGATTCATCCTGAGGAGTTGGTGGAGAGGAATCTTTTCGATTATGTGGTCTCACTTGTAACCAATCAATGGACATGCATTTCATAGCCATTTTTGAGATGGTGAGCCTTTGTTCCCTTTGATTTTCTGATATAGAGGTACTGTCTTGATCCACCTCTGAGTTGATGACTAAATGCCCCAATAGATCCATTAATTCCCGTTTTTTGAAGTCAAAACCAACTTCATTCAATTGTGAGAATCTCAAAAGCGGATACAAAACTTTGAGGTAGGTTAAAATCAAAATAACATTCTCGATTTCTTCGGTATAATCCAAATCATTCATATCCCGTATGAATATTTCGATTAATATCCTTAAATCGTTCATATAAATCAATTTTGATGTATACGATGTAGTGAAAACCATGTAAAGAAACTTAAGGATGAGAATCTTGATAATTCTGGACTCTTCTCTATTGAGATGGTAGATCAACAAATTGATGAACCCAGTAATCTTGGTGGCATCTTGGGTGGATGCCCTCTTGCTAGCCTTACTTCCCATCAACCCTTCAAAGACCTTATTTCTGACTGAGCATGAGTACGATTTCATTAAATATTGTTCGTTGATGAAAAGAAGTAATTTGAACTGCTCGTAGGCCGTTAGTTTGTCTTCGTCTTCCAGATTATCACCATCAAGGTCGTATTGATTAAACATCTCATTGGATAACAAGTACTTAATGAGAGTAGGTATCAACTTTGTATTGTTTGTCAAATCATCGAATTCCTTATCGCTCAACAACTCTGTGTGGTACAAGTACTCAAAAAGAATATCACAGCTAAATTTCAACAAGATATAGGGAGAGCTGGACTCGGAGTTACCTGGATTATTGTGGATGTTGATGACATTAGAGGTTATAAAGTTGGAAATTACCGTAATGAAATCATAGTCTCTCAAGGTTTGGAACATTTCCGCAATATCAATTGATTTGGTGTTGCCATCTTCATTTTCCACCTTAAGGAGCAAGAGCAAAGTGATGCACAAGAACTCTTTCAAGCACTCCTTCTCGTATGCCACCCGGATGTTGCACTGCTCGAGATCGGGCACAGTCGAAGCGTTCTCGTCATCGGGAACTATGCTGAAAGTGCTGAGGAACGCTAGAATTTTGCCAATGCAGAAACGGTAGTTTTTGACAAACATGTTCAGGGTGACGAGCTTGAGGGCGTAGAGTGACACCGAGTGATATGTCCGCTGGTTGTCGATGATGTCGTTGTTGTACACATTATCAATGATGAACTTGATATAGATGGAGAGGTTCTCGTTGCACTCGGACGAGTCGCTGTTGATGAGCATGGAGGTCAACTGGTCATCGAGATCACCTCGCGGCTCTGGCTGTGGCTGCTGGACCCCTGGGAACGACGTTTTAGGGATCTCATACATTCTAGAGCATATCAGTGATTGGTAGATTCTTGTATGGGGTAGAATGTCGTAGTGTGGTGCGCACTGAGATAGTGCCGAATCCGGCGAGTGGGACTACAGTTTTGGCTGGGTAGTAGATAGACGGTGTACAAGAAACGGGCGTGGGGTGGGCATGAACCAATCCCCTGTTGTCGTAGTGACATCGTGGAACTCTCCGAGGTGTGACATATTTTTCTGTTTGGGGTCATTTTGATCCACTTTCGGATATGAATAGCTGATGCGATAAGACGCACTAATAAGGCTATTGGTTGCGTAGGCTCTTGCCTCGCATTGGTTCTGGGCATCTATATAAAGTTTCACCAGGCAGTAAAGATAGTGAGATCAAAACGTATTAATTCTGGTTTTGGATGAGAAGAGCTTTTATTTGGAATCAGTCACCGAAATTGTAAATATTTCACGATTTTATCCAATATTGTAGTTCCGAAAGGATGTTACCTAGTCACTACAGTCCATCTCTAAGATAGAGAAGTGTCTAATGGCATTTTATCTATGGAATAGAGTCATTGACTCTAGTCTCTCTATCAGTCCTCTTGTCTTTAGGGAGGACGTTGTCTATCAGTTCCCCACTGTTTTCAAGTATATATCCGTACCCCATCCATAGTAGCTCTGGATGGTCAACAGGCCCTTGGTGTCGGGCAAAATCCCGTTTTCGTCAGGAATGGTGTCGTTGAAAATCTCTACGTAGTTCTTCAGAAGCGGTAACCCGTACCCCATACCAGCCACCACGTTTCCTCCTACTCCTGGTGGAACGTTCAAAGTCTTGTAGCTCTCGCCCTCGCCAGACTCGAACGTACTGAATGAGTAGTCAAAGATTTGCAGCAATACCTTCGGTTGAATTCCCTTACCCTTGTCACGGATCCTGAGCTCAAGGAAGGATGGTTCTGCTGAGGTGGAAATCGTGATCTGGACGGGGTCCTCGACCTTGTTTTCGATGTGGGCCCTGAACGAGTTCTTGAACACCTCGGTAAGAATGTAGTCCAAGTGGTACTCGATGTAGGGGAAATGAAGCACATCGCCGTCGTCCTTCTTGTAATCGGGCTCCTGTTGACTCCAGTAATTCTTGGGGTATAAGTTATGGTCGATCTTGATGGGCACGCTCTGGTCGTACTTCATTAAGCAGATGTCGTTGACGAGCTCTGCGTTCTTCCTGATGACATCGGGGATGTTGAGCTGCTTGATTACCCCATTGTAGCGGCCTCCCTGGACAAATTTGCCCGCTAGCGACTCCGACAACTTGATGTGCTGGTGGGCAATGAGGCGCATACTGATGCGCTCCTTGAGGTGCTTGTCCAAGAAGTCCTTGATCTGCAGCACGCTCAACAAGTGGGACACCTCCTGGAAACCCTTGGAGAGACTGGGAAGCGTGTCTGCATGCACGTCTATGAATTCCTCGAGCACAGTCTGCGTGAAGGACTGGTTTTCGTCCAAGTTCTTGGGCGGGTCCAACGACGCCGTGATCAACGATGACATTGTCTGGAGGTAGGTGTTGTATGACTCGGAAATCGACGGGTTGAGCACCACCAAGTAGGGCAAGTTGCGGAACTCCTTGAGTCTGCGGGCGTTATATGCGAGCAAGTGCTCCACGGTTCCCTGGGCGTTGTTGATGATGAACTCCTCCGATAAGCGCTCCGACTGCTGGTAGAGCCTCTGCATCGAGAACTTGGGGAGGTCTTTGTTGGCGTAGTAGTAGATGGGTCTCTCGAGCATGGTTCGGATCTTGTACTCCTCCAAGAACTTGGACTGCTCGTGGGAGGTGGTGGAGGACTGACAGCGGAATTGGCCCAACCGGCTGGCAACTGGTCGGATTCTTCGAAACATCATGGCGGGCGAAGATCCTGTGAGATTTGGACAAGTATATTGAGAGTTGGTCTGTCCAGAGTAGTGAAGTTAGGAAACGTCTGTGACTAACCGCCAGCGCGCGACAAATTCTGGTGTGACATCTGGGGAATCTGCGACATCATCGGTCAAATCATCCCTACCACCACACCGTCCAGGCTTCAGTGGACTCTAGAACATACACAGCTGCCAGAACTGTCGCCACCAGTCCAGTGTGCTTGCCAGAAGATCCTTTAAACAGCAAGCTCGCTCCAAATCTGCCAATTATCCGCCTTCCCTGCGATGCCCTCCATCGACGTGTGTCCCGTTTGCGTGGACCGTCCCTTGGAGCAGTCCCACACCGTCACCTCGGTGGCATGGATCCAGTGTGAAGCCTGCAATCAATGGTACCACAGTGTGTGTGTCCAGTTGGGGCTGCTCGAGATGAACAACCTCCATTCGTACCACTGCGCCAAGTGCACCAAGACCCACGGTCCTTCGACGTTTCGAAGAAAATCCAAGCGCAGCAAGATCCAGATCGACTACGTCGCTTTGAACGATGGCGAAGTATTCGCCGTCGACAAACTGTCGCATCCACACGTCACCAGCCTCTTGGAGTTCGCCACCACTGGGTCCGACTCGGAGCACATCTACATCCAGAACGAATTGACCACCAAATTTGCCTTGAAAACAGGCTTGCGCAAACCCATTCTAGTTCCCAATGCCACCGAGGAAAACTCGGGCATGAAGTTGCCGTTGGACCCCAAGCAGATCACACTCGACTATATCACCGACAAGGTGGGCGAAGACACCTCGCTCGAGGTCATGGACGTGCTATCGCAGCAGGGAGTCCATCCTGGGTGGAACATGGGCCAGTGGCGCGACTATTTCAACTCAGATGAACATAACAGGGACAGAATCCGCAACGTAATCTCATTGGAAATCTCGGACGTGCACCCGTTGGGCACCCAGTTCAGAAGGCCCCAAATGGTGCGAGACTTGGATTTGGTCGACAAGGTGTGGGACCGCCACGACGAGCAGCCACGGTCCAAAGTCACCAAGTACTGTTTGATGTCAGTCAAGGGCTCGTTCACCGACTTCCACATCGACTTCGGCGGCACCTCCGTGTACTACACCGTGTGCACCGGGTCCAAGACGTTCTTGATGTTCCCGTCAACTTCCGAAAACCTTGCACTCTACGAGGCGTGGTGCTTGGAGCAGAACCAGAACTTCATGTGGTTCTGCGACTACTCCAAGAACATCAAGGGCAAGAAAGTGCGCCCATCGCAGGGCTTCAAGGTCACCCTCCACGAGGGCGACTTGTTCATCATTCCCAGTGGCTGGATCCACGCCGTGTACACTCCCGAAGACTCAATCGTCATTGGGGGCAACTTTCTTACACTCCGAGACATGGCCACCCAGCTCCACATCAGCACCATCGAGAAAACGACAAAGGTGCCGTCCAAGTTCCGGTTTCCCATGTTCAACAAGGTGTTGTGGCTAGCCAGCTGGTACTACTACACGCACCAGGATGAGTTCTTGCGGGACGTGGGTATGACACCTGCAAACGCACCGTTATCCGTCAAGTCCGAGTCCACCCTGCCTGGTGACATCAAGCACGAGCGCGAACCTGCGCTCGCTGTGCAGCCAGAGCATGAACTACTCCAGGGCCTTATCCGCCACTTGACTGCCCACTACGAGCTCAGCAAGACCAACGCCACCGCCAAGCGCAGCGTGCCTACTGACGTGATCGGCAAGGACGTGCTGGCGTATCTCTCCCAGCTCCTGGCGTGGGCAAGCACTTTCTACCCTTGACCTATCCATACTACCCGCAAACACAATAGTTTTATAGTAGGGCAGTGCGCCTAACCAGCAGATGTCAACTCAATACATTTCTCCATATTAATCCTCTGGAAACACCTCTAAGCCCATTGCCACGCTATCACGGCTGGCCTTCCACACCATGTCCGACGATGTCACCAGCAGCCTACTCTCAGTGGAGTCCCTGGTTCAGAATGTGGCGTTCGAGCCACCGTTGGCATTCTCAGGTTCCTCGCCTGACCCCGAATCCCACCACGGTCTCCATGCTTACAATACCTACTACCCAGAGGACCAGGCCCCGATTGCCAGCACGAATATCCCGTTGTGGCGCAGGGTACTCGAGTACTATCGTCCCTTCTACATCCTCGATCACCTCACCTACAAGGATTCCAAGGTGGTGTTGCGCTCGTGGGTCCAGGTGTTTGTCGGAGTGGTGCTAGCCACCGTCCCTCGCACCAGCCGCTGGATAGGAAATGCCACCTACTTGATGCAAATCATGAGTTTCATCGCCGTTTCGGGTGGAAAACTGGTCCAGGCTTCGTTCAACGAGAACTTTGTCGTGGTGCTTTTTGCGGTGATCTCGTGGCTATTTGAAGTCGTCAGCCTGAAAATATGCAACCGGCTTCGAGGAGGCATCACCCACCACCAAGTGACACAGGCCCTCATCGATGAAGGATCCTGCACGGTCGAGAACATCGCTTCGTGCTTCGAGTCCCAAGTCTACACCGCACGTTATCTCGAAACCAGAACCAGCGTCATCTTCATATTTGCTTTGATCATCGGAATTGCCCTCTTCGGGTACTTGGATTCCCTCAAGTACCCAAGATCGGGTTTTATAGCGGGCCTGATCAGCTTGATCATAACACTTTGCTACACAGTGTTCTACCCCACATTCCAGCCCATGGTGGGTCTCTCGGTGATAAAGCCTCTAGGTGTGGGTGCAGCTATCGCGTTTGCTGTTTCGGTAGTGATATTCCCCCATACCTCAAGCTACCAGTACTTGGATTCCACGTTGAGTATCCTCAAGAGCTTGAAGGTAGAGAGCACCAATAATCTTCGGTTTTTTCACTCTATTAAGCCTTCGGAGGGCTCCTTCTCCAACTACAAAGAGTTCAAGAAAAACGTACATGCTTGTAAAGGCAAAATCCATGCATTGGATGTCCATGTGCCGATGATTGAAAGAGAGTTTTCCTACTCAAGATTCAATCAACTGCATTTGAAGTCTTTCCGCGCCCTTCTAAGGAGCTTACTACATGTATCATCGGGCTACGACTCTCTCTATGAGATGATACAAGAAAAAAAGGATTGGGCTGATGATAACCTAACAAGAAGGGTTAGTGTCGTTTCTCAAAACGGCTCAATAGCATCCCATGGGGACTCCAAATTCTTCACCACCATCCATGAATCCTACAAACAAGTGGGAGAATACGAAAATAACAGAAGAGTAACACTATTGAAGAAAAAGATATTGAACCTGGGCTATCAAAAGCTTACAATTCAAGAGTTGGACTTTGTCACCAGCATCATACAAACGAACTGTAGTTCATTAATAGAGGTCACTGACCGAGGGTTACAAGGAATAGTATCATGGCTTGAAAATGCCAATGACTTTAGAATATTCGCGTTATGGCCAGGCAAGTGGAACATGCACAAACAAAGGCAACAAGAAAGTCATGAATCGCTTGAGAAGGTGAAACAGAACATTATCGAGGAAATGGAAACATTCTCCTCTATTCCAAAATTAGAAGAATTAACCAGACAAGCTAGTCTTAATGAGGAAACATTATTATGTTTAATAAGCGAACTTAGTTTGTATCTTCATCTATGCAAGAACCATTGCAGGCATTTACTTCGAATCATAGACTTGTTCTTGGTAATGGATAAAGAACAACCATATCCCAAATTTCTGAGCTACTTCACCAAAGGAACGTCTTCTTTTGAAGATGATGTTCCCAAATTCGAAGATGAGGATACTTCATTTCTTGATTCCCAAGTTCAAGCCAGAGACCCGGATGCTAATGCACCAAGCAATGTTTTAAACTTAGTTGGAATTCAGGTGGTAAAAGTGTACCACTTTTTGCTTCATCCTCAATTGTGGTTCTTGATTAGAGCAGGTGGTGTGGTAGCCCTAGCGGCAACTCCTTACTTTGTCAGAACTACTGCCCAATGGTATTTTAACAACAGATTGGTCTGGGTCGTCATCATGACTGCATTGTCCACTTTCCAGACTACAGGTCAATCGGTTTACGTCTTCGGGAGTAAATTAGTTTACTCATTTTATGGATCCCTCTTAGGGTTAGTGGGATGGTACATATCGAGAGGAAATTATTACGGATACCCTGTTGTTTGTGGTGTGATTTACCTTTACTTGGTGTATTATAGGCATTTTGCTAAGCACAATTTAGTGGTCCCAAATGTCTTATTCGCGGTGACCACAATTTTAGTTCTAGGAACCAGTTTTGTGGACCTCAAATACAGCCAAGTTGCCAATATCGGATCAGGCTGGAGGGTTGCATACACGAGATTCGTTAGTGTCATTGTGGGACTTTGTATCGGATTTTTAGCATGTTTATTTCCTAAACCCCATTCATCAAGAACGGATTTAAGAAGATTATTGGCTAAAATTATATCGGAGTCAGGTACAATTCACTGCTACGTATCAAAGTTTGCATTGCATAGAGTGGAATATCCAAATTATCATATAAAAACTAGTGATGACTTGATAGTTAATACCACTCGAAAAAACTTTCGTCGTGTGGCCAAAATCTCGTCGCTTATGGTAGCTTTGACTCATGAGATTCCAATTTCCGGAAGTTGGCCAGAAGCAAAGTATGCCAAATTGCACAACATTTTGTATGACATCACTCTGATTTACTTCTTACTATTGTCGATATTTGATCAAGTGGAAGATCCAGAAGAGTGGGTACCGATCATGCTCCGCAAAATGGGATGGTCAAGTGCTTCTTTGAACGGTGACTTGTTTGGCATGATTCACATGTCTAGTGATGCATTATTAACTAGAAACCAATTGCCCAAGATTACAGACTCCAACCTTTCAGTGAAACACCTAGAAATCTTGACAAATAGATGGGGGATTGCAAAAGGAAAGCTTAGAGACGGGTTCTATCGAGCAGCAGCCAGTGAGAAATTCCCTGCCTCAGATTCTAGTCTTGAGCATCAATCTCGAGAAGGTGATGTTCACGAGTCGGTGATGGAAAATCTTGATTTCCAAAAAATATACAGTCATGATGGTCAATTGTCTAACGTGTCCTTGATTCTAGCACACATGCTATTCGAAAGATTGGATCAAGTTATGATAGTAGTGAAATCTTTGGTTGGAGAGAAGTACGACTTCGACATTAGTGGTCTTGAAGACCCAGAAGAGGACTCAAAACTTCTCCCACTTAAATGAACATGATCGCTGATACCACAACTATTGTTGAAATTAAAGTCTATGGGGCCTGTCTACGACTTGTCTAATTATCATATATTTACATTATCCATTAATTACTCTTACAACTCCAAAGTAGTTCCCTTTTCTCTAGCAGCTTCACCGTACTTCTTGATTCTGATAGATTGGACAGCAATGAAACCAGAAGTGTCTTCTGGAGAGAAGCCGGTCAACTCATCCATAGAAGATTCGGTTTCATCGTACAACTTCTCAGTGTCAGAGTATCTACCCAAGATAGTCAAAGAACCCTTGTAAGCTCTGGCTCTGACAACACCGTTAACGGTCTTTTGGGATGGTGGAATCATGGATCTGACATACTCACATTCTGGAGTGAAGTACATACCGTTGTACAACAACTTGGAGTAAGTGACAGTGACGAATTGATCTCTGATGGCTCTGACTTCACGATCCAAGGTCAAACCTTCCAAATCGACGTGAGTGTTTCTCAAGATGGTCAAACCTGGGGTTTCGTAACAACCTCTGGACTTGATACCAATGAATCTGTTTTCAACGATATCAATTCTACCAATACCGTTTCTTCTGGCCAAAGCGTTGGCTTCGATAAATAATTCGACTGGGTCGGTGACAACCTTCTTACCACCGTCAAGGACCAACTTGACAGGCAAACCCTTTTCAAAGACAACCGAGAAGTCTTCTGGGGTTTCTGGGGCATCGGTTGGGTCGACAGTCAACTTCCACATGTCCTTTGGAGGAGTGGTGTCTGGGTTTTCCAAGATACCAGCTTCGAAAGAGATGTGAGCCAAGTTCTCGTCGGTAGACCATGGCTTAGCCTTGGTTTGAGCAACTGGAATGTTCTTGGAAGCAGCATATTCCAACAAGTCGTTTCTACCAGCGAATCTGTTGAAGAATTCAGGGTCTCTCCATGGAGCAATGACGACAACGTCAGGCTTCAAGGCGTAGAAAGACAATTCGAATCTGACTTGATCGTTACCCTTACCGGTACAACCGTGAGAAACAGCGAAACAGCCGTGTTCTTCAGCAACCTTGATTTGAGCTTGGGCAATGACTGGTCTGGCCAAGGAGGTACCCAAGAGGTAGACGTTTTCGTAGATAGCGTTGGCTTGAATGGCTGGGAAACAGACTTGTTCCACAAATTCCTTTCTGACGTCAACAACAACGAACTTGGTAGCACCGATGGCCAATGCCTTCTTTTCAGCTTCCTCGAAGTCTTCTTCTTGACCAATGTTGGCCAAGAAGGCAATGACTTCATAGCCTTGTTCCAATAACCAGGCCAAGATGACGGAGGTATCCAAACCACCAGAGTATGCTAAACAAACTTTTCCTTTAGACATTTTATGTAAATAAGTAGAAACTTAATAGATGAAGGGAAAAACTTTCAGGGAGAATTTTTCATCCTTTTATACCATGGCGGCCCAATTTTCAGCCAACGATAACGAAGCGCGCTTAACCTGAATTACCGCATTAGGCATGACTCATTGAGTGTGCACGACCATGCACCTTGGGTCCCGTACATGGGCAAGTGCATGGTCTTTGACTCATTCCAGGGTCTGTGTAGGAAGGGTGCAATGGAGTTAAGCAAAAGTTGGGAAGCTAATGGTGTGCTTTGCGACCTAATAAGGACCAGCTTGCTCTATGAGTAAGCAAAGCGAACCACAACAAAAGAACTTAAGCATCGAAAGCTCCTGTCCATGGCATGAAAACAGTGCAATTAGTGTATGTGGCAAAGAACAGGAGAACACCGGAGCATCCAATGGCCGAATGGACGTAACAGCCCTTTACAAGATGTGAACCACAAATCTGTGTGGTGCAAGCACACAATTTGATTTTTGAATAATTTGCGAAAATTTCGCATCTGTGAATAAGTCAAAATCATTCCTACAAGATTTAATGGATTGACCTAGTCTATCAAGTGATAAAAAAATGTGTATTATGCATTACAAGATTTACCTTTGGAATATGATATACTTTCCATTAGCAAAAAAGGGTATCTAGTCGTACCTGGCTAGCTCAGGCCAGGTGCTGGCGTAACTAAGGGGTCATCCAGAGAGTAGATTATAAGTGGCATCCCATTAACAGAATAAGCAAACTCTCGAGGAACGGGCTTCATCAAGATAGTACCACGGCCCTGACCTGCACTAGTATAGCATTGACACCATGACTCGCCTACGAAAAGTTACAATCCGAGTAGTCACACACGTGACTTAACACGTGATACATATTGCGCAACCAGGGCTCTTTCACCACGTTGAATAGTGCCTGCCAAGCACTTATGCATCCGGGGCTATTCGCCCGCCCAACTAGACTATTGTGGTACATGCCAAGGGCTACCTGAAAACAGGCTATCTGTATCGGAGTAAACCGCTCGGCCCAACTACACGTGATGAGTCTCAGTCACAATGACTACGGCTCACTGATTAGTCATGAGAATTACCCAACACTATATCACCAGCACCTGTGCCAGGGGGCCGAGGCTACTGTAGACGCGACACTACGCAAAACAATTGTTGGACCTATCCTCCGTAGGTGGCTATTATCTGCAGACTGTAAGCCACACGACCAGAAAAATTCCAATACTCACTTGATTCGTAGTCATCAGTCATAGTCATAGTCATAGTCATAACCCCGAACAAAAATTATGACGGGGACAGAAGAGGGGCTGAAGGAATCCAAACGGATGGGAGTCACGAATGCCATACGGAATAAGCTCAACTTCTTGGATGAGCGGTTGTGGAAGCGGTTTTCCGCCAGGCGATTGGAGTTGATTGATACCCTCGATTTGAGTTCTCGCAAGGCCAGTGAACAGGATGCCGACATCAAGATGGTGGCCGAGGCATTGCGGGTGGAGTTCGGCTACAACGAAGACTTCGAGCTGGACTTCGACAAGTTGGTTCGGGCTGCCGTGCAGAGTGTGCGGCGGAACCGGAAGCGGTCTTCGAAGACGAAGCACGAGGACGAAGAGCCTCCCAAACGGCACAAGCCAGGACCTGAGCAGCTCCCCGAGCCAAAAGGTTCTCCCAAGACGGTGGTAGATGCCACCAAGGGTGGTGATACCACCACCCACCGCAACTTCTTGGCGGAGATCTCCAAGATTGACTCCGATGGAAATGACGAAATCTACGACTTGAACTACTCGAGAACAAAGCACTTCTCTACGGAAGACAGGGCCAAGGCTGCCATCGACTCGATGATACGGCCTCGGCTCCAGGCGCCTGTGACCAAGAAGGACGACAGTGCTTCGTCGGCGTCCGGCACTCCGTCAGGGTCGTTTTCGGGGCTTTCTGGCGGCAAGCCCCAGTTGCCTCCATTGCAGTTGCTGGCCACTGCCAGCGAGATACCAGACGCCACGGGTGCCAAAACTACGCTCATCAACCACATCGAGCGGTCAAAATCGTGCCTGGAAAGCGTGTCCAAGAAGTCGGAGAACATCCAGGCGCTCGGGCGGTCGATCATGTCCTCGAGCATCGCCTACGTGTTTGAGAAGTCGTTCGAGAACGTCAACGAGGTGTCGATCGAGTATCTCCGCAACAAGCTCAACCACGAGGTGTTTCTCGCTCGGTTTTTCCGGGAGTTGGACCCCGAAGCTACCACCCAGGTCAGCGACGAGATCGCAGTGATCTCGCTCTACACGCTCCTTGGCGGCTGCGTCAAGGACTTCGGGTTCGAGGTGGTGATGTTCCCGCTCTGCGAGCTCTTATACGTTCTGGTGCTTCGCGACTATCCGTTGATTGCGAAAAACTCCACTGCGTTTCGCAGTGCCGACTATTTGCGGCCCCATGGCGAGTCTGTGTATGGCGGAAACAACTCGTTGAGTTCCTTGGCCGCTGTGGCCACCGACATCCAGATGCGTGAGCAGCGGCCTGGTGGAGCCAAAATGACTTCGGCCATGGTTCAGGCCAAAACTGCTGCATCGTCGTCGCACTACGCATCTCCCATTGCATCCCAGCCGTTGAGCAGGTCACTTTCTCCCGAGATCCACCTCACGGGCCATCCTGGACCTCCACTACCCGCACCACCACCGGTGCTTAAGGGCAAGAAGCAGGTGCTTCTCAAGTTCCTCTCGTCGGTGTTGGAGTTCTCCTACGGCACCAACAACCTGGCACCACCACGGCTCATGGAGCTCCTCGAAAACGCTCGCAGTGCGTTCAAGCTCACCAGCGCCAACGACTCGATTCTCGGAGTGCGCAACATCAAGGACGGGCTCATCGTGCGCACCGACTTGGACTTGGAGCGTATCTTCAAGCACCAGGAGAAGATCGAGCTCGAGATCTTCAGCCAGCGGTCCAAGGCCATACCCATCTACGAGATCACCTCCACCGTGATTCCCAACTACAACGAGCGGAGCCCAGCCGGCGATGGCCCCAAAATCGTGCTCCCACCGCCGTTACAGCGGGTGGCCCTCGCGCACCCGAGACTCGATGGGGGAGATAAAAGTGGGTTGCCCTTTCTCTCCAATAACGACGAGGCGGCCATGGTGGCGGTGGTGCCGTCCACACCACCTGTGCCGCCTCCTCCACCACTTCTTCCCAGGTTCCAACCGCTCTTGTAGCCCAGGGTCGTTACGTCAGGCTCCGCGCAGACTTTTGGGCCAACATATAATTGTTGGGGTGGTTGGGCGCACGCCGCCAACGGTCGGTGTGCGGCTGCGAATCGGTATATAGGGATTATAGACAGAGCCGTGCAATGGCCCGTTAGGGGTCGCCAGTAGTCGCCATTGGTTGCCGGTGGTTGCCGGTGGTCCAATGGTGGTCCCTCTAGGTCCTTCCAGTCGTCATCTAGTGTTTCTTTACTGGCCATTTGGTGCCCCCTTCGGGGGCCCCTGGGCCCACATCTGCAATGCCCTGCACAAATGTGTTGAGACGCGCCCAACCATTTTTCATAAAAATGTTGTGTGAGCTCCATTTATATACCCCGGCATCCATTGATCCAGTTTATGCGGGCAGCGAGTATATGGCACCTAACTAACCTTTCCAGATACCTCCCATTCCGAATCACCCCCTCTGTACATACCTATTCCAGCCTCCGGACCCATACACTCCGCCATCACAACACTGCCACCATGTCCGAGTCCCCCGATAAAGACTACTCCCAGCTCCACGCTGGATTGGCCCCCCACTTCAAGGGCTTGAACTCCGTCCACAGAGCCGAGCCAGGCAAGATAACCGACTTCGTCAAGTCCCACCAGGGCCACACCGTCATCTCCAAGGTGTTGATTGCTAACAACGGTATTGCCGCCGTCAAAGAGATCCGTTCGGTGCGGAAGTGGGCCTACGAGACGTTTGGCGATGAAAGAGCAGTGCAGTTCACAGTCATGGCCACGCCAGAGGACTTGGAGGCCAATGCCGAGTACATCCGTATGGCCGACCAGTTCGTGGAAGTGCCAGGTGGAACCAACAACAATAACTACGCCAACGTCGACTTGATCATCGAAATCGCCGAAAGAACAAACGTCCACGCCGTGTGGGCCGGGTGGGGCCATGCCTCCGAAAACCCATTGTTGCCAGAAGGATTGGCCGCGTCCCCCAATAAGATCATTTTCATCGGTCCTCCCGGGTCTGCCATGAGATCCTTGGGTGACAAGATCTCCTCCACCATCGTCGCCCAGCACGCCCAAGTTCCATGTATTCCTTGGTCCGGTACTGGTGTTGACCAGGTCACAGTCGACCCCGAAACTAACTTGGTTTCGGTCGAAGACGAAATCTACCAGCAGGGTTGTTGTACCTCTCCCGAAGACGGTTTGGTCAAGGCCAGGCAAATCGGATATCCCGTCATGATTAAAGCCTCCGAAGGTGGTGGTGGTAAGGGTATCAGAAGGGTCGACGACGAAAAGGACTTCATCGCGTTGTACAAGCAAGCTGCGAATGAAATTCCCGGTTCCCCTATCTTCATCATGAAGTTGGCTGGCTCCGCCAGACACTTGGAGGTCCAATTGTTGGCCGATCAATATGGTACCAACATCTCCTTGTTCGGAAGAGATTGTTCCGTCCAAAGAAGACATCAAAAGATTATCGAAGAAGCCCCAGTCACCATTGCTAACAAGGATACCTTCCACCAGATGGAAAACGCTGCCGTCAGATTGGGTAGATTGGTCGGTTACGTTTCTGCTGGTACTGTCGAATACTTGTACTCTCACGCTGACGACAAATTCTACTTCTTGGAATTGAACCCAAGATTGCAAGTCGAACATCCAACCACCGAGATGGTCACCGGTGTTAACTTGCCAGCCGCTCAATTACAAATTGCTATGGGTATTCCAATGCATCGTATCAGAGACATCAGAACCATGTATGGTGTCGATCCTCACACCGCAACCCCAATCGATTTCGAATTCACCAATGAAGATTCCCTCACCTCTCAAAGAAGACCAGTGCCTAAGGGTCACACCACTGCTTGTCGTATCACTTCGGAAGATCCAGGTGAAGGGTTCAAGCCTTCTGGTGGTAATTTACATGAATTAAATTTCAGGTCTTCCTCCAACGTGTGGGGTTATTTCTCTGTTGGTACTAAATCATCTATCCACTCTTTCTCTGATTCTCAGTTCGGTCACATTTTCGCTTTTGGTGAAAATCGTCAAGCTTCCAGAAAACATATGGTTGTTGCATTGAAAGAATTGTCTATCAGAGGTGATTTCAGAACCACTGTGGAATATTTAATCAAATTGTTAGAAACACCAGCTTTCGAAGGTAACACCATAACTACTGGTTGGTTAGATGAATTAATTAGCAAGAAATTGACAGCTGAAAGACCAGACCCAATTATTGCTACTGTTTGTGGTGCTGTTACCAAAGCTCATATCCAGTCCGAAGAAGACAAGAAACTTTACATTCAGACTTTAGAAAAGGGTCAAGTTCCAAACAACAGTTTGTTGAGAACCGTTTTCCCAGTTGAATTTATTTATGAAGGCCAAAGATACAAGTTCACTGCTACCAAGTCCTCCAACGATAGTTACACCTTATTCTTGAATGGTACCAGATGTGTGGTTGGTGTTCGTCCTTTATCCGACGGTGGTTTGTTATGTGCCATCGGTGGTAAGTCTCACTCTGTCTATTGGAAGGAAGAAGCTTCTGCTACTAGATTATCTGTTGATAGTAAGACTTGTTTGTTGGAAGTTGAAAATGATCCAACTCAATTAAGAACTCCTTCTCCAGGTAAATTGGTTAAGTACTTAGTCGAATCAGGTGAGCATGTTACTGCTGGACAAGCTTATGCCGAAGTTGAAGTCATGAAGATGGTTATGCCTTTGATTGCTCAAGAGAATGGTGTTGTCCAAGTAATTAAACAACCTGGTTCTACTGTTAATGCTGGTGACATCTTGGCCATTTTGTCCTTAGATGATCCATCCAAGGTCAAGCACGCTTTACCTTACGAAGGTACTCTTCCTGAATTAGGTGAGCCAATTGTTTTAGGTACCAAGATTGTCCACAAGTTCTTCTTGTACTCTAGTATTTTGAGAAACATTTTGACTGGTTACGATAACCAAGTCATCATGAACTCTACTTTGAAGAGCTTGATTGAAGTCTTGAAATCTAAAGATTTGCCATTTTCCGAATGGAATTTGCAAGCATCTGCTTTACATTCAAGATTGCCAATCAAGTTGGATGAATCATTGAATGCATTAGTTCAAAGAGCAACATCTAGAGGCGCTGATTTCCCAGCACGTCAAATTTTGAAATTGATTCAAAAGACTGCCACTGATCCAGAAACTGATGCCTCTTTCGAAGCTGTTGCCGCTCCCTTGGTTGAAATTGCTACTAGGTACTCTAATGGTTTGGTTGAGCATGAATTCGATTTCTTCGCTAAGTTGATCATGGAGTACTACGACATTGAAACACTTTTCTCAGGTGAAACCACCAGAGAAGATGATGTGATTTTGAAGTTGAGAGATGAAAACAAGTCAGACTTGAACAAGGTTACCACTATTTGCTTATCTCACTCCAGAGTCAGCGCCAAGAACAATTTGTTGTTGGCTATTATGGAAGAATACCAACCTGTTTTGCAATCATCTTCTAGCATTGCTGTTTCTATCAGACAAGCTTTGAAGAGTATTGTTACCTTAGATGCTAGAGGTACTGCCAAGGTTGCTTTGAAGGCAAGAGAAATTTTGATTCAATGTTCTTTACCATCTATCCAAGAAAGATCTGATCAATTAGAGCATATTTTGAGATCTGCTGTTCTTCAAACATCTTATGGTGAGATTTATGCTAAGCATAGAGAACCAAGATTAGATATCATTCAAGAAGTTGTTGACTCTAAGCACACTGTCTTCGATGTCTTACCACAATTCTTGGTCAACAATGATGAATGGGTCTCTATTGCTGCCTCTGAAGTCTACATTAGACGTTCTTACAGAGCATACTCATTGGGTCCTGTTTCTTATCACTTCCACGATAGATTACCAATCTTGGAATGGAAATTCCAATTACCAAGTTTGACTTCTGCTCAATATAACTCCATCCAACATCTTAAGAACGAACAGAACAAGATGGATAGAGCCGCTTCTGTCTCTGATTTGTCATTTGTTGTTGATACTTCTACTGAGCAAAAGACTAGAACTGGTATCTTGGTCCCATGCAGACACTTAGATGATGTCGATGAGATGATTGCTGCCGCCTTGGAAAGATTCCAACCTTCCGATGCTATCACTTTTGAAGCAAAGGGCGAACAACCAGCTTTCACTAATGTTTTCAACGTTGTGATTACCAATCATGATAGTTATACTACCGAAGAAGAAGTTTTGGCTAAAATTCAAGAAGTAATTGACGACTTTAAGGATGACTTCAAGGCTGTTGCTATTCGTCGTATCACTTTTGTTGTTGCTAACAAGGTCGGTGTTTATCCAAAGTATTTCACCTTCAACGCTCCTGATTACATTGAGAACAAGGTTATCCGTCATATTGAGCCCGCTTTGGCTTTCCAATTAGAATTGGGAAGATTAGACAATTTTGACATCAAACCAATCTTCACAGACAACAGAAACATCCATGTTTATGAAGCCCTTGGTAAGAACGCTAGATCTGATAAGAGGTTCTTCACTAGAGGTATTGTTAGAACTGGTATTCTTCGTGATGAAATCAGTATCAGTGAATACTTAATCGCTGAATCTAACAGATTGATGAGCAACATTTTAGATGCTCTTGAGATCATTGACACCTCAAACTCCGATTTGAATCACATCTTCATCAATTTCTCCAACGTATTTAACGTCTTACCAGAAGAAGTTGAAGCTGCTTTCGGCTCATTCTTGGAAAGATTTGGTAGAAGATTGTGGAGATTGCGTGTGACTGGTGCTGAAATCCGTATTGTTTGTACCGATCCAACCACTGGAAACTCCTTCCCATTACGTGCTATCATTAACAATGTTTCTGGTTATGTTGTCAAGTCAGAATTATACATGGAAGTGAAGAACACTAAGGGTGAATGGGTTTTCAAATCTATGGGTCAACCAGGTTCCATGCATTACAGACCAATTTCCACTCCATACCCAGCAAAGGAATCTTTGCAACCAAAGCGTTACAGGGCTCACAATATGGGTACCACTTATGTGTACGATTTCCCAGAATTGTTCCGTCAAGCCACTCTTTCTCAGTGGAAGAAGCATCCTAAGCTTAAGGTTCCTAAGGATGTGTTCACTTCCTTTGAATTAATTAACGATGAGAACGAGGACTTGATTGCAGTTGAAAGAGAACCTGGTGCAAACAAGATTGGTATGGTTGGTTTCAAGGTTGTTGCCAAGACTCCTGAATATCCTCGTGGTCGTCAAATGATTATTGTTGCCAACGATATCACTCACAAGATCGGTTCTTTCGGTCCAGAAGAAGATAAATACTTCAACCAATGTACTGAATTGGCTAGAGAATTAGGAATCCCAAGAATTTATCTTTCGGCCAACTCTGGTGCTAGAATTGGTATTGCCGATGAATTGGTTCCTTTATTCAAGGTCGCTTGGAATGAAGATGGTGTTCCTGAGAAGGGTTTCAAGTACTTGTACTTGACTCCCGAGGATATGAAAGCAATTACTGATTCTGGAAAGGGCCACACCGTTGTTGCTGAGAGATCCGTTGAAGAAGGCCAGGAACGTTATGTCATCAAGTCTATTGTTGGTGCTGAAGATGGTTTGGGTGTTGAATGTCTTAAGGGTTCTGGTTTGATTGCTGGTGCAACTTCTAGAGCTTACAAGGATATCTTCACAATCACCTTGGTCACCTGTAGATCTGTTGGTATTGGTGCTTATTTGGTCAGATTAGGTCAAAGAGCTATTCAAATTGAAGGCCAACCAATCATTTTGACAGGTGCTCCAGCTATCAACAAATTGTTAGGTAGAGAAGTTTATTCTTCCAACTTGCAATTAGGTGGTACTCAAATCATGTACCGTAATGGTGTTTCCCATTTAACTGCTACTGATGACTTGGCTGGTGTAGAGAAGATTCTCGAATGGTTATCTTTTGTACCTGCCAAGCGTGGAATGCCAGTTCCAACCTTGCCTTCCGAGGATACTTGGGACAGAGACATTGATTATTACCCACCAAAGGACGAACCATTTGATGTCCGCTGGATGATTGAAGGTCGTGAGATTGATGGAGATTTTGAAACTGGTTTGTTCGACAAGGGATCTTTCCAAGAAACCTTGTCCGGATGGGCTAAGGGTGTCGTTGTCGGTAGAGCTAGACTTGGTGGTATTCCAATTGGTATTATCGGTGTTGAGAACAGAATGGTTGAAAACTTAATACCTGCTGATCCAGCCAACCCTGACTCCACTGAAGTCATGATCCAAGAAGCTGGTCAAGTTTGGTATCCAAACTCCGCTTTCAAGACCGCTCAAGCTATTAGAGATTTCAACAATGGTGAGCAATTGCCATTAATGATTTTAGCTAACTGGAGAGGTTTCTCTGGTGGTCAGAAGGATATGTACAATGAAGTCCTTAAGTATGGTGCTTTTATCGTTGATGCCTTAACCGAGTTCAAGCAACCAATTTTCACTTACATTCCACCAAACGGTGAATTGAGAGGTGGTTCCTGGGTCGTTGTTGATCCAACCATCAACGCTGAAATGATGGAAATGTACGCCGACGTTGATTCCAGAGCTGGTGTCTTAGAACCAGAAGGTATGGTTGGTATTAAGTACAGACGTGACAAGTTATTAAGCACTATGCAAAGATTAGATCCAACTTACGCTGAGTTGAAGAGTAAGTTGGCCGATGCTTCTTTGAGTGCCGAAGAACATAGCCAGATTTCTGCCAAGGTGACTGCTCGTGAAAAGATGTTACTTCCAATTTACGCCCAAATCTCAGTTCAATTCGCTGATTTGCACGATAGATCTGGTCGTATGTTGGCTAAGGGAGTCATTAGGCAAGAAATTAAGTGGGTTGATGCTAGACGTGTCTTCTTCTGGCGTTTACGTCGTCGTTTGAACGAAGAGTACTTGTTGAAACTCATCGGTGAACAATTGAAGTCTCCAACCAAGTTAGAGAAGGTTGCTAGATTGAAGAGTTGGATGCCAGCTGTTGATTACGAAGATGATGAAGCTGTTAGTACCTGGATTGAAGAAAACCATTCCAAGTTGCAAAATAATATTGAAGAATTGAAGCAAGAAGCTATTCGCCAAAAGATTCACAGTTTTGTCAACGAGGATCCAAACCAAAGTGCTTCTGTTGTTAAGGAAATCTTTGGAACTTTATCTGAAGAACAAAAGAGCGAATTATTGAAATCTCTTCAGTAATTTAGATTTATTTATATTTTATGAACACTTACGTATTTGATTAATAAAGAATAATTAGAATAAAAATTGTACTAGTAGTACTGGGTTCAAGGTTGCCTACAATGAATCAATCTGGTGAGAGTGTTTACTAGAGGGCATAGTAGAGACTATTTCCCCAGAATATTGCAGTAGAGGTGTTTGACTCCAGTGCCGTCCATGTTCACAGAACAGGCAAAGAGATATCATCTCTTTTAATACTCTCACTCGACAGAATCCTTTATGTGAAATACCAGCAATGAACTTTTGCAGCTTTGGGTGCAAAAGATTGCACGCATTTGTACCAAAATTTCTCTACAACCACAAGAAGGGAAGTAAGCTAGAAATTAACGTACAATGAAGTTCGGGTTGTTGTTTATTGCTACGATGCTGACAACTGTTTTAGCGGAATTAGGTTACTTGGTTTCCTTGAAGCCTTCTGAATCACTTGAATCTTTCTTGAAATCTGATATCCAGTACCCAGAAGGACAACAAGTAAAGGCCCAAATCAAGAATTCGTTCTCCATTGGCACTTTCAGAGGTTTTTCGGGTAACTTCTCGCAGGCCATGGTCGAGAGATTGAGGAATTGTCCACTAGTGAGCCAAGTCTCTGAGGATATAGCTGTTAATGCTGTTGCTGTTCAAGAGCAAGCGCCTCGCCATTTAGTAAGATTATCCCAGAGACAAAAGCTTGAATCCGACGACCACAGCTATATCTTTCAAGGAAATGGTGCAGGGGTGTTAGTGTATGTGGTTGACACTGGTGTGGCTGCTGAACATCCTGAATTCGAGGGTAGAGTGTCTTTTGGGGCAGATATTACTGGCGAGGGAAGAGGGGATCCAAATGGCCACGGCACACATGTTGCCGGAATCGTGGGATCCAAATCGTACGGAGTTTCGAAGAATGTGGAAATAGTTGAGGTGAAGGCTTTGAACAAGAATGGAGCAGCTTTTGCCAGTACTTTGATCGAGGCACTCGAGTTTGTCGTTCAGCACAGGCTAAGAACAGGCAAGCCTGGGGTGGTTAATTTATCATTGGGAGCTGGAAAACATCCAGTATTAGAGGATGCAGTGAAGGCAGCAGCAGCAACGGGATTGGTTCTTGTTGCAGCAGCAGGAAATGCCAATACAAATGCATGTAACATTAGTCCTGCCAACTCTCCAGAAGCAATCACAGTAGGTGCTATTGATGATCTTTACGATACCATGACTGCCTTTACGAACTGGGGAAGCTGTGTGGATTTGTTTGCCAGTGGAATGTTTGTGCCTAGTATCAACGTAAACGACGACAATTACCCCCTGTATCTATCAGGAACATCCATGTCTGCCCCAATTGTTGCAGGGTTGGCAGCGAACTTGTTGAGTGAAGGGATTCCACCAAAAGATATCAAGAGGAAGATTCTAGATCTAAGTACTAGAGGAGGTATACCATGGCCCACGCTCTTCTTCAAGTGGGGAACTCCCAATCGAATTGCCTATAATGGAGCAGAAAACTTTGAAGACTACATGCAAACGGCAGCCTGAGTATGCCCTCCACGAGGCCTTTTTACTTAACTGAGTCCTCTTACATTATTATTTCTGCTATTTTATTTGTTTACCAGCCCTTCTACTGAACTTACCGTTTAAACAATAAAAATGCCTGGCAAATTTTGTAACCACATTGTAGATGGGAAATGAAGGACGGGGTTTTATCTGGTAATTCTTTCTATAAGACCAGTTGAATATAGGATGATGGAGATGTTGATACAAGCGAGAGCAGAAATATCGTTCCTTCATTAGGGTCACTTTTTCCCAGGGATTGTAGTAATCCTGAAGGTATTTGTAGTAAAACTATGCTTTCTTCTTCGAAGGTGTATAGCATATCTGAAACATGATTTTTTCTGCAATTGACAATATTCATATTGTTGAGACCTGGGTGTCTGCGACCTCAGTAATTTCGTAATGTGAAAGGCAAGACATGAGAACGAAAGTCAGAGGTAATATTGTTTTCAATACATTTATCTGTACTGTACATTCTAGTTTTGCCCTTTTTGGTGGAAGATCACTCAATATGATCTCAGGAATACTCTCCAGGGTACATAGCTTAATTGGCAAAAACTTCTTATGCAACCAAAAAATTTAAGGGAAGTTCGAAACGCAATGGATATCCAGAACTTGCCCTGAAATCAGCCAAGCAATGATGTGTAGCTATCCAATAGATGTGAATCATCGAGGTTGTGAACATTCGAAAGAATAGTGTCAATGTGTGTTCTTTCACAAAAGTCCAAGGAGAGTCTGAACCTATTGAAGTGAGATAAAGTCTGTAAAGTATTCAAAATTCTTTTCTTCCAAATTTCTGGAGAAGCATTGGAGGACACATACGCGGCACTTTCGATGTAGAATTCCAAAAACTCCGCATCTATACCTGTAGGTCCGAAAATAGACTGATACTCGTCTGGGTTCAACTCGAAAACATACTTATAGGCGTTCAACTTCTCTGATTCCGATAACCCCTTCAATCGGGCCAAGAAATGCATTGTCAGTTTCTGTTCCACGGGGATAACTGGAGTTTCTTTCACTTCCTCAATAATTGGTCTCTTTTGTCCATTGGAAGCAATCTGGGATGGGGTTTCTTCCTTTTTCTCGGGGGTGGCAGGTGAATGGGTTGCATTATTTTCCGACTTCGATGAATCGATTATTTGTTGGTATCGGAGAGGCAACTCGTCAACTTTTACTATGGGAATATCAAAGCCTGCACTCTCCATCTTTACCTTTTTCCTGGACGTCTCATCCGAAGAGTCCATTGACTTGAGCTCGCTAGCAGCCATTGCGTTGGTGGGGTCCAACTTTAACGCATCTTCGAAGCAGACCCGTGCTTGATCGAACTGGCCCAAATATTTGTGGGCCATACCCTTCCGGAAGTACAACTTGACTCGAAGTGGGCCTTCGGGGTTGAGCTCTAGGCCCTTGGCACAGTCACGAGCTGCTCGTTCATAGTCGTTGAACTTGAGGAAACACTGGGCACGATTGGAGTAAAGAACGGGGTTGGAAGCGTCCAACTTGATGGCATCTCGATAGATTTTGGCAGCCTTCTTATACTCTTGTTTGGCAAAGGCCCTGTTGCCTTCTGCTTTGAGCTCTTCTGGCGACATTAAGACTCGTTGAATCGTGTAGGGTGGACCAATTTGATCTGACATCAGATGAATATCTCAGTGCGCACGGAACCAGTAAAGAACGGTGAAATCAGCGATGACAGTGGAGGAACTCCATGATGAAATCAGTGCCATTGAGGCCATATACCCTGGCCAGGTGGAGGGTGTGGCTCCCCAGGTCTACAGTTTTACTATTCCTCCATACGAGGCATTGAAAATCCAGATGAACTTTCCAAGCACATACCCCGAAGTCAAGCCAGAGGTGCTACAGATTCTAAGCAAAGACCCAAGGACGTTTCCCGATGAACGATACATAGAGCAGCAGGTCCAGGAGGTGATAGAAAGGATTTTTCAGCCGGGACTTGTGTGCATTTTCGAGATGATCTCCGAGCTCGAGGAGTTCTTGGAGCGGTATGTCAGAGAGCATGCGGTCATAGAAGAGAAGCAAACCACTCCAACATCGCCCCAGCAACCGGTGCTGGAGCCACAAGCTGTGGCAAAGGAGATACCGAAGGTGCAGACGAATTCTGTGCAGAAAGTGGTCGATCCATTGGCTGGGTGGATCCAATCCGAACCTTTGGTGGACAGAGGGTCTTCATTTATAGCATTTGTACGTGAAGTACACTCGGTGGAGGAGGCTACACAGTACGTAGATTTGTTGACCACCGATAGGAAAATCGTGAGGGCCACTCATAATATTACTAGTTGGAGAATAAAGGGCCAGAATGGCGTGCAATACCAGGACTGTGACGATGACGGCGAGACTGCAGCAGGAGGACGACTCCTACACTTGCTTACAGTACGTATAACTCTGGCAATGGATCTAAAGTCACGAGTGTTCCACAAAATACTAACGTTTAGATGATGGATGTGTGGAATGTGGTGGTGGTGGTCAGTCGTTGGTTCGGAGGAACCCATCTTGGCCCTGACCGGTTCAAGCATATCAACTCTGTAGCCAGAGAGGCCGTTCTAAAAGCAGGCATCGCCAATGGGGAAGTAAGCGGTTCAGACAGGAAAAAGAAGAAGTAGAGTTACGGCCAGACGATCTTGAAACTTTACGGTATTTTAATCGCTATGACGCTTGGCAAACCGAGCTTTCATACTTCCCAATTGTCTGCACCAGCAGCTTAGTTGAATCTCTTTCTTTTCTTTTGGATCTTCGGTACGTACTCGGGTTCTGGCGATCTCTTTTTCTGTTCCTTCTCGCCAGAGGCATCTGGTGCTTCTGCCGATTCTGACTTGCCTGAAAAGGATTTCCACAATTCATCCAATGAACCCCCAGTATTTATCTCCTGAACATCCTGCTCTAGTTAGTACTGCCGTAATAAAGGGCCAAAATATACTCACATTATCGTTGTCTTTTGCAGATTGCTTTCTGACCTTTCTGGTCTTTGCTTTCGCCTTGGGCTCCTTGGAATCGGGGTCCTCCTTCACCTTCAATTCCTCAAGCTCCACGGGCTTTGGTGCGCCCCAAGTCCTCCTTGCGCTTGGGACATTTCCGTAGAAGCTGTCTCCGCCGTCAGCAGGACCGTCAAATGCATTGATGCTTCCGTACCCAACAGTCTCGATATTGTTGACGTTCTGCATCTTGGCTATCATTGTTTTCAGGTAGGGCAGCACCCATTCAGACATGTCTTTGATCTTCTTCTTGTGTTCCTCCTCCTTGTTTTGGGAGTCCACGGCATCGGCCTTCTTCATGAACTTCATGTTCATGACTCTACTGGAAAGACCACTCATGCTGGCTGTGGTTGTTGGTGATGAATGGCTTGTTGAACCTATAGCGATGGAGCCTGCAGATGGCGATCAGCGACATCAGAGGTGCGACATCTATGTCACATCTGCAGGACCGATGCCATAAATTTTTCAGGCTCATCGAGCATATCACCCATAGCAGACCATCAGATATGAAGACCGATTTCAAGCTTCTGAACCTCCTTGGTACTGTTTATAGACAGGGTAACTTGGTCTACAGCGAGGGAGGCACTAGGCTTCTCAGTCCGGTCGGAAACCGAGTCACCAGCTTCGACTTGGTGAATAACCGGTCCTTCACCTACAATTATGAGCATAGAAGAAACATCGTTAGAATTGCATTGAACCGCCAAGGGACGTTGATGATCACAGTCGACGAGACTGGAAGAGCCATCCTAGTCAACGCGGTTGCCCGTACCGTTTTACATCATTTCAATTTCCTGGATACCGTTCAGGACATCAGCTTCAGTCCCGATGGCCAGTACTTTGCCATCGCCTGTGGCCGCTTCGTACAGGTGTGGAAGACCCCCGATGTTGGCGAGGACCGCCAGTTTGCACCATTTGTGCGCCACAGAGTCTATGCGGGCCACTTTGCCGACGTGACGTCCGTGACATGGTCGGAAGACTCGAGATTTTTCATCTCCACCTCCAAAGATATGACCTCAAGAATTTTTTCATTGCACTCCGACGAGAAGGACGTGGCCATGACGTTGGCAGGACACAGGGACTATGTCATCAAAGCATTTTTCAACGACACCCAAGAAATCATATATACCTTGAGCAAGGACGGAGCATTATTCAGGTGGGAGTACACAGCCAAGCCAGCCGAGGACGAGGACGAAGAGATGGACGAAGACGAGGATGAGCGTCCCATGAGCTGGAGAATCACCGCAAAGAACTTCTTCCATGCCGACACCAAGGTCAAGTGTGCCGATTTCCACGCCAAAAGCAACATGTTGGTGGTGGGGTTCTACAACGGAGAGTTCCGGCTCTACGAGTTGCCGGAGTTCACCATGATACAGCAGCTCAGCATGGGCCAGAATGCAGTGGACACCGTCAGCATCAACGAGAGTGGTGAGTGGTTGGCGTTCGGATCGGGACGTCTCGGCCAGTTGTTGGTATACGAGTGGCAGTCCGAGTCGTACGTGTTGAAACAGCAGGGCTACTTTGACAGGCCCAACGCATTGTGCTACTCGCCAGACGGGTCGCGGTTGGTGACAGCCTCCGACGACGGCAAAATCAAGGTGTGGGACGTCAGCAGCGGCTTCTGCTTGTGTACGTTCAGCGAGCACCAGGGAGCCGTCACAGGAGTGCAGTTTGCCAAACGAGGCCAGGTGTTGTTCTCCAGTTCCATGGACGGAACCGTACGTGCGTGGGACATGATTCGGTTCCGTAACTTCAGAACGTTCACTGCCGACAAACGGCTCCAGTTCAACACTTTGGCGGTGGACCCCAGTGGTGAAGTAGTGGTGGCAGGCTCGCAAGATTCGTTCGAGATCTACGTGTGGTCGGTGCAAACTGCCCAGTTGTTGGACAGCTTGACTGGACACGAAGGGCCAGTGTCGTGCTTGGCGTTCGGCAGCGAAAATTCGGTGTTGGCGTCGGCGTCATGGGACAGTACGGTCAGGGTGTGGAACATTTTCGGACGCACCCAGACGGTGGAGCCCATCGAGGTGACCAGTGACGTGTTGAGCTTGGCCATGAGGCCAGACTCCAAGGAGTTGGCTGTCAGCACCTTGGACGGACATGTGGCCATTTACGATGTCGAGGACGCTCGTCAGTTGCATCTCATTGACGGACGCAAGGACATCCGTGCAGGGAGATACTTAGAGGACCGTTTTGCGTCCTCCAACGCTGCGCGCTCCAAGCACTTCACCACCGTGTCGTACTCCCGCGACGGTACGGCGTTGGTGGCAGCAGGCAACAACAACACCATCTGCATGTACGACGTGGCCAACGAGGTGTTGGTCAAGCGGTTCACAGTGTCGCAGAACCTCACGTTGGACGGAACTCAGCAGATGTTGAACAGCAGCAAGATCACATCAGCAGGAACCTCCATCGACGCAGTGGACCGCGACGGTGAGAACCTGGACCGCGAGGACCGCGAGGACCTGGCCCTCCCAGGGTCCCAGCGGGGCGACCCGCTGGTACGCAGTGTACGCGCAGCGGTAGGAGTCACCGCCGTGGAATTTTCGCCCACCCTGGCAGCATTTGCAGCCGCCACGGTGTCGGAGGGATTGTTGATCTTCTCGATCGCCCAAGACGTGGTATTCGATCCGTTCGACTTGGACGTTGACATTACGCCTGCTGCTACCGTGGAGGTGTTGCGCGAGCAGGAATACTTGACGGCATTGGTGATGGCGTTCCGGTTGAATGAGAGATGGTTGGTCCAGAAAGTCTACGAGGCAGTGCCGTTGGGTGACGTGCAGTTGGTATGCACGTCACTCCCGCAGGTGTATGTGCAGAGACTTCTTCTGTACATTGGCGAAAGCTTAGTCAGAGATGACAGCGCCCACATGGAGTACCACTTGGTGTGGGTGCGCCGTTTGTTGGCCGCCCACGGCCGCTACATTAGCGACCACAAGCAAGAATTCGGATGTCTCAAGTTAATCCAGAGGTTTTTGAGCCGGGTAGGAAAGGACGTGGTGAGCGTGGGGCGCAGGAACGGACACGTTTTGCGGTACTTAGAGGGCGTGGAGGCCGAGGAGGGGGAAGAGGAAGACGAAGAGGAAGTGGATGAGGATGAAGATGAGGACCTCGATGCGGACGACTCCGATGAGGGCGAGTGGATTGCCCCCAAGAAGAACCAGGCTCCGTTTTAGAGAGGATTTCTGAAGCAGCCTATGGCTATGTTTGGCTATAATAAAAAAAACTCGTCATTTTTGACTCCACGTTAGATAGAGGTAATGACTGAACTTGGGATGTTTGTGTTAAGAAGTCTACCCCAAGAAGTCCCATAGACTCGAAACACACGGATTTACCCACTTTTTAAGTCTCCAATTGTTTAGCTTTGCTTCTTCGCATGACCAGCTGCGTCCAGTTCGGTGACCTTTAACTTCTCCTTCTTTGGATCGAGCTCATAGATTATAATTTAACGCTATCAATAAGACTCCACTTTATTTCTTGTATGGTGCGCCTGGCTTGGTTTTGTCCATTCGAACAATCGAAATTTAGGTCTACAGTCGTATGGGATTCCCATGAGGCCGAAAGAACATGCATTGGATGATTCGTGAAACTGGATCATCTCTCCGATAGTTTATCAAGAAAAAAGCATAGTTATGTACCTGTCTAATCCCAAATAAGATTTATTACTAAATGAATTTGCTTTATTGGTCATGATTTCATAATTAGAGCCCCATTTCTCTTTCTCTGAGTAGATATTCTCTACACATGTAGGTAACATTTGTACCAAAAATATATACGTGAGATAGTTTTTAAATTCTACAACAAGCTATGCATTTCTCCAAAGAGAAGCAGTTTACATTTTAGTTAGGAAATCGGTTCTGGTATATTTATCATTACAAGGAAAGCCAAACATTTTGTACCAAATTTAGTTGACTCCTGAATGAAAACAACACCCCCTTCAATTGCAGAACGAACGTGTGCCTTCGCAAATGAGCAGCTAGGGTGTTGCTACAATTGTCCAGCAATTAGCCCCTCAACCGGTGGAACAATCTCTTCAGCAAGCTAGATTGATCCAACAATTGGTTAAAAATTCACGGCACACTTCAAGTACTGGATCAACTCCATTGATCGCATAGAGTGACTAGATTTAAAATTCTTGGAAAGGGCTGAAAATAAGAATGACTACTTCTTTCTCAAAATAGTGATGTACTACTTCAATTGTGAGGTTAGCTATTTTTGTATTAATCTCCGAGTCCGACAAGCCGAAGGCGAGTTGTGAGAGTTTGGAAGTTGGGGAGTGTAAAGATGGGGAGTCGCGGAGAGTCCTTGTTGAGTTCTGGCGAATGTAATCGTAGAAAGTCATTGGAATGGAATCCCTGAGAGAAATATGGCAAAGTCCACCCATCCAGCGAGAACTGCCAGAGTGACCCCAACGGGCCAGTGAATATCGAGAATCGAGAGTCTCAGAACCTTCAAGCCAAGCTTCAAAACTTACACCGTTCTAGCAGAATTCGAAAGTTTCGGAGGCGCTTTCTGCGGATATCTTCAGTCCCCAAGTCTTGGTCTGGCGGAAGTATAAGTCTGTCATAGTTATGCCATCCTCTAATTCAGTTCTTATAACAATATTGTACATTACGTCACTCTATGACTTGGAGACTAGCAGAAACAGAAGCTTACAATCTGAAATTTCAGGTATATTTCTAAACAGAAATCGACACCAATTGCCGAACCTTTATGATCTTCCAAAGAATAATTATTCCCTACAAGGACCACAGCGAAGCACACACCGACCAGTGATTAAAATAAATTAACAGATATCAAAATTCCACTTGTAAGTTTGTCCTACAGGCGGCTCCGACCTGGCCGGCCCATGAACTACCCGAACCTGCACCCGATAGATCTGTGTGGTGTGATGGTCTCACGTGAGTGTAGATGCGTCCCCTCCGGAGAGACACAATGTCCGCCGGCCAATTTGCGACGCAGAGAATGTGGGACCCCCCGCATTCGGGGTACGGCGAGACTACGAGTCAGTGGGCGGACGTCAGCCAGCCAGAATTGCACCAGTAGCACAGTAGCCCAGCACCAGCACCAGTAGCACTAACTAGCTCCCATCAGTGACTGCTACCAGCAGCACCAGTAGTAGTAACTAGCTCCCATCAGGCGGCACTAGCTAGCTCCCACCAATGGCTTCTGCCAGTGACCCCCCACCCCCCGGTGGTTCCCACAAATGCCCCACCGCGGCTCCTCCCCCGCGGAGAAACCAATCTCGTACATCGCCGGAGTGCATCGCTGGCTGCGACCCTCCCGACGCACTCCCCCGCGCAAATTGTTGGCCACCAAGAGCAGTCCCTCCACAGCCTACCAGGCCCGTGGTGGCCTCCACCACGCCAGTCGCCCACCATCCACCACTGAAAACGTCTACTCCAGCCCCCACCCTCTCGTCCCCCACGCACCACTGGCTGTCATCCAATCACTGACGTGAAACCCTCTGGCCACCATCATGTGACCCTCTCCCCACTTCTCCAGGGGTGACTGCACCACCTGACCACATCCGGGCGCCAAATCCGGGGGTTTTACAACAATAATTGGTGGTATATAAGAAGCGGTTCTGCTGGAAATTGCCGCTGTTCAGGGTCATCCTAGTCTTCGCGCCTGCTGTCCAATTGCCGTGCGTCCCGTGCCACCATCTCCACCCTCCTTCCCTGCCATGACCAGAGATATCAAAAACCACCTTCTTTTCGAAGTGGCCACCGAAGTCGCCCACAAGGTCGGCGGCATCTACTCGGTGCTTAAATCCAAGGCCCCCATCACGGTGGCCGAGTATCGCGAGAGATACACCCTCATTGGACCCCTCAACCACGCCTCGGCCCAGATCGAGGTGGAAGAACTCCCGGTCAAGGACCCCTTGATCAAGCTCGCGTTGGACTCGATGTCGGAGCGTGGCATCACCTGGCTCTACGGCCGCTGGTTGATCGAGGGTGCTCCCCGTGTGCTTCTCTTCGACATCCACTCCGCCGCCCACAACTTGAACGAGTGGAAGGCCGACTTGTGGAACATCGCGGGCATCCCCACCCCTGACCACGACCAAGAGTCCAACGACGCCATCTTGTTGGGTTACTTGGTGGCCTGGTTCCTTGGTGAGTTGGTCTACCACGACCGCGACCGTGCTGTCATCGCCCACTTCCACGAGTGGTTGGCCGGTGTCGCCTTGCCTCTCTGCAGAAAGAGACGCATCGATGTCACCACCATCTTCACCACCCACGCTACCTTGTTGGGCCGTTACCTCTGCGCAGGCTCCACCGATTTCTACAACAACTTGTCCAACTTTGATGTGGATGCTGAAGCCGGTAAGAGAGGTATCTACCACCGTTACTGTATTGAAAGATCCGCCACTCATTCGGCAGACGTCTTCACTACTGTCTCTCACATCACTGCATACGAGTCGGAACACTTGCTTAAACGTAAGCCAGATGGTGTCTTGCCAAACGGTTTGAACGTGGTCAAGTTCCAAGCAGTCCACGAATTCCAAAACTTGCACGCAATGAAGAAAGAAAAGATCAACGAGTTTGTTAAAGGTCACTTCTACGGAAACTACGATTTCGACTTAGATAACACCTTGTACTTCTTCATCGCTGGAAGATACGAATTCAGAAACAAGGGTTGCGATTTCTTTATCGAGGCCCTTGCTAGACTTAACCACCGTCTTAAGCAGGCTGGCTCCAAGATGACTGTTGTTGCATTCATTATTATGCCTGGAAAGACCCATTCTTACACCGTCGAGACCTTGAAGGGTCAAGCTGTCATCAAACAATTGGAAAGCACCATTGAAGAAGTTCAAAAGAAGGTTGGTGAACGTTTGTTCGAACACTGTGCTCGTTTCCCAAATAGCGACCACCAGCATCAAAAGAACACCGAGGTTCCAACTATTGATGAATTGATCAAACCAGCAGACAGAGTCTTGCTCAAGAGAAGAATCTTTGCTCTTAAGAGAGACACTTTACCACCAATTGTTACTCACAACATGGCTGACGACTCCACCGACCCAATTTTGAACCAAATCAGACGTGTTGAATTATTCAACAAGCCTGAAGACAGGGTTAAGATTGTTTTCCACCCAGAATTCTTGAATGCAAACAACCCTATCTTGTCCTTAGATTACGAAGAATTCGTTCGTGGTTGTCACTTGGGTGTCTTCCCATCTTACTACGAACCATGGGGATACACTCCTGCTGAATGTACGGTCATGGGTGTTCCATCTATTACTACTAACTTGTCCGGTTTCGGTTGTTACATGGAAGATTTGATTGAAAATACTTCCGACTATGGTATCTACATTGTTGACCGTAGAATGAAATCTGTTGATGAATCTATTGATCAATTAACCAATTACATGTACGATTTTGCTGAGAAGACTAGACGTCAAAGAATCAACCAAAGAAACAGAACCGAAAGATTATCCGACTTGTTGGACTGGAAGAGAATGGGTTTGGAGTACATCAAGGCCCGTCAATTATCCTTGAAGCGTGCTTATCCTGACAAGTTCAAGAATGGTGCTAACCCATTCAACAACCAGCTGAACTTGAAGCTTACTAGACCACTTTCTGTCCCAGGATCCCCAAGAGGTAAGATTGGACTTATGACCCCAGGAGACTTGGGTTCCTTACAAGAAGCTCAACAATCCTTGAATACTGAAGACTACATTGGTTTCAAATTGGGCGAAGGTGAAGATGAAGACGATGATGACGGACGTCTTGACGATGAAGAGGCTCCATATCCATTGACTTTGAGAGGTACTTCTGCACCTCCATCTGAACAAACTGCTTAATGCTTCACATTCGTTTTAATTGATAATTTTCGTGTGCCGGTCTCCAATTCTCCATTCTTTGTTACCTTTACTAAATACATTTAAAATACAAACATGATCTAGAGTTTTAGCATTGCACTCGTAGAAATTAATTGATATTCTATCGCTCGACTTAACATATGTGGTTGCGACATTTGAGAGTCACTAAAACTACAGATACTTCCTTTAACGTTTATCTATTTGGATCTAGTAAGCTATTCTATTTTCTAAATTCCGGTGGGCGTAATGGGTCATATGCTGAGTTGTACATCAGATCAGCAACAAGATGTCTAGCGTGAAGGTTCCTAATATCCAAATATTCCGGACCCAATTCGTCAATCTTGGAGACTCCCAAAAGCTTCATGTCCACGCTTAATTCCAGTTTGAGTAACTGAATCAACTTTTCCACCCCTTCCTGTCCATAAGCAGAGTTGGCATAGAGAAAAGGCCTTCCCAAACCAACACCTTTTGCACCCAAACATAAGGCCTTCAAGATGTCCGTTCCACGTCTAACACCCCCATCGAGGTATATTTCTAGTTTGTCTTCTAGTTTCTTCTCCTTCAATACCTTACTGACATCAGCCAATACTTCCAATGGTGCCCTTGAGAAATCGAGTTGCCTACCTCCATGGTTGGAAAGAACGACTCCTTTTACTTCGTGGTCGATTGCCATCAACACATCGTCGACTGTTTGTATTCCCTTCAACACGATAGGAAGATCGGTGGCTTTCTTAAATTTTTTGATGTCTTCCCAGGTCAACCCTGGATCTTTGGCAGACAAAATTTTGCCACTTTCACTCAAGTTATCTCCAGCGTCGCCATCATCATCGTCATCTTCGAGAAGGTGGAACCTCATGTCCTTTTCTCTTTTCCCGAACAGAGCAGCGTCCACGGTCACAAAGATACCCTTGATCCCACGCTTGTTGCACTTTTCAATGGCCTTGTAGTTCAAGTCCCGGTTCTCACTGACATACAATTGGAACCATTGGGGCTGGTCTGGCTTCGCGGCATCGACAATTTCGTCAAACGTATAGGAGGCATTGTTGGAGATCATTTGGATGATGTTCTCCGACCCGCAGCCTCTGGCGATGGACAATTCGCCCTCTGGCTGGCCCAATTTCGCCAAGGCAGCGGCAGAGCAGTAGAAGGGAGCATCAACCCTCACCCCCAACATGGTGGTGGTGAGGTCGATCTCGGTTACGTTTCGCAACACCCGGGGATTGAAGAATACTCGCTGGTACGCATAGTGGTTCTCGCGAAGCGAGATCTCATCGTCTGCAGCACTCGAGTAGTACGCCCAGGCATTGGGAGGGATGATCTGCTTGCAGATATGCTCAAAGTCCGAGGCGTTGAAGATCTTGGCAAGAGCTGGTTTCTTTTCGATGCGCACGAGCCTGGCTTCGTCCTCCTCGCCCTCGGTGATATCTTGGGCCGGTTGCAACTCGCCAAGCAACGGTCCGAGGTGCTGCTCGGGGGTCAAGAATTGTTCAAACACGTCCTTTGGGTGGAACTTATTGAAGATGGTGGATGCGTTCTTGCCTGCGTACTTCAAAATGATCTTGGCACCGCCTGGGTGTCTCAGTAAGAACTCGGTGAGGTCGTAGACCTCGCCGTTGATGGCGACCCAGACGCCGTTTTCGAGCGACGTGTGCTTCTGGAGCTCTGCCACGGACACTCCGTGCTTGTTTGTGTCTAGAGCGATGGAGTCTGCTGTTAGAGCAGTTGCAGCTGCCAATGCAGCCATTGAGCCAAGCAATGCGAGGTGTGCTCGGAATGGTGGCCTGACAGCAAGCGTTTTGGGGCCAATGGAAGAGGAGGCGGATTTGGGCGTGGCACGCGCACGTTTGCCGAAAGCTGCTCTGGCTAGTCTGAACATGGTTACGGCGACGGAGGAGCAGTGGTGGTGGATGAAGCGCAGGTGGCAGCCAGTGCGTCTTGACGGGTGGGAGTATGCAGCAACCCCGGAGCGAATCAGGTGACGTGCTATGTCAGCCCGCAGCCAGCGCCTGCAGGATGCTCCGAGCCGGTGCGACACGGTCATTTTTCAATTTACGACATGCTGCGACAATATATCTGCCAGAGGCCCTGGTGATGAACGCAGTGGTGCATGGCGTAAACGACGAACACAAAACACACATTTACGTCGGGGCCTAGCCTGGGGAGCTGGCTGCCGCCCCCCAGCCTCAGAAACTCGCCAGACATGCCCCCTGGAACGAAGGATCGGAACCGTTGGCGCCACTGGATCGGTTCCATCGGGCCCCTCGATGCGCCACATCGCCCAAAACCGCTTCTGGACCCGCAAGTGGGTGTTCCAGGCTTGCTTCTTAGTGAGCGAAGGTGGAAAATATCCGAACTTCCTCTAGGAATCTTCCCTCTGCAGTTATTTCCAGAGAAATCTGTACTCCTCTGGAGTGCGCTTCTGTAAACATCCATACTTCATCTGTAACACCCAGGCCTACTCCGTACCTGCCTGCCTCCTGTGCATTCCGTCCTCCCTGCACCTATGCTCCGCTTGCGTTCCACTACGCTTCCTTCCGCTACGCACTCCACCTCGCCTTAGTCCTGCACCCAGTTACGTAATCGGCTCATCATTTATCCACCCAGTTCTCGCAAGAATACACACTACACACCTCTACGGCAGATCAAAGCACCCCCAGGACAACTCCTCAGGCCCTACGGCACCACCCCACACCCGTCTCCGCCAGTGGCTCCGCCTCGCACCCCGCAGCCCTGCCTTCGTCCGGTTCTTCCCACGAACCTACCGTCCAAACCACCCTAACTCCTTCTTCCCGTCGTCTGCCTCCCTCCCTGGCCGTCACCATCCGGTGCCATCCCCTCCACACACTGCATGCGCGATGAGACGGTGGAAAATCGGTATCAGGCCCCAGCTCATCATCCTCGTGTGCTTTTCGTCCCTCTTCTCGTTGTTGATCCTCGCCCTAGTCACCACCGTCTACTTCTCCAACAGTCTCAGCAACCTGCGTGCAGAGCGGCTAGAGGTCATCGCCGAGCTCAAGGCCACCCAGGTCAAGCAGGCGCTCCAGTACACCTACTACCAGATCTACTGGCTCACCAACAGAGACTCCATCAACTCGGCCCTCTCGTCATACCGAGCCGGAAACTACTCCCAGGCGGTGTTTGCCGAAGCCCAGACCACGCTCGACCAGCTCCTCACGTCTTCTGAGCTCTTTGCGGGCGCCAGGCTCTACAACCTCGACTTGGATGTGGTGGCAAACAGCTACAATAACCTCACGGCTATCACCCAGCCCACCATGGATGCGTTGTATCCGTTTGCAAAGAACGCATCAGTGCCTGTTCAGCTCCAGTCGGTGACGCCCTCGTCGCCAGCGTACTATACAGGCCCCTTGAGCAACAACTCAGACGTATATTCCACCTACTTCATGGGCATTACCCTCCCGGTGTTTGCCAACACATCCATCATCTTCCCAGAACCAACCCTAGCTGGCTACCTCACCGTGATAGCGAGTGCCGACAACCTCCGATCCGCTATCAACGACACCACCAGCCTCAACACCAACTCCACCAAAGGCGACTCCGACGACTACAAGGTGATCGCAGTCCGTCCCACTTACAGCAGCGCCACATACAGTAGCAGCTCGTCAAAGGCAGGAAACATCACCCTGATTGACGGATTCGATCCCGTTTTTCCCGTGGATCTGCAGTCATTCTACTCCATACACTATCCCATCACCGCGTCCTCCGCAGTGAAGGAGGCCTTTTCCAAGGCCTTCGGTTCTGCAACGAACGTGCGCAATATCGAGCATAAAAAGGTGGCTATCGGCTACAACCAGATTGAACTTAATCCCACCAATACTTGGGCCATCATAATAGAGCAAAGTCACTCCAAATTCTACGCGCCAGTCCACAGGTTGATCAATATTATTGTCGGCGTGGTGATTGGTACAGGTGTATTTATGTGTCTAGTGACGTTCCCGTTGGCAGTGTTCTTCATCCGGCCTATCACCAAATTGAAAGCTGCCACCGAATCGATCGCAAAATCAAAGAAGAGATACTTGCAAAATAATCATTCAAGCTCGTCTGCTGTGTCTCATGGAAGTTCACCATCCATATTAGAATCTTCAGGTGGCTATGAAATTTTCACGAAACGTGCAAGAGGTGGAAAAGACGAAAATTCCGGCTTGAACAAAAGAAACAGTGTAAACTCGGTGTACACTGGCACCACGGTCTCAGCACACTCTACTGCCATCAGATTGCCAGGCAAGATTCCTAACTCGAAAAAACTCTTCAAAGATGAGTTGACCGAATTAACAGAAGCATTTAATATCATGACTGACGAATTGGATAAACAATATGCACATTTGGAAGACAGAGTGAAACTGAGAACAAAAGAGCTTGAAGCCTCGAAGATCGAGGCCGAAGCAGCAAATGAGGCTAAAACGGTTTTCATTGCAAACATTTCTCACGAATTAAGAACACCTTTGAATGGTATATTGGGTATGACTGCTATTGCCATGGATGAATCTGATCATACCAGAATCCACGACTCTTTGGAATTAATTCACAGATCGGGAGAGTTACTTTTGCATATCTTGACGGAGTTGTTAACTTATTCCAAGAACACCTTAAATAGATCCAAGTTGGAAAAATCCAACTTTCAAATCTTGGAGGTGGTGGATCAAGTTAAATCCATTTTTACCAAATTGGCCTTAGATCAAAGAGTCAACTTTAAGATTTTGATCAAACCCAATGTCATCAGAAAATTAGTCCTCCACGGAGATTCTAATAGAATCATTCAAATTGTTATGAACCTTGTATCCAATTCATTGAAATTCACACCTGTCGATGGATCAGTCGGAGTTACATTTAAATTGTTGGGAGAGTACGATTATCAGAAGTCTGCTGGGGAAAACTTTGCAAAGGTAAACATTTTGCCCAAGTATAACAAAAAAGAATCGCCCTCCTCTTCAAATGGAGACAGCACTTTATTAAACAAATCGAACATCTCAGAGATAAAGCCCATTTCCAAGTCCCGCCTGAACCTGTTGGCACAAGATCAAAGTGAATCCTCTGACACTCTGGGAATGTTAGAGAAGTCGAATACCTTCAAAAGAAAAAAGGTAGATACAGACTTAGATAATGACAACATAAGTGTGGTGACACTTTCAACAGCGGAGTACGAAAATAACATATTCGAGTCACAGTTTAATCATATGAAACCGTTACCCAAGACTCCATCTGGAGCCAGCTCGGTGCATTCCATTGGAAGCATCAGAAAACATGACACTTCTTCAATACTTTCAAGAAAGTCGGTTGAAGTGGCTAAAAACTCTGACTCCAGTACCTCATCAGTGCTTAATGAAAAAATCACCGATTCATCATCTGACGGAAAAGAAAATGGTCTACTCCCTCCACACTCTGAAGTGGCTGAACTCCATAATTCAAGCGTGGCCAATACTACTGTCGGTACCTTCTATGACAACGCAAAGAGAAACAGTGTTGTCTCGAATCTTGGTACCAATGAAATGGTCAAAAATAGCAAGACTTACAGAATTAGAAACATGTACAAGCCTAAGACCTGGGCAATTCAAATTGAAGTCACTGACACAGGTCCGGGTATAGAACCAGCCTTACAAGAAAAGGTATTTGAACCATTCATCCAGGGCGATCAAACGTTGTCTAGAAGTTATGGTGGTACTGGTCTTGGTCTTTCGATCTGCAGACAGTTAGCCACTATGATGAAAGGAACGTTGACATTGAAATCATCTGTGGGGCAGGGATCCACATTTACTTTCACTGTACCGTTGCCACAAACGGGAGAGATTGTGGTTCTGGATGAAGATATGGACGAATTCTGTAACGACGAATATAATCCTAATGCCAGGATGAACAGAAAGGTTGTGTTTGAAAACACGGAGATATCTGAAAACGAGACTCCTGAGGACAAGATGGACTCCAGCTTCGAAACGCCGGAAGTCAAGATTATAGAAAGCGGAGACGAATCACCCAAATCCAATATCAGAAGTAGAGACATCAAATCTGGCGATGACCTGATTTCAGAGCACTCTCATACCAGCGAAGAAAAGCGCAAACATAATTTTAAGATAGAGATCCCATCTAGAACAACATTGCTCGAAAAGCCTCAATTAATTGCCAGGTCATCTACGGGAACTGCGAATTCTAACAACGGCAGTGAACGCAACGACTCACTGCATAATCTACTCGACGACTTGTCGGATCTTCACATTTTGGTCGCAGAAGATAACTTAGTGAATCAAGAGGTCATCAAGAGAATGTTGCATTTAGAAGGATTCCACAACGTCACCATGGCCTGCAACGGTGCAGAAGCGGTGGAGTTGGTCAAGGAATCAATAGGCAACTTGCATCCCTACGACGTGATCTTGATGGATGTTCAAATGCCCAAAATCGACGGGTTGCTCGCCACGAAGATGATCCGGAACAACCTCAACTACGACCGGCCCATCATCGCGCTCACCGCCTTTGCTGACGAGAGTAATGTCAAGGAATGCTTGAACAGTGGCATGAGTGGCTTCTTGGCCAAGCCAATCAGGCGAGCCAACTTGCGCAAGACCATCGTCAAGTTCAGCCCTGTGCTTTTGAGCGAGGTGGTGACTACGCCACAGACATTCAACGGAGACGAAAAGAGGCTCCAGTAAACGACGATCTGTAATCGAGTCTCCAGAAGAAACTGAAAAAAATATCAAGTATATTCAGGTAATACATGATGGTCTTCGCAGGTAGCGTTGACGGACAAATAATACCCTTCGAAGTATATGCAAGATAGATAAGATCTGTTTCCACAATTGACGGCACGAATACACGATTTCCCATACACGATAGTGCGGCTCCATTGGCCCCGTTATTAGAAGGTATAGTGCGGCTCCACGAGTAATTAATATAGACCATATCAACCCCAGTAGCCCAGTAGCACCGCAGTAGAGGTTTCTCGGCAGTCGACGAGCCACGTCCTGTGCCTGGCCCTACATCCCTTCTCCCCATTCCAGCCCATTCCAGCCTACTCCTGGCTTCTGTCTCGGATGTCAAACGGTTATGACCCTCGAAACTCCTGCACACGCCCCGTTTCTGGCGAGCATTTCCTGTGGCACTTTTGCACCGCACGCCCTTCGTGGTGTGGCCCCAAAACCTGCCGGCGCTAAGCCAGCCAGCTTCCAATAAATAGCCACCACTAGCACATCCTGCCCGGAACGCCAGCATGTTCTCGACACTCAAGCGGAAGAACTCCGACGAGAAACATCCCTACCGCTCGTTCTACTCCAGTGGCAGCTACAACTTCAAAAACTTCTTCTTTTCCGGTACCCTCCTCGCAGTATTAATATGGGGCTCCTCGTTATTGCTCCATGAAATCAACGTATTCGAGGTCGGATTGGCCTCGTCTGCCATCAACAGAGTCCGTACTGCCAGGCCAGCACCAGACTTCCATGGAAAGTTGCCACTTAACTTCTCGGCCGTGAGAGATGGCGTCTTCAGCCCCAAGTTCAAGGACTTGCAGTGGATCCACGAGCCTGAGTCCATCTCCAACGACAAGGGCACCTACGTCTTGAAGGTGGAGGAGAACAACAGCGTGGAATACGTCATCAAGTCCATCGTGGACGAAGACTACCAATACACCTTGTACAACCAGTCATCATTTGAGCACGAGCACATCCATTACGACATCGTCTCGTTGGTGGCGTCCCCTAACTTGAAACAGGCCATCTTGAAGACTAACTCCACCCAACACTGGAGACACTCGTCCTTCGCGTTGTACTGGGTGTTGGACGTCGAGTCCCACGCCATCACCCCCCTCTTGGACACCAACAGCAAGGTGTCGGTGACATCGTGGTCGCCAGAGTCCACAGACATTGCGTTCATTTACGAGAACAACGTTTACCTCAAGAACACTAAGTCCAACAAGGTCACCCAAGTGTCTTTTGACGGAGGTCGCGAGTTCTTCAACGGTAAGCCTGATTGGGTCTACGAAGAAGAGGTGTTCAGCACAGACATCGCCTTGTGGTGGTCGCCAGATGGTAAGAAGGTCACTTTCTTGAAGTCTAATGACACCGAAGTCCCTGAATTCACCATCCCTTACTATGTCCAACATGACGAAGATGATTATCCCGAGTTGGTCAATATCAAGTACCCAAAGCCGGGTTACCCTAACCCGATTGTGGATATTGTGGTGTACGACTTGTCGACAGAAACTGACCAACTTTTGCAGTTAAAGTCCGACAAAATCGAGTCTGACCAGAGATTGATCACTGAGGTTACATGGGTCGGTGACTCGTTACTTGTCAGAACATCCAACAGAGCCAGTGACTTATTGGAAATCTTCTTGCTTGATACTACTGATAATTCTATTGAGTTGGTGAGATCACACACTGCTAAAAAGTCTTGGTTTGAAATTACTAAGTCTGTATACATTCCTAAAGACGAGGCTGCAGGCCGTAAAGATGATGGTTATATCGACATTGTTGTGGAAGATGGGTATAATCACTTGGCGTACTTTTCTCCTCCAAGCAGCAAGGAAGGTAAATTGTTGACCAAAGGTTTGTGGGAAGTGGTTTCAGTGGAATCCTTTGATTACAACAAGAATGAACTTTATTTCAAGAGCACTATCAAATCTTCGATTGAAAGACATCTTCACTCCGTCAACATCCTTGATCAAGGTTTACCTGAGATCAAGGACATCACTGTCGCAGAAGGTGTATATGCTGGCTCATTTTCTTCTGGTTCAAGATACTTATTATTGACTTACGAAGGTCCTAATGTTCCTTATCAGGAGTTGATCGATTTATATGAATCTAAAACCATCAAGACTTTGGAAGCAAACAAAGCATTGTCAGAAAACTTGGAGAAGTACGTTATCCCTGAAAATAAGTATCAAGTGGTAAGCTTAGTGGATGAAGAAACTGGAAACAAAATTAAGGCTAATGCGATTGAGACCTTCCCGTTGAACTTCGATCCAAAGCGTAAATATCCGGTCTTGTTTTTCGTCTATGGAGGACCAGGATCACAACTTGTCTCTAAATCTTTCAGTGTTGGATTCAGCTCCGTTGTTGCTGCAGAATTGGATGCAGTGGTTGTGACTGTTGATGGCCGTGGTACAGGTTTCAACAACCTCAATCCTGAGCTCGGCGCTGACTACAAGTTTACAGTAAGAGACAGATTGGGACATTACGAACCGTTGGATCAAATTGCAGCTGCAAAGCACTGGGGTCAACGTGATTATGTTGATTCGGACAACATTGCAATCTGGGGATGGTCGTATGGTGGTTTCCTTACATTAAAGACGTTGGAAACAGATCATGCCGAAAGAGTATTCTCTTATGGCTTAGCCATCGCACCAGTGACCAAATGGAAGTTATACGATTCAGTCTACACTGAGCGTTACTTGCGTACTCCTCAAGAAAACCCAGAAGGTTACAGAACCGCCTCCATCAGTAATGCTACCAACTTGCTGTCGGTCAAGAAATTCTTTATTGGCCACGGTTCTGGTGATGACAACGTCCACGTCCAACAATCACTTAAGCTCATTGATGAGTTGAACTTGGCTAGCGTGGAGAACTTTGATTTCATGATTTTCCCTGACAGTGACCATTCTATCAGATACCACAATGGTAACAAGATCGTCTATGACAGAATCTTGGACTTTTTCAGAAAGGCATTCAGGGGTGAATTCAACTAAGTATGCACAGCCTATGGATATTGATGTCGGCCTGCCAAGCAGGATTCTAATCTGTTAGATCGCATCCCGAGGCGTGCACGGTTAGCAACGGGCAGAGGTACAAATCACAACCAATAATTGGCCTCATATGTGCCACATCCGTGTTTCCTACCAACATCTACAACGACGCCTACGTACCGCTAGGACTTCTCCAGGAAAGCTGGCAAGCTCCAGCACCTTCATTTCATCGATAGTATTAATACACACACTGATATAGACTACCCGATACGGAAGGCGGGTAACGCCGGGGCCGCGCGCCTATCCATCGCATCCCGTAAATTCATCACGTGGCCCTGAAAAAATTTTACCCTGGCCATATAAATTATACACATCCACCTTGAGATTACTCGTTACTGTTTCAACCTCGAATCAAAATGCTTATTTACAAAGATATCTTCACTGACGACGAATTGTTATCCGACGCCTACGACCTCACTGAAGTCGATGGTGTTATCTTGGAAGCCGACTGTGCCATGGTCAAGGTCGGTGACGGTGACATCGATATCGGTGCCAACCCATCTGCTGAAGATGCTGAAGAAGCTTTGGAAGACGGTACTGAAACTGTCAACAACGTTGTCCACTCTTTCAGATTGCAACAAACCCAATTCGACAAGAAGTCTTTCCTCGGTTACATCAAGGGTTACATGAAGAAGGTCAAGGCTCACTTGGCTGAAAAGGACCCAGAAGCCGTCGAAACCTTCGAAAAGGGTGCCGCTACCTACGTCAAGAAGGTCATTGGCTCCTTCAACGACTGGGACTTCTACACTGGTGAATCCATGGACCCAGATGGAATGATCGTCTTGTTGAACTACCGTGAAGACGGTACCACCCCATACGTTGCTATCTGGAAGCACGCTGTTTCTCAATACAAGTGTTAAACGGGTTTAGTTCTCAAAAGATATTAATAAATGTATTTCAATTAGAACTCGCTTTCGCATGCGATGAGCTGCCTGTATACCGATTGTTATCGCGGCATAGATCCTACGATTAGTGGTGAAGACAATGCATTTCGGATGGGTCTATACGCGTGGACGGATGCTCAAGCACACATTCTCCAAGGTTATCTTCCTTTCGGTGTAGTTGAATATTTCAACATCGTAATCTTTCATTAACTCCTTGATAGCATGAACTCTGCTTTCGTCTACCAATCTTCTGGCTGTCAACCCCAAGGTCTCTCTTTCGTGGTAGGTAAGTCCATGCTCCATAGAATCTGATCCAGTCGATTCCAAGCTCTCGTCTCGTTCAATTTCTCCATTTTCGTCCTTCTTTTCAGCTCTTCCAACTCCACAGACCGCCCACGAGACCACTTTCTTCAAAGCTTTGAAGCCCTCCATGCTATCGAAGCCGTGCATCTTCAAGTACTGGCGTGACTGTGGTAGTAATTCGTGGTAGTCGCAGACATGTCTACAACACATGGCAATAACTACCCCTCCGAATTTTCCAGACTCCAACAACGTGGAATTCAACAACAGCTTCAAGGTGAGATCTGTAGCCACTCCGCATAAATGCTTGGAAATACCAACCACCTTGTCAGCATTTGTATCCTGTAAAAATTTATCCAAGTTGAGATCTTTGATATCAATTCTGGTTCTTTTGACTTTGGGTTCAAGATCAACGTCTCTCGAGTCTTTGATGATCTTGGGATCCATTTTCATTCTGTTTATACCCCGGTCAATGAGTCCATAGCCGTAAATACCATGCTGGGCGATTTTCAGGGTCTTTAAATCTTCAAGAATACACAAATTCACAAACCTAGATAATTCCGCTTTCCCGCATCCAAACTCGAGGTAAAAGGTATTTGAGTCCAACAATCCCTTCTGCTTCATGTTTCCGATCAACGATGACTGTTGAAGGGCATGTTTAGGATTCTTTAGTTCTGAGATTCTTGGGTTCAATCCTGAATGTTCCAGAATTTTCATGGGCAACGGGTCAAACTTGATCTTCTTCAAGAGTTCAAGGTGTTTTTCAAAGGAATCGTTCTCGGCCTCCTCGGTTGAAGGTTCCAAATTTGCTGGAGCCAAGTTCTCCAGGTGTTTCCACCCACTATTTAAATCTTTTTCGTACCAGATATCGAATTCCACCTTTTGCTTAGCATTACATTTCTTCAAGTGTATGGCCAAGTCTTTAGCCCACACGGTGTGTTTATTGTCCAACGGACATGGGATTCTTTCACCAGTGGACTCGTTGATCATATGTTCTGAGCAGAAGCGGTGGTCGGCCTTTCTTTGCATTCCACAGTACCTCCTCTTCTTCTCAATATAGAATTCACATCGCACCGGGTTTGGTCTATCTTTTGTCTCTGTCTTCCTCCTCTTCGTCTCTTTTGTCTCTGTCATGGTGATATGGTTTGGTGAAAATTGATCTCATCGCGAAATTTCTACAACTATCAGAAACAGCTATACTGTTCAAGGAAGACTGCTAAGTGCTATTCTCGAGAATCTCATCATTTGTATGCAGTTGCTATCACTCGCCTCCATCTCCTTGTACTGATATTACCTCCTACTATCTCATTACTTCAGCATGAAGAAGAATAACACTTGGAAGCTTGATCTTCTTGAAGTCAAATTCAAGCAGTACTCCCCCAGATACCCTCACACGAAGAAGCTTCTCAATGCCAGAAACAACGACAAGCTCTTGAAGAAGTTGCCTACTTCGCCCGAGGAGGCAGAACAAGAGATCTTAGCATTGAAACTGGAGTTGTTCGAACGCAAATATTATGGCTCGTACAAAAAAGTGGAAAAAGAAGTAGCCAAGATCACCAAGGCTGACTTGGGAAAGTTGGACAAGAACGGACCGAAGAAGAGCATCGTAGACTTCATAACATCAAAAGAGAACCTCGACCACTTGATAACCTCCAAATTAATCAAAACCATCACCAACACCATTTTGCATTCTAAAGATTTGAAGCTTGATCCTCCTGCCTTCATTTCCAATGAGATCAGGGACAAGATCTTGAACAAAAATGACATTTCCAACCCTTCCACTTTCTTCATAACTCACTGTCAAAATAACAAAGAGCTCAATAACTACTTCTCCAACTTGTGGAACACCAAGGCAGTGAAAAGTGTCCTACAAGAGGTGGAATGGTCCTTCAAATTGGTGAGAGGAAACTTAACAATCCAGGAGAAGGATACCAGAAAGAAGATTACAGGTAAGGACGTCGAGGCTGACAGTGATGGTGAAGTAAATGACGACAGCTCTAGCGATAGTGACAATGAAGGAGACAGCGAAGACGAAGGAACTGACTCTGACATAGAAATGAATCCAGAAGATTTGGATAAGTTTGCCATTTATGAAAACTCCGATGGTGCTTCCGAAGAAGAACAATTTGAAATTGATCCAAATGTCAACTACAACGAAATCACTGACGAAGAACCATCTGCAGATGAAGTATCCGATGTTGAATCTGAGGATAGTTTCTTCGAGGAAGATCAAGTGGACGAGAAAATGACCAAGAAGAACAAGAAAGAGAAGAAGGAGAAGAAGGAGAAGAAAGAGCACAATCTTCCTCAATTAGCCTCAGGCTACTTTTCTGGAGGCTCTGATGATGAAGACGACTTCGATCCTGACGCAGACAAAGTGGTGAAGGAAGCAACCACCCAACGTAAGAACAGAAGAGGTCAAAGGGCAAGACAAAAGATCTGGGCCCTCAAGTATGGTAAGGAGGCCAAGCATGTCAAGTCCGAACAGGCTGCCCTTGCTAGTGAGAGAGAAATCAGACAAAAGGAGTACGAAGAGAGGTGTCGTAAGAGAGAATTGAAGGCCAAATTGGCCATGGAAGCTGCTCCTAGTGGGTCCAATATCCTTCCATTGGGTGAAAGAAAGGTCAGACCAGATACAGGCAGCTCCGACGTCAAGGTTACTGCAGTGGTTCCAGAGCCCAAGATACATCCTTCTTGGGAAGCCAAGAGATTGGCTGAAGAGAAGCTCAAGAATGTCAAGTTCGAGGGTAAAAAGATCAAGTTCGACTAAATATAAAGAAATATTGTACAGTCAACTAGGCGAAAGGATTTTTTACATTTTTTTGTACATTGGCTATGGCTTTCCTGAGTAAAAGTTAGTGTTCTTATAATAGCCCAAAGTCGTAGACTCGAAACTGCTTTCAAAGGATCAACCTAGTGTAACTTACACTATTAATTTAAGTTTTCACACCTATATTCATAAATTAGTGTAGTCTATTTTGAAGTTGGCGAGAATGTCATCGTCCGTGAACTCCTCACAAGCAATAGGACTAACCACCTCAAAGTAGTATTCACACTTTTCGGGTTCCCTGACATTCAAGAACTTGTTTTGTGCCCCGCAAATAAGCTCGACCACTGCGGATCTATATGGCCCATTCCAGCACTTGTGACCATTGGTGAAGTATAACTTGTTATCCTCATATTTAGTATAGGTTCCAATCAAGATGGAGTCTTGATAGATGGAGTTTAAAAATCCTAGCTTATACTTGTATTCTCCGATACTTCCGCTGACCCATGAGGATGCAGAAGCTCTAAGGATCCCTTCTGGACCATAATCTTTAGTCAAGTCTTCCTCATACACCTTAATTTCGTCCCTCAAGCTGTCCCTCTCTTTAGACTCCAGTTCGAGATCAAAGTTCTCGGACCTTCTCTTCTTCTTGGGCAATTCTTGGTTTTTTGGCTTGGTAAATTGATCAAAGTAGTATTGTGCCATATTGGCGAAGCTAGGTACAACATTGCCCAGATTCTGGGATGTGAAGGACAAATCCTTGGTCGAATCTATCAACGAATTCAAAATTTCGGAAGCATCAGCGACGCTTGTAGTTTCTCCTAAGTTGGATGCATATTCTTGGAATGCCTTGACAGCCTCTTTAACTGCTGCATCATTGAAATTGGGATTGTAGTCCTGGGTCAATTTGGACAAAGCCTTTTCAAGATAGGATATCCTGGATTCCTGGTCCTTTACCTTTTGGGAGTATGCGTGCATTCTGTGTGACAATTCGGTCAAGTAAGGCTCGAGTTTATCGTATACTTGTTCACCTTCTTCTTCTTCTTCATCTTCGCCTTGCTCCTGTTGCTGAATGTGAAGCTCTATCTGCTCTTCTTTGATTTTCAACTCTGAGTTCATTTCACTGATTTTTTGCACCATCAAGGCTTTAATCTTACGAGCTTCTTCGATCATCTTGTTTTTCACCTTCAAGGACTCCTCCACCTCACTCACAACTCTCAGTTTGTACTCGACGAACTGCTCATGAATTTGCTCACACTTGTTCTCACACTTTCCACTCAAGTACTCATCAGAACCATCACAGCATATGTCATAATCACAAGTTCCGTCGTTCAATTTGAAGGTTTCAATGAATCCTGGGATATGGTGTTTGTTGGCACAGTAGAACTTTCTGCTGGAGTTATATGGACAAGCATTAGTTCCTGGCTCATCTGAGCCGTCAGGACAGTCACAGTAGTCGTCATTGATTTGATCGTACGATAATATGATAGAAGGGTCTCCCAAGCAATGCCATTGCTTTACTCCATTGTTGTCGACAGGCGCATATAAATGCTGATCTGAGGGTGGCACACCACGAATTTGGGCATCAGAAGCGATAGATAATGCCGAGTAGAGGGTAATTCCAAAAAGGAGCAGCTTTCCGTACATCATTGGCTATGGTTTTAGATGCCACTTGGTGAAACTGAGATACGGACAGTAGTCACGTGATTGAAATTTCAATCCCGAGTAATTATATTACCAGTCAGAAATTATGGAGTTATAAGTTGCTCGCAGGCGTTCTTAAGCTGTTTGAGTGGGTTAAGCTGGTTTTGGGGCCTAGAGAGGTAGGAATTCCTAGCCTGATTTTCAATTTCAAGAATTCATTCGATGCCATAGTCACGTGATCTCTGTTTCAGATCGACAAATATGATCCAAGTGGATCTAGTCCAACAACTACTCCTATAGTTCGTATGATGGTATGAGGCGAAAAGGGCCTTCGGAGCACGAGGTCAATGTGGCAAAACTCAAGCGGATAGTCAGGCCACTAATCAGTAAAATACACGTACTTAACGGTTTGAACGTGAAGTATCCAGATATTCTTGAGTTCAAGTTTCCACATGAACCATACCACCAGGTTTCAACAAATGACAACAATGTCAATCTTCCACCAACAAAAAAGCAAAAAACCGGGTATGAAAATGAGGCTGATATCAGTTATACTGAGCCAGATTTTGGACAATTACCGAAGGAAGACCCTGCATCTATACCCCACTCTTTTATTAATCCGGAGGATTCAAAGGCCAGATTGGAATCATTGAAGCCATACATATCGCTGCAGATTTACCAGGCCTATCGTGAGATTTTTCAAATTTTTCAGAACATTATCCACACCACAACCAACGCATACCCATGTAGTATTCCTAAATTATCCACACTCAGCTCATTTAAAATGGGCAAATTTATGGCGTTATCTACAAAATCAACTTTTTACAAATCAAATCAGGCATCTTTGTTCGATCAAGATGCTCTACCTTCCATTCTCAAGCAATCACAAACAAATCTTTCTGATGATATTGACCATTGGTTTGAATTGGAACCCAAGCTGATCACCAATTCGTACCGAATTTACTTCTTTTTCGGTTATTTGATTCACTTGCTAACTTTTCATCTGAACCAGATTTTGTTCCTTTTGATACCCGTATTGGTCCATTGGTTAGAGGAAGAAAGTAAGCAAGGTAAGGAGATCTTGCGTATTATATCGAGGAGTTTATTCAGCGAGTTCTGGTTATATGACTCGAAATATGGAGAATCCATAGATCGGATGATAATTCATGCCCTAAATGGGAATATCGAAAATGTCCATAATACCAAAATTTTCTGGATTCTTCATGATATTGGGTACTGGAAAAGCTTCATTGGTCCAGACAATTATGACAATTATTTTTTGAATAGTCTTTCGCTAAACAACAAGCTAAACCACGTTCCTAAACACCTCATTCCGGATATTTATTCAGTGATACGACGGAACCCACAGCATCCCAAAAATAATCTGATCCTTGCAATCACAATCACAAATCTCATAGCATCAACTCGTTCATTGCTCAAGTCGTCCACCACAACAATAGAGATAATGGAGCATTTAAATGACTGTTATGACCAAATGCAACAGTTGATAACCAGCTGGTTGTTCTTTCTGCCAGACTATCCACTTGTGTATAATTCCCTTTATCCCGGAAATGAAGTAATCTTTGAGGCATTACTCAAGATTAGTAATTTCTTGGAGATGAAGGTGTTACGAGTCATAGATCATCTTCAAGATCATCGTGATATGGAAGAACGAAAGTACCAGTTTGAAGAATTTTTGATCAGGAATGGAACTTTCTACCATTTGATGACAATATTGAGAGCCTACTTTCTTGACACAGGAGAAACTTTGGACCTTGGAAGTTATACGCCAGAAGAAATCAGTAGCTTATTGATTGATATGCAAGTTGCTCCAAGTAAGCTGATTCCTAATACGGAATTGGACGATTTTTTAGTTTGGCTATATCACACAGGTGATACCAAATTATTTGACTTGGGACAGTTATGCTTTGAGAAGTATTATGGAGCTTATAGAGGAACAAGGTTGGGTACGGTGAAGGATTTGTATAGGTAAATCGGTTTCACTAAAATTTTATGAAAAGCAGTATGATGGGTCTACCAGGTTGTATACTACATCTATTCCAAAATTGATACTGCAATACGATATGTACTGAATATGAATAGAAATAAAAAATGAAATTGCACACAATACTATCTACATGGAACAGCTGTATTTATAGGATAACCATTTATAATGACACTCTCCAATTATTTTATTCTTTAATCGTTGCTTCTATGAACTTGCTGTTACCACCATCTAGTATCACACATTCTCCATTAACAGTATCGTCGCAAATGATCCGAGCTACTTCCTTTACGACATCCTCGATGGTCACTGCACCTAATTCCCCGTCGAGATGTGCAGAGGCACCCATGTCTGTGCCAGGAACCAATCCTGGCAATAATGCATTGACCCGGACTTTGCCTTTGAGCTCATTGGCTAGTGAGGTGGTGAAGCCCAATAGCCCTGCCTTGCTGGCTGCGTAGACAGAAGTTCCAGCAAGAGTCTTATCCGTCAACGACAACACCGAGGATATGTTGAGTATGACTGGACGCTTTAGTGTGCCAGAAGGTGCCTTGGATATTCTGGACGCCGACTTCAACATGGGCATGTAGGCGTGCTTCGATAGAACAATTGGAGCTATCAAGTTCAACGCGATGGTGCTCTCGATGTACTTGTTCATTAACCGTGGAAGAAGCACATAATTGCTGATTCCCGCACAGTTGACCAATGCAGAAACTCCCTTGAGCTCTTCTGAGATGCGAGGGTCGAGGGGCTCTTGTAGCACGTCTAGAAGGTCGTAGTCAATGTACAGATGGACTTGATGCGGAGAGTTGCACGGAAGTTGGAGGAGGTTTTCTCTCAAAGCGTGCTTGTTTCTGGCCAAAAGGACCACCGAGCATCCACGGGATGCGAGTTCATGCGAGATGGCTTTGCCTAGGCCTCTTGATGCGCCTGTCACCAATGCCTTGTGTCCGATAAGCTCCATTAGAGCAACTGGTGTATTGTAGATTATGTAATCGATGCGGGTCTAGTCAGGTCCTGTTCCACAATGCACGGGCCCCAGCATTTGCTACGGTTCAGGAGCCTAGCGTAGCTTTCATGAGGCCATATGATGAGTGTTCGCTAGAATTGGGAAAGGAACACTTAATGCGGCCTAGTACTGGGGTCTAACAGTAATACTACACTCTGCAGACTCTGTTTTGGGTTCAGTGGTTATCGTCTAATGCGTATTTGTGAGAAAGTCGATGTAAGAAAAATGAGGTGTGATTTCGGCGTTTTTGGAAAATTTGTGACAAATATAGAAATTAAAACAGGCTCAGGCTGATTTCTGTGTAGTCAGAGTCTAGCCCTTAAACTGGGCCCTCGGGGTGTAATATGCTACAAGCCTGGAAGCTCTTCTTGACCTGGCTCATCCATTTCAATTATCCTCACAGTCTAATTATAGTTTTCCTGTTGAAATGTAGCCCCTGCTCTAATCGTCGAATGGGCTGGGAAAATTAATTTGAATTGCAGATGTATGCAACCACCCACTAATGAAGACAAAGGAGCCGAAAGAAACTCTTCTCTGACCCTATGTATTGCTAAATATCTGTGAGTGGGAACTGTATGGCAATCTACCCTCTAAATGCCTCGCAAGCCTATTCCATATTGTTCTCTGAATTTAGCCTTCAAATCAACAGGAAAAGTGGTGGGAAACTGACTCAGTGATTAACCTCATGGAGACCATTGATCTCGAAAAGTTTGATTTGTTTCAGTTTTTTTTTCTTAGAGGTAAGGGATGGGGTAATATATTGAACTATTTACTCTCCTTGAGTTTCCTACCTGCTTTCTTGGCAAGCATATTAGGTGCCTGAATTCTCTAGAAAAATCTTTGATTTTTCACACAAAATTTCTAGTTATTGAGTGGCCCCTGGAGGGCCAAAATTTCAGAGTATGCTCTCTAGACTTAGATAAATACTTATAGCTGCTTGAGAGACGAATTAGGAGCATTTTTTAAATTTAACTTACTAGAGTGTGGTTCTACAAACACTCGTCCTAAACAAGTACAAGACTTCGTGGCCAAGCTGGTTAAGGCGTAAGACTGTTAATCTTGAGATCGTGAGTTCGACCCTCACCGAGGTCGTCTGTTTCATTGACTTCGTGGCCAAGCTGGTTAAGGCGTAAGACTGTTAATCTTGAGATCGTGAGTTCGACCCTCACCGAGGTCGCTTGTTCTCTGCCTTTATGGCCAAGTTGGTAAGGCACCTCACTAGTAATGAGGAGATCGTCAGTTCGAATCTGGCTGAAGGCATTCTTTTTGTAAATTTGTCCTAGGACCTATATTTTTGATTTAGTAGCATACTTCTTTTACTTAAGCGGAAGGCAATCAAATAATTCAAGATTCAGTTTACGCAGATTTTGTTCTTGGAGCCGTTTAATCGCTGGAGTGGTCGAAAATTTCGATAACAAACCTCGATAATCAAAGGTAGTTTACCACCGTTTAATTACATTGAAAAACACACACCGGCCATATCCATTCACTTACGCTGCATTACATATAATCATTTATTATCTTCTCTATTCATCAGATAACAACGAGGTAATTCCCATCAAACCCAATAATCCGTACTTGAAGTAGACATTCTCACTGATCAAAATAGTGACATATCCAAGCATTGGAAGGTAACCTTTAACGGTGCCTACCAAATCAGTCTTCTGATTCAAATAGCTTTGTTTCTTGGCATACAACCCTAAGTCATCAACTGCATTGTTATCACCCTTGGTGAGTAAGAACTGTTTTTCAGAGTTGTGATGTTCTCTCAACACTCTATGCACGATTGGAATAGGCTTTCCTTGAATCTCATAAACCACGATGTCACCCACGTTGGCCTGGGAGTCCCTGTTCCAGAGGAAGAGGATGTCACCTCTCTGGAATGCAGGCTCCATGGATCCCGATAACACCACCACTATGGGCGAATGAGAGTTGGCCACCACCGAGAGGGTCTTCCAGAGTATGAAAGCGGACGAGAAGACGTATGCGAGTGTCAAGAACTGGGTCAATTGTTGTCTGAGGTTCATGATTGTGTGGGGTTGGAGGAGGAGTGTTGGCCAGCGTGTTGTATGGCGAGCGTCAGGTGTTGTGTAACGTGACCCGAGGCACGTGAGCTTTCTTAATCAGAATGATTCTTTATTTGTGAATACCTTTATCTGTATTTTCCGTCAAATATTCATGGATATGTATACATTACGTTTATAGATCTTTTGCGTTACACGTTCACTTTCGTGTCTAGAGATATAAAAGATTCATTTCGATTGAAATACTACGCATTGACTAGCAAATAAAAGATATGAATACAATGGTTAACAATAATTGATCATCTTTAGTTGAGCTGTTCGTGAGCATACTAGGCAAGTAGAATACTATTGCTCTTCCTATTAAATAAATACATTTAATAATTTATATTTGAAAAATAGATTCACTTACAAGTTACATATCCTAAAGATACAAAAAAATAGCACACTTCCTGCGAGAGGAGTGGTTAGTACGAGAAGTTGATAATTTCACCCCTACCATATTCCGATGCTAGGTGCTTGGTGCCTTGCCCAGCCAGCCTATTTCCCGCTGCTCACACGGCTCGCCAGCTGCGAAAAATTTGAGTCCAATCATATTTAATCACGCAAATGCCTCCCTGCCACTAACAGCAATCTCGGTTCAGTACCGCCCTGGGCCACCCACGCCAGTTCCACCACGGGCAGCGCGCGCGCAGCGCCACCGCCTCTCGGTAGTACTGGCGAACCCAACGGGGGAGATCTGTTGCTGGATCTCTGGATCGATCTGATCTCGAGGCGCGAGGGAGTCTAGAGGGTGTGGGGCTGTAGAGGAACGGTGTATTGGAGTAGGGGGACGAGGAATAGTGGAGTCGTGTGATCGGCAGCGGAAATGTAGTGGACTGGTGGCACCGTGGTGACCCTGTCGTGGCACGTATTAACTTGGGGGACTTCGCGGAACTGTTGGCACTGTAGGCGCCCCATTCCGTTGAGCCTTACTACGGGAATTCTCCAATTTACTGCCATAGCTTGATTACCGTCAACGCCAGAAGTTGATAGTTTGCTAGCATCTTCCCAGCCGTCCCTACCTCAGTGTGCCAGCACCAGAACCGTGATTGCTCGTGGTAAAAAATCCATTCCCACTAGCTACCACCACCAATGACGCCTCCAGAACCAAGAGACCCCCTGCCGACCAACGGCTCCCACAAGGATGATGCGACAGGCGCCCAGCCCCAGAGACCACCGTTCGTGACTCCCGTCCAGCCTCCCATCAGCCAGATCCATCTGGTCACGCCGTTGAAGCCCACCCAGTCGGTGTCGTTTGGCGACTTGGACTCCCAGGAGAGATCCCGTCGGTTCACCATCTCAGCCCAGCCTTCTGCCGTCAACGTCACCAGCCATGAGCACCTCCAGCTGTCACAGCTCAACTTGGCTTCCAACGCACCCTCCATGCCTCCATCCAGAAAGACCTCGTTGACCAAGAGCAGAAAGAACTCCAGCGCCGACGTATTGTCGTTCATGGCCTCAGGCAGCCACTTGAAGCAGACTCCCAGCACCACCAACGTGCAGCACGGGTATATTTCCAGCGGAGCGTCGTCCAGAGTCAACTCGCCCAACTTGGAGACCTCGCCCCACTTGCCTACCACCTACTCCTTCGAAATGTCCAAAAAAACGGGCCGCAAGATCATGTCGCCCTCTCCTCCACCAGCAGGCTCACAAACCCCGATTCCCACGGGCCCAGCCACCCAAAATACGACTTTGGAGAGAAATCCGTCCTCCTCCACGGCAGCTGCTCCCCAGCCCATCAAAATCAACACTCCTAGCACCAGTCTTTCCAGAAAGAACTCGACCAAGAAGTCCAATAAGACTATCGTTGCTTCGCCAGTGGGTCCTCCTGTTCCCTTCCAGCAGTACTTGACCAAGGAGGATGATGGCAAGTTCCACATCCTCTTGGGGTGCACAGGATCCGTGGCCACCATCAAGGTGCCTTTGATCATCGACAAATTGTTTCAAATCTACGGCAAGTCGAAGATCTCAATCCAATTGGTCGTCACTAAGTCGGCTGGCCACTTCTTGAAGGGTTTGAAGATCCACAACGATGTCAAGATCTGGAGAGACGAAGACGAGTGGGCCAATTTTAACGAGCATGCTTGGAACACAACCTCAACCTCCACCGCGACAACTGCTAACATCACTCCTCCAGTCAGTGGGAACAGCACCTCCAACGTGATGTCCAACTTGAATCCATCTGCTGCAGTGCAGAAAAAGCCAAAGAACCCTTACGATAAAATGATTCTTCACAACGAATTGAGAAGATGGGCTGATATCATGTTGATTGCCCCTCTTTCTGCAAACACGCTTGCTAAGATCTCAAATGGAATTGCGGATAACTTATTGACCTCCATCATAAGATCGTGGGGTCCCACAACCACCACTTCCAATCAAACCGTCAAGAAACCGATTTTCGTTGCTCCAGCCATGAACACCTTTATGTATATCCATCCAATAACGTCCAAACAAATCTCTTTGCTTTCCCTGCCAGAGTCAGGCTTTGGTATAGAGGTGTTGAAACCCGTGGAGAAGGTCTTGGTTTGCGGTGACATCGGAATGGGTGGAATGAGAGAATGGAGCGATATAGTTGACATTTTGAGGAGAAGAATCAATAGTTTGAAGGCTGAAAGAAAAAAGCAGCATGATGAAGCCATGGCCGAGGAGGAGGATGAAGAGGAAGAGGATGAAGAGGCAGGCGATGAGGATGAAGGGGATGATGAAGGAGATGACGATGACGATGACGACGATGATGATGATGATGATGACGATGATGAGGACGATGACGATGAGGACGACGAGGATGACGATGCCGAAGAAGTGGACGAGGACAAGGTTGTTCAGAGAGATCATCATATCATCGATGAGCTTGACGAAGATGAGAATGCTCTTGAAGAAGGGATAACCCAAAATATTAATGATAACAATGATAACGATGATATGATTTTCGAAATTACTGACCAAGAAGGAGAGGAACAAGAAGAGTCTCAGGACCACCGCAACAATCAAGCATCGGTAGCTCAGATCACCATTCCCCAGGAAACGAGGAACATCATTTGAATAGGAGGATATCTAGGAATAAATTGCATGGAAAACTTCCAAATGTGTAGACACCATAGTGACCGATGTACAAAACTACAAAAGCTTAGGTATGCCGTGGTACATCAAAGCATGGGATTAAAAAATTAATCACATATTTGGTACACCTTGTAAATGCGAAGGGTTCTAGTGCTTACAACTCCAAAGGAATTAGTGCTAATGAGATGTAGAACGAGTATGATGCTATAATGAACTGAAAAGTACAATAGTAAAATCAGCTGCTGGAGTGTCAGAACACAGTTGGTAGGTGAATATCAGGAATTTGGATGTGTAAAATGCAAAGATTCTAGAAGCGTTGACCAGTGAACTTAACCGGGAGGAAGAAATACAGTCACGAGAGACAGGAATACATCTGAGGAGCTTTGGAATATTAAAGAGATACGGGTGCATTATTAGCCATCCGTGGATAAATAAGCATCAGATGTATTTTTGGTTCATTCTCAATGTTCCTGTCACCAAGTGGTCGATTTTGGCTAGTATGTTGCAAAACAGGATTATCATGAAGATGTAAAGTTGATGCGAGAATTCTTTCATCACCCCAAGTAAGGATTTTGATTTTTGAATATTTCTCTTTAACGAGGAATTCCATAGTTTATGGGAATATCCTAGTGCACCAGTATTGAGGCAGCGGAATATTCAGCAGCAGCCAGGACATTCAACAGTAGGTTTGGATTCGCCAGCAGAGCTGGAGGAAGCATTAATGGCTTGGGGCCTCCGTAACCTTTTTGTACTGGAAAGCTGCAATAATATCCGTTTCATCAATAGAATTTGCTATTTAAAGCAGACGCCGTAAGCATCTCCAGAAGGTCATTAGTCTGGAGCGTACCATCAAGGAATGATAATTTGTAGAATCGAGGAAATAGCCGTATACCATAGATTCACCAACTATTGGTCATTTCCGCCAGCGAGTCATAAAATAGAGTACTAAATGTCATAAAACCATAATTTCACTTGCGAATCATTAGTCATTTTAAGGATGTAGTGGTAAAACTGCAGAATAACCCAAGTAAATTCGAGCAGGAGTCGTAACAGCAAGAAGTAAATGTCGTAAAATAAGCCAGTAATGTCATAAAACCGATTCACCTGGGATCATTGGCCATTGCGAGAGTGACCGTCGCAAGTGGTAAAACCGTGAATTTCCATCAATAAAACCGATTCAGCCAGAAACACTGGCCTTTTCCACCAGTAGAACACCCTTACGACCATCCTAAATTGTCTGGATTTAGTCCCCCATCCTCACCCCACAAGACCCTCGAATTCCTCGGCCAACTCGAGCTCGTACCTGTCCATGAGCACCTGGACCATCCGCACCTGGTGGGCGTTGCGCTCGCAAATAAACCGCACGAGGTCTCCCTCGCTAGCCAACGTTTCCACCAACAAGTGTTGGTTGTGGAGCTGAGCACTTATTGTGAGGTTATACAAGAGCGAGTCCACCAAGTCGTCGATCTTGTTGGCAGCAGCAGGCTCGATAGCGAGATGAGACAACAACGCCGCTGCCTTCTTAGACGCCAGCAAGTTGCTCGCAGGAGCAAAGCCAGGCATGGCTACGGCACCGGAAGGCAAGAGTGACTCGAACACGAGTAGCGACCGCCAGGCCTTGGTGGAGGACGCCAGTTTAGTGCGCGCTAGCGACGCTTTTTTGAAGAAGCGGTTGATCCAGAACGAGGCCATGGACGTGGCATGCATGGGCACCACCACAAGGCCAGCGTTGGTGAGCGTCGAGTGGAGAAGCGCCTCCACCGTGTAGTTGACAAGCACATTGGGAAGGGTCCGAGCATTGTTGTTGGACCGAGTCCGCTGGACCTCCATCACCACTACGTCGGGACGTAGTGCGAGCAAATCATTTGCAGCCAGCACGCACAAATGGTTCAAGTAGCGGCGCGAGTCCACCGAGGACTGGGGCAGGAGTAGCGGGACGTAGGACGAACCGTAGGCCGCGTGGAGATCGAGCTTGTTCCAGCGCGAGACCCTGGCCACGGGGGGTGCCTGGAGACTGGCGTAGGACGCCGCGCAGTACGAGAAGTTCTTGACGCCAATGTCGATGGCTAGCACGGTGCAGGGAGCCGCGGGGACGAGGCTAGCGAGAGTGAGGCCCGAGACGATGTTGGCTACACGAGCAGCCTTGGTGGCCTTGGGCGGCACGGGAAGACCACATAACTGGGCAAGCAGGTGGAGATGTGATATTTTTAGCTTGGAGAGCTGGGCCAATGACGACATGGAACCACGGAGACGAGGCAGAATCAGAAGCTGAAACAGTGGCGATGGGATTGTCAGGGCAGATAAAGACGGAAGATGGTGAGGACCAACGCGTGGATGATGCAACCGAATAGCACGCGTGGAGTTGAGATGGAAGGCTACACGCGTGGGCCAAGAATAAATGCGGCTGGGGCCCAAAAATAGCTACACGAGCGACGCCTGGCTCGGGCGTCCCGACAAGGAGGCACGGCGATTATGAGCGTGAGCACGACACGCACAGCCACCGTCATCGTGAAAGATTGCGCGATGGAGTGCATACAGGTACATTGCAGATTCACCCGGCCGAAGAGTCATAGGGGCTTCAAAGAATGGCGGGTACTACCGGGGAGGCTGAGGAGCAGGCTGCGGACAGACTCTGGAGGCGGTCATAAGATGAAGGGAATACTCCCATGCCGCAATCCCGGCTTTTTTGCGGCCACCATCGGTGCAAGACCCTGGCCCTTGACTCAGGGCGGCCACCGAATTTTAGCTAACGAACAAAAAAAAAAGAAATGAGCGTTGCTCTCAAATGCGAGTGGCACGGGCCTTGCAGAATTATGCACGGAGCGCGCTCAATAAACTTTCCTAAAATAGGAGACAATCCATCCTAATTGAGGCGGGCACCTGGTAACGATAACAGGCTTGAATTTAGACGGCAATTGTGGACGCTATAAATATGGGAGGTTTCCCGGACCTTCCAAATTTCTCATCACACTTACAATAATCAAAATGCAATTCCAACAAATCGCCATCGCTTTAACTGCTGCCACCGCTGTCTCCGCCGCCAACGCCTCCAACGGTTCTAACGGTTCTAACGGATCCAACCACTCTTCTTCCTCCAACGCCGCCGGTGTCTCCAACGTCAACATTGTTGGTGCCGCCGCCGCCGCTGCTGCTGGTGTTGCTTTGTTATTCTAAACTAACTGATACTGGTCAGAATCTCCTGACTTCCTCCTGAGATTTCAGTTCATTTGGTTGGTTTTTTGTAATATATTTAAGCTTCCTTAATACATTAGATGGAGCTAGCACTAGTTAATTTATTTCTGCTTAATACAATACGTTGTTATTAATCGACTCTGTAGGTCTGAAGCCAGACTCCTAGTTTCAAACTCGTTTTCCCTACGTTCTTATTACTATGAATGTTCCATTGCCATGCCTACCCGAACTGTGGTTCTCCCTGAAAAAATCTTCGATAAGCATGTGAGACTTGCTCATCGCACCATGGCAATCATCCTCCGTCTCCAGTCACTCGTTGCCACCAGTCACCCGTATCCATGGTGGTTGTTGTGTCACCCCACCAGTTGCTGGCGACAGACCATGTCGAGAAGTCTCACACCCTCTCGATCCGGTTTAGGTAGTATAATGAACAGCGTTGGCTACGCCTCGGACCTCATCGGTCCAGTGCTCCAGCAACGTTCTTAACAAGGTTAAACCCTGTTTCTGACTACCCCAGAGGCCCTGGTGGCGGAGGAGATCATCCTTGATCGACCCCTGCATGGATATGGCTTTGCCTGATATGGGTGCACTACTGGCTTGATTTGTGGTTATGCGACTTGTGGCTGTGTGGGAGCACTGGTGGGGGGCAGTAGAGATGGGACCAGTGTGCTAGTAGACTTGATGTGTTGGGCTGTCTGGATGCTAATGGGTTGGGCTGTGGATGCTAACAATAGACTGACCTGATTGTAGAGATAATTAGTAGGTTGAAGCTGTAGACTATGACAGTTGCGGTTGACGGGGCCATGATAATTGCTACAATTCTTGGAAATCCTTACGGAAGTCCTGTGCTTGTAGAGATGACATGTACGTGCTACTCTACTGAATAAATCCTTAGGCTCTAGGCTAGCTCTAACATTTTCATATGAATTTGCTGGCCGTTGGTGGATTCTAGGCCACCAGAATCGTCCTTTACTGCGAATGTGGTAAATCAACAGCTTTACTATAAATAGATATGGATCACGGGCTATCCAGGAGTGGAAGCCAGTAGCCCCACATCCAAGAAGAACTGATGTAAACCCGTGCTTGAATTAATATTCGACTAGTTGCTCCTAACGAATACAAGTGGCCATAATTTACTGAGTACTTAGCTCCATTAACCATGAATAAAATACCAGTTAATCGGAGATCTTGCGAGTAGTTAACCAATCAATGATCTATGACCAAAGTAGCATATTAAGCAAGGTGTTAAACTAATTTTCTTTGACTCGCTGATGAAATTCGTTAATTGTGTGTATTTGGTTTACTTCTGCTTGGTTTATTATAAGATGCATATCATAGTATATAGTGCAGGATAGGCATCTTTGGGACAATAGTGATGATGGTAAATCATTGGAGATCCAATGATAATAAATTACTACAGTATTAATGGGTAAAGTCCATTATTGAAAATTAATTATTGAAGGATTAATGAATAAAGATAGGCCATCAACGATAATAAATAACTAAATCTTAATGGATAAAGACCATCATTGATAATACTCTACTGAACTATTAATGGATAAAGACAGGCTATCAATGAGTAACCCATCGATAAAGAGCAAAATCTTCATTAATTATAATAGGTACACCATTTATTGAAGATGTCTGAGGTACATCATTAGAGATGAACCTTCACTGGGTTACAGGACCGAGTATCAATGATCCGAGGCCTGATGATAACCCCAAAAACTGCATTAAAATAGAGCTAATTTGGAGTGATTACACATTATTTCAAAGTTTGACGTACTCATGATAAAGATAGACATCTATTGATGAAATAAATGTCCATTCAGTTAGGGTAGTCCGAAATCATTGGATAGACTTCTATTACAAAGCCTTACTACGGAGCTTCATCAGTGGATAGACAACTATTACAAAATCGGAAGAGTCCATTGCGAAAGAAATCTATTGATACAAATCTGCAGACTCCATTGATGTGATAGAGCTAGTCATTGGACAGCTATCTATTGATCCAGAATACTCCATTGGTAGAGCTAGTCTTTTGGAACTCCTCTTACAGTCTTCACTCCTTACTTCGGCCTGGCCTTGGGTCCCCAGTTCTTGGTGGGGTTCTCCTGGTACCGCACCATCTTGACCTTACGCAACCGGTTGATTTCCACGCTCATGTCGTTGTCTGTAGCAAAGTTCACCTCCAAAGGCTCCTGCACCCGGTGGAGGATCTTGTATCCCGTGGTGGTTTCGCTCAAGTTGGGCAGGCAGTAGATATCTACCTTGATTTTGTCGGCTTTGGCCTGGTTCTTTTCGGAAAGCTCCTTGCCCTCGATCAGCGCAAGGTACTCCTCGTTGCCCTTGCGCAACCACTCGCGCTTGACCTGGAGAATCGTCTTCCAGGGAGCGTCGGTCTTGATGCAGTTTGTCTTTGCGTGGGTCAACGACACGCGATGGCCCAAGCCACCTACCGCACGCACGAACTCGTTGATGGAGATGGGCGACGTCTTGAAGATCGACGACAACTGGTTGAGGTTGAAGTAGAACGGCTGGTCCTCCATCTCTGCGCGTGCCACCGTCAACATGCCCTTGATACGCTCGGTGGTGCCGTACACTGCGCGATCAGCGCTGGCGTTGAGCGCCAACATCCTATCGATGAACTGGTGGTTGTGGAGCCGTCCGCCCCACATAGGCCCTGCCACCGTGTAGAACGACCCACAGTACGCACACTCGCCAGAGATAGTGCGCTCGAGCTTGGGGTACTGGTGCTTGGAGCCACTGGTGCGTCCCAATGGCTGTAAGTGCTTGTGGCCACATCCATTGCACCCGTAGGCGAGTATCGTGGAGGCACTCAACTGCTTGACCTGGAGCGGTGCCGTACGTACCCGCACGAAGCACCGCATGTAGAAGTCGATGCTGAGACACAACACAGGCTCAATGGCTTTCTTGTACTTGGCGGCGGTGGTGGCGATCATGTGGAGAATCAAGCGGAGCCCAGCCTCGTGGTTGCTTTCGCCGTTGATGAAACCTCCATTGCCGAAGTTGTTGCCTCCGTACAACGCAAAGCACTTCTCGGGATACCCCAGGCCTGCAAGCACTCCCGCGTCGGTGCAGGTGACCAAGAGAAGGCCGTCGTCTTCGATGGTCTGGAGGGCGCTGTCAATGAACGGAGCAGCCGTGCCGTAGGGGTCCAAGTCGATGACGTGGAACTTGTCGCTGGTAGCTGCCATGTACTTGATGGCGTCGCCCTGGTTGGGCACCACCTTGTGCTGGAGGCGGTTGTGTTCGACGGAGCGTGTGATGGCTGCCACCGCTTCTGGCAACAAGTCGTTGGCCACGATGCGCCTGGCGCCGGGAATCTCGTGCCCGTAACGGATGGCACGCAAGCCGGTGGCCAGGAGGGCCTCGAGAATGTCGAACTGGAACTCTACCTTGCGCTTTTTGGCTGGGTTCTGATCGGATTGGTCGGATTGGTTGTTTTCATCATTTTGGCCATTTTGATCGTTTTCCTTCTCCACCTTCTCCTTCTGAGCCTGCTCCTTCTTGGCACGCTTCTTCTCGAGCGTCTCCTGGCGCAACTCGGCCCAGGCGTTGATGGCTGTCACCGATAAATCTCTGTTGAACTGCTGGATTGGGTTGTAGAACACCTTTTCCTCCTTGGGGGCGAGGATCTCGGCCTTGCCCTCGCGAATCACTTGGAAGTCGTCGAGGTTGTACGACATTGGCACTGGCTTGGTTGGTCTCGTGATAAGCACTCGGAGCTGGCCCAAAAGTCTCTTGATCAACGTCACTTTGAAGATGTGGTTGAAAAATTCGCGATGCCTTCGCAAAGCGTGATAGCCTGGCGAGAATGTGTGGGGAAGTGTGCGCTTTTTGGGGGACACAGGGGATGCCAGGCTGTAGAGGTGGAGTGATATGGAAGGGGGGTTGGGCCCGATGCTCTGGAGTCGGGAAGGGGGGTCCAATTCTCTGGGGAAAGAGCATTTAATTCTCCGATCGGGCCATTTGGCAGTAGTGCTTTCCAGAAAATGCAGTAAGAGCGCACAGCTTCCAGCCCGGTGATAATCTAGGGCATTAAAAGAGCTCCAAACTCGGTGCCCACCGCCTCTGCCCGAAGCCTCCGCCAAAACACCCCAGCGGGTTAAATATTGTATTACGTAAGCGCTGACTAAGCGAGAGGCAACCCAAATCTCCCTCCACCTCCAGCCTATCCACCCCAGCCATGTCACAGCTAGACCAATTGAGGCACATCATAGCCGCAGATTCCAAGGAGAGAGTCGTCACAGAAGACGAGTACGACTACGACGACGATGACTACGACTACGACGACGATGACTACGACGACGACTACGAGTCCGACAGCGACGACTCGTTCCATCTCACGGCCCAAGAGCAGTGGGAGGAAAGCATGAAACAGATCGAAGGCTTGATCAGCTTCGTGATATTTCCGTTGGTGGGCAAGGTTTTGGGCAGACGAACCAGCCATATCATTTGGAGAAGAATAGCCAACTGGTGGTTCATATGAGTGGAGAACCAAAATGGATGTGATTGGGTCCCAAAGTGGGTCATATGAGGCACCAAAGCGGATGATTCAATTTGCAACTTACAGGTGGAGATCGTATGAAAGTGGCGCCAATTGATGGTGGTCACGACGTATTTTCAATTGGTGTATTCAACCATGGCTACTACCTGGGGATTTTCCCTGGCCCCAGGTCAAATCTATTACAAACTATAAATTACTTTATGAAGCAGTGGCTCAAGTCAACTTCTGTACACATCTATTACAAACTATTAATCAACTTGTTGAAGTCGTTCTGGATACTGTTTTCCATCAAGCCATTCAACACCAACTTGACGAACGGCTCAACCAATCCGAACAAGATCCGGTTCAAGATCTGCTTGAGAATCTTGAGGTACTCGTCAACAGCAATCAACGAGCTGGAGTCGCTGGAGTTGGCCGAGGTGGACGAGAATATGGACGAGTTTTCCTCATACTCGCTGTTGGAGGAGGTTCTGCTGATGGCAGGCTCGTTGATGTTGTTGGCCAATAAGTTTTGTCGTAAGATTTCGAATATCCTTAGTATCATTTTAAATAGCACCTTGTATATGAATAGATTGTCGAGCTTGATGTTGATCTCCAACTTTTCGATGAGGAGCTGCTTGGAGTTGATTTTGATGGGCGACGCGTTGTGACTGCTTTCTGACGAAGCCCCAGGCCCACCCGAGCCGTCGCTGCCATTAAGCTGCTGGTTGATGGTGGAGCTGGACTGGCTGTTGGAAAGCTCATGCAACCGCAAGTTGACTGAGTTCATCTGAGGGGCGCTGGCGTTTCCGCCAATGTCGAAGTTTTTCAACAAAAGGAGCAAGTTTTTGATGAATTTGATTTGGTACACCGGCTGCGACTGTGGGGTGGTATTGATGATGTGCTTGGGGATCTGTGTGGGTGGCAGTGGCTCGGTGAACGGGTTGTACTCTGAACTTCCAGCGCCCACGAGTTTAGCGGCTGGGGACGAGCCCTTGGCCCCGTTCAAATTGGACAAAAATGTCTTTTGCTGCTGGTGCTGCTGGCGATGGAGCTCCTCGTCGAGCTGCAACGTCTTGATGAGGTTGCCGAGCGAGATTCCGAGCTTCAACAACCGGTTGGAGTCGATGGGAAACTTCTCAGGCTGTTCATTAAGTTGCACCAATGACCGTCTGCTCAACCGGTAAACGTTCAAGAAGTACTCATGGGTGGGTTCAGCATTGGGCGAGAACGGAATCGACGCTAGGAGGTGGTTAATGTTGGCAATCTCGTCCTCCAAGATTGCTACGTAGTTGGCCATGGTGGTGTTGATAGGGAGAAAGCTCGCGCGGCTTTAGTTTTGGCGAGTTAGCGAGGAGGTGAGGCAGGGAGGTGCCTCGCGAGGGTCTAGCCAGAGGGCGGTGGGAGACGTGGCCAGGAGAAGACCAGGTAGACTAGGTTGTGGTGGTGGGAGCGTAGAGGGGTGGTGGTGGCGCTGGGAGCGCAGAGAGGATGCGGGAGTGGAATTGGGCCCAGTAGATAGTGGTGGTGGTGATGGTGGTGGTAGCTAGACGGTGGCTTCCACGCGGTGGGCTCTCGCTACCTGGAATCTGACGACCGTTACGCGCAGGCGAGTCGGTGCTGGCGGTTACTGTCGCTAAATCTCTCGCACCACTAACTGTCGCTACGTGATTCCTGTCCTAATTGTATGGGGCTACAGAGATAACTGTCTCGCTAACAGTTACAGCTGGAAGAGCTGCCTACTAGAATTTACAGCCAGAGGAGCTGGTAGTGAAAGTACTCCACTCAGCGTTACATACAGGTGTCGCCACTGCTCAATTACAGCCAACTCCACGTTGTGAACAGTCACCAGTTATTGTCGCTATTAAGCAACAGCGTCTTCTGGAAACTCGCCAATTGTCGCTACTGAACAGTTACAGCATCAACTATCACTGCAAAAATAATCTACTGGCGCTACTGTTCAGCACACCCAACTGATCGGCCAACTATCTGCAATTGCAGTCACTCCACCCTCCCGTATTCAACTGACTCACTTTCCCATCAAACACGAATCCCTGGCTTCATGTTCCTCCCACTTTTCCTCCTCACACTTGCCTTCGTGGCGCTCTCAGCCGTATTCATCTTTGGCGACCTGCCCAGCCTCAGAGCTACGCCCATCCACAAGCTCCGTCTCCAGCTAGTACTCCTTTGGAACCGTTTGGCTGCCAGCTACCACCACATCGACACCAACGTGTGCCATGGACGACTAGCGTTCTACTTGAACGCGGTAGTGCCAGTGGCGTATCTCGGACTTGTCACCTTCTGCCTCCACCAGTTCTTCTCCAAAACCTACCCTGTACTTTTGCAGACACCCCATGGCCCCAATCGCAGCTATATCGCCTTCACGGTCGTCTTGGTGTACGTGGCTACCGCGTTGGCAGTGTTTTCAGACCCTGGCCATGCTAGCGACTCCGCCCTGCGCAGGTTCAGAAACAACCAATTGATCTTCTTCGACAACAAGGTGTGTCACACATGTGACCTCGTCAAGCCAGCACGGTCCAAGCACTGCTCGGTGTGCAACAGCTGCTATCTCTTGTACGACCACCACTGCGTGTGGATCAACAACTGCGTGGGCTACTACAATTACCGCTGGTTCGTGTTGTATCTCGTGGCCAACATCAACATGTTGGTCTACGGAGGCTACGTGTGTTTCGTGTCCCTCCAGTTCGAAAGGGCACGGTTACAGTCACCTGGGTGGTGGAGCCTTATCAGCCAAACCACCGCTGCTAACGAGGTCACAGGCATTTTTGTGCTTTTGTGCATTCCGTTCGCTATCATCGCTTCATTGTTTACTGCTCTCCACATTCGTTATATTTACCTCGGAGTCACAACCAACGAGTTGGATAAGTGGTCAGAAATTGAGCATTTGGTCCGCTTGGGCGCGTTGTACCATTTGCAGAGCTCCGACATCAACGGAGAAACCTACTTAGAGCAGGCCAGCACCAAGGACGGCCAAACTGTGTACATCAGCTTAAAAAACGAGGCGATCTTGATCCAGGGTTCCGATGTACACCACTACGACTTGAGGCAAATCACCTCTGTGGAGAATGAGTTGACCAATATCTACGACAGGGGATTCTGGAATAATGCCCGCGAAAGGCTCTTATTGGAATGAGTCTGGAATGGCTGAAACTCCTAGCTAATTAACATGTACATATCCGTCTTTGAGTCAAGAATTAGCCGTTACTTAGCCGATTTCTAACTATAAATTATGTATATAGATGTTGCATCCAAGTGAATTTGGACTGGCCCGGTGGTTCTATAATACTAACGGGACGATTCACTGAGCTTTAATAGTAATACAATTATGTCCAAATAGAGAGCAGTCGTATCGATATTGAACATTTTAATAGACAATATTTTGAAGGAGCTGATTTAGTAACAATTATTGTGTCTGAAGAATCATCCACATATGCACAAACACGGCATAAAATTGCTTTAGTCTCCTGCAAGAAGACGCTTGATTACCACAGGTGGAATCTTGACCTTGGTGATGGTTCTCTTGATAGTGCTACCGCCAGTAGCACGGTGGATGGACTCTTTTTCTTGTTCTTTGGATAGTTCATTTCCACAAATTATTGTCAACTTCTCCAAAATCGCAATGAAGACTTCTAAGTTCTTGTTGATAAAACTGCTACTTTGATTGTACACGATTGAGTATAGGAAAAGCCGAAACATGGCCATGTTGATAGCACGTTCGTGACCAAACTGGCGCTCGAAAACGCTCTTTAGACTAATTGCGTCGAAATTAGCAAGAAGCCACTGTACCAGCTTAACATACTCGGAAAGGTGCTCCTTGACGTCGATATTATTGGGTAAATTAGGTGTTAGGGAATTCCAATTTGCCAAGTGCTCATTAATGCTGCCTAGCTGGCGAGCCAGGCACTTCGAGTCCCAAAATTTTGTGTGCTCGTGGAGTTCATTTTCCGAAACTATGGGCTCGGGGCGGCCATCTGTGTCGTTGTCAATTTCTTCTCTTGTCAAAATCACCTGTCTCTTGGTGTCATCTAGACGATCCTTTTTCCTGATGAATTTGGGCAAACTGGCAGTTGCAGGCTGCAATATGGGCCGCAACTCGGGGGTGTCTTCGTCCTCATCTTCATCATCGTAGAAACTCACTGTGGTTTGCCTCTGGGCTTTCTGTTTCTTGGTCCCTATCTGAATCAGTAGCTTTGCCCTCTTTAGGTTGGAATCGGGTATTGTCTTTGGGTCTGTGCTTCTGAGGTCCTGGGCCAGTGATTGTGACTCTTTGTGGCGTGTGGATGCTATTCCCTTCTCGTTTTGGACCATTGCAGACTGCTGTGGAGTCGGAGACAAATCAATGGCTGGTTCTTGGTTGATGTTATTCCCAGTGCAATTGTGAGGTGCTCGGGTGAGTGTCGAGACCAGTCATGGAATAGTAAGCGTGAAGGTTCTGGTTGTGTTGGTGGGTGGTTGTGGTGGTGGTTGGAGGTAAATTCGAGTTCTGAACATTGATAGATGAGTTTGATGGTTGCGCGTGCGGGTGCAAATCTGCCATAATGTCACTATTTGATGTATAGTATTGAGACATGGGGGTATATGAAGAGGTTATGTCATTGAAGACGGACACCAGAACGACTTCGAAGCGTAGATTAGCAGCTAATTTAGAAGTCAATATTCTCAGATGAGTTTTGGGGTCGGTCCAGGAAGAATATAAATCTAGATTGATGGATTGCAATGAATATCGACATATATACCCTGTTGACCGTTTTTTCCTACAAAACGTTGTTGGAAGGAACTGATAAATATTGTAAACAAAAATCTAGGGACCTAATCAATGGGATTTATGACTGTCTCTGAATCAAAAGATGCATTGCCATACTCCCAATTTCAAATAACAGTCTACATATAGGATTGACAACACTGACCAGAATTTATATACCTTTATTGGAAGCTGAGTGAGAGAAGACAATAATTTCAGATGGAAAACAAGTGCCAGGAGCAATTGGAAGGAACAATCCACTTCAATAAGACCTTATTTGTAGCTTGGGGCAATGTGTTGTTGAACAATTGATTATTAGCTGCACAAGGCACAGCAATAAAGCAGTGGAATGCTAAAGAAACTAACCATCTGAATTGAGAGAGACTGCTGGGGTCTAGAAAGCACCCTTCTAATACTCGTTCTTGGACAGAATTGGCCATCAAGTCTTGCTCAAGCTAGTAAAATATTGACTATCCCAGACCAGCAAGAGCTAGTTTAAACGAGCAATAACTGTACGCTCCCCTTCCTAACCTTCTGTCAATTGGCCACAAATTCTGGGTCAGCAGATCAAGAGCAAACTGAATCCCACCAAAAACAGCTCGGGCCATTTCTAACAATAGACTCCTTTCGTCTCGAACGATCACAATCGTCACCGACTGCGTTGACCCCGCCGTCTGGGTGAAAAATAACGGTCGCAGTGGCTCAATTCATGAGACCACTCCTCGGCCATATGTATCCGGGATGATGTGCGTTTCCGTCGCTTTCGATATCCGTCCCATACTTCCAAATGAATCTCTGGTGTAGGCTATCGGAGGAAAAAGGTGAAATTATATCCACTTACTGATCCAGCTACTCCATCTAGAAAATCTCTGCACTCCACCCTCAATGCAGTAGCTAGTATAGCTCCGGCATCAGCAGACTGAGATCTAATTGTGGTGGTGTCCTCATGGGAACTTTTATTGTTCTGGCTCACAACCATTACTGTAAGGGCCCAACAACCTCTGGCAGCAGAGGTGCCAGAGCCAGAAGCAGTTGGCTCTTGAGAGCAACAAGGAGTTGTAGTGGATCATAGCACCTCAGTAAGTCTAGATTCCGCTGCCACTGCAGTTTTAGGCAGTGGAAGCTGCCCAATTGCCAATCTCGCTTCGCTGTTTTGCACCCAGATCCTGCCCTGCACACAGAGGTTCCCCATACTACGGGGTACGAGATTTAACCCGCACATCCCAGTTTGTAGGTTAGGGTAAAAAGTTTTTTGTAGTTATATTACGCCTATCCCCAGAGAACCCCTTTTAATCCACCACCGCCTCCTGGCCCTACCATTATCGTCGCATCAACCCCGAGGCCTTCTGTGTGGCTAAATTTCGCTCCAGTATCGTTTTTTTTTCCAGCTTGTGGCCCCACTCCCGCCTCATCCACTCCGACGGATGGCCCCTTCCCTGATTAGCGACTACCATGAATCATCAGCACTTGCACCAGCCTGTCAACTCGTACCCCGGCCCTGGACCCAACGGCAGTCGACAGGACGCCAAAGCCCCCAAAAACGACCAGTTTAATCCCCACCCAGAAGACGACAAATCCAACGAACACATCTTCCACAACAGCATCCACGCCCACAATTTCTCGGGACCAGCCCTCAACGAGTTCGAGCACCACTCGCCTCAGAATTACCTCGATTCCAACTGGGAGCCTAACATGCTCATGGACAACAACGGCGAAATGCTCTACAACGTGGACTTGCCGCAGCAGGGCCACCTTCAGTCCAGCAACAACCATCCCAACTCCATAATGCAGAGCATTCAGTATCAGAACAACATACATCAAGACGCAGGAGTTCCCACCAACGAGCACAAGATTGGTGCCTTCAACGGAGACACCCAGGCCCATCCAGACATGATGGGCAACCCTCCCCAAAACGAAGCTCCAGAAGGTCCTGGCGACAAGTCTGCAAGCTCAATGTCGCCACTGTCCATGAACACCAAGGCCACCAAACACAGGCGTCCTTGTGACCATTGTCGGCGTAGAAAGACCAAGTGTGTCATCATCCCCAATACCAATAACTGTGTGCAATGTGAGGCCAAATCGTTGACTTGTACATACACCAGCCAGGCTGTCAAGAGAAAAGCCATAGAAACCGATTTTGATGCGTCCAGGAAGAAATCTGACAACGACCCCAGGTCCATGGAAGGGTACAACCCAAACCTAGCATTGTTACAAGGCGACCAATCTGGAATCGTGCCGCCCAATGTCCCTATCCGAGACGTCCAGCCAGTCCAAGACTACTCTTCCATGAACAATTCGTTGTTGAAGAAAACGTTATCCCTTCAGTTCCCTAGATCCAGTTTTTATGTTGGTCCAACCTCGTATTTATATGATATTAACCTATTGAATATGATTCTAGACTCTCAGAAAAAGCCTGGATCCACTCCGAACACTGGCAGATCCACCCCCACTAGTGGTGGAGGGGGCAAGATTGAACAAGTGAACTTAAATGACAACGTTTCTCTCAGAAAGGTATCTGACAAGGTCCAGTTCATTCTCAAGGACGACCAGTCCCCTCATTCATATCAGTCCATGTCTAATGACGTTGACACCATTGAAAAGTTCATTGCTCCTCATGGCCAGATCTTGATTGATCTATACTTCAGAATCATCCATCCATCCTACCCTATACTCCATAAGAAGGTTTTCCTCGAAAAATACTCTCGTACCCACCGTGAGTTCAGCGCCCCTTTATTGGCTGCCGTGTATGTGTTAGCGATTCAATGGTGGGATTACGATCCTCAATTAAATAGATTTCCCAAACCAAACGTGGAGTTGATTTTGAAGATTGGATTAAACAACTACCTTTTGGAGATCTTGAAAAGACCCAAACTCAGTGCAGTGCAAGCAGGACTATTGCTATTGCAGTGCAAAAATGTGATTCATTCCTCACCCAATGCTTCTGCTCCAATCACTGGAAACGACAAAAAGCTCATCAGCAATATCAACTTGAGCGTAGGAGATTCCGACTACAGTGATTGGGTATTGTGTTCCCAAGTAGTTTCTCTTGCCGAAGAGCTTGGTTTGGGACTTGATTGCAACAACTGGAAACTACCAAAATGGGAAAGAGGCTTGCGCAAAAGACTTGCGTGGGCTGTTTATATGGAAGACAAATGGCTATCTGTGAAGAACTCCAGGCCATCGCATATTCATGAAAACAACTGGGTAGTCTTGTCCTTGGCAGAAGAAGATTTCCCTGAAAAGCACGGAGACGGAGACCTAAAGGAAGGTTCTTCCGATATCGATAATGGAAAGAAGATTTTCCAGAACTACATTAGACTTTCGATGATTCTCTCCGAAATACTTGACCAGTTCTATTCCATGAAGGCTATGCAAGAAATCACCGAAGTCAACCAAGTATTGAAGCTTGCCAAGCCCTTGCAATTGAAGCTCAGAAATTGGTACCATTCGTTGCCAGTGGAGCTCCAAATGAGCTCAGTCCAACCAAGAAAGTTATGCTCTAACGGTTATCTTCAACTAGCATATTTTGCAACGGAATTGAGTCTTCACCGTAAGATCAGCACTGTGATCTATCAGCAAACCTTGGCTGGAAATCCTCCTCCTCCCGAGTTGGTCAATGTATGCCGTACAGCAGCCAAGACCCGTCTCATTGGATCTATAGAATTTGTGAGAGATCTCAAGCCAGAACACATCCATTCGTTCTGGCACTCGTCTGCTGCCTCCAACTTCACCCTCATAGGAACATTCGCTGCCATTCTTTTCATGTCAGCACCAAACAGAGAGGAAGCAGACTTCTACCGTGACCAAATCTTCAATTACAGGTGGATACTCAAGATGTCCTCCAAAGGATTTGACCAGGTGGCTGAAGCATTGAGCCAATTAGATCTTGTTTTGAACCACATTCCCGGCCTTTTCAACGACAATGCAGAACTTCCAATGGTCGTTCCCAACGTCCCCACTGTGGATTTAAACAATACACCTTCCAAACCAGCCAATGAAAAGGCCAACCAGACAGCAAGCCCAGGTCATAGACCGTCAATCAGCAGCCAGCAATCGTTTGCCAACGGGCAGACGCACAAGAATAGAGTAAGAGCATTGCATGGACGTGCCAACAGCCAAGCGGGAGGAGAGGACTCGCCATATGGATCACCACAGAGCTACGGAGTCCCAGGTGGAGCATCTCCAAACACACAGCAAACTATTTCCAGAGGAGGCAACTTTGTGGTCAACTCGCCTCAGTCGTCCCAGGGATTATCTCCCAAGGACATCATCAAACAGCAAAGACTGGTGAATGCGGAAACCTTCAACAAGCGGTCTCCCAGCTCGTTGCAAAATGTTCCTGTTTTATCTAGAGGAGAAAGCAATGGCTCTGAGGAGTAACTCTAACGAGAGATCCAGCATCTCGAAACATGTGGAATTGTATTATCTGGATATGTAAGAATAGTAGGGTATGTAAGTATAGTAGAATATGTACATTATAGCACGGTTCAACGAGTCGGAATGAAGTAGAATATGTTTGTTGAAAGATATGAGCATACATACAATTGTAGGATAATAGAACAGGGTAGCAGCAATGTAATGTTGATTATGTTGAAGCAGTAATTGTATTAGAACAAAAAATGGTGGAAACAAATTGATTTTGAGAGGCAGTGATTTCTTGGGGCAATTCTATCTTTTTATGGAGAAAAGAAATGCTTTTATTTACACATTCAGATTGCTTTAGTCAAGTATATTCAATATCTTCTTACTTCTAGTAGAGTAAAGTGCTGACCTCGGAGAGTCCTCATGAAATTTCTCGTAAAATCGTAGATCTTCTCTTCCGTATCTTAACGAGACAGTACTTGATTAATTTACCTTCTTAGGTGGTTTTTCTTTTTTGCTCTACTGTTTCCAAAGCGAGATTTAGTCAATTCTAGCCTCAGTTTTCAACCCGCTACTTCAGTTCTATTTGGATTTACTCCTGGAGATGATTTGTTGAGTGATTCAGTTTTTAAGCATTTATTAATTCCAAAAAGTGTTTTGTACTTATAGTAAAAGATATGCTTGTACACTAAGTTTTTCTGTTCGTAAAGCGTTGGACTGTTCTTGATGGACTACATGTTCATAGGTATTTTATTCCTGCCACTGCAAAACTCACTTTCTGCTCTCTTGCCAAAAATAGCTACATGGTACCAAAAGCTCTGCCACAAGAACTCTTAAACAATCGTATATTTCACAGAAACATCTCTATATGCTTAATCAAATGGGGTCAAGTAAGCCTCGGCGATAACTCTTGCCCTGGCATTCAAGAACAACTTCATTTCACTGATTTCCTTGTCGACATCCTCCATGAACTCAATGATGAAATCGACCAACTTGTCTTTCAACATTTGTTCGGTGTGGAAGTTGGTGATCAAAAACGAAATGTCGTAGCCTTTTATTGGCACTCTTCTCAATATGAAGAAGTTTTCAGCTCTGGAGGTCAAGAAACGGGTGAACTTGTGCACCAAGATCTGTTCGATCTCGTCAGCTTGCTTGATTTTAATGGAGACTCTGACTGAGTTGACGGATGGCTCGATCAAGATCTTTTCGTTCTCATTTCTGGCTATTATCATAGGATTTAAGATCAATTCCGGGTTGTGTGTGTTGTCCACCTCTATTTCGGGACGGTTGTGTCTTTCCACCAATTGGGAAGAGAAGTCTTCCAAACATATGGCCGCAGTTAGGGACGATCTGACTGCTGCAAGGTATGGTTTTAAGGATTGTGACTAGAGTTAGTAGCGTGCCAGCACGAGCACTGGAGGCGGTTCAAGCATGGAGCCGACACACCCCGCAGTTATATGGCCATTGATCCATTGATTCACTTACCATTGTGTATACTGTTCGGATGTCGATTCGTGGAGCTACTTACATTTTGGGTGAGAGTACACTGGTCGTGCGCCGGTGGCGAAAACTGAGTTAGTGGATATTGTACAAATGACTACTAATACAAGTATGTATGGGTGGAGAGCCAGGTAGGTAGGTGTTGTGTCTGGTTTCGCATGTAGCTGAACTGGTGATGTTTGTGCTACTAGATTTAATGGTTCGCCTACTGTATGACTAGTAGGTTCCCATTTGGAGACTCTCAGGTTGAAGCTGCGAGACATCTTGGTAAGAAACAATTCTGGATTTATGGTTTGTCGGTTCGTCCAGGTGTTGCCAGTGCTGATGAATGAGGCTTCCCGTAATGAAGTGCGATGCTGACTCTTTCTCTCTTCGAAAATCACAGGTTATAATGATGACGATTCTAGTAGTTCATGGTCATGGGCTTGACTGGCTCATCCACTCTCGCCCTCTTAGCTTCCCTATCCTCGGAATCCTCTCTCACTTTTCTCTTCCTCTGCTTGGAATTCAAAACGGAAATGTACTCAGTAACTGCATCCTTGGCTGACTGTTCTACCAAACCAGAACTGTCACCAGGTATTTCCTGGTGGAACTTCTCTATGGACGCTTGAATGGATTTAAAATGTTCCAAATCGCCAAAGGCCAGTAACACTTTTGCAATGTCAAATTCCTCCACAAGCGAGTATTGTATACTTCCGTCATCATTCTTGGAAGGCATAAGACTCACCACACCAGACTTGGCATTCGAATCTTCCAGCGATTCGTCCAGGCCCTCAAGTAGATTGAACACTTTAACTTTATCATTATTGAAGTACAACCAGTCTGCAAGCGACAGGATCAAACCCTTCAATGATTTACCAAAATTGGCCTTTGTAGCCTCCTTCTGAGTTTCATGATCCTTCTTGATAACGTCGTAAAGAAGCTCGATTTCCGTTTGGTTGCTGTCTTTCGACAAAGCGAAATCGATACTTTTCAACCTCTCATCATTTGACTTGGATAGCACCTCGATGAAGATTTCTTTAGACTCGAGTAGTTTTTCGAAAGTTTGTTGAGGGTCTGATTTCTTTAAATCCGTCATTACACCTTGGATCCACTCCTTCTTCAATTTTAACAATTGATTCTTTTCATCCACTATATCCCAAAAGAACTCAATGGGCGTGGAACCGTTTCTTCCACATAACTCGATGAATGCATCCTCGTCCTCAATAAGCTCAAAGACTTGCTTGAATTCGGTGTTGGCATTTATCAGAATTTTGCTTAATAATGCCTTAAAGTTGTCCCTTGCTTTTCTATCCGATCTATAATTGATCCTCTCCGCCTTTGTAACTTCGTCCTTTATAGAATTAAGCGGGGTTGGGTAGATTTTAGTCCGGTACAACTCGAGTATGTCCACTTTGCTCAATACTGCAAAGTGCTTATTGGCATGGAATCTGGAGTCTACCTTGAGTGACTCATACAAATTCTCCCAACCCTTGGATTCCTTCACCACAGAAGGGTTGATTTGGGTCAAGTACGCTTCCAATTCAGATAATGCTTGTCTCTTTTGAGTTTCGATATTCTCGGTGTGTTGCTTTTCTAAATCGGCTCTAAATCTGGAGAAAATTTCCCATATTTCATTATCCGAGAGAATGGAATGCTTGAAGATCGAGTTATCTTCTTTAATCAACTGATTTTTGATGCTCAGCCATCTCGTGTTGTGCTTGAGGATTCCTTTGGAGTGGTACTCTTGGAGAACCAGCTTGAAATTCTTTTCGAACTTCTCCACCACCGCGGTCTTGTCTGACAACTCTTCTTTCAATCTAGAGACGAGGTAGTCGTCGTAGAGTTTCTTCCTCTGTAAGGCATCTGGAATTGCCCAATAGACTGGCTCCTTAATGAACTTGGACATTACTGACTGGAACGACCACGTCGAGTCCACCCTGTTGTCCTTGAGCATGGCGGTGAACGCCTTTTCGGCGTCCAGGACGGTTTCGAACTGAGGTGGCTTGATCAATTCATCTGAGCTGCATGGTTTAGCCTCCAACTCTTGTTCGAGCGGATCTGCTACTGCTTCTGCAGCAGACTCTGCCCCTTGTGTCGCTTCAGTGGCCATTTCTGTGTCAACAGTCTCCGTGGTTGTACTGTCGAACCCCTCGGGCTTGTCCCAGGTGGTGACACCAGTGGTTTCATTGTAGTAGTATTCCTTTCCGTCATCCGTTTTGAATGCTTGCCATTGTGAGGAAGACTGTGACGGTAATGTCCATGATGTCTCGTTAGTGGTGGTGTTGTAGTAGTAAGTACGACCTTCCTCGTCCGTGAGGGTTTCCCATTCTGCCATGGTGGGATGGTGTAGTCAGATCTGGAGTTGAAGAAGAGACTTGATGGATGCAGTCATGTGACCAGATGGAAGCGCGAGCATGGGGTGGTACTGAAGAATGGATATTCAATACTCTGAGAGAAAATGGGAGCATCTTGTGAGAAGTGTGAGTAGTGTGCTCGTTGTGTCAAACTGAGAGTTGGACCAGTGTCTTGCTGACAGTTTGTTTCATTTCAGTGGTGCTTCTGCTGTGATATTTGGTTTGTGTTTCATGGCGAGCATTGGCCGAAGACACTATTGCTCAGGGCTCTTTTGGTGCCGCTAATGGCAACAGTCCTATGCAAACTCGTATCCAGAGTGCTCAGTATGCTTATCATATTCTTCGCTGGCTTTATTGCTTGTTACTGGCTTTGAATTTCCTGGATTCCAAAATTCTCATTTCGCAGCCGCATCTTTTTCACTTTTGCAATAATTTCACAATTTTCACAAAGAAGACAATGAAAACTAGATACACCATTTCATACCTTCTAAAACTTCAGCATAACTCCAAAATCAGACTACACTGCCCTGAACTCTTCCAAAAGAGGCGTTCTATCTCTCAGCACAAACATTTCCACCACCGAACCAGAAACACCGCTCCAAGGTTAGCATTCCATCCCAACGAGGTACATGTGATTCCTGAAGGTTCTCGAATTGTCCGCGTGGATCCTGGCATGCCTATTCCCTATGGAGCAATACCACTTCTGTTCTTGGGCTATCCAGGAGCTGCAAGGGTTTTTGTGTACAATCCAGTCGGCGCCCCTACCCACCTCAATCAGCTCGAGAAAGCCCAGGAAGAGCAGAAACAGTTGTTTCGAAACAAAGAAAATATTCCTCTACAGACGTGGCCAGGTTCTGAGACATTCCCTGAGTACAACTGTGGATTTTACGGCACAGAACCACAAGTTGCAATAGATTTAACCAGCCTAGGTTACGATAAAAGAAAGAACGAAGACAGAAGTCCGGGTGAGACTGAAAGAATCCAGGAAAACCAGTCGGATGCCTCCAACAGCCAATCTACCTGGTCCTCTAGTGACATTCAGATCCAGCTTCCCCTGGTGTATTGACGGAAGGGAAGGTTGGGTGCCGTTGCAGACTACTTCACAAGCAACTATAACCAAATAATAGAGTTAAGTAGAGCCAGCTCTCTGCAAGCCACTAGTACCTGCTAATTGTGACCACTCAGTACCAACTATGAACCATTCATTAGAGCAACTAGATGGACTGCAAAAACGGGTTGGCGCACGACCACTCATCATTATCACCGTCAGTCCAGCTTCCCGGAACACTAATGACGGGAATAGTGATAGGGAGCAGCGAATGGCGCTATTTGAGCCTCGAACTGTAAGTGACACGGAGAAGTCTCCACGCCGTACTAACCATTAGAACCCCCGACCCGCTAGTGCTACAGGAGCCTCTGTTTCGGTCCCAATTCGAGCAGTTGGAGGTGGATTCCTTGACCTGGAAGCAGGTGGTGCTGGCCAGTATGAAGAAGATGTACGGCATAGTGGGCGAGGCAGCCCACTTTGACGTGCTCCACCGCACCAAGAAGAGAGCCATCATCCGAGTGCAGCCAGAGGACGAGGACAAGTTCAAAACTAGTTTGTTCTCGTACGTGACGGTGATGGAGTCGTTTCTCGGCAGCAGTTCCAGTTGCAGCGATTTGGAGTGCTACGTGAGGGTGGCCAAGAGCGCAGAGCACTTGGGGATGGTGGCTGAAAGCGAATTCATCGAGATATAGCATGCATTACGAGATATGATGAATTAAGAATTTTATTGCATAGGCACTTCGAGAGTGAAAAATTCCACGACGTCAGCTATGGCAGTTGCAGAAGGAGTCCGACCGCAGTCCTAGAAGCATGGGTGTTTACAGAGCATTGCATTATGCACCCCGCCAGCCCACAGCCATCCCCACCTGGCGTCGCTAATTATAGCACCACACAATAGGAGTCAGTTTCTAGTCTAATACAACGCTCGCCAGCTGGGAAGGCCATACCCACTATATCCACTCCGTAGACCACACACGCTAGCCATGCTGCCCACACTAGGGGCCCGGCTAGTGGCTCTCACTAGTGGCTCACTCTCGTAGCCCTCGCGGGTAGCTTCCGCCAGTGGCCCGTACGATCGGCAACCACTCCGATCTGGCTCCTTTTGCATTTGCCTCACCATATCCCTCCTACCGTTCTGCGCACTACCCGCGCTACTTATCAATTCGACGTGGCAATCACTTACATGATCCTACAGCCAATCGATCTCCATAGTCTACCCCCCGTGAACGTGCTGATCGAGCCAGCAACCGACCCCAAGATCAAAACCCCGAACGCCACCAAATTTTCGTCCCAATTGAACATCAATTGACCGTCTGACACCCACGAATAGTCGCCATGAGACTAACCCATTTCGTGGGGGTGGTGCTAGCCACCCTCGCAATCGCCACGGCAGACTACTCGCCCAAGGTGACCATGCACACCGATTCGACCGTGGCCTCTGACCTCCGCTACTTCGACGATTCTCCCAACATCTTGTTGTTGCGAGATAACAAGCTCTTGATCTCGTTTGACGACGGAAAGTCGTTCAAACCCGTCAAGGAAACCAAGGACAACCACGTCAAGTCGTTCGAATTCAATCCGATTGACAACCGCGTGGCGTTGGCTTTCACCACCAAAAACGAGCAGTACATCACCACTGACCAGGGAAAAAAGTGGAAAAAGTTCAAGTTGCCCGACTACAACTCCAAGCTCCAGGTCCACAGTGCCAGCGTCGACTTCAACGGATACTTGGACGACATCTTGTTGTCGTTCTGGTTCTGCAATGACCACTCGGCCTTCGACAAGACCTGTGAACAGAAAATCTACTACTCCACTGATGGACTCAAATCCGACCCCAAGAAATTGGGCATTGATGCTGCCATGTGTAAGTACACAAAGAATGTGGCCCACTGGGCCACTGCAAAGGACAATCTTATTGTCTGTGTGCACAACAAGTTGAACTCCTTTGGCCACGTCGTGGAGTCAGTCTTGAGGGCCTCTTCCGACTATTTCCAGAAGAGCAACGATCTTTTGGAAAGCGGCAGGGCAAAATCTGGTAAAATCATCGAATTGAGGGCTGAAAAGAACTTCATAGTTGCCGTGGTTCAAAATGACAAGTTCAACACAAAATCAAAGGTCTCATTATTGGTGTCTACTAAACTTTATGAATTCCAAGAAGCAGACCTTGAAATCGACTTCTCCTATGGTGTCATGATCTTCTTGGATTCGTCACCAACTTCTTTAGTTCTTGCAGTCATGGATTACTCCCGGTCTATGCATGAATTCTCTTTGTCGACGATGTATGCTTCGGACTCTACTGGGTTGAAGTTCACCAAGAGATTAGAAAATATTGAAGGAAATGCAATCCAAAAGGTCCAGACTATTCACGGTGTGTGGTTGGCTAACACAGCTCAGCCTTCTGACCACGAAGGTGAGAAAGATAAGAGTTTACTTGACTTATTGATTGGTGGTGGCTTGGACAGAGACGTCGTATCGTCATATTCATTCAATGACGGTATAGATTGGAGTCCTTTGACCATTATAGACGATGAAAGTTGCAAAGTTTCTGATGGTTGTTCCCTTCATCTTTTGTCACCCACTGAAGAAGATGGCCTGGGCAATTATGTGACAGGACCCACTCCTGGAATATTGATGGCCGTGGGAAACAAAGGAAAGAAATTACTGACAGACTTGAGTAAAATGACTACTTGGGTGTCCAGGGACTTTGGTGCTACTTGGTCAAGTGCCATTGATGAGCCTTGCTTGTTCTCGTTTGGTGACGCAGGTAATATAATCCTTGCAATGCCATTTGTGGGAAAGAATGAAATGAGCACTCTGGACTACTATTTCTCTTTGGACCAAGGAAAAACTTGGACCAAAAAGTCTGTGGAGAAGAAGATTTTCCCTACCAACCTCATAACAACTATCGATGGCTCGTCCCAGAAGTTTGTGGTGTCAGGATTGTTTGACAAAACTCCAGATGTCCCTATGGACGATGAATTTTCTGATGTGATGTATTCATTTGATTTCTCGAACGCGTTTGATGGTAAGAAATGTGGAGACAGTGACTTTGAGGATGTCTTCGCAAGAGTTGTTGGAAACGAAAAGCCACTTTGTTATAATGGAGTCTCGGAAAAGTTTTCTAGAAGAAAACAGGATGCTCGTTGTTTCAAGAGTAAGTTGTACTTTAATCCTATACCGGTGGAAGAAAAATGTACCTGTTCAGAAGTGGCTGATTTTGAATGTGCTCCTGAGTTTAAACCTTCAGACAAGGACAAGAATGTCTGTGTTCCCGATCTCAAAAAGATCAACGAGATATGCAAGACCCTGAAATCTAGCGAATTGAAATTGAAATCTATTCAGAAGAAGGTATTGAACAAATGTGAAGGTAATGTGGACATCCCTGAACACAAGTTCAAATGTTCAGAATTACTGGAAGAACCTGGCAAGCCTGGTAACGATGACTCAGTTGTTCCTCATGAAATTAAGTCATCTCTCTTCAAGTTCGAACACACGATCGCGCAATACGCGTACATGGAGGAGGGTGAAGGATTTGGACCGGACAATATTGTTTTGATCACAATGGACAGACGTGCTTATATTTCCAACAACGGAGGTACCGGATTTACCAAGGTTCCCGTTGCAGATGAGATTACCCGTTTCTTTGTGGGTCTCGTTCCAGGACAGGTAGTCTTGATGACCAATTCTGATACTATTTATGTATCTGTTGATGCTGGTAATACTTTTAAAAGGCGCCATGCACCTTCTCCACCAAGAGCTGGTGCCATCATTTCATTCCATAAAACCGACACGGATACTTTCATCTGGCACGGGGAAGATAAATCGGGCGTGGCAGCTTACATTACTCGTGATGGTGGTGAGACATTTAATTTATTGAAGAAGAAGGCGTCATTCTGTGAAATAGTTGGTCCTCATTTGCAAGACCAGAATGATGAGAACGAAAACATGATTTTCTGTACCACCGTTGGTGACAACCAGCGTGGAGCATGGAACTTGGAGTCATCCAACAACTTTTTCAAGGATTCTAAGGTGGTCTATGAACATATTGTTGGCCATGCCATCACTGGTCGGTTCTTTGTGGTTGCAACTGTGGACACTCTGAAGTACTCTTTAAATGCCAAGGTTTCACTTGATGGTATAACTTTTGCCGATGCCGACTTCCCTGCGGACCTCAAGGTCACCTCGAATTATGGTTACACAGTCTTGGGCTCCGAGTCAAATGCCGTCTTCATGCATGTTACAACCTCCGACAAAGATGGTCAGGAATTCGGATCTCTTTTGAAGTCGAACTCAAATGGTACTTTCTATGTTACTTCGCTTGAACAAGTAAACAGGGACACTCGTGGATATGTTGACTACGATAGAATTGAAGGATTAGAAGGTGTTATCATCAGTAACACCGTGGTGAGTGAAGGTGGTGCTAAGAAATTGAAGACACATATCACACATAACGATGGAGGTGAATGGAACTATTTGACCCCACCAACTGTCGATGCAAAGGGTGACAAGTATGATTGTATTGGACAGCCCTTGTCCAAGTGCTCTTTGAACTTGCATGGATTCACCGAGAGACCAGATTACAGGGACACCTTTTCGTCCTCTTCGGCCACCGGTCTCATGATTGGTTCGGGTAATGTTGGCGAGTTTCTCCAAAAATCTGAAAACATCAACACTTACATGACTAGAGATGGTGGTATCACCTGGAGAGAAATTAGAAAAGGGTACTACATGTGGGAATACGGAGACAGAGGCACTATTGTAGTATTGGTCAATGGTGCAGAAGAGACTGACACAATGCATTATTCATTGGATGAAGGAAGAACCTGGAATGACTACAAGTTCGCCAAGGAACCCCTCAAGGTCATTGAGTTGGCTACCGTCCCATCTGATACTTCTAAGAAATTCTTGATCTTTGGTACGCGTGACAAGTCTACCACATTGTCGTATTCAATCGATTTCAGTGGGCTCTACAAGAGACAATGTCAATTGGACCTTGACAACCCAGATTCTGACGATTTTGAATACTGGACCCCCTCCCACCCTAACCTGCCAGATAACTGCTTGTTCGGACACGAGGCAAGGTACTTGAGACGTATTGAAAGCAGCACCGATTGTTTCATTGGAAGTGCGCCATTAGGCGAAGGCTTCAAGGTGATCAGAAACTGTACCTGTTCAAGAAGAGATTATGAATGTGACTACAACTATTTCAGAGATACTGACGATACTTGTAAATTGGTCAAGGGTTTGTCACCTTCGGACCGTCTTGAAGATTTCTGCAAGAAGGAGAACGCGTTTGAGTACTTTGAACCTACCGGTTACAGAAAGATCCCAGTATCCACTTGTGAGGGTGGAAAACAATTTGATAAATGGAATGCTATTGCTTGTCCAGGTAAAGAGAACGAGTTCAACAAGCACTACGGCAAAGAAGTGAGTGGGGGCAAATTGTTAGCAGTGTTCATTGTACCTCTACTCGTCTTCTTCTTTGCCACCTGGTTCGTCTATGACAGAGGTATTCGTAGGAATGGAGGATTCAAGAGATTTGGCCAGATCAGATTAGATGATGACGAATTCCAGCCAATTGAAAACGACCAGATAGACAAGGTAGTGAACAAGATAGTTAAGGGTGGAATCTTTGTGGTTGCCGGGTTGTTTGCTACCGTCAAGACTGTGAGGAAAATCGATGGAGTGTTATTTGATAAGCTTACTTCTGCGATCTTCAGAAGATCTCCAGGACGCAGAAACTATGTGTCAGTGCCTGATTTCGACGAGGAAGAAGAATTATTTGGGAGCTTCCATGACAACTACGAAGATGAACTCGAAGAGAACTCTGGCTTGGCCCAGGAATTCCCAGATTCAAATGAGCCACAAGACGATTTGAATGAAGCTGCTGAGGATGTGGATAGTGCCGACTCGAGACTCTTTGACATCGATGACCAGTCTGACAATGAGAGTCCTGAGACTGCAAACTCTGCTAACAGCAATTAGAGATCTCCCATTTTAGCAATAGGTAATGCCAATATATAAACGACTAGAATTTGATAACATGTAGTGCACCAAAAGTGTACTCATCCTCTGTACTGCGGGAACCATTACAAACATTCGTTGATGAAGTATTGACTTCTAAAGGGTATATAGGAGAATATCAAAAAGCAAAAAGGAATTGACACGGACAGGAATTGAACCTGCAACCTTTCGATTTGGAGTCGAAAGCTCTACCATTGAGCCACCGCATCACCCTTGAGAAAAAATTAATTTTACAGATATCATGAAACATATGAGAGAACAATTGATAGGCGCACGCACACGATGGAGGTTCTAAGAGTGTATCTCACTTTTGTATGAAATAGAAACATGAAACTTTGTGGGCTGCTATGTACTTCATGTCCCAGACCGTGTTTTTAAAATTTTATTACACTTCAAAAAAATTCAAAACGAGTTGTTTGCATCGGCAGTTGTGTAATTTCCTTGAAGAAGTTACACCGTTTTTTCTACCATACTTTCTTAGTTTAAATCATAACGGTTTGACCAAAATGGTGTGTTATCCATTGCAATAGGTATATAGTCAGTAGATTATAATATACTTCCCATTAGCAAAAAAACAATTGGGTAGATTATACTTCAGTGGGTTGGGAAACTTCCACTAAACAGTTTATTTCCCCATAACCTTAGAACGGAATTGAGTATACATGCTGATATTCTCTTTCATGAAGAAACACACTTCAAATTCTTTCGATTTCCTAGAGTGTTTGGGACCCAACGGAAGGTAAAAGAGCAGGATTATGTTGTGACTTGAGATCCCTTGAAGTGGAACCTTGTAGCTCTTGACAAATTTATGATTAGCCCAAAATATCGGGAACGATTGAGTCTATACAATTGATTGAACCAACCGCCAACTCCACTAATTATCCACGTGTTGATTAGAATCGTCCACAGAAAAATACTCTCCCCTACTAGATTGTTGTAAGACAAACAAATGAATCTAACGTAACTAGACTGATCTAGACTCCTCTATGCAAAATTAATCACCGCTTCTTTGCACGGTAGGTATTGTACCACTCTTAGTTATTAACACACCTGTCTATTAGAAATGACATTATAAAACTATACGGAAGAAGAAAAGAAGTTTTTATGGAGTAGTCCATATATTGTATCGAGATTGCTGAGTGTTCCTCTTCAGCCGTTGGGCAATTAGGCATGGTAATAGTTATCGTTTATCATTAATGGTTTCTTTGAAGATCAATTTCATGGAACAAATCCTCTGGATTCACAGCGTCCATCATTTCGTTTTCCTGGATTCTTTGATGATTAATTCCATTTTCATCAAGCAGCTTTCTGAAAAGGGCAAAATATGGAATAATATACAATAATCCCAAGAACGTGGTAGATCCTAATGCACATGCCAACGAAATTCCAACAACCTTGCCCTTAGACAACTTGCTGGATTTGTTGTTGATATCATCCGAGGATTGGAATCTGAATGAGTCCAAAATCAAGAGTGAGTGGATTTCTCCAATTTCGTTCTTTGGCGTGGTGGTGTAAACATATGGACTCCACGTGGAGCCATTGAACAAGGCAACATTCACCAAACCATAATCTCTCAAATCAATCTTACCAGCCAAAGCCAAGACATTACTCTTGTCAAAATAAGTACCATTACGACCAGTATCTGATTTAGCAACTGATAATAACTTGACATCATTAAGCAGGGTATTGGAATTGAAATTAATACCGTCTCCAATGTCGTTCCACTTGGAACCGTCGTAACCGGAGATAAATCCATCACCATAAGCAATCATTCTACCATTCAAGTTGGAGTTATCCTGGTCATTAATAAGGAACTTGCGAACGGGTTTGGAAGATCCCAAACTATTGAATGAAGTTTTGGTTGCAATAGCTTGGTTGTCGAAGTTGTATGTCAAGAAATTCACAAACTCTCCATTCAAAGTCAAGTTACCACCGATCAAAACCGAGTTTGACTGGTAGAATTTGACATCAGTAATTTCACCTGCAACGGTTTGATTGTTGTTGTCACTTTGTGGATTGATCCATCTTGTGTTCTCGATATCAAAAATACACATGCTGACACAATCTAACGACCCTGCTTTGTTGAAGTTACCTCCCACTAACAATTTCTGTCCTTTATCGTATAAGACAAGACTGTTGACTCTGAGGTCATCATTGTCGCTGGAAAGAGCTGATGGTTGGACACTAGAAATGGTGTTGTTTTGCAAATCATAAATTATTAACCCGGTCAAGTTATTCGAGTTATTAATCCTAACAGATCCATTGAACCCAACAAACAAGTAGTGATTCTCATTGTCGACATATAAAGTTTGGATTTGGGCATCGTCCGACCATTCGAACGAACCTTGTAACTGTCTGATAGTTCTATCAGTAGAATTATTATTGATGAAACCCAAGTTGGTAATGGAATCAGCTTCGAAGTCTCCACTGACAACGCTCAATGAGTTATTCACGTAGAAGGTATTAGTGATTTTAGAATTAGTGCTTTCGATACTGATATTATAACTTGCAAATGAATCATTGGAAGAAGAATATGCTTGATCAATGCTGTAAAAATCCATTATGTTAAAGGAACCACCACCAAGGATCTGCTGATCTGAGCTCAAATCAACCAGTTGGGAGATGTTTAACAGATATTTGGAATTATCTGCCCAAGATGAGTTCGAGCTATTCCATACCTTGAAACTAGATGAATTAGCAGAGAAAACCAAGTACTCAATGTTTTCCACTGAAACACTGGCAAATTGATTGTACTCAGTATCCACGAAATTGTTTCCAAATCCATACCACTCATTATTCGAGTATAAAGCAAAATTATTAATGCTCGACGTGGACTGGTTATTATTGGATAAATCCTTCAAGTTCACGGAATTATTACCATTGTTGTTCAAGCCAAATCCACCCAAGAATACTTGGGCTCCATTGTACCCAACAACATTGTTAATGGTATTGTTGAAGCTCGCTCCAAATATATCACTGGAGTCTGCACGCTTGTGAAGAACTTGAGCGTTTAAAGATCTCTTGCTCTTAATGGTAGCTTCGGTTTCATTGCTGGTGCTATTGTATGATCCAATATCAAGTGTTATCATATTGTTGTTAGATAAAGTCAAGTTTTTAGAGTCAGATTCAAAAGAACCTAATAAAATCAAAGATCTCGAGTCTGAGCCATTGAGTAGTTGAATTTGATTTATTTCTGTCTCATTTGATAATTGACCACTTAATAAGTTGATAGAAGAGTTCCCGACGAAAGTGTTGTTAGGACTAATGATAGTCTGATTATTGCGGGTGTAGGAAATCAAAGTTTCATCAAAGTCAGAAAAATTGGCTAAGGAATATTCAAATAAGCCGTTTAACGTAATATATGTTAATTCACCCTTTCTGGAGTTTCTTCTGGTTGATGAATTTGTTTTGTTATTGTCGTAGTACTTATCAAGGGACACGATGTTTGCAGTAACTTTGTCAACCACAACCCATGGGTCTTGAGTATCGGGGATGATAGCATCTTGGTATGATATCTCAATTCTATTAGAGCCCGAGCTTTCACTCGTACCGTTCAAATGACCATAATACAAGTAGTCAAATTTGTAGTAATCATTATTCTGGTAAATCAGCTGGGTGGCCAATTGATTTCCTTCGTTATCAAGAACTGTCACATTCACAATTGATCTCTTGGCACAGGAATCGTCATCAATACAACCAGGTGTGTTCATGATGATAGAATAGTCACCGGAATAAGAGATGTTTGGATAAAGAATTATCTTAGCATTGGTATCAGTGGAGACCAAGTAATCGTTGTCTCTCACATTTGGTGCCAATGCCTTAATCGATTGGAAGCTACCTGCTTCAATTTCTGAAGCATTATCAACCGCACCAGGATTTTCTTCATCACAATTAGGGTCATTTAAGGAGTTGTTTCCATAAACTATAATCGAGTTCAGGTAAAGTTGGAATCCACCAAGAGTACCTTTGGAACCGTACCAATCAGTAACTGTAACTCCAACTTTGTTGAGAGCAACTTCATTCTCGAACGCAAATTCTTGATAGTTTGCACCGTATCCCATGACCTTAGTTTTTGTTGACGGGTCGTAGTAAATAGAATAACTTCCGTCTTCATCAACATAGACAGTATCATCGTCAGATAAGTCTGTGCTGTTCTTTGCATTGTTGGAAGTGATCTCTTCTAAGTCTGACAAGGCGATCAAAGGGCACCAGGCATCACAGAACTCAATCTCATTGTTTTCGGGGTTTACATACGAAAGATTCATGATACCATTGTTTGGGTAGGAATAGATTCTGAATGTCTTAGTACCGTCAGGACCAGGGGGAATGTAAATACGAGCTTTGGTTGGTGTTATTCCCTTCATTTCGTCAGGCAATTCCACTGCCCATTGACCACCTTGTCCGGGGTTCAATGACCATTCAACTGATTTCAAAGGACAAATAAGAGACGAGTCTGGAGCACTGCCATCACCGTTGGTATTTGAGAATATACCATGCCTCAAAGAGATTACCTGCTCAGCATTGATGAGAGAGGTATTGGTAGAATTAGTATTGTTCAATCTGGATGAGTTGGTGGTGGAATTGTGAACAAGCAAATTCTTGAGACCTAAGGTATCGAATTTCCCGCCAAAGATGATGGAGCCTTGGTCTTCGTTGGAGGGGTCGTAGATCTTGGAGATGGCGTTGACCACCGAGTTTTCTCCGAAGCCCTGGAAGGGAGTGGATTTGAGGGACTTGGAGGCGGTGTCATAGATTGCGGCACCGTAGGTGTTGTTGAATTGGAAGCTTCCTCCGAGGTAGATGAGGCCATTATCCACGAGAACCGAGGAGACTGTGCCGTTGAAGGCATCGTCTCTCTTGGAGTTTCTGCCCGAGGAGGAAGGTATTATGGGGGTGATGTCGAGGGAGGAGATGTTTACTATGACGGGTCCTGAGAACGACTGGCCGTTGATCTGCGAGTAGTTTCCATTTAGCACTACCGAGTCCGAGGACAACGGGACCAACTGGTCGATGTTGCCGTTGAGTTCTGCTAGCTGGACCTGGTTGTTGGCAGAGGCGTCCCTGAGGTATAGTTTCTGGGAGTTGGCATTGTTGATGGCCGATGCATTGATGTAGGAGTAGAAGGAGATGGCGTTGAAGTCACCAAAGAACCCGATCTGGTTGCCGAACTGTGAGTACTGGAGATTGGGCTGGGATACGGGGGTGAATGCTGAAGCCACGGCCGCTACGGCCAATATGGAGGCGAGATGCATGATGTGGGCGGATTAGGTCAGGGAGATGGTGAGGTTAACCAGGTGAGATACTGAACTCCAGTGGTGTGATTTCAGTGCGGTAATGAGGATGTTTTCACTGCGCCTTTCACAGATCACTAACGAGGGTGAGTTTACTGAGCTTCTAACTGAGCTGCTCACTGAGCGGATGGGTAAGATATCACTGAAGACGAGTGGTGGACTTCACGAGGGTGAGTTCACTTAATGGAACTTCTTATAGACTAACGAGGGTGAGGGTGAGTGACTGATCTGACGTGTAACGAGTGGCCGCAAGTGTGGCAGAGAAGACTGGCTGGGCCAAATGCAAAAACAAACGTGGTGGTTGTTCTGACTGGATGGTGGTGAGATGTAATCAGAGCGATACAACCAGTCGTGCGGCGCGGCTTTGTGGATTTTGTTGACGAGGATGGGCTCGAGCGGAGCGGTGCGGCACGGCGGGGGTTTGCAGCTGTCGCTAAGGGTGGTAACAAAAGCAGGGCGTTGGGTACGGAGACGGGAGATTTGGTGTTTCAGGGTGTTTACAATTGGCCCGAAGGGGTGCGAGATCGGTCACGTGCCGAGGCGTGGATACCGGTGTGTGTGCAGGATGATTTACTGCCAGTAGTATAGCTGTTGGGGTGTGTCGTTGGCGAATAGGTTTGGTGGTACTGGCTAGAGAGGTGGTTCCTGGGTCCGACGTGTATCTACCACGCCTGGGGCTTATGCGATAGCCGAATATTGCCTACCCTTATAGTTAGTCTTTCGTCTAGCACGCAGGCTGCGGCAAGAAAGAGCACGTGATACGTCACGTGACCCAAACTTCGATTATTAAACGGTGTTCAGTAGCTCGTAGGCATGGCTGTGCTGTGATTTAGCGGATACTTGTAGTGTGTACCGGAAACCCATAGTGGTATTTCGCGTCTAGTTATGCTCTGGTATTCTCGGAGCCTTTGGAGGATAATTCTCTCATCGCTCTCAGTCCTCGCTATCGCGCTTCCTCGGCATCTTGAACTTCGCCCTCTCGTAGGAGAATGCCTCGGCACCATTCAGCACCCTGGTCGACTCCCCTTGTGTTTTCCCTCGACAGTTTCGTCCTGATCACTGCCCCAACGAGTCGTGTACGCATCAATGTCGTCTCCAGATGCTCCACGAGATAACTCACGTGACCGCAATCAGCTGACCCCACCCATAACATCCTTCCTCCGCCATCCTTACCACCATAATGGACTATCCTAAAGGGGTAGACCCCTACGTCACCAGGCAGCATCTCCTCCACCACACATACTCCCCTCTAATATCTGTTCATGCCTCCTACAATGCTGACATCCTCTTGCAGTCCTTCCTAGGCCTGGACGACATCTCCACTCTCCAGATCCTCAAGCCGTATGGCAACAACGCCAAGTACACCGTCCCGAATCAGTCGTTCAAGATCATCAACAACCAATTGATCACGAAAGCGTATCCCAGCTTTCCTGTGCGGTTCGAACCGTCGCTTCCCGAGCTTTTGACGGTGTTTAACGCCACCAAGCGATCCGACACCAACGATGCTGTCAAGCAAGCGCAGTTGGACCAGTTGTTTAGCATCAGCTCGCTTGAGATGTTTCTCAACCACTCGTCGCGAGAGAGCTCTTCGCAAGACTCCAATAAGGATCTCTATCTCACGTACTTCAACAAGATCATCACCTCCAACAACATCGTGCCATTTGAGACGTTCAACCACCCGATCGCCCAGCTCTTTGTGGTAGACTTCGATGCAGACACCATTGAAACCTTGCGCAAGTCAATCGTGGAGTTTCGCAACTATAACTTCCCCCGTTTCTTCCAGATCGACGACTTGTTGATCCACGTCCTCGTGATGTACGACGCCACCAAGTTCCTGAACTCCGAGGTGGTGGCTTTCCAGAACGATATCAAGGCTACCCTCAACATCTTGTCTACCAGCATACCCATCAACACCAATAGCCAAGACGAGCCTACCATCGAGGTGTCGCTCATAGACAATTCCACCATAGAGGAAGATCTCCAGCGAATCTCGCTCCAGCAATCGTCGGCATCGCCCACCAACCAGATCTGCATTCCCAAGTCCTTGGACTCGGTTTTGCGGGCCAGAATCTACGAGTTAATCAATAAATTCCTCATCCCTCACATGCAATCCAAAATCCGAGTGTGGGACGATCAGATTCTCCAGCCTAAAAAGTCGATAACAGGCCGGTTTTTCTCTGCCTCCAAGAAGTTCTTTAACAACTCCAATAGCGAGTTGAACCTGATAGGCCCGTCCTCGTCTAATTCGTCTTCGTTCAACTATACCGAGAACTACTACTACAAATCCAGTCCCGAGCAAACGGTGCGGAAACTTGCCGACTGGTCGTTGATCCTCAAGGACTTCAAGTACGCGTACTCGACGTACGACGTAATTAAGAAGGACTACACCAACGACAAGGCGTGGGTTTACGTTGCATCCACCCAAGAAATGTGTATTGTGTCTCTCCTCTTGGCCCAGACCCAGCAGGTGTCGAATAATCCCACGCCCCCAGATAAGAACACCTTGAGGAAGATCAGACACGACATCGTGGAGCCTTATATTGATAATTTGTCCTACACCTTCAAGTCGAGGCTCAATCTCAAGACTTACAGCTTGAAGACTTTAGCCATTGTCACCGAGCTTCTCTTGTGTATGTGCACCACCTTCAGCATATCGTGGTGGTGGACGGACTTAATTGAGAAGTACCTCCTCAAGAGCGTTGGTGAGTATGATGCCCACTTGCTTTCCTCCAATCAGGATTCACAGGTGATCCGAGCCATTTTGTACGAACGCTTGGGGTACAGTTGTGGCAAGTGTTTGATCTTGAATGGAGATAACCAGAGGTTGCTTGTGTTGAAGGAGGGAAAATTGGTGAATAACCAAGTCGATGCTCCCGAACCCGAGGAAGAAGGACTCTACGTGAACCCCAAAAAATTGTTACCGTCCATCAACGAAGGAACTACTGGCTTGTCGAGATACAGAAAATCGGCAATCTGGTATCTTCTTTCGATCAAAGAATGGCTCATCTTGAAGAACTATGGCCAGATTCAGCATCTCATGAATAACATTCGTTTTGTGTACGATATTGACGAACTAGGAGAGGAGTGGTACGACCGTGGCGATCTTTTGCTAGGATTTATCAAGAGGTTTATGAAAGAAAACCGGGCCAGCGAACTTGGGGTGGATGATAATAGCAGTGAAGTCGAAACTAGTGAGCGCAAGGAGGATACCAGCGCCGAAATCGTCGAAGTAACAAGCAAAGCAGCCACGGAGGAAATTCGCAAAAGCATCGCGGAAGATGCCAGTGAAACTACAGCAGTTGACACCGTTGAGGATGATTTGCCTGCTAGCCAGAAAAATCCTCACAGCTCCTAAGTTGGCAATTTCCCGGAGATCAACTACTTACTTATCAGAATACACTGCTACAACGTATCATGAGCACCAGGCAAGGTGCTCTGTTAGAATAGCACTAATATACACTCAGTAGACCACTATAAGCCTGGAAAGGCGGTGTATTACTACAGAAGTCTCGAAAAGAATTGAGTAAATTTCAGTTCTTTAAATGTGTCTTTCGACAGGATTTCGACGGACCATTGCTTGTTCAACATGCGTAAAAGTTGGACTTAAGCAGGTCATTCTATTCAAGTATAGTTAAAGTAGATTTGAACGTAACTGTCACTTCTAGGATGAAGTTGTATAAACTGCTGGAAATGTAAAATTTAGAAAAGAAACCCATTCTCTGCATGGTTGAATAAATCTGTTTGTTAATAGTTTGCGTTATGTCACCTGGAAGGATATTCAGTTGTCTGAAGACTTTTTTGCCAGTTTGAATTGTTCTATTTAGTATGATACGAATCATGTGAACTATGTGCATTATGTTTAGCTTGGTATGGAAATAGAACCACACCATACTATGTGTTGGCGTCGTTCGGCCAACCTCACTCCGTCTGATATGTTACCATTGTTGAACAATCAGACTGTACCTTCGAATATATCTTTACATGGCAGGATTCTATTACTCCAACTCCTTCAATGCCAACTTCCGTCTCTTCTCCATGCTGCTTTTGATTCCCACCTTCTTGGGGCCGCTCTTGAACCAGTTCCAGAGGCTATTGAAGCTTCCTGCTCGTGGAAGGGCACTTACGTTTCCAGCACCTTTCAACGAAGACACCCCAAGAAAAGTGTTTTGCAATGCATCGATCTCCTCCATCTGGGCATCCTCCACACCCTCAGGCTCATTGTAGAAGTCCTTCTTGTTCAAGAACTTGTAGCGAACCATGGTGTTGAATATTTGCCCGCTGACCAATTTCACTGGAATCGACAACGGGTAGGGGAAAAAGGTGTATAAGGAGAACTGCTCCGAGCGATCGCCTCTGACCAGGCCGTGATCGAGGTGTAAGGCAGAGGCTGTGGATGCACTGCTGGAGGAACCTTCTCTAGAGGCTCTGACAGGATGGGAAGATTTGTTGGACCTCTTTCGCGAGAGAGAGAACGGGAGCAAGTACGATTGGCGTTCGTTGGTGCCAGCCTTGAAGAACCTCAAGTAAGACCAGCTTATGGAGAAACCCAATCCGCTTAGGAGCAAGGAAATGAAGAATTCTTCGCTGACAAGCAGTAACACGAACACCAACGACACCAAGATGAACGGGATGTAGGTGACCTTGAGCCGCACGTTGCCCTTGAAGAAAAGGAAGTAGTGGTTGGGGATTCTCTGCTTGATAGCCACAAAAAACCCCATGTTGATTGCCAGGGCTGTGATCACCACAGGAGGTACTGCGTACGACTCAGGGTCAAAAAGCACCAGTTTAATGCTGTAGTAGATGAATAATGCCACGTTGGATATTATCACGTTGCAAATGATGAACTCAGTGAATTCTTTGGAGCCCCACATGGTTTCCAAGTACTTTCCCATATAGAAAAAGAGCATGAAGCTCAAAGTTAGCCCGACAAAGTTCTCCTCAATGAAGCTGCTGGTGACCAACACCCAGGGACGCGTGAAAACCGGAGAACGGGTGGGTATGAATGTCAATAGTGGCACGTAGAGCTCGTGTGGATGAGGCACCTCTCCCGTTTCCTGTGCAATGGAATTGACCTCGTTGGCAGACGTCTTGGATGACGACACCATGAGCACGAAGTAGGTGTAGTACTTGAGCACGAAGTTGAGGAGGGTAAGCGACGTTAGCACCACTAGAAGAATGCTGGTGACTTTGGGGATCTTCATGGTGGGGGAACAGGAGCCAGACGGACGGAAAAAGAAGGGACAACGGTGGAGCAGGCAGAATTACACAGTTCAGCCCAGAATGTACGCGTCAGTGGGGGCAGTCGACACGGTGGTAGGGAGGAAGTGATGTTGCTGTTGGATCGTACGTGTCAGGTGAATATAGGTCAGATGAAGAATGGCACGTGCCGAAACTCACGTGCTCGAGTATCAGATCAAGTGAAAATGGCTTTGGCTAGGGTGCTCATCAACATGTTTTCCACACTTATACGTGCACGGCCTGTGGCTGCTCGCGCATACTCAACGACAGCATGTTCCCGTCCTACTTTCAGAGACCTTCTCAAAACCCCCGTGTTCAAGTCGCTCTTCCTCACCTTTGTTTTCGGGACGGTGGTGGTAGATGTCATGAAAGGAAGAAGGGCTCTTGAAGAGATTAAAAGCAACCACGAAGCCAAGTTTGGCATCTTGGAGGATGTTATTGCCAAGTTGAAGAACGGTGAGAAGGTAGACATTGCCAGAGAACTCAAATTGGCCAAAACACTCTCGACGAAAGAACAGCGCGAGAACGATATCGAGGTCGATGAACAGATAGAAAACTGGTTCAAGATGCTCGATAACGACAATGTGAAGCCGGAGAAGGAGGAGTTAGATGCTCAAGTGCATTTGACAGTGGAGCCTCAGGTTGAGAGACCAACAGGGGAGAGAGAAAGAAGAGCCCCAATTGAGACAAGCAAGTTCTTGTGATAGTGCCAAATGTGACTATTGGGAGACATCGCAAAGGGATTTGAAATTCTTATTAGCTATGAGTCGTAACTTAGGAGATTTGTATATACCACAGTTAATCTGATGATGGTAACCACGAGATTTGAACTATCATCACCTTACCTCGAGTCTGGGATTTTAATCTAAGGAATATTCAGAATTCTTGTAAATAATTCCACCATTATTAGGGCCAATCTCATTTTATATATCTATCTATCTCACATTATTCATCCCACGCGATATATCAGAAGTCCTATTAGTTCAAGCCACCAACTTACAGCAGACCCATTAATACATTAAATGTCCAGTCACGTAATTATTCTAGCTCCAGTTCATTACCGCATCATCTATACCCTAAATCACGTAATTACTACTCCAGAAAATCATAGCCTCTCATTTTCAAACACATAGAAGTCAAGTAACTACTACTCCAGATGAAGAGATATCAATTTATTCATTGTATACATATTGAACGTAAGGACATTAATTATGTTGTAAAGTAATGCCAATAAATCGTTCGAATACAACGCAATACACTATTAGTTTATCATATTGGTAGCTCTTATTGATAGCAATATATTAATACACACAAGAAATAAACCACGGCACTAGCGATTTCTTACGTCTTTCTCGACAACTTCGCTTCCATGCACTCACACTAACGAAATCTTCCTGATGGTCTTTCTGTGGCTGTCGCCTTGCTCGATAACCTTTCCTTCGCCCACCAATTTCTTGATAGCCGCATTGATTTCGTAGTTCTCGACCCTAAACGACACTCTTTCGTTGATCTTCATTGCCAAGTCGGTGAAACGGATCATGTTGTGTCCCTCCTCGATGATCTTCATAAGCTCGTTGCTCAAGTCTTCCTGGACTCTTCTCTGAGCCGAAGTCGTTCCTGTTTGGACCATATCCATGTCGATTTTACCGGATTTTGGATCAATTGCATAGTCTTTGATGGCTGACTTGATCAATCTGACTGCTTCCTTGACGTCGATCAACTCGACCGTGTCGGACAATCTCATTTTGGCATGGGCTTCTGCCAATCTGATCATGGACTCCAACTGTCTGGTGGTGGCAGTGATTCTTTTCTCGGAAGAACGCGAGTCTTCACCCAACTTTCTCATCTCTACGTATGCCTTGACCAACTCGTTCTTGGACTCTTCACACAAGGTAGGGTTGTAGTTTTCTTTGGCGTACTGGACGTATGCACTCAAAAACTCTACTGGCAATGTCTGCTTGGCCGACACTGTTTCGGGAGTGTCTTCCAAGTACATTTCTGTCAAGTGTCTGGCCAACTGGCGGTCGATTTTCTCGTCGACGCGGTCAAGAATCAAGTACACCAAGTCGAATCTCGACAAGAGAGGTGGGGGTAAGTCGATGTTCTGGGTGACAGGCAAGTTGGGGTCGTAGCGCGAGTGGATGGGGTTGGCAGATGCCAAAATGGAGGTTCTGGCGTTCAAGGTGGTGATGATGCCCGCTTTGGCAATGGAAATTGTCTGCTGTTCCATTACCTCATGCAACACGGACCGCGTGGAATCGCTCATTTTGTCGAACTCGTCGATGCAGCAGACACCACCGTCAGACAAAACTAACGCTCCACTCTCCAACACCAACTGCTTTGTGTCGATGTCGCGCGTGATGTAGGCTGTCAAACCTACAGCCGACGAGCCCTTTCCGGAGGTGTAGACACCACGAGGGGCAATCTTGTGCACGTACTGCAAGATCTGGGACTTGGAGGTGGAAGGGTCACCACACAAGAGCACGTTGATGTCACCTCTGTAGCGTCCGCCCTTCTGGAACGTCTTGTTGGTGCCGCCAAAAAGCTGCAAAAGAATACCCTTTTTGACGTCATCCATCTCGTAGATGGAGGGCGCTAAAGACCGCGCCAAAAGCTCGTACAAGTCGTCGCGCTGGGCCACCTCCTTGATGCGGACAATGTCCTCGGCCAGAAGATGACGCACCTGTTCGACTTCGTGGTCGTTTTCGGCGATTTCGTGCTCCAAGGTGGAAGTGTCTGCAGCCATGCGCTTTTTGTCGATTTTCTTGATGTGGACCACATCGAGATAGGTTTTGTGGAGGTTCTTGAGGGCCCTCTGGGACGAGTTAACACGCACGGGCAACGAGCGGAAGATACCACACACCTCGATCCGGTCTCCTGACCGACACGAGTCCACGAGTTCGTCGTACACGCATAAGTTGATGGAGTGCGGAGTCTGTCCGTCGGGAACCAAATCGGGTGTTTCCTGCAACTTGATCACCTGCTTGTCTGCAAACGACAGCCGGTTGTGGATCAACATCATTGAGTTTGTCTGTCCGCATACTTCACGCGGACACTTAGTGGGCTCGGAGATGACCCCACGATCGATTTCCACGGCCACGGTGTGGCCGCACGCATTGCACTTGAAGAACGCCACTTTCATGTCGGGGATGATGGAGGTCGACCGCAATGTCAAGCCCTTGACACTGACCAACTTGTCGATGTCGTTGGGGTTCAACTCGCGCATGCCCTTTGCCACCAAATTGACGTTGTAGGGACGGATGGTGTAAACTGCAGTCTCGATACGGTCGAGCGCAGCGGTGTCTGCAGCGTCGGCAGCGGTCTGGATCATGCAGTCTTTGACGGTCTGATCCATGATGGGAATCACTTCTTGTGGGTAGTTGATGAGCTGGTGAAAGAGCTTCTTGGTGGGAGGGTACGCCAAGAGGTTGCGGGCGTCGAGGTTGAGGTTGGTCACCCCCAATGCACGGAGAGTGGCGAGCCGCTCCACGTAGTAGAGCGCGTTGTCTTCTGGGTCGATGTCACGTCCATCCAACTGCTTGCGGTATTTGTACTTGAACGACATAAGAAAGTCGCGGAACGAGTTGGCACAGTCCTGGATCGACACGTTGGTTCCCCAAATGACGCGGACAGGCTCGTCGTCTGCAGGCGTATGCACCGCCGACGACGACGAGTGGAGGGCACTGGTGTCGGATCGGGGGTGTGCTTCTGTGAAGATACGTCTGCGCATGGGCGACGAGGTGGCATCGTGAAGGTCACTCCGTTGGGGTCTTCTGACAATGCGGTCAACGTCGCTGGTCAAACGCGACGATGCCACGTCGGAGGGGTGATGCACGGACGAGGTGTAGTGCAACGGCGACGACACTTGTCTGGAGATGCTGTGGGAACCGGATTCGGAGGGTGGGTTAGAGGAGGTGCCAAAGAAGAGGGGCGACGAAGGCACACCAGGAGTGTGCGATTGGGACTGGGACTGAGACTCCGAGGGTCTGGGGGTACTGGAGGGGCCCTGGCGCGAGGGATTGGTGGGTGGCGAGGACATGGTGGATGGTTGTGGTGGTGGTGGTGTTGAGAGAAGAGTGATGGATAGAGTTGTAAAAGATTGGTGATGAGAAAAATGAGGTTGACGCGTGGCATTAATTTGCCGTTTTGGGAAGGCGCGCGTGGTGCCAGGTGCAGGAAATGTGGGAGACGGTCTGGCAGACAGTGCCAGGTGCAGATAGAACAGTGCTAGACAAGAGAGGTGACGGCCAGAACAAGTGTCGGCCAGACACCGTCCATGCTGTTTTCTTGCTGCAATAGTGTGCAGCCGTCAGGACACTACACCGACACTTAGGAGAGACATCCGTGCTTCCCTGGGGCCGGCCGGACACTGCGTACAGCAGCGTAGTAGGAACAGACTGGGCCCTTGGGATGGTAGTAGATACCAAGTAGCGTACTAATAGTAGGCATTATAGTAGGCATTATAGTATGCCTTATAGTAGGCATTACAGTATTATTATTACAGAATGTACTAGTATCAATAGATTTGGTGGCTGCCCGCAAACGCACCGTTAGGTCTTTTGTGTGTGACATAATTGTCCGTTTATTGTTTAAGTCGATCTCGCGTAGGCACGCGGACGTTAAGTTTAAGGGTCCCCACTCCTGACGGGAATTAGTTGAGATGTACGGTACGACAACCGGTTGCGCTGACCGCGTCTCCCAAGAAAACCGATGTGCGCCAAGGGCTTGTCTCGGATTGGGATGCTCTATGGGGATAGTGGCCACACCGGTTCAACTCGACCCTAGCGGGCTACCTGCACCAATTGCCAGTCGTAAACAGTGCGTGATACAGGGCTGACCACTCGTGTCGCAACTGTCACCACGATATTCGCAGTACAGCGAACGTTACACGCATGTCAGGAAGTTTGTGTCGGTCGTACACGAAAGCCAAAATATTCGCTGCAGTGCCATGCAAAGCCCGCCAGGTGGCGTGTGCAGCCAGTCATGATCTACAACATGCGGGATATCCACCATCGGGTTTCCGCCGGATCCGGCATCCGACACCTTCCAAATCCTGTCCCACACCACCAGGCAACAGGGCTTGGTGGCTTGGAATGCTTGGTGGCATCGTGCTCCTCAACGTGGGATCCCTCTACCCGTCTTGGCTTGCTCCAACCCCAGCCTCTGCACCGCCTACCCAAGCAATTACTCCACCCAGACAGACAATCGTTGCGGGATAAATTGGTCGCATGGCCCTAGAAATTTTTCAGGCCCCTTGGCTGTATGCCGCAGCATTGCCACTGCACAGCCTGTTCGGGGCGCAGGGCTCGCAACCGGGCTAAGCAGACTTTAATTTGGCCCCTCTCGTTCCTACTGACACAAGCAGGTGATCAGGGGATTTAAATGGGGGGTGGAAACTACGCTAATTTCCTATAAAGGCTCTGCCAGATCCTCCCGCTCGAACCCCAGAAATATCTCTTCTTATCACTTCCCTCGTTTCGCACCACTGTTTCCCCAGACATACACAAAGCAGGCACCCAGTTTCGATTCAGTGCTCGCACCACCAGATTTAGCCCCTTAAGAAACGTCCCAGCACCACACTTCCCAGCGTCGCTAGACCCGGAAAACTGTCGCCTGCCCACCAGTAAACCACTGCCTGTGTCCGCGTCATTCCAGCAGTCTTGCATCGCCTGTGCTTCTGTCCGCATCGTATCGTCCCATCACACCCTCCCAGCGTCCACCGCACCCTCCCAGCGTCTACCGCATTACGCACCTCGATCACCCCGCTTGTTGTGAGCACTACCTCGGACACTTATTGTTTCGCAGTATAAATACCAACCATGCCGCTCTTTAAAAGTTCTCCCAAGGAGGAGATACTTCCATTTGAAAAAGAGCACGCTCAAGAGTACAAGATGAGCAGCAACAACTACGAGAACAGACTCTTACAGGCCGTCAACGAGGCCCAGCCGTTCGAACAGGCCCACGACCACACCAAGGACAACCGTCGTCCTTCATACTTATCCCAGGAGTCCAACAACCTCAAGGACATCTTTGGCAACACCATCGCCCAGGGAGACATCTCCAACCCCACCAGATCCAGAAACGAACGTCCCTTAGACACCATCCGCAGTTTCGAGTACGCCATCACCGGAGACCTCACCTACCGGGACCAGCTCGAGTCGCACCGTTTAGGGTGGGGCTTCCACGAAGACTTTCCCTACTACAACTTGGTCAGTGGCCAGGAGCAGTATCCACAAAGAGGCGCTGCTGGTGCTGGCTTGGACCGTCCCGTGGCCAATTTTGGTGAGCAGGCGGTGTACCAGGCCAACAACTACAGCGCTTCGTCGTTGAAGCCTGAGGGCAAGAAGAAGAAGGGGATGTTTGGAAGAAAAAAGAAGTAGATTAGAAGGTGGGACTCTCATCCACGGCTAGCACGCTACACTCCAACTTTCTGACAGCAGATGTGGTGGCCTACCAGAACCTTACGACCACGATCACCTTCAGTTCTCAGTGTCTGTTTATTATGTATTTTAGCTTGTATCAATAAGATGCCTCATTAGAGTTTCGTAGGTGTCTGCATGGCACTAAATGCATGGCCGAGACAAACTGCCATCTGCGTGGCTGGCTTGATCTGAGGTCGCAATACCTGCATCGCAAATCCAGCTGGTGCATGGGATGATCTCACGCTATTTTTATCCGCGAGTCGGTGACATGGGCGGCGGTCATACTAGGGTGTATTCTGACCTACGTACATACAGTATCACAAGGAGGAAACACCTCTTGTGCGGCCCGGACCAAAGGCGTAGTATCAAAAGCAGGTGCGTGGTGGGACACCTGCTGGATGCGTCCGGAGCGGTGTAGTATGCATGGTGATCCCTGTATGCGCAGTGTGCGATTCTATCCATCTGTCGGACCTCAGCAGACACGAGGCCGCCAGACACCGGGCACCATCAGCCACTGATGGCACGAACTTCAGACACTGGGCACCATTACTGGCACCATCAGTGATGGCTCAACTTCGCTGGCACAGCCAGTCCTCACCCGCTCTCACAACGGCTTCATGATCTCCTCGTACAACATCACCTTCAACTCGCTGACCTCCAACTCGTCCTTGCGCTTGTCGAAATCGAAAAAGTCCTCGGGGATCTTTTCACTGATGGGCTCGTCGTTGGGGTCGTGGTAGAGCCGCAAGTACGGATGCTTCAAGGCGTCGTCCACGGTGATACGCTTGGCAGGGTTGAAGATCAACAACTTCTCCAACAAATCGATGGCCAACGGGTTGATGGCTCCTCCGTTGTGGTTCTGGGTGAAAAGATTCTGGAACGGCACGCTCTTGCAGAACGGCAACGAGCGGATGTACTCGCGGGCACGCTTGGACTTGATATTGTAGTAGTCCTCCATGTTGGGGGTTCCCAACACCTCCATGATCAACCACAACTGGTTGTGGTAGTCGCGTCCCGGAAAGAGGGGGCGTCCTGTCAACATTTCTGCCAAAATGCACCCCACCAGCCACACGTCAATGGCCGTGGTGTACTCCTGGAACGTCAACATGATCTCAGGCGCCCGGTACCACCGGGTGGCCACGTACTCGGTCATGTAGCCGAAGTTGTCCTCGCTCAGGGCGATGGAACGAGCCAACCCGAAGTCACACACCTTCAAGTCGCAGTTGGAATTGAGAAGGAGATTGGACGGTTTGAGGTCTCGATGCAACACGTTGGCCAGGTGCATGGCCTTGAGCGCACGAAGTGTCTGATAGATAAAATATTGGATGTGATCGTCTGTAAGTTTCTGTGTCCGGATCACGCGGTGTAAATCGGTCTCCATGAGCTCTTGGATCAAGTAGATTTCGTTGAAGGACTCGAAGCTGGCCGGACGCTGGATGGCCAAGATGCTGATGATGTTCTCGTGGTTGAAGTGTTTGAGGAGCTTGAGCTCACGAAGCGTACGAAGACAGAGCATCGACCGCTCGAACGGCTCGATCTTCTTGATGGCCACCTTCTGGTTGGTGGGGGTGTGGATGGCGGAACACACCACGCCGTAGGCGCCTTCGCCCACGATCTCGAGCACCTGGTAGTGGTCAGACACCCGAAACGACACTTCTCTGGCTTGGGCTGCGCTCATGCGGACGGTGTAGGTGCAGTGGTGGAGGGGTGGGCGTGTCTGTCTGGCACTGCCGCTGGTTATATAGCAGGGCCGGATCATGCTGCGCACTACCGCTCGTCACACCTGTCCCAAAGCGGGTGCACCTGAGGCACCGGCGGTGTGCAGACGAAGCAGGCGCTGGGCACGGAGTTTCAGACGACAGGCGCAGGAAGCATACGGAGATGGAGTATGGCTGTTTCGGTGCTGGCCCAAGCTGGCTGGCTGGCGGCGCCCATGGCGCTGGCCGAAGCCATGGGGAAGACGATGTCCCCTGGCTAGTTTGTTTCGTGACAAGTTTCAGGCCAGAATGCGACAATGCGGCGACAAATGCTGCTGTCGCGTCGGGTGTCCGGACACGCACCAGACACACCATTCCGGAAGGAAACACCCACCTGGCTGGCGTATTGGGCGCACCACATCCACCCGCTGCGTCCCAAGCGTACTGCGGTGCACCCCGTCCACCACCAGCCCTTCAAACGGGCGTACCACATCCACCCCACGCATCTGCACTGCGTACCTACATGCGCATTGTACGTACCTTGCATGTCTAGGACAATAAGCGCACGTGACGACAACCACAAAAAACTTACAAGGGTATGTACTACTCCGAATTGTGAGTAGATGCTTCGGGCATTGGCTTCTGTGTATACGTCACGTAATGTTCCCTTCAGTGGGTCTAACGAAGTGACTTCCTGAGTAGACCCACGAAGTGTCTCCAGACTCACGAATTGCGTCGCCGTAAATTTCACGAATTGAGTAGGAAGACAATTCACGAATTTCTCCTTCAGTAGACTCTAACAAATTGCTTTTTCGAGTGCTTCTTCTACTTTACTTCTTGAAGCCTCTTTCTCTGCCTACAAATTTGCTTCTTGAAAGCTCTGGCTCCCACCACTGGCCATCACTCTAATCAGAAGCCCTTTTAAAATGAAAATTTTCCCCGTACTGACGGTAGTTGTACTTGGGCAATTACTGTGAAAGCTGGCTTTATTATCCAACTTGAAATTAACCGGCGTTGGTCAGCCTCACACAGAGATTACCAAAATATGCTCTTGGTATTAGACTATTTTTCTGAGCAGTTAAGAAATTATGATAACTATCAATTCCAGGAATTTCTCCTCAGAAGTTTATTCTAGTATACAATGTCTTTCCCACCTCTCCTTGATTTTACTACGATCCTTTTTATCGTCATTGACTTCGATCATTGTTTCTTGGATAAATGCAACTCCTCTTTTTTCGTTTTAGGAGACGCCTACAATTTCTCGTTTTGGATAATGTGCAGTTACTTGTTTTTAACCAATCTAGCTTGTTACGTCATATGTTTGTTTTCTATTCTATCATCTTGTCGTATCTTCTAAATTACTCAATTCTTCCCACGGAAATATATCTTATCAAACGAGATAATTACCCTCGTGTCTCTTATAATCAGCCACAATATGGACTTCATCGCTCGATTCAATATCGAACCTGTTCCCGGTTTTTTTTATTTGGCTAAAATGTGCTTTTGATCACATTATATTCCCAATTTCTTTCTTGATCTGGTTCTCCTCCAATAGTTTTCAGTGTAGGTTGAAATTGCTGTCAATCATCCTCTGAAAAAACATGGTACTCTGAAAATACCTCTTCATAGCCTCATAATGCCATTTTTTCTCCAGCTTCCGGTGCCTTTTATTCTCAAGTATTTTCTCTGCATCTCCATTAATTTATTCTCATTCATCCACTATCTGATTACGGATATTGTCCTCATATACTTTAATTCTCGTTGAGCAGCTCAACTAGCATTGAACCTCCACTTTTTACTCTCCTTTAGAGTATTTCATCTACTACCATCTACACTGCCTTCTCTTTCTTGTACAATCTTTTATTAGCAACTAAACAGCTCTCCCCATTTCATAAATCACTCCGCTACTCTCTGCCAAAACGTTTATCTTCACGAGCAGCCTTCTTCTCCATCTCATCCCAGTCCTCTCCCTCTTCCTCACTCTCGTCACTGCCACTACCACTGCCACTGTCAGAACCACCACCCAGTGAGTAGTCATCCTCACTGCCTGCACTGTCGACGTCTTCGTCGGAGGGATCATCATCTGTGACTTCGAACTCGGACTCTTCAGACTCCTCCTCCTCGTCGTCGGAGTCGCCTTCTCCAGTCAAAATCTTCCATCCACCATCAGCAAAGAACTGGTAAGGGTCCTGAAGAACGGTCTTGATGATGGCACCCCAGTTCAAGTTCATCTGGCCCTCACTGTAGGGAATATCGACGTTGGTCAACCATGACTTGACGTCTTCCAAGAGCTCCATGGGAATGGTGTTGATGTGCACAGGAGGCCTGGAAAAGTCCTTGAATACGAACACCAAGTCGAAGTTCTTCAAGCCAAACTGCACTCTTTCCAAGTGAGCAAGCTCGATTTCCTCGAGAGTCACCACGAGGTATGGTGGATCAATCAACTGGATCAAACAGTCACGAGTAGGCATACACAACACAGACGACCTGAATGGAACACCCAGGAAACCCAAGTCCCGGAACGGCACATCCACGTCCACCAAGCCGTTGGAAGAGTCGGCAATGAGCTCGGCAAAGGCCTTGAATTCCTTGTCCAACAACACTTTTCTGCGTCTTTCCTCCTGTTCCTGCTGCAACTCGTCCTCGTCTCCGTAACGGTACTTTCTCTTGCGGCCTCCCGTCTCGTCAAAGGCCATGTCGCTCGCTTCACGGTAGAACTGGACGTCGTGGGTCTTCTTTTTCCCAATCATGATCGGACTCTTCAAGTGGCAGTGGATGATCACAATCAATTCATCCTTACAGGGCTGGAAAAACAAGTGCTTGATGTTGGAGAACAACACGTCCACACGCTGGTCGTTCTTGAATGACGACTGGTACCGCAACCCGTTCTCGTGGATCTGCAACACTCCCCCCAACTTCTTGGTGTCGGGAGTGGGTCGGATGAAAACCAGTTCCAACTTCTTGACTCGGGACCCCTTCAACTCGATCAAGTTGGCCTGGCTGACCACGTCTGCCATCTGCTTCTTTTCCTGCTCACGCTTGACCGAGTCCTTCTTCAACTCTTGGATCGACTTGAACACCTGAACCATTCTTTCACGGTCCCTGGACCGAAGGGTGATGGATCTAACGAACGAGTTGTCGGGGGCGTCTTCGTAGGGCAATTCAGTTCTTCTGGAGGTGTTTCCACCGGCACCAGGCGAGTTGAAGTTCAATCTGAGGTAGGTAAATTCACCCTCCTCGTTCTGCGAGCCACTCTTGAACGAGTTGATGTGGAAAGGCACGGGTCTTCCGCAAATGGGCAAGATGATGGTCTGGTTCTTGTAGTCAATGTGGATCTTCAAGTCCTTGACCCCACTGGGGATCTGCGACTCACGCACGTACGACTCGTACTTCTTGAACACTGGCTTGAGGTCGGACGAGTCCGTGGCATCAGCCTTGGAAAACCTGGCCAAGCCTTCCTGGAGTCTCTTTTCGTGCAATCTCAGCTGTTGTTCCTGACGAGCCTTTTCTGGATTGTCGTCGTTTTCGCCCGCCTCGTGTCTGAATTTCTGCTTCAAGATCTTGGAGTTGGCCTCGTTGACAGTCAACTGCCTCTCGTTCTTGACGTTCTTTGGCTTGGGCTTGTTTTCGTTGGCCGAGCTGTTTTCTGCCTTGACTGGCTCCTCGTTGAAGTAGAACGAGATTTCGGCTCTGTTCTTTGTGTAGTTCGTCAACAAGATGGGCTCGGACTCGCTGACCTTGAAGGTGTCTGTTAAGAGCAAAGCGTACTGCTTCAACTTGGGGTTTCTGGCCTTGGAGTTGACCAAGTTGCTGAAGCCGATTGTCAACGAGATGATGTGGCCGTTCTGCAATTTTCTTTCGTTTTTGGCGTTCAAAATGAACGTGGAGTCCCTGAATTCGATACCCAACAACCAACCACAGTTCTTGGTGAAATGGTTCACTAATTCTGGTCTTTCAGCCTTGATGTAGTCGATGGCTCCCTGGTACACCTTGTTGGCAGGGACACCGTCCTTGATCAAGGTGGTGGTAATGTGGCTCTGCAACTTGAGCAAGAAGTCGTAGTTGGCTTCCACTTCAGCTGAAGGGTCGATCAAGAACGTTCTGCCCACGTTGGAGCAGTACGACTTGAATCTCAACCCCAACGACGCCAAGATGACTCCATCTCCGACCAATTGAGAGTCTGACGACTCGGCACTGGCCTTTAAGTCGTACTCACCACCACTCTGCACAATTGGAGAGTAGCACCATTCAAGTAAGTCTGCGTCGAAGTCCTTGGACTGCGCGAGCTTCTTGCCAGCGTCGCTCTTGCCAAACCACTTGTAGCGCAGCGAGTCGTCCTCGACCTTGTCCTCGATCTTGTTGGCAAACTCGCTGTTGGAGATCTTCTTTTCCTGGTCCACGATGAGCGACATATCGTCCACCAACGTCTCCATCATGGCTGTAGACGAACGAGCAGCAATGCTGGTGTTGGCAAACTCTTCCGAGTCCTTCAACTCCATGCACTTGGACACCAAGAGGGTGATGTCCTCCTGTTTCAATCCCTGGTCCTTGGACGCTTCCTGCCACTCCTTGACGAACTTGCCCTCGTACTGATCCTTGACAACGCTTCCGTAGACTCCGTCGCTTACACACTTCAACTGTGCAATCAACTGTTCGAACAACTTCTTGTTTTTGTCGGCATCCTTGGTTCTGGTCCAGATTTCCACCTCGCTGGAGTTGGCGGTGGGTTTGTTGGGCAATTGCTTCAAGTATTTGGCCTTTCCTTCCGACGTGAGAAACACACACTTGTCTTGGGTGATGTAGATGGCCGTGTGCTGGAACTCGTAGCCTAACAACCACGTCTGGATGACGGTGGACTTCTTGTAGGTGTTGTCGTCCACACCCACCACGATCAAGATCTGGTTGACGGCATCGTGGACGAGATTTTTCTGGATGATGGAGAGCCGCTTGTGGAACGTGGCAGCGTCGATGTTTGCTTCTGCCATGCTGGGGGCGATGTGGCTATGGGCAGTGGAAGAATAGAGAACGAGTTGGGGATGGCAATGAAAATTTGGCTGGTGAGGAGCACACGTGACGCGAGTCACGTGACAGAAAGACGCGTCTCCTGGCGTGTATCTTCAGTCCAGACTCGTTTCCACTGCTTGTGTTGCAAGTCCCTTCTGGTGTCTACGAAGCTGTGCACGAACGCTCCAACCCTCCTCCGTTGTCCTGCCTTTAGGAATCCCGAAATCCCCGTCCAATCACGTGAAAATAGCCCAATACAAAGCCATCACGTCCACAACCACGCGGCATCTACCCAAATAACACTACGATCTCTCCCGATTATCCATAGCTAAGACCAGTATAACATCCTACCGGTCAACATCATCACATACTTGCTTTTTTGCCTCCATAACAACCATTTTTGGCGCGTCAGACCACAAATCTTAGTTGGTCTACTCTAACTCCACTACCATCCCACCACAACGCTCCCTGCCATGTTCCGCCAGCCAAAGAGAAGAACTGCCGGGCGCAAGAACTTCGATCTGCCCCAAATTTACCATGAACAGTCCTACAAGTCTCGTCTCTCGATGTACGATCAGCCTCCGCTTCTGGAAGTGACTCTCGAGGAATTCGAGCTTTGGGCCATCGACAGGTTGAAAGTGCTCATTGAGATCGAGTCCTGCGTGGCTCGTACCAAGACCATCAAGCAGACAGAGGCTGCCATCAAGCCGTTGCTTCTCAAGTACCTTCCATTGAGTCCTGCCACTGCGTCCAACCAGGCAATCGTGGATGCCGAGCGCAAGAAGGACTACTACTCGCACTTCATCTTGCGGTTGGTGTTCTGTCGTAACGAAGAGTTGCGCAAGAAATTCGTCAAGAACGAGTCCATCTTGTTCCGCATTAGATACGCTCAGTTGCAGCCTAAGGAGCAGCAGGAGTTCGTGGATTCACTCAACGACAAGTTGTCGTGGACTTACATCTCATCTGAAGAAAAACGGGCAATTGTCGACAAGTTGTACGCTGCCACAGGAGCAGCCATAAGGACGGTCCTTATGGCTGACAGTCCCGACACTGCCACCATGACCAACGAGCAGATCAAGCAGCGTATCGCCACCCACGAGAACTTCATCAAGTTGCCGTTCGAAAAGGTGCCAAATCTCACCTCGTCCAGATCGGTTTTTATTCAAGCAGGCTACGCTTATATTCCTACCACCATGCAATTGAGCCTTTTGGCGGTGGACTTCCAGGAGAACTTGAGCCAGATGTTGATCCGCACCTTCCAAAGCTTGCCTCGGTTGGAGGAGGACGACAGATTGTTGCCATTGTTGAATAACCTTTCCCAGAACTTCTCGTCATATCAGTACGATGCGGCCCAGTACGGCGAGGCCAAGTCTGATATCAATGCAATTTCCATCACCAAGCCTGCCATAACCAGACACTATCCTTTGTGTGCCAGCCATGTGCAGAAGAACTTGGTGGCCAACTCCCACTTGAAGTACGATGCAAGATCCCAGTTGTCGCTTTTCCTCAAAGGAATTGGGTTGAGTGTGGATGAGGCCTTGAAGTTCTGGGCCGACCAATTCACCAAGGGTGCTAGTGGCATCACCATGGACACGTTCAACAAGAACTACCGCTACAACATTCGTCACGACTACGGTTTGGAGGGAGGAAGAATCAACAAGAGACCGTGGGATTGTGCCAGGATATTGCAAATGACCACACCCAGGTCCAGCTCGGGCCAGTACCACGGTTGTCCCTATAAGACGTTTTCTGCGGACGTTTTGACTCACAATTTACAAGAATTGGGCATCACCGATCAGCACGAGATCAATGGAGTGATCGACCAGGTAGCAAACAACGAGTACACCCACGCGTGCACGCGAGTGTTTGAATTGACTCACAAGAACGAGTTGAAGGGCACGAAAGCCGAGGAGGAGATGCACATCAGCCATCCCAACTTGTACTTCGATCGGTCCCGGCAGTTGGAAAGGGCGGCTACTGAAAAATCCTGATGCACCAGTTGATATCTACAAAAACGGGATCAATTCGGCCGGAATTGTTCAGTTAGCAGTTAGTGATTGAATCAAAAATGCTGTGAAAATTTCAATACCTAAATATTGATAACTTAAGAGCACGCTTCACTTTGTCGAGTATCAGAGTACTTGGTTGGAATATCCAGGCTATTGAGACCGCTCTATGATACGTCTTTCTACTCGTCACTGCATTCTAATGTGTTTCGAAGTGCAACAGTTTGAACAGAGCTAAAATTGTCACAAATTGTTCTTACGCCTTTGCGTTCTTCGGATGGTTTCTTCAGGATAAATTCTGTACTTATAGTTTAATAAAGGAAAAATCAAGCAAATACTTCTAATTAATGAACATTTATTATTGTAACCTCTAATTTTTCATAACTACTCACAGATTTAATATTTCACATCATTCTTCCTTCTGTTACAAAACTCAGATGTTGCGTCTGTACTTCGGAAATCACCACTATCAAATAGTAATCGATAGTGCCATCAACAGTGTACTTCGGTTCTTAGTAAGTTTTCTATGTTAAGAAATGTGTATCGAAAAATCTTTATGTATGCACAAAGACAGAAGTATCTACAACGATTGTACAATAATAAATATAGCTGGAAGTGTCGTAGGATTCAAATCAACCTACTGCTCGCACTGAGAGTGGCCTGCCTATTTCTCTCTAGCTCAAGTCAATTGAGCCCCACAAGTTCTTGAAATCAAACCAAGAGGCACCAGAACCACAGACACCCACCCAGAATGGACTCAAACAACCTTCATACATGGACCAATGAACAACCAATGGAATTTGAATGGCTTGCTTGAACAACAGGATTCTCCAGTTCTTGTCCCATTTGGAAAAGGGAGTTCTTCTAATCAACTCGAGAATCTCAATGATCACATAAGCAGCCCACACTCTCGAGCACCAAACATATGTCTCGAGACACCAGTAATCATTGTCGTTTGTACCCACCCAGTTGTGCTCGGTCAACCATCCAGCGTTCTCCAAAAGCTCAAGCACAAGACAGTTGATTGACTGGAACAAGTTCACGAACCGATCCAACTTGGGGACAGCAGATGCAGGGCTTATAAAGGCACTGTACTCATCTATGATCCAGGGCATGTACTTAATGGAATCCGTAAGACGGTTGAAGATACGAATATCGGATATGTACGAAGAAATGGCCTTCAAGTGAACTGCCAAATTGGAGGGTACCTCCTTGGCACCTTCTTTTTCGTTCAACTCAGCCACCTGAGGTTCCTCGAATAATCCCTTGACACTTTTGTTGGAGGACTGCTTCAAGTCTGTGCCAAAGAGAAGGGTCACTTTGTTGATCAAGTTCATGAAGTTGTAGCGCTGCTCTCTGAGAAACTTCCTGATCTTGGGCTTATTGTTCAACACGCTGCTCAACAAGAGGGTGAAGTAGCAAATAAAGTAGAGATTAGTATCCACGGTGGCAGAGGATGCCAAAACCTTGGTGCTGATTTCATCGTAGAGTTTTCTGCTGAAGATGGACTTCTTGAGGAGAGTTTGGAGCTGAAGGAAGACACTCAATGGCAAGGGCCGGGCAGCCTTGCGGTTGGTAAGGGGGCTGATGGCAGCGATGGACGTCATGGATTCTGTGGATGCTTGACGAGGCGATGTGTGTGTTGAAAGTGGATTTTATAGTCCAATTTTTTTAATGAATTCTTAAATCGGCACTATATCTGTTGGAGCCTGGTGTTCAAGTATTGGAGACAGTCTGCAGTAAGTCTATCTAATCTAGTGGGTTTTGCTGGTTCCTGACAACAGCAATACTTCTATACTTATGGTCTGTTCTCACTGGGTACTTGGGATCTTATATCGCGCGTATCCTCGGGTCGATTATACGGATCGGGTTATGCGCGGTGGACGTTGTTCTTGCTAGCGGCAGTGTCAGTAGCGGCAGAGACTAGGGGTAAGTTCTGAGGCAGACAGCGGGGCGGTAGTGGGGCCTGGGGTGCGGAGTCCTGGACGTGAGCCCTCGTCTTGTCTAAGCTATCGTGGTCCATGCTGAGAGCAGAACCAGATGGTGGCTGACGTGCTATCATGTGAAAGGTAGACAGTTCCGAATCTGGTTGTCAGTATGCGAGTACACGGCCGTTGGGCATCGCTTTGTTGATATACGAAAAACTCCGGTGGTCCAGGGTGCCGAGGAGTCCGAAGCAATGACAACCGGGTTGGGTCAGTGGTTGTGACTGCCAAGCCTGGTTGTTGTGGTGGTGGCAGGTGCTGGTAGCCGGTAGCTAGGTTTTGCAAGCCAGTACCCTCCGAAATCCAGGGTCCGATTACTATGAGGCGACTCTTATTGGGTGGATCCCGAAGACATACATGTTGGTGCAGACTGGCCACTGTAGAACCGTGCTGGACAATGGATAGGGTGACGAGAAGCAAAAGTGCAACCATGTAGTATCGTAAAATACCACTAGGACGTTCCGTGGTAGCAGAATCGCCTCCGTGGGAACAGTTCCTTCGAACTCCACTAGAAGGGTCCAACCGCTGTGAAAAGCTACTCAGCTATTTCTTACTACTCAGGGAATCCTCTCTAGATGAAAATTCCTTAATCACTAGAAGGGTCCAGCTGCTGTGAGAAGTTACTCAGCAGTTCTTACTTCTCAAGAAACGGCGCAACAGCCCCAAGATATTCCAAGCAGTTACTCACTCTGCCACAACTACCTGTTGCAAAAAACTAGCCACTAATCTCACTAATTTGCTCCTAACGTCTAAGGCGATATCGCTCCCTTTTATACGCGACTGACAATGGCTGCAAACAAATGGCTGTAAAGAACCAAAACCACCAAACACTACACCGAACACAGGTTAAAACAGCCCCAAAGCATCTACATCAATCTACTGCATTTTAGCCAACTTGCTATTGACTTCAGGGTAAATTGTCCATAAATAATATTAATATCAACTAGAACTGAAATGCTATGCCACCTCGGAAGAGGAGGAATTGCCAAAGTGGTGCACCGAGACGTGGGATCTGATGGCTTCCAACTTGATACCCTCCTTTCTGGCATAATTCTCCATTCCCCGTTGGTCAGCAGAACCAACGGTTTCCAACACGATCTCGTTGATTTCTTCTATTTCGTCCTTGATCTGGGGCAACGTCAAGTTGAGAATCAATCCGATGAACCCAGACACGGCGTAGCCGGTCTCCATCACAAGCACGATGGCATCCATGAATCCCGATAACGAACGGTTGTCACCAGTGTAGGTGAAGACGTGGTCGAACCAGTTCGACACCAAGACAGCACCAAAGCCTGGCAAGAGAGAGGCTGTGAGAACGAAACGGTCCCTTCTGGTGAATTCGGTGGTGGAAATGATCTTCACGCCCGAAACAGCCACGGAACAGTAGAGGAATGAGGTCATACCACCCAAAACCGCCTTTGGGATGGAGACAATTGCAGCAGCAAACTTGGAGAAGATACCCATAATAATCATGAAGAAAGCACACCAGTAGCCCACCTTTCTGTTGGCACACTTGGTGACTGAAATCACACCGTTGTTCTGAGCAAACGTGGACATTGGAGTCACGGTAAGTAATCCGGACAAAAGACCGTTAAAACCGTCTGCTAGCACTCCTCCTTGGATACGGGACTCGTAAAGCTCACCTTCAACCTCGAGACGCGACACGTCACAAGTGGCGGTGACATCACCAATGCATTCCATCATCAACACGATGTACACCGCCAAAAACGGCAATATCACTGGAGCATACACCTTCAATTTGAAGGTGTGCACCCACATAAAGGTCACGGAAGCTGCCTCGCTGATGCCAGATGATGAGAAGTAGCCACAGGCAGCTGCTACGATGCAGCCTACCAAAAGCCCGATGATCACAGCACAGGATTTCATGATGGGGGAACCGAATCTTTCAGCTAAAATAATGGAAACGTACACGAGGAAACCAAGCCCAACAAACTGGGCCGATCCCCACGGAAGCAGGTGCCTTCCAACCTCACACACCTTGCCAACACACGCAGAACCACCCACCCAGTCCAGGAAACCAGACTCGATCAACGAAATACCGATAAGTAACACCACAGGGCCGGTGACGATGGGTGGAAACATCTTCTGCAATGCCTTGGGAGGCAAGAACGAAAGAAGAATCTCGAGAAGAGAACACACCAAGCCACTGGCCAAGATGTGCCCATATCCGTCAGGGCACGCGAGAGGATTTCCGTCGGCATCCAGAGGACAGATGCCTGTTTTGTACATCAATGGCAACGCCTTGGTAACGATGGTGATGGTTGCAAACGACGTTCCCACCACAGAAAGCAAGCCAGTTCCGATATAATACTTTGTGCCTTTGATGTGGAACCGAGTGATCTGGATGCAGGTGAGAATGCCCGAAGTGATCAACGACGACGACACCAAGTAGTTGATGAGCGTGGGACTCATGTTGGTGGCTCCTCCGATGATGAGTGGTGGGGTCACCACACCAGCCAACATGGAAAGCGTGTGCTGGAACCCCAAAATCATTCCCAAGATGAGAGGCATTTCCGAGTCAAGGCCAAAGAACGGCTGGGTCTTGGGCTCTTTGGAAAGGAACGGAATTTCGGGTATGAAAAGATACCCATAGTCATAGTCACCAAGAAGTCCGTCCTTGGTGGTGAATTTGCGGACCAAACGACGTCCTAGAGTCTGGAAGTCGTATTTCATGTTGTTACTGGACTGGTGGATCAATGTGGGGAAAAGCAGCCATCATATATATACGTTGTGAGGCGATGCGTTAATTGTTCCTTATCGCTGCACAGCGATTGATTGAGCAGGGCCCTGATAACGGAAATGACTGCGTGCGATAAGATTAAGCGAGATAGAGGGTGCAAAGAGAAGAACTTACACACACACTGCCAATGCCAAGCAGGAGAAGGCCGGGAGAACTGCCCAGTTGGTGTGCCAGCATAAATGCGGAACCTTCGAGGAGTCTTGGACTAGCGGAACTAGCAACGATTAGGGTTTGGCATTCTTCCGTTTGCACCAAGTGCATCCTCGCCTAAGGTGGAGTTCCTGGTCGTGGGCGAGCCGATTCCAGGTGGAGAAGGCCAGAGATCGACGGCAGATAGGGCTGCAGAGGGCTACAGAGGGGGTGGGCACGGCTGGATAGTGGTGGTGGTGGTGATGGTGGTGGGTGGAGCAGGTCCTGGACCTGGCCATGGTCCACTTGCGCTGACTGCATGATTACAGCAGTTGGTGCCGAGACATGTGCACACTGCAGGCGGGGCCCGCGCGCGGGCCGCATCCCTGTTATCAGACGGCGATACTGGATTCAGGTGGGCACTTCGGAGAACCGCGAGAGAACGATGGTTATGGGGGCTTTGGGGTGGAACTGGGGCTAGGGCATCGCAGACTGGATGGGGATTAGAGGGTAGACGCCTCGGGAGGGTGGAATTTGTGGTATGTACACGACCCGAGATGGGTTTTTTCAGTTCGTACACGACCGAATGGTACACGCACGACCCATGACGTGATGGTTAGATGTTAGCGCTGGGTGCAGCACCTGACTGGCTCGCAGTGGCCATCGCTCGGAACGGAAAAGCTGAATAAGCCCCCCTCCGTCCGGAAGTTTCTGCCGGCCACGGGTTTCTAAATGCTTGGCACGCATGCCTCCAGACGCACACGACGCTTGCGCGAGGCCGACGTGTCAGGTGTCACCGATGGCACGATGACTTGGGTGTTTGCCCGTGGCCTCCGCAGTAAGGATCTGGCCTCCCCGTCCGGTGCATGAGCATGCCTGCCACGCTAGATCCTGGCCGTTAGCTTGCCCATGTGGTGCTGGCTGCGTTCAGCGCGGGATCTGACCCAGATCTCCGCCTAACACCGTGCCCAGACTGCGAATCGCAACCGCAAATCCAGTGCCACCCCACTGGTCAGGATTGCTTCCCGTATGCCCCTGCGGTTCTATAACCAACCCTGCATACATTTCTGCTGGCTGCACAATACCAGTTCCCGATTTGGCCCCACATCCCGGTTCGACTGCAGCACTCTTTGTCGTGGATTCCCGCACCACCACCGTTTCTGTTTTTTCTTGTCAAGTCATTCTCTCTACTGTCGTCTTTCGCTTTCTTTCTGTCGCATCACTGGCTGTTCATGTCCATATCCTCGTCACCATGCTCATAGCCTTGAACATCCGAAGGAAACACATCCAGCTCTTTCTTGGGCTCGGATTTCTTTTGGTCATCACACTCTCGCTTTCCAGCAGTCTGTATCTTGTTTCGGAAAACAGATACTTTACCAACAAAAACTTTGACCAGTTGGGCTCGAACGTCTACGAGTCCGTAGACGAGTCCGACGTGTCGGCAGGAGTGGATGCTCGACTCAAAAAGTTACACGACTCCAAAACCAGCGCAGATCTCGAACAGAAGTTCTGGATTCTCGACACCAGCATCAAGCATTCTTCATCCCTCAAGGTCCCAAATTACTACTACAACGACCAGCCAAAACCTCCCATCCAGCCTTTTGATCCAAGATTCACGTTGGCTATCTATTACCATGCCTTAAAGGTAGCATCGCGCACCAAGCACGACCGCGTAGACATACGACTTCCCTTCAACTGGGCAGACTGGGTGGACCTTTCGCCGTTGAACCGTTACTTGCTTGCCCCATCCAAGGATAAGCCCTCATGCAGTATTCTCGATGCCCGTCCCGAGGAGAGGAAGATGAATCAGGAGAAGAAAGAGAAAGAAGAACAGGAAAAGAAGGAGAAGGCCGAACTAGAAAAGCTCGAGAAGGAACGGAAGGAGAAGGAAGAGAAGGAGAAGAAAGAAAAGGAAGAGATGGAGAAGAAAGAGAAGGAAGAGAAAGAAGAGAAAGAAAAGAAGGAGAAGGAAGAGAAGGAGAAGGAAGAGAAGGAAAAGGAAGAAAAGGAAAAACAAGAAGAGAATAAAGACTCGGAACAAGCCCTGAAACGGGAAGTTCAGCCTGAAAATAGCATAGTGGAACAAACGACCAACCACGTAGACCAGGAACACATCTCCAAAAGACTTGATTCTGCTGATCCTGCCCTTTTCTGTCTCAACAACGGTCCCTCTGGTAGAGGAAACAAAGTGGATCCTGGATTTCACGTTTTCAAGCATCCAAGTACCACAACGCCTGAAAAAGCTATTCTTGCTGGGAAATCCTTCTTGTACTCTCATGCACCACCACCAAATGCTATCATTTTCCTCACTAAGGACGGTGCGTACAACATGACTGTTTCGACCGTCTCCAAGCTTTTGGATAACGGCCTCGTGGAGCAATACGTCAAGGACACAAAGTCCAAGACCATCGACGTGCTTGAACAATTCAATACCTTACAATCCGAGTATAAGGCAGAAAGTGTGTTAGTCATGAATAGCTATAAGGTCAAGATACCAGAAGAAAGCTTCATTTTCAACCACACCTCAATAATGCAATCTCTTGAAGATCAAGAATCCTTGGATGCTCGTGAAAAGAGCTATTTGCAAAGTTTGAAATACTCGGTTGATGCCGTCAAAAAGGGAGGCCCTCCCAAGTATTTCGAAGAAGCAAGATTGCTCCAAACCGCCATCGGAGATCATTATGATTGGAGATTCTTCAATGGAGTAATGTATGGGGTTTACGAGCAAACCTTGGTGCTTCACAGATTGGTCAGAGTCTGGCTCTCATTCACCCGTAAACACGGCATAACCACTTGGGTTGCACACGGTTCCTTGTTGTCTTGGTACTGGAATGGAATGGCATTTCCATGGGATAATGATATCGATGTCCAGGTTCCAATTATGGACTTGCACAAGCTTTCTCTCTTGTACAACCAAACCATGATCGTCGAAGATGCTGAAGATGGCTTTGGAAGATACTTTCTCGATTGTGGGACCTTCATCACCTTGAGAGAAAAAGGGAACGGAAAGAACAACATTGATGCCAGGTTTATCGACGTGGATACCGGGTTGTATATCGACATTACCGGGATGGCTGTTTCGAACACCAAACCTCCAGCCAGATACTTGAAATCGCCAATCGATGAAAAAAATGAAAACTATACTGCAATCAACACTGAACTTCAGTTATACAACTGTCGTAACCACCACTTTATCAGTCTTGACGAGATCTCTCCCTTGGTGAAGACTTACATTGAGGGTGAGATTGGGTATGTTCCAACCAAGTACTCTGAAATTCTTAAAGTCGAATACTCCAAAGGGTTGCTCAGCAAGAAGTTTGAGCGTCATGTTTATCTTCCACTGCTTAGACTCTGGCTTAAGGAAGAGGATTTGTTCTATTTCCTCAAGAACCCCAAAACATGGAATAATTTCCACACATACAACGAAAAATACTTGGATCTTCCATCTAATGGCACGTTCCAGATTGACGAATACGAGTTAACCCAAGAGCAAAAGAAGTTATTGCATCAAGAAGCCAAAGCCAGGGAAAAGGCAGGCAAAAAGGGAGTTGACAAATCCTTAACTGACTTGGATGCTGACTCCCTGAACCAAGTATTTGAGTTGGGGGTGGACGAATTGACGCAATTAATTCAAAAAGACGAAATCTTTGCCGAGTTGTACTCCACTCGGGAATTCACCTCTCATCACGAACAAGAAATCATGAGACTTCAGTTTAAGGTATCCACGGCCGAATTGATCAGAAAAGCACCCGACTTTCCTCCCTTGAAGTACGAGCCATTCTTGTACCGGAATCATATTGACTTGACCACCTACGAAAGTGAGGTGGAAAGGTACTTGGAGTTAGTGTCTGAGTACGAGTTGGACGCGAGCCGTAACAACGAAGCCATCTATTAATTCATATGCAACAAATATTGTCATTTTCATCATAATCATCATAATCATTCATTTAACACATTAATAATTTCTTACACCAGTCATCATTCATTTTTAACTAGGAGGTCCAACTGCCGTCTCCAACTAATTTATCCATTGTATATTACGCCAGGCGTGAGGCACACGTGTTGGCTATGAGCTCTGTGAAGGTATCATCGTGTCGGTCGATGTACACCAGAGATACTGCCGGTTATAACGGAGGTGCTAGGGTGATGATAATCGAACCATGTGGCCAAGATGGCCACTCATTGCCCCTTGATAGTAGATTACATAATACACACATTTTTATGATTTTTGGTGGGATGCCACATTTAGTTTATCTCGAAACAGATCTGCCGGTTAGGGCCATTAGAGCCGGTGAATCACCATACTGTGCCTCTTGGACCGTAGCGGCCATTCTGACGATAAACAGAAAAACGATTTTCCCGTGCATCCTGAAGTTAGCCAAAACGTCCTTACCAGGTTCTTGTAGCATTGTAGCTGATAATAAAACAAATAAAGCACCTAAAGCACCTAAAATACGACTACAAAGTAGTTTTATCGACGAGGTCGTTGGATGTCATTCTTGACTGGACTAATTATTACCAATTAATTATACTCCAGGATCATTCGGCAGGGCTGAATTCTCTCTGGACTCTATCTAGAATTCACAATATGCGAATCAGAAACGTTCCTATTGATAAAATAGCCGTGCTACGTACTTTTAATTTTAATTTCATAATTTGTCCGTTATTCCCGTTATCTTCCTCAATTACCCTTCCATGTTCGTCAGCTCCGACAACTTGGCCTGGGCCACAAGGTTGGATGGAGCGTCCATCCGTGGCAACATCACCTCAATCATACGGATCCGGTCGGGAGTTCCAAACTTTTCGTCTGCAAATAACCGGTCCAACTCGCCCGTAGTGGCCACTCGAATGGCTTCGTACCGTTTGGCGTTGAATAAAGGCAAGATACCCAAGTTGTTCCAGGGCTGGATATCGTTGTACGTGGCGTTCATACCGTGGATCAACCGCTCGATGGTGTAGCCATCGTTGTTCAACACAAACAAGTAGGTGTTATTGCACTCCCACTTACACATGGACGAAATCTCCTGGACCGTCAACTGAAGCGACCCGTCCCCCACGAATAAAATGACCCGACGGGACGGGTCGAGCTCGAGAGCGGCCATAGCAGCCCCAAAAGTGGCACCCACCGTAAACCCGATACTTCCCCATAGCACCTGGGAAATACCGATGGTGTGGTTGGGGAACCGGGACTGGACGATTCCGAACGCCGAGGTCCCCGTCTCGGTGACGATGATGTCGCCCTCGCGGAACCACGACGACACCTGGGTCCACAAGTACTCTTGGGTAAGGATGGTTTCTGGGGAAGCAGGCCCCGGTATTACCGATGGCCGAACGATGGGAGGGGGAATGTAGCCGGGATTAACGGCCCCACCCGCGGTCTCGATTTGCGCGAGCAAGCTGGCCAACGTCTCCTTCATCTGGACTCCCGGAAATGTGGCCTGACGGATCTTGGTGTAGTCGGAGTGAAACTCCACGAGGTTCTTGGTCTTGTAAGAGTAGGAAAACGAGCCAGTGTTAAAATCCGAAAGCAAGGCTCCCACCGAAAGAATGAGGTCCGCTGCTTCTACTGCCAGCCGCACCTCTGGCTGCGAAAGTGTGCCCACATACACTCCAGCAAACCGGGGATGGGCTTCGTTAAACCCGGACTTGCCCATAGGGGTGGTGAATACCGGAAACTGGGTGAGGTCCACCAAACGCTCCACCTCGCGAGTGCAGTGGTGGCGGGAGGCACAGGCGTCCACCAACACGATGGGGTTGTTGGCGTGGCGCAACAAGTGCAAGATGGACTCCACCACCTCGTGCTGGGCCTCAGGCTCGTTTGGCTTCAACCCCAAGTCGATGGGGGTGTGGAGCAAGTTGGCGGGCACTTTCAAGTCCACCAAGTTGGCGGGAAGTCCGATATACACCGGGCGTTGGCACACCCAGGCGTCGCGGATACACCGGTCGATCTCGGCGGGCGCCGTGGAGATGTCGGAGATGAACGCAGTGGTGTGGCTGATGTTGTTGGACATGCGGTGGAAGACGGTGAAGTCGCCGTTGCCAAGGGTGTGATGCAACAACAACTGCTTGGCCTGCGAGGCGATCGACGGCACCCCCACAACATGCACGAGGCCCACATGCTCGGCGTAGGCACCGCCAATACCGTTGAGGGCCGAAAGCTCGCCCACTCCAAAGGTGGTCACCAAGCACGCCAAACGCTTGATGCGCAGGTACCCGTCGGCGGCGTAGGCGGCATTGAGCTCGTTGGCATTCCCTGCCCACTTCATTCCAGGCACCTCGTACACCTTGTCGAGGAGCGAGAGGTTGAAGTCGCCGGGAAGCCCGAAGATGGTGGTGACATCGAGCTGGTGGAGCCGTTCGAAGAGATATCGCCCAAGAGTCACTTCGGTCATTGCAGCCAATTTGCAAACGGTGCAGCAAAAGTTGCAGCCGCTGCTGTCAAGATATAGCTCCTTGGGGCGGGCGTAAGCGCATATTGCCTGTAGCTCAAGCGCATAACGCATCCCCGGCCCGCGCACGCTAAACGCATACCCCTGCAAGCTGCTCGCCGGTCGCTGCTCGCTGCACCTCCAACTATCGCAGTATAGCCACCTGACCACCAGCAGGTGAGCACCCCCATTCCGCACCTATAAAAGGACACCATCCCCAACTGTCCACGAACCATTACAGCACTAGAAGAAACATCCCCACCACCCCCACCATGCGATAATATCTCCAAAAATAACACCACCTCCTCCTTCAGGGCCTAGACGCCAAGGGCAGACCCGCCCATGATAACGTGATCGTGGCGTGACCCAGTCGCCACCCCCATTTGTGTCGTATTTACCTCCTCGCCCCAGCGTACTGCCTGGTCCGCACGGGTAATCTATAGTCTGCCCAAAAAGCCGCACCCAACGTGATCGGTCACGCCCGCCCCAGCCAATGATAGGCGCGTGCACGTGAGCCATGCACGTGTGGGACTGTCCCCGCAAGCGCCAACGCGCGCCCACTTACCCGGCCCCGGCGCCTCACAGGCAATCACCTGAAATACATGTGAGTGGTGCCCCGTGATCCTTTTTTGTTTAAAACCCGCAGGACCCCCTCCATAAACAAACGTGATTTTCTTGAATTTACCTCCACAACTCCATCCCAATTGGTAAAGTATGTATGGTCCGCAGACACGGTGGCTGCTGGATGCACCTCTCGGTGCCATGCTCCTTGTCTTCTCTGCAGTTAGCTGGTAGCCGTTGTTGAAACCAGTCTGCCACGACAACTGAGTCTTCTCCCTCCACGTGATGGGTCTCTCGTGATCGAACCGCTACTAACCTCCCCCAGCATGGCTAAGAGAGAATCAGAACTTGTCCACGAACCGGAGAAGAAAAAGCTCCACAAGGACGACATCGCCATCGACTCCGAATTGCTCGGACAGCAATCGTCCTACGGCAACGAAACTGGAGGCCAGGGCGACCGTTCGGGCCCTGGCAAGTCCGAAACCTCGGAACACGACGAGGTGGCTGCTGCCGAAGCTGCTGCTGCTGCGGTAGCTGCCGTACACTCCAACGAGCAGGCCTCCCAGCAACACTTGGCGTACCAGAACGCGTTCAGACAACAACAGCAACAGCAACAGCAACAGCAACAACAACAACCCCCCAGATCGCCAGCGGACTCCAACCGTTCGCCTGCATCTTTCCCACCCCAGCCCACCACCTTGCCACCGCCCGGAGCAGGCAAGCCATCGCATGGGTCTGACGAGTGGCACAAGCAGAGAAGAGAAAACCACAAGGAAGTGGAGAGAAGAAGAAGAGAGTCCATCAATGTGGGCATCAAGGAGTTGGCGGCATTGATCCCCACCCCAGACACCAACAAGGCACAGATCTTGCAGCGTGCGGTCGAGTACATCAAGAGATTGAAGGAGAATGAGAACAACAACATCGAGAAGTGGACGTTGGAGAAGTTGTTGACCGAGCAGGCGGTGTCGGAGTTAAGTGCTTCCAATGACAAGTTGAAGCAGGAGCTTGAGAGGGCCTACCGGGAGATCGAGCAGTGGAAGGAGATGGCCAGAGCCTCCGAGGAGAAGAAGTGATGTATTTTATGTAATTTAGTGTATGATATGTTTATTGGTTCAGGTGACAGTGTAGTATTGATACAGGGATAAACCGATGATGGGATATTTATGGCCGCTAAGTGATTAGCGAGCCGTTTAATGCCAATGTTTGGCATGTCAGATTAATATCCAGGAATTCATATGGTAGCGCAGGACACTATAGGCACGTTCTTTGAAGCTGGAGGTTCATTAAATCTAACTTGAACGACGAGACAAAGCTGACTCTATTTCCTGGCTCCCCATTAGCATGTAATTGCTGAGTAAAAAAATGATAGTATCAACTTCGATGCATATTCAAGAGCTCCCAATTAAAATCATAGTAGGAAGAGTCTAAACCGTAGGCTTGATTCTCGACTCGAAACACCGTTTGGTTTCTCTGAAACTTCTGGCTCATTGCTCCATTTTATCCCATGCAAACTAATTCTATCTATTGTATCCATTTAGGACTGACTGTGAGCTACTGGTTTGTGTTGATGTCAAAGACATACTAAATTTCATATTACCAAACAGCTTGGCAGTACCGCAGGAGGCATACTCCGTCTTTAAACCTATTTCGTGCTCTCTAGTCAGATATGGTATGCAATTAATTAACACCTAACTAAACGGCACACGACAGAGTTTTCGCAACCAAAGTCGATCATTCTTACGGCTCCGTACTAATCAGCTGAGCTACTTCATTGTAGAACATACAGATAGAGTCTGGGTGAAATGGGGAGGACGTAATTGTAGATTCAAACAACCAGTCTACCCTTCGAACGATTCACACAGTTACTTCCACAGTATAGCCAGAAAACTAAGAATTTCTATGCTAGTTTGGACTCAGAAATTGTATATACACAAGAAGCACTCTAAGGCAAATATTTGAATTAACACCCTTTTATAGAGTTATTTTACACTAACTAGTATGCCCATGCATGATCCTGAAAGGATCATTTATTAACTCGTATGTGTTATTTCTCTACACAGCATTTGAACCAACATCGTGTTCCTCAATTTCTATTTTACTCATTTCTTGATTTACTCAGATTGTACTAAGATACTTACAAGAACACCATTTCGCTTCACTCGATTTCTCCAAAGCCCTCTATTTTTCTATTTTGACTTAGCAGAATCAAATAGCTTCTTTCAATTTGTCGTAATCTACACCTCTACCGCCGCGCCCCACCACCACCAATACCTCCCTGGCTACAAATCTCGCTAACCCTCGCTACCACCCCCGCGCTTGTCGCTACGCTCGCGGTAGCCACACCACCCCTCGCCAGATCCTCGTCCCACCGCGCACCGCTCCGCGATGATCCACAATCCATCTCTACCCATCATAACCAATCGCCACTCATCGCTCCACCACCATGACTGTGCCCTTCGACATAGATCCCTACGACACGCTTGGCGTCTCCAAGGATGCTTCCCCCATCGCCATCAAAAAGGCCTACAAGAAGCTCTGCTTGAAGCACCATCCTGACAAACTCCAGCAACACCACCACCAGCAACAGGACGACGATACCTTTCCCAAACTACAATTTGCATACAGTATACTTAGTGACGCCTCGAAACGACAACGGTACGACAGCACAGGCTCGTTGGAAGACGGCGCTGACGAGTCTGGGTTCGACTGGAAGGAATACTTCGACAACATCAACGACAAAATCACGGTGGAAATGATCGACGAAGACAGGGCAACCTACCAAGGCTCGGATGAGGAACGCGACGACATCATCACCAACTTCATCTACTACGAAGGCGACTTCTTGAAGTTGTTCGAGGTGATTCCTCACCTCGAATTTACAGAAAGCGAGGAGCAACGGGTGTTCACCATCATTGAGGATGCTGATACCATCGATAAGGAGGCGTTGAAGACGTGGGGCAAGTACAAGAAGAGCCGCAAGACCAAAGTCAAGCAGATGTTGAAGAAATTGGCCAAGGAGGCCAAAGAGGCCCTTGAGTTGGAGAAATCCATCAAGAACAAGGACTCTGGTAAAGACTTGGCGCTGCTCATTAAGAGCAGACAGTCGGGCCGTTTGGACAACTTGATCAGCTCGTTGGAGAGTAAATATGGCGGCAAGAGAGGCAAAAAACGGGACGAGATTGACGACGACGAGTTCGAGCGAATCCAGAGAGGCTTGAAGAAGAAGCGCTCCAGCTAAGGTCCAGATGACCAGTGGGGCCTGGGGAGGGCTCTGGCTGAGCCACCAGTCATTACTGATTTCCGGAGCTAATGAAGAAAGATGTACTCTCGGAAACAGAGCATGAATGGAATGCATACCATCACGAAAGAGTGGCTACGGGTTGCCAAGCGACTCGCCGTAGAATACCAGCTGATGATAATATACTAATTTATTAGTGAAGAATAAAATTAAAAATATCAATTGTAGCCAGAAATAAAGTAGCCACAAGTGAATTGAAATTCGAGATTTCATAGCCATTGCTCCCGTAATTTGTGTCCTAATTCAGTTTGAAGAACCCGACGGTGCTACCACCACTGGTTCGTCTACGCCGAACTGTATCGTTGTTCTATTCGTGTTGCAGACCTGAAAAACTCGTGACTGGCGAGTCTCTCTCCACGGTTCTCTTCAGCTCTGCCTCTTGAACTCATGACTGCCGAGTCTCGCTTCACGGTTCTCTTTCGCTCTACCTCTTGGTTGTGGGTGTTTCCTCCGCCATGCTTGGTGTAGTGTTGTAGCGCCGTTGTAGAGCCTGTGCTGGCTGCCACTACCAGTTTGCCTCCAACAACCTGCCACTCCCTACCGCTTCTGGCTACTACCACCAGTCTACAGTGGCTCCATCTGGCTTCCGTGTGTAGTGCCCTTTGGCTGCCGTTTCCTGCCACTTCCTGCCACTTCCTGCCATTCCCACCGTGTGTAGTACCTTTTGGCTGCCATTCGCGACGCGTTTTCACTACTTATAAACATCGCCCCAGCACTTTTGATCAGACTTCCCATCACCACTCCGCATGTCAGACTACGCTGATTCTGACTCCGACTTCAGTGAAGGGTCGGCAGACTTCCAGCCTTCGCCCCCTGCGAAGAAAGCAAAGTCGCCTGCCTCGCAGTCCACCTCCATCCCCAGCAAATCACCTACCCCCATCCCCAAGAACGGCAATGCCTCCGACCAGTACCAGAAGCTCTCTCAATTGGAACACATCCTCAAGAGACCAGACACCTACATCGGGTCGGTGGAAAAAACTGGGATCGAGATGTGGTGCTACGACGCTGCCAGCGAATCCATGGTCTACAAAGAGGTCAACATCGTGCCTGGGTTGTACAAGATCTTCGACGAGATCTTGGTCAATGCTGCCGATAACAAGATCCGGGACCCTTCCATGAAGAACATCAGGGTCAAGATTGACCCCGAAAACAACACTATTCTGGTGATGAACGACGGTAAGGGTATTCCGGTGGAAATCCATGATAAGGAAAAGATATACATCCCCGAGTTGATTTTTGGCAACTTGTTGACCTCCTCCAACTACGACGATGACGAGAAAAAGGTCACTGGTGGTAGAAACGGTTATGGTGCCAAGTTGTGTAACATTTTCTCCACTCAATTCGAGTTGGAAACCGCCGATTTGAACACTGAGCTCACCTACAAACAGACCTGGACCCAAAACATGTCTAAGGTGACCAAACCTAAGATCACAAAGATGAAATCCAAAAAAGAGTACACTAAGGTCACTTTCAATCCAGACTTGAGCAAATTTGGCATGGAATCGCTAGATGAGGAGATTTTGTCAGTTTTGAGAAGAAGAGTCTACGATATGTGTGGTACCGTTAAAGATTGCAACATCTACTTGAACGATAAGAAGTTGGCTATTCGTAATTTCAAGGGCTATGTGGAAATGTATGTCAATGCAATCAAAGCAAGAAATCCTGACGACTTGCCTCAGGGCGGGGAAATCAAAAACTACACCACTATCGTTCATGAAGTGTTCAATGACAGATGGGAGCTTGCATTTGCCGTGAGTGATGGAAGTTTTAACCAAGTAAGTTTTGTGAACTCAATTGCCACAACTTCAGGTGGTACCCATGTTAAGAATACCGTGGATCAAATCGTCACCAAGTTGGTAGACACCTTGTCTAAAAAAGAGAAAGGCAAAAAAAAGTTAATGATTAAGCCTCAAGAGGTCCGTAATAATATGTTCCTTTTCCTTAACTGTTTAGTTGAAAATCCTGCCTTCACTTCCCAAACTAAGGAACAATTGACTACTAAAGTAAGTCAGTTTGGTGGTAAAGCTAGTGAAAAATTGGTTATTAGTGACCAGTTTATCAACAAGATTTTGAAAACTAGTATCGTCGACAAGATAAGGGCTATCTCCAATGCGAATGAAGACAAGGCTCTACAAAAGGCAGATGGTACCAGAAAACTGAGAATTAAGAACCAAGTAAAATTGGTTGATGCTAATAGAGCTGGTACAAAAGACGGATATAAGGCTACCCTTATCTTGACTGAAGGTGACTCTGCGCAGGCTTTTGCGGTCAATGGTTTGACAGTGGTGGGTAGAGATTACTACGGTTGTTTTCCTTTGAGAGGTAAATTACTAAATGTCCGTGAAGCGTCTGCTGACCAAATCGCAAAGAATTCCGAGATCAAAGCATTAAAGGAAATTATTGGTTTGCAGCATAAGAAAAGTTACAGTGCTGAGAACATCAAAACGTTAAGATATGGTCACATTATGATAATGACAGATCAAGATCATGATGGATCCCATATCAAAGGTTTGTTGATCAATTTTTTTGAAACAAGTTTTCCTGGTCTTTTGAACATTCCGGGATTTTTACTCGAATTCGTAACTCCTATTGTCAAAGTGACCATCAAAAAGAGAGGTGGTGGGAAGGAGGTTATTCCATTCTACTCGATGCCTGAGTTCGAAAGGTGGCGTGAAAATGAGGGAACACAATGTCGTTGGACCCAGAAGTACTACAAGGGTTTGGGTACATCGTTGGAAACAGAAACAAGAGAATATTTTGCTGACTTGGATAAACATTTGAAAACATTTCACGCTTTGCAGGAAGATGATAAGCAGTATATTGATTTAGCTTTCTCTAAGAAGAAGGCTGATGAAAGAAAGGAATGGTTGCAAGGATTTGTTCCTGGGACCCATTTGGAACATGATATAACTGAGATTCCAATCAGTGATTTTATCAACAAGGAATTAATTTTATTCTCAATGGCTGATAATGTTAGATCTATCCCTTCAATGTTAGATGGTTTCAAACCAGGGCAGCGTAAAATTCTTTTTGGTTGCTTCAAGAGAAATTTGAGAACTGAAATTAAAGTTTCACAGTTGGCTGGTTACGTCTCTGAGAAAACTGAATACCACCATGGTGAAGCTTCATTGATTCAAACAATTATTGGTTTGGCACAAAATTTCATTGGTTCCAACAACTTGAATTTATTGAAGCCAAATGGTGCATTTGGTAGTAGAGCTGCTGGTGGTAAAGATTTCTCGGCTGCGAGATATATTTTCACAGAAATTAATGAAATAACCAGAAAGATCTTCAACCCTCTCGACAACCCTTTGTACACTTATGTGCAAGAAGATGAACTGACGGTTGAGCCTCAGTGGTATTTGCCCATTATTCCTATGGTTTTGGTAAATGGAGCAGAAGGTATTGGTACCGGTTGGTCTACAAACATTCCACAATTCAATCCAGTTGACTTGGTCGATAATATTAGAAGACTCATGAATGGTGAACAACCTCAAGAAATGATCCCATGGTACAAAGGTTGGGAAGGTTTTATTGAGAAGAATGGATCTGAACGGTTTAAAGTTATGGGTAAGATTGAGCAGGTTGATGAAACTACTCTTGAGATCACCGAGATCCCTGTAAAGACTTGGACCAATAATGTGAAAGAATTCTTATTGGCCGGGTTAGGTAACGAAAAGACAACAGCTTGGATCAAAGACATGGAGGAGCATCATGGAATTAACATTAAATTCGTTATCAAGTTAACGAGTGAGGAAATGGCTAAATCGTTGAAGGTGGGCTTGTTGGAAAGGTTCAAGTTAATCTCCTCGATTAATTTGAGTAACATGGTTGCCTTTGATCCCTTGGGAAGAATCAAGAAGTATGATTCACCTCTCGGTATATTAAGGGACTTCTACTTTGTCAGATTAGAGTACTACCAAAAGCGTAAAGATTTCATGACTGAAGACTTACAAAATCAATTAACTAAATTGAGTGAGCAAGCTAGATTTATCAAGTTGATCATCGATAAGAGATTGTCAGTGTCAAACAAGAAGAGACTTGAGTTGGCAAAAACCTTACAAGATCATGGATTTGTAATGTTTGGGAAGGATAGTAAGCCTATCAAAATGGAAATCAGCTCCAAATTGTTCGTAGAGGCCGATCAGGAATTGGAGGAGGAGGAAGAAGAAATCGGGGATATTAGTCAATTGAATGCTGCTGGATTACCAGGTACTGATGATGACAATCAAAATGAACATAAACCAGAAAACATTTACTCATACTATGATTACTTGTTAGGAATGGCTATTTGGTCATTGACTAAAGAAAGATACGAAAAATTGTTGAAGCAGAAGGATGAAAAGGAGGAAGAACTCAACATCTTGTTAAGAAAATCGGCAAAGGACTTATGGAATGAAGATCTAGACGATTTTCTTGTTGAGTGGGAACGTTTCTTAGAAAGGGATTATCAGGACAGAGCCAACTTGGCAAGTGGCCCCGGATCTAAAACCAAGGGTAAGCTGAAGAGGGCGCCAAAGAGAAAAGAAATTAAGAAAGAGGACGATGATGAAGAATATGGCCCAACAAAGAAAAAACCAGCGGTTGCAAAACCCAAGGCTAAAGTTCTCAAAACCACTGTGCGTAATACAACCCCGCCACAACCCGAAGTGAAGGTCGAAAAGAAGCCTGATGTCTTGTCGTTTTTTTCGAGCACCCCAACTACGAAGACGAAGACTGCCAAGGCTGCCTCAAAGCCTACGAAGGAAATTATTTCCTTGTTTGACAGCGATGAAGACGACGATATTCTTATGAATAATTCTAGCAACTCGTCCTCCTTCACTAGCGGAACCCCAGCTCCTGCGGCCCCGCCCGCGTCTGCATCTGCGTCTGCGTCTACAGCTGCGTCTACAGGACCAAATGCCGGACATGCCAGTAAGGCCAAGGCTAATGTGCAGTTGGACGACGAGCTCGCGGATTTAGAGGTGCAGGCCAAGGAGTTCCAGGTTCCCGCCACGGGAAGACGGAGAGCGGCCCCCAAGGTGTCGTATAAGGTGGACGAGCTTGACGACGACGACGACGTGGACGACGACGTGGACATGGAGTCTGCCACTGAAGAAAGCGACGACGACGTATATGAGGATGACTAAGCCACCATGCGGACATAGGCACGGTGTGATACGGTGCATCATTTTACGATGAGTGAACGTGAGCAGAACAGCTTTTCTAGCAAGTTTAGACTGGCCATGCTCTCGTAACCACAACATGCATGGCTAATTATACTTAACACAATAGTGGCTTCGCCTCCGCGATGCCCGTGCTATTTCTCTTGCTAACACACAGGCCATACATCCATCCACGCATATCTGTAGCGAACGCTGGAGGCCTAAACGACAAGCTATATAATTATTACTTTGACAAATGTAAAAGATACACCATGACTTCTGTGCATGCTACCATTAATGGCGTTACCTAGCCGTTCTCCCCCATCCGTTCAGCTCATTCCCATCACTGGCATTATCCTGCCTCTCTAGCCCTGCCCCCACCTCCTCCTCCACTTCCAACATCCGCACCCACACGACCTCTGGTGCTATTGTTCCGAAACAATTCCTACCAGTCAAATTGGTCACTGAGAAAAGAAGTGCTATCCACACACACCTCTCATCGACCAGTCCGATCCAACGCCTGCCCAGGGTGAAATTGTCTGCCCCGCCACCACCACAGCAAGTGCTACTGCCCATTCTTGGGGTACCTTTTTGGGATTGATATGATTTATTTCGAGGCCAACGTCACTACTTCCATACCTACAAGCCCCATGTACAATAATAGCAACACCAACGGCCAGTACCTTGGCGACTACTCTTACCAGCAGCAGCTTCACCAGCAGCAGCTCCACCACCAGGCACAACAACAGCAGCAGCAGCAGCCACAACAGCAACAACAGCAGCAGCAGCAGCCACAACAGCAACAACAGCAGCAGCCACAACAACAGCAGCAACAGCAGCAGCAGCAGCAGCAAGCCAAGTCCCAGCAGCAACAACCACAGGCAAACAACCAGCAGGCTGCTCAGCAGGGCCATGCCAACTACTACCAAGCATCAGCACCTTCCACCAACAGCAACGTCGCTGCCAAGTTCACCCCCCAGGACATCCAGGTGTTGCGCCAGCTTCTTGTGGCAGGCGAGAAGCACAAGTGGAAGCAGATCACCAAGGAGGTCAACCAGTCGTCCACGCAGAACGCCCAGCTCCAGCAGTACGGCAGCTCTAACGGCTCGATCAGCCCCAACGGCCAGAAGTCTTCTGCCCAGGCCAAGAACGTGTCGCCCACCTTCGTGATCAAACAGTACCAGAGCTTGTTGGGCTTGCCTAGCAGCGCTCTCTACTTCGGCAGCTTGGGCAGCTCGTTGCCGTATGTTGCCAGTGCCAACGGATGGGACAATATCAGCGACTCGTCCTACCAGCACCAATTTGGCGAAGACATCGAGTAGGTTTGTGCTAATTATAAACTCGGTGTGCTTGATTATTCTTTTCCCCTCTGTGTTATTAAATGTTATTTACTTCTCTAATATAGTCATGCTAGAATGATGTAGACCGCATGAGACTCTTGCTATCGTGGTGACTCGTGTTAGAGTGATACCGTATGAGGCTTGTGCTAGAAGCACTTCGAAGACAATGCCCAACCATAGCACTTTTGTGGTTTATGATCGGTCCTTTTGTGTCGGACATCTCTCACCACAATTGTCTATTGTGGAGGGAAGATCGTTCTTGCGGAGTCAGAACTCCGACTATTACTGAGATCGTCGCAGGACCGTGCCGTGACTTGGGGATCTGCCTGTGGTAAAGACCCGTCCGGATTGAAGAGGTCTCGGCATCAAGCCACTCGTCTCTTATCGATATCAGTAATCACAGATCTTATGAACCACACTTCAATAATGACCAGGGATACGTAAAATTCGAAAATTGAAAATTAGTTTGATTTGGGTCCGGATTGCCCTCGGGAGTACTAAAAGTCATAGTACTTCTGCATGTGTCCGTCCTCCTCACTTTCTGGAGTGGATTATGCTCTACTCCTTCAAGGTAGCTCCTCAAATGGCTCGGATCAACTATTACAGATCTCAAAAGCAGCTGATAGAGCAAAGCGAGAATATCTCTGAAAATACCAATTTCTTCAACTGTTCTAGTCGGATTTCCAACTAATAAAATCCCATGGATTTTCAAGTGATCCGGACCAAATGGCTTCCAATTTGCCCCCAACTGGCCCGAGATATTGATCCAGTTGTAGGATTCGCCTCTAATTTGCACTTTTCATAACCAATTGCACTCTTGTCCACCCTTCATGCAGCCTCCTGGCACGACTTGCACTCGTTTGTCTCGCTGGCCAAAAACGAGGTGTCGTACTTATCGATGTGTCCCAACTCGACCTTTCCCTCCAACCGGTCCCGGACCAACACTTTGAGCATCTTGGAGTCGGGAAACCCGTCGTAGTAGTAGCTTTCCGACTGCAGTCCGTCCTTGTCACCATACTTGAGGGCCAAATCGCGATTTTTGAACCGTCTCTTGTAGATGATCTCTTCTTCGTGGGGACTCTTGGAGAGCGTCACCTGGAAAGTGCCTGGCTGGTCCACCACTGGCTGGAGCGAGATTTCGTTGAGTTTGCCTTCAAACGTCTGGAGAAGCTCTTGGAGGTACCATACGGCACGGTTGTGCCACTTGCACTTGGAGCAATACTTTATGGTAACCTTTGGATACGACGACATGGAGATGGTTACTGCAGGGTCTGATGGCTTACGTGACGTTGACAGATGTGTCAGAGATGTCTAATCTGACTATGTCTGATTCGCTCTTATCGGAGTATTTGGCATTCTCACGACCTGACATCGATTGAAGAATTCTATAAGTGTATATTAACGAGTCTAGCTCGGATGTGTAGACACTGCCATTAAAGGCGTGGCTGAGCTGGTAGGAGTGGCTAAATGAGTCCTCGCACCAATGGCATGCTTGGCTACTTTATAGCTGAGCAGTAGTCATTCCAAAGTGTTCCAGGCAAAGCGTCTTGGTTATTACGTCTGCCCGTTGGCAGCTCTCAGGTATTTGTGACGATTCCAAGGACTGAATGATGTGCAAGCAGCCGAGTTTAAAGTGTCAAACTTAACCAGTCCCAGTTGTTGGCATCATGTTCCTCGTTGTCCACCGATTGCTCTCTATTGCTAGTGTGGCTTGGCTCGGGAATTGAGTCCACCCCATCAACGTAGAACTTCTCTTCTTCCAAGAACTGTTTGCTCGGAGCATTTGTCCGGAGCTGAGTGAGGTCGGTCAGAGAACCCCTGGCCAGCTTGGAGATTTTCTTGATCTTGTTGGCTGAACTTCTGGCTGGTTGCTTCTTGGTGGATGCCAGCACCAGATCTTTTGTGCCTGCGAGGCTGTTGACTATGCGTACGTCGTTTTTGGTGAGAGATGTTGGATTCAAATCGTCTCCATCCCTATCACCATTTACTACTGAAGATGACTTCTTGGCCGTATTCCCAGTAGCTCCTCTCTGTCTCTTCTTGATTACGTCCGTTTTCAAGCTTAGAGGACGCACAACCCCGTGCAACTTCAAGAACAAGCCACAAGCGTTGCACAATGGCTCGCCAGCAGGGTTTCTTCTCCACAACGGAGTCGTTTTGGTGTGACAATTTGTACATTGGGTGTTTTGGCCGCTCAGAGGACCTGCTCCACTGCCCAAGGACTTCAACGAATCATCGGCACCGGTCTTTTTCTTCACTTTTGAGGGCTTGGATTTTTTGGAGTTCGGTTTCCCCAGGGATTCTTTCCAGTTGCTGAGAGAGGTGGATGACGGAAGCGACTGTGACAAGAGGTCCTGCTCGCCAGCAGTCTGGAGGTTGCTGATGGAAGAGTTGTGGAAAAACATCGAAGGTTCCTGGGCCACCACCGAGAAGTCTTTCTGGGTGGGAAGCTGGGGCAAAGGTCCGATGTCGATGACTGGCGACTGGTGTGATTGCGGAAGCGACGACGCCTGGAAGTGGAAGGTATCTGAGGGCACGGAGCTGGGGTGTGGAAACAGCGAGTTGGGAGTCTGCGATATCGAGCCGTTTGCAATAGGTCTTCCTGTAAAAGTGGAGTTGATGCTCAGCTGGTGGTAGTCAGGCAAGCTGACGAGCGAGTTGTCGTTGCGCAAAAAGTGGGTGGGCGTGGTGACGTTACTCCCGTTGGAAATGGAGCTGCCCTGGTTATAGCCCATACCTCTGCCACTGGCATACTGGTTCAAGATGTTCGAGGGTCCCACGCTGGAAGCAATGGATGCTCTTGAGCCATAGTGGTTGCGCTGGTCCGCGTTCAGGGTTCTGGGATCCGATAAGAAGTCGGGAACCAACTCGAGATGCTCGTGGTTGAAGTTGCTGTTGGGGCCCTCGAACGCCAACGGATCCAAGCTGAACTCAAACGCAGACCTGCCTGGCTTGTAGCTGTTCGCGTGGGGGCTCGATCTGTGCTGGGAGGGTGTGGAACGGGACGCTGAAGCGGGAGTCAAGTTGCTCTTCATGCGGTCGTTATGCAAAGAAAGGGAGAGGTTGGAGTGGAGGGAATGTGACGGAAGATGGTTGATGGCCGTGATCATGGGCGAGAACTCTGCTGGCCGTTTTTTGGAGCTGTTGTCGGGCTCGGTGGCAAACACGTCGTCATAGTGGTTGTTGGGGGTGTCGTTTTCGCCCATTCTTCTGATATGTGCCACGTAGTCGAACTCATCCGTGGCAGGATCCACCATAGGCAGCTCGTGCATCTTGTGGTGGTCTGGCTGGAACTGTGTCTGCGTGGTCGTCTTGTTCTTCTGGATCTTGGCTTCAACAATCCGGTTGTTGATAAACATCATCCGCCAGGTGAGGTTCTCCATCCGCGACTTGTAAGGCAACGACTCCTTGGCTCGATGGTACATCTTCCACACGTTCTCCACGCTGGAATCCTCGTCATGGAGGAGTTTGGCCAAGTTCGGCTGGTCCGACCCTGGTTTATATGACGTGGTCGAAGACAGCGGAGTGCCAGATGGTGCTGGGCTCTGGAGCGAGGAATTCCTGATGTGCATCGGGTACTGGTGGCTTCCTCCAGGACCAATGAAGCTGGGACTGTTCATCGACATCAGCAGCAGGGAGATGGATAATTTGAGGTAATTTAGTGGTGAAATTTGAGTTCTGACAGGCAGGAAGAACTGAAGAGGAGAAACTGCAAAACGATAGGATTGACGACAATCGTACTGAGGAAGTGAAGTGGTGGGACTTCGAGGAGGTAGATGGGGCGGGATGGAGGATGGAGCTGTGAATTGGTAGTAGATGTAGTGTCGGTTGGTGTCAAATACACCTGTCGAAATCCGGATCCTGGATTTGTTTGGGGCCGAACAATTTTGCGACACTCGATAAAATTGGTAGCAAAATACAGAGGCTGGGGGTTCAGCTATCGTGGCCAAGGATATGTGTGCTGGAATCGGAGGCTGTGTAGCGGTCTGCTACGTGTGCCTGGTGCCAGCTGCCGGTGGGATAGAGGGCGCTACGAGCTGGTGCTATCGGAATAACACGGGAAATTGGGCCCCTCTGTTATCGGGAGTCGGTCCCAAAACCTGCTTACGTAACCGCAAATTGGCAGATGATCCGCATAATCAGTGCACGGTGTGATTGGCTCGATAAACTAATCGTCTCTCCTGCACCTACGTTATCAGGGACTGGCTGCCATCTTGGCCTGTCAAAGCGTGTAGGGCCACAAACCGATTGCTGGAGGCGGCATCCGAGTTCCTCCCTCCCTTCCACCGAAGATTGTCTTCCTCGCCTAATGATGCTTTTATCGGGCCCGGCAATGGCCTGGGATAGGAATTGCTGCAAAATGTCATCACAGAACGCCGTCGGCTTAGCCTGAGTACCTTAGTAAGCCGATCAAAAACGACACTACGGTCAGAACTCCTCCGCCTTGATTCACATGGCATTGATATGGTCTTCCATCTCATCATCACGTGATTAATTGACAAGTCGTGTAGCTTGTAGCGATTTCCACAGAACCCTGAGGTGGTGTGAAATGCACGCCAAAAATTGTCGATTTGTGGCCAATATCCTGGTGAATCAGCGTAGGTGCTGCAAATTGAAAATTTAGTTTCCTCGTATCAGTCAAGTTCAACCTTAATGCTGATTGGATTTGTAGAGTAAAATCAGTATTTCTTTGCTTCTTTTTTGTTTTCGCAGTTTTTTACCATGATTTGGTAAAATTGAAGAAAATGAACGTTGGTGACAAAATACAGGCTTGTCTACTAAAACAAATATTTGACGAAATAAGACTTCAGGGTAATTGAATTTATGCCTGACACCCCTAACCCGAAAGCAATCGTTTTGATTGATCCATCCAGACGTTCATGGATATACGGAAAACCCTTGCCCCTACAAAGCATAATTCGTTGGGTATTTTTACGGTTCCATGTTCTCTCGTATGTTTGACATTTACGGGGAGCGGGGGAAACTAACCAATTCTAGCCTTTGTTCTTGGCTGTTGTGTGAATAAAACGATGATCAGTGGGTCCTTGCGTTGCATTCGTTTGGTACAGCCGATTGATCAGGGTAGCCCCACCATGCCGTTTAAGAGGCATGTGATCCATCAGCAAGATCTGCAGTTTTCGAATTTTAGTGCTAAAAAATTCATGGGTTTCGCCCCTGTCGTTGAGAACGATCGTTACCAAAAAACCTGTTCCTCATCTGAAAAATTACTTGGTGAAATTCACAGATAATGGTTGGACTAAAATGAACTTAAGGCTCTCACCCCAAAACTTGCATGCAGTGTCTCCGATCAGCAAATTGATCTACAGTGTTTTGTGCTGGTCTTGCATTGCGAAGCTGAGACATTACTATTTTGCTCATGCACGAACACTAAACGCACCCTATTGTGGCAGTGGGGAAACCCTCTCCTGCAGGGTAAGCGCGCAATTTTGTATGGAGAAATTGAGAAAGAATTATACTAACAACTTTATAACAGTGGCAATGCCTTGAACGACAACAAATGTGCTTGTTACCAATGGCAGTAGAATGTTAACACATCCCTAACTCAAAGATGGTAGGTATCCTATGTCAGACTAATCCCAGGAGTAGCGAAAAATAAAATGATCTGCATTTCTTGATGCCTTCAATAGATTCGGCGATAGTAATGAGTCCGTATTGCACCTTTCAAGCACCTCGAGGTGTAGATTTTATGTAATAGATAAATTAACGTTATGCAATCGGCGAATTGTGAAGTTGTGGCAGCCATTTCCGTAAACATTTTATGGCAATCGGTCTTGCAAAACCTGCATGCAGTAGTTAGCCTTTCTAGATCTGCAAACCCCGTGCATCGCCACACATTTAGATGAAATTCTCCCTTGCATGCAAAATTTCGCTCTTGCTGAAGTAGTAGTGAACCAGCCAGTATATCCATTTTTGTAAATAGGCTTCAAGTAGGCATATGTACCTATAACACATTGTTATCTTGTATAGCATCTTCGAAATAAACTTGCGTCTTCTTGTCGGGTTGGTCTTCTTGTTTGGTTGGTCTTCTTGTCGGATCGCTACGGATTACCCTAAAAATGGTTCTCGCAACTGGGTCTTCATTTGAACTGCCAAGTTAAGGTAAGGGCTCCTGTGTTTCCCGCACGTTCATGCAGTCAACTCGCAATTTTACGTGGACTTAGTATCAAGCATACTATTTCCGTCCATACAAACAATAGCATCATCAATTTTACAAACCTCACGCATAAGACTTTTCTTTGTCATGCATACTTCTCTTGTGTGAAATGTGCCAGATACGGGCATCCATATTGCGCTTCCGTCACCTACTCCTTGAGTTGCAAAACTACCAAGTCTGATCACCTATTGTGATCATTTACCATGGTGACTTTAAGAAACAATTGTACGTAACCCTTTAACTTGCTGAGATTATTTCCAGCCAACAGGGGTGAATGTTCGAGGCACCAGGCCCAAAATACTAGACCGGGCATACCAACAGTAAAAAATATTTTTTATTCAGATACTCTGCGAACACAATCGCTGCATGCAAGATGATTCCGAGAAAACTGCTTATTTTTAAGATCCGCATCTAACATGAAAAATAAAAGTCGAGTGAGATGTCACTCTTCAGAAATACCAATAAGTGGAAATAGTTTGACGGATAACCACCGCTTTACAGGCGAGAAGAAGCTACGATTGCGAGAGCTGAATTCCTCTTGTTACGATGTTTGCTCTAAGCTGTTATAGGATGATCAATTTCGAATTGAAAGGAGAATCTCATCCAAAATAAAATAGAGTGGACCGTTAAAGTTTAAGCAATTTCGCGCCTTAGAATTAAGTCCGTATGTTTAATTTAAATGCAAAGCGTACTATTTGCAGTAGTGAACCTGGAAGATTTTATTATGAGCTTAGATTAACAAGTTAAGAACCTTGGTAGGCTTCGAATAGGTATGAGTAGATGACTGAGTGGTTCCTCAGGTGTTCAACTATTCGAAAAATTAAGCGGATAAACGAATGAATTGCGCTACTTGACCAACAATATTTTAAAGCAAGCTGCTATTGAACAATAATACGTTTATACGAATACTCAAAGAACTAGACCAATAGAACGGCCCAAGGAACAAGAGTTTAGTTTTATTGTGCTAAGCAAGACTCGTAACCAACAATACTTCCGAGTGGTAAAAGTCAAATTTGAAGCTTAGTATATTCTTCGGCGGCATTTGATCAGGCGTAGTATCTGCAAGACTCGAAACTCCGCGGAAAGAGGAGAATAACACTATCTACTTAAACTATTACATATAAACTTACTATTTCATTTATTAATCTAATATCTAGCTGATTCTATATTGAGCTCGAACCGATTTGTGAGCTGTTATCGTTGGATGTAATTATTGTAGACATACCTTAGTTTTGACCACAGGTATTCTTTGAATTAGAGTCTCAGGTAAACATAACTACTACTACAAGTTTGTGAAAGTGCGACAAGAAGGGCGAATTCTTAAGCAGTTGAGCCTTGGCTGAATCTAGATAGTGAGTTATCAAATGTAGAAGTCTAGCCACAGCATCATATTGTTAAATGCGGGTCTTGGAAAATACTATTTTCAAAGTCGCTGTAAAATAATGTAAAACCTCACACTCAAGGTTATCCCAAAAAAGAAATACCCAAAAGGGTTGCAGGCATATTTTAACGGAGGTTGCAAAATTTCTGTACATTTGTCCGTACCGGGGATTATAACCATACCGATGATTCTTGCAGGCTTTATTGTAAGACGTATGTCTATGGAGGAACTCAGATGTCCGAACATCAAATCTGCCGTAATGTTGAAAAATAATCGTAAGTAAGTAATAACGCCCAAGTGCCAGTAAACATTATATAAATACAACACTCCCACCGCATTCTCTTGACTCTCCATCCAACCTAACTTTCAGTCAAGAAAACTTAACCATCAGTTGGCTTTTATAGGATGAAGCTCAACAATATTTTGCCAGCTTTAATGCTGTTGGCAATTGTTTATGCTGTAACCATTACTGAAGATACTATTGAAAGGGGTACAATTAATTTAGATGTTGGAGATCTTGTTGTTGCACCAGGTGTTTATTACTCCATTATCAACAACGCTTTGACAACCATCGTTGGTTCTCTTAATGTTGGAGCTGGGAGTGGTTTCTACGTTAGTTCTACAACCAGCTTAATCGGTTTGACTATTGCTCTTGCCGGTGTTATTAATAACATTCGGAATGACGGTACCATTGCATTTAACTCTTTGAGATCATTGACTGCTCCTACTTATCAATTAGCTGGTGCATCCTTCGTCAATAATGGTCAAATGTACTTGGGTGGTGACGGTTCTAACGCAACTCCAGTTATGTCTATCACCTCTCTTCTGTGGACCAACAACGGTTTCTTGAGTTTCTATCAAAACACCAGATCTGGAGGTGTTGTCACTCTTGGTGCTGTGCTCCCAATTACCAATGCTGGTCAAATTTGTCTTTTCAAAGAGGCATACGTTCAAACAACTGCCATTAACGGTGCTGGTTGTATTACAGTTGGGGAAGATTCAACTGTCTGGATTCAAAACTCCCTCTTAGCTGTTTCTGAAGACCAAACCATTTACTTGGAATCTCCATCATCAGCCATCAGAGTTGAAGCTTTGAGTTTGTCACAAACTTTTGAAGTTGCTGGATATGGTAACGGAAACCTCATTGGATTGAGTTTACCACTCAACCTTGATACTATTCTTCTTGACCCATTCCGTTACGATGCAAGAACTGGTGTTTTGACTCTTATTAGTGGTATTTTCACCCAAAACTTCCAGATTGGTACCGGCTACACCCCTAGCTTGTTTGAAGTTGTCAACGCCAACTATGGAGGTCTTATTACTACTGTTCTTCGTGGTGGTGTTGTCTACAACGGCCCTATTCCTGCAGGTTCCACACCAGCAGCCAACTGTCGTGACTGTCAACCATTCCCAGACGCACCAGGAACTAGTGAATCTTCATCTTCTGTTGCTTCTTCTACTGCCCCACCATCCTCTAGTGCTTCGTCTGCTGAACCATCCACTACTGGATCTTCTATTGCTTCAACTTCAGCTGTTCCTACTTCTAGTGCTGCTCCATCAAGCTCTGATGCTGCCTCTTCTAGTGCTGCTCCATCTAGCTCTGATGCTGC